TGCAATACCAGGCTAAGGATCGCTACTGCTCCACATTTTTGCGGGCAGAGGATTCTTTGAAGCCCCGAGTTTATGTAATTTTCTTCACAAGGAGAAAATCCGTGAACCTTGAAAAAGCTCGAATGATAAAATGAAGTCTTTCTTTCCAACGTGTCTGGTGCTATTACAGTAATCGGAAAAGTATACATACTTAGCTATAAAGATAAGATATGCTTGTCAAAACTCACTGGCGATTACGGCCAAGCCCGCTGTGCGAATTAATTTCGCTTTGATCTTTTGACAGTCAAGTCAAAAAATAATCATAGGCAGTGACCGCGGAATCGCAATAACGGAACCAGCACGTGACTGATTTTTATTCATTCAGACACGTTCGTAGGAAGAAGACATGCTGCTTCTTCAGGAAATGTGCTGTTAGAGGTCGAGGACAAGTTTAGACAGCGAATATTTCCGCTTTCAAGGGGCAATATGATGGAAAGAAAAGAAGGGTCGCCTAAGTCAGTTCAGGGCTGAACGCCGTTTGAATAAATTCGCAGATTACCACGTTCGAAGTGGCGCGATCGGGGAAAGTGCGACTAAGTCCAGGCATCTGGAGAATTAACGGCGGATGATGCTGGAGCACAAATCGCATCAATGACGCACTCTGTCTGGATCCAGCACGGGTTTGTCAAGTTCGATCCAATTCTCTTTTTCTAGAGTTCGAATCCCTGTCGAAGTTCTGCTCAAAAACCTGTGTAGAAACCTGAGTAGGGGCCTGACACAGGTGGAGGACCCTGACTCAGGTTTCTTCACAGGTTTCCGAGCCTAAAAAGACATCTTTTGAAAGCTTCGTTATTTTTGAATACAGAATGAATGTTGCGATTGTCAGCTTTAAAATGGTTTCCCCACGCGAGTTCGGAATCTGGCGTCTAAATAGTTTACCGGGGCATAAACCATTATCTCGAGGAACGGCGGGGGCTCACTAAATTGCCTTTGCCTACCTTGCTCAGTTTGTAAGTGACTGTTGTTATACATTTTCCATAAATATTTGACATTCACTCGGGCCGGAAAAAGCGATTTGCCAACACGAGCACTTCTAAAATAAAAGACAAGAATTTCTTTTCTACGAATGTAGACTTTTCTTAAGGCGAAATTCGAGATTTAAGTCGATCACGTGATAAACGACCGATTACAGTCGTTTTCCATCTTTAGAGCGTTTTTCGGATGACAAGGGTTGACCAAAACGCTCTTAAGTTGGAAAATTTACGATCAAGCAACGATGACAGTGGGAAAAATGATGCTGAAAATGCATAAAATGAGCTCTTTCCAAAACTCTAACAATGCATCCGAAGTCATTTTTACCTATTTATGATAAAATATTTTCGATCTTTGAATCAGAGTCACTAATTTCAACTAAGAAAAAGCGTATGAACCAGCTTTTTAAAGATTTTCAGGTTGAAATAGACGTTATTCTGATTTGATGATTTAAAATACCCAAAAACGCTCTAAAGTTGGAATTTTTGCAGATGACAAAATATGGAAAATATTGGCAAAAACGCTCTTAAGTTGGGCGCTCTTAAGATGGAAAACCACGGTATTTAATTCGATCGATCAGCCGCTACGAAGAGCCTCGGAAGCGACGGAAATGTTCTATTACGTTATTATGATTACATTACTTCAGAACATCAAGGTCAGAAAAGGAGACAAACTCGATCGGGTAATATTATTCGGGTTAGAGACCTTGCGGTTTCCAACTCACCGCCATCCGGCTCAAAGTTACGTGCTTCTCGGCCACGTATACTTGAAGACCAAATTGAAATTGAAGACAGGTACTACCGGTTCTATCTCTTTCCGGTTGTTGAAGAACTCAAGTTTATGAATTTCTCCGAAAACTTAAGCCCAAATAAGCGACATCAAGCGAGCATTTTTTCTTCCTTTCATTCCTGGAGGACCCTCCTACTGGAAGAATTAATTCTTGAAAGAAGAATAATGATGAATAGAGAAGATTACGCTGATTTCTTGAGAAGATCGAAAACGCTTCGAACAAGGGATTTTTTTTCGAAACATGGTTAAGCAAGTGTTGTGAGCAGAAAATTAGCGATTTTCGCAAACGTCGTGGAAGGCTAGAAAATGAACATCCTTAAACATTCGCCTACATCCTGCCCACGAAAGTCAATCTTTTTTATGCCTAATTAAAGTCACATTCTTCTTTGCCATTTTTTTTTTCTCTGAAGAAATACAGTGGCATTTGGGCTATTTTATCTGTTTTCCTAAAAAACCACGATACCAATTTTATCGAAAAATTTAAAATAAAGTGTGTATAAAACGTATGTCCCAAAATTTTTATCAACCCGATTAGACGTTGATAAAAACCAGCTAAGGGTTTACTATCTTCTTGTTTATACACACCTTAGGTGTTTAGTATCGACATTTTAAAGCGTGTTCTTTTTGAGCTTCTGGGAGATAATGGAGGGTTCCAAAATAAAAATCCTTGCCTCTTGGGACCAAAAAAGGCCCTTGAGAAACGTTCTCCCAAAAAGTTCCAAAATGGAAATTCTAGATTTCGTAATGAAAAGCCGCGCTTTGATATAACGAGCGAGTTGATCCGAACTTTGCGACCGCGAATCTCTAAATCGACTTTTGATGATCAGCGACCTTGAAGAACAGGGCGCGCGATGCCACCGAGATCGACCAAAATTTAATCGAGGCTGGAGTACAACACGATTTAGACGGCCAAAAGTTGATTTGGACACGCAGGAAGAAAATTGGATTCACGATTCTCTTTGCGCAATCTGAAAAATGTATAAAATAGAAAAAAAACTACCGAGTTACATTTCTTCCAGCAGAGGGGGTCCTCCAGGGCACTTTTGAAAACGAAATCCGCTCTCTTGGTGTCGCTTATTCGGGCTTTTGTTTTCAGGCCAATCATCAAAAATCACCGGTAGTGAACTCTTTAAATTACCCTTCTGAAAGAACACTACTGTATTTCAGGCGACTATCAGTGATAGTCTATCACTTCTAAGTCACGTGATTGTGCCTCACGTTGTTGCTCTCAGAGGAAACTAGACTTGTCGGAAGCACAGCGAACTTCCCCTCCTCGTTAAGTGTCTTCCTCATTAGCGAAAAGAGAGCATATTCTTACTGTATCTCTCGATCCCGTTTGAGCCGTTTTTTTAGAAACTTGCTTTATTCGCAATCTGAATTAAGTTTGACGCTGATGACCCGCTTTTTCGGTTTCTTTCTTGCATTTTTTTGAATTAATCATTTTCAATGGAACGAAAGCAAAAAATGCTAAAAGAAATTTTTTCAAAAAAAAAAGATAAATTTTATTCCCCAAGCCGAGATTCAACGGTAACAGCGGTTAGAAGTCGATATCCTTAATCATTCGAGTGTCCTTAATTAGCCAAACTGCGCCTGTGTAACTCAAACCGGGCCAAGGTCATTATTCCGATAAGAACACCCGGACGTGAAATCAGAATCGCTGTTTTTTCGCCGAAGCAAAATCGCCAAAGCAAGAATTTCACGATCCCTGTTTTCTCAAAAAACCCACTTTGAACTCAGGCTCACGAAGCGGCTTGTTCAAAATTTACGATATTCTAATTTTCCAATGCAAGAATTTAAAATTGAAACTCATCTTCGGAGAAATAAAAGTTCATTTTTTAAATTCTAAATTTTTTGAGATATATTTTTGGAAACGTCTCTCGCTAAGATGGTCAAAAAGATTAACATGCTTTTGACGCTTTGAGCACATTCCAAAGGTTGTCCGTTAATGTTAATTGCTGACGAAAGTTCTGCATTGATTAAGTCGTAGTTCGAAACTATGTTGACGAAGAATTCGAGCGATTAAGCGACGAATTCAACGATTTTGTTTTACGGAAGGTTGTTATGTTGAGCCACGTTTTATCCGTAGTGCCATTTTTTACGAACTAAAGAACCCCGATTCTTGTAATCGAAAAAAAACCACAGTAAGTGTACTTTCCTCGTCTCCTTGTTTTTTATCGTGTTCACGCTTATCATTAATATGTTCGCTTGTATACGGCTTCGTGAAGCACTTTTTTCGCCCGTCCTTCAATTTTGTATAGTCGTGGTTTCGCGATAAGCGGCCTCTGATTTTGGAGCCACTAGAATACGTCGTTACTTTGTTTGGACAGATTTCAGCGCAGAAATTTGGAAAAACGCACTGGCCACCATCCAGATACCGACCACGTCAAAATAACAAAGCTGCAACCCAGGAAAGCACTTTTCAATTTTCAGTTCTTCTTTTTTTCTCGAAATTCTGGATCATCAAATTTTTCGTTCAAATTCTGCTTTGCTCTTAGTTCTAACTTAAACTCCGCACCCCAATTTGGTCATGGTTATTTTTTGTAGTTAGCTTCCTCCGTCTGATAAAAAGTTGCAATTCTATGTTGAAATTTACGGTTTCAAGCGAAAGTCGTTCCTGAATATGTCATCACTTTTGACACTTAAAACTTTTGCGCCCGTAAACATCAATATGAACCACTGAGGGTTAGGTTACTCGCCGGCTTAATTGAACATAACAAGTTCGGAGGAAAATTAAAGTGAGGAATCTAAAACGTCTAAATTTCCAGCGTTTTTTTATTATAAAAATCATTTGGTTTTTAGAATGATTTTTGTCAAAATTCTGGCTTGTCCGCAGTTTTTATAATACAAAAACATTTATAGAGATCCTTATGTAAGCTCGTCGAAAATTCCAAGTTCAAATTCCTCCGCTCAATCAACCACCCTTGACGTAAACTTACAAGCAGCTGAGCCACAAAAAGTCGCCCTCAGTAGAAGCCCAAATAAACGCTGTTCCGGTAACCACCCGCGGGTTCACATATTTCGCTTCTGAACTTGAGCACTTTTCGGTCCATTCCGAATTCCATCGCTCGACCGCAGCGAAATCAGGAATTCTGCGCAATATGTTTTTTGTTCAATAAAAATATTATTTTTTTACATTAGTTTTTGGCAAAAATTCTTGCTAGAAATTGCAATTAAAACTTTTTTATTGTCAGAAAGAATACTTAGGAAATGACTGGTCGAAGTCGAATTGTTTGTTCAGGATCAGAGGCACTGGACTGAAGAGGGCGGGCATTTGGAAGGGGAGCGCTAGAAATGATTTGCACACATTAGTCTCATTTTTAGTGAACCTGATGATCAGCATTCCATCGTAAGTGAGAGTAGATTCAACAAGCTGAGGATCGAGGCCTTCGGGAAGATGATATTTTCTGTTGAATTCTCGGCTGAAAGAAAATTCAGAAATACTCTTCCTTGATATCATCGGTTTTCTCTTACACAATATTGCTGTCGTTCTCAGACGATTGAACAGTCTTAGCCCGAACTTCAACTGCGGCTCCGATCGTTCGAATTGAAATGTCTTCTGGATGGAAATTCTAAAAAATTCGAAAAGGTAGATTTTTAAGCTCATACTCGGCAATCCATGGTCACGACCCAACGAGAACCATCAGCAGAAATTCGCGATTGGGTTTTCTCAGGAGCAAAGTCGCCAAGAGAAAGATTCGGAACAGGTGCAGCGGAAGGAGTTGAGCCCCAGTCTCGAAAAGGATCCCAAATGTTGTTACAGTGCTTCCGGCGATGGAATTTTAAAGGGATTAAAAATGGAAATTTTTGATTAAAAAATATAGGAAGAACTATTTTCATCCCGAAATCTCCCGTATTTTGAATTATGAAATCTCTCAAAAGTGCTTTTCCAATTATCTTCGCTTAAATTTTCCATCGACTTTTTCTTTTTTTTTCCTTTTTCACATTTTTGAGGGTCCTTTCCTGATAGTTTTCGCGACATCTTTCTTTATCAGAGTCTCTGTGGTTTGATCAGTCCCTCTTTCTGATTGAGTCTTTTGGGACTGAGTCAGCTTGAGTAGATTAACGTGGTATGAAAACGCGAGAGTTACAATCAGAAGACCCAGAGCGCTCAACACCTACTTAAATTAAACGCGCACGGCGGCCAATCAATCTGATAACGTTTTCTCGCTGCTGTGGATTTCGAAAACGAAATCATGGAGGAGAATCTTCGGTCAAAATGCGTTGAGTAAAATTTTCTCTCGTTCATGACTGTAAAATGACTTAAAAACAAGCCAATTTGAAGCAAACTCGTTTTTCTTGAGTCCAATCGATTATCGTTACATTCAGAGTTGGTAGAATCGCACACTAGGCCCAACGAATCGGATCCGATGCTCCAGTCTACCTCATTTTGAAAAAAACAGATCAAGTAACTCTTGGTAATTCCCGAAATTCTTTCAGAATTATTTCGTTCACGCAATTGGTTTTCTTTACCCGAAGTATTCGTCAAAAAGATGATCCAAAGCCTCATCATTTGCTGAAAAAATTACAAATATTACAATAATCGCAGTTATTCTCGAAAAATAATTATTTTTCTTTTTTATTACCTGTAGAAGATTTCACTCTTGCAAGCCTCTTAAATTTGTTTGTCAGCTGATTGTTTTCTTCAAATCGTTTTGGTCGGAAGTGAGCCGGAAAGAGTTGGCAAGAAATCGAGTTGAAAAGCAAGACAGTTCCGATAAAAATTTCATTTTGACTCCTTTTTTCGAGATACTCACTCATTTCACATCTCTTTATACCTTTTTCGAGTGCATGAATATTAAAAAATTGATGGAGAGATAATAATGGCGCTAATTAGCCATTAAAATGCGGGAAATCGCTTTCTTGAGTGATATTTTCCGTTCTGCATTGACCGCAGTTTAATCTGCTAATCTGCTGCGAAAAATGCTTCTAACATAGGTCATCCCCTTGTTACCAGGATAAACGTTGGCGAAAATCTGAATTTAGCAGGATAAACCCCAGGCAAACTTGCCCCCATGTTAGCAGGATAAACTTTGGCAAAAGGGCTCATTGTTAGCAGGGTAAACTTTGGCACTCAATTAACAGGGTAGCGTGAATCATCAGCGCTCGCCCAGGGCGTGACGTAACAGTTAGCCCGAGGAGGACTCAACCTGCTGGAAGAAAATGCCAATGAAAAATATATTCATAAAATCTGCTTGATGATTTCAAAAACTTTTGTGGGGCCGGAAATCGTAAAAACTGCAAGTGCAGTTTTCTTCAGCTCCTCGAGACGAGTTGAATGATGGGTCTAACTCTTGATAACTCTAAGGATTTACCGGTTTACCGGCTAGTTACCGGAAAATACGTTGTCACCGGCCGTTTTTGTTCTAGAAGTGGTAAACAGATGATCGACCCAGAAAATTGTTCCTTATAGTCAGTTCTACTGCAGCCTAAAAGATGAAAGTCGTATCATTATTCCGAAGAGAGTTATCACTAAAATACTATTTTTGGCGGAAATGGGACTAGAAATCAGGAACGTGCAGCGACAACGAAATTTATGCAAAATTTACTGTTTTTAATGATAACTCTCTTCGGAATAATGATACGACTTTCATCTTTTAGGCTGCAGTAGAACTGACTATAAGGAACAATTTCCTGGGTCGATCATCTGTTTACCACTTCTAGAACAAAAACGGCCGGTGACAACGTATTTTCCGGTAACCAGCCGGTAAACCGGTAAATCCTTAGAGTTATCAAGAGTTAAACCCATCATTCAACTCGTCTCGAGAAGCTGAAGAAAACTGCACTTGCAGTTTTTACGATTTCCAGCCCCACAAAAAGTTTTTTGAAATCATCCTTGAAAATTTCAATATATATTTATAAATTCAGTATTTAATACAAGTTAACGATTTTATCATTATTAATTTTAATTTTGATATTTATTCATATTTTTAAATTATTTATTTTTAGGGCTTAGGAGGGTAGGCACCAGAGTTGCAAATTTGGCTTTATTTTCGCTGAGCTGAGTGAGCTGAGTTGAGCTATTTTTACTGTATTTTAGTAGTAAAATTGTGTTGAAATCATTGAGCTGAGCTGAATGATTATCGACGATAATTTATCGTCTGAGCTGAGGAGATCAGTTCACTTTTGAAAATCACTGAGCAGTCTCAGCTCACTTAACTCAGCAAATTTGAAACTCTGGTAGGCACATTATACAGTATTACTAATACTGTATTAGAAAGCTCAGAAGCTGAGCTTTATTTTGACTATTGATAACGGGGTGATCTCGTACCTGGCCCTTTTCGGACTCTAACCATCTTTCAAGAAGAAAAATCTCCAAAGTTGATCCCGAGTGATCCCAGGTAACCCCAACTTGACCTCAGGTCAGCAATGATGCAGATATTATATCCAATATTAGATATATAAGATATTAGTCCCTACATTCTATAATGATATGGGCTATACTTCACCGAAGTCGCTTGATCTAATGAATGGCCTCGGAATCCTGTAAACAGGAACAGAGACAGGAACAGGGATTTTATTTTTGGCCCATTTTAATTTAAAAAATTATATATTAAAATTAAAATTAATAACATAAAATTGTTCACTTGTATTTCAAGCAGATTTGCTTCATTGGCATTTTCTTCCAGCAGGTTGAGTCCTCCTCGGGCTAACAGTTACGTCACGCCCTGGGCGAGCGCTGATGATTCACGCAACCCTGTTATTTGAGTGCCAAAGTTTACCCTGCTAACAATGAGCCCTTTTGCCAAAGTTTATCCTGCTAACATGGGGGCAAGTTTGCCTGGGGTTTATCCTGCTAAATTCAGATTTTCGCCAACGTTTATCCTGGTAACAAGGGGATGACCTATGTTAGTGCACGTTAGGAATCGTATCTTATGATGTAATCCTTATGGAACGTGGAATTTTCTTATCGCATTTGCCATACTTTTACGTATGAAAGGTGAAGCATGTTATCATGCTCAAGAAGAATTAGAGAATTAGCAATTTTATTAATATTATATTAATCAAGTCGCAAAATTGATATCGCCGATTCTTATGATTTTTAATTATATTATAAAAATATAAAAATTGAAATTTTCAAGGGAAAAATTTCTATGAAAATAAATTTCCAAAAAATTGAGAGCAAGAAAAATTTATGAAAATTCCATGTTTGTAGGTATTTACGAAAGTGCCGTTGGCTGAAAAGGTTTGTCCCTTCGCTATTCGCCGCCTGCTGATTCTAGCGTTCTGAATCCGCTTCGGGCACCGTTCTGTGGGTCAATACGAATAGTACCGCGCCTATCACTAAGCCGCTTTTGAACAATCTAGATCTCTCTAACATATCATTTTCATTTCAATTCCCCCCAAAAAGAGCAAAAAAAAGAAGAAAAAGAGAAACTTGAATTGTTTTTGATTTGACGTAATCATAAATGCGCAAAAAAGTCGATTTATTTTTGGCGCTTCTAAATTTAGCAGCAGCGCAAAAAGAATTTGAAAGCTCCAATAATGAGGTGTTTATAAATGCTGACGGTCATCCCATTGGAATCAGGTGCACTTTTGAAGATGGCTGGTGCCCTGGATTTCATAATCAGCGAAATAGGGATCCGAAAAATCACGTGAGTAAACCTTTTTTCCCTTCTTTTAGTTTATTCTTCATTTTAGTATATGGACTGGACAGTAAGCAAGGGAGTATCAGACTCGCCAGTCACGGGGCCAGAAGTAGACCATACAATGGGAACGAAAGATGGCCACTTTTTGCATCTGAAGGCGGAAGGAAACAGATTTTTGGCGAAAGGAGAATTGCTTTCGATGAATTTCAAGTTGGAATATTCGAAATACTGCGTCGGAATGTGGTATCACATGATGGGCAAGCATGCTTTTTCGCTGAATATTTACGCGACCATTCCAAGAGAGTAAGTCCTTGAAGATGTAGCCGGTTGTCGGAATACCGGAGGATCTTTCCAAGATTCCTGTCTAGTAGACAAGGGCCCCTTGTAAATGTTTTAGAAAGTTATTCAAAAATCATATTGATTATTCTTTTAGCAAAAAGCAGCCTACCCAGCAACTCTTGAAGGCATCTGGCGCCAAATCAAGAAACAAGGTATGCACTCAATAATTTCTCTTATCAAAGCTAGAAAATTAAAGAACAAGGAGATTTTTACTCAAAAAAATTTTTTTCAGAGCAACTGGCTTTACACTCAAAATGAAGTTACTGTGCCGCTTTATTCGCCTGAATATGTTAATTTGACGATTCATGGAGTAAGAGGACTTTCTTATTCTTCTGATATCGCTATTGACGATTTCTTCTTTCTTCCAGGTAGATTTCTTTTCCTTCTTCTTCTTCTATTTCTTTCAAGGGCCTTGTCCACAAGTCACGACAACAAAAGCACCACTACCAACGACCCTCCCTTCCTACGAACGAACAACCCCTCCAACTCTCTCACCAACAACAACGACTACAGAAGATCCAACAGAAAATCGCGAGTACATGCCATATTTCGTCACTCAACTGGAAAAATGCACGGTCAACGGAGTAGTAGAAAGCTACCTGCCAACACTGAGCGTCTGCTGCGGCGGGAAAATCTTGAGAAGAAGTTCTGGATCGAAATGCTGTAATGGAGTCCAGTATTTTAACCGAAAACAGGATTGCTGCGAAGATCAAGTGATCAATCGCGCCGAGAAGAGTTGCTGCGGAGGAGTCATCACCGAAAAAGTTTTCGGCGAAATTTGCTGCGGCGGTGAGAAAAGAGCCGAAAAAGAAAATGAAAAATGCTGCGGAGACAAAACTTTCTTCGATACTACCCAGATGGGCTGTTGCGGAGGAGAGACTTTTGACAGGTAAAAATTGAATGGTAAACTTGGTCGTAGTGAATTTTAAGAGCAACGGATTATTGCTGCGGCGACAAGATAATTTCGCTCGCAGATGAAAGTACCAAGTGCTGTGGAACTGGGAAAAAAGGAAAAGGTTCGTTTTTCTTAAAGTTTTCTTCTTCTAGAGCCCTTTCTAGTGGTCGGCGGGCGAGAAGGCTGCTGCAATGGAAACACCTACATGACATTCGAATACTCCTGCTGCGTGGACAAATTCATCTACCACAAAAAAGACGAAAGATGTGACGCCGAAACTGGAGTCATTACTCAAGTCTACTCGAAAAAAACTCCAAGTATCCAGTTTGGAGAGCGACACTGGTTGTTTTAGACATTTTTTTTTAATTTTCTTTGATTTATATTTGTTATCTGCCTCTGTAAAGCTAAAGCTATTATTCAATAAAGTTAATTGCAGTTAAATGTTTCTTTTATATAAAATATGGAAAAGGAGAAATTCTGTCGATATATTTGAAGAAACGATAAAAACGATTTGAAGCGCTTTATTTTTAATGAACCCGCGACAAATATGCCGGTAGATTATCTTGATCTTACAATCTAGACGGCGATTAAAATACAAAATCAAATTCGAAAAGACTCGGAGAAAATTAATTGCTTAGTCGTCTTCATTGAATATGGAAAAGAAAGGTATTGACTGTGAAAATAGATGTGGTTTGAGAGAATAAAAAGAGGACACATGGGATCCGAAAGTGGAGACCTGAATTTCTGATTTTTAGTGAGAAGACAATCGAGAGCGATGGTACCTTTTGACGGGTCATTTTTGGTTATTCCGGAGAAAATTCTGTAAGTAGTCGGTCAGGCCCTCATTGTCAGGGGTAGGGTCAGGGTTTGAAATCTGAAAATTTTGAGTCAGAGAAAGAAAAGAATGCGGGTTTTCTTAGAAAATTTTTAAGAGCAAAAATCGGGTTTTGTTTATTTAAAGATGAATTAAGGGTATCACTTCGTATAATTAACATGTCATACTCTTCGTTGATTTCATTGATTTCAGTCTTTTTCGATCAAAATTGAAAACCTCGAATCAGCATAAAATTAATAGCCAATTAATCTCATTTCGACAGCCACAATTATACAGCCAGTGTCTCGATCAACAAGCAGTTCAGAGACTGAACTTATCGCACATTTAACACATTATTCTTTGATGCAAAATCTGCAGCTCTGAGATTGCCATAACCGCAGAGAGGATTCAGGACCTGAATTTCAGGTATAAGAGAGGGCCAAGAATATCGTCAACCTTTCAATAGTCCATTCATTAAACATTGAGCTACTGAATCAGTACTGTACTGTATCAGATTGGATATTTTCGTCTAAAATTACCGAAAGATAAATGAGTAAAGTTTGCATTTTCCTTTAACTGTAGGAACAGATTCGAAATGGAATCGATTCAATTGAATGTTGGAAGCAACTGTATAAACCCTAATTCGCTCAAATCTGTGAGGTGTGTTTTAACTCGCCCTTTAGAAAGAATAATTTGCTCGTTCTTTTAAAATCACGCGATTTATTTTCAATCGCTCAAGCCGTTTTAATTGAAAAAAGTTGTTAGGGGCAAAAAGGCCGTGATTATTTTTAATCGGTTTTTTAATGCTCAAGTTTTTAATCTAACTAGTTTCTTACCGATTTAAAAGCACCGACGTTTGACGAAAGCAAGGTGCATTAAGAACAAGTGAAAATAGAAATAGAAAATAAATATTTTTCCTGTAGTAAAGCGAAGGACATGTCGGAGATAGAAAATTTACCAAAGGAGCTTGTTGATGAGATTCGGACGACTTTCAAGATTTTTGATCAGGACGATGGTAGGTTTCTTCGTTGATTTTAATTGATACCAAGTTTAGATGGTAAAATAACGACGAAAGAACTTGGTACTGTTCTTCGATCCTTGGGCCAAAATCCGACAGACGGTGAGCTTCAAGAGCTGATTAATCAGGTAGCAAGAGGTTTTCTTTGATTTTTTCACTCATTTTTTATTAAATCTAGGTTGATTACAATCGAAATGGAGTCATTGAGTTTGATGAGTTTGTTGACCTTATGATGAGGTAACTTGACTCATACTTTCTTCCCTAGTTGATTTTAAGGGACTACGCAAAAGTCGACCACGAGTCCGAAATCTCCCATGCTTTTCGCCAATTCAGCCCGGATATAAACTTCACGATCCCGATCAAGGAAGTGATCGACACGCTAGAAATCATCGGTATACGAGAATCTGAAATTCGACAGTTTGAAACAGAATGTTCTACCGACACGAATCGTCTTGCCAGAAGAGATTTTCTCGAAATGATTCATCGCCAAAATGTAAAAGAATAAAACTTACCACTGAAATTCTCGATTTGAACAATCAAGGAAGAGAACGAGAAAAATTACGATTTTTAAGTTTTATTGAACATTCAATGTTGGCAGTGAACTTTACAGCTAACAGTTATTTTTTCTATAAACAATTAATTATCAATGTACAGTGTGCAGGATAGTCATTAAAAGAATCATCTCAGGCCGCCAGGAACGGTCGGCTGAGGGGTAGTTGGAATATTGAAGAAATTATTGTTCCCAAGTCGTTTTTTCTCGGCGATGCATTTGATATTGTATCGGTAGAACCATGTTCGGTCGATGAACTGAAGTTCCTCGTCTCCCGGCTCTCGGTATTTTTTGTAGTCGTCCGCTGCCTTTTGCGTTCGGAAGCAGCTGTGAGAGTGACCAACACTGATGTTATCGCAGAAAGCAATTTTGACGCGACCAAGAGCGTCGAGGAAGAATTCTTTGTGGCTGATTCGCTGGAAAATGCCGTCGAAGCCGATGGAACGGATGGAAAGTGTACGGGCCATGTAGAAGTTTTGAATTACATCAGCGATCTTGCAAGTTGGGTAGGAGTCCAGAACGCCGTAGGAGCCGAAGGTTCGGTAGAGGCAATCACCTTCGCTTCCTCCAGAAAGTCGGTCGAATGTCGATGTGTAGCTGAAGATAAATTGTGAAGAAAAAATATGATTTTTGAAACTTACCCCCAATTGGATGCTCCTGCTTTCCCACCAACCAAATCCAAATCAGTCGTTTCTAGCACTTCTTTCATCCATTCGAGATTCGTGTTTTCAGTGAAGAAGAAATCATCATCGACCCAGACGAAATACTCCGTCGTCACCTAAAGCAAAATTTTGAAGAAATTGATCAGATTCAAAAGAAGATTGAAATGGCCCATTGGAGATTGAAAACTCAATCTGTCATATTTGGCGGTCGAACATCTCCCAGTTAACCCATTTGCGGTCGAATTACAACGCTCTTAGCCGCGTTTTGTGCCGACCGCAGCTTCTAATTTTAACAAAACTAGAATTTTCAAAATTTTCTTTCTGAAACGAAATTTTCGTCCAGAAGGAGAAAAGTAGGCAAAATAGGATTTTGGCCGTGTAATTTTTTTTCGCCAGGGCCAGGTGAAGGGAGGCTCTTTTGACATTTGAGGACAGACCTGCGGTCGGACAGGCGGAATTTTCCAGCAATGCCACCAGGGCAGGCTAGTTAATGTCAAATGTCAAAATGTCCAAATGTCATTTAAGATAAGGATGAATTAAATTCTTATTAGAAAATTATGATGAATTTTATGCCAAAATAGAAAGGATTTTATCGCCCTCTAAAACCCTTAATTTGAAATTTTAGTGATTCAAAACTCATGTCGAAATGTCATTAATAATGACTCATTAAAAATAAGCTGCGTATCATAAGCATATATCTAATTCTAATTTGAAAATAATGATGATTTTTTTGCCAAAAAAAGACAGTTTTATCGCATTTTAAAACCCGAAATTCGAATTTTATGCGATTCAAAAAGCTGCGTTTTTGGAGCTGATACCCTTAATTTGTAAAACAACAAAATATTTATAAGAAGCAGTGATAGGAGCTGTGCTTTGTTATCAAATTCTCGGCAAGCTGAAAACTCTACGCGGGCGATAACAAAATAAGCCAACGGAAAGGGATTTGGTGGAGGCGAAAATTTGGTGCACGGCGTAATTGATTTGCGCTTAAAATTTTTAACCAAAAGCCAGTTTTACGCTGATCCAAAGATAGGAGAATTTTCTTGAAAAAAGGAAGACTTTAAAACCCTTTTTCAAGAAAAAAAATATAGCAGAAAAAATCGTAATTTAAAGTCTTGAAATTGCAAAAATGCCGGAAAAATTGGAGTCATAAATTTTTCCCGGGAAGATGTACCACTTATTTCGCTAATGATATATTTTCACAACTTGGCAACCCTGCCTGTGAATATTTTCGGCGGATGTATTCACAGCTTGCGCGGCGTTAGATGTTTAATTAACCCGAGAGATATGCGACCGCCCGGTTGGTATACACTTTTTTTCTCAGGCGAAATTTTGCAAATTTGCGCCAAATATCAAAAGAAAATTGAGAAAAGACTGTTATAAAATCAGGATTTTGCTGGTCTTATCAACCCTGGCCAACTTTTTTTATAAGAATTTGATCAAACCGCAAAAGTGTTTTAAATTTTCTACTTCCCTTGCGCCGGATTAGCTTCAAGTATCAAATCGCTGATAGCGGGCTTGATTTTAAAAAGTGTGTAATCTCAGCCACAAGTATGGCGGCCGAGCTCGGATCGCATGTCGCGAAAATTTGACGGATTAGAAATATCGCTAACGCCGGATAAGACGGCTAACTTCGCTGCTTTGCAAAGCCCGGCGAAAGTCGGCGAAGTGATAAGATTTCCCGCAGAGAGTAATCCGGGGCTTATCAAGCGAAAGTGAGAAATTTGGCATAGAAAAAGAACTGACAAGGAGCTTTTCCGAGGCAATATTTTGGAAATAATGATAAAAAAAGCGTCAGAAAAGGTGATAAAATTCGAAAAAATAAAAAAATTACACTCATCTCGTATCAAAATCTTTCAAAACCGCAAAACTAGTACTCGAATCCGACGAATATTTCTAAAATCATGGCATTTAGCGATTTTCCGAGCACCTGTTTTTCAGGGCGGCCGCGATAATCTCGCCATGTCGAACCAGAGTCGGGATCAAAGTTAGCCACCTTAGTTAACCACCTGGTAAAACAGATCTGTGAGATGAGCCGTCCGCGCGCCGTTTCTTTGGGAACCGGCGCTGACCCTTTTAACCGGATAAAGTGATAGCGCTCCGGTGCGGTTTTTAATCAGCCATCTTACTCGACTTTCTCACTGATTCTCTACTGCAGAGCCATCTTTTCTAGAGCCAGGAAGGCGGCTTTGAGGCACCGCAGGACATTGATAAGGAAAACGCTTTTTATTTCCTGTAATTATCGTTTTTTAGCTTATCAATTTTGGCTTCTCCCGGTCTGGACCCGGAAACCTGTGTAGAAAACCTGAGTCAGGGTTTTAAATATCTTTTTTAAAAAGCCGCAAAGCGGCTTTTAAAATACAAAGCCGCAAAGCGGCTTCGAAATTTGACTTTCTTATCAATTATAAAATTGTGGCGCTCCATTTGTTTTGAATTTCAACAATAAAATTGATTTCAATAGAAGAGGATTTGCTCTAGAAAGCGACTGTTGTAGAAGTTCTTAATTCAGAAGCGGCACAAACAAGAAGGCCGCTTGAAAATGCTCAAGTGTCAAGGAGCTAACGAGATAATGCACTTTTCAAAGCTCATAATTTGTTTTGCTTTCGATCCGCTTTGAAAGTCCACCGCCAGCAATTGGTGGTGCACATTAGCGGTAACGAGTTTGTGAAATGGGAATACCAGGCTGGGACTAGTTCCGTCCAACTGACGCCGGTCGGCTCTGGAATTCGGAAAATAGCATTTTTGGATATTCAGTCTTTCTTTTTATGTCAGCGTATATTTTTGAGCGAAAATGGATAAGATAAAAGGGAGACATAAAACTGCGCGAATGCGGAAATGTTCTGTCAAAATTTCATGTCCCGCCCAGCTTTGAACCAAAATTGGCGGGCGCTGCAAAAAGTTATCCGTCAAAGACCCTTGCTACTTGTCAAAAACAACATATACTTTGAATTCCAAAAGTAAGAGACGTCCATTTTAAATCTTCTATTTCCATAAAAATCAATAATAATTTCGATAAAAATTAAATTTTTTTTTGAAAATTGAAGATTCTTGTTTACATTTTTGCTCAAAAAATATCTCAAAATTTTCACCTCGGCGAAAATTTTTTGCGGCCGAAAAGGCCCGGCTGTGTACCAATTCTTATCAAGTGGAACTGAAATACCTAGCGGTCAGATAAGGGACCGCTGCGATCGATTTTTCAAAATCGCAAATCGGAATTTGCGACTTTCGATATTATATCTATCGCACGGAACGAGTGGACGTGCGAGCAGATAAGGTTGAGGGGTCATTAGCCGGCTGCGGACATTCTTCAGATGGATGCCCTTGAAGGCTCTTCGCCCGAGAGAGTATTGCCAAAATAACAATTTTATACCCACAGGAAGCGGGGCCATATGTACCAAAAACGCATACTTCAATTATTTCAATTACTTCTTCGTATTTTTGTGCGAAATAGAAGTATACAGTAGATTCGTATCCCATAATTCTTTTTCTGTTCTTCTGTTCTTGATAACTTATCAATGATGAGCCTTTTTCTTATCAGTATTTTTTCTTGAAACAAAAAAGCGGATTTCTTATAAATATTGGATAACATCGATGATTTTTTCAAAAAAAAAACTTTTCGAAGTTGATTTTATTTATTTTAAGCCAATTTTGCCTTCCGAAAAATCGTTTTGCAATAAGTACAATTGGGCATAGTAAAACGGGTGCTGGGTTGGTACCTAAATCCACATTTTGACAACAGATGATTATGCAACGGCGATAAATCGCAGGTGCACCGCTCAAGCAAAAGCCCAAATAAAAGACCCGCATTGATGGTTGAAAAATGTATTCATCAAAACAAACAAAGCCCATTTCGAATTTTCGGCCACTTTTTTACCTGCGAAATCGCCAAGTTCTTTCCATTGTTGAATCCGATGCCTCTGGGCATTTTGAACTGGTCGACTCCTTTGATCCCAAGATCTTCATAATTGATCGAATCATCCGCAACAATGATCCGAACGTCGGGATAGACTTCTTTGACGCTTTTAATCAAATTACGAAGGCAGGGATAGCGGTCGAATGTTTTCACGCAGATCGTGACCGTGTCCGCGATGGAGCCACTTTTCGGATCCATCAGAAGAGGTTGTTTTGGGTATTTGATGTCGAGTGGGATTTGGGCCTTGTGAGGACCGTAGCGGATGGTGATGACGTCGGTGGAGCCTTTTGGGTCGTATTTGGTGGATTTGAAGGTAATCGAAGCTGAAAAATGTAAGTTTATATTTTGTCGGAAATATCATTTTTAAAAATTCTAGAGAAAAAATTTGATTGACTAGGTGGTTTTTTGGCAATTCTGATTGGTTGAGGCCGAAATCGAAGTACCAATGTATGAACCAATCAGAATGCTCAAAACAGGCATTTGACCACTCAAAAACTGTTTTTTCAATAATAAGTGATGGATCTACGTAAGATTTATTTTTAGAATTTGGACTGGATTGCCTTTGTCATCCCTTTCTTTTTTTCCGAGATTTTGATTATTTGAGATGGTTTGGTCGAATATAAATTCGCCTGTCATATTCGTTTGGAGCCCGTTCAACATTCAAAATATTCAAACAAAGAATTCCCCCGATCCGCGAAACTTAACCCATGGCCGGAATTAAAACGTTTAACCCTCGCTCTTACCTAAAGCCTCGTTCATCTGCTGCAGCGTGTCGGCGAACAGCGTCACAGTTAAGCTCTCTTCTTCTTGTCGAACGCCGGGAGTTTCTTGCAGCTCGATTTTGCCGTAGTGCGAGTAAATCACCGCGCAGACGACCTCCTGGGACCGCGAGTGACCCGCCGGTCGGCAGGTGCTTGGACCTTCGCTCGAGTTTTTTTCGTCGTCGAAAAGTGGGAGAAGTTCAATTGGCGGAATGGACAGCTTTTTCAGGGGCATGACTTCGAGGCTTTTTTCGGTTCGAAAATTTGAATTGAGAATGAAAAAAGTGTATTTTTAGAAATTTGAAAGTCATCCAAAAAAGTCGAGTTTTTTGAAAATTTGAGTCGGAACTCGAAAATTCTAGAGAGGGACTTCAAAGAGAGAGGACCGGTGGCTATGTTTAGAATTGTCAAAACATCGAGTGAGTGGTCCCTAAGGGCGTAGAGATCGGACCCGGATGATGAAGACTTTTGAGTTTTCGAGTGACTTTTCATGCTTTTGATGTTTCTTTTTTTATAAATTTGTTCATCAGCAATGTTTTTTTTTATAATTTAATCGGGAGCGTCAATACTTGAGACGATCAAGTATTTCCCTGGACGGAAATATTTTCAAAACCGAACCCATAGTAAGGATAAATAATTGGAATGTTCGAAGTGTAAAGAATTGTTCCATCACGAATCGGCGACTTTTTCGACGTCCTAAGTTTCCATTTCTCCAGTTGCGCGCTAAAAATAAATTGAATTTACGAAAATATAGTTATCATTTATTTTGAGTCTTCATATTCGCTGGATTTACGTAAGCAAACGATCAAAAATCATTCATGCATCATAAAAATTCAAAAACTCCAGTTTGTCTGAGAGATGTGGCCTAAACCTGTGATCATCCGTCGCTCGGCCAGGCTAATCACGCAGTAGCGTCGGCGGATTACCAGATCCGGCCCGGAATATCTACGGCCAGCGAATTTACAGTTTTTCTCGAAAACATAGAATTTCGCATTTCCTTCCAGAATTATTTTTTGAAAATTTTCAATTAACGACCGTTTTGGAGGGCGCCCTTCGAAGTTTGGCGACAAATATTTTTTCTGGAATCTGATTGGTTTATCGCCAAAATATCAAAATCTAGTTGGTCTGAAAGTTAACCAAAAATTTGAAGAAAATTATCAATTTTTGAGTCAAAATTTTACGATTCGCGCCTCGCTTACAAAAATAAAAGCCGCCTGCGGCTTTGAAGAGAAAATCCGAAAAGAAAAATTTGCGGCTTTTTTAATCAGTTTGTTTTCATAAAAAATTCTCAATTTTAACTGTAACTTACTTTCTTCTTTTGATAGCATCATCATATGCATCCGCCGTCAGGAAAGAGTTTCCAAAGTAATTCACCTTCAGATCCTTGTTTCCCTTGAATTCGGTCTTACAATCGCAAGTCTCGTCGCCGAAAGATTGCGGGAAACTAAGGAGGCTTCGTGTATTGCGCCTGATGCTTTCATCCGCGGCTCGTCGAGCAGCGGGCTTTTCCGGGAAGTTTTCGAAGTGAAGATTTGCGCCTTTTGAGAAAGTTTGATCAGCAGAAGAATCCTGAAAGGAGATTTCATGGAGAGTTGAAATCGAAATCTCTTTGATTCAAAACTGCGCTTGTTTTTGTGAAAACAAGAATCAAATCGGAAAACACAGATTTTTCAGCCTCAGAACAATTGCCGAACAAGTCGTGTTCCGCTTCCCAAAAATAGATTTACCCGTTTTATGGAAATCCATTATTAAAACTGTTTTCGACTGGAAATAAGATAAGGAAACCGACGCTCGTAATAAGCACAAAACTTGTTTGACTGTAAAAAAAGAACAGTAAGTCTAAATGGCTGAATTCTAGCCGCTGAAATGTGTTACGACTGTTTATACATCTATTTAGTTTACTTTAGATTATAGGCTATAATTTATAGCCGAGACAGCCTTTTGAGGAAAATAAGCCAAAAAGAAATATGAAAATAAAAAATAACGTGTTTATAAACAGCCGCTCCCCCGATGCAGGTTGGAAAATCCTCGTGGGATCGGAATTTTTCACACAAAATCGGGCAACCTGGGAATTTAAGATAGAATTACAGTGAGTCCCTAATAACGCGTGAAGGAATCTCGGTATTAGATCTTGTTAATAAAGGATGATGGAATGTTTTGACTCGAGATTTTGAGAATGGTCATTTGTCAAATGAACAAAATTCTAGTTGAAAATTATTTTCCTTTTTTCACGACAAATTGTCGAATGAAAATGAGGAGGTGGCTCAAACCGAAAAAAGAAGAGAATTTTGACAAAAATGAACGTTAGATTTTTGACCAATCAAATTTCGGTTTTCAGCCGGAAAGCCAATAAGATTTTAAAACTAGAATTTTGATAAAAAACTTATTTTTCTTTTCAAGCTGCCCCCCTGTTTTCAGGAGAAACAATAAAGGCCTCTTGTTAAGGGTGTCACATTGATATTGTTCGCTTACATTAAGGGACGACCACGCAAACAAATAACCAATAATTCCAGGAATAAAAACGCCAATAAATCGTTGAATTATTCTTTCGATCATTTCTTCTTACTGTAGCTCTTCGTGTAGCTCTCTGTATGTTTATTTTGCTCTGTTTTAAAGTACTGTTTTGTTTCACGACAAGTTCGCTTTGGGCTGTGTCATTGTCGCAAAAAAGTGAGTTGATTCTGTTTACACAAAAGATTCAAAAGCGCAAGAAAAAAATCGAGCGGTTAGCGGAATTTTCAGCTTGAACGCGTCGATCGTTGCTCAGGGGCCCCATGAGCGCGCGCGATAATGCTCACCAGCGCCACCTGTTTAGCGCAGAATTTAGACTTGCATGATAACTGGTCGGTTTTGCCATTATTTCAAGCTTAAATTTAATGAAAAAAAAAAGATATTTCTTTTCTCAAAATTAAGGGTATCAACTCGATTTCATAAAAAAAATTTTTCATGGAAATATTGAATTTAGCATACCCTTGATTTTTGCCTTGTAATGATTGCATAACGCGGTTTATGAACTTGCCAAAGTACAAATTTTATAACCAAGGCGTGGTTTATGAAAAAAATTTTTTTCAAACTTTCTTCAAAATGTTTCGGCGAAAAGCGACAAGTGCAAACCGCAGAGGTGTTTTTCGGAATCGCCGCTCGTGATTTGAAAAAACGCTCGACAAATGCCAAAACGATAAACGGTTTAGAATTTTCGCGCAAATGGGATTAGAAAGAAAAAAACGCCGGTGGAAGTCGTTTTTTGAGGACTTTCAGCTTTTTCCAGATTTTTTGTAGCTATGAAAGTGACACCCTTATTTTTAAATGAATTGAATGGCCGAATCATCTGTCGAAAATAAGAAAGAGAGCCCCTTAAGATTCTTCTTCGATCGAATTTATTAAAAAGAAAAAGCCGCTGCTCCGAAAACCGAGCGTGGGACCGCGCGAGTACCGGACGGTAATAGCTGCCAATTACCGCTTTCGAGGCCGATCAATCATCAATTTCTTTCACTAAGCGGCTTTAAATTGATAAAAAAAGTCATTGGTCGACCGCTAGATTCACCGTTTTCCTTCAAAAGACCATTTAAAAAAGTATATTTTTGGGAAAAACACCTTTTCGACCCCTTAAAATCGATCTTTTCAAAACAAAGACTTAATAAAAAACATACAAAATGACATTTTAAACTTAAAAGTACCAGGATCAAAAAGGGCTCTTATCACTGAGTGAAGCACGATAATCTGCTTTCCGATAACAATAAATTTTGGCACTCTCGCTGCCAAAAGCAACCTGTTCCGGAAGCTGCGGAATATTTTTGAAACGCGCGGGAAAGTTTTTGTTCCGGCTAAAAGGAAAACTAAGGCCGCAAGAAAAAGACCGAGTTATTTTGATTTCAACCCAATTTTCTAGTTTTTCTTTTGTCCGAAAATCCGGCTAGATCTTCTCAAATCAACGAGAGAGATGCATATCTTCAATATTCAAGAGCATCGTGGAAATTCAGTTAATCTGGAAGTCGCCCTTAATTTTTGAATTTTACCATGTTTTTATTAAATTTCTGATGAAAATATCAACTGATTAGAACCAGAAAAGGGTGAGAGCGAGCTGCAATTTTCCGCCCTTCATAAGTGTATCGCTGTGACCTTTTTTCTAGCTTCGATAAATCGGTTCATCGCCTGAGAGCTGGGCCTGGCATTCACACGGGCCCGGCCCGTCAACAACTGACGTCCGGCGCATTTGCCTTGTGCTTATCAGATTGGTTTCCATTTCGATTTGGGGATCATTTACTGTTGTATACTCTCCATAAAACAATCTTGGATAAGAAATCGAGAAGCCGCTTGCGGCTTGGAGAAAAAAATTAAGCCGCGCAAAACGCGGCTTCTTATTTCATAGCTCGAAGCCGCAAGCGGCTTCTCGATTTCTTATCAAAGATTGCTTTGAAAAGAAGAAGAGAAACGGATCATTAATTTTCAGAAATAACTGTAATTCAAAAAAAGGAAGAAAGGATGAAATTTCGCGGTTGGGTCTGGTCATGGCCAGTTATCGCGGCGCCAAGATGATGCTTCTCGGGACAACGGCCACTCAAAGCGTGTTTTGACGGGAAGTCTTGTCAATGGCGCTCTCACCAAGTGCCGACCAAGATTCGAAAAATATGATAAATTGACATTTACCAGCAACAACTGCATTGCAAATCTCTTTCTCGCGGATTAACTTGTCTAGCGCTAGAATCTAAGAAAATAACTGCGAAAGATAACAGTGAGCTTAGCTCTCTTGGCCAGCTGGGTCCACTTGCAGGTGTTAGTTAGGCTCATAAAATCCTGCTTAGACGATGTTTTCATTTTTGAGCCCGAAAAATGAAGACTAAAAGTTAAAAAAATATTTTGAAAAATTGAAAAAAATAACCAAAAAAATCCGTATTGAAAATTTTTTGCTTCGCTATCTGTCAATTCTAGAGATAGCAAAGACAAAAGCTTCTTTCTTTGATTCTGTAAGCACGTGATAGCCTGATCAGTAGCTCGACCTGTGCGTTGCTGAATAAGTAGCTCTCAGATGTGCGCGGCGGCGCATAAAATAGGATGAATAATCCACCTGTGCCCGCTTCTTCTGCGGAATTATCCGGAAGAACTTGAAATTTCCGCTTTTTTTTCTTAATTCCAACTTTCGTTTTTCGCGAAATTGGCGTCGATTTTATCTCACGCTTGTTATGAGGACGATTCAGGAAGCGATAAGTGAAGGAACTTTCCCACAATTGGAATGTCCGGGAGAAGGGCTCGCTTCTTGGGCTGATAAAATGTAGCAGGAGGCAATTAAAATTTTGCAAAAAAATGGTCTCAGATGATTTTCTTTTTCACTTGAAAAAGAAGGTTTTCGGGAATGGAATGCAACACTTGAAATATTCGGGTTTTTGTAATATTCGTCCATTTGCTTGGCCGTGCATTATTTGAGCAATACCGAGCTGCGAGGAGGAATGCGCCTGTTTATCGCGTTGGGACAGGTTTGATTAATTGAGAAGCCCTTGCGTCGCGGCAGACCGCGGCATCAACACCACCAACGCCGGTAGCGAAAACGTTGCATTTTTCAACACTGATTGATTTTCAACAATGATTATGATCGAAACGCCCGGCTGCGGTTTTTCAAAAAGTATGGTTTAAGAAGCCTTCAATCAAATGAATTTTTTTTTAATAAAAAAAAGAGCTCAGGAAACCGCTTTTTTAATCAACATGGTCAGGTGATAGCAAGGAAGAGTACAGCATTGCAGATCTAATCGGTGAACGAGCAACTAAAAATAACAGTAAAAAAATCTGCTTTCAAGCGCTAGAATCAAACCTCGCTGTCGTTCGTATGGCAATAGCGTCATTAAATTTCTCCTGTAATTACTGTACATTGCCTCGGAAGCAGAAACGATCGCAAAAAGCTTGAAAAAGTTCATTTTTATTTTTTTTCTCTTCTTGATGATGGGTCTAAGTGAATATCTGGCGCAGCTGTGAGCTTTTATACGAGAAAAATTAATCAACCTTGCGGTTCTTGTTTTGTCAATTATTTTTTAATAAACGACAAAAGCCAAGAAGCGTCATTGAACTAGCACAATAAATTATTGTCAATAATTGCTTCTGTTGGAAACACTCTGACTTTCAAAATTGCAGTTTAATATTCATCAACTCTTGATTTGGAGGTCACAGTGGCAATTTTTCAATAACTGAATCTTGGTCAGAAAATAGAGCTCATCTTCCGAAGTATTTCAGTTATAAATCGCTAGTTACTCAAAATATTGAAATCATAAAATAAACCGATGCTTCATTTTATTGATTTGAACTTTTAAAAACTTAGTCTTTCTATTCAGAATTTACTTTCCGAAGCGAAGATGCCAGAGTTTTCTGTCCTTTTTGATTTCTGGCAAAGATTGTTCGACCAGATTGATGGAAATAAAGCTTCAGAGAATGACATAATTGCGCTTACTCCTGCTAGATTTCTTCTTTTTGATTCAATTGTGGCCAAAGAATCAACAGAAAAAATCTTTGCTTCTTTGGATTTGTATCGAAATGTCAACCAAATGATTGATTCTTTTCCTCAGATCAACTCGATGCTTAGCGGGGAAGAAAAAGATCTCTTCGACAATTTTAGAAAACTGGAAGATGAGCTGTTCAGTTTAGAAAACATCGAAGACATGACTTACGTTCCTGGTGGCTACTCAGGCCTTTATCTCGCCGTGAATATGCGAAATAAGCCAACGAGGTATTCGCATAAACAAGTCGATGAAAGACTCCTGGAAGAGCTCATGAGTGTAGACATGGATAGAGGAACTCCTGCCAGCCACATTTTTGTCGTCGCAGCCTTCAATCATCATTTGGATCTTTTAACAAGCTCCTTTTGGAATAAATGTAATTTCAAGCACGCAATATTTGATTCATCAATTTTTCAGTTTCAATCGACTGGAACTATTCCATCGGGCGGCACACCGTGTTCATGGCGCCAAACGAGTTCATTCGCCGGATTCTCGTCAACAATCCATATTCAAAGGAAGATATTTATCAGCTGGTTCATAAGATGGATGATACGTACTGCATTCTCCTTGATCAAGTGCTCGAAACTGTTCCTTGCTCGAAGGTGTGCGAGATAATTTCAAAGCCAAATCTCGTCGGATACACAAGCGTATTTTACGCAACCAGGATGTGCTATCGTTTTACGAAAATGCTCCTTGACCGGTTACCTGAGCTCGAATTTAATCAAACTTGCTTCTTTGGAAACACAGTTGGACTAATTTTCACGCCCCTCATCGGCCGTATTCTTGAGCGAGGCATGAACCCCTTCATCATTCCAAGATATCGCCGAGTCCCGGAGAACTTCAACTTTGAAATTAAAAATTCAATGTTTGAAAAATACCCAGAACTCAGAGATATTCACGATCAGATTTTGAATCAAAAGGAAAAGTATTTTCTTTCGAGCCAATACGATGTTTTCAAGAAAGAAGTTCATGCACAAGCAGATATGAAGAAGCTGGAGCAAAAATTGGTAACAGGTTATGATAATCAAGCAGAGTTGCAAATTTTGATTATTTTTTCTGAGCTGAGCTGAGCTGACCTGAGTAAAAATTTCTCTGAGCTGAGCTGAGCTGGCCTTTTTCAGAGGTCATTGAGTGGAGCTGAGCTGAGCAGACTTTTTGTTTAAGGATATAGCCTGTAAAATTCAACTTTCGTAGCGGCTAAACGCGAGGTCGGATCTTTTCATTTCAAGTACAATCCTACCTAAAAATGGACGGAGAATTCAATTTTGGTACTTTTTTAAAAAATTTTACTTGAATATTTCTCTCTAGAGCGATTTGAAATCTTACGATCGCGATTCCTCGAAAATTTTTCACTAAATCGGTCGAGTTTTTTGGATAGATTGGTTCTTTAGACCTTTATCTACAAAATTGACGGTTTAGTTTTCTCTAAGTCCGAAAGAAACCGATTTTACAGCCATTTCCATGAGGCTAACTCAGCGCGCAGAAGCTATGAAAAGCGCTGCGCTCGGTGCTCGCTCTCTCGCCTCCTCTTTTCCGGGAGAGCGCGCGTGTTTTTGCGAGCGCTCTGATTGGCTACACGCGATAAAGCGCGCAGGGAAGAAAATCAAAAGCAAGAAAGAGGAGAATACTAGAATGAAAACATGACCGAGTTTGAGAGTTTTATTCCCTCAATTTTCTAGCTTAGCATCATGACAACAGAGAACACGGTTTAATTTTAGCAAATTAATGGAAAAATTTTGAGAAATCGCGATCGTAAGATTTCAAGTCGCTCTAGAGAGAAAAATTTAGGTGAAATTTTTATAAAATATACCAGAATTAAGTTTTTCGTGCATTTTTAGGTAGGATTGCTTTTGAAATGAAAAAGATCCGACCTCGCGTTTAGCCGCTACGAAAGTTGAATTTTACAGGCTATATCCTTAAGAGAGTTGAGCTGAGCTGAGCTGAGCGGACCCTAATAAGAGCTGAGCTGAGCTGATTCAGCTGAGCTGGGATGTTTTTTACTGTCTTTTGGTAGTAAAATCGTATTCAAATTATTGAGCTGAGCTAAGCCAAATGAAAGTTTTCTGAGCTGAGCTGAGCAGAACAGATCAAATTCAAAAAGAATTGAGCTGTGCTGAGTGAAAATTCTCTGAGCTGAGCAGATCAGATCATTTTCCAAAATCACTGAGCTGAGCTGAGCGACTGTTCAGCTCACTCAGCCAGCTCAGCTCAACTCTCTCAGCTCAGCAAATTTGCAACTCTGTAATCAGGATTGCCTCTTACAACATTTTATTCTTCCTGGTACGACATTGATGGCGAAGAAGCAACGCAAAGGATAAAATCAATGCGCTATTTTCCCGGAAAACTTATTCAAAAACAGAAAAACTCGGAGAAGGAGGACAAGGCTCCGTTTTCAAATGTCTCTGGCACGGAAAAAATGCTGCGGCCAAGTTCATCAAAAGCAAAGACGTCGATTTGGGAAAGTATGTCATGCAAAAAGGATCAGGCGGGGATAAGAGCATGGAACAATTCTTCACAGGCCAAGCGTCGGAGTTTTATATAGGATTGAAAATTGACCACCGAAATGTTCTGAAAATGTACGACTTTTTTCTGCAGCATGAAAATGGACTGAATGAATTTGTCATCGTCAGTGAGCTTTGCGAGAAAACACTGCTGCAGGATGAGTTTTCCATGAAGTCATTTATCCGTTATTTTCGAGAGGTTAATAAGACGTATTCTTTGTTGATTTCAAAACAATTTTTTAGGTAAATGCGGCAATCAAAGCAATCGGAGAACAAGGACTTTGCCATCGAGATATCAAGCCGCAGAATATCTTGCTCAAGCGAAACGAACACGGGATATTGTCTGTAAAAGTCGCCGACTTTGGACTGAGTGGATTTTCCGGAGGAACTCCTCTTTACAATCCGCCCGAGTCGACGACAGGATCGATTCCCTTTGCCTCGGATATTTACTCCCTTGGAATAACGATGCTTTTCACGCTCTTTGAATCAGACCTGGCATTCAAGATGTATCTCATGCCAGGTTTGCAAAAAGAGAATAATTAAATCATAAGTTCTTTTTTCTTTAGGAAATCGACCAAATATAAAAAAGAAGTTGGCGAAATTCAACTCCATTTCTTTCATATCAAAGATGATTGCTGATGATTACAAAAAACGCCCAACTGTAGACGAAGTTGATGATTTTCTATGTACAACAGGGCTTTGGGAAATTACTGCAAGTGATAGCATGAAGATCACTAAGGAGGATCTCGGAATATCCAAAGAAATTAATGCCATAACCTCAACCACTGTATTTGATCATCATAATACCCAAAAGTAAAAATAATTAAGATCGGTGGCGATATTCAGCGAAGGGCAGCAAAATTCCAAAATGACGCGTTTTCTACCTTGTTGTTTCAAGAAACAGCTACTAATGCAAACTCCTATTCGACATTCTTTCAAGGAACAACTGAAGTTTCAAAGATGATAAGTCGAACAATCCATGACCAAGTAAGCGCAAGATTTTTTCAATTATTTCATAGTTCAAGGGCGACTCTTTCAAATGCTGGGCTTTTGCGACAGCAAGCATGATTCGTTCATCGCTCAGAGAAGCGATCTTAAATTCGAGGAGGATCGACAACTTTGAGAAGGAAGAACTTCTTGAATCGATAAAGTCAATCGATCATAAGGTACTTTTAGTATACCTAGATAATGATTATGCAGAGTGCTCAGCTTCTCCGTTCGGAATTGATGATGAATGTTATTCCTACAAAAGTCCATGCAAATTCCGAAGAAATTCAGTCGGCGATGCTTCATCACGTCATGAGAAGACTCACGGAGCCGACTCTGCTCCAGAAAGAAGGTCAGTAGACAGTCTACACACACACGTAGGATAATAAAATACCAAGGCATCTTCATGCTTGGCTGTCTGCGAGGAATATTCAAAAAGCTTGAGCCCTTCGAGGTGAAGCTGAATCTCTTTGCTCATCCAACCGACTACGATCGATTTCCGGTTTGATTTTCTGACCCGTATAGGATTTAATTTGTTCTCTAGAAGAGTTTATCAGAAAGTGGCGTGGTTGGCGACTTCATCAATGCGCTTGAGGAGAAAAAAGTCCTCGTTTGCCCTGTTAGGTAAAAAAACAACGCAGATAAAAAAGTACAAAAAACTTAGGATGGGAAAATCGTCAATCAAACACGCAATGTGTCTATATGGATTCAACGAAGACTCTGATTTTTTGTTCAAAAACACGTCAAATGAAACGAAGACCATTGCGATTCCACTGACAAAAGGCGAGCCTAAAATTGGATATCACATCTGTTTTCAAGAAACGGTGAGCAAAACTGCGCCGCAATAAATTTCCTCAATGAGTACCATATTTCATCCTTGGTTAGGGCAGTCTGCGTTGTCTTTTTCTTTGAATCTGCAGCCCAAATTATCATGTCTTTTCATCATATTTTTCCAGACAAGGTCATTTACTCCACTGCAGTTAATCGATGGTTTAATCAAACAACTAATCACCCTCCTTTCTTCCTTAACTACGACTTGATTATGAGGTGCTTAGAATAAGAGAATTTTAAAAAAGCAGCAACTGAGAAAAAGCATGAATTTTTCGGATTTGGATCCCTGCAGCGGTAACTTTTTGAGTTTTAAATCAAGGAAGACACTTTTTTAGGAAATGACATGGCCGTCATCGACTATGATTTCATCGCGAAATCGGTGATTTCTGTCCTCGGAATCGCAGCTTTTATTGGAATTGGCGGCAACTTCTTCATATTGATTGTTTTGAGCTATTCTAGTTCAAAGAACCCTATCAGCATTCTTCTCATTAACTTGGCCGTGGCAAATATCGTTTTTCAAATAATAGTTTTGCCTTGTCAAATTGCCGTTTACTGGTTCCCTTATTGGAAATTGGGCAGAGTGTTGTGCAGAGTCTCGTTTTTTACCGAAGATATGGCCTCATCTCAGGTACAAAATCTTGATTTTGCCTTATTATCGACAAACATCAAAAACCATAAGCAATGAAGGAATTCTTTTATAAATAATATTTTGCGACTCATTTCCCTTTTGATTCCTATCAACTAAGTTTTTTCGCAACAGTGTTAGTGTGAGCAGCAGTCGATTGTCATCTACATTTACCCATTTAATATCAGTCCGCATTCATCCTTGTCCTGATCGCGCTTGACCGGTTCTTATCAATCGTCGGCGTCAACGGAAAACATAGAAGACTCCCCAACCCAACACTCCTCGTCACAATTTGCTACATCGTCTCAATCTCCGGCGCTTTTCCAACCTTCCTCGGAGTCGATCAATTCGAATTTTCCCTCAACCAAACCTCCTCTGGGCAAAAGTACTGTGGTCCTGTTGTGGAATGGTTCGAACGAGTCAGACTCATCAGGACAATTTTTTGCTTCTTTTTGCCGGTCATTTTCATAATTATTTGCTATATTCCGGTTTTGAAGAAAGTGAGGGATCATTTTACGACGATGGAAAAGAAGAATGTTTCGGGCAATAATTCTAGACCGAGGAAAAAAGTGCTGAGACTCATTGTCGGACTGATGACCTGCTTCGTCTTATCATGGCTGCCTTATCACATCGGGAAGATCATCAGTCACGTGGTTGATCCAGAAAAACTCGTCTGTAGCTCCTTTCACCTTTACTTCGTCATTCTATCCCAATCAATGGCTCAGATCGGCGGCTGCTTCGACCCAATAATTTATGAACGGCTTCTCATAAACGCTCATCATGAACAAATTACTTTTTGCAATTGCTCTTTCTAAAAAGCCAGATGATTAGTTTTTCTCATCAACAGAGTTTCAAAAAGATATCAGGAAAATATTAACCTGTCAGCTGTCTGGAATATCTAATTTTTCATCTGGTAAAGAAAAAAATAATCAGTTCACGTGGAGAATCATTTCTTTTTAGAGTTGGAGAATGGTTGCTACGAAAAACGACGCCTCTTCAGTAGAATCCGGAGTAGCTTCAGTAAGGACATTCTTTTCTTTCGAATCTGACAGTTACTTCAAGATGCGATGATGTCCCCAATAATCACTCCCTTCCAAAGTCGAAGAGACTCTGCCCCAAAGAAAAAGCAAGAAACCCCGCAATATGGCAGAGTTCTCTCCCCAATCGGTAAGCTCATCCCGATAATTGGTCAACTTCATCATCCTTTCTCAAGATTGTCATTCTGCAAGAGCTTCTCCAGAGGGCCCTAGAACCCCACCAAGGCTCCTGTCGATCAAAAAGACTATCACGAGGACAGAAACAGAGGTCAAAGTCTATGAAGTACAAGCAGATGATCTTCAAAAATATGAACAGATTTTGAAATCTGATCTGTAAACCAAACACCATAAAATACGAATAAGTCGTTTCAATAAATTTTTTTATCACTGTGAATGATCGATAAATAAAACTAAGCGGCATTTGTACTCTAGGCGACCTTACCCGGGAACTACTTATGCTATTATAACTACTATTTATGGCTACTGTAACAGCTAAGATACATATCTTCAATTCGGAACGAAACCGTATAAAAGAAATTTGTAATTATTAAAACAGGATAAACTCTTTATTGTCCAATATTTACAGAAAAATGAAAGAGATAAGTCTTGTTCTATAGACAGAGAAATTAAGCATGAAAATATACAGAGACTAAGAGTATTCAGATTGGGGAATTATGTAACAGGGAGGGAAAAAAGCTTGAGGTTTGAAAGCATCTCACGTTTTGTCAGGGCGACTGAAGCAGGCTTTTCTTCTGACATCTTGCAACGTGCTTGAAATGGATAACATCCGGCCTTTTGACGATTTAAAAGGGATTACATAAAAGTCGATGAATTTTGACAAGGGATTTGAAGAAATCAAAGACCGTTTCTTCTACCACAAAAATTTTCATTTTGCATTTTATCCATTCCTGTTTTTGTTGAAAATCATTAAATTTACATCACCAGATTCTTGTTTTTCAAAGATTCGAGCTTTTCACTTCTCCAATTGAACCAAGTAAGCCATCTTTTCGGATGATCTGGGTTTCTTCGCCCGTCATTACGACAAAGGTCATCCTGTCGCTCGATAACTTTCATTAGAATCTCCATTATTTTCGAAGTCGTAGTCGCAGTTTCGATTTGAATTCGGTAGAGGGAGGGAATTTCGGATGATTCAAGGGCGGCTCCTTGCTCAATCGCGCATTTTCGAAGTTTTTCCTGAAGAATAATTTTTAGGGATCATAATTTGCTTCTAGATTGAGAAAATTTGTATTTTTCCAAATTAAACGAGACGGAAAAAATAAATTTGAAAGAAAAAAAATTTCATTACTAAGGGGAAAATCTTATTTTTATTGACCATGAAATTTTATAACATCGTCGGGGTAATTGAATTTCTAGAGCTCCTTCTAAGACGAAGCAAATAAATCCCCATCGTTTTCATTCACTTCAAAGAGCCAATTTTGATTCTCTGTTATAAACCCAATCTTAGAAAACGTACCCCCTTTTGAGAAAATGAAACGTGTTTATTATTAGTTAATTTTGAGGACCTCTCACTTTCTTAAGCGTTCTTTCTTTCTTTATTTCTTATCAGATTTGAATATTCCATTTTAATTGCCGATCGGACGGCTTTTTTCCCCGCATTTGTTTCTTCAGTTACGTTTTTTCTCGATCTTTTTTCTATCAGATTTTAATTGTTTTTAAGTTCGCTCGAGCCCCAGAAAGAAGTTTAGCAAAAAACACTGATTGACCAATAAGCGAAGTCGGAGTACAAGAATCCAATTATCCACCTGGGGCTGATCCGTTAATAACTTACCTGTCGATCTTTATTGTCGAACACGTTCTCCACAAGAGTCGCAAATTTGGCTATCAGTCGACTGAAAACAAACGTTAGTTTTGACTCAAAACTCAGATGGACACCTGTAGAGTTTATTCAGATAGATTTTCACTTTATATATATTTAATTGGCTATGATTTAATTTGCCTTTTAGATAATGCAGCTAATAACAGCAAAGAATTAAACTTTGGACAACAATACCTAGGCTCTAGAATTAATACAGTCACGTTTTTCGATTGGAAATTGAATCAGAATGGTTTAACCTTTGGAGCCTTTTTTCATCCTTGACCAATCGGCGGATCAAATTCTCGATCCCCGGTAATGCCAAAAATGATGTTTTATAAACCATCATTATTGGTCAAAAAAGGCGACGAATTCCATAAACTAATAGCCTTCTGAAAACCTTGTTCAACCAGCCCTACTGACTATCAATTAGTAGCTCAATTGAGGATTGAGAACCACTCTGAACAAATCCCCACTTTGAAAAACAGTCAAAGCCTGGCTTGACTCCTCAAGCTGTTAATAATCGAGAGAGATTTGTACTCTTACCTTCGAAACGTTTTGTTTCCAGCTTTTTGTTGTCTCGCGCTGATGAGTCTTTCGTACTTGTGATTGACCAGTTCGATGAAGCCGAGTTCGCTTAATCGGTTTCGTTGCTTACCTCGATTCTTACCTTTATTTTTCTGTCTTCTTCGGGGTTCTAGAGCGAGTTTTCGAGAGGAAGGATTCAGCGGTCCGAAATCTTCCGTTGTTGGATTTGAGGTAGTTGTCGTCGTCGTCGATGTCGTCGTCGTTGTCGTTGTGGTAGTCGTCGTTGTGCTTGTGGTCGTTGTTGTACTTACCGTAACAGGCCTCCAATGCATTTTAAAACCATAATGCCCGCCGCTAAATCCATCAAAAAACACTCCAAATTGCCGCGAATCAATCTTGGTCCACTCTTGATACGGATTCTCCCCGCAGAAGACGCTCAGCATATCGTGACCAGTGTAGACTTGAATATTGTCGTACAAGCAATCTTCTGTCACTTCGAGCTTTTGGGGGGATAGAGCGCGGTTAATGGAACATGAGATGAGGGAAAATGTTCACATTGGTAAGAGGATGAAAAAATGATGGGAAAAAACGGGAGTTTCTTTTGGTGACTTATTTTTCTAGAAAAAAAAGGATTCTGAAAGCTTTGAAAAACTCAACAGGCTCTATAAAAATCAGGGCTGATGTGGTTTAAATTAGGTAAAGAAATACGATTCGATTACGGGCAGAGCGGTTGCCGGATGAGCGGTCGGACTTGGTCAGATCGCAGCGGGAGCTTATCGGCCTGCATACGTTGCCGATGTGGTCATAAACTGATTAGAATACATCAAAACGAAAAGAACTTTCGTTTTTTGAAAGGTTTTTTGAGAATGATAAGAACCCGCCGCGGGATTATCTGTTCGACCAAAAGCTCTGGGTACTCACACACACAGGGGTAGAAACAGCTGGTTGTGGTACAATTAGGGGGTACTATCATGACTCATGCGTGGCGAGGGGGACGAAGATAAGGAAAGTTCAAGTTGTCATTAGGGGTTCAAGGGACATCAAATAATGAATTCAAAAAAATTAAGGCCTTCTCGATAGTTAACTCGATTTTTAGGGGTTCACTTACTAGGGGGTATCTTAAGAAATTGCTTCAGCTCTCAATTTTCACCCTGGAAATTTTCGAGGCGAAAATGCGAATTGAACCCTTTTCCCCGCCACAAACTGACTTGGAGCTGTCAGTCTTTGATTTGATGTCTCTCTGATAGCTTTGAAGCTTTCTTTTAACCTTGTTCCGCTAGTGTCACTTTTTTGTCACTTGGTCGGTTCTCTAACCTCTCCTGAAGTCTCGAAACGCGAATTTCGATCTCTTCGCTGGCCGTCACGTTGTACATGCAGCTTTTTCAATGGTCAAAAATCTGATCGAAAAATTAATTGAGAAATTAGCAAAATTAAGGGATGAGTGTGGAGGGCGGAGGGAAGAATGAGAAGTAATGAGATTCGAGGGCAGAACCTCTTGACCGGAAATTATGGAATCAGAATTCTAAAACACGTGGCTAAAAAGCCTTTTTAGAGGGGAACATAAGTTTCGAATTTTTGCAATTCAAAAATCGGAAGGGGGTTATTTTAACAAGTTGTTACTTGTTGGTAGTACCAACTTGGTACTGATAACTTTTTAGCAAGTAGCTTGTTTAGGAATTCGAATATTTAGGGGAAGTAGATAGAGGTTCAAACGTAATTCTAAGCTGATAAACTAGGGGTTTCAATTTCTAGAGCTCTAAAGAAGAGCCGAAGAATATCGATTTTCATGTTTTTTTTCAAACAATTAACACATTTGTTTCCTTATTGTTCTTGAAAAGAGGGTAACTTATATCGCCTTTTATTTTGAAATAAATAAGGGTGTCAATGCATTACTTTTCTTTTTGAAAAAAAAAACTTAAAAATCAATATTTTTTTTATATTTTACGAAATTTCAGAAAATAAAAAAAATATATCAAAAATGAAAATTTTCATTTTGACCACTTTCCTAGTTCTGGCCATATAAGGATGCTCGCTTTCAAAGTATCCTTCATCGTCAAAACTGAGTCCGCACTGCGTTGGAATCGCTCCGTAGTAATTGTAATTGTAGTACGAATCGTAGTTTGAAAATAAATCGTCGTAATCCACTGGAGCTGTTCACACGTTTAATCAAAATGCGCTTATTATCGAAACATGCGGCACGCGCGAAAAGTCCACCCAAATTCCACGTTTTTCGATGCAGTTCTAGGGGCTCTGCTGGGGCAGGAAAATAAACACGGGCGGGGATCGCTAGTATTTCTTTTTATTAAATTATTTGTGATGGAACTACTAATTTGATGCTTTTATAAAAGATAGACACGATGTTCAAATTGACGAGTGAATAATTAATTATCATTATTTTGGAAAAATAAATTTGACAGAGGATACGCAAACTGTGGCGAAAACTGTTATAAAAAAGGCTCTATGAAAAGCCGCGTAGCGGCTATTTTAAAATCGAAGCCGCGTAGCGGCTTTGCCTGATTCTCTCAAATTATTCAGAGAGTACTTTTTCAAAGCCGCTCTGCGGCTTTCTTCTCAATAAAGCCGCTACGCGGCTTTACAAAAAGCTTTTTCAGGACCCTGATTAAAGTTTTCTATACACGGTTTCGAGCCAAAAAGTTGACTTTCTGCTCTTACTGCAACTTTATAATTGACCCCTTCTTTAAATTTCAAATTGATAAAAAGAAAGAAGAAGAAAAGAAGAAAAAGTTTCTCAGCGCTAAAAAAGTCAGTGCGCCGAGTACGAGCTGGGATCAGGTCGCGATTATGCGTCATCGGCTGCTCCGGTTTTTAAAATAAACCACTTTCGACCGACTCGATGAAAATGAGCTTAGATCCTCAACGGAACCCACTCTAGTTCCTCAAATATTTTAATCATAAATCAAGCATCATTTTCGAAGACTCGAGTCAAAAAATCAAAACGTCAGCGATACCTTTTTTAGATTACAGATCATTTTAAGTAAATATAAAATTAAACTATTGGAGTCTTCCGTGAAAAATATGCAGCGCCACGTAAAAAACGGGCGATTTTATTTATTATAGCTTTCGTGAAACTAACCGCCCTGTTCAAAAGGTTATTTTTACGTAACTAAATGGCCAAATCATCTGTTCATTTATATCAACACACGTAAAGTGTTCATCTTCAAGCGATTACAGTCAAAATTTTTCGAATAAGGGTTGATCCTTCCTTCGACGTACCGGTCTAGGTTTTGAAAAAATTAAGGTTTTGAGGAAAACAAATTTTTAAATTTTAAGGTTCACCAGTTCCCTCGGAATAAAAGAAGAATTTTTCGAGTCGAAACTAGAAATTTTTTAGCTGGCCTCACATACCGACAAAAAAATCGATAAATTTTGCGTGGGCGGGTCTCGATCGCTGATTGGCCGATCAGCAGAATCCGGGCTTCTTATTGGTTGTAAATTTCGACGCAAAATTTGTCGAAATTTTGTCGGTTCTGACCACTCCCCATTTTTTCTAGTCAAAAATTTCTTTAGTCAAAAAAGTCAAAAATGAGTGGCTCCTTTAATTAATCCCTTTCGTTATTATTTTTTTGATAAACGCGTTCCTTCATTTGTCTTTCCACCTGTACTCCCGAGAGTAAAAGTCGGCACTGCTTCTGTCGATTTCAAGCCAATCAGTCCAAGCAGAAAATTCAGCGCTGCGGATCTCATCTTCTCTCTCTTTCAAAAAACAATGATCGAAATAAAATAATCTTCAATTTTTTTAATTTTTTTTTATATTCAAATTCTGAAAATTGTCAAGTCGATAAAATCGAAGAGGAAACTATCATGAGCACTCACGATCCCGCGCAGCAAATAGCGCCACCTGGACCCGATAGTGCGCGCACACTTAGCGCAATTTTCATGTTTTCGGGGTAGAAGTTTTTAAATAATTGGAATTATGGAACACTTTTTCTTGAAAAAAAATGGGTACCCAAAATGACGAGATGTTTTGTGCTGAAAATTCTTATGAAAGTAGTTAAAATAAGCTGACTAGATTCGGAAAATTAAGGTTTTTTCTTGAATTTTTTCTTAATTTCGGGAGTTCACATCATCTGAGAGGGAAGCCTGTGCAAAAAACCTGAGTCAGGATTTTGAAAGATTTTTTGACGCCGCGGAGCGGCTTTTTTTTTGTTTAGCCGCGAAACCGCTTCCCAAAAACTAACAAAATTTCTTGAAAGAACATTTTAATAAAGCCTGACTCAGGTTTTTACACAGGTTCGCGAGCCTATCTATCGATTTTTCGAGAAAGAAGGGGGTCTACCGCAAATTTTGGGATCCGTGAAAATGCAAGTTAGCTCTAAAAGAAGCCGTCGTGGAAAATCTGGAATTTCCGCACGTGGAAGAGAAAAACAAAACCGCCGGGAAATACGTAACATATATCGCAGAAGACGAGAGCAAAAATAAAATTAGCTTCGTGCTTCCGGATTCAAACTCGATTTCGAACTAAGATTCTTTCCAACTCGATTCTTCTTGAGTAACATAAGCTTGTTATAAAGCCTGTGAAATAACCTTTACTGCACCTTGAATTACAGTAATTTACTTTCGAGCAAGGCGAAATAATTTTCGAGAAAATTCGAGAAATTCGAAAAAAATTCGAGAAATTCGAGAAAATTCGAGAAATTCGAGAAAAAAGTTTTAATGAAAAATGAACAATTTGAACACTTTGTTCATTTTTCCTTTTAAAAGGAGGCGATAAGAACTTTAGACGACGCTAGAACACGTTTTGGCAAAACAATCGCTTCTGGCAGATCGGACGTGTACCCGGCACTATCGCACTTGTAGTCCATATTTCTTTTCGTCGAATATTTATTTTCTCAAAAAGATAAGCCGTAATGGACCCTCACTTTTATTCAATTTATTTTGTGACACGCAGGCTTCATGGTGAATGGCAACGAAAAGTACAATTAAACTCGCACTGTCTTCTCCACAAACATCTTCTTCAAAACATAAACTTAAAGAATAAACTCAATTTTTTGTACGACTTGAACTAACAGTAAGCTTGGGTTAGGGATAAGGTTAGAGTTAAGGTAAGAGTTAGGGTTTGTGTTAGGGTTAGGGTTAGGATTCTTTTTAGCCCATCAGAGTCAATGGTAAGCTTAACTTTTTTCAGCCAATCAGGGGCCAGAATTCGGCTTAAGTTATTTTCAACCAATCAGAGGCCAGTATTATTTCCATCAACCAATCCCAGGCAAGCTAACCCAAGCCTAACCCTTATCTTACCCTACTGACATCACCCCCTTAATTTTCGCCCCCCCCAATGAACTTACCTTGAATGAATGGAATGATTATCAGCAAAATGCTCTGAATAATGCTGAAATTATCAATGTACTCTGCATTTTGTTGAACCAAGTGCTCATCGTATCCATGCTTCGCTCTTAAAAAATATTTCTATTTCTAAAAAGCGATAACTCCATCTCTGAGAATATTCTTTTTCGCAATTTTGTGGCGTGGTGAAACACTTATCGCGGATTCTGAAGAATTTGGCATCATTATTTTTTGCATCGCTTACCTCGATGCTAGAATGATTTTGAAGCATTCAAGCCATTTGATTTTGAAATTCTTGCATCAATAGACACTCGGCTCAACATCGTGGCCTCAAGTAGAAAGAAAAATAAAAAAGGTAGAGGCATGCTGTACCGAGTAAATAATCCGAGTGCTATCGATTTCCTTGAGAAGGCTGAGGAAGGTTTCTGTCTCGTCTTCCGAGTCGGATAAATTTTCTTCGTTTCTGGATGGTTTTGCTGGGTTAAATCTTTATGGGCTCGACAAATTGACCATTTCAACTCGTTTCTTCACCAAAAAACATAGCCGATTTCAAGCCTCGGGGCCTGTTTCAGCACAAAAAGTGCCAAGCGATCGGCAACAGGTTAACTAATTCATTAACCTGTCAAAAAAATCATTTTTGAAGACGCTGTCTAGTAGACAGGGTGACTTTTATGGTCTATGTTTAAGGGGTTGGTGGTCGAGAAAAAGGATTTTTTCAGCCTAAAAAACTCAATTTTTTCAAGAAAAATTTTTTTTTGTTCTCAATCTTAATAAGTTGTAAAGGGTTGAAATTGTGTGGGTGGCTTGGTTTTAAAAGAAATTAAAAAGGAAAAATGACCAAATCTAGCGTCAAATCGACCTGAAATCGCGGTTCTTGCTATTTTAGTCGACATTTTTCGATTTTTGGTCATTTTTCGCCTTTTTTTGAAGCCGATTTCCCTGCACCATGATTTTGACGCTAAAAATAGGTTGTTCGAGAAAAAAAATTACTGTAAGTTCATAAAAAAACTATAAGTTAACGCCGAAAATTAAAATCATTTTATAATTCTCGACCAACACCCCCTTAATATATTTTCAGAATAATCGCCCTGTAAACATTTGTGTATATAAACAAATTTCTGCATAAAACTTGCCCTGTCAGTTTTTCTCACGTTTTTAAACACATAGCTATGAACCAAATTGCCGAGCCCGTGCATCTATCCGACTTGATTTCGATCGCCATTTCGATCATATTCCTCTTCATCGAGAAAGAATTGAGCACGCAGAGCGAATAGTACATCGGTTCGAGGCCCGTTTTGCTGAACTCCACCGCTTTGCCTTGTTTGTTTTGGGTAAGCACCTTCACGATTCCCCCTTTTTATTGCTTGAGAAAGAGAACGTTAATTGCTTTCATGTTAACACGCTTTGTTTTCATCCAGGTGTCCAAAGAACGGTTATCAAAAATAATAATAAAACAGGTTATTATTATAAATTGTTCTTCGATTTTTCGATTGAGCACTTGGCAATTACGCTATATAAAGAAAATCACCAAGCTATACAGCCCGACAAATCTCTTTTTCAAGCTTTCCTGCAACGTCTTTTCGCATAGTCACCATACTCGTCCCTTCAGACATCAGCTGAACATTTACTGAAACATGAAATTATGAACGCCCTGGTTTACAGAGAAAAAAAAAGAAGAAGAATTGAAAAATGTATTCAAAGCTGGAAAATGATTTGAAAATATATCGGGTCTGTTTTCTGAACAAAAAGACAAAATGAGATTTTTGTGAGATTTATGCAATTTAAGGGTGTGGCGGTCTAATTGAATAAAGAGAGAATTTTCGGAAAAAATATTTTATAAAAATATGCAGTGTAAAAATATGTTAATTTAAGGGGGGCAAAATTAAAATAAACCCTAACCCTAGAAATACCGGTTAAAATGGAGGCTTTCGATTTTAACCACGTGATTGAATGATAGAATACGTTTTAATTTTGTACGTGGAAGTCAATCAGAAAAATATAACTGTTCGTTAATTGTCATTTCCTAACGTGTTTGTAAAACAAGACTAGACAGTTTCGGAAATAGACTTACACTGATAGTCCGGCTCCAACCAAATATAGTGGCATTTTAGACCCTTGTCATCCGAGTTTATCAAATATACTCCCAATATTTATCATAAACTCTAATTAACTCTGAGAAACTCAGTGAACTTTCTTGATCGATAATCTTCTTTCCATCGGTGAAAAATGATCGGGTTCGATTTCGATAATTTGTCAAAATCATCAACAGATCCAGAAGCCGTAAATATCAAAAAATGAATGAAGACGCGCATACTTATTATTTCTCTTTTACAAAGCGTTGTATTTATCGAGCTCCTCATTCAAAATCCTGCCATTTAAACAGAATTACTACTCAAACAAAACGTTTGGAAACTGTTCCAGCGCCAGAAAAGCTCGTACAGACCATTTTTTTTTATTAAATGAAAACGGTTATTTTTAAGACTCGAAGAAAATAATTGTTCAAAATTATTCATTATAAGAACCTTTCTTACAAAGTGTTTTTTAAAATATTTTAATAATTATTTCGATGAAATAATAAGATTTATTTTAATAATTATTTTTTAATAAATAAATAAAGAATATTTTAACAATTTATTTAAATATTTTTAAATAACTATATTAAATAAACAATCAGAAAAAACACCTCTTATTTCTAAAAAAAATGAATACACTCTATTAATAGATCTACTTGTTAGCACGATGTCTCAAAACAATCCAACAAATCGACATCGTGTAAAAAAATCGAAATTGGACTTATTGAACGAGCTTCTCCACGTTTTTCCAAGCTCTTTCTGAGCGAGGGCCCTTTGCTCTGAGCGGAAAAACGTCCGAAACTCATCCCCAAATCCCTTTGTCGTAAACAAGGAGCGCACTTTGTGAGCCAGCTGAATTCAATTATTGGAAAACAATAAACCAAAATACGCTTTCGAACAATTGATATAAATTAATTCTTTTCCTGAGAAATTGACCCTGAACGGATGTTGCTAAGAAGCAAGAAACCTGACGATTTTGATCTTTGACAGCTTTTCGCAGGGTTTTGTCGTCATTTCTGGCCATGAATTCTACAAATATGAAAGCAGTCTTGGCGGGTAGCGGTCTGACCTGTTTTCAAATATTGAATTTTTGAATTATTTTGGCTCATGGGTCATGATAAATATTAAGTGCCGAATATATGTCCCCTCTCCTATAAAAACGTATCTGCACTTTGATTATGACAGTTATCCAAGATGGTATTAGCCTTTATTTTGACATTTTTCACTGCCTCAACGAGTTCAAAATTTGCAGATATGTGGCAAGGTAGTTCTGTTATTAATTTGAATGTGAGTTTTATTAAATCAAAATTAAGATTTGATTTGGGCTCGCGAGGAAACAGATCACTGGCTGAGAACAATGAATAATGCTGACGACTTTATCAACCGTAATTTAGATTAATTCGTTTTTAAATGAGATCTCATACTTAGTATTCAGATGATTCATCACAACGAGGAAATTTCTTACAGAACTCCGTTCCGAACCGATTCAAAAGAATAACCTATGAATAAAAAGAAAAAAAGCGTTTTGAAATTATTTTATGAGATGAAGCACCGATATTATCTCCGATATCCGACGCCGCTGAACCGACCTATCGAATTGAGATATTTTGTTGTCAGTCATTTATTTGAAAAAACAAAGAAAAACTCATTTTACGAGGCATAAACAAGGCTGTAATACAAAATGAAGATGTCTGGAAAATAATATCCCAGAAAGAGATTTGGTAAATGCTCCAGAGAAAGTTAGACAAGAACACGATTTTGATTCAAATTGGCGAAAATGGATTGGGAAGAAAGTATCACTCCTTTCTTCTGCGCAGAGTATTTTTGCTGTTAGCGATTTTATGCTTTATCTCGGTCGGCTGGTTCTTTGCCCGCGGAAAACTCATTGTCGGATTTCAAGTTCGACTTGAAACTGGTCCCGAAAAAGTATCTCCGAACGGAAACAAAGAATCAAATGAAATCGACTACGATGCGACCCCAGAACATTGCGTTCGACAAAAAGAAAGGGCATTCTTGCTTTTCTGGGCAAAAAAATTAGATTTATTTCGCAAAGCCCATTGAAGAACGACTCTACTTTTTGAAAACCCACAAAACAGCGTCATCTGTTATTGAAAATATCCTCTACAGATATGGACTGCGAACGAACAAGACCTTTGGCTTTCCGTTGAATGGGGCTCTTATCTTTGACTACCGAAAGCCTTTTTCAAAAAGCATGATGTTCCCCTTGCGTGACGGAAGTCGCCCAGATATCTTGCAGCAGCACACGAGATATTCAAAGGAGCTCGCGGATATCTTTCCAAAATCCGACTCTTTCAGAATAACGATTTTTAGGTTAGTGAAATTAATGCTTATTTTCATTCTTTATGCAACCAGAGACCCAGGGACACTTCTTCCATCGCTGTTCGAATACTTTCCTCGGAATCCGCCTTTCAAAGAAGCCAAGACTGTGGAGAACTTTATTTCGTCGCCTGAAAAATACAGGTAATCCCTTTTCTTTTGAAGGGAAATATATCTGATTTTAGTAGTGTTGGTGCTGCCGATTTCGTGACACGGAATTCGATGACTTTTCAAATGGGATTCGAAAATTTTTTGAAATCTGAACCGACCGATGAGCAAATCGCTGAAATCATTTCGACAGTAGAAAACGACTTCGACCTCGTCTTGCTTTCCGAGTATTTACCACAATCGCTGATTTTGCTGAGACATCTTTTGTGTCTGAAGTGGAGCGACATTGCAACCATGTCCAAGAATATTTCCAAACGAAAGCATATTGAGGAAAGTGTGAAGGAAAAAATCCGACGCTGGCAGAATGTGGATATGAGAGTTTACGAAGCGGCGAACAGAACACTTTGGCAAAAGATTAGAGATTTTGGCGAAGAGAAAATGGCCACGGAAATGAGCATTCTGGAGAAAATGAATAGCGAAAATGCCGAAAAGTGCGTCAAGGGATACCGCCCGGTGAAAGAACTGGCCGTCGAGTTCCGTGACTACGAGCCGCCAGGACTGACCATCGAGGGAATCGACCTGAAAGACGGCTACTCAGATGTTTGCTACGACATTGCTTTGTCACCTTTTGCTCTGGCGATTGATATACTTGATAAACAATGTCAAAGCTCTCACGTAAGAATACTTGCGACAATTTCATAAAAAATTTTAGTTCTTGCGAAAATACATGAATATGGAAGACAGACCAAAGCGATTCAAAACTGATTGTAAAAAATAAATCAAAAAAGGACTTTCGAATTGAAAAAAATGAACTTTGGACCTCGGTAGAGAAAGATGAGTGAATGCAGAAATTTAACCCTGGCTCGTCAGGCGCGCATTTTAACAAAAAACGTTGCGCCATAACGGCTGCATTCTAGTTAGAGAAAATGAAATCTGCGTTAATTAGGTTGTACCACCGTTATTCTTTTATTTTGGCAAATAAAAGGGAAGATGAAAATTATGATTATACGCTCTTATCGTTTGCAAATTATGAATCAAAAGCAAAATGCGTTTCATTTGAATAATTATGGAATAATGATTTGAACGAAATCGTTGTTGTCTCATTATTTCCTATTTATGGCCAATCAGTTGAGCTATTTTGTTATTTTGCTTGTCACAAAACATCTTTTACCTTCTACTTATTCCCTCAATAACTCATTAAAAGGTTGAATAACGGCAACTTCGAGTGGTTTCACGTTTTTTGTTTTCACCGAGCGCACTCTTTGTTTTTACTCAAGTCAGTTGAAATTAACTCCACGTTAACGCCTATTGTTACCGTAAATATGAATTAAACGAGGGAGAGGTTGAGTTCCGGTTCCATCAATCAAAAAATGAAAGCGAAAGTTTTTGAGATATTTTTATTCTATTATTCTCTCAAAAAGTCAGTCAGTCACTAGAATTAAGTCTATTTACAGTGAGTATAAAAGTGAGAAGAAAGATAAGGAAAAGGTTTTGTTTCGCTTGGTCTGTTCAAAGTGTTGTTCAAAAATCGGTCATCCAGTGCACGCGATAGATCATTTATCGTCGTCGTCGGGATTTCTTGGATTTGTCGGGCTTGTCAGCTGGGGCAGCATCGGGTCCGGCAGCGGCGTCGGGAGCTGGGGGACCTTGTCCGGGAGCGCCAAAAGCTTGGGGAGCTGGGCCAGGGCCGAATCCTCCTGGGCCACCTGGTCCTCCGAATCCAGGACCGCCGGGGCCGCCGGGGCCACCAAAGCCAGGGCCGCCGGGGCCACCAAAACCAGGGCCGCCTGGACCGCCAAGGCCTGGGCCGCCTGGACCACCGAGACCAGGGCCGCCGGGACCGCCAAAGTCAGCAGCATCCTCAGCTGGAGGAGGGCCAGCAGGGAAACCGCCAGGGAATCCACCTGGGAAGCCACCGGGGAAACCGCCGAAGTCAGTAGCATCACCCTGAGGAGGAGGGCCAGCGGGGAAACCACCAGCGGGGAATCCGCCAGGGAATCCACCGAATCCACCGGGACCGCCAAAGTCAGCAGCGTCTTCAGCTGGGGGAGGTCCTGCTGGGAATCCACCGGGGAATCCACCAGGGAATCCACCTGGGAAACCACCGAAGTCGGCAGCGTCACCTTGTGGGGGAGGTCCAGCAGGGAAGCCACCAGGGAATCCTCCTGCGGGGAATCCACCAGCAGGGAATCCACCGAAATCAGCGGCATCGGCGGCGGGTGGGGGGCCGAATCCTGGGAAGCCACCTGGGAATGGGAATGGAGATGGGCCGAATCCCTGAGGAGCTTTGGGAGCTTCTTCAGCGTTGTCGGTCTTGTCGCCTTCCTTTGGAGGAGCGGGGAAAGCGCCGGGGAAAGCACCAGGGAAAGCACCGGGGAATCCGCCGAAGAATGGCTGAGCAGCGGGAGCAGCGGCTTCAGCGTTATCTGTCTTGTCGCCTTCTTTGGGTGGCTGGGCGAAGGGGAAGGCTTAAATAAACGATAAAGATTTGCTCTCGAAGGATACTTGCTCACCTGGGAAACCTCCGGGTTGTCCGGGGAAGCCAAATGGCACTGGGGCTGCTGGTGGTGCTTTAGTCTCTTCTGACATATCTCAAGTTATGTGGAAATGGATAAATATCATCGAATTATATGTTATTTTCATTTCCTGGCTATATTTTTAAAGATGATAAAAATTCTTGATTTAGTGATTCAAAACGGAAACGATTTTGCTTGAAAAAAATAATAGAAAAAGGAAGCCATTGAGTCTAAATTTTATTATCTGACATAGATAGAACTTTTTAGACATACCGTACTTCCATCATAGAATTTTGATGTCGATTTTTATGGAGAAAAGGTGGTTGTTCAGAAATGGCTCTTTGAGAAATGTGCATATGCTCCGGCGGTCTACGAAATAAAATTTGTCCATTTCAAGTCTCTTAGATAATAAGTGAAAAATGAAGCTTTCTTTAGCTTTTGGTGCCGTTTCTGCTTTTGAGCTTGCTGCAGTTACTCCCCCTCCCGGATGCCCGTAAGTTTCAAGACTCTTTATATTTCTATTTTGATTCTAGAGACCTTGATAAATACGAGATTTGCACGGCAAAATGCTCAGCCGATCTCGACACTTGCAAAGAAGCTTGCAACCCCGACGACTTCACATGTGCCAGTCGTTGTGATGCCGCTGCTCTCGATTGCAACAACGACTGTCCCTGCAGCAACGGTTGTCCCAGCGGCTGCCTAGGCTGTGAAAACCCTATTTGCTCGACTGACGGAGAGCACCTTTTGATCCTCAATACATACGCCGGTATGGACAATCAGTCTTTCTTGATCGAACTTGCTACCGACATCCACAAAATGGGCAACTTCAACTACAACATGGAGATCCACGACATTGAGGACTCCTGTTACGCTTTCATGAAGGGCGAGCACTGGTTCCTCGGTGGTTACTACAACGAGCGAATGATCGCCAAAGTCAACCTTGGTGGCTGCGCAATCGAGCCTCAACAGAAACTTCTCGCCATCACCCACGTTGACGGCTTCTGGGGATCTTGCTCTGTCTATAATGACCTAACCCACATGTGTTTTGATGCCAATGGCGTTGGTGGCGATCGATGCCAGACTTTCGACGGTGAAGAGGGAGGTCAAGCTGTTCTTCCATCTCGATCAAATGCTCCTCATGACTACACTGCCATGGCCGTCTATGACAACAAAATGTGGGTTGTTGGAGGATGCGATCCTGACGGCTTTGACTGCCATAATGTCGTTGAGTCATTTGACGGGTCAAGCTGGACTGTTGCCCCTAACCTACCAGTAGCAGAAATTTATGCTCAGACTGTTCTTGGAGATGTGAATGGGCTCTACTCTATTTCTGGTCGACCAAGCTCTAATAGCCAGAATGTAAGAATCGAATTCAAAAAAATCGTGAATACTTTTCAAGGTGTACAAATTCAATGGAAGCTCCTGGAGCCTTCTCGGTCTGATGTCTTCCGCTCAAGCAGACGCATTCTACTTTACTTCTGGCAAAATTGTCAGCAATGGACTCGCATATGGCGGAGAAGAGTAAATAAGGTTACGATTTTCCGGTAATTTATTTTTCTTTAAGCTACATGGAAAAGATTCAATTGAGCGACACTGAATTTTCCTCCGTCAACATTGGAGTTGCAGCAAACGGTGAAGTGTTCGATCTCTACTACGCGGCGATGATCTTGGTTGATGGAGCAATCTGTATGTAAAACATCTTCTCTCTTGACAATTCTTATGCAGCATAAATTTTGCTTAACTTTTACTAAATAAATAAGATATTCATCAATGTATTTGTAAATAATGTGTCATGCGTTTGTTATTTTGTCGACAATAATCGTTCAAAATTGGTCTTTGGGAAAAAGCAGATGGCAAGCCCGTCTCAAGACATAAACCGTCAATCATAAGTTTGTTAGACAATTAGACAATAAATTATCGTTGATAATGATAATTTTTGAAGCAATGAGCGCCGTTTCCGCTTTTGAGCTTGCTGCAGTCACTCCTCCTCCTGGATGCCCGTAAGTAAAAATGGCGGATAAAGATAAAATAGTAAATTGAATAAGTGACCTTGACAAATTTGAAATTTGTACGGCGAAATGTTCAGCTGATCATGATGCTTGCAAAGCTGGCTGCAGCTCGGACGATTTCACATGCGTTAGCCGGTGCGATGCTGCTGCTCTTGATTGCAGCAACGCTTGTCCTTGTAACAATGGTTGCCCAAGTGGATGCCTTGGCTGCGAGAATCCGGTTTGCTCTAGCGAAGAAGAGCATCTCATGATTCTCAACGCTTATTCTGCAATAAGGGATCAGGCGTTTTTGATCGAGCTTGCTTCCGATACTCACAAGATTGCCAACTTCAACTACAACGACTTTTTATTTGAAATTGAGGACTCCTGCTATGCATTCATGAATGGCGAGCACTGGTTCCTCGGCGGTTACTACAATGAACGACTGGTCGCCAAGGTCAACCTCGGTGGCTGCTCAATCGAGCCTCAGCAAAGTCTTCTCGCCATCACTCATGTCGACGGCTACTATGGATCTTGTGCTGTCTACAACGAAATTACACACATGTGTTTCGACTCAAATGGCGTTGGTGCCAATCGTTGCCAAACTTTTGACGGAGAAGACGGTGGTCAAGCTGTGGTCCAAACTCAATCAAATGCTCCTCACGACTACGCTGCAATGGCCATCTACGACAATAAGATGTGGGTTGTTGGAGGATGCGATCCCGCCGGCTTCGATTGTCATAATATCGTTGAATCATATGACGGATCGACATGGACCGTCGCTCCGAACATTCCTGTCGAAGAAATTTACTCTCAGACTGTTCTTGGAGATGTTTATGGGCTCTACTCAATCTCTGGTCGCTTCAATGGCCGAAATGTAAGATGAAGATTGTAAATAATTCTTCACCATGTCACATGTTTCAGGTCTTCAAATTTGATGGAAATTCCTGGTCGCTCCTTGGTTTGATGTCTGAAGCTCAAGCCGGTGCATATTTCTTCACTTCTGGCAAAATTGTTAACAACGGACTTGCATATGCTGGAGAAGAGTAAGTATAAAGGATTTGAGTACAAATTTAGTCATTGGTTTTATTTTATATGACTCTATTGTCATCTTTAGCACCATGGAAAAGATCCAATTGAGCGACACAAATTTTTCTTCGATCAACATCGATCGATCATCAAAAAAAAACTCTCTCTGCATCCGTGCGGAGTAAGCAGTTTTTGGATTTTTTGAAGCTAGAGAACTAAGTCACCCCCTCTGCTGGGGGTGAGGAATTATAGAGAATAGAAGTTGAAGATCATCTTTGTAAGTACACCTAGTTGTCGGCTGCTCTCAATCAGGCGTTAATTGGCAATTAATTTTAGCTCATTAGCTAGCCTCAGGGCAAAATTGCGTGCGTGGCGCTGACGCAGCGCATTATCGCAGCCAATCACGTCTCTTGAGAGCAGAAGGGAGGTCACGTACCTGTCTAGCCGACCGTGTTCGCCTAACATCTTATGATCTTTTGCTTCCACTCGTAATCTCCTCGACTTAGTCTGATCATCCCTCAGCAATCACTTTTTCATTAGAGTGATTTCTTGGTCTCACTCTTCTCAACTACCACCGTCACCTTTACTTTGTATTATTTTCCCTTTCAACGTAAACCTTATTAGTTAAAATTTAAAATTCACAATATAGCTTACCCCCGTATCACTCACGCTACCTGCTTGTTACGCTATTCACTTATCACTACTCTCGCTTACTTTATTTTCTTAATTCTATTCCTATTACTGTTGGAAGAGCATGTTCTTTTCGCCCATTCGCAGATGTTGTAATGAGTACAGAAGATATGCTATTTCTTTTCCCAGCTACTTGTAGCTGAAGTGGGTAGGAGACTACCACAAAAGGGCGAGCTGGGTAATTTAAATGCCATCGTGATCCCCTTTTGAGCGAGTATCAGGAGCTGTCTGTTCACAGAAACGTGCTCTACTCTGCTCTGAGACAAATTGGAGCCAGGACTGAGCTGTCTTTTGTTAAGAATGTGATCGTCCCGCTCTTTGTCAATCCGTGCCATGTCAGCAGAATTGCCGCGCTGTGGGATGGACGGAAAATGCACGTGAGGTTCATCGACAGATGTAAGTCGCTCACCTCCATTGTGTTTGCGAACGCATTTTTAAGCACAATTCCGCATGGCAAAGCCAGGAAGACAGACAGCCACAAAACATCATTTAGCAAGTTTGTGGAGAAACTCATATGGTGCCTCAGCAGAATTATTTCAGTCAGATCTTGCAAGAGGACTTGCGCAATTCTAGACTGTTCTTTGAAACTGTCCAAAACTGTTAATAAATCCTACCCAGAAGGAAACTCTACGTCTGTCTCTCAAGTTCCCCTGGGAGTTGTTATTTGCGTCCCACTTCTTGCTGACCTTAAAAATTTGGTCCTTTCAGAAAGTGATAAAAGCCATCACGTGATGGCAAGGGTTTTCTCAGTAACTAACTTAGTTCAGGCCTTGGCTCGGATTGTCGTTACGGGAGGAAACTCGGTTGCTGCCGGCGCAGAATCTCTAGCAGAAGCCATGTTTAATGGATTTGAAATTACCACTCTTGGCTCAGCAAAGCCCGATAAGGTAGGTCATTTACCTCTCGCGGAACTGATCATGAGTGGTTTTCAGCCCAAAAAGCCCCGCCAAAATCTCAAGCGGCCCAAAACGCTAGCCAAGCTGAAAACTTGGAGAAGTCGATTACGAAAGTCATCGATGATCGCGGCAACAAAGGACCGGCTCCGTCAAAGAGTGCGGCAAAGAAACCCGCTGCTAACTCTGCCACATCCAATTCCCAGGATCAAAGGGGAAATCGCCCTGCCCGAGGCGGTGGAGCAAAGCGTGGTCGTGGTGGAAAAAGAAGAGGTAGTTGGAATACCAACCCTGATGGTGGTTCGCGAGGAGGGAAGCGAAATGTAGGTAGCAAACCTACGTCACGCCCTCCGCCCAATAATGGAAAAACGAAACAAAATCAGAACCCCCTCGACGCCGCCGAAGCCGATGTTCCGGTAGCTGAAACAGTATCGAAAGACAAGCTTAACAGGCGCAAAGCCACAAGAAATAAGCTGAAGCCTACTCTTCTTAAACCCAAAATGGATGAAATCGAAGAGGACGTTAAGTTGAATCTTAACGAAGATGACATCGGGAGAAGCGATGAAGAGAATCTCACTCCTTTTCCGCAAGGTGGAACACCGCTCAAAGCGATGCCGGGTGACTCTCAAGACCTCTCCCCGAACACAGGTTGAGGAAGGCTCCTGGTGGTGGTAAGTTCTACACCAACGAAAGTGATGCCATCGACAAAGTACCGTACGCCGACTCTTTCGTCGGCGACGATGCCGCTTCCTCCTACATGTCCCTTGAAACCCCTACGCCAGTGGGAGAAACCAAGCAATTGTTTTCCCAGAAGGACGAAGGGGTGAACTATATGCTGGAATCAATTAGCGATCTTCTCCAATTTAAACACACCGTCAAGACAATAACCACTGATGAGGTGGCGTTTCATGTGGACAATCGTTACAAGCGATTCCAGGGACTGGCCCTCAACTTCATCAAAGCTAGCTCGGCTGGAAACGATGAACTCCTAATGGATATCCCTGCAATTTATCCACCGCAATGGCGGGAAGAGAAGTATAACGGTCATATTCTCACCAAAGTTAGCCTTTTGGTCTTTTACAACACGCTAAAACGGCTCGCAATTCCAACTGAGAATATCCAGACCATTATTATCCAACGTACGGATGGCACGATGGTCGAAGATGGCGACACTGATTGGAAAAGAAACTCCGATGCAGTGGTGCGTGGAGTAAGGTTTAAATTCCTATTGGACTTCATCAAATACATCTTCTTCGCAGTTAAAACGCTGCAGCTTTTTGATCCTGCCAGACTCATGGCAAACACCACTGCTTGGGCAACTATCTTCTCCATGCGCGAGTTCGATGGTCAGGGAAAATTTGTGATCAATAATGCTGATGACAAAGGGCTCTACAAGAAGATAAAATATTTCTTCACTCGCTTCAAATCCTACGTGAATAGCTCTCAAGCGCCAAACTTCACCTTCAAGGAACACTCGATGACCGTAGGTATCTTACCTATGGCGGAGATTTTCTCCTCCGAGCTGAAGAAAATGAAGTTTGTTAACCCGAATGTTGAAAGCTGCAAAGAAGCACTCGGAGTTGCTTATGATAATCACCATAACCCTCTCTCCGAAGACAACCTGGTCAAAAAAGGTCGAGGAAACCTAGGGAAGGCCTATCAGCTCATCCTGGACGCAATTGATAACGAGATCTTTCGCGTGGAAGGAAATGAGCTCTACAAGCTTGACGCCCGTCAGCACTTTGATAATAAAATTGAAGAGCAACGAAGCGGCCTGATGCGCGTCACGTTAGGAGACGCCAAAACTCTGGTGGAAGGGCGAAGCGCCGCCAAAGTACAGAGAAGTAAGATCCGTTTCTTGGGCAGAACCCTGAAAGCCGGAGCTGGTTCCAAATTCATGAACGATGCCCTGTACACCGCGTCGACAGCAGCTGGAGTGGTGGAGTGCAACCCTGAGTTTAGAAAGGTTGCTAATACTACCGAAGCTTCTGCCTCGAAACTTCAGAAAATGGACGCAGCAGCCAAGAAGTTGCGAATTGATTTTGGAAATTCTCAAAAAGATATTCGTAAAACCCTTCGGCTAGCGCAGAGAAACCAGGTAGAATCGTCCACCCTGCATTATGGAGGTGCTCAGGCACTGAAAAGCATGCAAGAACAAATGGTAGCGATACTCCAGGGGAAAGAAAAGAGCGACATTCTGGAAGAGGCGGCAATCAACGACCGCAACGTCAATCAACTAATTGGTGGCGCCAAGTTCATGGCTTTCAATACTAAATTGGAAGACACTACAAATGAACCCTATCTTGTCCTCAAGGATAGAGTTATCGACCGCCACCAAACTGTTGACCTGATGGGGAAAGAAGCGAATGTTGGTACGATCTTGAAGTCAGTCTTCGAAGGTGTGCCTGAGAAGGAGATACCCCAAGGAGAAAAAGACCTCCAACTAGCCATTCATTTGGATTCAGCCGTTAAAAAGTCGGACCAGCAAGCGTCAGATGAAGAAGAAGTCGATATCGACATGACGGAACTCGAAGAGCCAGAAAAGGCAAAGCCGGGACCTACCTTCGTATCACCTCCGAGTTCGATCCCCGGAGCCATTAATTCCAACAATGTGTTCGAATCTGATGGCCTACCTAGGCCGGTCTTGGATAAGTCGAGCTCAACCCTCAACATGGACGACATGGACGACGATGATCCAGGTTCAAGCTTTTCCATCACGAGTACGCAATCTCTAGCGTTTGAAATTCCCAATAAGAGTGAATGGGAGGCGCTGGAGTCAATGACCGATATTCCATTGAAGCTAATTGCCTCCACCCCAGCTAGAAGGCAAGGAATTGTGGTACGCCGACTGGAAACGGCGGGGTCTACAAGCATGAAAGTCATCCCCTTGGACGAATTCGACAAGAGTGAAGTTGCCAGATATTCAAGTCCACAAGACTACGTTAAAAAACGTAAGCCGCCGATGTTTGAATCCTGGGACAAGCTCATGCAGCTGGAAAGTTCCGGCGAAAGAAGAGTGGCCGACATTGAAAATGTCATGATGAAGCTCGCTAAGGTTCCGAAAGGATCCAAACATCAGCAAGCTAGAAAATGGATCTTTGTCTTAGCCGACAACTCCATCAAAATCTTCAAGCAGTTTATCCAGCTCTTGAAAGAACCCTCGGGAACTTGGACTAGTCTTGGCTTGGACCAGGACGTGGAGCAGATCGAGGACGGCTTTAAATTCAAAGAAGGTTCCGCTTGGAAAGCCTTTTATGAAGAAGTGAAATATTTTATACGAGCTTATGAACGACCGCAGTAAAAACTCGCAGATGTTCAATGCTGCTACCAACTACACTGTGCTTAACTGGGTTCCTAAACCAAGTGTGAGGGGGCATATTACATTCATCAATGGAATCGACGGCCTGGTGTCTAACAAAGGGCTGAAGTTCTCTCACATTCCAATGAGAGCGCTGTGTAGGTCCTTTACCTACTTTGTCTGTCGAGGCGATGGTATGAGAGCCACTTTTGGGCAAATCGACCATGGCCTGGCGGGCAATCATATTACTGGAACACCCGACAACGTCATCGTTGAGCCGGTAAGCCCTCTTGAAAGAGAGACAAGAGTTGAAATGGTTAAAAATCTTATAAAGTGTAGATATATGAGAGATAACTGCTCGGAATGGAATATACCAGTTGACGTCATTCTTAAAAAGGCGGAAACTGACATTTACCTTAAAGATTTTGTCACCCAGGTCAACTCTTTTCTGCTCAAGGATGTCACATCGATAAATTTTCATCGATGGATGCATTCCCCTGATTGTTTTAAAAATTTCAATCCTAGGGGAATTCTTAAACCGTCGGTCCATGAAGATGAAATTTCACGCAGCAAAGAAAAAATTACAATCAAATCACTTGTTAGGGAAAAGCGAGAGGCAATACTCTTGGCGCGTACAAATGATCTGTTAAAAAAAGCAATCGTCCCCTTCTCACCCTTCATCTCTTACAATATTCTCTCACCAATGGACTTCATTCACGCCTGCAACCTGCCCCCTGAAGTTACTCAACTAATGGAGGTCACGGACCTATCTTACAGAGGTAAGGCGTTACCTTCGAATGAAGACCCTTGCGAACTTGAGCGAAAAGTCAATGAGCACAATAATGCGCTTATAACTAAATCCCCAAAACTCAAGATTGTTTTTGCCAACCTGGGCAAAGTGGGTTTGGCAAGAATTCATGAACTCACGAATGAGCTCTTTGACATCCCAATCATCGTGCTCAGTGAAATGTATGCCGACCATGATCTCCTGTCAAACCGTAAGCACTGGCCGAACGGTTACACCATTTTCCTTCCTGATCCCTCTCCGACGGGCAATTTAGTGTTCGTCTGCCTCATAGTAAGAAATGAGATTAAGCTCATCCAAAGGCACTCATTAGCACAAAATCTCCTGTGCAAGTTGGACTTTAAAGGCACGAACCTTTGGGTTTGCGGCATATATCACTTCATCGATAACAAATTCGACGGATACGCAACCAAGTTCAATTTGGACAGGAGCGTCTTTCTGGACAGCTTACAGGCAGTCAATAACATCTGCAAGGATGAGCCACAAATAATTGGGGGTGACTTTAATAACTCAATCTTAGACCCGAGGAATCCTAAGGAAGAAAGGGAGGCCAACCTTATCCTAAATTCACTTTCAAACCACCTTATCCACTCGGGTATGGTGAGCTTTAGGAAGACGGTTGGGGAGAAAAATAGACTGATCGAGTCGGCAATCGATCATGTCTTCAGTAAAAACATTGTTCATCTTACAACAACTAATTTGGATTTAGTCACGAGACTCAGGGCCGATGGGCACATTGGCCTCAAATCCACTTTCAATGTTCAAGGGCCGGACGATGTTTACTGGGAAATTAGAAGAGTGCGTCTTAAGCCTGATCCTGTGACGTTTTATCAAGAATCCATGAAGGTAGATCACTTACTTACCAAAAATAGGATTCTGCACGATAGAGGTCTCCTCCCAGACTTTTGTATCACAAATGCAGGTGTGGAAGCACTAAATGAGCTTTCTGAAAGAATGCAGCCATATGTCGAGAAAGTAATTGCGGTTAAACCCGACAATCCGCGCAGATCACCTCTCGCGTCCGACTATTTAAAACATACTTTCGCGTTACAAGCTGTTTTAGTGCAATTATTGGCTGCTAGTTTCAGAGTTAGGAATAAGAATAGGGTTATCAGGCGGGTGCGTGAATGTATTAAAAACTACAACTGATCACAGCCAAAGTCAGGCAACTTGATCGCAAAATGCTTGTAGTTGGAAATGACTGTATATCTACAATTATTTCCCAAAATCAAGCCTGGAAAATCGCGCGCAGATGGATGAAAAATGCCTCCCCGGGAACTTTCGAGAAACCGGTTAATCTGATCGCTGACGAACTTCTAGGCCTCCAGCTATCAACGGTCCCGCCGTCGAGCGACAGGGGTTTTAACGCTCACCCAGTCTTGCCGCCAGAGAAACGTTTTCGGCTAACTAAGGTGAGCTTTCGCAAAATTAGCCCAAATCCCGCCTTCTTAGACTTCTATAAAAGGAGCAAAGCGAAAACCGCCGACCTTAAGGGAATTTCTAGAGAAATGACGGAAAAGCTGCCGCTCCAGTCGTTCGTCAACCTCATCCTAGAGCCCTTCCGCGATGGCACCACTAACTGTAAGTTTGTTGATAGTTGGAGGGAAAATAAGGTGGTACCTATTCCTAAGCCAGACGGTCGCGCCAGACCAATTACTGTTGTGCCTTTTCACCTGGGGCACCAGGAGAAGGCACAATGCGAGCTCTTTGCCGCATTTGTCGAGCATTATGGGCTTGTACCACGTGAACAATTTGGTTTTCGACGCAGTAGAAGCTGCGGTGGTGCAGCCTTTGCCGCCAAATTCGCCATCGACTCGCTTTCAGGGGATTTGGACGATGATGGTAAGTCATTGACCTACCCTGCTTGGGCAATGGTCAGTTGTGATGCCAAAAACGCCTTCGGAGTTATTCCACATGATAAATTATTACTTGCGTTGAGCGGAATAGTCTCCGAGGCGTTTTTGGCATACATCAAAGAATTCCTCCCCCGGAGTTTTAGAGCGGTTATGAACGGGTTTGTCAGCGACAAAAAGGTCTTACCCCCTTGGGGCCTTCCACAAGGCTCAAGTTTAAGCCCTGTCTTTTACATCTACTACTGCTCGATCCTCAATAACAAAATGATTATAGATCCAATTGATGAGGAGGCGCAGGAAATGGATGCTGAAATCGACTCACAAGTCGCTGAAGAAGGTTGCAAACCTACCTCTCACCAGCTGCTTGGCCTAGCGCTAAGCTCAGGTGAGCAAAAAGTCAAAATGGGTACAAGGCTGTGCCCGCACGGCATCAGTACTCATGTTGGCTTATCAGTTTCATTCGCAGATGATTACATTGCTATAGTTGGTGGATTCACGAGAGCCGCCACGTTCCGAGCAATCAAAACCTCCAGCAACAATGTACTCTGCGAACTGCAAAGAAGCGGAATCCGCACTGCACCCCACAAATCCAGCTTGGTCATGTTCTGTAAGTCAACGTTTTCGGAGCGGGACAATGCCCTAACAGAAAAATACTTTACAGATAAATCCGGCCAAACAGGAATTTCACTTGGTGGGGTTTTTGTAAAAACTTCAGAGAAGGTTAAGTACTTAGGAATCTGGCTTGAATCAGTCAATGGAACGGTCTCTTTTGACCTTCACCATAAGACGATTCGAGGCAGATTTCGAAATGTGGTGGAACAAATTAGCATACTTTTCGGTGCAATGCCCCGAGAGCTTCTGGCCTGCATTGTCAGAGCGCAACTAGGGGGCCTAGCCTTACATGGTGCTGATTATATTAACCCTCCAAAAAAGCACATGATGATTGGAATGCAAAGCCTCTATTCGAACGCCCTCTGGCAACGTAGGTCAGTGCCCTATTTTCTGGAGAGTAAACGTCTTGAGCTGAAGTGGAAAGATGCCCAATTTTTTCAAAAATTCAAGGAATCATTTCATGAGAGATTTCATGGCCATTGCCCTGAACAGGAGTTTATGGCTGTTCGAATTTTTGGACAAATCCCCCTTCACCTTATGTATCTAAAGCAAGCCACCATGTCCATCTACAAAGCTTTTCGGTACAACACTCCAGAGTTGCCCGCCGAGCTTGTGCGCTCTGCACTAATGGTCTGTAATAGATTTGGTGAACCCATTTGTAAACTGCCGGAGTTATTTCTTGCTGAAAGACTGGAACGGACTTTCATCGACCGCTCGAGATTTACGGAAGGTAGAATACCTGGCCGTTTAACTCGAAGTGAGCAAGAAGCAATCTTCGCGGCAAAAACCTTTCACCTAAGATTCTCAGCACTAATCGACACTGATGTTGTCGAGATCAAGTTCATCACCCCCAAGTGTAGTGCCGATGACCATTATAAGATCGATAAAAAGGCCTGGCCGTGGTACCTAGAAGGATTCTTTAATAGCCTACCTACTGACATTAGGAAAGCTTTTATCACCTTTAGCTTCGGCTCGGAGCTGAAGGCAGCATTAGCAACAGCACACTTCCATAATGAAGACAGCTTTGTTTGTAATGTATGCGTTCGACCAGTCGGTGTTAAACATGATAACGGACTTAGGATACCCCTCGTATTACACAACCCAGATGAACATGATCGCAACGCTTACGACTTGCTTACCAAAAACCAGAGAGCAGCAGGGATCCAAGCTCTCATTGCGTGGTTCTTTGCCACAAAGCAAGAGAGATTGCGCATCTCATCTGCTCTGAAGTTTAACAGCTTTTTCCAGTTAATGGACAAGATCTCTCTGGTGGAAGGCCTTAACAATATCATTAAAGGGCTACTCTTTGACCCGAAATTTAGAGAAGGGGTTAGGAAGGTAATTTACCTACAGGACAATGAACTGTTCGGCCCTGTCAACAATAAGGATTACTGAACTAAAACCTCGTTGACTAACTCCCACCTTCCTCGTTCTTGTTTAAGGGCCACTCGCGGATACTTTTGGTGGACTCAGTTGTAATTCAACCTCTTTTAGGCACATATATCGGTGCGCAGAGGCTGATGGCAATGAAACTTCGAATTCCACCTATATTCGTGGATGAAATCGCTCTCTATTCTCCATCATCGCGAACCATTTCCCTGTGGCCGGTTTTCGTCCTTCGCAGTCCTATCTTCACGGAATTACTCCAAGGAAAGAATATAATCCCGTCCGGCATGATCGACTCTCCAGAAAGGTCTACTGCATCGATCAGGAGCTTCGCTTCAACAGACCAAAGAGAGCTTCATCTTTACGCGGGCGCCTTCCCGAACTTCTTCTCCTCGGAGTTCGACGTAGCCGAATGGATTGCAGGCAAACCTTTGCTAGCAGACGTGATCGATGAGGCACCGCTTGAACTCGTCGACGAGTGGTACAATATCTGGCGCTCGGGTAAGCTGCTCAAGCTGAAAAATGCCAACAACGGTCGTCCGCTGGGCGATGCTGATGCGACAGCTCTAATTGCAAGCATGCTTGCGAACCAGAAGGAAGGTCCGGTACCTACCTTCGACCGCCGGCTTGCGAAGATCGCTGGAAGACTTGTCACTGCGACTTATGATGCCGACTTTGGTTGCCAACTCATTGACTTTGCCCTCCAATCGAATGATTTCCGCTTTGTCGACAGTCTCGACGCGTTGTGGAGATCAAACGGCATTAGCTGGAAGACAACTGAAGCTGTACTGAGCCGACCACTCGGCTGGCTCTGCCTCGACTCAATCAACAAAGCCAACCTAATTGAACAGGCAACCTCCCTGGTAACGCCGCTGTCTAGTCAAGCCATCGAAGCCCTAATGCGCATTACCTGTCAGCCGACAGTGTACGAGATGATCAAAGCGCGAGACCTCATGGCGTCGTCGCTCTGGGAGGAAGGCTTATCCGAAATGCATCAATTTCTCGCCAATCCGCAAAACTTCACCGAGGAGTCGCGAATTGAGCGTTTAGCGGCCTTCACAAATTTCAACGAAGATACCCTCAAAGTAGTCTCAGATGTCTTTGAAGCTAACATCGGGATGTCAGCTGTGGACTTCTTCGATGAAGCCATAGTCTGGGCTACCAGAAATTTCTGTCAGTGTGGAAAGGTGATCAACTCGCACGAAGCAACTAATGGAGACGACTTGGCTGAAGCAGCCTTCATGGCCAAAATGTGGGCGATGGAGGTTTTCCAGATCTCGTATGACATCGAAAAGAAGGACAAAGAATTCGACCACAGAGTCTTCCACAGAATCGCCGCTAGACGTGAGTTTAAAAATGCCCACCTCAGCTGCTTCTCTTACTACATCACTCGTGGCCTGGGACTAGTTGGTTGCTTCGGTTCGATTATGAAGTGGTCGACCGAAATTATAGTTAAACATATGTTTATTACCTACTTTACTAAAGCCCAGGCAATTCTCTCTGAAAAACCTTTCGGCAACTTCTCCAAATGGGCAGCAATTGCCACACTCCGTTTCTCAACACCGTTCTACGGTTCACCATCTTCAACCGGATTAATTTCGCACACGGTTGAGGAATTGGCTGAATTGGGAGAGGGCGAGTTACTTGAATGGCTCACCAGTAATATCCAAGGCTTGACCGTTCTGGTTACTAATCGGTCCTCGAACGGTCCAACAGTGCTCAATAACTGCGCTTTCCCAACTAGCCCCACTTTCTCGTCTTTAGTTATCTACAATAATGCCAAAAATCTGATTACGAGGTGGATCTTTATATACAAGCTCCAAAGTCCTCCGAGCCTAATGGCCTGGGGAAAGGTCGATTCCCGCGTTCAGACATGTGAGCTTTTCTCATATCGCCATGAACACCCACGGTAAAATTACCGCCGGTGTTAACACAACCGTTTCAGAGTTCTTCCCGGTACCTTCGGAGGTCGCTGACCTACTCCGGCACCTTCGTGCAGTCAGTGCTCCGGGGTTTTCCCACTGTTTGAAGAAGAGAGCAATCGAGCGGATTCAATCCCACAGTTGGAACTCTTGTCTCCGTGAGTTTTGCCGGCTCTTCAGGCTCTGGTAATGGCGAAGATATCTTCAATCGTTTTATTTAATCCCAATACTCTACGTCATTAAAGAATTTTACCATCCTCCCTGAAAACCATCAAATCGCTCTCATCTCCTTTTCCTCTTTTCGGTCAGGGTGACGGAGTACATTGTAATTACCGTAGCCCTTTATAAACCCTCGCTCTTGCAGCTGGACCAGGAAATGTAGTCTAAGTTATGCTTTTGTCAACCGTATTTTATCTTAAAAATTGTTTTTTTACACGCCCTTTTGCGTCCTTCCCAGTTTATTTCATCGTCCGGCCTTAAACCAGCTCCCTGTGTTTTATTTTAGCTTCCAGATTCCATAACTAACTTATTCTTTTTCTAATTTATTACCAACTATAAATAGCAATCACCCTAAATCAGGGTTAGGCCCCTTTTGCGATCTCTCCGCTAACCTTAAATTAAAACCAAATACTTCTGCTTCGCCCCTTTTTGCTGCTCGTTCTATAATTTACTCTTATGCCGCGCTAACTCACTCAAATGCATAAATAAAATTTCTTTGCTCAATTTAAGTAATACTTCAACAAAACCGGCAGTCAAGATTTCTGACTGTTGGGACGGGGTTTGCTTTTATTTGCATTTATTGAGTTATACTGGAGATCTTGCAGGTTTGCAAGTAATCGCAGGCACAGCTTTTCTTTAGAACAGGAGATTAAACAGCAACTGAACTTCCATAGGAATATAATGGTAGGTCAGTGTCATACCTCAATCAAGTGGTTTTCAAGATGCTGGTTTCGAGTAGCATAAAGCGATCTGGCAACGCGAGGGGCACATCAGATGACAGGGACACTGTGTAGGTGCGCCCCTGGCCAGAATAGTAGAAAGTGTTGTCAGTCATGTCGGGTGCCGTTCGTGGTTTCCGGGAGCTGACGATTCCGCCCTTTCGGTAGAATCCGACGACGGTAAGAGCAAATATGCTCATCATGCGCTGAATGCTGCGCAGAGGCCAACCTCGTGATTTCAAGTGACGGAATAAGGTGCTTTCAGCCACGTCTTGAAACTCAACGCCGTCGGCAATGCAGGGACCATGGTGATCTTATAAAATGAATCAGTTCAGTGTGAGAATTATGTGCTGTCTTGTCTTTTGCCCGGAGGTGGAGCAGGTCGTACTGTAAACTAGGGTATTGCGGGGTAGGTAACTTACATCTCTTTAAGCGGTCGATAAAAAGACGGTCCAGCTCTTTAGTTGTTTTGAGGGCATCCGGGAATTTATTTTTCCACTGCGACGAAAGCTTAATAGAAATTTGACAATCTATCTGCTTCTCGTCGAATAAACCTATTGCTTCAGCGTACCTGTAGCCCGCCAGGACCAGTTTCTTGCTGGAGTCGACGATCGAGAAGTCCTAAGAGCTCCTGCATAGCGGCTTGATTGGCGGAGCAGGTGGAGCTGGAGCAGTAAGGCACGGGGCAACCCTTCGCCATTGTCTGATAAAGGTGGGGGGCAAATACTTTATGAGCGAATCGTCTGTATGGGGAGGCAGAATCGTGCAAACTTCTGGCCAACTGGCTTAATGCGCGTGCTCGATCTTCAGGATCCATACGGACGTAGAAGGGGTTGTGGCCTATGTCTAGTCTGCGATAGTCATCGTTCAATTCGGTCAGATATGGCATGTCTGGGCGCAAAGGCCCGTCACGAGATAGTCGCTGACATCGTGCCACAAACTGTTGGTAAAATGCGTCCCGGTTTCTAGCATGAGATGTGAAACCAAGTAGAGGTAGGGTACCTACGTGTTGTCGATTGTGGTGGCGTTAAAAGGGAATTCTTCGTTCTCCGGCGTTAGTCGGGAAGGAACAACCAGCTCGAGTCGTTTTGGTTCGACGGCATTTAGGCTTTGGAAGTCAAGGCCAGAGTAGAAAGGGTCGCAAGGGATGATCTTAACTATGTACAGTCCAAGGGTCTTTACTCGAATCTCGGTCATGCTGGTTAGGTCGATTAGTAGATCAAGGGTGACGGGATTCAGCTTCACTCGAAATCCAAAATCAATTAGCAGTCCAGCAAGTTGATTAAGTTCCTCGTGGAGTGTTGCGTAAGCCTAAAACATTAAAAGTTTAGATCCATCCCGCAAGCTAAGATAAGGAGATAAGTCGCAGACTAACGCAAAACTTGTAAAGATTCTGTCTGACGATACCTGGTTAGCTGAACCACTGCGCATCTTCTCTAAGAATCGTAAGCGAAGGTAGGTGCCGAAATAGGGGAATAGTGCGTCAGTTCCACTAACGACAGACCCTTCCAGCATCCCGTGTCTCACAAGGCTGGGGTGTACAGGGGCCGCAAATAGATTGTCGTTTGCTAAGTTGATTCCGAAAGGGCCAGTTCTAGCGTTAAGAAGGGACAGGCCTGGAGTGGTGACCAGTTCGCGACATATGCGCAACTGTCCAGTGGAATGAAGATGAAGCAGCCGTGTAGCGATCGCGTGCAAGGTTGCAAGGCTGAAAGGATTAAATTTCTTTTCAGTTGATGATGAGGGACAGGGGTATAGCCCCGTACTTACAGTGAGGGGTAAAGCCCGAGAACGACGGTGGAATTGCGAAAACCACAACCTCCAGTTAGCTGGCAGACTTGTGAAGCGCAAGAGGGAATTTGCAACCCCCCTCGTGACAAACACTCAGTTGGTTTTGTTGTGCACCAGCTGCTGCTCTCGGAGCGAAGGGCAAGAGTATTCACAACTTCTGGTTGAAATTGCGAGGTAGGATGGTGAAGGTAGAAATATTAAGCCATCTTAATTAAACCTCGTAAGTCTCTATTGACTATAGTAATTGAACTATGGTATGTCTCTTACCTGTCTTAACCCGTCGATGGTTTTATCAGAAGGCAAATCGCCGACGTACAGATTCTGTGTGTCGTGTTGTAACTGGCGATCAGTTCGAGGATCATCGCACAGGAAGTGGTCCAGATAAGCCTTTGGCGCAAACAAGGGGTTTGAGAGTAGAGGTACATCCAGAAAGCCAGGAGTGTCGTGCAATGCGCGAAGTCCATCGGTGAAAAGAAGCTCGAAAAGATGTGCGTCCTTGGCAGAGTTTCCGTTTGGCATTAGAATAGTGATGTCGTTCGGAAAAGATGTGGGCAATTCCCTTAGCCATTCCATTATTACGCGCTCCTGGCCTTGTTGTAGCAAGTCAGCGAGTTTCTCCCTTCGTGATCCCGAGCGACTGTAGTCAAGCTTTACTTGAGCTTCTTCTGCGGAAAGTCGGTCGAGTACATCCTTCTCTGGTCCGTCTTGTTTGAAAGCTGCGGAGCCCTTAAAGCGGAGTTCAGTCTGATTGGTGTCGATGAGTGGCCACTGCTGGTCGTGTTGGAACGGCTGATCCAGCTCTGGAAGGGCTATAGTGTCGTCGAGGAAAACAGGATCTCCAGTATAAGCAAGCTGAAAATGTTCAGAGCTTATTGTCTGTGACTGTCGCGTAGACAATTGGGCGAGGTCGACAGCGAGTGAGCTTCGGTTTCGAACGACACGACGTGCCGGCAGAGTACCACTATATTCAGGAAGTTGGTCGGCTGATTGGCGAGATCGTGGCTGATTTGTTCGGCGGAAAGTGCTGGAATCGGGTAACTGGGTTGGTTGAATCGATGATGGAGGACACACCCCGTGCCGCTGGAGATGTTGGACGAGACGGGTTAAGTCTAAATTATCAAATGATTAGCAACGCCCCTCCAACAGTAGGTCACTTACCTGTGTTCGGAATCTGGAAACTCAGGGGTTCACATCCTTCGGGGCCAGTGACAACTATAAACACTCGTAGTGATTCCCCGGCATCGGCGTTTCTCGATGTACGCGAAGTATCCGAACTTGGGGTTGAAGGTCGTGTCTCTCCAGGTTGGTCAACAGGAGGCATGTCTTCAAGGTTGGCCTGGGGGATGGTCTCATTCGGTTCTGCTGGTGGATTTGGTCCTGGCTGATCAGCGGAATTTCCGGGATCTTCAATCTGCTCAGACTGTTGTGCGGCGGCGGCAGCTGCTTCTTCTGCAGCCTTTTTCGCTTTGGCTTGAATCTCCGCTTGCCTCGCCTCCTCTGCCTGTCTGGCTCTGAAGGTCTTGTAACGAAAAATTACAGCCTGTACATCGGAGCCGGTAGGTATGTAGAAGTCGGGTGTTGACTCCGTGCGGTCGATCGCTTCCAAAGCATGGTCGTAAGTCGGATCTTAAAGTGGAAAGTTTTCGCTTGATGAAAAAGTTCGGTCGCAGCCGCTTGACAATTGTCGCTAATGTAGGTCCCGTACCTGTTAGGGGAATCTGTAGTATGAAATCAGTTAGACTGGAATCGGGTAGTAGAGATGCGGGAAGGTCGCACACTCCGATCTTAAGTTGGCCCATGGAAACTGTTAAAAGTCCGATGTCGATTAGATATGCTCGGGCGTCAGCAGGAATGGTCAGAAGCAGCCGTAAGAACCGAGAGATCTCCGGTTTTTGCTGTGTACCAATATTTACCATGGTCTGGTTGGGGCCTGCCTCTTCCTCGCACTGCTCCCTGGTAAGAGTGATTGTTGTAATCAAAATCTGCAGGTGCGCATGGGTCAAATGGGCAAAGCGGTTCACAAATCGTAGGCCAGTCAAAAATGGCGTCGCTACATCAAGATGATAAAATGGCTGGTCCAGGACTTTAAGGCTGAATAGGTAGCAATTTAGTCAAATGATGGTAGGTTCTGGACCTACCTTGATCTCAAGCGTTGCACTTGGGAAGAATCCAGCAACTTCGAGCTGTTCTCAGCTCGCTGAAGTGTCTGCTGTAAGCCAAAGTCAATTAGGCGTGCCAGGATCAATAACAGGTCATTCATCAGGTTTGAGAGCATGCGTTGTTCGTCACGTTCCTGCTTCTCTAAATCGGTGCATTCTTCGTACTTCAGGTCGAATTGAACAAAGAGGTTCAATACGCCCTGCGCCAAAGGTAGGAAATGGACATGTGCCTCGACCACCATCACTCCGTAAAGGCTGTAGATGCTCTGGAGTAAAACGTACACATCGCGGGCTGAGAACTCGGCCGCGGTAGATTGGTAGATGGCCCACTGTGAAAAAATCAGCTTAAAAATTAGTCATTATCAATGGTGTAAAGTCTAAACATACCAGCTGAAAGACCTCTAAGTATTGCTGTAAAGCAATGGCATCGGAGCTGCAAGTAGTCCATCCGAGTGGAAGTCCAGGCTCCCCCGCTGAGTCGGGTACTGGTGTTTCCAACAAGGTTGGTGGTGGTTTCACAGGCTCAGTGCGTGTCTTGTTGGCAACACCGGTGCTGATCAGAGCCTGAGTGCCTACTTCGTATCGAGCAGGATGAGAGTGGGTGGTCGCAACTTCGTTGTAGAGCTCCTTAATCTTCGCCAAAGGGTCCGGTGTAGGCTCGTCTTGTGAATCCTGCTCGCTCTCGGAAGGTGGGTCCTCGACCTCCCTTGGTTGGTTGGCTTGGTCTGAAATGAAAGGCAACTAGTAAATCAACCCTTAAAAACTCGAGGCCTGTTAAATCACTATAAGATATAGCTATCACGATCAGAAAGATCTTTTGACATTTGGCTAAACTTACCAGAGGTTTGGGCGGTTGCTTGACTGAGTCGGGCGCTGCGTCTCATCTTCGCTGGTACAGCCTTTGACGGTTTGCTCTCCCGCTTGCGATCAGGACGTCGTTGAGACACACGTCGGAGTTTTAAATTGCTGCGCTTAGTTGAGCGGACATTAGCTAAGGCGCGTCCGACAGTCTTCTCACACGCGGGCCGTTCGTCAATGACAAGCTCACTCTCACTTGATAAGGCGGTTGCGCTACTGGCTGTCTCGGGGTCGTCGGCGTTATGTCCGCCGGCGGAAACCTGTGGCATGCTGGAGTATCCGCCCTCTCGTGGAGAAAGTAGGTCACTTACCTCCTCCTCAGTTAACTCGCCGAGAACCTAAAGATAAGGAGAATATTACTTCCACTAAGCGAATATTCTGACAAGTCTAGCTCGTTAAATTCTCTATAACGGTGGGATTGGGTTGGTACTTGAAGATGGATCTCAAAAACTTAACAAACTGGTGGCTCAATTGCGCGTAGGAATAGCTATAACTGTCCCCAATTTCAAATTCCTGCTTGTTTAAATACAACAAAAACGTAAATCGGAATGGAAAATGTACTTAACTTATTTCTCTGTTCTTTGTTATAAAACAATTACCTCGTAGCGACTGGTAGTTGGGGGATCCCCAGGGATCACTTGCTCAAAAATGAGCCGAGCAGTCCGCCGCGGGGTGATAAACCCTGAATCATCAAAATTGTCAAAATCCATCTGCGTCAGCTATCAGTGCGTCACTGTGGGTGGCACTTTTGCAACTGATTGGATTTGTGATTACCCCAAAATGAAAACACATCCTTAGGGGTGTTCTAGAAACTAGGTCACGTGATATATACAATCCCAAGCTTGTAGTTGGGAGGGTGGAAGTTCTAAGCAATTTCCTCGCGATTATATAAACAACCAGTTCTAGAAGCCTATTAGTTTATGATGACACTTGAGTTATCATAATAGGACGAGCAGGGAGGTAACTTACCTACCTGGCTCTGGCTAGTGGACTCCGTTGGCAGCAGAAAATGTCAAAAGAACCCATCATGGAAACCGGCGGGAGAAATAACAAAATAAAACTTGATTTTAAAATCTTAGGATAAGGTTAACTTAGTTTAATGAATTATTTTCTTAAAATGTGAATGTTATTTCTCCGTTTTTCCTAAAACTCCTCTCCCTACGTTGAACGAAAAGAGAACATTTACTGTTTCAACCTTCGTCATTTTGTGTTTCTTCCTTTGTTTATCTGTTATTTTACTTTACTGTGCTCATAACTGTACAAGTTACTGTTATTTTGAAATAAACAATCAGAAAAAAAAAAAAAAAAATTGGTGCAGCAGCAAACGGCGAAGATTTCGACCTTTACTACGCTGCAATGATTTTGGTCGATGATGCGATCTGCATGTGAATTCGAAAGAAGATATTTCTTCTAGATATATTTTTCTAAATATGCTTGAATAAAACAAACGGTCAAAACTAACTTTGTCAATAATTACTGACGGGATCATCGTTTTGCCGTTTTGGTTTTTCTCTTGAGAATACAACAGATGGGACAAAAAACTAGATTTATTTGAAATCTATCCGCTCATTCTCAAGAGATGAAGCTATTTGTCACTTTTGGAGCTGTGGCAGCGCTTGAACTTATTCCTGTCACACCACCACCGACATGCCCGTAATTGACTTATGATTAAAAATTAACTATTCGAGCCAAGTGATCTAGACAAGAATGAGATTTGCAGCTCTGCCTGCGCTCAAGAGCTCAATAACTGCAAGGAAGAATGTGACCCTGAAAACATAACTTGCTCAACTCGATGTGATGCGGAGGCTCTTGACTGCACAACTGCCTGTCCCTGCAATTCGGGCTGTCCAGGTGGCTGTGATCAATGCTCTGACCATCCAACATGCGAGTCTGGTCTTGATGAGTACATCATGATCCTGAATCCTTATTCTGCTCCTTACGGAGACGTTTTTCTGGTTGAGCTTGCAAAAGATGAAGTTCATCTTGGATCTGTCAATTATAACCTCAATTTTTATGACATGGAAGACTCTTGCTATGCTTTCATGAAAGGTTTGAAATAATCAAAGAAAAAGAATCTCACAAAATTAAGGCGAGCACTGGTTTCTCGGAGGATACTACAATCCTCATATGATCGCAAAGCTCAGTCTTGATTCCTGTTCAATTTGGCCAGAACAAAACGTCTTAGAAGTGACACATATTGATGGAGTCTGGGGCTCGTGTGCTGTGTACAATGATGTGACCCACATGTGTTTTGACGAGGAAAGCACTGGTTTCACAAAATGCCAGACCTTCGATGGAGAGAAGCAAGCTTTGCTCGATGTAGAGTCAAACGAAGAACATGACTGGGCGGCTATGACTGTTTATAGCAACAAGATGTGGGTTGTCGGGGGCTGCAGCGAAACAACAAATCGTTGTCATAACTTTGTGGAATCATACGACGGACGAGAGTGGTCGCTAGACCCTGCTCACAATTTCCCTGTTCCTGAGATTTCCGGGCATGTCCTTGTTGCCGATGCACGTGGAATGTACTCGCTTTCCGGCCGACCATTTAACCTTTCCCAAAATGTATGAAGTCATATAAAAAGTTAATTAAGAAATTTAAGGTCTACATGTTTAACGGCACATCTTGAAAACTTCTCGGAAAGATGTCTGACGCTCAGGCTGGTGCAACATATTTTACCTCTGCAAAGATGGTCGATGGAGGTTATGCTTATGGCGGAGAAGAGTATGCGTTTTTTGACCTTTAGCATCACTTAGTTCATTTTTAGTACGTTGGAAAAGATAACTCTGAGCGAAGAAAATTTCGACTCCGTTAATCTCGGAGAATCTCCCCTTGGTGACGTGTACGATCTTTACTACGCAGCTATGATTCTCGTCGATGGACCTGTTTGTGGTTCCGGCTTTTTATTTTAATAAATGAGAATTCGTTCTTTGAATGTTATTTTTATGAATTTGTTTTCTCTAATTTTAATTTATTTTCCTTTATAAGGAAATTAAATTTACCTGAGTTAATTAAAGTACCTGATATTGTCTGAGACTCTGAGTGATTAAAAGATGATATCAGAAAAGATGACGCTTAGTCGAGCTTATTCGACGTTCAATTATGAGTAAAAAAGAACACCGATGAATTCAGAATGATTTCAGACTCTGAAAATTGAACGTGTAAGAGTACTCTCAAAGCCGGAAGCGTGGCTCGTTGGTCTAGGGGTATGATACTCGCTTAGGGTGCGAGTGGTCCCGGGTTCAAATCCCGGACGAGCCCTGTTTTGGCACTGAAGACAATTTATTCTTTGAGAATGAACTTCCATCAAAAAAATTTGTTTAATAAGTTTGATAAAGTTTTCGTATCATTAACAGAAATGTACATTTTCGCAGCTACAGCCTCTCGTTAACAGCTTTAAACTGATGATTTTGTCGGTAATGAAGCTTCTTACTCGTATCGTTTTCTTTCTTGATGGAACGCAGGCTTTCTTATATCCACTTGAGACAGTTTGAAAGTCAAGATATCTAAAGCCAAGAATAAGTTCACATGTAACGTTCAAGTAATTTACCTATCTGGAGCTTTACAATGTCCAGCACAAGCTCCAAAGTCCACGTACTCTTCCTTGATATCAACGAATTCTCCTCCGATCGCGTACTCCAATTTCTTAAAGGCATGTTAAGAGATGATGATCAAATCAATAGAAAAGATAAATGAGTACTATCAAGATCTTGTTGAGGATAAAATGTGAAAGTCCCTGATCCCGCTCCAATTACCGATACTTTTCATTCTTAGCGATATCATAAAATCTAACCATGATAAATTTTGTTAAAAAATGCTCCAGATTATGAGCATGGAGGAACTTTAAAAGACCGCTGTATCGAACGATCTCTTACCACTTTATCAACAAGCATAGGAATCCTCTGACATCTTTGGCTTTCGCATTTGATTGGGTCCAACATTCCAATAAAACCATTATTGAAATTTCTTGGCAATCTGCTCAAATGTCCGTCGGTTTTTCTTCTGAAGCAATCATTAGGAACCAACGAATTTCCTCTTTCTCTTCCACAATCGATGATCTTTTCGAGCTCATCTATATTAAGTGAAAATGCAGGAAAGACAAGCGTCTGTGAGAGGATAAAAGACAGCGTCTGCATCATCCGTACGATTAATTTTAATTATTTATAAATATTATAAATTTTGCGGTTTTTTGATGTTGTGTGGGTTTATTGCCGAACAGTAAGATGTTCTTAAAGCACAAAAAAATGGCGCCATCATCTGATGCTGATATTCTTAGTGAAGAATGTTACGTTAATTTACCGGCAACAGCGCCTTTAGATATTTTTTGAAAATAAACGAGATGGAAAAAATAATCCAAACCTGCGATATTAATAGTCAATCAAGTGCATTTTTGCCGAAAGTCGGGAATTTTTTAAAATTAAGCGTAGAAGTTAGAATTGTCAGCCATAAGAGCTGACTTCATATTTTGAGGGAATCTTCTCGATGTTTTTCGACATCTTTATCATATGGTCCCATGGACTGGATCGAGTCCACGATGTCATAAATTGAGGCGTGACCTCTTCACCTGAAGAGCGTTTTCAAGTGGAAATCATGGGTGTGTCAATTATTTCCTGCAATAAGACGCTTCTGCGTCAATTTTCACTTCAGTCGTTTTATCGCAATTAGCTACCATAATACAGTAGTTAAGCCAAAGGCAGATATTCTTTCTAGATAAATGATCATTTGAAAAACAGCATTAATGATTCAAATCAGTTTTCATCAAAGATTTTCTGGTAAGATGTCGCCTTCACATATTCGGAATATTCGTTGGCAAAGCCTATAAGTTATGGGTTTACCGGCGTTTTATAAATTATGGAACTAGGCCAAGGAGAGGGCCGGCATTTTATCGGAGATTTCCGTGGGGGGAATTTCCATTTGTTCCCCAAACAAGCCTTTTTTCCAACATTCCGTTTGGTCCCCAAACAATTAACAATAACAAGCCACTTTTTTCGAATTTTTCTTTCGAAGGAGGGGTCAAATAAGGCTGGCAAGACTAATCGATCGATTTTCCCATTTCAAATCGAGAAAGAGAGGGGGAGAGAGGGCGAGAGCCAAGGTCAAATAGAGAAATTTGTATTTCAATTGCCCCTTTTGAAGCTGTCTTTGTCCAGATCAATTTTAGAGGGTTAATCAGTGACAAAAATCTGAACTCTTATACCTGCAGTTTTTTCTCTTTTCCTCGACACAACTCTTTTTAAAAAGGACTTTTTAAGATTTCAAGATGCCTCCACAGAATACCAGTTTAGCCGAAGGAGCCGTGGATGATGATGTTTCTTCTCACAAGTTATCGGTAAGAATTCGGGGTTACCTAAGCCTTTAGTTAAAAAAAGATATGACGAACTTTCAGAAGAATATTAAGAAAATAGGGAAATTATAAGTTTTATATTTAGTTATTGAAAAGAAGACGGGATGTGATGACGTCTGCAAATATTCTCTTTTACGAGTCTAGCAAGCAAGAGCTTCTTGTCGAGCGGGCAGAGGGACAGTGGATGTTCGACGAAGAAGGCAACCGGTATCTTGATCTGATCAATAATGTTGCCCATGGTAAGGAAGCTCGGATTTTGAAAACCAGAATTTCATTTTTCATTTTTCAAGTATTGAATTTCAAGCGATAATATCAACGAAGCCAATTTAAATTGAGTATCTTTGAATCAACGATAATAATAATGATAACCAATAACACCCTTTATTTCAGTCGGCCACTGTAACCCAAAAGTAACCGCCGCCGTCACCGCCCAGATGCAAAAACAATACACCAACTCGCGCTACCTCAACTCTGCCGTCATCGAGGTGATTTGGGGCTTCTTTCTAATCCTCAATACCATTAGTACTCCGAGCACTTGCTCAAGCATTTCCCGCAAGAGCTAAATACAGTGCTTTTCTGTAATTCGGGCTCAGAAGCAACTGATTTGGCGCTCAGATTGTCCAGCTATTACAATGGGAAGAGCGAGTATATTTGCCTAAAAGGTTTTATTTTCAAGAAAAACATGTTTAAATTATGGTCGAAGGTGGGTACCACGGGCATGTTCAATCTGCTCTCGACGTTTCGCCGTATAAATGGAAAGGGGGCGCAGTTAAACAACCAGAACATGTGCATGCTGTTGACGCTCCTGATGCCTTTCGAGGAAAACATAAAGGTAAGATCTGGAAGAAACTCTGACTGATGTAAAAATAACTCAAAAAGGAAACTACGCCGGAGAAGAATACGCAAAAGATGTCGCGGAAGTAATTTCAAGACGAGAAGGGAAAATCAGCGCGTACATCGCTGAGTCTATTTTGAGTTGTGCTGGGCAGATTCTTCTACCACCAGGATATCTCAAGGTTTGATGATTCCATTGTCTTCTCATTGCTCAATTTAATTGATTGAAGGCAGTTTACAAATATTGCCGGGAAAACGGAGTGCTGACGATTGCTGACGAAGTTCAAGTCGGATTTGGTAGAGTTGGATCGAAAATGTGGGCTTTTGAGCTTCAAGATGTTGTGCCGGATATTGTCACTCTTGGAAAACCGATTGCGAATGGGTTCCCCATGGCAGCGGTTGTGACGAGGAGAGAAATCGCAGAAGCGTACTGGAAATCGGGAAGCCAGTATTTCAATACTTTCGGAGGAAATGCTGTTGCTGCTGCGGCTGGCCTTGCTGTTTTGAAAGTTAGTTAATTTAAAAAAAAGCAGCTCCTTATTTTGAGTACTAGGAAATCGAAGAATCCAATCTGCGTCAAAATGCACTAGAAGTTGGCGAGGTATTCCTGCGCGGGTTCGAAGACCTGAAGCAGAAAAACGACATTATCGCCGATGTCCGAGGATTCGGCCTCTTCCTCGGAATCGAGCTGATCAATAGTGAGGGTTTGCCGGCCATGGAAGAAGCTTACTTTGTCAGGTACATATTGTAATTTCAGAATTGGAGACATCTTGATAGATAAGGAACAGGGGGAAATGAACATCTTTATCATGATCGGATGAGATTGAATTAAATATTTAAGAAATCGTCTCTTGGAAGACCGGGTAATCATCTCAGTTGATGGACCAGATGAGAATATTCTCAAACTCAAGCCGCCAATGTGCATCACGAAAGAAAACGCAGAAATGGTTCTCGAAAAGATGAACGCTGTTTTCAACAAGTTGAAATAAAAATCTGATCTCATGAACTCAAAGTGCTTTTACTTGACCTTCTACGACTTTATTCAGCGCAAACATTCGACGACATATTCGAATAATCGTCGTTATTTTTGTATTATCGAATGTTCGAGCCTTGCGACTCGCATATTTAAATGGCCAAAGTTCGAATCGTCCAATTATTATTGTAAATTTTCATTATGCGAAAGATTTTTCTTTTCCTCTTTTTCTACGTTTCTTCATTGTCGACAAGGGATACGATTCAATGCTATCATTGGATTGAGGCTGTTGCCCCGAGTATTCTAGAGAAATTTACCGGAGCGAGAAAATATTTCGATTTTTGCTCAATTATGGAGACAATCCTCCACAGTCAACTAAAATCCGGCGTCCACTCGAGAATTATTGTTGATTCACCGGATGATCAACTGTTCGTCTTTGACTGAAATAAAGACGTACATAAGTTACCTTATTAACAGTGGGAAAGATGCTGACTAATCTTTTTCACCTTGAATGCCAATTGGATTTTTAATGAATATTCAGCAACCCGCTTCCATAAATCACTAAAAGACAGCAGAACGCAAAATGCAGATTTTTATGTATCAACTTGTTCTTTTTGCCAGCAGCATCAGCCTCGCAGAGAAAGGCACGTGTTATAACTGGATTCAAGCTGTGTCGTCAGATATTCTAGAGAGATTTTCGACCGTCAGAAATTATTTCGACTTTTGCTTGATTATGGAGACGATTTTACATAGTGAAATTCAGTCCGGATATCATTCAGGAAAGGATGTTCTTTACCAGCGAGCCGATTAACCGATATATTGTTACTTCCTTCCTAGGTCTACCGACCGTATCTCCTGATTATCAATACGTGGTGTTTGAATAAAAATATTCTTCCTTGATTTTCATCTCGATTTTTTCATTCATTTATCATGATTTCAACTATTTTTTCAGCTTGATCGAGTTCAGCATTGAAAAACGTAAGAAAAAAAGATAAAATCAATCAGTAACGAGGTACAGTAGGATCAAATTGTTGATATTGAAAGTCCAGATTTGGCGTAATTCCATGGCTTCTCATGAAACTCGTGACTTGTTTTGGGACTTCTTTGAGCACTTCTGAAGCTAACCCGGCCATGTCAGGCGGTGAGTTCGGTCGACAAAATCGAGAAAAGGGGACGAATTGGACAATGTCACGTGCAGCCCGATTTCTGTGGGAATCAACAAGGACTCCGTCATCGCCATCCAGGCATTCCATGGTTGAGAAGTCAGCTTTGCTCAGTCATAAAAGCAGTTCTGGATGGAAAAAAGAAGGTCTTATGACGGTTCCTGAGCCAACGCCGACGATAATTATCGAAAGAGGATGATTTGATGCTTGAACGATTGCGTTGATTGTTGAGTCTACGTCCGTTATCGCTCCATCTGTGAGAATCAGCAGAACAAAATAGCTGAAAATAGACATAATTGAAGAGTCTAATTTCCTACTTTTTCCGTTTATCTGCTTCTGCGGCCATTCTCGACGCTTCTCTGATCGTAGGCGCAAAGTTTGTAGGACCGTAAAGCTGAACGGCGCGGATACAATCACGATACGTCTGCAAAACGCCGGTAGTTCCCTGGACAAACGGATTCTGCGGGTTGAGATTGCAGGGGAACATGTGCGAAACGCCAAGATTTGGAACTTTCGCGCCAAAGCCGTAGACTGGAAAGAGCTTGTCAGAATCGTAGTCTTCGAGGATGGAATTGACGGACCAAATTGCTGACTCGTACTGATTGAATCGATTGCTGCCAGAATTGTCGACGAAGTGAAGGGAGTTTTGACTTTTTGGGTCGCCATTTGACCCGGTAAAATCGATCGAGGTCATGCAGTTGATCATCAATCCGTGACTGATGAAGTCGAAGAAGGTATAATCGACTGACTTCTTGAAGTTCTTGAGCTTCGCACAGGTCTTGTCTTTGATTCCTTTCTTCTCACCGGAAGATGCCCAGTTTTCTAGCTCGTGACCATCGAGAGAGATCTGTCCGATGAGTTCTTGAGCCATTTCGCTTTTGCGATATCTCCGGGCTCATCGTTAATTGAAGGGAAATGATGGGCTTACCGGTAGAGCTGGATAAGTATTTCTCGACTGGGATCGCCATTATTGAGTTTGGCACCGGGGATTTCGACTTGAAACTTTGGATCTTCGGATTTGAGTTCTTTAGATCTGTATGACTTCAATACTAAGTTTAAATTAGTGATCACTGGCACGAGAAAAAAATCTCAATATTTATTTAATATCTCCGGTAATTGACAGTCTTAAAATAAAAAATTGTGAATAAAATTTTACATTTTATGATTTTCAAATTTTGAATGTTCCTGAAAACAAGCGTGTTGTCCGCATCTCCTGCACCTCTTCTTATTTCAAGAATCGTTCTCACTGCTTCTTTTCCTGTAAAAAATCCTTTCTTCGTTGGAACATTCTCAACGGCGACTGTGAATTGAAAGAGATCTTTGCAGGTACTCCGGTTCTCAGCGGTGATAATGATTTCACCATCGCGGAGAGATGAGTTTTTAGAGCGCGACTTTTTAGTTTTTCAATTATTTTTCAATAAAAATATTAAATAAAAAGATTTGAAAACTTGGCAATCTTCTGATATGTCTTCCACTAGAAGCGCCAATAATCTCCCCAAGCGTCGTTTTGCACTCTCCAAGCTCATCATGCCGATCTTTTCCCCTGTTCGTCCCATCGTCCGAGTCCATAACTTCAAAAACGACATTTTGCTTCTTTTCAAAAAAGTAGTCGACATCGAACTTCGTCGAAAACTCCGGGTTGAGTGAGTCTCTGACAATTTCCGTCCGAGCGAATTCTGTTTTACGACCGTTTTCTTCGAAATACATGATGACGAAGGGATCGGACTTGCTGGAGAAATCTTTGTCGGGTAGATTTCTTTACCGCTGTCAAAAATGATTAAACAATGTCATTCAAAGCGTATAAATGTCATATGTTTCATATAAAGGATCAATTACTCAGCAGAACTATCAAGTTTTAAAACCAACCATAAAAACATAAATTCAAAGACAATTTTCTTGTCTTCTGGTCTTTTTTACAACAGGAAAAGAGCGAGAGACAAAGCTTTCCCGAGAAAAAAATATTCAAGAAAAGAATGGATGTTATGCTTTTACTTCTAATTCTAGCAGGAATAGCGATTTTCCTCATTTTTTGCGTCTGCTGTTTTTATTTGAGAAATTCAATTGCACCAGAAGATGGTGATTGAATTTTTATCGACTGTTTGTTAATTAAATAAATAATATATTTGACAAGTTCCTGCATTTTATTGAAAGCTCCACGGGCTCACACAAATTCATAACTTTTCTCTTCTCAATAAAAATGAGTCCTTTCTACGGGGTTTCTATTTTTGTTTGATTTCTTTTGAAAATCTGTAGGGGGTCAGCCGTGATCGGACCAAAGGGACGAGTGACTCACAAATTTAATGAGAAGGGGAGATGGACAAGGGACAATAAAAACCGACGAAGCGATCAATGGATTTTTCTGGTCCTTTTCGAAAGCATAGGCATAAAAATCAATGTAAAAGTACGACTTTTTTCTGAAACATTTTTTTTTTGAACATGAAAGCTATTTTATTTTCGATGATGCTAGCAGAATCGTCATCTTTGACTTTGAGACATAATCGTAAAAGTCAATAAAACATTGTGTTTGATTTCCACAGGATGGTTTCTATAAATTTTTGAATGACAGATCGCTTCCAAACGCTCTTAGCTTCCACTGAAATTTCTCGGGATTGTTGTTTTTCACGGCTGCAAATGTCTAAAAAACATCATCAGTTAGTAAAAAGCTTCCAAAAAAACTTACAATTAGGTATTTTCCAGGCTTCAGGCTGAACAAATATCCATTATGTTTGTAGTTCTCCAGCTCATAGCCTTTCGACAAAGGTATTACAGGCAAAACCTTCTTGTCTCTCATCCTCTTTAAATCCTCCTTGTCGAATTTTCGGTCTTCATTGATTTTGTACACATCAAGAATGACTTGACTTTTGGTGGAAATGCTTGATTCTAGCAAAAACTGAAGCCAGACATATCGTGACTTCTGATTTGGATCTCTGCTATTCGTGCCAACATTGAATACGACTTGAGCATTGTATTTTGAATCCAAGAAAGCTTTGAAAATATGATTTGAATCTCTTGGTGAATTAATTCCAGAAATGAATTCTCCTGAAACGATGATCTCCCGATCTCTCGCCTCTTCTTTCGTAAAGATCCCGTCCTCATCGTTGATATCAAGTCCGGGTAAAGCGCAAAAATTGAATATCTCCAATTCTTTCAGCCAGTCTTCATAGCTCATCCAAAACGCACCATCATTGGCCTTCGTAAAGCCGATTCGTTTCTTTTCTTTCTTTCTTACTCTTCGCCAGTTTTCGCGATCATCGTCCGACCAGTTCCCAGTCCATTCTGTCTTTCCCCACGGATTGCGAAGCTTGATCATTGTTTGATATTCGCCAGTTCGAAGGATCATTTTTTCAATTCGGAGGACGGCATAAGCATGAGAAGAGACGAGCCCCTTGATGATTGTTGAATTGTCTTCCTCGTCCAAGTTTGAGCAGCAGATAAGCGAATGATTCTTGATTGCGAGGAGGACGTTTTCCAGTTCGATCTTTTTGGCATCTTCAAGATTCGAGCTCGATGGAAGGTTTTAATTAGCTAGGGTCCTAGCCTAGGGTTGAAAAAAAGCTGAGAGGGTAAGGGTTAGAGTTAGAGTTGTTCGTCACTTATTGGCTAACGCGATGGATACTTGTTTTTGATTGGATGAGAACCTCTTCGGGATAAATATTGATCTTATTAAAACCTCTTCCCTAAGATTCTTCATCTCGCAGCAAATTCCACCGCAGAGCTCTGTCAGCGACCAATTAGTATTTCCTCCTTCAAGCCTGTCATAACCGCCGTGAAATTTCGCATAAGCCTTTTCAACCAAAGGCACCCACCATTCATGATCCTTCGATTGCTCCGCGATCTTTTGTGGCAGGTAATCGTCGATCATCACTTTTTGCCACCCGTGGACGTCGTAAAAATTAAAATGGTACTTTCCCAGGGCATGAGCTTTTTAAAAATGAGGTCGCGACATTTCAACGAATAAAGGTTACCTTCATCAGAAGAGTTTTTGTCAATTTGAAGGACTTTAGAGGCGATATCGTCTTTGACTTCATTTTGATGTTTGTTTTTTGGTCCTCCCTCTCCTTCGTCGACTTTTCTAGAGTTTCAAAAAATATGTTCCTTGGCAAATTGGGAATAAAAGAAACTCTTCCTAACGTCGACAATGCTGACAAAAACCAACAATCGCCAAGCCGTCCCTGAATCACATCATGAGCTTGAACTCCATCTGACTGAAATTTCTTCATTGAAGCTCGAATCTTCATCGACGAAAGCCTCTCGCCATCCTTGACCTTGAAATCTTCATCGACAAATTTTCCTTGGGGCACGTCAGATTTTTTCTCGAATATTTTGTCACTGAGTTTTCTGGCCGGCGTTGATAGAAAAACGATTGTTTCTCCTGCCAAAGGTATTTTCAAATGAAGGTCTTTCAGTTCTTCAGCCAAGAAACCAGACTCGACATGATGATTCTCTTCAACCTTGAGTCCAAAAGATTCTCCTGCAAGTGGAGGAAGGTCAAAATCGTCATCGCTCTCTGAAGTGGTGCTCATATTCGATCGAGAATTTTTCAATCTCTTTGCTTGAAAACACCGGATGACGAATCTTTTCAGCCAAAGATTTATTCAAATACGAGCTTTTCTTACCTTCGCTTTGAAAATTCTCCATTTTTTTCCGCTCTTCTTTCATGAATGTTCTTTAGAAGAAAACAACTTTGTTATATTATGATTGAAGATGTAGACATTTTTTTCTATATCTCTATAAAATCTAAGAAAAACTAAGGTCAACTTTTTCTCAGATCATAAAATTAACGATCTTATAGATTTTTTTAGAGTTGTAAAAACATATATTTTTAAAAGCATCAGAAAGATAATGGACAATGTCTGGGAACCTGTCTGCTAGACAGTGTCTAGAAAACCAGACTTTCCTAACGGAACGGAAGCTTAAATAAAACCCTTTCAGCGAACTTTCTGAGAAGGAGCTGCGTGCACCACTCGCTTGGTTATCTAATTTATTTTGATTCGTCTTCATAATTAGCGGCTGTGGCTGGGCGCAAAATTTTCCGCATCGGCTTTCTATGCACAATTACCCGGACACTTGTCGGCGCTCCCAAATCTACGCATCAGTCGATTATCATCAGAGGAATAATCAAAGAGAATACTTTTTCAAGAAGAATTCATTGATCGATTTGGAGATGAAGAATGCAGGGTTATTGGCGTCCTTGTTGATTTCAGATTCTCGAGTTCAAGATTGAATCATGTTCTAATTCCAATTTGTTTATCAAGATTTTATCAAGAGAAGTACTAAGAGACGACGGTCGCATAATATTCTCAAATTCAAATTTTACTCGTATTCTCTTTTTAACCAATTTATCAAGATTTTTACAGAAATTCGCTTTATTCCATGCCAGCAAAAATAATGAAAAATATTTTTGAACTCGTCATCAGACCAAGCCTCTGCCTCTCACTTTCGCGCTGGGTCCCTTAGCTATCTCCAGCGAGATTCAACTTCTTACACTGTCGTTCGAACCCAATCCTGGCGCCGCTCCAAAGCCGGGTACGGCAGTCGTGGCTGCACGGAGGAACATGTGCTCTCAGAAAAACTCACCGCCGTGCGGGCCGGTCAAAATTCAACGCTGATGGATATTTGCGAGCTTCAAAATCGCAGTTTTGTCGACACTTGCAAAGATCTCCAATCGAGCTACGTCGTGACGGATATTGAAGATAAACAGTCGCCGCTGAACAATTACTGTTATGGATATGGAAATGATGTTTTGCCGAAGCCGGCAGGGCCGTTCATGGTGAAAATTGAATCTTGCTGCTGGGTCAATTTTATGAACGACTTTGGAAGATTGATTGGAAGCGGAAGTCCGAAGAAAGAAAGAAATGAGCTGAAACTGATTGCGAAGATCAATGAATTAGAGAACAATACTCCCCTGGTGAAAGTTCCTCCAATTTGGCGAATCATGTCCGGCTGTCCCGATCAAATCCTCAACTTGAATCCAGTCGACCTCGATGGCGATCTGATCCGATGCCGCTGGGCGACCGCAGAAGAGGCGAAATCAGGAAGCTATTGGCTCAACAAATCTGACTTCGTTACTTCTATTAGATTTTTTGTTTTACCGCAGTAATTGAATAATGGTTGAGCCATGCAAAATTCATGATTTTGATGAGTTCGCAAGTTTGACGCTGGATAGAGATGGCTGCAGGGTGATTTATGATGGGACGAAGGATTCGGCGAAGATGGGATACAAGCCGATTGCGGTGATGGTGGAAGATATTGATGATTCTGGGCGGATCCTGTCTTCGATTCCAGTTCAGGTATGGCCTTGGAAAGATACTGTTTTCGACGGCTTTTAAGTTTCTTGCGGAAGTCTGGATCCCGCAGCCATCGAAATTCGGCGGCAATATCGGACGAAAAGGAGGCAAACAAATCCCAATCTACAAATACCCAGATCCATACGAAGGCTTCCTCGACTACGAAGATGGCGACGACCATGATGATCATGAAGATTACTTCGAAGTTGACAACATTCGGGTTCGACGGCAAGCTGAAATCGACAGAACAATCACCTTGAATAATCCCCAGCAAAGTGGCGGAATTCCTGGGTACTGCGATGCAAAGCCTGTTCTAGTCTTTCCAAGTCCACCTGCTGGCTCGACGATTGTTGTGAATAACATGGTCGAAATAAAGTTGAAAGCGGAGTCGAGAAATGGAGATATCAAACGATTTTTGTACAACAAGCCAAGAGGTTAGAAATTAAATCACCATAAATATCAAATTTGATGGATGAATTGGTTTTCACTTTTCAACATCAGTCTGAGGTGAAAACTAAATTGATATTAAATTGGGTATAATTATTGATAATATCCAATTCCGGTAGCGTCAAGTCTACAAACACTATTCGAAACTCAAGTTTTAAATAAATATTTTATTAAGGAATGGACTGCACACCTGTCACAAAAACCGGGACTGTTACGTGCACTTGGACCCCCGCTCAAAGTCAAAACGGCATTTTCAAGTTTGCCTGTCTTTTCGGTTTCATTTTACTAGTTATTCTAGCTTCTGCTTCTGGGCAGATGATGTTAGAGGATTGACAACTGAGCGACGATGCATCAATTTGCGAACAGAAATCAACGATATCTACTCAATGATCGACTTTTATTTCGACAAGAGTGAGTTCAACTCTAACAGTTTCAGAGACTACGGTTGCACGGGAAAGGGAAACATGAAGCCAGAAGCGCCATCAGCAGGAGTTCCACTCGACGAAATCGATCACATGATCAACAACTGGAAGCACTGTACCAAATGTGCTCTCAAGGTCGATTATTCCCGTGATTTTCATAACTATTCGTGCTCTAGAAAGAAACAAGAGTCGCTTATGACTTCGATGAAATGACAAAAGAATGCATCAATCAATTCGGATCACTAGAACATTCTCTCTGCTCATGCGACTTGGACTTTGTTGAAAACATGTCTTCGAACATTGGAGACTTCAATCCTGAGTTCCTTAGTAAGCAATTTTTTTTTTGAAAAAAAGACTTCATTTCATTAGATTTCCCAAAGAACGAATGCAAGCCTTTCCCTCCCGCCTTCAGAACAACTGCAAAAGGAGCCTGCTGCATGTCTTCTTCAGGGGTTTTTTCATGGTACAATACTGAGATCCGCGAATGCTGCTTCAACGGACTAGTTCGTGACATTGGCGAATGCTGAAATCAAGGAAGAGATTTTCCGGCAATGAGCCCCCTTTTTTTTATAATTTTCGTTGAATAAATTTTCACTGTCCTCTTTTCTCTTACGTAAATGGATTTATTAACAAAAGATGATGATCTTGTCCTCTGGAAAACGAAACAACTCTCACGCTTCCTCTTAGATTGACATATACATAATTTCACCCAGCAATTTTCTCCGTCACTGGTTTTAAAAGCGCTGCATTTTTATGACGCGACGCCTTAAAATTGAATCTCTGATGCAATTTTGACTTTCAGCTTTGTCTTGTTTTTTTCATAACAATAATGGCGATTGTAAAGAGAATAATTTTTCTTCTTCTTTTTGAGAGTATTGAGAGAAACGGGGTCTTCGGACAGTTGATAGTGGAGAATGTCGTTTGTGGATTGGAATATCTCAAGTTTGAAATGGAAGAACGGCCCTGGGCGACAGAGAAATTCAACATCTTCAATGGACAAGAACAATGCGACTTCTCCCTCAGCACTGTCGGCAGAAATCTAGCAATACGCGTGCCAGTGGAAGAGTCGAACTGTATCAGCTACAGTCTGGCGACTCTTTCTTTTGACGCTCAGTTCACTTTCAAGATGCAAAACAACCTCATTATTTTTGCTCAAACTGGATTTATTACCTGCACTCTGGCGGATTTTGAAACACAGCTGGATTCTTCGAGTATTTCCGTGACAAATGAAGACACAGGCAAGTGCCCTGCGCTGATGAAAGTCGGTGGAGACTGCTTGGAGATAAATGTAGAAAACCAATGTTCTTCCCGAACAGAAGGAAAATGTAAGGAAGACGCTTCGGCTCCACAATGTGAAGACATGGAGGAAAATGAGACGTTTATTTCTTACGAATGCGTGGAAAAACCAAATGATTTTGACCCATCAGATGTCAACAAGGGCGACCCTTTTACAATCTCTGCCTGCTGTATATCTCTCGTCACGCCGTACAATCCCAACTTTGCTGATCCAAAATCAGAAGAGTACCAAGAGCTCTTGCAAGAAGTTAAAACCGCGGGGAGGACAGACCTGAACATCGAAAGCATCGATGTCTACGAGACAGAAGATGGCAAAACAATTATCTCGATAGAATCTCAACGATATCCGTGTTTTGGAACAATGAGCTGTCCTGACGAACTCGAGGATCGGACAGCTTTTTTCAACGACATCATCAACGAAGTTTTGGTAAATCTAGAAACGGCAACAACAAAAGAAATCACAAAAATTGGTAAAACGACCGATGAGTTCAAAAAAGATCTGGAAGCAGCAATCATCAACGAAGGCGGTATTCCACCACCCCCGCCGCCGAAAGAAGAAGAAAAATTTGTCGAACCAAAGCTAGAAACCGTCGAAGAAATTGTTGATTTTCTCGAGGATCCTGACGTGGGAATCATTCCAATGGACATCACGGCGGAAACGGTCACTGAAGAAGGAACAACAGAAGTCGAAGTTCGCCCGACAAAGGCGCCATTTAGAGAGTTTAACACAGAAAAACTTAAAGAAAATCTTGGCGAGCCGATGATTCAAACCATCACTGGTTATTTGATCTCTATTGACATCTGCACCATCGAAGATAACAAATATGAAAACGAGAAGCTCGCGAAGATCAGTGGTAACCCGCCCTTCCGTCTGAAAATAGATGGACTCACAGATGCTCAACAGGATGTTTTGCAGATTTCTGAGCAAGAAGACGAGTTCGGCCAGTTATATCTCTCCATAAAGATAAGCGATTGGGAGATTTTCGAGGAGAACGCAAGAGATAAATCGACCCTTACCGTTGATATCGAAGACAATGATGGTCGGAAGGGAAAAGTCCCAATTCTATTCGAAGCGTCTTCTCAATGCACTTCTACAGTCACTACAGATGTCACGGAAGTAATCTCTCTTGGCAAAGTCAACGTCCAGTCTCAATTCGTGTTCGAACGATACAACGAACTGGAGGAATCTCAAGAAGAATTAGGAAGATTTCTCGTTGCTGAGTACAACTCAGTCTTTTCCGGCGTCAATTCCATCGAAAAAATCACCTTTTCTGGAACTCGGCCAGTCTCGCCAGCTGCTGACGCGAAAGTTTGCAACACAACGAATCCATGCAGCGCTGCTTCGACACAGTTACTCTTCAGTGCGTCTCAGACGATTATCGCGGGAGAAAGCTTCATTGACGTGGTGGATAGAGGAGTTATCATCGTTGAAGCGTCGTTCAAGAAATATATCGAAGCGAAGAAAAGGAATGAGCTTCCAGCTTCAAGGAGGGAACGATCGGCGGAAGATGTCCCGGAAGTTTTTGTCAACAGAGCCGAATCTATTGTAAATGAAGAATACTTGTACTACTATTCGTAAGATAAGACACAAGAAATCCTTTCATCATTCATTTTCTAGCATTCCAGGGGCGATTTTGACAATTTACATCGTTCTCATCGCCTTTTTCTGGTACAACTATCAGCTTACAATCAGAACTGCCCATGGCATCGTCTATAACAACGGCGACTCTCTATTCATCCGCTTGATCGTCGTCAAGGGCTGCCTCCTTCTTCTCATTTCCATCGTCACAATCGCGCTTGAATCTCTCCGCGCATTTGATTACATCAATGGAAAATCCGTGAATTTTCGACCGGTTTTTAGCATCAAAGTCCTTCTCATTCTCCTCTTGTTGATTTCTGCCTTGGTCTTCGCGCTGAAAATCAAGGCGTTTTTGGTCTTCTTGGACGAGATCAGCAGCTCTTACGAGAAATTCGGATGCTTTGTTCCCAAACCAAGAAATTTGATTCAAATCGTAAATATGGTGCTGGTAATTTTTCTTCATGATGGCCTGTATAAAGTTGTTTCGTACTTTTTCTTCGCGAGGTATTGTATTTATGAAAAATTTTGACAAAAAAAGGGTTAAGATTTAAACCGCCAAATATTTGCCTGACAGTCATATATTTCGTTCAAATTTGCTTTGATGTCCTTCTTGGTGAGTCGTTTCTTCCAATTTATTGTTCTACTAGCAATATTTACAGTCATCTTGCCGCTCTTCCTACAGACCGTCATGGCAGTTTATAACACACTTGTGGAGCCGGAATTCCCAGCTAGAGGTTTGTTCTATCAAAAAACAACATTCGCTTATGTAAATTCTAGTGCTGAAGGTTCATATCAAGAAGGTCATCAGAAACCTCCTGATTTTCATGCCACATGCGACGATTTTCAACATTCAAGATGAATTCTTCGAGAAAATCCTCTTCAAAATCAAGGCTTACTATGAAACAAAACTCATCGCGCAGCATTATCAAAAAAGCTGGCAGAAGATTTGGGACATTCTTTTTTTGATCGTCGTCTTTGTCATTATCATAGCTTGGAGAATCGTTGATATTTTTCTCACGTAAGTCATTTTTATCGGAAAAGGGTTGAATAAACTTTTTAAGAATCATCATCCAAATATCTGGAATCGTCGAATTTGCCGTCGACGACAGATTGCCTGTCGACAAGATCAGAAAAGGAGAAATAAAATGGCGCGCGGCAGAGTTTTACGAAAGATCGCAAAAGATACGGTCTCTTGGATTCTATCAGAGAAAAATCACTCCACGATCGGGAAATGCAACAGATGAGCCAGCATATGACTGTGGAACTCTTTGCGGAGACAAGTAAGTTACCAAATGAATCGAAATGCTCATTTTTATTTAGTTCGTTCGCGAATGGCCTGGTGAAATTTATGGTCAACGATACAACGCTGTATGACGATTTCAAGCCGAGGATGAACTGCGCTGATACAAATTTGCAACTCGATGATTTATCAGCAAATTCGACGACTTTGCCTAAACTAGAAACATTTCCCAATCCCCTTGTTCCCGACGTTCCTGGTTGCTTGAATGAATTGGAAATACTCTACCTGGTTTTCCTTTTTTTGATGTATGGCTCCTTCGCCCTTCTCTTTTTCTACAGAAAACGGGTTTGAAAACATTGAGTGAAAAAGGTGCTCAAATTGAATTTAGATTGGAAAGATATACAACCTGAAAACAACCGGAATAATCGGCAAAATCTTTGGCTCAACGCGAGAAAAACTCTCTGAACACGAAGCTTGCAGAGATGTCGATTACATCGGAAAGAACCTGGATTCATTGAGCTCTGAAAAGATTGTAGAAATAACGAAAAAGAGCTAAATGAAAATTGGCTTCCAGAAGAAGGTGATTTGGTGCTGTAATAATTCATGAATAAATTGCTGTATAAATGTCTGTTTGTTTCTATTTCGACACACTGTTGACCAAAAGTTCGCCAATAATTGATGTTTCACTATTATGTAAATTCGTCTCGAAAATGCCCGAGGCAACTTTGAGAACTTCTCTTATCAGCCGCACTTATAACCGCGGGTGGCGCTTGTGCTGGGTACCATAAGGTCAGCGTAAAACTCCTGACCCCGAGGCATTTCGAAAGTGTTTAGCGCATAATAACGCTTTCCCAGCGAAAACGCAAGATAAGGATGAGGCCCGCAAATTCCTAAATCAACCGAAAAGAGAAAAAAATAATGGCACGAAATTCAAGCACAACGACGATAGCAATCATTGTTTTCAGTGCATATATTTTTGTACATGTTATATTCGACTACGGACATGTTTTCTTCGGGTAAGAACTGTTTTGGCGACAATAGAGAAGGATCGTTTTGACAAAAATAATCGGGCAGGTCCCGTATTTTGCACGTGCGTTTATTCAATTTATGTCGCATTTATTACTTAACGTTTAGAGCTTGTTTTTTATTCAATTTTTAATTTTTTCTTTATGAAAAAAAATTTTATCTGAAAAAAATTATTTCTGAAAAAAAAATTTTCTGAAAAAATTTTTTTCAGAAAAAAAAATTCTTAAAAAAAATATTTCCTGAAAAATAATTTTCTGAAAAAAAATTTTCTAAAAAAAATTTTCTGAAAAAATAATTTTCAGAAAAAAATTTTCTGAAGAAAAATTTTCTGAAAAAAAAAATTTTCAGGCATAAAAGAGAAAGAGATATTACCGAAGAATTCATGATCGATGTTTCTACCAAAAAGATACGAAAAATATCCGCGCCATCAAAAAAGAAGAAAACCGCTAAGAAAACAACTAACCCTGGAAAAATGGAACTGTACCATAAAAAACTCATAAAACCTCTGACAAATGAAGATAAAGAGAGATGGATTAAAAAGATCTGGGAAACGAATCAACTAGAAAGTCATGAAAATCGAGAGGAAGTGAACATTCTTTGGTGGTTTACGAACACGGGCAAAAGTGGGAAGAAACGAGAAGCGAGGAATTTTGACGAGTTCAAGGTAAGGAAACGAGTTTTTCGGGAAAATTCAGTTTTTAGGATAAATGTGGTCCCTGCAATCTTGTCACTTCTCGTTCGTTCGAAAAAACTGCAGATGCCATCGTTGTCAGCAATACTGTCATGTCCCACTACACTGCTCCTCAAGTTGCGAGACGCAAATTTCCAGACATGACGAGTCGAAATCTTTCACAAATCTGGGTCTTCGAGAACAAAGAAAGTGGGATAAAACAGGAGCACGAACCGAGGTATGTTATTATTGCGACTTTCACGGTCGGATTTAATTTTGACGATGCGTCTTATCTTGGCTTTCTTTGATTTCACGCTTTTCGTTATAAAAAAAGAAATTCTTCAGGACTATCAACCCTGAAGTAGACGCCGCTTACAATGCCACAATGTCCTATCGGACCGATTCCGACATCACCAGACATTTCGGCGATGCTGAATCCGTCATCGCCCAACTTCGCTTCGACGCAGATGGCAATCTTGTTAGCTCAAACGAAGATTACGCGAAAAATCTTATGAAGAGAAAATTTCCTTATGGTTCCGAATACAACACGGCTTGGTTTGTCTCCAACTGCGACTACACATCTGGCGCTAGAAAGAGATTTGCCTTTGGGAAGGAAATGATTGAAAAGGGACTAAAGCTGTATTCGGAAGGTGAGGAAGTCAGCGCTTACTTAACATGCTGACGGAGTTTGATAAGGTGAGTGCTTCGGTCACAAAACTGAGCGGCAGTTCCATCGAGGAGGATCGGCAGAGTTTCCATTGCAACGAGTCAAGTTTTATCTCGCTTTTGAAAATGCTTACCATTGTAACGACTACATCAGGAACGTTTCCAACTCCCCAAATTCCATTTTCTTGTTTACAAAAATGTTGAAACCAATAAGCGAAAAATTTTGGCGGAATTCTTTCATGAACGAGCTTGTCCCAGTCGTTTTCGGCCCTCATCCTGATGATGTCAGACGCGTTGCTCCACCAAACTCGTACATTCACTCAGAAGACTTTGATTCCGTTGAGGATCTATTGGAATACATGGACTTTTTGGACAAGAACGACACTGCCTATCTCGAATTTCACAAATGGAAAAACTTGTATCCCTCTGGGAAAAATCCCCACAGCAAATGCTTGCAGCATCTCGGCACCGTAAACAGGTAAAACATACTACCAACCCCCATTCATCAACTTATCATCATCTCTAGAACCATTTGCCTACTCTGCCGGTTGATCAGAGATCGTCGAGCTAAAAAGAGCGCGTCTCTTACAAATCCGTAATGAACTACTGGAAATACGATGTGCATCCGGAGTGCAAAGAAGATGTCGTTTTCCAAGACTACCAAACAAAAATCAGGCGGAATCGACTTTCCTGGATCGATCCCTTTTAGAATCTTTCAATTGACGAAAAATGCAATTAATTCTTCAAATATACTCAAGTCTAAGCGTAAAGAAAGTGTATTAAATCAAAGTCATATGTTACAATATCGTGTTGAAATGACGATAGGGGGCGGCACGAAAGCAATAGAATGAGAATAGAAAATTAGAAGTTGTGAGTTGGCGTGTTTCAGGTTGTTGAAAACTGACAGTTGGGTTCTATCAGAAAACGGGCTTCCTATTCCAGAGCGTGTAGAGTTTTTAATTGCTTTTTTTACAAGTTGGCCATCATGAAGAGCATGTCCTGGTCGTTGATGACCCAACAGTTGTCGGTGTGGTGGAAGTTTTCTCGGGTGGCTTCGACAGACATACCGCTAGAAAATAAATTGAAATCAAGGAAGACAAAATCAGTTTTCTTGCGAATCGAAAAATGGGTGAAAAATGACTTACCCAGAGGTGACAAGAGCAGTTTCATCTCCGTTGTCCTGGATGAAGTAGGAGTCATCTCGGATGAATTGACCAATGATACCTCGAGATCGGCTTGAGATTCCGGTAGTATCAGAGACGGCGAAGGAGAGATTCCTTTCGGAGGTTGCCCTTGATGATGAACATTGGTCCATCCTCGATCTGGACCTTGGTGTGCTCGTGCATACCATCGACGGTCCACTTTTCGATGAAGTTGATGTCTCCGTAGGTCTGAGCGCCAGTGAGTGGGTGAGGGTCGCTGACGATTCTGTCACCAAGGCCGGCGAGGTGGACGCCATCGATGTCGAATTCGAGGTGAGCACCAGCGGGAGACTGGAAGTGGATGGAGTTCATGAAGACTTTTCCGTTGTCGCGGGCCTTAGCAGTGGCGGTGATGGCGAGAGCGCTCTCGGGGTCGACGAGGAGGTTCATGTCAGTGCCTTCGGTTGGGTTGAAGTCGAAGCAAAGAGGCTCCTGGGCTGGTGACTGAACCATGAAGTGGGGGTCACCGTAAGCGCCGCCAGCTCCACCGCCGTATGCGTTGGTTGGCTCGACGTAGGGATCCATGGTGGTCTCGGGAGCGTCAGTTGGGGCATCAGTGGTTGGAGCATAGTTGTTGTTTTTGTTGTTCTTGTTCTTTTTTCTCTGGGCGGTAGCGAGGGCAGCAAGAGTGAGGGCGAAGATCTTCATGGTTGGCTTTTATCTAAATTATACTGAGTTAAGTTGAAGATCTTTCTCTGGGATATCAATCAAGGAAGCTTTTAAAAAGCTCGCTAACTTACCAAGTTCTGACTATTCTTGTCCGAATATGCCCATATTCAGTATCACCGGGCCTTATATCCGGCAATTAGGCCGTGCGGTGGCGCGCTCGAGCCGCCGCCGCCAAATTTCATGAAAACCACAGCCGTGCCAATTTAATTGACGCCTGTGTCGTCAGTGAAGACCTTTATATACTCTTAATGAGAAAAGAATGGAGAGTTTTTTATAATGAGACCGTATTATTTCTACTAATTTTTCAACTTCTGTATTGAAATATTCTGTATCGAGGATAACACAATGATTAATTAATGAAAATAAAAAATATGATTTCATTTTTATGAACAACTTTATACAAAGATATATTTATTGAACATCCTGTGTATTTCCAGGTTTGAAAGTCAAAGAAAAACTGTTTACAGATTAGCCATGACGTGAAGAATATCATCCTCGCTGATGACGAAGCAATCATCAGTGTGGTGATAAGGACCCTCCACAGCTCGGACACGGGCGCCGCCGGAAACGACAAGGGCTGTGTTGTCGCCATCTTCATTGACGCCGAAGTTTCGGAGTCGGTAAGAGTTTGGTCGCATGAATTGACCGATGAGACCTCGGCATTTTTGGGAGATTCCGGTTGAATCAGTGACCATGACTAAAAAGATAGTGAGGATTAATTGAAGCTACTGTTATTACCAGAGAGATTCTTCTTGGTGATATTGCCTTTGATGACGAATTCTGGTCCATCTTCGCCGACCTGGATTTTGGTATGGTCGTGGTTGCCGTCGAAGCTCATTTTTTCGATGAAGATCAAATCACCATAAACCTACGATAAAAATGAAATTAAGATATTTATTGATGCTTTGAATTTTCCGTTAACCAATTTTATCAATTTGAAATGAGACTCATTTATTGACTCAGTCACTATCTGAAATCTTGATGTAGTAAGAGCTTGAGCTATCTCAGATGAGATAATATGAATATCTTCCCGAAATAATCACAATTTACCTGATGTCCTGTAATTGGATGAGGATCGGAAGCAGTCTCATCCCCAAGTCCGTCCAAATGGACTCCATCAACGTCGAAAAGAAGTCTTGCTCCTTCGGGAGACATAAAATGGACCTTTGTCATGTAGTTGAGTCCCTTTTCGTTTTCGCCAGTTTCAGCAGTAACAGCAAGGGAGCTGACGGGATCGATGAGGAGGTTGAGAGTGGCACCCGATGGAGGGTTGAAATCGAAGCAAATTGGTGGTTGGTCTTCGTTTTTGATCTTTGAGAAAGGATTTAGTTCTTGAAAAGAGGGTGAAACTCACCATAAAATGGGGATCGCCATAAGCGCTACCATAAGAATTTCCTCCGTAAGGATTTCCGCCGCTGTAGTTATTCTTGTTTCCTTTTTTCTTGTTGCCGAGATCGTCATATTCAGACTCTACGGCAGAATCTTCGTATTCCTGAAAGATTCTTTCTATTGAAAACAGGACAAATTTACTACCTGGGCAAGAGTAAAAGCAAAAAGTGACCACAAAAGCTTCATCTTTTCCCCTCTCTCGAAAACTGACAAGAAAGCTCAATTGAACAGCTTGATTCGATTTTAATTTCTACCAAATAGACGTGTCTTCCTCTCCACGAGTTTACCAGTGGCCATTTTCCGCCTGACTCGGACTAAACAACTGTGGTCGCTGCGGAAAATCCATTTTTGAGAAGCGATCTTTCTCAAACCAAACGTGTGCATCTTCTTCAGGAGCTTCGGTAATTGCTATGACGCCACACTTTGATTTTTTCTATTTCTAGAATTTTAAATAAAAATAAGGTCGAATAAATATAATGATCGCGCAACAACGGATCCTGAGATTTTTGGACGTGCATGTCTGTCAAAGCCGCAACACCGCTTTTTTGTCGAATCAATTACCGCCTCGACATCTCAAGAAAATGATTTCAGGAACTAGCTCAGCGTAAAATCTCCCAATTACTTCTATCCTCCAGCGAAGAGTTTACCATCAGAATCGATTCCCTCCTTTCAGAATCGCGAAAAAAGAAGGTTTTGTTTACAATGGGAAATTGCTTTGGCCCTCCCTTGAGATTGGGAGCCGATCGATTTATTCGCAGTCTTATTTTGGGGCATCTCACGTCTCACGTTTTTGAATATCCAAAGAAATGATAAGATTTATTCTCATCCAAAACAGAGCTGGTAAAACTCGACTTGCAAAATGGTACACTCATGTAAGTTCTTACCAATTATGGTAACCATAAAGTTGTTTTAAATCTTGTTTTTATAATTTTTTTAAGAAAAAATTAGCGTGTTCCTATTTCAAAACCAATGAATCCGTTTACATTCCAGTCGGTCTCGGTCATTTGACGTATTTTTAGTATGATGAAACAGAAAAGCAAAAACTCATTGAAGATGTACATGCTCTCATTACAGTCAGAGATGCCAAACACACCAATTTTGTCGAGTTCCGAGACTTCAAGGTAATCCCTACGGTAGAAGGGATAAATATTTCGGTACAGAAGGAAAAGACTTTTTATTTCTCCCTAAAACCTTACCGTAACCTAGGGGCTCCGCCCCCGGGACCTCCCTTTAGTACAAGTACTTAGTTCCTAACCCTAAAGCCTAACCTAAGGTGCTTCGCCCCCTTGGGACCCCCCAACACTAACCAGAAATAAGCTTACCAAAAAATTTTTCCATACTACGATCCCAACTCTGGTTTCAGAAGTATTATGCCTTTTAAGGTGGTTTACAGAAGATATGCAGGCCTCTTTTTCTGCTTTTGCGTCGACGTAGATGATAATAATCTGATGCATTTGGAAGGAATTCACAATTTCGTCGAGGTAAATTGACATTGGTCGATTTCGATAGCCTTTATTGCTCATTCTATGTCTCGAATTTTGAAAAATTCGGTATAAAAAGTCGATATTATTAAAATGTGAAGGAGAATTTTCCTTCCCAGAATATTCACTTATTCCACGTCTTTTTAAAACCCAAACTCAGCAGAGTTTTCGCGCAAGAGCTGTCAAATAGTCTGATCAAACCGGGCGCACTGGGCTAACCAGGTTTCCCTCAAAAATCTGGCGTAAACCAATCTTTCCGCGATATTGTTTAAGCTCGCCGCCTAACAAACATCAGCTCAAGCCTAACACAACCGACCGCGTTGATTTTCTTGACTTTGGGCGAAATCAAGTCAAATAAATAATATTTTTGCTAATTTGCATCTTGATCGCTTTATTCCGTGGCGCCAGATTGCTCGAAAAAAGTTGTTCAAAGCAGATTTTTCTCCTTCAAAAATTCTTCTATAAAAGTCCGAAATTGAACTTGACTAGGAGTCAAAAATCGCAATGGGCGCAAATTGACCGCAAAATAACTCCGCACGAAATCGAATTAGATGTCGAAACTCAAACTTGAGCTGGCGGCTGAAATTTTGAAATTATCTGAATTTCAGGCTTTCAATTTTTCTTCAATTTTCTTTTTCAGGTGCTGAATGAGTATTTCCACAATGTCTGCGAACTCGATTTGGTCTTTAATTTTCACAAAGTCTACTCCGGTAAATATTCTCTACTACAATCACCCTGTTACTGTAATTTTCAGTTGTCGACGAAGCATTTCTCGCCGGAGAGCTGCGAGAAACAAGCCAGCAAAAGTTGCTGAAAGAAATAAACACCCTTAATTCTCTCGAATAACAGCACATTCATATGTTCTTCTTGTACCCAGGGATGTACCGATGATTCATCAAATATACTCACCTCTTTCGAAGTTACTTCTGTAAATTCCTTCATTTACAATTACGCATTGCTTGAAGTTTGCATTCAGAATTGGCTTCATCTGTCTGGACTCTGTAGCTTATGTCACTTTTTCAAAAAAGTTGACATAAATGGAGCATCTCGATCTTATCCTCGAGTTTTCCGCCAAAGAAATCGAAAAAGTAGACATTCGTCTTATTTCATAGTTCGTTGAATTGAATCAAAGGCAGAAAAAGAGAGAGATAAAAAAGGCAATAAACTGAGGACCAGCTATCAATAATACTAATTATAAGTACCGTTTATCATTATTGGAGCTTGAGATCCTTATCGCTTGGTTGTAAACTACTCGCTGATGGATATATAATTCTGCTTTTCCGTCCTGAAATCAGAAAAAAAGAACGAGAAAATGGGAGCAAACAACGGAAAACTCAGCCAGAAAAAAGTCAAAAAGCTGTCAAAGAAAACCGGCTTCACAACCGACGAAATCGCTACTTGGTACACTGGCTTCATCTCCGACTGTCCCTCCGGAGAGCTCACAAAAAAGGAATTTTCAAAAGTCTACGCTGGCTTTTTTCCTCATGGAGATTCTCGCGCTTTTTCTGAGTAAGGCCTTTTTTCGTGAATTTTTTCAATCAACCATTTAGGTTCATTTTCAGCGCTTTTGACAGAAATGGCGACGGGTCAATTGAGTTCTCGGAGTTTTTAGAGGCTCTAGCGATTACATCAAAAGGAAACTTCGAGCAGAAACTTGAGTGTAAGCTCTCACAAGTCATTTTTCTGACCTTTTTCCTATCGTCGATTTAAGGGGCCTTCAATCTTTACGACCTGGACGGCAACGGACAAATCTCCAAAAACGAAATGCTCCAAATCATCTCGGCCGTTTTCGCCATGGTCGGGACGCAAGCGAAAGTGAACATGACTGCGGAGGAGAAGGTGGACCAGATGTTCAAGGGGATGGATGCTGATGGAAACGAGGAGATTTCGAAGGAAGAGTTCTTTGCGGGGGCACGATTGGACAAGACCATTGTCGAAGCTCTCGGTGGAATCATCTAAAAATCAGGACATAAATGACTTTTTTTCTTTAAAATTTTCATCATAATTCTTTTCAGAGCTAAAATTTACTTGTCTTCTATCCTATCTATATCTGCTTTATGATTTCGTCAATAAAAAGTTAAAATGAATCAGTGCAACCCAAAAACGTCTTGACTAGCGCCAACCACGTCATCCTGCTTCACAAACAATTTCCCTTTGACTGTCGGGCTAAATGCAATAGCCGCCGAGTGACAGCTGCTTTGAATATTAAATTGCGAAGGGGCAGGCAACAGAGACTCAGTTGTCTCCACCGCGAGTTGTTCCCAGCGCAAAATTTGCATCGGATAATCATTTTTTATTTTAATAAGGACAGCTCAACGGTTAAGGTGATTAACTTGCTGACTCGGGAAAAAATTTAAACGTGGATTTCTAATTCAGCCTCCAGAAAAGGAAAAAAGATGCTGTTTTACTTGGATATAAGAAATGCTACAATTCATATAAATTCATAAACTTGTATTTAACAGGGAGCGTTTTGAAAATTTTTCTATTGGTTATCATGCAGAGAAATTTAATGAAATTTGAGGAGAGCAGTCTTATGGTTCTAAGTCATTTTGAAGTCATTGTTTTCATTGAAAAAAGTCGAATCTATTCATTGACAGGTCGTGTCGCTGGCATAGCTAGGTAGTGTCTGTACAAAGCTGCCATTTGTCGCCGTGCTCGTGCCCGCTGCTGTCTCATTCGGACCGTTTCCCGAACTCGTTGATGGAGCACAGCTCTTGAATGATAGTTGACAGTGTTTTGGACCCGGTTGAAGCCGATCAGGTCTCGTCTTTGCCGAAGAACAGCCTGATGATGTTGATGAAGTGGTGCGGAGTAGGTCAAAGCGACCAATGTCCAGAGAAAGGAATTTTTCTTCATTTTGGTAAAAAGTTTGTTTGTGAGTTTGTTGCGAAAAAAGTTGTCGTTTTTATAGGAGTCTGGCTGATTATGCTGACCTCTAGCACCGCGAATATCCAAGAAACGACAGTCATTTTTGACATTCCTGACCTGCTCAAGGTCTTAAAGAAAGTGACACTTTTTGACACTTTTCCGGTACTTTTTTAAAGATTTAAAAGGTCAAAAAATGAGTCCTACTTGTGCTTGTTTAGCGAGACGTATTTTTTACGTCAAACTTTTACGTCGCTCTCTGCGTTGATCTTTTACTGGACGTAACATAGATAAAGGTGAAAGTCTGACTGAAAAATGACTCAATGCTGACCATTAATTGTTCGAAATTATATTATACATTTTTAACCTAAAGAAATTGCTTACAATCAAAATTTTAGACTGAACCAGTGAGTGTGACGTAGATAAAGCCCCAACCGGTTAGAACACGTTCCAAACAAACAACATTCTCCTTATAAAAGAAAGAGAAACCCGACATTCAATCATTATCGAGAAAAAACTGAAGATGAATTTCACCTTTTTAGCCACTGTTTTGGTCTCCCTTGCTTCTGCCTGGCCTGGCCCTTACTACAATGGAAACTACTATCCGTACCGTCCATCCAAAGAATATGAAGAAGGAAGCGGCTACTGGAGATAAATTTGTTGAAGAATAAATTCTGATCTAAATTTATTTTATAATAATTGTATTATAAGATGTCTCCAATAATTCAATAAATATAAGAAAGACTTTCAGACTTTTTTTTTCAGATATTCTCGAATATACTTAATAAATGATTCTGTTATAGACGTTATATCTTAGGCAGGTATCTAAGAATCAGGATATTATTCTTCAAACCTGCCAATAACTCAATTTTGGCGCACTGACATCGCATTTATAGTCTTTTAACATTTGCATATCACATTTGTATTCCAAGGAATTGAGGGGAAAATGAGATTTTCGCGCAAACCGATACTTTTTCTCGTCATTTTCAGGTACTTAGCCTTCAGTATATTTGAATTATATCCCAGGTTAAGCCCAAGAAGCCCCTTTTCAAACAGCAAAACAACGAAATCTCGAACGAACACCGCCATATTCAGCAACTCTCTTGACCCCATTGCCTACAACACCATTCTAGAGCACCCGCATCAACACACTGACATCAACTTCAACCCTTTTCTATTCCTTGTCAGCGAAAACTACTTCAAATAAACATCAAGTTTTTGCATTTTCGATACATTTTGTCGTGTTACAGGCAGTTTGATAAATGATCTGATTTTTCTAGAGAGATTTTGTCAATTATTTTCGTCGTTTTCCTCGGACAGGCTGTTTTTCTTCATCGGTGCCGTCTTCTCCGGCCTTGGATTTCTTGTATTTTTTGTATTTGTAGAAGGCGTACTGAAAAAGAAAAACAGGAAGAAATTTGGTAGAGCGATGATTTCTTACCATTCCGAGAGCAGAGGCAAGTCCCATGCCGATGTAATGAACAATTCCAGCTCCGCTCTGAACGATAACCACGTCGTCGTCGATGTAGTCGTAGATATCATCGTAGTAGTCTTCGTCGTAGTCGTCGTTTTCGTCATCGATTGTGTAGCCCATCGAGTCGTAGACGCTGTCTAAGTTGTCGTCCTCCTCCTCATCGTAATCGTATCCATCATCGCCATCGTCGTATTCTTCAACGTCGTCGTCAACTGTGACATCATCGATAAAGTCGTAACCTTGGTCATTAAAGTCGACCATTGGGTCGTAGAAATCGCCCTTTGGCTCAGCGTCATCTTCAAAATCATTTTTTTTGAGAAACTTTTTATGGAACTGTTTATTACCTTGAATGAATTCGTAGTTATCCAAGCCAATATCTCTCTTGGCGCGATTGAGAATCTGATCAGAAGGTCGGTCTGTCAGCCCAGCGTTGCTCAAGCATAAAAAAGCGGTAATAAGCTTCATTTTGATCTACTATCGATGGGTTATCTGATGCGACTGATTGGGATAAGAGCCAAACAGATGAGTGTTCTAGAAGTTCCAGAAGATAAACGCGGGGTTTCATGACAGCTCTATGAATTCCTGACTCAGGTTTTCTACACAGGCTGCCGAGCCAAGGATGGTTCATTCTGCCCCTTCTAGATACTGTTATTTAACTTGTTGGGTCAAAAAATTGACTGTCAAATTCGAAATGGCATACGGGACAATTTCTGATGCAGATTTTCGCCGAATATTCGTCCCTATCGGAAGTGGAGATGCTCAGAATTCCGAAGAGAGAAAAATCTTAGTCGACCCAGAAGGAGATAGCTCAAAAGTTTCGATTGAAAAACTGCATTTTTGGGAAGATCTGACAGTAATGGCTTATTAAATTGAAAAGTTTGAAAATGATTGATGAAATGAATGAACCATGAAATTTAATAAGCGAAAAATTAGCGTCGAAAGAAAAGTTGTCCGGACCATCGTGGAGGAAAACGATAATGATGATGATTTGGGCGATTTCTGGTGTTTATGTGAACGCTTTCGTGGAAATTTACTTGCACGAGACTGTGTTCGGCCCGAATCAACTTGAATATGAGCCGCTTTGGGATATCTACGGTATTTTTTCTATTCAAGTTTTTTGCTGAATTTCCCTTCAGAGCTATTTGGCGAGGAAAGAAATGGAATCGATGGACTGTTTTCTTTCACCGAGAGAGCGATGCTTTTCTTCCTGATTTGCTATATCTTTCTTCTTGCTCTTAGCCCGAATCGCCAAGTTATCATTCGAAGATTCTGCTTCCTCGGTGGACTCATCTATTTTTACAGGCACGTGTCATGAAGGCTTATGATATTCTATTTCATTTATTTTAAGAGCGCTTTTTATTTCGGTAACAACTTTGCCCCCTACAAGAAAACTAGTTGGAGAATGCTCAAGACCACAAACTTCAGGAACGATTGGAGAGCTCCTCATACGGACTTTCTTCTTTGTTTTGACGGGCGGGTTCAAAATGAATCAAGATGGAAACAACATTTGCGGGTAAACACATAATTTTTCTTCTCACCTACTTAGATTTGAAGGGGTTATCTTTTCTCCGGCCATACATCGATCATCATCCTGTTCTCCCGATTCGTTTGCAACTATTCTTCAAAAAAGCTGCCAAGGAGCTTCAAATATGGACTGAAGGTGTTGGAAGTTTTGTCAATCGTTTGCATCATTCTTGCACATGAGGTTATCCGTTTTCCGGAGAAAGAATACACTACTAAAAAATTCAGCATTATACAATCGACATCATAACTGCCTGGTTCTTGATGACAAGAGAAATGTGGATTTATACTTCTTTACTACAAACTCAAGGTAAATATTCCATTTCATAGAAACAGATCGCTAGTCGCAATTCTACAGAACTTCTATGATGATTTTTTGAGCTCGATTTTAAGCGATTGTTTAAGATCATACAGCTTCTTACTCTACTAAGATTATGGTTCCTTTTTTTAGACGAAAATTTGAACGAAAATATCGCTCTTACAAATGTCTGGTGGTCGAGTTTCTTCGAATGGATCGAAGAGGACTTGCCTCGAGATGAATTCTACCTGCCGAAAGAAAACTTCTAGTGTACACTTTCTTGCATCAATATATTTTTTTAATGAACTTTAAATTTACAGGATTTTAATTTTTTTTCGGACTTTTGGCAGGAACATGGTTTTGAACTTGAGAATCTCTCAATGGCTCGGGAAGAAAACGGACGAGTCGGACTAGAAATGGATGAGAAAATGAGTTGAAGGGAGTTTCTTACCACTCCTTTGGGGGTTATGGGGCCGAATTGGTCTCTAAGCTTGCTTGGAGTTCTTGGCACCATGGTTGGAGTCTGCGTCATGGAATCTTCCAACGGGACGTTTAAAGATTTTTTCGGGCTAATTAGATCTAGCCCTGGAACTGGGCGGGACTTCTTGCTTCTTTTGGGAGTGAGAACGGGTGGAGGCTGGATTTTGATTGTTGGAACTGGCGGGGACGGCGGGGATTCTAAAATTTCTGTGAGTAAAAATGAAATTATGATAAACTAACTTTGTTCTTTCTTGATATCAATATACGGAGGTGTTGTAAGCTGGGCGAAAAACTTCGGTGATTTCAGCGATCCATGATCTGAACTTGAGCATCTTCTTTCTTGATCTTTTTCCCCATCTTCTTGTATTTTTTCTAGGTGATCTTCTTTAATATCGTCTCCCGGTTCAGCTTTGATCGAGTCCAAACGGTCTCTAGCAGAGAAAGACGCGGTATTATGGAGATGTTGCTGGAGATAGAGCGATTCGTGGTGGCCAAGGAAGGGTGAAGGGCTGAGCTGGCTGAAAAAAGCGAGCGGCGAAGTTGGAGACAGAGGAGCTGGGCTATGTTGGGGGATGAAAAGGCTTGGCCGCTCGAAGGAAAAATGTGTTGCGCGGATCTACGAAACTAATTGAATTATGATCAGGGGGAAGCCGTTACCTTTGGAGAAAGAGGAGGATGAGTTGCCGGTCGCTTGAAGTTGTCAACAAGTGTGTTTGAAAAAACAGCAGGTGTGGATGGAGTTGTCGGGGTGCAAGGAGTCAGAGTCAGCGCCGGTGCAAGTGGCGTCGCTGGTGTTAGCGGTGTTGCTGGAGACATGAGTTCTCCTGTCGATCCGACCATGGCATGATGTTTCTTTTTCCCGTGCGCGCCATGAGGAACTCCTTCGTGTCGAGACTTGAGATGATGGAAATCAAAGAGGAGTTAAGAAATTCCGATTTTACCTTTGCTCTTAGATTATTGATTGTCGCCTTGCTGAGTTGGACGATTTCTCGTATCGCGTTGTCGCATGGCTGACTTGCATGGTCTCGCATATCATAATACAGCTACCAAATTTACTGATGATAGAACTCAAGAATATGATCTTACCTCCCGTCGCTCTTTTGAAGAACCAAGTGATCTTTGACGAAAGTCTTCCAGGACATCGGGATATCGACTTAGCAGAAGTCGGATGCAATTCTTAGCGCAACATTTCTAGAGCTTACTGTAACTGACTAGAAATCATATCTGGATCATACCAATTCGCTCAGTTTTTCGACGGAATGAAGAGCCCGCCTCGCCTTTGGAGCCGTATTTCGCGTGTACAAAAAGTTCAACGAGCAGCGCAGAATCTTGACAATCGCCTTTTTACAAAACCGCATACCCGTACTTCCCAATTTGTCCTTGCTCTCCTCGACAAAGGCGATGTAAGCCCTTGAATAGCGGCGGCCATTTTCGATTTCGCCCTCTTCTTGTCGGACGTTTTTCAGCCGTCGCGCTTCGCTCGTGATTCCGATAATTTCATGAAGCTGCTGCGTCCTTATTGAACAATGAGCGAGACAGATTTTGCGCAAAGCATAAAAAGAATGGGTAAAAAGTAGATTATGAAAAACGTGGTCAGTTTCGCTCTGCGGCTGACCCAATTTACGGCGCGAAAATCCGGAACGAAAAGTTCAAAACTTTAAGTTTCAACTCTTTTCTCTCTTTTGCAACTTGTTTACCTCTTGATGGCGCTCTTTTCTGTTCCCAAGATACTTTTCTGAATACAACGACACATGCCATTCATCCTTCGATCAGTGCATTCGAGGATCCGTCGCATTTCTGGTGTTATTTGATTCTAAATGGACAATCAAAAATTCAGATGAATATGACATTTTTACGTTTATGAGTAAATTTTCCCATTCTTCTGTATTGTTTGCTGGATCGTCAAATTCGCTCATTCTTAATTTTTACTGATAAACGCGAGAAAAGTACATATAACATCATTAGCGCGAATGGAATTAAGGGGACTAAGAAGCACTTTTGCGGCTCTCGGCTTTTTTGAATTCACGTTTGAAAATTTCAACGCTGTATTTCATAAGGCTATATGAGTTGGAGCGTTTACTTTTATGAAATATATATGAACGCTAGTATATAGAAGGAAATAGGAGCGAGGCGAACTTCTCAAATTTATTCTGTCGGAGAATATGATGATCCCAGCTCGCTTTAATATTTAATCATATTTTGATTTTATGTCAAACTCGGGTTACGGGAACGACTTGTTTCTTTGGCTTCCTATTTCACGGATTATTGGGGCTAGCTGTCTAATTTTTGACTGTTTCAATGTCAGATCTACTTTTGTTAAATCTCTGATAGATCTTCTTTGATGAGCAATCTGTCTTTTTAATTATGGCCATAATTTATTATGAATAATAAATATAAAAATAATTCATCATTATTTGACTTTGATTTTCATTCTTTTTCGATTGATTGAGATTTTTCATATTAAAAATACTTAATCAGAACCGGTTTGAATTCTGAAAATATGCCCAGGTGTAGAGTAATAGCAAGAAGAATATTTGTACTGTAGAAAAAGAAGTAGCAATCACTATTCTCTTTGGTTCTCCGGCCGTCCAGGAACGAAGATTCTTCGAGTTTATTAAAAGAAAACGACACGGAATTGTGAGGCGCCATGTAGCGGCAGATCCCCAAAATCTATCGATAATTGATCATTGTTACGCATCACATATACACACACACATATTTCCATGAAGTTTTATTTGCCCCTTTATAAAGCGATTTAGACTGGATCAAGTAAACCGATCGAACTCTCAAAAACTCTTAAGAATTAAGGATATCATGACTTATTCCTTGTTTACAAAATGAAATAAGGGTGTCACTTTCTTAATTTTTAGAGAAAATAGCCAGTTTTGAGATATGTCTTGAAAATTTAGTGAATTGTTTTCTCGCCCACACCCTTAAGATTCTTCTCAGAATTTGACCTTCAAGGTCGGGGAAGGCCCCTAAATTCGAAGAATAAATTTTCTTAAGCTTGCAAAACAACTTTTCCTGATTGAAAAAGCAAATAACCTTGAAAAGTTCTGCGCGCTCAAAGTCGTATTCTCTTTGGCTAAGTTTTAAGTAGATGGAGAATGTGGCCGTTCAGAGCGCAAATATTTGCGCTTTTACGACTCCTTGGTAAAACAGAACATGGAACTAAAAATTTCCACCTTGGAGCTTCTCACGAGGTGGCCCGATTCACGCCAAAATACGACGTAGTTTGTTTTATTTGGAAGCTGCTCAGGGGAAAGTTTTGTCTTTACAGTCGTTCCAAACTACAGTCAAAAATATAAAATTGGTCAAGTCATTTTCTAAAGATTCATTAACCCTAACCCTAACCCTAACCCTAACCAAAGACTTCTAACTAAAAATAGCTCGAAATTGATAGCAAGGAAGAGATTTCAAAAAAAATAAGTGAAGCGAAAATGAGCTTTTTTTTAATTATGTAAGCAGTTACGTTTTTCTATTGCTTTGGTTTGCAATTTGACTTCCCGGAACTCTGGGGAAGATCCCTTCCGCCGATTCGCGTAAAGCCGCCACAGCTGTGAAATTTCGACGGTGCTCAGAGGCTCCGCTCTAACAACCACAGGGCACCTAACGTGGTACATAAGCACGCCAATTTCTGTTGTTAGAACATAACTCCAGAAAGTAAAAGAAAAATTGAAAGTACAAAGCAAAGAGCGAGATGAAAGTTTTCAATATTTTATCTGCTTACTCGGCCGTGGATGCAGCAAGACAGAATCAAGATAGGCTCATTGGTGGGCGATCTCCTCTAAGGTACTAGAACCGTTCTTTTAAAGGGCTTCAGAAAATTTTTTTTGTAAAATAATTCGCAAAATACTGAGTGAAAAAGTTACCTTTGATTTTTCATATCTGCTTTTCGAAATTTCGACAGCGAGATTTTTCGGCGATATTCTCTTCTGATAATGAGAATCTCTCGTCAGCTTTGAGATTCTCAAATAAATCCCGCCCTCTTGCCTTTTTTGATCACCAATAAACATTTTCCTGGTGGCGCTTGATAGCAAATAATTATCAACCGTCAAGTTTGATAAAGCTTGTCTTGTATTTAATCGGTGTTTTCAGCGACCTTGAAGACAATTCTCAGGGAATTTTCGCTCTTCTGGATGCGCTTTATGGTGAAGATCATGTAATTGCGAATCACTGGAAGGCAAAACTTCGACGAAATCAAATTCGCTACGCAAGACAGTAAGTGTATCAAAATCTAGAAGGAAGATCCCTTCGAGGGACTTTTGAGAATTATATTCATTTTCCCTTCCTAGCTTCGAAAACTGCGGCTCACTAAATACCTCTCGTAAGCGCCGTTCTGCCACTGAACTTGACCTTACCGATCCCGCCATAGTCCAGCGCGATGGAGATGATCATAAAGGTACACTAAAGCTTTTCATCAGCATACTTGTTGCATCATTACATTTTATCATCAGAACTACATGTAACATGTTTTCAAGTCATAAAAAACTTCATGAACCGATTCAAACGATGGGCTGGTGATTACTTATCTGAGGTTTGGTCAGGCTTTGAGTTCCTTCTCATTGTTTCTAGTGCCCAAGAGGGATCGCTAAGCGGGAAAAAGCACGAGCTGCCTTTTGGATGGGGAAGTTGCAGCAGCGAATTACCAGATACAGAAACCGTCATGGATGAAAAAGGCCGATCCAAAAAGAAAAAAAAATATTATTTCTATTTCTGTATATATGTTTTCTTAAATAAACCTTTCCTGAAAATAAGAAGCTTGTTGCCAGTTATTCTGAGACTGCTACTAATATTCTCATGCGCTTGAAATTTCACTGTCACGTGATTGTGACTCCAAATCATCAAATTTTCACCCTCGGAAATGAATCAGTAGGACCACTCGATCATTTATACAACAACGTTTTATTTTTCATTCTACTAGAACCCTGCCAAAAATGGCGCTCAAGTGCAAAAGAGTATATTCTGAAATAAATGACCAAAAGATTACCACCTAGATCTAGGATATATAACAAAAAAATCCTAATTATTCCTACAAAATGACAAGTCTCCTTCTTCCTACTTTGTGGTTTTTATTAGCAGTTGAGGCATGTAAGAGGGGCGGAAATCCGATCATCTGTGGGCTCGTACCAACCCATTGTACGTCCTATCGAAGGGAAAAGCTCAAAGGACATAGGAATCTATGTGCGGTCATGTCACAGCTGCTCTTTTATCACCAGGCGGATATAAACGCGTGTAGAAATTTATTCAGCAACACTTTCACAGAGATGATTTTGGTAAAATTTTACTTTCAGAGATAAGTCCTTATTTCCATATTTTAGTTCGCCTCCCTCTTGGGTCTCGCTTTTTGCGGCGAATATTGCTCCAACCCCCGTGTCGATCACACTCTCACTCCAGAAGCAGTCGGAAAAGACATCGCCCATGCAACCTATCGAAAAGTCTGGAAAAAGATTTCCAAAATCGACGAGATTCACTTTCAAGATCGCGAATTTCTCATTCGCTACGCTCTCGCTACCACAAATTATGGAACAAACACCACTACTGGTCAAATCTGGCCACTGACTCAAGACCAATTCGATGATACCAAAAATTTGTATTCTTTCCACAAAACCTCCATTTTGAACGCATTTCACCTCGACTGGAACCACATGCAGTTCTCAGATCTCGACGTCCCGCAATACTCTCTCATCTCTCTCATCCTCTACCTTGAAATGCAATCTTTCTTCCCTGCCCCCTTCGCCCAAGCAGATCAAGCAGCAACATTCACTGCTGTTACTAAATCAACTGTTGGTACTTTCTACGATGCTGCTGATGAGATTGCTGTAGAAGTAGACGGATCCTGCCTCGATAAAGAAATGGACCTTGTCTTTGTTGTTGACGAGTCTGGAAGCGTTGGTCCCTATAATTTTGAGTTGACGAAGGATTTCATCTTGCATCTCACCCATTGCTTAGATATATCAGCAGAACACGCTCGTGTGTCAGTCATTACTTACGCTTCTGTGGAGCATATTGACTTTAACCTTCACGATTACACCAATAGAAACTTCAGTGATGTCATCTCGAGCTTGACATTTTCAGATGGAGGAACAGCAACATACAGTGGTTTGGACAAAGCTCTAGAAGTCTTCAAAAACAGCCCAGATAGCACAAGAACGAAGACAAGGAACGTTTTGATCACTATTACAGACGGAGCCAGTAATAACAACGTTCTTACTTGCGAAGCTGCCGAACGACTAAAAAATGATCCCCTAAATATTCAATCGATCGCAATCGGAGTCGGATACGCGTGGGAACATGAGCTTCAGTGCATTTCTTCCTCATCCGACCATATTCATCGGCTAAACAATTTCAACGACTTCGCTGACATCAAGAGCATGATAATGAACACCGCTTGCAATGCTGAAATCGATGTCGTCAACGGAACAACTGGTGGATTTCTTCGGACTGCTGACGCGTCATATGGATCCGAAAGTGTTAATTTGATCCTAAACGGAACTGATCGTTTCGAACTTAATTCTAACCAGCGATTGACTGTCTACGGCTCTTACGAGTTTGCGAAGCCCTCCAGTGTGAGCAACGACTTTTCATTCGAATTCGATCATCATGGTCTTCCTTGGAACGAGACATGGGTAGAATACAACCCTCAATTCAGTGGAAAACTATTCCTCACCCTTGAAAATCTAGAGCCAGCAACCGCCGATTCAAAATTCGAAATTCGAATCATAAAGGATCCACCTGTAAATACGACCATTCCAGAACCGATTGACGAATGCATCAAGAACGCGTTTTGCAACATGGACTCTGAATGCGAGTGTTTCAGCGACTACGTGACTGTCGAGGACAGATGGGGTTCCGGATGGGGTCTCGACCAAGGATCAGAAGACCCTGGCTATTCTTGTGAAGCTCCTTGCCCAGTTGCACTTGAAGAGTCCGAAATCATCTGCGAGCCGGGTACACGAGGCGTGAAGGTTCCACTTTGCGCGCTACGACACGCTCATGTTCATAAAAATAATCTCTATATGGGTAAATTGCGATTCTTAATCGCAATGATTTATGCTTTTTTGTAGGAACTGCAGGATGTATCGGAACGCTGAATGAAGAAGAGGGAACAATTGATTTTGAAGATGGCCTGAATGGCTGCTCAATGGTTGAGAACATCAACTCAACACATATCTATTTCACTGGATTGGTTTACTCTCAAGAGAATGGTCATTCAGGAAACGCTATCGTTTCATTCGGACACGCGTTGGTGAGAGACTGTCTCAATAATAGAAAAGCATTTATAATAAATATATTCAGAAAATTCATGCAACTTGTGCATTCGAAAAGTGTATTCGTGCGCATGTAGACCTTATCGTTAATATTGCGATTTGGAACATCAACCTCGGCAAGACTGGCCAATTTACCACATCTGTCGCTGTTTACGATCGACCAGATATGGAGAAACCAGTTCCGTAGGACTCAAATTACACGATTATATTTGCTTAAAATTTTCTAGGTCTGACAAAGTGTTCGAAGGATTTGACGATGTTTTCGTTAATATAACTCTTGACGATACGACCGACTTTTTCATCAGTTTCAAATCTTGCGAGGCATATGACGACACTCTTGCTTCTCGTCCAACTTGGCCGCTCATTTCTGGCGGCTCGGAAGTGCAAGACTCGGGCTCACAAATTCTCGATAATTTCGGTAATTTCTGCGAAAAGAACATGAAAATAAATTGTTTCTCTAGGTACTTCGATCGCCTTCAGCTTCAAAGCCTTCGCTTTCAATGATTTCGACGCCAATGGACCTCCTGACTTCGGAGAAAACATCAAAATCGAATGTACTGTCTGCGTTTGCGATCCGAACCTTGATCAAAACTGCACTCCTGGCGCTCGAAAACGAAGAAATGCTGAAAGCAACGATAAAAATGAGTTCATCGTCTCCACAACTTTCAATCTTAACCAGTAATTATTTGTCCCTTCAACTGAAAACTCATTTTTCTGACACACGTAATCACATGTTTATAAACTGATACTTATTACCAACTCATTGAAAAAGAACAATAAACAATCAATTCTCCAAAATAAGGCTTTTCTATACTTGTTTTTCAAAAAATTGCAATAAAAACTGATTTTAACTCAAGAATGAACCACTTGAAAAATTTCCCAGTCCAGAAAAGGCATTGAAATTGTTATTTGAGGAGAATAAAAATCCAAACAGAGTCGGATCGCTATTGACTGAGATAAAAATTATTTGAGAAAGACGATGATAAAAACGCTTCTGGTAATTTTTATTGAGAAATTATTGGTTGAATCGACTCCTTTGAGAGAAATAACAACAGGTTTTGTCGAGACGAGTCAAACTCAAACTGTTACAGATATATCAGAAGTTACAGGGATGCGTTTCATCGAGATTTTGCATAGTTTTAAATCTCGAATAAGTGAAGAATTTTTTAAGTCAATATATATTTCATGCACCGTATACGAAAAAACGCTGATAGAAACTCTTTAAGCATAATTCATTTCAAAAACTATGAATATTTTCTTCTCAAGTCGCTCTTTTATAGTTACCTTCGTTACGCTTTCTTTGCCCAAGCAGCCGGAACCGTTGATAAGATAGAACTGATAAGAAAAATAAATCATGAAGAAATCCTACTTTCTTAGCAAGATTGAACCATTTTTAAGTAAAAAACGCGTAAAAGACTCAACAACTGTCATTTTTTCTTCGAATGCCGAAGATTCAACAACGGCTCAGGCTTTTACATCATCATTTCTATCACTTACCAGCGATTTTTCATCATCATCAACCTCGTCAGATTCCCCTTTAACAAGTTCATCGTTGTTTCCAACGACAGAAGCCTTCAGCACTCTTCAAACCACCAGTGCTCAGACGATCTTCTCGACTTCTTCGCTGATACCAACAACTGCATCAATGTCAACAGTCACTGGAATCACTTCAGAAATCACTACTGGAGAATTTTCAACAGAAAAATTGGATTTTACAACTGCAAATGTCACAACTCTCCCGCCGGAGGAATATACAACTGTGGAGACAAAGCATTGTACAGGAATGCTTTCACAAAATTACAAAAAGAAATGACCTAGCTGTAAGTGCCTCGGCAATCTGTCTAAAAACCTGACTCAGGGATCTGAGTGAGCTTTTATAGAACGCCGCACAGCGGCTTTATTCCGAAAAAAGCCGGCCAGGGCTTTTTATAAAAGCTGATTCTTGACCCTGACTCAGGTTTTTACACAGGTTGCTGAGCAAAGATGTAGACCGAAATCATTTGTGAAAACATTTTCAAAGGTTACGGATGCATCATTGGAATTATGACGGCAGTTTTTGCAGCAATCGCTATTATTCTAGCGTTTTCAAGAATACGATGAACAGATGATCTTCTTTCTTATATTTTTTCTATATTGCAATAAAGATTTTATTTTCCTTTCTTGACAGTCAAAAATGCCTCTTTGAAGATGAGTAATTTCACGATTGAAGCGGCGTTTTATGTTATGAAGAGGGTTAATTAGCGCAAATGTCATCGCGTAGCTTAGCCGCGTTTTACGTTCCAAAGCGAAAACGATATTCAAATAGAACTAGAAAGAGACACAAAGAGAGACTCAGAAAAGAGCCTCTCGGAAGTTGAAAAAGAAACAAAAGAGAGAAGCGATCGCGAATTTTTGAAATTTCAAAATGATTCGCCAGAGAAACTCTTCTTTAAGAATATTTTGTTTGGATTGTTAAAATAGATATTATTAAAATTATTTATTAAAAAAATATTAATTATTATTTTTCTTAATATTTTTTTCACCATTTCGGGTTACTTTATTTTTCAACAGTTATTCGGAAAAAAGGATGATCCGGGCAGGTCGTTCCGATCTCAGTTTGGTTGTGGCGCCTTTTGTTCCAATTGGCGGCGGCGCGCGGAAAAAAATTGAGAAATTCGCGGCGGCCGCCCGAAACCCCAAAAACCGAAACCGACTGGTTCATCAATTTTTAACACTTCCAAAGCGGCCACTTTTGTCTAGAGAAAATGCCAATGACAGCGCGCCGAAATCGATAAACAAACAAAAGCCGACTTTTCCGTTTTTTTTGTCGTATTCTAGAGATTTTGACGAAAAAAGAAGCAAATAAAAACGAAGACAAAATACTTTTTTACTGTTATTCTAGAAATAGTTCTTTGTCAAGGAATTTTGATTGATTTTAATCTAGAAATCGGCTTTTAGAATTGAAAAGCCGCTTGCGGCTTCGAGAAAAATAGCCGCGCTTTGAGCGGCTCAATTGTACTTTTTCTCGAAGCCGCAAGCGGCTTCTCGCTTTTTAAAGCTGAAAATTTAATTCGAAACTACCGATTTGTATCAATTTTGAGGCCGAAAGATGATCCGAAAATGAGCGAGCTCGGGAATGTTTAATTACTTTTTCGTTGAAACGGATAAGTATCGAAAAAGAGCGTAATTTCTCTCGCTTTGCACTTGACAGCTTTGCCTTTGAAGAATTGTCAAGAGCTCTTCCGGCTCACTTTCACTCATTTTTAGGCAGATTTAGTGAGCAGTGAAAAGACAATCAAATTTTACTCTTCTGAAAAACCGGACTCAGGGTCCTGTTTTTTGGAAACTTAGGAAGAAAACCTGAGTCAGGGTCTGAAATTTTTCAGACCTCGAAATTAACGGGTTTTCTCAGGCTTTTACACAGGTTACCCTGATAAAAGTCAGTTTTCACTGATAACTTATCAGTAACTGTTGAAGATAAGAAAGTTCTTTCTTTTCCGGAAGTGAGAACCCGGAGAGCCCCTTGATCCGGCTGACGCGAGATTTGAGCTGTAAAGACCCGAAAGTCTGATTTTTAGCACTTTTCCATTTTTGGGTTATGTCAATTGACTTTCCGGGTGGACATTTGACGGCAGTCCGAAAGAACAAATCTCGTTGATATCGCGATTTCCCAAGCGAAGATTCGAAGATTTTGAAAAAAAAAATTAAAAATATTTTTTGTTATTGACTTTTTTACTTCGTCTTTTTGAAGCCCTAGACGAAGAAAATGGTTTCGTACACGCCATACAGAGGTAAAAAAATAACGATAGAAAGAGTTGAATAAGCGACCTTCGTAAAAACGATGAGTAAAAAACGATCAAAGCCGAGAATGACTCGTATTTCCCGAAAACTCATTTTTACAATTTTCGTGATTCTTTCTTGTTCAGTTAAATTATATATTCATAAACTGAGCTCAACTTTTCTTACTTTCGAGTTCCAGAGGCCGGTTAGAATCTTATCGTTTTGGGAATACATTTTTTCTCACGCCAAATTGAGAGAGTCCAGAATTCCCGACGAAAAAGAGAATGCAAGAGAAAAAATGGGGGTTTCTTTTTGAATCTTTTTTCATAGAAATTTATTGTTAATTTTTAACATAAAATAGTTTCTCCTGCAATAATGGGTCATTTACACCAAGGCGCGATTGCTCAGGGAGATATCAAAAAAAGGGATGACGAGGCGCCGCACTTGCTCCCGGGCAAGGCGACAGGACAGAGGGTACTCTTCACAATCTCCTCAATCCCTTTCTCCCTGTGTGCAAGTGGCAATGAGTAAGCTCTCTATTTTTGCGCGGCCGAGCATTAGCAGCTCCTCTCGCCCTTGTAGCCCAGTCAGATATGAAAGAGATATTTTTCTTTCTACTCATTTTATTTTCCTTTCTACCGAAGAGATTTGGGCACAACTCGAAATTTTCAACTTGCGCCGTGTTGAACTCAAAAATCGACGTTGAAAAGCTCACTCAACAACGAAAAAATGATGCAATGAAAAATTGAAGATATTTAACTCGTCAATAACCCCTCGGCCGCAAAGTGCCGGAAAATAGAAAATAGGGCAGAAGGGGCCAATAAGAAGTTTGCACGAAATTTGCTATTGCGCGCTAATGGGTTAAAATATAAAAGGGTGTTGAACTTTGAAAGTTCAAATATTATTGATAAACCTCTTCTGACAAATGAGTCAATTACTTGGTATTTCATTCATTTAATCAATATCCAGGAAACTAACAGATTTAATGCCAATAACTTGAAGTTTGAGAACTGTTCTATGGTTTCTGGTCATTTTATGAGGACTGAAAGTTATCATTTTCAATTATATCATTTTCAAAAGTATTTGGAGAATCCTTTCCTATTTTCTCCGAAATGCTAAATCTCCCGAAATCCACACCGGCTCCAAAAATCACGCAAGATCGGCTGCTTCGTTCAGCCTGAGTTCACCTCAATACGAGGCCACTTGTTTTAAGAATGTGATTTTTCTCGTGCAAAATCGCCACCTGAAAAAAGAAAGAAGAAAAAGAGTGAACTTTTTGTTTACAAAATTGCCCGAATTTCATTTTTTCCGAGCTTTTCTTTTTTGCTGATTTTGAGAAAGGTTTCTTTTACGAGAAGGTTCCTGCCGGGTTAAATTATGTAACGCTTTTTCCGAGAGCCAGCTGTTGTCGAAATTTTTAAAATTTTTAACCTGATTGAATCTAACAGTCGTTTTATTTCAGATCACTCGGATCGTGTGGGATTGGAATTGGAAATGGATCCCGTGAATGAATATGGTAAGTTTGCCTCTTTAATCTTCAAGTAACGGGGAACGATGTGTTGAAAATTGAAATTAAGGATACCCCGCTGAGGAAGATCGTAAGTAAAGATTTTACGCGTGATTCATATTTTTGAATTTAACCAAAAGTTTGATCTTGCAATTAACTCATTTTTTATTGAAGTGATAATTTTAAAATTAATTATTTGCCATATTTTTCTCATGCAACGAATATGAAATCAACCCGACAATCAAAATCTGTCATGATAAACTTTTAAAAGATTATTTCCGGGATCATTAACTCGCTACTATCTACCGGTATCTATTTATTCCGTCACTTATCTGAAGACACTTGCTCCTTTAGGAGCTGAAGCTCGATTATTATCTCAGATAATTTATCTGGCAATTACTATTACTCCTATCCGCCCGTGTTTTGAGCTTCAAGAGCGCTTTTTTTCTGAAAAGAGGATGATCCGCTACGAGCCCAGCTCAGGGCGAAATTGGACGCTTCAGAGAGAATCTTTAAATACTAGAAATTCGGGCTATAAACAGATAAAGGCTTCAAAATGAACTTCTGTTAATTCTTCATTTTGAACAAAATTGAACAAGAACAAAATGTCGATTTTTTGACAGACCGGAAACACGACAATAAAAACTTGACTTATTCATTTCCCCGTTCAAAGTTTGAAAGGTGCCAGTCTGGGCTCCTTTGAAAAGGTTTTCCGGTTTTTGAGAAAATCTATTTTTGTTCATTTTGAAACCTTTGTCGAGTCGAGTTATTATCGGAGCAGATCGCCCCATGCTGTTGTAGAGAGGACTAGAATTGTTCATTACTGCCAGAAAACAGAGAGTTTTCCCAAAAGAGGAAAAGTACCTGAAGGTTAGTTCTTTATATTGTTTTCTTTCTGAGCGAATAAGATTGCTCGATTTACGGGATAAACCAATAAGAATTGAGAAATTTTGGAAGGGCTGAATTCGAATCTGAATTTCATCAGAACTGACTAACAACTGAATTATTCGCGTTTTTTGTCGAAAAAATCACCTCTCCGGCTTAACGCGTGTGCCCAACAATGGCAGGAATGCGCCGCGGGCCCTTTGTCAGGACGCATCTTTCATGAACCGTTTCTAAGTGATGTCTGTCCATTCTGCTTCTTTTTTTTCTCCAGTTTGTGGACTAGAGTCTAGCCCTTCTAGTAGCCCCTTTTTTGAAAAATCAAATAGGGCGTGGGAAATTAGCAGAAAAGAAAATCACTTGATAGAAGGAAAACTTTTTCAAGAGGATTTTCTTTGTCTTCAAGAAAAACTTTTTTTACCGAAAACGAATTTCAACCAGATTTGTTCATAAGAGAAAGGAGTTTTCCGGAAAAATGAGACGAGGTAAATTTTCAATAGGGTTAGGGTTAGTGTTAATTTTTAATTGACTGTCAGACAGAGCCAGATATAATCAGAGGGGTTAAATATTTCTCCAGTTGATGGTCAGTAAAATTGAGCAGCGACAAGTAAATGACTCGATAATTGGATTTAAAATCGATCGAGCTCAGAATTCGCTGAGTTTTAACGGAAGAAGTAATTGACCTATGATGAGTTGACCACTTATGTTTTCGGTAGTAGCTCAATTAAGAGTATTCCTCTTTTATTTCAATGAGTCAAAATGATGAGTCTACTAGTTATAGTAGAAGCCAATTAGAATGTTCCTTTCTTCATATAAACCATAGTTTTTTCCTTGGTTTTCTCTCTTAGGCTCGTTTTTGAGTGATGCAAAAAGTATTTTTCACATGTCAGTGTGTCCAAGTTTCTTGTTTTCTGATGCCCCTGTTTGATGTGTAGTCGCCCCTTCCACTACTTTTTCGCCTCTACTAGACAACTCTCTATCTTGCGAATTATTTACTTATTAAAAAACTATTACTTTGAGCAGCAATTTTGAGCTAAAAGAGTAGAGAATCCTGGGAGCGCGGAGAAGTGACACACTTAGCCTCAAACAACTGAAGTGAGGCTTTCGCATTTTCAAGGAGCTGAGTTTCAAGACAAAAGACAAAAAGTCGTTGATTTCTTAAAGTTTTTAATTATCATCGCTTTTTGGATATTTTCGCCGGTTCGAAAATGGCGAGTCCGAAAAGTGAGAGACTTCAAAGACGCCGTTGGAGCTATGCTTACGGTAGGAGATGCCTAGGTCTCTTCCTTGTCTCCAAGGGGTTTACTTCGGTTTAACCCGTTCATTCAGTTGAAAAGGCTTGGAATTGTCGCTCAAAATTGATTTTCTTTTGAGAGTTTTTGTTGACAAAAGCATAGGAATCAGTGATAAGCCCTCTGACTTCTGATCTTTTGCAAATAGAATGAAGGATTTAATGGATTTCCAGCAGTTTGATTTTTTGTCAAATCAGCTTCAGATGATTGATAAGTTGATTTTTTCCGTTTCAAATGCAGTAAAATTATCATGGCCATCTTTAATTACCTTTTAACCTTTCATAAAATCCTCATTCAAGGATTTTGCTTTCATTTTTTATTGAATTTTTCATTGAGAAATCAATGTCTCTTAACATTTTTTCTTCCTCAATTAATCAAATTATTATTTTTTTTTTCTCTCACGTTTTGAAAAAAAACTCTCACTTTCATCTGCGCCGCGAAATCAGCGCCAAGTGCATTCATGGGGAAATAAAGCAAGTTTATGATGCGCTCTTATTGCGCGTCTGTGACTTGGTTTGTGTGACGATTTGCCACATTTTTCGGCTTCTCGAAATAACTTACCCCTTTTTCGCTTTGATTTATCTTTGCTTGTAGCTTACATGCAGCAGGAAGAGGACTGGGATCGAGAGGGCCTTCTCGACCCTGCATGGGAAAAGCAGCAGCGAAAGGTACAGTACCGAAGATTCAAGAGAAACACGCTGGCTCTTTTTAGACCTTCACAGCTTGGTGCAATTCCCACCTTCGAAAAGCTGGAACTGGCATCGAAGCCATCGATGTCGACTTCCGAAATGGCCTCAAATTGATGCTTCTCCTCGAGGTACGAATTTTGCTTCCCTTTTTTGACTTCAACTGCCGCTTTTTAGGTTATCTCTGGTGAGCGACTTGCCAAGCCCGACCGAGGAAAGATGCGATTCCACAAGATCGCCAACGTCAACAAGGCTCTTGACTTCATCGAATCCAAAGGTACCTCCTTCAAATAATCAATCACCACCTTCATCAATCAATCAGGTGTTCGATTGGTCTCCATCGGTGCCGAGGAAATCGTCGACGGCAACGTCAAGATGACCCTTGGTATGATCTGGACCATCATTCTCCGATTCGCCATCCAGGACATTTCTGTTGAAGAAACTTCCGCCAAGGAAGGTCTCCTTCTCTGGTGCCAGCGAAAGACTGCGCCATATAAGAACGTCAATGTACAGAACTTCCACATGAGGTACAAGAGTATTTCAATATGAAATGATATTTGCATGATACATTATTGCAGGCTATGGCAGGATTTTATACAATAAAAGCTGCACGCGGCTTTTTGTCCAAAAAGATGATAAAAACTTGAACAAGTTTCTTTCACAAAATTCTATCACCAAAGACTGTTGCATAACCACTTGATTTATAGCTGGAAGGACGGTTTGGCCTTCTGTGGTTTAATCCACCGCCACCGACCTGACCTCATCCCCAACTTCCACGAGTTGCGACGGGTAAACATATTTTTCACACACATTTTGCCTCTTTCACTTTGCTTTTCCACGATGCGTGAATATTGAAAAGAGTATTTTTTATATAAAACATGCACTCTTAACCTCACATTTAACCACGACCACATTTTATGCACGCAAAAACAGAACATCCCTTCTTCGTATTGCCAGAACAGAATACGGAGGGGATGCTCTGGATCCATGTTTTGTGTGTTCGATTTGCTAACCACCTCGTCTTTCTAGCTGGAAAGATGGACTCGCTTTCTGCGCCTTAATTCACAGACACAGACCTGACATTCTGCCGAATTATGATGACCTCAGAAAGGTACTACCAGAATCCGATGACCAAATAGTACCCTGAGGCCACCCTAATCAAATCAGCTCCATCACCTTTCATAAGAAAAATAAAGAGGGGTAACCTCTTTCAGTCACAATCTTTGCCGAATTTCTGAATATGTTTTCAAAATCGAGAAGCTGTTTGTGATTGCAAGTAAACTAAATACCGCGCTAACCGCGGCTATTCTCTTTGCTCGAAGCCGCAAGCAGCTTTTCGATTTTTAAAACTGCTTCGGAATTTCCGGCAAAGAAAATCAAAAGCGAAAAAGCTGAGTGAAAACTTTTGCGATTGGTTTGCTTCATCAAAAAGTGAAATTTTGATCGAAAAATCTCACCTATTCACCTTGCCTTTCTACAAATTTTACAAAAATCTCAGGATGATCCTATGACCAACCTTAACTTGGCCTTCGATATCGCTGAGAAGCACCTTGACATTCCAAAGATGTTGGACGCTGAAGGTAAGTTTCAAGTTTTTTCATGTTTTGGTCCCCTTTTGGACATTTTGTGCGAGCGTGAGTTAACATTCGATTTGCCGTGTAGATCTCGTCGAGGTCGCCAAGCCCGATGAGCGTGCTGTCATGACATACGTTTCCTGCTACTACCATGCTTTCAGTGGACAACAAAAGGTTAATCCCTCAATTTTAATACGTATTTTCATCGTTTGCTTCTCTTCTACTTATACTTTCCTCTCTATTTTCCCTTTTCTTTCTCAATCTTTCTTTCTCCGCCAGATCTCGTCGAAGTCGCTAAGCCCGACGAGCGATCTATCATGACCTACGTCGCTGCCTTCTACCACGCGTTTGCTGGTGACCAAAAGGTTCAGTTTTGATTTCTTTGATTTGAATTGAAAAACACAATCGTTTTGTGGATCATTCTTAAATTCTTAATAACGCAGCTCTTCTGCGTTTCGGTTCGATCTTTTCTCATCTTTAGCTTTCTTTCTTTTTCTTCATCTTTTTCTGTCTCTTTCTTCCAGTAGTAAACGGCTTTCTAGGCCGAGACCGCCGCCAACAGAATCCTCAAAGTCCTCGACGTCAACCAGGCCAATGAGAAGCTCATGGACGAGTACGAGCGATTGGCATCTGACCTCCTCGCCTGGATCGAGCGAACTCGACCCACCCTTGAGGACCGAACCGTTGAGAACCAGATGTCCGACGTCCAGGCTCGACTTGACCAGTTCCGCGACTACCGACGCAACCAGAAGCCCCCACGATCCGACCAGAAGGGTGAGCTCGAATCGAGCTACAACACTCTCCAGACTCGATTGAGACTTGCCAATCGACCCGCTTTCGTCCCCTCCGAGGGCAAAATGGTCTCCGACATCGCTTCCGCCTGGAAGGGACTCGAAGCCGCTGAGAAGGGCTACGAAGAGTGGCTCATCGCCGAGCTCCGACGACTCGAGCGACTCGACCATTTGGCCAAAAAGTTCTACCACAAATCGCAGATCCACCAGAGCTGGACCGCCGGCAAAGAAGAAACCCTCAAGTCCGAGGACTACCGATCCTGCACCCTTTCCGAGCTCAAGGCCCTCATCAAGAAACACGAAGCCTTCGAATCCGACCTCGCCGCTCACCAGGACCGAGTCGAGCAAATCGCCGCTATCGCCCAGGAATTGAACGATCTTGACTACCACGACTGCGCCACGATCAACCAGAAATGCCAGGACATTTGCGACGAGTGGGACAGATTGGGAGAAGTTACCCAGCGACGACGACAGTCCCTTGAAAATATGGAAAAGATCTTGGACACCATTGAACAGCTCTACCTCGGTAAGATTAGCCTCCTCTTGCACTAATTAGAGCTTTTCTTAGAATTTGCCAAGCGAGCCGCCCCATTCAACAACTGGATGGAAGGCGCCAAGGAAGATCTCGAAGACATGTTCATCGTCCACTCCATCGAAGAAATCAAGGGCCTTATCCAGGCTCACGAGCAGTTCAAGGCTACCCTCCCCGAGGCCCAGAAAGAAAAGGATAACATCATCGGCCTCATGCGGGAAGCTTCCAAGATCGCCCGACAGGTATTTTGACTCTTGGCTTGATCAGTTTTCTTACTTTTAAGAACGAAATGAAAACAGTGGTATGTTATAAGACATAGGTGTAGATCAATCGATCTGGTTAAAAAATGAATCAATTTTTATCATTTCTATAGAAATCAAAAAGTATAATTTATACTCATGTAGGTGATAAAAAACAAGAGGTTCAATCATTGTTAATCTTTTAAGATACGTCATATCTGTACGGTTCATGAGTTGGTACACACGCTTAAAACAGAGCTTACTCTCTATCTACTCTCGTAAATCCTTCTCACTAGCTCCTCATCCAAAGATTTACTCATCAAGATAGCTCATTGGCACCCTCTTCATTTTCCCTTCGATCATCATTTTTTCAGTACGGCGTTGAGCTCGGAGTCAACCCCTACACAACAGTCTCCGCCGACAGCATCGAAGCCGCATGGAACGCCGTCGTCAACTACATTCCCCGACGAGACAGCTCGCTCCAGCTCGAGCTCGCCAAGCAGCAGCACCACAACCAGCTCAGAATCAAGTTTGCCCAGCAGGCCAATGCCATCGGCCCATGGATCCAGCAGAAAACAGAAGAAATTGTCGGCGTCGCACTTGAGATGGACGGCACTCTTGAGCAGCAGATCCAGAAGTTGAAGTCCTATCAGACTGCCGTTGAAGGTTACAGGAATGGATTCAGATATGATTGATTCTTTAGAGTTTGCCTCTCTAAGGGGCTTCTCGATGTTCGCCGTCTCCTTCATTTTCAAATCCATTCAAAAGACCAAAGGTCGAGGAGCTCGCTCACCACCACCAGGAAATCCAGGAAGCCCTTGTCTTCGATAACCCACACACCAACTACACCATGGAGCACATCCACGTCGGTATGGAGCATCTCCGAACCACTATTGCTCGAACTATCAACGAAATCGAAAACCAGGTGCTTCACCCCTGCAAAAGCGGTTTTAACTCGACTACCATTTAGATCATGATGCGAGACGCCAAGGGTCTTTCCGCCGAACAGATGAACGAGTTCCGTGCTTCCTTCAACCACTTCGATCGCGTACGTATTCGTGGATTGCAAATGAACCCGTGTTACAACTTGCTTTTTATAGGACCAAGACGGTATTTGTACTATTGAGGAATTACAGGGCTGTCTGACCGCAATTGGACACATTGTCGAGTCCAATGACCCCGTCAAAGTAGGAGACTTTTCTCTCTATCTTGCTCCTCCTCTATTTCCTCCTCGCTTTTTCTTTCAAACTTCCCTTAAATTATTTCTCTAATATCTTTCTATAGAAGAAGAAGGGCTACCTCGAGCCCGATGACTTCGCTGCTGTCCTCATTTCTATGGGCTACCAGCTTGTAAGCTGCGTTTTTCGAGTGTTTGTGTGGATTTAAACCCATTCAAGAGCTGTTTGACGCGACTAACATAATATTTACTCATTGAATCTGCGGATATATTCGCATAAGAAAGCCGCTTGCGGCTTCTGGATTTTTTCTCCTTCTCATCATTTCTAACTCCATTCCTTCTTCACTTTGCTTTTCTACCTTCTTCGGCTTTCCCGAGCCCTTTTCTTTACCATTTTAAGGGTGAAGCTGAGTTCCAGAGAATCCTTGCCATTGTCGACCCCACTGGAACTGGCCAGGTAAGTTTCTATCCATCTTTCAATCTCTTCAAAAACCAACCAAGGTGACTTTCCGATCCTTCATCGAGTTCATGACTCGAGAAACGACAGACAACGACACCGCCGAGCAGGTCATTGAGTCCTTCCGTGTTCTTGCTGGTGACAAGGTATGCTAAACCCTACCAGAAGAAACGCTAACTGCCGTTCTTTTCAGCCCTACATTCTTGAAGAAGAACTCAGACGCGAACTTCCTCCAGACCAGGCTGAATACTGTATCCAGAGAATGAGCCCATACCGCGGAGCCGATGTTCCACAGGTACAATCCTTAGGCCGCACATTTTCTTATCCTATCAATTCTAGGGCGCTCTGGACTACGAATCCTTCTCCACGGCGCTGTATGGCGAGTCCGATCTGTAAAAATTGCCCCGTTCTGAAAAGAGTTCTCAAAAAAAAACAAAAAACATCAAAAAATTCACCAGATAAAGAAAGAGATGAGAAAAGCAACACGAAGAGAAAGAACACCTCATCCCTCCTTTTCGCCCTGTTCCACAACTACAAAAACTACGATCACAAAAAGAAAAAACTGACAATGACAGTGATTGCGTTACCTATTATTTTTATTAATAATAATTATTTACTATTCTACTTCTTGAACAAAAAAAGTATGGCCTTTGCCAGCATGTGCACATTCTTATTCTTATCATTATTTTTAGAACTTACCTAAACAAGAAAGAAAAAAAAAATAACTCACAACTCAAAAAACTGAAAGCTTCAAAATAGCACAAATACCCAACTTATCTCTTCTTTTTTATTTCTCACTGTACTTTAAATTTTACCTATTTACTGCAACTTCACATCGAAAACAAAGTCACTTCTTTTCACAAAAAGAACACACACACACTCTCACACACAATTTTCACGAAAAATACTCCTTCTTTACTTCTTGTTTTGTATAATTTATAAAGAAAAATATTAATGATAAAAAGTTACTTCTTGATTTCTTTCAATTGTTGAGTTTTGCATGCGTCTTGGAAGATTTTGAAAGCGTAAATTGATTTGGGAATCCCGAATTGGGATCCTCGAGCAAATGAAATTAGAATAAGAACTGGCATGTTCTCTGAAACGTTGTTTGAAATTTCTTATTTTTCTGAAACCGTAAAATGGTTTTTTCTTGGAAACATTTATCATTTCTCGTGTTGGGGAATGCAGTAGCGATGGTGGTCGTTGTTTTACTTTAGAAACTTAGAAGGAACAACATATATGATCATATTTTTTGCCGCCTCAAAGGAGGCCCTTTCCTTGAAATTCGACCATGTTAGCTGCAGCTTCTTTCCGCGGCTGTTTTCGCTTTCAAAATCTTTCCAAGACTAATCGACTAATTCATCTTTTATATTGTTATTTTCGTTACAATCAAACAACCAATTTTGTTTTTTATGCAACAAGCAGCATAAACTTCCCGTTTTAGTTAAATTCTAGTCACATTTTGTTGTTTCAAATATCTGATATCTTCTAGCATTGTTTCAAGCATCCAACTCCTTTCCCAGCATTCGACAATTCTTATCATTCATCCAGCTTATCACTTGAGGCCCCTTCACATGTTTCCAAGCATTTATTATTAATATTACCTAACTAAAACTAGTCCCCAGCAAGTTTAACCAGTTTCGCACATGTTTCCGATTATTCCTTGTCAACTTCTATTCCTAGTGCCAAAAATCAGGCAATATGAATGCCCCAAAGTAAGAATCCAACTTGAAAACAAAAATCAATATTCTACTTTACGAAAAAAGTATTTCGACAATTCCTTTTAAAAAATTGCTTCTTGACAATCAAAGATAATAAAATATTTTTTGGCTTCTTAAATTTCTTTTACCGATCAAAGCGCGGCTTTTTTGCTCTCAGCCGCAAGCGGCTTCTTGCTTTTCGTCTATGTAGAGACTTGTTTAACCATTTTCAGCGGTGTAAAAGATGTCGATAGCGGCGGGATCGATGTTTAAATGGCTGGATTTGTTGGAGAAGGAATTCGATAGAAGCTTCGTGCAGCTTGATTTGTTGCTGGGAGAGGTCGAGGAGGAGAATAAACAAGTGACGAATGAAGGTACTTGTGTATAATTATCAATGGATATTTTAACCAAGAATTTAGGACGCGACAAGCTCGGAATCATCTCATCGTGCTTCTCCCAGTTGTGCCACAAAGCACAAACTCTGGCGCAAATGAACTGCAAATTGGAAGCTGAAGTCGTCAATTTGCAGACAGACTATTTCTCCAGCTCCGCGAAAACGAAGACAGAAAATGAGGAAAACGAAAAACTGGTATTACAACTTCACGAAGCCCAGGTAAACAAATTTTGAAATTATAATGAGATATTCGGAATAATTCTCATATTCCGCATATCATACGCGGACGCCATAAATTGTGTTCGAACTCAACTCTCATCTAAACGATCGAGACTTTGAGGATGAGGAAATGTAACGAAATGATTAGGATGTTATGGGACAAAATTACAGCCATTTTGATATTTTTAGTAGTTGACGGGAGTAAGTATCCCTCAGAACCCCGAAAGTGTTGTGTCGAACATCTATCGGGCCAGCCACAAATTTAATCTTGACTTTAGTCATTATCTGGACCGGTTATCATCCTTGAGAAAAGTAATACTAACATGACTACCCGTAGGTAGTGCAAGTCAGGATTACCCGTACTGATAAACGACTCCGTCATCAAAAAAGTCCCATTTCATCAGTTTTTCGAAAATCTTATGGTTTCTTCCATCTCAAATGAGTTAAAATCGAGAAGCCGCTTGCGGCTTCGAGCCAAGGAAATTCAAAAAGCCGCAGTAAAATCTCTAAAAAACTATTTACGCGAAGTTTTTTCTCTATTTTCGACTTACTCGGCGCGGCTTTTAGGCTGTCTCTCTGCTCGAAGCCGCAAGCGGCTTCTTAATTTTGAAGAGAACCTTCATTTATTCAATTCTTTGAAGAAAGTTTTCAGCTCAAAAACGCGAAAAACGAGGGTTTGCCAGTGGAGGAGCTGCACGCGAAAATCTCATCGGAGCTTGAAGAATGGAAAATCGATCGGCAAGCACTCAACAGAGCACAAGTTTCGGCGTCTCTATTTGAAGAGGAGAATCGAAAACTACACAGAGAAATACTCTCGTTACAGGTACACGAGAGCGTAAATTCAATGAAATTTAATGATAAATTAAAAAAAGGATGATCTTTTTGGGGCCCGACTGGCTTCGAAATATTTGGATAAAGAACTCGCTGGGCGAATTCAACAAATTCAATTGCTCGGGCGCGAGATTAAAAATAACGACTACGAGCGGCTTTGGAATCAGTTGGAGGCGGAGATTCATCTGCACAGACACAAGACTGTAATTCGCGCTTGCCAGGCAACCCTTGGCGATGGTCCAGGAATGGGGATTTGCAGAATTGGAAGATTATGTCAGTTTATTTACTGTTAAAAAGGGTTACATAGAGGGGGACTTAAAACAAGCCTATTAACTCATTCTATACGAATCCCTCCTTCAAGCTTCTCTAAACATGCCTGGAGCAGTAGGCGTTGTCCGCAGAGTAGTCATCAACAAACACCCTGAAGATGGCCTTGGACTTGCCATCGTCGGAGGGAAGCAACTTGGAACTCCTATTTTAAGTAAGTGCAGAAAATCTGTGCGGTTCTACCACACTTTGATCTCGAATCAGAGCTTTTATAAATAGTTTTAATTTCTTTCTTGTTTCTAAAAAAAGAATTAAAATTTGCCAGGGCGGTTTTAATTAGAGATCGCCTTCAAAATTACTGTCGAAGATCTCTCTCAGCTCTATAAAAGCGTCGAAATAAACAAAAGATCAAGAGAAGAAGTTTCATGAATCATGATGCCTGGACAATTGAGAAACTCGATTTGTCAATATTTATACTTTGCCGCTTCTCGCTGATGATTCTTCTGTAATTCTGATTTTTAGTTTCTGAAATTTACGCTGGAAAACCCGCTGCCCAATCGAGAAATGTCTACGTTGGCGATGCAATTTTGTCCGTTAATGGAATTGATTTGAGAAATTTGAAACACAACGACGCGGTGAAGATTTTAACCGATCAAGAAGGACAGGTAAGGGGAGGAAAAAGTTCCTTCTTTCAGTTCTTTTATTAGGTCGAACTGGAGCTCCTCTTTATTTCGCCGGAAGAAAGTGCGTCTTCGTTGACGAGATTGGAATCGCACGACGTTTCTACCTCGATGGGGCCAGCTGCCATGGCCAAGATTTCCGAAGCAGAGGCCGATGAACTGCCGGAAGTACCTTTAGGCTCGGATATTCGAGGGAGTCATCTCTAGAACTATCAATCTGAAGCGGGTTTAAAAGATATTTTTTGTCGATATCCTTGAAAAGACGACCCTATCGAAGAAGCAAAATCAGCCCTGGAGAACGGCGAAAATGAAAACACTGAGAGCCTGGCTCTTACAAACGATCCCGAAGTTGCATCCCTAAAATCCGAAACTGCCCCGCTAGACTCGATCCGTTCCGAAATCAATGAGATCGAGTCGCACTCTGAAAAAGATACCACGCCTATAAAAGAAGACTTCTAAAAGAGAGTCAAAATGCGTTGAAAAATCCCTAGTCTATCAAGTTGCTTACAAATTGGGGACCTCTTTGCAATATGTTTTCATTTGATTTCACAATTTTCAGCTATATTTATGTATACATACCTTTCTTTTTCATAATTTTTAAACTGGTTCGGTTGGGCGAAGGGGGGTCTACTTATATCTTTAATGGGCCTGCTACTACTAGTGGGGGTTTATCCTTCGAACTGACCCTACCCCATCTTTAGTTTCAATAATAATTAATATTAGATAAATCAAACACTTCTTTTCTGTATCATCATTCTTTTTTATCAAAGTATACCGGTTGACAGTAACAGTCACTTCTTTTTGCCTTTACAGTACAGCGTGCCTGCCTTCATGTTCGAGATTTTTCACTATCTCTTGTTTCTTTTATGCTTTATTGAAAGCATTTCTTCCTATCCCAACTCTACGACAAGTAATAAACAAATTCAAAATTCAACATCCAGATTTCAAGATGATTTTCTTTATTACCGAGTTTCTCATTCCTGACTAAATATTTTCGTTTTTCAGAAATCGGGCTCAGATGGGCCAAAGGACGTCAAGGCCGCAGACAGCAAGTGCAGAGGAGACCGCGGCGAGGAGGGCAGAAACGCAGCATCAAAAATGGCTAAGAGAACAGAGGGTATGCGAACATAAATTATAGCGTCGATTTATTGAGATCTCCCTCGCGATAAAAATTATCGTTGAAATCAGCAAAAATAAAATTTCAGGAACTCGTGACCCAAACAATGCGATTCTCGCAAGTAGATCGCCCTTGTCCAAAATGTAAAAAGATGCAAAGAGCTGAAGAATTTGAAACGCATCTTGTTTGTTGCCTTACCAAGCCTGCACTTGAGGTACTTAACCAGCAATACTCAATCTTCAACACTTGTTCAGTTCAATACTGACGTACTAGAAGTTGATCAAGGAGAATGTATCATTTGCTACGAAGATCTTCTCTCGCAACAAGTGATTGCTAGACTACCTTGTCTGTGTATTTTCCACGAACACTGTCTGAAAGACTGGTTTAAAGTCAGAGGTACGTTCATCAGAAATTAAGGGGCCCGCTTTTAATCTCTTTTTTTCAGAGGAGTGTCCGAGCCATCCATCTTCAGATGACTAATTCTATTTTTCCCACGACCAACTCGACTCTGGCTGCCCTTTCCTCGGCTGTCTGGCAGACAGTTATCTTCTCCACCTTCAAAAAAGAGAAACATACACACATACCACTTGATTAATTCGCCATTCTGTTCAATAAAAACAACGAAAAAGCGCAAGACCTTCCTCATTTGAAATTTCAGAAAGGAAAATCGAATGGAACTGAAGATCACGCTCAAATCGATCGTCCTTTTTCAGTGGACAATGTCGCTACTCGCGCTTTCTACAAATTGGTTGCCACTTGGATATATGCTCACGCAGTTCAGCTTGATTATTCTTGGAGTTTGGTGCGTCGTACAAAGGGACGATTCGCTCCAAGTCTTTTTCTACGCCTCCTGTACTGGAATTTCTACAGTTACTGACTCGATTCTTGTCGGAGCAAATTATCCAGGTAATATCTTTTTCTTGGTATTCCCGCTCTTACAAATTATTAAAGATGAATTGTCGGGCTTGGGGAAATTCGCCGCAGCAATGGCCATAATTTTCATAATCACGAAGCCTTTCCAAGCCCTGTTTTTGCATCAAATTTACAAGGAGAGAGGGGGACAGACTTCTTTTGGTAAGACCGCGTGTAGTATTTTTCGGGATACATTTATCTCTTGACTTTGTCCCGGAATTCGCTAAAAATCCTGAAATTCGGTTACATTTAAATTCTTATTCAAATATTCGTCGCCAGTGGTAGTCTGTCTATTTTTTCATGGAAGTTCGGAAGTTAAAAATAGACGGAGAAAAGACATTGTTTTATAGGAAATTGCTCGCTTATGACACATGTTATTCTATTCTGCTCTAGCGGTCATAAAATGATTTTTCCCAATTGAAAACTCGAAAAATTAATCTCGAAATCTGCAGACAAACTGTTGTTAAAATATTTCTTATGCCTACAAAGAAAACATATCCCTTTTAGGAAATATTGGTCTACCGGGTCTTTCATCGGCGTACGAGGATTTAGGAAGGGACGAAAATCATTTACATTTTTAAGTTTGCGCTCATGCTTATATCTTACTATCCTTTATATTTCTCCTAAAAGATTCACTCTCGGAAGAAGGCAGAGGCCACTACAAACCAATGAGGACGGTGGAAGATATTCAAGACTTGCCTTCTTATCAATAACTCCTCAACTTTTCTTCTGGTACTTTCTTCACGATCATTCAAATTTCTTCATTGTTCCCTCCATTTTTTCTGTCAAAAAAAACACTGCATGACATGTTATTTTATTTTTCCTTCTGTCCGAATAAAATATTCAAAGTTCTTCAAACACACCATGCTGCCGGAATTCTTCAGACGCTCGGCAAAAATTCCAGGTGATATTGTTTTGAGTCAGTATATTTACAAATAGGCAGAAGGTACAAAAGACAGGTAAGAAAGATAAGAAATCTCCGCTCTTTGAGATTTTGGCCCAGCAAATATTTAATATTCAAAGTAATACTTTTTGAAATTGAAGTTTTGAGGAAGTCATATTTTTTGTTTGTTGGTAGGTTAAGAAAGAAACAGTTTTTATCTTTTTGAGAAAGGAAATATCAGGTTTTTTTTAACGCTTTAGACGGCTCTAGAACTCGGCATCCCAGCCCGAGGTTTCGTCGGGAATCTTGGATAAGTCTTCTTCCTTGATTTTCTCGAAGTTGGACATATCGAAGGCGTTCTGAAAGAATTTGTTGAAGACCTTGTTAATTACAAGTAGATAGGTAGCCAAATTAGGGCTTAAAAATTGTATTTTTTTATATTCAAATTGGGACTATAAATTTTTATATTCGGTTGGGACTGTTTTATACTTGCGTATAAAACAAAATCATGTTTGTCTTTTTTTTGAGAATCAGAATCAGAATACCACCTTTCGATTTGGAAAAAAGTCAATCTCTTTTGAAGGTCTTTGGTCTGACCCGTCGAGCTATAAATTTTAGTTGCTGATTTCGTTAGTTTGAGAACTACGGATAAGGCACTGTACTGCTTTGATTATTTACCTTGATATCAGGCACGTGGGGCGCAACGACCTTGACTTGTTGTAGTCCTTCCCAGTCGAAACCTGAAATTTATTTTATAACATGTGAGAACCCGTAAGGAGAGACTAAGAAATAATTAATAAATATGATGTCTTTCGATAAAACTACTATGGGAATACGATAAACTATGCGACGAGTCGATCTCAAATGTTCATCAGTCTCATAAATTCGCTGAATTTTTACATTCTTTTGAGCTTTCTGCGGCTTCAACTAGGCTTAGATACGCCTGAAAGCTTATGGATTTATGAACAATGAAATTAAAGCCGCTTACAATGAATTTTCTTTACAAATTGCTTCATCGGATAAGTAGATACAGAGTTGTGTATTTATGCGTACCTTGAAACCATCTGTGTTTGCGAATATCGCTGATTCCAGCCTTTTGGTAACCGATTCTCTCGGAGGGCTCTTGGCGGCAAAGCGCTTTGATAAGATTTTCTGCTTTTCTGGAGATTTTGTAAGGAAATTGCACACTAAACAGATCAAATAAGAACTCAGAAGGATGTTGATTTTCCCGGATAAAGAGCCATAATAACCAAAACTCCAATTGCAATCAATATTGACAGATCCTTATTTGGAGCATTTTGCAGTTCGTTGAACTTGTACTTTTGTTTGGCCAATTCGACTTGACGTTTGCTCTGTACCTGTGGATTCCACGAAGAATTCCTTCATAAATTGCAAGATCATCTTTCGCTCTAAAGGGGGTTCTTTTCGACAGCAGTTCGAAGACCAGAATTCCAAGGGACCAGTAATCAGCTGCAACGTTGTGTCCAGTGTTTGAGATGATTTCTGAAAGGAATTTTTAAGGGAAGAAAAGGTTTGACCGTTGATAATACAGTTAATTATGGAATTTTTGGACATTTTTTGTCCCAAGATTTTCGCAAAAATGTCCAAAAATTTGATGCATGCTGTCAAAAAAAATGTCCCATCCAAATCGCTTAAAAAGTTTTTTGAGGAAAATCTCCATCATCCTCTGTTTCATTTTTCTTCTAAAGACAAAAAATGATCTAGGAGTACGAGATCAACCTTAAATCTCATCATTTTCAAAGAAAAAGTAAGATTTTCGATAAGAAAAAACGCCATATCTGGCAAAAAACGGAAAATTTTAAACTTTGGTGCAGAAAATGTCCAAAAATTTGATACAGGCACTTTTGAAAAGTGTCCCAAGAAAACCCCTTAAGGTGGTAGAAACAGCTTTTGAAAAAGCCGATTTTTGAACGGCGCCCAAGCTCAGCCAACCTTAGATTATTTAATTATCTCTTCGAATCTAGTTAGATTTATCTTAGATCTAAGAACATCTTTTTCTAAAATTATTTTTTGTTTACCCAGTTTAGCGGTAGAGAGCGAAACATCAGCCCATCTCGTCGAAAATGCCGATTTTTGCCCATTTTCAAGCAAGATTATCTCGAGTCATGTGATTAATCGAGAATTTCTAATCTTATTTTAAGAAAGTTCAACCCTTTTTCTAGGAGCATCTATGATTGAAATTGCGTAATCATGAAAAATGATAATGTTGCGAGGCCGATTGAAACTTGTGTCTCAAATTTTCAAACTTTTGAGTTTTAAAGACCATTTTTTCGTGATACCCTTAAGTTATGGTCCTAACAAAATTACTCAAGATGATCATGTGATCCAAACAAATCTATCCTTTTCGCGTTTATCCCCTTATTAAACGATTTTAACTGTCGCTAAATTTCGAAAAACTCAAATTTGCGCCAAAACTTCAACTTTTAAGGCAATTTTAAGGGCGTTTCAATATAGTTAGAGCACAGTTTTTGTAAAAATTATATTCTTCATGCAATAAGCTATCAAAACCTTCAAAAAAATTTTTAAAATTCCATCTTTGGCAAAAGCTGTTTCTACCCCCTTAAAATTGCAAAAATGTCCAAAAATTTGATGTCCGAAAATTCCATAAAAAACTGTAGTGAGCAGGGTAGAATTTGTGTTTGATAACTCGTATAATTTTTAACAGCCAGTAAAACCTTGCTCGCGTCTTTTTATAACCTTATGTTTTGCCAATCGCCGATTGAAATCGGTGTTGTTACATTAAACTAACGTAACAAGGTCGTACAAATATGACCGCAGATTGCGGTCCGTTACGATCATCATCGAGTGTAGACAGAGGTTAAATCAACAGAACTTTCAGCTTTTGTCCTTCAGCAAGGCACGTCTTATAGTTTCAGTTATTCGCGGTCGAACATTCAACTCACTACCGCCAAATTTGTGGGACGCATAAAACCAGTGTTCGTCCGATCCACCCGCAGAAATAACAACTCTTCGAATACACGAAACTTCAGTTTAAAAAGTAACCGACGATGAAAAGCAGAAAACTCCTCTTTTTGCTCCCAATCCTTCTTCAACCCACCAGAGGAAATCTACTCGACAACTTTACAGAAACAAGCTTGAATGATCAGTTTGAAATTGAGATGTTCTTTTCTCTGCTGAAAATGGACTTCAGACGAGTCAAACCAGAGCTAGAAAATAGCAGAGAATTCCGGAAGTTCGAAAGAAAAACAGGTGAGAAAACCTTTGTTTATATTAAGTTAAAACTTTACTTTTAGATCTATCAAGAGATTCTTCCAGATTTGCGATACTGATGATGATGATTTTGTAACATTTGCCGAGTACGATAATTGCAACAAAAGATACGACGACGCTCTGAGTAAAGAATTTCCCGAAATTTACAAAAATCATCAAGGTAAAAAAAAACATTGTTTCGAGGAAAGGTTATCAAGTTTCTTTTAGATTTTCTGACGGAAGAAGTGAAAGTTGGCATCCAAAACTTCCTCGACACCAATAACGACAAAAAATTCACGGCAAAGGAGCTCGCCGGCAGCTACTATTATATAACTCGCAAGTTTCTCGAGATTTACTTGCACCATACCTCGGCAAACAGAGACGGTTGGCTCTTGAACGAGATCCAAAGAATATTTGAGGTCAAACTCGTTTATATAACTCCTTTGTTTAGTTTGTATTTTAGGCGTTTACCGTCCCGGACAACTTTGATATAGAAAAACATGTGCCAATCTACCGTTTTGTGCCGATGAGCTTCAAAATCGTCCTAAACTCTAACTCCCGCTTCCGTCTCAACCGACTCGTCTCTAGAATCGACCCAAACAACGACGGTGCACTTGACCCTGCAGAACTGACCAACTTCTTTTTGAAAATAACGGACAATTTTTCAAAAATCATGAAGAAATTTCTGTAAATTAACGCTTCAATACTACGCTTCTACCTCTCTGCTCAAATAAAAGAAACAAAAAAAAGGTATACCTGGTGGAATGTACTCGGGAGTACCGCAGAAGGTCCATGTCTTGTGGCCAGGGAGGACTTTTTTCGCGAACCCAAGATCGACGACTTTGACGTAACCCTTACTGTCGATCATTAAGTTTTCAGGCTTCAAATCTCGGTACACATATTGTCTAAAAATTCGATCGAAAAAAGTGGGAAAATGGAATTCTTTGTTACCGTTTATGAAGATAAGCAAAGGCCTCAACAACGCAACCAACATAGAATCGAGCATTTGTATCGTTAAATGGGCCTTTAGTATGCAACAGTCGCCATAAATCGCCGCCAAGGTAGGCATCAGTAAGGAGGTAGACGAACTTGTTGTCTTTGAAAGTTTTGTGGAGGCCCTAAAGACTCCATCAGGCTTTGATTCAGCGAGGAAAGCTTACGAGAAGAAATGGAGAGTCGATTTGCATGAGGATGTTCTTTTCGTCCATGATATGTCTTTGCTGGCCGTACTGGACAACGCGCGCTTTTTGAATGCACTTGAGGGCGAATGCTCTATCCGGGACGCCATTGACTTGGACCAGCTTGACCATTCCGAATCCACCGGCTCCGAGAGGCTTGATTGTGTTTATTTACTGATAGCAAGGAAGAGACCATTGATTCTTACCTTGATGACTTGAAGTTGATCGAGGGAGACTTTGGCAATGTGCTGGTTGATAATTTTCGTGGGTCGTAAATCCTCCTGAAGGGTTAACTTGAGAAAACGCATAAATCACTCTCTTTTACATTTCTTCGGTATCAATTAGCTGCGAAAAATGATCAGCGCGATTAGCACTTTTACAGTTTTTCTTACCTCTTTTTCGACGGTGCCATGATCCGGGTCCGTAATGTCACCAGAAGTGAGGGATGACTCAGCGATTTGTCCTGGTTTTATGAATTTACAGAAAAAGATTCGAAATTGAGGACATGATTATTCATAAAAAATAATTATAAAAATTAAATAGAATTTCATGCAGCATGCCGAAGCGCGGATCAAAGGCGCTTGTTCAAGTTTCGTAAAAATTTTTACAAACATGGAGTCTCTTTTTTTATCATTTCTTACACAGATATTCACTTTTTGAATATTTGTTTCTTATATTTTTTATCTAAGATTTAGCTCTTTAGAATTTGAAAGCTTCAAAATGCATTTTTCTTATCATTTTTGAAACGATTTCGACCTGACATCGCGAAAAAATTTTACAGAACAATATAATTATTTTTTGAATTTTTACCTCCAGTGCTTTTGCAAATGTCTAAAAGAAGATATGATATAAAAATGAAGGTGGATCAAGGATGCAATTTGAGAATCCCGTGAAATTTTGCTGCACGCTACTGTAAAATAATTTTCTTTCATTTTTTTTAGATTGAGTTTCCCCGTACCGACAAGGTTCGTAAACGCAGTTCGATCCAAAGTGTAGCACTGTCAACGGGCTCTAGAATATTTTTGAGGGGATTTTTCTGATGCGGAAATTCAATGGAAATATTGAAAAATAGGACGTCTAAAAGGGCCCGGTCCTTGACGACTCCAACAGCATAGACATTCGCCATTCGGACATCTTCTTTGATGAGGGCAATTTCACCAAAGTATCGTCCCTTGCCATATCTTGCCACTTCCTCTTCGCCACCAGCCGGCTTGTCTTTCGTGATTCGAACTTCGCCGCTTCGGATGATGTAGAAAAGATCGCCAGTGGTTCCCTTAAAATTTTCAATACAGTTTTTTCTCTCTATTCAAACCTGTTTGATGATGCACTGATTGGCGTCAAAAGTTTCTTCTTCCAAGCAGTCGGCAATTTTTCTCAATTTTTCCTCGGAAAGCGCGTTGAGATCTTTGACAGCAGAGAGGGTCTCGAATCGCTCTTGATCTTTGTTTCGTCCAGCTGATTTCACAACTGTCTGGAAGAGTGTTCGCTCAAGCGACCATAAAACAACTAGAAAAGAAGTAGCGAGGATTGGGAACTGGAAGTTCAACCTTTTTCTGTAGAGGTAATAGTGGCAGTTCTTCGGCAGTTATACAAAATCGCCAATTCTCCAAAAAGACTTCCTGGGCTGAGAGAACAGACATCGACTTTATCGGGTCCGCTTCCCTGAAATGATTTTCTAGCGGCAATACTGTATGCTAGACTGTACCTTAGTGACTTTGACAGAACCCTGCTGAAGAATGTACATGTGGGTCCCGTCCATACCCTCGCGGATAATGTCGATATTTTCTTTGTAAGTTTTCTTTTCCATAGCATCGATGATCTTATTCCAGGATTATTACGGAACCAAGACTAAGGGTTGTCTACCTGGGTTACTTGGTCGCGCTGCAAATTACGCATAAAGGCATTGTTGAGCAAAGCCGCTTCAATAGCTTCGCGCTCTTCGGCGGCTTTCGCAATTTTCGGCAGTTTTGTCGGACTTTTGGAGGATTTCATGCGCGATCTTACGATCTTAGCTCGGTAAATTATTAAAGAAATTAGTGGAAATCCTCGTTCCTTGCAACTTTTTTACTAGCTTCGGCTGAAATGGCCGTTCGGAGACCTCCATCACGGACGTCGGCTGGAGGACCTAATGCGTTCAGCCTCTAGAAAAAAATGTTCAATTGATTGAAAGAATTTGCGAAAAAAATTCTCTCTTTCTAGGAATCGAACTCGCGACTTCCTACTTAAAGTTTTTCACTGGGAAGTCTCACCTTGATCTGATGATCCTTCTCGTCCATGACCAGGGCCATCTTCTCGTTAATTCTAACCATCTCGGTTTCTTTCTCCATCGAAAGATTCTGCAGCTGCCTCGAGAGATCCAAAATCTTATCATCCCTGCTCTTCAGCTCCGCGTCAAATTTGCTCGCATCTTTGCTCACCGACGAGACAGCTTGATGCCGGGCGAGTTCGCTCTTCAGCGATTCGTTCTTAAAAAATACTCATAAGTTCAACGTTACACACGCAGAAGGTGATCGTACCTCGCTCTGGCATTTGGCCAACTTGTCCTCGACTGATTGGAGTTTTTGGACGAGCTCCTTCCGTTCGGCGTCAGCACGGGCTGAAGACTTTTCGGCTGCTTCCTGGCTGGAAGCCAAGGCCTTCTCCAAGTTTTTGAGCTAAAATGGCAAACTTTATTTTCAGACTTTATTTTGAAAGATGAATAAAACAAAAAGAAAAAAATTCAAAGTGGATTATGGGAATTTGAGAAAAACCGGTTTTTATGAAGAAGAATGACTCAAATAAATCGTAAAAGAATAATAAAATTAATTTCAATTAATGATTTGGACCGCTACCTTAATTGTCAAACAATCAACTTTATCTGCAAACCATTGGGTCTGACTATCCATGTCTCTCTCTCTTTCCTCCTTTTTTCCTCTTTCTCTATGTCTCCTTCTCTTTTCCCGTTTTCTCTTTGTAAATCACATTATTCCCGTCTTGATAAAATTAAAGTCCTCCGCTGAACTCTTTTTTTTCTAATAAAAAAATAAAACTGAGCACGTGAGAATCGAAAGAAAGCGCAATCTACTCTTTAATCATCAAATTGCTTTTTTCGAGTATTTCGGTCTGGACACACTTGAGTAAGGGTTAGGGGAGACTGGTGACTTGTCTGACTAATTTAACAAAAGATTTCTCGACCTTTTAACTGTCTGTTGTTTAAAAAAAAAGAATCCAGGGTGCGATTGTAGGCGGAATCGATGGATTAGAACGTAACGTAAAACATAAAAGAAAGAAAAAAAAGGCGGGGAAACAATGTAAAAATCAAAGGAGGAACACACGTGACCGGACAAAGCGAAGGTCAAAGGAGACATGGAAGAGAATCGAGAGACGATTTAAACCGGGCGGATATAAACATGATAAATATGTTTTTGAAAATAAGTTTTCTTAGCGATTTTTAAAATCATACTTATCATTTTCTGGGACGCACAATCAAAGTGACAGTGTCACCCTTATTTTCGATTTATAAGAAAACTGACATTATTCTGCATTTCTCGGTAAAATAAGGGTAGCACTTCACAATTTCTATTTGTAAATTTCTCAACAAAAAATTTATACTGTTACTGTTAATTGAATTCACGAAAGCTAAGCTGAGTAAACAAAAACGAAAAATAATGGTGATTGAAAAACGCCTTGGCTCCAGAAAAGTCGGATTATAAAAAAGCTGAATCGGGTTTTCTCACTCGCACACCGTGAATAAACTCAAAATGCTTTTGGATGAGCAAAAGCGGAATGATGAAGCAGCTTCCGTTTTACCTGATTTGCTATGCTGTTTGCTGCATTCTAACATTAGAAATTTAAATAGAAAATTTTTCCATGAAGGGAATTTTTTCATGGACGCGGGCTCATTTTGTATTTTTGCTAAGGGAATTAAGGTTATCGATCAAAGGATGTTGTGCCCTTGTAAGGAGTTTCCTCACGAAAAAGATCGAAGGGTATTTAATTAGGATTAATGAAAGGTCGACAAATGAGCCCGTGTCTCTCTTTTGGCGAATGAAAATAATAATTTATTAAACTGGAGGAACGGCCAGTGGTGAATTTTTTAAATAATTTATCCGATTACCTTTTCCTCCATTGATGTGGAGCTTCCCGAAGCTTTCGTTTCTTTTGATGAAGACTCGCCTGTTGTCTGAAGTTTTCCTGAAAATAAGCCATAAGATTAAGGGTCTTTCAATAGATCGTCGATAAGCTATGCGTATAAATTATACGGTATAATGCTCCACTAGTAAGTTCAAAAGAAGCATCGAAGTTATCAATCATAAATCTTCGTGAAAAAGCATAAAAACCTTTCCCTGACTGTTCAGAACAATAATCCGCCTATAAATTAATTTTGTCAAAAAGCATATCTGAGATCTCTTCAAAAAAGAAGCGCGAAAACGAAATCAATCATGGCCAGTTTGGTAACCTAATGAACCCTTTCGCGCACCGCGAAGCTATTCCCTTTCATCCCCTTTCTTCTCACTTCCCGAAACTTCAAAACTTGGAAGATAATTACAAAATTACCATGAGCTTGGAAATTTGAACTTGGAAATTCTCGATGAAATAATTTCGCGAATTGGCGTTGTTAATTTGACGCAATTAGAAGAAGGTGTTGAAAAAGAGTGGATGAATTGTTGAAAGATTTGGAAGTCGAATCATGCCTCTTTCGAGCTGTCTAGAAGATTTTGAATGATTTTTTGAAGTGATCAGTATTATTTCATTTGAAACTGATGAGTGGCATTTTTAAGTAATCTCATCCGAAATAATTATAAAAAAATCCATGAAAAAATGAGTTTTCCTACTGATATGGTTTTTTGAAATTACTTCCCGTATTTTAACCCCTTTTAAAATGAGGCAATCTTCGAGTAAATCAATAACCTTTTCGCCTTACAGTCCAAAGTAATCAAACTTGGCAATGACTTTCTCTCTCTCTCTTTCTCAAAAGCTATTTTCACAGTTTGCTCTTCTGACAAAGAAAAATAATGTTCTCGTTCCCTGTCATAATCCAGCGCACTTAACACAGAGAAAGAGTCTATCGAAGAAAAGGTCTGAAGTCGTTTTTTTACTGGGGATGAAAATAATGATCTCATCGATTTTCCATATTCAGTTATTTCTACTACTGTCTCACAGCCAGAGGGATACTCAATCACGGATTTACTGGCTGTTGTTCTATGATAACACAACTTTTATCTGAACATGAAGAATGGGGGATTTTTGGAATCAAGGAGGAAAGATAGAGTTTCCCAATTTTAAGGGTTTTACTCCTCTAATTAACGGATTTTCAACGTAAAAATCATTCGGATCGAAAATTCCTTAAAATGGAGACATTTTTGATCATTTGAAAACCAATTAAAATTTAACTTTTCTTGATTATTTTGCCCTTTGAAATGGTTATATCGAATTTTTCATGGGTATCCTTATTTCGGTCAAAATGAGTCAAAAATAATTTAAAAAATTTGATTCTTATTGCGGCAAAACAAGAAATATTCAAACTTTAGTAAACAACACCTCATCTTCTTTAATTATTTATGCCCTAAGGCATTGTTTTCTTTCCCCTCAGGCGCGTGTATATAAATTACCTTGTGAATCCTTTTTCGACTGTTTATCCTTTCCCAGCCCGAAGAATTTCATATTTTCAACCCTTCTCTAAATCTTCTGCAATATCTCTAACGATGGATTCTTTTGGTTTTCAATTTGGGCACACACGAGTTCGGGGCCAGCAGTTTTTGGCTTGCGGGCGAGGCGGGCGCGGCGCGGCGCAACAAGGTTAAAATTGAGTGCGAAGGAAGAAAAAAGAGCGTTCGATTCTTTAATTCTCGCTCGTTCCTTCAGGTTGTCCCATTTCGCGTTTGGCGCTTAACACCCACGCACACAAATTTGGGCACACGCAGTAATCGTCTGAAATGATTTCGCTTACAGTCACAGTCAATGTCACTTCGATCTTGCAGTAACAGTGATTTTTAAAAGAATAGTTTTGAATACTTTTGAAAAGAAAAAGTGAAATCAAGGAAGAATTTCCTTTAAAAATTTGAGTTAAATCTGACCAAAATTTTGAAAAAAATTATCACGATTTTTGTCGATTTTTGTCCTCTTTTGCGATTTTCGATCGCATTTTTACGCTCTTATGAAAGAAAAAATGCTGATCTTTGACTGAAGTGTTTTTCAATCAATTTCATGCTCAAAGATCTGGGCGACAGGTTGAGCCGACCCAGGGGAGTTATAATTCACACTCATTTGTTCTAATTTGGATGGATTCGCCTTGATTCCGCCTTTGGCCGCGCTTGTTTGCCGGTGGTTTTTGGTTTTTAGATATTTTTTTTCGAAGGTGGTTATTATTTTCTCTGTGGGTTTCTTCAGAATTCAGATAATGGCTAGATCCAAGCGTAAAAAAGAAGAGCGAGCGTAAGTCACAAGATCGTAAACTTCGTGATAATTACTAGCCAAAACCGCTAAGGTGGAAATTGTTAACTCTAGCATAGATACCTATTCTAGATATTTATACATTCGAATCCCTGAAAAATCATTCAGACACGAAATTTGACAGAAAAAAGACTCATTTTTTAACCCTAGAAAGCCAAAAACTCCGCTTCTTTTTTTTCACTGCATCTTTTTCTCTTCCTTTTTTCTTATAAAAAGTAATAATCTCCATTTAAAATGGACCATAAGAAAAGATAGCGCACCGAGATGATCCGGCCAGATCACTTTTGAAAAGGTCTCTCCTCTCTTTGTGCCGCTACACTCAACTAAAGGCGAATTATTTTTGAAGCTCTTTCACCGAAGTTGATGGAGGCTCAATTTAATTTAGCTCATCAGAAAAGATGGAGGTGTAATTTTCTTCTTTGATCATTTTTTAAATTGAAATACTGAAAAAATTTTTGATTTTTGTCGCATTTTCTTTTGTCGATTTTTTTTGAAATCAAGGAAGAAAAACAAGCCGCTCAGAAGCCCAAAACAATCGCCCGCTGAAAAAAATGTCTTTTCTTCAGCCAAAAAACCGCAACGCTTGAACTCACAAAAAATAACTCCGGAAGCCCGAAATCATTTTACAACTTGTCACCTCTCCCGTCAATTACCACCACGTGGTAATTAAGGCTCTGTCGCTTTAATTTACCTTTTTCCTTCTTTCTCTCTTTGTCCTTATCCTCCTTGTTAAAGTAGGAGAACTTTTCCCAAATGTCCTTCTTTGTCATTTTTCTAAATCCGCGTTTACGATAGCGTGCTTCTCTTGTTTAGCGAAAAATGCGAAAAATGGTTTTGCGATTTGAAAAGGTCACTTTGATGAAAATCGATCCGAGGGTGAAAATAATTACGCTTCGGAGCGGTACTTGAGCTTTACGAGGATGATTTATCGTTGGCTCAACTTGTACAAGAACCTAACATGTGTCTTTTTCCGTCTTGTGGTCGACAGGTTTTTTCCGAAAGCGATAAAAATTTGGAAAATTTTCTTTTCTTCATCGATTTCGAGGCAAAATCGAAAAAAATTTTAAAAATAAGGCTGAAAATTAAGCCTTTTTTGAGTCCTCCAAAAATTTTAACCGAAAATATTCAATTTTCGTCAATCATAAAAAAATCGTGATTTGATTTCGTTTTACGAGGCAGATTTATTATAATCTTCTTCTGTTGACCTTAATCACAAAAATATTAATAAAAACATGATGCTAAAACTTGCACTAGAATAACCAAAAATGGTACTGACCATAAAAAGGCGAGAAAATGTTCTTCATTGATCAGATCAAAATCTCTTTGAAACAAACTCGCGGTCACGTGACGTAAACGATTCAGCTGGTACTAGTTACTTACTGGATAATGGGCGTCGGTGTAAGTTATCCAAGGACCTGGATTTGAACTAATTTTCTGCTCGAAAAAAGCTCAATAGAAAGCTCACACCGCCTTTTTCTAATAAAAAAGTGATACGATGTTCATTGAAAAGGAAATCCAGGTGAGAATTTCGAGCCCAAACTGAAGCTTTTGAAAGTCAAACCCAAAGCCGGCTCTTTTTCTAGCGATCTAGCGGATCATGAAGATTATTTCTTCAGTTTCAGTCGGAAGTTCCAATAAAGAATGACCAATTTTTTGGCAAAAACGATAGGTTAAATTTTCATGATCCGATCCAAAGGCGAATGTTTCTCCCTAAATCGCCAGTTCATCTCTTTTTCTACGAAAAACTCAAGTTTCTCTTAAATTGAAAGTACTCTAATTGAGATTGGTGCTTCCGAAAAACGCCCAAGCTCAGTAGAATCCAGCCCATTTATCAAAATACTCAATCGAGCGCAAAATTAAAATAAAGATTTATGCGCCCTCGATGTGCGTCACCAGCGCGTTCCGTTTCGTTTTTTCTGAACTCGAGGACGTAGATTTTTACGTTATTTAGGTTGATGATGGTCAGCAACCAGTGTAGAAAACCTGACTCAGGAGCCGAGAGTCCATCATTGATAGGAAAAAATTTTCCTTGAAGCATGAGATAATTAATTTCTAGGAATAATATTCTTCTTAATAAAATGATAATAAAAATAATCTATTTCGTTTTAATCAACAATTTCATGAAACCGTTTGAATGATGAGCCCAATCATTGATAGAAAATTCTAATAAAAATATCAATTTTGGCTATGGTCAATTTCAGGAGTTAAGAAGGTTTGGAGTAAGCTAAAAGGAGCAACTTTATTTTCCGGAAATACTCCAAATCGGAGCAAAATTTCAAAGCCGATTTTAAGGGTGTTGCAGAAATATTTAAGGGTATCTGAATAGCTCAAAAGAAAGCCCGGGCCCCGAGGCGCGTTTTTGCCGGGGTTTGAAAGGGCCGGGAGGCCCTTAACACCATTAAAATCGGCTTTGAAATTTTGCTCCGATTTGGAGTATTTCCGGAAAATAAAGTTGCTCCTTTTAGCTTACTCCAAATCTTCTTAACTCCAAAAATTGTGTCGAGCCATCAATTTTTGGATTAAACTGGTAATTTCATTGATTCAGAATGAGTAAACAATAAATCGGGCAAACCTTTGGAAAGAGGTGGTTTCTGTTGAGTTTTTGAATTCTCTTGTGCCTTTTCTGGCTGGACCCTTCAATGGATGATCATCGACCAAGTGAAAATGATCCTTAATTAACGCTCGGAGTTGATCCTAATTAGATCCAGTTTCATGAACTTTGACTGCCGCGTTTTCTACTTGATTTTTCTAGCTATTTTTTGATCCTTTTTTTCCTGTTTATTTGTTTATAAAAAAAATTAAGAGCGTTTTTCAAAATTTTCTTGTACAAAAAAAGCTTATCAAAAGATTAAATCTCTAAAAATAAAATATCGAAAAAGCCAGGTCATCCAATTCCTTAATTTTTTACTCTGAGTGCATCCCATTAGGTGTCATTTGCTAGCTTTTCACTCTCTTAAAAAATGACTCTTCAAGTTCGCCAACTATCTCTTTATATCGTCTCTCCCTAATTTGCCCGTAATCGTTCCTTGAAATTACGCCAAAATCGAAAGAAAAAAAAACTTAAATTGATTTAAGTTGAACGAAAAAGTAAAATTGAAATTCAGAGTTGCGTAAAGTGAATAATAAAAGATTAAAAAAAGAAGTCGCGGTAGACTACTTTTTTGATGAATCGCTTTGTTTCATTATTTACCGGCGATTTTTTTTTGAGTTTTATCAGCTTTTGTGTTTTTAATTTTTGGCTCCTGTCTGATATTCAAGCTGATTTTTGTCTCTGAATTAGCATTGTGACACCCTAAAAAATTATCAAAAAAGAAAAAAAAAAGAAATAGAAGAAACAGAAATTAATATCTGTTTTCAAAATGCTGCGCTCCAAAATGATTTCTTGCTTCATTAATTTCGAACTAGGGGAACAGCCTTGCGAAAATGAATTTCGCCGCAACTCGTCGAGCATTGGTTTTCTGTTCAGACAAGCAAACTGACAATTTGTTCCCTGTTTAATTTTTCAAGCTACACAGAGAGGGTGAACTTGACTTAGCAACTTATTCCAGATTTTTTAGAAAATGGCTTTTTAACATTGTGACACCCTTTTTTTCGTTACCTTTGCAATACTCGAAGTATTCATTAAATTTCTCTTTTGCCCTTTCCATCGAGCTGTGTTCCTTGAAAACACCACTACTGTTGTTGGCGGCGTAGTTAGCCGAGCTCATTACTCTCTAATCGCAATCCAATTTAAAAAAAAAAGAGATCTGAAACCGATTTCAGCTCCAAATCCGCTTCTTTCCAAAAAAGCCTCTTATTCGGAGAACTGAGAAAAGAGAAGGAGTAAGGGGGACCTGTGAGGGTGTAAATGGACGTAGAATCGTCTCGTTAGTCATGATTAGCTGACGACTTCACGGCTCCAGTCGGCTAGGGATCGATAGAAAACCTCGAACTCTCGGGGTCAACAATCGAACTTGATTAGAATAAACCAAAAAGGGAATTTTCAAAAAAGCCTCAAAACAGACACAAAGAAGGAAGTTCAGAATTATAGAAAATTTTGGCCAATCAGAAGCCTTTATTTATCCATCCGTCCAATCAGAAGCGCAAAAACCGCTTTTGACTAATTCGACCCTTTTTCTATTAAATTATTTAAAATTTGAGAATTTGAAAAGCTCCTGAAACGGCACGCTTTTATGTTTGTCTAACGATGAAATAAATTTGTGTAGAAGCGACGTCCGGCGGGAGGAGACCGCCATGACAACGCTCGAAGAGCAGCAGGGTCTAATAAACTGTACTGTGTTTGATGAGCGCTTTACTAGGGGGGCTTTACTGTTTCTGTCTGATTTTATGGCCCAGGAAGACCAACATGCTGTAAATTACTGTTGCAAGGTTAGTAAAGCTGCGTTTTCTTCAACAAACCGGGGTACCCTTAATTAAGAAAAATGGTCAAAACTGCATAAATAATGTCTTGTAGATTACCCTTCAAATTGCCTTATCCGTCAATCATCAATGAATGAAATACGAGAATATCGCCTGTGTGACGAAAATTGCCCCGGAGGCAGATCATTATTTGCCCAAAAGTCTGGCCGTCTCCGTTCCCCCGGGGTAATTTGATTTTATGGAACCGGAAAATCAAATCCTTAGCTTTTACTTGCTGAAAAATGTCGCCCCACCACATTTTCATTTTCATCGGAAATATTACTGTATGTTGGAAAATTATTTCTGTGCGTCACCAAATTTCTTTTTTTCGGTTATCATTTTGAATGACCGTAAAATGACGTTTCATAAGGTCGGGTTAGAATATCTCGAGGAGAATTATGATTGTATCGGAAATGAGTGCCCTGTCTGGAAAAATGGGGCGAAATTGGAATTTTGAAAGGAAGGTTCTCAAGTTTTAGGCTCTCAAATCATACCTGATGATCTTTTGGAAAGAATGCTCTTGAGTTCAGGCGGCCTCTGCACGACAGAAATCGTCTTGGTTCTCTTGATTCCAGCGTCCAGCGCAGAAACTGTTTTCTTTCTCGTACTTTTCGTCGGTTGGAGAACAACTGCCTTCTCGCTACGCGACAAATCATTAAATTTTCAGAGGCACCTTATGACTTTATTTTTACTTAAGCTTTCTATAGATAGAATGCATCAATAAACAAGGAAATTATTTGTTAGAAATTTTCAACCTCAGAAACAGGACTTTTTTCTTCTTTTTAATCGCTGAGTTGTTCATTTTGTTTTATTTTCTATCTTGGATCTAATTGGATTCAGAATTGAAAAGAACAGAGCGGTTCTTTTTGAAAAGATCGGAAATCAAAAAGAGAAGACGACAAAAAGATGTTTGGACAGAGGTAAGTCCCCGCAGCTGCTTGTCACTTCGCTAGAAATCTGAATGTTTTGCGCCTCCGAAAATACTCAAAAAGATGGCTTTATTGCCCTTACTGTTGAGACTGACGAGTACTACTGTGCATTCTCACAGTCAGATGGGGTCGTTTTTACAGTCAAATACAGCTGGACTGATAAGGAGCTACCTCGACCAAACGACAAAGTAATCAAATAAAATCATCACTTTGGAAAATCGAAAAAGATCAAGATATATTTCTCAAATTCTAAGGGTATCCCTCTTTCAGGGTCAAGAGGGCAGCGAAGGATACGTAGCCCCCTAACCCTAACCCCAACCCATTACTATTCTCGTAACAGTAACTACAACCGATTCTTGGTTTTCTTGTCTTTTCGCTTCCATCTCCAACTGGGGTCGACTTCGTCTTTGAAACTTTTTCTCTTGATGGAGGCATTTTTACCGTCTTCTTTTAAAGTTTGAATCTCTTTGTTGATTTCAAAGGCTCCGAAGAAATTTCTCTTTGTTTTTTGGTAAAGGAATTCGATTTCACAAAAGTGCAAATGCGAAATTACGATTTGGTAGTGCTCTAGTGGTAAGAAGACATTTTGAAGTTAATGTGTTTGAGGAGGAGTGAAAATTGATATTTCCCGAGTGTCCAAACCAAAAATCTCCATTGCGCTATTTTTTTATTATCAATGTTTGCTTGCAGCGCAATTGGCGCAAAACCAAAATCTAAATAGAAACGTACTACTTCCACTGTCAGAAGAAAGCACAACTACTGGAAAGGTACGAGTCAAACTTTTATGCAGGAAGAGATTTGACACAGAAGATGTCAAGACAAATTATTTCTCGCCGTGTTGGCTACAAAAGATGTCGATTTTTCTAGGATCCATGATCTTGAGAAAAAAAGACAAAAAGAAGCTTGCTAAAAGAACGGTAGTAGGGGTTATGATTCGAGCTAACCCTAACCCTAAGCCACGGAACCCCCCAAGGCCAAATCCAGGGGCCTCGCCCCCCTACGGAGTTCTCAGACCCTAACCCTAACCACCTGGTTTTGCTGAAATTTTTGATCATGATCTTTTCCCTTTTAGGCTCTATAAGAAAAATCTTCTATTTCAAAGCAGAACTCTCAATTACAGGAAATGACAATCTCGAGATTCTCGCCTGTTTCTTGCCTTGAAAAGAAACAGAAATTGATCAAGCCTGGGAAAAGCACTCGAGCTGCTTCCAGCTTAGAAAGTGCGCGGAGGCACCTGCGCTCTGTCATAATTTCATAAATCCAGTTCAAACAACCACGCGCCAACTGTTGCTGACCTGTCTGCTCGTATTTGGAAACTGCAATCATGGAAGAAAAAAAGACTTTCAATGAATTTTTCTTTTATTTACAGATTATTTGAACTTTTTATTTTGAATAAATGTTGATTATATACCATCGATATATATTATTTAAAAAAAGGGATTGAGGAGGGATGAGTCATTTTTCTTCAGACTCTGGTGTTACGTCGAGCATTGCATGGAGTTGCTCAGCCGAATGGCCGATTAATTCACCGAGTTCGCAGACGAATTTGTAGACATACCTAGAAATGAATTTTTAAAACCATAAAATAGCTTATTGATAAGGCGATTGGACATTTGATAAATGAACCATGATGAAGAAAATAAGCTATCTTTTACTCTACCCTCATGCGGCCCATTCGCCTCAAATATATTCTGATTGAAAATTTAAATTTATTGCTCAAATATTTTCTCGTTTGCCTACCGTCTTCCAGGAGTCTTCTCAATAATATTCTTATCGTAGTAATATCTCAATCCTCTCGATAATTTTTCATAATTCATCTTTGGCTTATTCTTCCTCACTCCCCATCTTCTTGCAACCTCATCGGGATCAACTAGAATATCGTTACTTTCAACTTCGAACTTCAAGAAAAGCAAGCTTACCCATTCGAAACTCCCAATCTTTGCCTGTCCAAGTGATGCAGTTTTTGGATTGTCGGTCGAGAAGCATTTCGACCAAGAATTGCCAAAGTTGAATGGGTCCTCCGGACGCATTTAGGCGGTTTTGGATAGGGACAATCAGCTAAAACCAGAGTTAATGGCTTTTTTCTTCTAAGTTCTCATGAAAACTCATGAAAAAATCGCCGCTTGAATTTTTCAATCAGATAAAAACAGCGACTCTTGTAATCAGTTGTTTACGATGTTGCGCTAATGGAGTGCGAAATTACCTGACTCTCTTGATTAGCTTTATTGGTGAGGTACTGGAAATGTTCCCATCCGATTTCTCCGACGAAAGGAGGCCAATTAGAGAGGAACTCATTTCGGCTTAGTCGAGATAGCTAGAAGAATATTGTTAATTGCGTATTGTCGTCATTTTGTTCAAAGAATATGTTATGTTCCGATCTAGCCGTGAATGATGAAGCGGATCGGAATTAATCAAGCTAACCATGTGTAATTATAGCTTGATCGGATAAATAAATATTAAGCTAGAACAGAAGAATTTACCTGTAAGCCGTCATATCCATCAATATGCACATATCCATGAATTGAGAATTCCGCTCGTACCCAATCTACCCACTGGGCTACCTGAAAAGGCAAGTTTTACGATCGAATGGCTAGAAAAAAGCTATTACCTGGTAAGAAGACCAATTGACCGGGTCCCGCGGGTGGTCGAATTTTTCCAAGAAGCCGGCGAAAATGAGCGAGATCGAGTGATTGAATTTTGCGGAGGAGCGGGGTGTTATAACGGAGCCCATTTGAGATGAAATGGGATCATCGGAGAAGCTGGAATTTTCATCGCTCGATGAACAAGAGCTAATAAAAACATGTGTAAATTGACATTATAAACGATGCAAGAATCTAAGTATACAACAGTGATAAAAATAAAATTCATGCTTTGATAGTCAAGTTTTATCGGACCACTTATTCACACCTTTGTTTTTTTTCTTTTACATCTTTATTAATATACGGTCCATATAATATGGATAAAACGATATGACGAGAATATCATTTATGGCGTAAGAAAAAAGATTCTTCGTTTTATTCGACTCAAATTTTCCAATTTTATGATTCAAATAATTCAAGGACTTCTTCTTTTTTGCTATGTTTTATTGCTATATTCAAACTCAAATGAGTATACGGTATAATTTATAGCGATAGAAATAATTAACGTGAAAATTGTGGATAAGTCGTCCCTATCTTTTCGCCTATCACGGTCGGTATAAAACATATTATTCATAAATTTAAAACTTACTTGAAAGAACAATTTGGAACCTCGTGATCCGAAAAATCCGGGGATGTTTCATTCGAGCTGGAAAATGTCTCGAACGAGCTGCCCATCATCGAATTCTCCAATTTCAGCGGACTCGGTCTCTTCACTTTTCTAGTGCTGCTTTTGTTAATAGGCTGCTCGGGGAACGGGTCATCCATTCGTTCCTTTTTGATGAAACCTGCATCCATCATCCAGAAGTTTGATTCTGGCTCTTCTTTTGATGAAAACTCTGAGTCCCACGGGCAAGGGACTAAATCTCCCATTGAAAAAGAAATTGAGTTGAATGAAGCGCTAGAATGAAGCAAATTTGGATGGAGCAATCTCTTATGAGGGCGGCGACTAGAACCCTCTTTTGAATAATTGAGGACTTCCTTTTTCTTTTTTTCTGGTTTTGTAAGTGGCGGATCCGATTTTTAATTTTTGATGGGCGAGACGTTCCATCGATGGCGCACCGTGCACGGTGGCGACCTCCTCCCCTTAATTTTCGGAACGGAACTGCATGGGAAATTGGGAGCGGTTTATGGGGAGTTATGATGACCTCTGGAATATACAAGGGGATGAACTAGAACGGCAAGATCTTGGGAAGAATGGAACGCAAAAGAATCATGTTTATTGGATTGATTGGAGAGGTAGACGATTTTTCCTAGATAGTCATGTTTGCACCCATCAAGATAGCAAAGCGTTCCTGGTCAACCTAGGGAGATTTTTCAGAGTTCTCATCTGATCATTAAATCTATCTTGGTACATGCGGAGACATATGCTTCGACTGATACTATACAGAATTATTTGCTTCATTACTATTATTATTATTTATTATTATGATCAAAAATGAAGCAAAAAATAAATATGTTTTTAGAAAACGAAACAAATTTTTGTGGTTTTCATAAAATTAAATTTAATAAAGATTAAGCGAAAATGAAATACAAAATTCCCCTATTCTATATCATATATAGACTATATGAATTTTGAAAGCTGTTTTCTAGCGCTTCGATTTCTGCCCAGCTGCTCTTCAATATTTTTCCGGATCGGGGCGAATAAGTGCACCTGGAGCTGGCCTCGCCCGCTGAGTGAATAATTTGGTTACAATAATAAACGAAACTGTTGATGGCTGTTTTTGCTCCCCCGCTATGCGTATCACTAGTTCGGTTGCACCTTCAAAATCAAGATTAATGCTCCTCCTTTTGTTCGAGGGTTTTTTATGGCACTCGAAAATGGAAAATGAAGGAGTACATAAAATGAATAAAACAGGTGCATTTTGTGAGTAAATCTTTGATGCACACACGCGCTACTACTCATAAAACTTCATCAGCTGATTGTTACAATTTCGGCCCGTTTTTCTTTTACAAATCTTTAAAACTCGATTTAATTTTAAATTTATCATTTCATCAAAAAATTATTTTGTAAATTGAAGTCATCTGAGTTTACAGAATTAAATATTCATCCCGAAAATGCGGCTCTTTTTCATCCCTTCATTTTAATTAAAGTCAACTATGGGAGATCTTCAGAGTGAAACGAGAGGAAAAGTATTTTGGGTCTTATTTTTGTTTGCCGCTTTGGGCTGGTTGATTGGGCTTTGGGAGCTGACTTGCGAATATGGAAATGCTCTTTTGCCGGATGTTTTTAGAGAAATCCCGATTTGCTGATTTTCTGAAATTTATTGAATAAATGAAGCGAGTTCAGCAATTTTGCCAGAGACAATCAGTTCAGTTGCTTTTTCCATATCATCGGAAAGGTAGCGGTCCCGGTCCATGAAGGTGATGTGTTCCCGAACAAGATCACGGACATTTGTGAGAGTTTCGGTTGAGGAGAATTGACCGTCTTTTTCTTTCAGATCAAATGCTTGGCAAGCTGCTAGGAGCTCAATTCCTAAACAAATCATTTTAGGGTCGAAAAATGGCTAAATTTTCTTGTGGAAAGTTGACTTACCTAATACATGCTCTGCATTCTTGACAACCTGCAAGGCCTTCCTAGCTGCCCAACCTCCCATGCTCACGTGATCCTCGGTGCCCGCCGAAGTCGAAAGAGAATCTGTCGATGATGGGTGGCAAAGTACTTTGTTCTCCGAAACGAGCGCACTAGCCGTCACATGCGACATCATAAAACCAGAATTGATCCCGCCTCATCAAAATATTTTCGAGAAAATGAGATTGCTATTCTTACCTTCAGGAGCCAGAAAAGCAGGGAGACCAGAGCAACTTGGGTTGCAAAGTCGCTCGATTCGGCGCTCGGAAATGTTGGCAATGTCTTGCACGGCGATTGCTAGAATGTCCAGGGCCTGGTTACGTAATGAGTAATTAAAGGATATTTTCGATTTTTCGATTTTACCTTCGCTGGATATTCTCCATGAAAATTACCGCAGCTTATTGTTCGATCTCTTTTCGCGAGAATCATTGGGTTGTCGGTAGCAGAATTGAGCTCGACGGCTAGAATTGATCGGACAAACTTGATCGAGTCCAGGGCAATCCCATGAACGGTAGGGACGCATCGGAAAGTGTATGGATCCTGGTAGTTTGTGTGATCATCTGAGAAGCTGTTCCGGCGGCTACGGGCGGATCCTCGGCCAAGGAGGCTTCGGAGATTCTAGAATTCTGTGTCCCTTGGATCTAATTCAGAAAACCTACCGATGCAATGATTGATTGACCCTTGTGCTTCTTAGCTTTGCGGATGGTATCATCGAAAGCATAAACCTTTCCAGAAAGAGTATCAATCGTCATGGCAGCAATTATATCCGCGCTTTTTCGCAGATTCTCTGCTCGAACAAGCGCTTCTGATCCGATGGTTGAAATGAACTAGGAAAAATGTGATTATTTCAAGACATGATTTACGAACTTGAGTTCCGTTGATAAGAGCGAGTCCTTCTTTCGGCTTGAGTTCTAATTTTGAAACATTATTTGCTGTCAGGACTTCTTCAGCAGGAGCGATTCCGGTTTTTGGGGAGTACATTTTTCCATAGCTGAACCTGGCTGAAATTTAAAGTAGTGTCAATGTTCTACAAGTGTTACAATTTATAGCAACAGCCTCTCGACACACGTTTTTAAAGTTTTGTGTTTTTGATTCAAGTTTACTTTATTCGCTAAAAATACCATCCTTAAAAATTGAACAATCTTACGGTTTGCCAATGATAAGATCTAGAGAAAAAATCTATGATAAAAAACACCCAGGACCCAAGAAGACCGAGCGCAATATGCGCCAGTGGGGCCAGATCACCACTAGCACCAACAGTCCCTCTCGCCGGAACTTGAGAAACTACACCAGAATTGAAGGCTTTGATCATTCGGGAAATCGTTTCTTCGGAAATTCCGCTAAATCCTTTGGCAAGAATATTGATCCTCAGAGCCATTAGCCCACGAGCTTGGCCAACAGGGATGCATTCACCGACTCCGCATGCGTGAGAAGTGATGAGGTTGTTCTGGAGTTCGACGAGGCGCTCGGGCTCGACAAGGACCCGGCAAAATTTTCCAAAGCCTAAAAGATAGAAAAAGTGATTGGAAAGAGGCCTACCTGTATTGATTCCATAAACAGTTCTCTTTTCATCGAGCACCTTATCAATAACTTTTCTAGCGCTTCGAACCGCCTCCCAAGCGCTCTCCGACAAATCAATTTTGCTCTCAAAGCTCTGAAGACTCTTCAGAGTCTCTGGTGTCAAATCATTTCCATTAAGTAAAACTGTTTCCATTTTTAGTCAACTCAATTGAGCTTTGAAGATGTTTTTGGGCAGCGAATAATTTTCAAATCGGAGCACGCCCACTTAGTGAAATAACGAGATCGCGAAAATTATGGGCGTTGGAAAAAATGTTGACTAGGTTTTGATTTGAGAATTATTATTCATTGGAGTCAGACTCGGATGTCGAGGCTTCCTACGTTAAATTTTTGATCAAGTGGGGTTTAATTTTTAAAATAACGCTCAACTAATAAGCCGTTTTGAATTAAAAAAAAACCGTTTTAAAAAAATGTTTGAAATTACTCATCAATATAAAAAGCATCATTTCTTGTTACACAACCGAAAATCTTTTGAAATTCACGAAAATCCAAATATTTGCATCCGTATTCCGATCCCCGAAAAGCAATAATTGAGCAAAAATGATCATCGTTAGAGGATTGAGAAAAGAAGATGAAAAAGAAGCATTTAAAATCTGGCGAGAGGAAATGATTTTTCAGTGGCCGCGCGAAGAATGGAATTATAACAAAAACGGGTGCACGCTGTTTTTCACATCTTTGCTTTTCCTCGTTGTTTTCACCAAGTTTTTCGACCTTTTTCTTTCGCTAATGCTTGTTGCTGTCTGGATTTTGGTGGTTCATCTTCATGGCTACAACACTGTGCATGTTTATCTCCGCTCAAGAAAAGACATGGGCAATCTTTATGAAAATCACCGAGGTCGATTTTTCGTAGCTGAAAATAGCGCGACTGGAGAGCTTCTCGGAACGATTCTTTGGAAAAAGTGCAAAGAGATTCCTTCTTGTTTGAAATCGAGAAAAACCGCTGATGATTTTATAGAGCTTGGATCGTTGATGGTCAAAAGAAATTGCAGAAAACTTGGAGTCGGGTAACCTTTTTTCCTCAAAATCACTCAATTCACTCCTAATTAAGAAAAATGCTCGTCAACAAAATCAAGGAAGAAGCAATACGACTCGACAAAGATATTTTCCTCGTCACTTCAATTCACAACCAAACAGCTGATCGATTTTACCAGAGAAACGGTTTGAAAAGAATCGCTGGAGATATTTACAGTTTCACTCGTATTCTGTATTTTTTTGCTTGGGTTTTTGATCATCGATCATTGTTCTTTATTTATGAAACAAAATAAACGCTTGATAATTTTTAGGATCTTGATTTCATGACTAATGACGTTTCTTTTATGTATGTCGAATTTTCGAACAAAACAACTTCTTTCTGTTTTAGCTGTCTTCGTATTGCATTGTATCTAAATATCGATTTCATTAAATCGATAAAAATTACTGTTTCTTACTTTCTTTTACCCTCTTTCCCAGATCTTTTCTTGTGCCAGGCGGCATTGATCCCCATCGTAGTAAAGTACGCAATAAAAGCAATGAAGAGAAGCCAAAAAGGTTGAAAATTGAAGCGAATTACATCTTTCTTCGACTTTTGTTTTTCTCGAGCTTAAAAAATGAAGGCTGCTCCTGGATCGCGCGGAATCCTGGATTGCGCGGATCCCGGATCGCGCGAATTCCTTGATCACGCGGATCGGGTGATTCAGGATTCTGCGCGATCCAGGATTTCGAAAAAAATCAGAAATTCAATTTACAATTTTGCTTTTCTTATCAAAAATGGCCAGAACTGTTGGTAAACCATGTAATTCTTATCTTTTCAATTCAGAAATGTAAGAATATCAAATAAATAGAACCTTCAACGAAGTCATCATTCAACTATTTTTAGTTGTTTGATTTCCGGGACCTAGTAGGCTACTTTTATGCGCAGGGATTAGCAGCGCGCAGGTTCCATTTAGAGTTGACAAATGGATTGCAGTCCCTGATTTTCGTCGGGACAGATTAGGATAAAAATTGAGAGCTATTCTTATTTAAGATAAATACTTTATCATCATTAACGATTTCCTTGATTTCCTTCTCTTGATTCTTTTCAAAACATTTCTCAAATAACTGTCTGTCCCTGCGAAAATCTGGGACTACCTTCCATTTGTCACCTCCGAATGGAACTTGCGCGCTGCTAATCCCTGCGCATAAAAGTAGGTCCCGGAAATCACACAACTAAAAATAGTTGAATGATGACTTCGTTGAAGGTTCTATTTATTCGATATTCTTACATTTCTGAATTGAAAAGATAAGAATTACATGGTTTACCAACAGTTCTGGCCATTTTTGATAAGAATAGCAAAATTGTAAATTGAATTTCTGATTTTTTCGAAATCCTGGATCGCGCGGAATCCTGAATCCCCCGATCCGCGTGATCAAGGAATTCGCGCGATCCGGGATCCGCGCGACCCAGGATTCCGCGCGATCCAGGAGCAGCCAAAAATGAAAGCTATAATTTATAGCCTATAAATTCAGAAAACTCACTGATGCAGGGATTAAACGAGAAAATATTTTGCCGGTCGAGACAAAGCTCCAAAGCAATTCTGTCATTTTCGTCAGCTCTCAAGCTTTCGCATTCGCACCACCATCCGCCAAAAGCCTCCAGAGATGTAGCGCATTTTTGAGAAATTTTTCCTGGACATTGATTTTTCGCCCTTGCTTTGAAAATTCCGATCGGACAGACTTGTTCAATGTGCTCAAGTCGTTCGAAACAATCGTGTCTCTCTGTGCACTGAGCGTAGGCAACTGTAAGTACAGACATTCAAAAAAGAAACAACTGAATCTTAACCATTGCAATCGGAGAACATCTCTCGATTGAGACAATCCCATGGTTTAAATTCCAACTCTTCCGGTACTCCCTGGCAGTTCTTCTCATGATTGCAACACTGAAAAGCCTTTTGAGTGATGTTTTCAGGAAGATCTGCGTAGAAAAAGTTGACGATCGATTCAACACATTCGGATTGTTGATTTTTGTCGCAAGTAGTCACATGATTCTTTCAAGGGATTTTATGGCCAGATATAATCCTAGATATTCCTTTAATTTTAAATCCCTTTCACAAAAAGCAATGTTTGGAGATATCCTTTATTCGCCCGCCACATTTCTCGTCTGCCAGACATTCTTCGAAAAAATCTCTGCAAGACATATCCACCGCTTCCCATTTCACTAAACTATTTTACTTTTTCTGACAGCTATATTATTCGTTTTACATTTGAAGCACATTTTCGAAAACTATCAATTTTTGCTCATTTTTATACCTCAAAGAATCATTAATTCATTCAGGGTTGAGCCGGGTCATTCATTAATGGCCCTCATCATCGTCTACTTTACTGTATGTCTTCACGTCTCGAAATTCTACATGCATGATCTTATATAACAAAATATAACACTCAATAGAGCACTTGAATTCCCCCGCCGGAAATTTTTATCGCTTTGTAAATTTTAACACAGCCCCTTTTTATGGCATTGACCGCTTATAAATTGAAAAATCTCGGTAGAATAGTTCATTAGATCCTGACAGGATTTGAGAGAGAACTACAGAAATATGAAGCTTTTTGTTCCGATCGGAACCGCTGTTGCTTGGCACAGTACTTATCAAGATGTCGAGCTTGGATCAGAGTCTGGTAACGAACCGCTTCCTTTACGAACTAAGCGGTCTTTTAGCAAAATGCCAGCCTGACCCAGATCGAGATTCGATCACTTCTGGCGAGTTCCCTAAAGGCTTCAAATGGTCCTTCGCAACTGCTGCCTACCAGATTGAAGGAGCTTACGATAAGGATGGAAAGGGTCAAAATATTTGGGACAAGTTTTCAAACGAAAACAATCCATGCCACGTCGAGGACTGTCAAAATGGAAATGATGCATGCAAGAGCTATATGAACATGGATCGGGATGTCGGGGTGAGAGAGCCAATTGAAGCGTTTATTTTTGACTGAAGAAATTAAGAATATGGCGAAACTCGGGATTGAAAACTACCGATTTTCATTTTCCTGGGCTCGATTGTGCCCAAAAGGAAAATGTGGCGTCACAGGAGGTTAAAATCATGAAATGGGTTAGATCTTAAAAATTGTTTCAGAGCACAGTGCCGCTGGAATCAAACATTACCATGATTTTCTGGATAAGTTGCAGGCTGCGAATATCGAGCCATTCGTCACTCTCTACCACTGGGACCTTCCCCAAGCACTGCAAGACGAGTACGGTGGTTGGGCGAATGAAACCGTCGTCGATGATTTCGGAGATTACGCGCGATTCGTCTTTCAAGAATACGGCGACAAGGTGGATTACTTAATGCGTTTCATTATCTGCGCAGTGTCAGATTATTTTAAATAACTCGGTTTTGTCTAAAAATAACACGCCGAATGAGTGCATCCAAATTTGATGCCAAAAGTTCACAGCCTTTTTAACACTATTTTCAGGTTAAAAACTGGATAACGCTGAACGAGTCCGAAGTCGTCTGCGATCTCGGCTACGGAGCTGGTTTCTTTGCACCGGGTCTGACCGGTTGGGGACCCCAATTTCACTGTAGACATCATACAGTCCTCGCGCACGTGAAAGCTTATCATATTTATGATTCTGAATTTCGAGCAAGACAAGGCGGTAGAATTGGAATCACGATGAATACCAACTGGTACGAGCCAAATTCAGGAAATTATTTGAAAAGACAATTTTGATTAATGAATTAATGCGGATTTTTCAACTTGAATCAAGACTTGCAAGCTGACAAAGACGCTAGCCAGCGATGGATGGACGATCAGCTTGGCTTCTGGGCCGATCCGATCTACCGCACTGGAGATTATCCTCCATCGGTTTTGGCGCGCATCCCTGACTGGGCCCTTCCACGAATGACGGACGAGCAGAAGAAGCTAAATCTCGGAACAGCTGACTTTTTCGGACTCAATCATTACACCACTTCTTTGGTCAAAGACTGCGACAACAACGGGGTACTTTCACAAACCCCCTTTTTTGTATAACTTTTATAAAAGAACAACTGCGGTAGCTCCTGGACCGGACTTGGTTGCTCCGAATGGCCCCAAGCTGGGTCTGGCTGGCTCTTCAGCGTCCCTTGGGGATTCCGTCGCATTCTTTCTTACATTGACCAAACTTATGACTCGAATAAGTACCCAATTTTCGTCACTGAAAATGGCATCTCTTCCCGTGGAAATGGAACTGATTTGAACCCAGAGCTGGATGACGCTTGGAGAATTCACCACTACACAAATTACATCGGTACTTGACAATTTTGCTAGCGTAAGAAACTTCAACTCGAGTTCAAAGGTCAAATGAAACGAGCGATTGAAGAGGACAAGGTCAACGTTCAAGTCTACACGGCGTGGTCACTGATGGACAATTTCGAGTGGACAACCGGCTATCACGAGCGATTCGGACTCATGTGGACTAATTTTACGTCTGACGAACGGTCTGTTAAAAAGTGATTATTGTTTTGATGCTTATTTAAAGCCATACGTACTTCAAAGACTCGGCAAGATTCTTTGGCAGAACAGCGATGACCAACTGCTTGAGCGTGGAAGGAGATACCTCTACCTGTCCCAAAGCGTTTTTGAACCTTGAATAAATTAGAAAAACTCAATTTTTGGCAAAGAAAATCGCTTGATTCTCTTTTTCCATTCTTTCGGATGTTTCCATAAATGTATTTTGAGGATTGATAAAGAAGTTGGTCCGCAACAATGATGAGTAAAAAAAGATATTGATAGTAAAATGAGCATGATACCATACATAGCTTTTAATTGAAATTAGTTAGTTAACTTTTTATCATCTTGAAATTGAGTCGGTCAATATTTGACTTTGAAACGCCACTCGAGCAGTAGTAAAAGAATATTTGTTTAGATTGTCAGGTTTCTGAAAAATATGCATGAAAAGATAGAAAGTCAGAAGATAGTTTTTTTTTTGCGTTTTTATTATATAATAATAAGGCGGAGTTTTATACAGTGTGATTGTTGGTTGTTTGATGAATGGGGAGGCCTATGTTCACGGCGCTAGAATACCTTTGTTTGATTTTCAATAGTAAGTGCTGAAAAAGGGCCAATAATTCAGGATTCAGATTTTCAGAAAGTGACAGAATATGTTTAAAAAAAAAGTTATTTTTTCATGACAGTTTTTTTTCTTTTGAACAGTTTTTAGTTTTTTTTTATATTTTGATAAGTTCTGGAGGAAATAAAAAAATGTTCATCTCTTAGGAAGTAATCTGTGATTCAGTTCTTTGTTACTTTGAAGAGGTATTTCTTTGAAAAAAATAGAGAACTTGGTCTTTAGTTTATAAGTTTTTCAATTAGAAAATGCATAGACTCGACTTTGATAGTATGTTTTTTGAAAAGTTGAAACCGATAGTGATTGATACTGATAGAAAATTGTAGTAGATAGTTGTTGATAAACAGTATTTTTAAAATAGATAGAAAAAGGTTGAAGAACAATGGATGATGAGCACGAGAGGCTAGGAGACGATCGATGATCCGATCATTTTTGCCTAACGCTTATAAATAGAATGAACCAATGGAACAGTTACTTCCATGACAGGCTCGTTACTGCCCCGTATAACTTGTGTAAGACATAAATCGAAGCTACTAGCTATTGATGGAGAAATGAGCCCGTTCCTTTGAGGCGATGTCAGCCCAACGGCCCTGGATTGGAACTGGTGACGCTATGGCTGGAATTTGAGGAGGCGACTCGACCAGATTCGGGAAGAGCTCTAACGTATTGGCTGGTGGAGGAGTCGGTGGGTGTACGATTGTCTGAACAACCGATTCTAAAAGCATTCTCTTTCTATATTTTACCTTTTCTACATCTTGGTGTGCTTGATTGTTGTTTCTGTCGCGATCGCGGCGGTCTCTTTCTCGTCTGGGTCCACCTCGTGGACCGTCTCGGTCGGATCCTTCTCGTCGTGGCGCTCGATCGCCCGTGTATCTTCTCTCTCGTCGCTGGGGCGCGTCTCCATCCCTTCGTGATCCTCCATTACCTCGCTGAAATCTCAAGTAAACTTCATTTATCAAAAAGAGACCTTACTTTCTGCGGTCGATTTGAATCAACGTCAGTGTCGGAGGTCTCCGATCTGTTATCCTTCACTTTCTTCTTGAATTCTACCGTTACCCAGCCGGGTTCTTCTTCCGAGTTTTCAGTTGTGGCGTTTTCTTCAGTGGCTTTTGGCGCTTCTTTCTTTAAAAAGACTTCAAAAAGGCTCGTTTTCTAGCGCTCTTTACCGCTGGAGCAGGTTCAGCTGGTCTTGTCTTTGCGGGATGTTGACGGGCGGGTGCAGTTTGACGGGGTTGTGTCTTTCTCTCAGGAGCTACTGGTCGAGTAGTTTTAGCTGATCCTCCTTTTTGAGAGTCTTTGTCAGATGATATCGAAGCTGGCTTGGGAGGAGTCGGGATTGGCTTCTCGGATGGGGGAGGAGCGGCGGGCTGGGTCTTGAACACTTCGGCCAGCGTCTTGCCGGTATTTGGCCAGGTTGATTTTGCTACAAATCGATGAGGTGAGGTTGGTTGGGTGGTTTTACCAGTTGTTGATGGCAGTGGAGCATCCTGTGGCGTGGGCTTTAGGTCTTCTTTCTTTGGCGCGGGTGCCGGCTTGGGTGATTTTCTCGTCGTTGGTCCTGCTACTGATGAAGATGGCTGCTTCTTCGGACTTTCGTTCGATTTTAGTAGGTCAGCTAAGGGATTAGTTAGAAGGAGAATAAGCCGCACTAGTCAAAAATGTTGCGGAAAGGGCGTCTTTACCTAGTGGAGGAAGGGACGGAGTTTCGCTAGATTCTACCGATGGTGGCTGAACGGGAGATTTCGCAGCCGGTAATGATTGATTCGGAGACTGATTTCCCAGGGTCGGAAAGTCTTTTGCTTCCATCGCAAATTGCGGCGGGGGAACGGGCTGAAAAGTCGCGCTCACTGCTGCTTTTCGGGTAAATATTTATACCTTTGGCTGCACTTGGGGGAGCGGCGATTTGGAAGAGGCACCGCCAGTGCGTGATCGATTGTAGTCTACAATTGATCATTTTATAATGGATGCTCACTTCTGCAAAAGTAAGCTTACCTTCGGGTGCGTTTCGAGTTCCACGAGGTCGACGAGCTCCCCGGGTCGATCGGGTAAAATGAATCGGAATTTCGGTCGGTGGAGGTACTGGGAAATTGGTTAATTAGCTGAAGAAGGATGTAAATAGGTACCTGGATGGCCATTTTCGATTCCTTTGCGGATAAAGGGTTGGTACATCGTTCTGAAATATGCGTTAGGGGCTTGTTATGGATGGTTTTTTTTATTTGAAAACACGCTTATTTTTGATGGAGATGAAAATAAATGTATTTTCACGCATATCCATCCATTCTCAAATCCGAAATTTAAAGACGGACGCCCTTAAACTTGAAGTTTTCCAACTATGGACCAACCATCTGGTCCGATGGAGAATAAGGGCGTCCAATTAAAGAGAGATCATCACGCGAGAATTCGAAAAAAGAGATAACAGTAGAATAAGTGAAAATATGAGTGTTAACCTGCAGAACACCGGCAGCTTATTCGGGTTACTGAAATTTATATTCGTCGGTGAGGATCTTGTGAAGTTGATTGTTAAACGGAAATGCTTCTACTTTCAAATTGAATTGTTACATGGTTACCGAGCGCGAGGCACTCGTACTACTGAGTAACAATGTTACAAAGGAAACAAAGCAATCAATAGTATCAACATGTTTTAATTTTGATAAATGATTGGATAAATATTTTTGAAATAATACATATATGAAGGATACTTACTTGTCTGCGGCAGCTTTTTTCGACTTTTTCTGGCGCAGGTGAGGAGGGAACGGCTTTTGGTACTAAGAACAAAGGTTTTAGTGATAATTTGTGATATATTTTCTGACGAATACATGCTCAAAAGCAAAAAGCCGCTAGCGGTTTCGAGTAAACCGAAGCAGCTCGGCTTCTTGAGTTTTTTTTTAATGCAAAGAAGGCGAGCAAAATCAATAAAAGTTCAGTGACCGAGGAAAACTATCCCTTCTTCAAGGAGAAATGCATTTTGAAATGAAAACAACAAATTATTTATGCGCTTGATAAGTAGCAGGCATCCTCTCTTGAGCAGCCTGTGGACAATGACCGTGGTGCCAAATTATACCTGAAATGTGGCAAAGTTCTGTATCAAGTCGTCGTTTGCATGATGCTGTCCCTGGCTTGCTGGTGGTCCAGTTGTCGAAACTGGCGGCGCTGGCGAAGGATACATATTGAAACTACCGGCCGAGTAGCCTGTCCAGCCTGAAAAAATGGAGGATTAATTCGGCGTTGAAAAGGTTGATTATTGATTTACCTTCGTGAACTTGCCGAGGGTGCGCTTGCTTTTGATAGTGGCCGGCGGAGATCTTTTTCATATGAACCTGAAAAGAGAAGTAACGAAAACGACCTCTAGAATGAACTCGTACCTTGAAGGAAGGTTCAGTTTTGCGCAAGTGCTCCATCGACTTCTGCGCGTCCTCAGCATGCGCAAATCCGACGTACCAGGTGGCATGACTCTCGCTTGAAGTTGCTAGCTCAGCACGGATTACAGTCGACGCGCCCTGTTTGAATTTTAGCGCAAAAGAAAGGGGTCTCCAATATACCTCGATTTTGAAAAGATTGAGAACTCGTTCCTCATCAAAGCCGATGGGAACGTCGCGTACAACAAGACGGAACTTTTCGGGGCCAGATTTTGCTCGAATCTTGAGCCCATAATCGTCAACCTTGAATACACAATGTGTGGAAGGTGTAGGGATAGTGTTTCACCTGAAGAACAGCTGATTTGGTCTGGACAAGAGTGGCAATATGCTGCTCTGGGTCGGCGACGTCTTCGATGAATTTTTTCACTTGTGCGAAGTCACAGAGAGTCATGATTTTGACGTAGTTCTGGAAAAAAGAAGGGAGTTATTGATCTGTATTCGGACTTGTTTGCTGCCAGCCTGATAGTCAAAATTATGAGTATTTAGCATCAAAAAGATGGTCGAAAATACAGTAGTTATTGAATGGCATTGACGGCCAGGCTGACAGTATAATTGTTCGAAGATAGTAATCCTCTTTGGTTGAATGAGCGTATTACCTCGTCGTCCATCTGGCTGCGCAAGTAGTGGTCCTGCACCAAGTTGTCCTGGCTGAAGTAATATTCCAGCTGGGCAATGAGTTGATCATCGCTCGACGATGAGTACATACAAGCTGGACAAAAATGGTCATCTAGAATTGATCGTTAGACAAAAGGGTTCGACGCCAGGAAGCTACAGCTACTCAAGCTTCTTCCTAGAACTACTTACTTTAAAAACATAACAAGATGTGATGATAGAATGATGAGAGAAGTACAGCTACTTAAATGTGGCGAAATGGTGGATTGCTCCACCCAACTCTTGTTCGATTCTAGAGTTGGGCAGAACACTAGCTAACATTACAACAAAAACATTCAGTGTTCATTCAGAGTACAATTCGGTCGAACAATAATTCAACCTCGAGGATAACAAAGAAAATGAAAAATGACGTGAGCAATTATCGACTTTTAGAAATCCGAGAGGACAGTTTTTTACTCTGATATGGACACATTGAAGCAGAATTATCCGACTGTTCCAAAATGAAGGCCATTTTTGAGGTCAATGTTCATCAAAAAATATAGATACACGTCAAATATAATTACGGAAAAAGTCATTATTAATGATCAATAATCATCGTGACTATCGATTGTCACGGGCCTCCTCCTCTCGGGAAAACTAATTCTCTTTACGCAGAATCGCATATATTTTATATTCATATTTTCAAGCGCGTACGTCATTTCAGATTATTATTCCGCCTTCGCGGGATCGAAAAAGGGTTGATTCATTTCAAGAAGACAACGAGGAAAACGGCTACAACATGCCATGCATCTGGATTCATTCTATCTGACTAGGGCTAGGACTTACCATTGTTGGAAGAATGAGCATTCGAAGAGTGGAGTGAAGGGCTGAGCATGTCCGTTCCGCGATCAAGGAGGAAGGAGTAGACCGCTCAAACCCAAAACGCGCCCGGTCCCAAAAGCCGGTCCGAAAACGAAAGAAAACGTCTAAACTTCAACAAGTTATTTTCTTTCCGTTTTCAAATTATCTGGTTGTGCAAAGTAGAAGTTTTCGAGCTAAGACTTTCTCGATAAAAAAAGGTCGCAAGATCTTTTCTGTTATCACAAAAATTCAGCATAATTTTCTAAAATTCAATTTCCAGCGATAAAGCACTTGAAAAAGATAAATTTGCGCCGGCATACGGAAAATTCCCAGCGCTGCGAAAAGCAAAAAAAACGCTCGTTACTAAAAAAAATAAGGAAAAAAGAAAAGAAGAGCAAATGCGAGGCGACGTGATAACGTGCCAAATTTGTTGAATAGAAAATTAAGCCAGTTTCTTCTCGATTGTCAGGTTCAATTTGAAGTTTGAAAATTCAAGTAGATATAATTTTGAAGCGAAAATGCCAAGTCCAAGAAGTTCAAGCAGAAACCTAATTTCACGGTTCTCGGAGCATTATCGGACATTTTTAAACAAGCAGACAAACTCTAAAGCCTTTCATTGAGATACCCTTAATCAAATGGTAGGCCAATCAGATTTGAGAAGAAATTATCGCAAAAATTCGAGTTATTTTTCGCAATTTTCGTCGATCCGAGCCACAACCCTAGAATTAATCGTAATATTTCGATGATTTCTTGTTCCGAAATGATTCTCTTGAAGTCGAAAATTATTTTATTTACTGCTTCTCGAAATTGAGAGGTCAAAAAAAAAAGAGTAGTTGTTAGTTCCTGCTCGTACGTTTAGTTTACCAACGCACTTGAGCTTCTTTTTCCTCCTTTTTTTCTTGTCGCAGTAGGCGCAAATCGATTTTATAATACATTTTCGAACATGCACCGTAATGCATATAAATTAGTCATTAAGGAGAGCCTGCGAAAAAAGGGGAATGCATGAAGCATTAATTGGTCATATCTAGCCCCCTCCCCTCTCACCCCCACCTCAAAAATTTCAAGAGGGGTGGGGGTTCTTGAAATTTATTTTATAAAATAATTTTGCCCGAATTTCTTCGAACAGGAAATTAACCCGAGCTCTACGATTTTCTTCATCAAAAGGGGAAAACATGAACCCATAAAAAACCAAAGATGGCCCTAATAATTACCCTGGAAAGAACGGAAAAATAAAAATTGAGTGAGTAAATTTTTCATCGTAAAATACACCGGCCAGGGAAAGAACTAGTGTTTGGTCAGGCTGGCATCCGTCCAGCGTAATTTTCAAAGGAAAATTAACAATTTCGAAAAAGAAACAAAATCTCCAAGCAAAATTTCATCAAGTTCAAAAACTTTCTTTGTAGCAAAATTGTCTGAGAGACAAAAAGTGATAATAAGAATATCTAGAGCTACATGTTATTTTCTAGAATTCATCAAAGTCTAATTTTCTAGAGTCTAGCTCTAGAATTTCGTGAAATAATCAAAATTAAAAGATAAAGAAATAATAAATTCGACACAAAATTTTTTTTTCGCTATGAAAACAAATATTTTTAGGTCAAAAGCCCTTCGCGCGCGGGAATTTTCCTTTCAATTTGTATTTTGGAGCCGAAAGTTGTTGTTTTCTTCGCAAAAATCTCTGGCAGAAATGAAGGTGGGGCATTTTTGGGGAGGAGGAAAACGGTAGGGGACGGAAAAACAAGGGGAATGGAAAGAGAGGCCAGGAGTTCTCTTTTTTTTGTAACATTATCACGCGCATGCGGCCAATGTGGCGGGCGAAGTGCGTAGGTGGCCCAGCACGGACCTGGTCGATACCTCAACGCGCCCCAAAAGGATCATCCGGCCACGGCCATTTTTTCTAAAAAAAATGCGGGAAAACGGGCTTGAAAATTTAAAAAAAGGGAAATTGAAGCTCATTTGCCGAAATTTTCGAACTTCAGTTTTTATTAAAATTTTTGAAGAAATTCAAAGCTGCAAAAAAAAAAACCATTTTTCGGGGTAGCGGCTCAAATCGACAAAAAATTAAACAAGAATTTGATTTTTGCGACAAATTTTCTGTCATCTGATTGGTAGAATCGCAGATGTGGACATCTGACTTGTCTACAATTGTCGCAATTTTGACCAAATTTTAGACGAATCAGATGTCCGCATTCGGCTGGTAGGCCAATCAGATCGCAGAAAAATTAACGTAATTTTTCTGTGTGGGCAGCCAATTGCCAACCAATCAAAAGGGTGCTCTCGCCGAGTAAGCGAATCAGATTTTAGAACGAATCTTTGGGTTTGTTCCAGCTGAATGTTTTCTGAGATTTTCATTCCTATTCTGATCTCTAAAAAATTGTTTCATTTTTACTTGCAAATAAAGGTCACAAATAGAAGAATGGGTGAAGAAAGCTGCTAATCGAAATAGCTTCGTTTTTCATGCCTACGCTGTTTTCGAGTTATATTTTTAGCAGCAGAAAAAAGGAGGAGTATATTCTCAATACAAAGTAGACGGGATCAATAATTGTCCGCATGGAACACGTCAGAATCCAGGAGTGAAAGATTTGGGGAGAAAATGACGCGATTTGAAATTAATGATTCTGCCCTCATTCAGGACTCGTCGATTATGACTACAATCGTCAATTGTAGCACAAGATAAAATAAAATCTATTGGCGAAAAATGTATCTTTATTTGCGTCCAAAGTTCGCCAATTCTGCATTCTGCCCTTCGATCGTGAACTATTGGAGTCTAGCCAGGCAAATAAAATATTTTGGTAATTTGCTGCACTCATCTGAAAAATCTCTGCGCAGAATTCAGAAAACAAAAATAATTTATCCCGAAAATGAAGAGAACAGTTCCACGCGCCTTTTCGCGGCGACCGAGATTTTCGAAAGAGAAGCATCTTGAAAAGTCGGCGCTGCCAACGATGCACTTTCAGGATAGTCTTCCGAAGTTGGGAATTCCAGAGTTGAAGAAAACAGAAATGAGGGTGGTAAATGCGGTGGAAGCTTTGGCCGGACATCCGAATTTTTCGAAGACTGCGATTGAAGATTTTCGGACAAAATGGGATGATTACATGAAAACAGGTTAACTTAGATTTTAAGAAAATCGCTCAAAATTGAACTTTTTGATCTTATTTTGAGAAATAACAAAAAATGTGACTGAGTAAGAAAATTTTTGATTAAGACGCTCAGAAACTCGACAAAACTCTCCGAGAAAGCGACGCAAAACAACCTGACACGAACTATGTCAACAAGCCCTGGACTCAAATGTATTTGGCCGACAGAAGGCCACTCCCATTCAATTACAATCCAGGGGTCGCCATTTGTGACGTAACTGGTCCCAATGATCGGCCAAACCAACTCGTTCGCGCTGCTCAAGTCATTTGGGCAACGACAAAGTATCATTTGACGATGAAAGATGGTTACATGGAGCCGGAACTGGCCAATTTCGGCGGCCCTCCGACCAGCAAAATGAATCTTTTGTCCCGAGCGCTTCCGAATATTAGAATCTCAAAAGGAAAGATCAAAAATCAAAGCTTGAAATACCTTCCTTATGCTCAAAACAACGCTTTTCCACTTGACATGGCGCAGTATCCTGATTTGTTGTTCACAACTAGAATTCCACAAAAAGGACTGGACAGAATTTATCACACAAATTGTCCTTCAAACCGTCACGTGGTTGTCCTTCTCAAGGAATAGGGTGGGAAATACAAGGGTTTCTTAGGTTTACGAAATTTTGATTGGTCAAAGCATGTTATATTGGCCTCTTATTGGTTGAATAACCCTCTTTCTCCAATAAGCTCCTTTATTGAGAACTTTGCCCACCCTAGCCGAAGGGTCGATTCTACAAAATCGACGCAATCACTCCTTCTGGTTTTCCAAGAGACGAATTAGAAATCTACGCCGATTTGAAAGAAATCCTCGCGCATGGAGAAAACCTCGAAAATGATGAAGCTTCCATCGCTGCTTTCACTTCTGCTGAGCGAGACAGCTGGGCGGAGATCAGGGAAGAAATTCTAGAGAACGATAATAACAAGAAAGCAATGGAGATGATTGACAACTCGATGTTCGTTCTAGCGCTCGATTCTAGAGCGTACCAATCAGCTGACGAGCTTCTCAGAGAAGGAATCGGCGGTCCAGGTTTGTTGAAATCGAAGATTTTCTTACTTGATTTCATCTTTTCAGCAATCAATAGATACTATGACAAATCCCTTACCATCGTCATTGGAGAATGCGGCATGCCAGTCATAAATTTCGAACACGCCTGGGGCGATGGAGCAGCGGTCCTGTCTTTCATGACGAAAATGAATGCCTATGTCAAGGATTCGCTGAAAAATGGCGACTGTATTCTTACGAATGACAACTGCTCTAGTGTAAAGAACAGCGGAAATCTGGAACTTCTAAGTTTCGAGCTCGATGAGAAAATAAAGACTAAAGCGAGAGAAATCGCAAAAGAGCATGATGCGAAAAACTCTAGATTGGAAAGCAAGCATTTGTTGCTTGGAAATGCTCCATTGACAAATGTCGGACAGTACTGGAAGGAGGGAGAGTAAGGATCTCTTTACACTGGCAGATTGGTGATTTAGTTTTCAGAGCGGAGAAGATCAAGGCCTTCAACGATATCAACCGCGTTTGGATGAAAAAGTGAAGATCGGCGCTGATGGATTCCTTCAACTCGCACTCCAACTTGCTGGGCGAAAATACTATGGACACCCAGGTTCGCTTTCTTTACCAGAAAATTGGTTCATCGAAAGACTTCAGTTTCCGCTTATGAATCCGCTTCGACGTCTATGTTCAAAATGGGCCGAACAGAATGCATCCGACCAGCAACAAAAGAAGCACAAGCTTGTTGCGAAGAATATCTTAGAGAAAATATCGACAATCAAAAATTCGCAGAACTCATTAGAGCTGCTATTAAAAGGCACAATCAGCAGACAAAGGTATTGCAGTTTGTCCTGTTCTTGAGCTCTAGAATGATTTAGGATTGCCTCGGCGGAAACGGTTGGGATCGGCATATTTTTGGACTGAGAGTTCAACATGGAGAGCAGCAAGTTCCGATGCATGAGGTTTTCGGAACAGAAGTTTTCGCGGGACTCTATGACTTTCCGATTTCTACCTCAACTCTCAACTCGGTAACATTGTTGAAAATATGCCTTGAAAATGATCTAATAGGATAACATTTCAACTGGTGGTTTTGGTCCGGTGACGCAAAATGGCTTTGGAATTGGTTATATAATCAGAAAAGATTGGATTGCTGTCACTCTTTCCGGCTTCAAGGTAAAGAAAAAGCTTGGAAATAGAAAAAACGGACAAAATAAGGACCAGGGAGCTGATGTTCAAGAATTCGCAAAACTCGTCGAAGAAGCCTTTCTGACAATGAAAACCGCAATCGATTCAACAATGGAGAGTTAAATTAGAACAAATTTTCTGTCTTTATTCAAAAGCTAGAATTCATAAAAAATAAATTAGATCAGTATCTTTCAAATGATGATTTTGAACCTTCCCAGGAGCAAATCAAATACGGAGAATTCTCTTATCAGTTGAGCCGCTTGACTCGAGCCTCAATTTGAATCACTCAATCTCGACCTCAAAGAGAGAACGAAATAATGCAGAGAAAATCGAGAAAGTCGGTGAAGATAACGACGAATGTCGATAAAGCAAGCCTTGGCGCAAACCTTTGGGACATTTGCTGTGGAATCTATCTGACTCTTGTTGGGGTGGTCGTTTTCTTCCTTGTTTTTCTTGGTAAGATTTCATAAAATGACTTATCTGACAGTTTCTCAGCCGATGGAATATCCGAAATCACAATATGCCTCTTTGCTGGATTTCCGATCGCTGCTTTGGGTCTTCTTCGACTTGTAGTGCTGCTCCCACGACGAATAGGGAACAAAATCAGGGCGATGAAAACCGCTTACGAATTGAAAATAGCACTTTTCTCTTGCTTCATCATTTTCGCCAATGTCATTTTATGTGAGTTCCTTCCCTCGATCGCCTTATATAAATCGATTTAAGATTGTGGAGTCACATCTTGTGAGGACATTTCCAATAAGGAAAGAGGCAATATTCACACCGTCGACGATTGGGCTAAGAGCTTCTTTCACCAGTCCAAAAAGCATCAAGCGGAGCACAGTTTTTGCCAATTACGATCGAAAAGCCATTTCAAAGAAGATCACTTTATAAATTGTCGAAGGAACTTTCCGACAATACAGAAGGCTGCAATGAAGCTTCATCCGGGAAATTTCATCTTGAACTTTCGGTTGGAATTTCTAAATTGCGTCAATAATAAAGTGGTCGTGAATCAAGATGGAATCTTAGGAATGTGATTTTCAATATAAAGATATTTCATATATGTTAGTAGTTAATCTTATAAATCAATAAAAGACTCTCTTGCCTGCACAAAAATCTCGAAGTTCTGCAGAAAATCGCTTCTTGAAAAATACAACAGCACTGAAACGATGAGAAAGATTCTACCCCTGCACTCTCGATCCTCAATTCTCAGTTACTTAAAAGATTTGACTTACTCATTGAAGTTGCTAATGATATCATCAGAAAAGTGGGTCGTAGACGCAGAAGGCAAACAAATCGGTCATAGATTAAAAAATAAGAAAACGAGGATTTATCCGACACTATTGGATGCTTATCTTGAAGAATTCCCGGGGAACCAAGACACAACAGTAAAATTCGACTACGAGGGCGTTTTCGAATATCAGGTGAAACTATCACAGAAGTCGAAAGGTTATATCAAGTTTGAAGGATATTGACTCATTTCTCGATGCATGTATGTTCATCGAAATTTTCACTTTTATCATTTGCAATTCAATCGTCGCTAGGCTTGTTCTCGCTCACCTAAGAATCAAAGATGCCCAGAAAAAGAAACCTGCAAGAACAAAGCTAAACACTATTTATCCTGTGAGAAATTAGCGATAGCAATTCAAATGTCAAATAAAATTATTCCAATTCTTAATTCTCACTAATGAGTAATTACGCGATTAGAAATTACGTAAAATCCAAAAATGTCGTCTTTGCCAATCGAGAATCTTTATCGCTCCCATAAATCCGCCAAAATTTATTAAAAGTAATTGCTATAACTCGCCGGAGTTACTTCCCTTTGACGCAGCGCGGGTCATTTATCGTCATTTAGCGCATAAGCCGCGAACGAAATTATTTTTATGATCACCATTTATAAAGCGCCGCAATGGCTTCATTTTTCATATCAAAACTAAAAAACCAACCAACAACACGAAAAATGAAACTTTTGTCTTCCTTGCTATCAGCAGCGCTGGGCGACATCTACCTCCACTTTCCAAGAGGCTCCAACAATCGCCTAAACGAGCATACAGAAAATCGAGCAAATGCGAATCGCCTCTATGACTCGGAAAACAACAATCAGGGAGGATACAATGTCGGTGACAAGACTGATCTTGAGGCAGAAGATATGAGCGGCCAATCGAAAGCTGTCTACTTCCAGTCGGGATCATCACCATCGGAATTGACGCTAGAATGGACAAATCAACACGGCTGTGGGAGAAAAGGGGCCAACGATGCGAATTGGGTCGACTGTTCGTACACAATCCAGTACATGTGCCAGGTAAAAAAACACTTTGCTCTCTTCTTTTTCTTTATGTTTTTAGCCTGTCGGCTCCAGTAGCATCCAAAACGGATTCGACACCGAAACATCCACCTATACTCCTCCGCCAGACATGGGCATGGAAAGCGAACAAGCATATCTCGACCGAATGGTCTACGATGCCGAGCGATCAGCAGACAAGGGCATCCACGAGTCCTGGCACTACTACGACAACTGCTACAAACGAGAGCGAAATCGAGGTCTCTTCGTTGCCGATCAAAATCGAAATCGAGACCGAGGAGCCACGCGAACTCGGCAAAACCCAGCTGGAAATCAATATGGCTACGAGTGCCCTGAAGAACGGGATTACTATCCTTACTGGCACCCTTCACCGTGGGTCGACATTGCTTATCTGACCTCAGAAACCGGACAGTGTCCAGAAATTGCGGAAAACTCTGGAAATCGAGCGCCAAAGAATCTTTGCGTCCAGTATTATGAGGAATCCGACATCAGAATGCCTTCCATGGCTAACCACGAGGAAGCCTGCTTAGCCGTTGGAGGCGAGTGGACAAGCTTTTACAACTACCAAGAGATCATCAACGAGATCGAATCGGAACAAGAATGCATGGACAAAGCTGGAGACATTGGAAAAGTCTACGGAGATGACATGCTCTGGGCTTTTCCTTTCTTTGACAATGAAATGGTAGCACCTGAAGAGAAATGCCTCATTTTCGCACCAGAAATAATTTGTCAGAAAGCAGAGTACACGAGAGCCAATCATCTTGGAAACACAAAAGGTAAAATTTTTATAGAAATCAACGACGAAGCGTAAAATAAGCAAGTTTCTATATTCATTCTACTTTCTAGCCGTTGAATCACCATCCTTCACATGGACTCTTCCGAATTTCTACAGCGAAGAAACGCGCGACTGCGCTCTTCGAGTTCGATACAACATCACAACCAACGATTACCCCGATGAGTTTGACTCTCGAAACACGGAAAGCTACTATGACATTCTCAAGCTTGATAACGATCCAACCGTAACAATGTTTGACAACCTCGAGTTGCAGGTAATTTTGATCGATGATGATCGATCGGCCAAAATTATTCAAAATAAAGGACACTTTAATACTAACCCTTGTGAACAAAGATGGTTTTAATTAAGACTTTTCGATGGTGATTGATTTGATTCAGCACTAAATTAGAGGACTCATAAACTAAATGAACTTTTTTAGCTCGCCATCAACACCGCCCAAGTGTCTCGAGTCTTCCAAGACCGATCTCATTTGTTTCAAATCGCCCCCCGTCCGGCCGAAGTTGATGATGACCGAAAAATCGTCAACGTCGGTGTTCGAGGACGACGAGGGAATATTGTTCAAGCCTACCCATCTGTCGAATACGATTTCTCTCCTCAGAACTTGGAAGTTACATCCGAAGATCTTGTCCACATCCAATGGGAGGGCAGCAACACTAATCCCGCTTCAGATGGCGAAGGTCGAGAACATACCGATAGAAATAACTGGGTGCCAATGGTCGTTCCTGGCGCCAGTATTCCATTTGGCGAGCCAAACCCTGGCTCTCCTGAAACCTTTTCATTCGTTGAAAACGGCGAAACAATAACTTTGGAGGCGAACCGATTCAACAACGTCCAGGCGAAGGAATTGAAAACTCTCTGCGAGTCGATTGACTCAACGATCCCAGTACCGACGAGTCAAGAATACAATGACGCTCTTGAGGCATTCAACAGAAAAGCGAATGGAAACTCGAGAGGAAACTTCTTCCTCGGCATAAGCGATGAAGAAGAAGAAGGAGAATGGCTCGACATGCACTCAGGTACAAAACAGGAAAGCATATCGAGGCCTTATTTTTGTTCTAGGAAAGCCCATCAGCTATTTCAACTGGCGACGAAATCGACCCAACAACAAAGATGGCGCCGAGCACTATGCTTTCATGATCAGCAACGGACAATGGGAAGACGTCGAGGAGGGTCGAACCGTCAGCGGCGCCATCTGTGTCCGACCCTTTGTTCCTAAAGAATACCAGCTTCCGGATATGATCGAAGAATGGGTCTGGACAAGCGTCGATGGAGTAGACAAGTCTGAAACTGATAATTTTTACGTCCAAATGGCTTCATCCGGGTAATAATGACTCTCAAAAGACAAAGGATTACCCTCAATTTAGCTATTACGGATGTAAAGATGACGGAACCTGTGATCGAGCACTCAACGACGAAGATCTTACGAAAATGAACGCGAAGCTGAACAACGCTCCAGCTCAGTTCCTTGGAAATATCGTCCGATTCAAGTCAGGAAATCATCAAGCCATGTGCACAAGAAACAACAACTTTTCTAACCGTGCTCAGAAGACTGATATTACTGTCATTTAAAATCATTATCTCTTCACATTTTCAGACTGTAACATCTTTTATGAACTGTATTTTATGAAATAAAAACAAATATTATTTCAAATATTTTGGTTTATTTATCTTAACACTCAATGATTGAGTCGCAAATGGATTTCTGTCTCATTTTTCTTCCTCGTTGCAGCAAGCCCGACTCTGGAATATCCAAACGCGCTTGAGTTCCTCTCAAAATTGAAAACCGAAGAACAATAATTTATCAAGAAATCTTAGTTTTGTTTTTTCGACATCATGTGACCGTATCTGAGTAAAAAAAGGAAGATTCTAAAAAAATTAAAAAAAAAACATTTCCTTCCACAAAAACTTCCATCTCTTCGTCAGATTTTTCAGAGCTACTCTTGACAGATGTACTCGCTGTTTCAATTTCACTATTTTCGTTGCATAACTCAACATCGAGAACAACTATGAAAATGATGAAAACTCATTGCACTGATATGTTCTACCTGGATAAAGAAACTGAGACTTCCTTATCTCGTTGAAAATTTTCCAGCCTTTCAATTGCCAAGCTTTTATCCCTTTTTGGCGAAAAGCAGCTAGCTCGTTTTTATGGTTCAATATCTCAACTCTCTTCTGAGTATGATCTTTTATAATTTTTATAAGGTCGACCAAGGATTTCGTAGGATTAGAGCATTTTCTTCCATAGCTTCCTTTTACATTTCCGGCAGAGCGATATCGGTATGTTACGACATACCGATGCTTGCTAACAGCTGGATACTCAGTGTATTTCGCAAAACCGACTCCAAGTTTTGTTGAATCTTTCCAAATCAGTTGAGTATAATGGCCAATCTTTCGCTCTTGATCGCGATCTTCTCTCGGCTCCTTTGTATAAAAATTAAGACAGCCATAATAGTCATTGATCTCCTCATAAAATGCATCGATTCCATGAACAACATCATGAAAAGGATGGGAGCTATGATGAAGTAAGTTTTCCCCAGCACCATGTGTCTCAGTAACGTGGCCAGTTACGTTCAATTTCGACTGCTCATTTGCTCCAGTTTGTGCTTCTTGACAAAGAGTTTTGCTGATTTTATAAAATAAATCAATTAACTGCCTAAGATACATACCACAGAACCATTGGCGGGGTGTCTGGATGAAAAGAGCGATAAAAATTATGCCGAAAGAGGGCTTCGATTTGGTATTCTTTGAAGCCCTCTTTCAAGTACTTTTGCCTTTCTCCTGGGTTTTCGCCCAGTGATAAAAGCCTTCCTTTGTCAAATTTCAAATGACTATTTCCATTCGATTCAGTTTGACATAGTCGGTCATGAACGGCGATCGCTTCTGTTTGAGCCCTTCGGTCTTGAACCTCATTTTTTGTTTGAGTGGTTGTATTGCTGTTTTTATTTGAACAAATTTGAAAGACAAACAAATTTTTTCGTAAAAAAGTCAAGTTTTCCTGAAAAACTCATCGAAATCATATTGATCGATCCTAGTCCCGCATTCAGAACTTTTCTTAATCTCTGTCTGTGCCGCTGTATCAGCCAATTCTACGGGCTCTTCGTAGATTTTCGACTGATTGCAGCCCATCGTGAATAGGGGTCTGAGACTGTCAACGAGCTTCCTAGGAATATTGACATTCCACTTCCGTGTGCTCAATTTTTTAAAGATCAATAAACGAGGTGCATTTTTGCTCTCGTCTTTTATGACCGAGCTTTTTTCAGACTTGCAAATGTCAAGTTCAAGAAAGCTAAGCCACTCAAGGTTTTGTCTACCACCGGGTGCTCAAACGTTGCCTCTGTCTCTAGAATAAAAGATCGAGCAGTCAATAAAAATGACAGAAAAATCAGTTCCAAGAAATGAGTAAACAAAAAAGCGCCTCACTTCCCGAAACACCTGCTGGTCGATTTCTTCGGTACCATTCTTCAAATCTCATTTTGTTGAATAAAAAATTTAAAGAGAATACAAGAAGACGCAGAATAATTCGCAAGAGCTGATTTCCGATTTAAAACTCGCCATTGAAAATGAACAGCAAGAGCTCCAGAGCTTCCTGATCTGCGGCTCAGAGACAGATCTTCAACAAGTTTTGAAAACTGTCAGAGTTCAAGGATACAAAGGCCTTCAGCGACTTCAATTGATTCAAATCGACATGAGCTCAAAGTCTTCAAAAGCACTGCAAGACTACTTCGATACGAGGCTCTATCCGCTTCAGCATTTGGAAATCATCAATTGTACGTTTTCCTCTGAAGACTCGGCTCAGTGTGTGATCTACAGGAAAGATTTAAAACCGTTTCCAGCTTATTTTATTGATTAAAAATTGGTTTATCTTCGAAAGCCTTCAAAATCTCCCCCTCGAAACTCTTCAGATAAAATTTCAAGCTTCGTTGATGTCAGAACATCGAATCTTTTGGAAGTGTTTGAGCTCGATCCGGACACTTACCGAACTTTCGCTTGTTTACTCGAGATTGACGGCTGATTCCTGCATTCTGCTTGCGAATGAGCTCAAGAACTTCAAAAACCTGACGAAGCTCGATTTGGAAGGAAATCCAATTCTATCCGTTGGCGCTGGAATTTTAATGAAACGGCTCAAAAGTTTTTTTTTTCAATCAAAAAACGGACGCAAAATTGAGCTCTTGAAAGACTGAAGAAGTCAACTTGACCTACTGGGGCTTCAGAAATTGCCAGATCGACAGATATTGTGAGACAAAAGACAGGCTTGTTCAAGATTTCGTCGAGAAAATATGCAAACAAGTTGTGTATAATCCGTTTTTGGAGACCATTGACCTCAGGAAAAATTCCAAAAGCGTAAAATAGACAATTAATAATCAAAATTTGAGAATTTCTTGAAAGAGATAATTGCTTGAGTGCAAGTGATTATACCGAAATTCTGGTAAGTCTGGTAGTCGATATTTTTTAAAGAAATATCAAATTGAAAATTGATATTTTGAGTAGCTAACAATCCTTTCTACTAGAAAGCAAATACTCAGCTCGGCGACTTCAAACCTTGCAAAATTCTCATCTGTGAACGAAATTGCGATTCTGAAACGTTTTCCACGCTCTCGGGACTTTCGAAGGCCTCGAAAAAGAGCAAAGGAAAGGGCAAAGGAAAGAAGAAGAAGAAAACGTAGCTTTTTTGAGTCTGCTTTATTTGTCAATAATAAAATGTCTATTTATGACTTTCCTAATTGTTGATTCTTATAGCAGCGATTTCGCTATTGAATTTCGTTCGTCCTGTCGTGTCTATTTTTGATGATGGACCATTATTGATGGTTGACATTTACCAACTCTTCCGACTGCCTGAAAATGATTTTTATGCATTTTTGCATAAAGAATGCTCGTTTTTCTTCCAATAAGCGTTTTTGTTGGGTCTAATTCGATATATTTTGAGTGAGTTTTATTGCGTAAGAGATATTCCTGATTTTTAGTGACGAGTCCGAATGCCTTGGAGCTTGTAGAGCTGATTTTCTTAACTGTCGGGTTTTATGCGAAAGCGAGTATTGCCTCTCCATTTGCCAGGCAAATTATGATCAATGCAATCAACAATGCAAGTCGACGGTCACAACAAGAGCTGAAGGAATAACAACAGAAATAACAACGTAATTTTTATAAATTCTCTCAGAAAGCGACAAAATTCAGAACTCAAACAACTAAATGTCAGCAAAACATTGCGCTTTCGGCTCATAGGATGACATATGAAGATGCCAATCATTACTGTTATAACTTGGGATTGTCTTTGTTTAATCCGCACAGTGATGAAGATGTCCAGGCGATGTTTGACCTAGGTTTTCTTAAAATTTTCGGTACTTATACTATTTTAATATTGAAGGCACTCAGATTCATTCCTACGATGTTTGGCTAGGGCCAAAACGCAGTCAAACCCTTCCCAGAGTAAGTTTTGCATTATCTGTAGTTCTATATTTATTACTCTCTAAAGTCGCCGTACATAAATTCTGATGATGGACTGGAAGCGGGGAACTGGAACGATGATCCTTGGACAGAGTAGGCATTTGAAACAAATAAGCTGATTTTAACTATCTTCAAGCCAATGTGACGAATATTATGAAAATGGTGTTGATAAAAAACGACACTGTATGGTCCTTCACGAGGATTGCTACAAACACCGAGGATGTGGTTATTTTCATTTTGCTCTTTGCGTCGATCCAACTCGGCCCCCATTTGTCTGCTGAAAAAGGTGTTCTTTTTGCACTCAGTATCTGTTCAAGAAGACCAAATAAAACATCAAAAACTGACGTTTGAAATTTGTCACATTTCAAGTCCTGTTTGCTCTTTGCTCGAGTGGCGCGATAGTTAAAGTTCTCAAATAATTACAAATCTGCTCAGGCATTCGTCTGAGTTCATCGAAAAATGCAGAGAAAATGGATCTACATAGCGATTTTTATAGTTTGCGCGCTTGGATTGGGGCTTGGTCTTGGTCTTGGGCTTGGGTTGAAAGATGATGAAGAGGAGGAGAATAAAGGAAAGGTCGTTGTAAATATGAAATAAAAAATTCTTAAGATTTCATTGTAAGACCTAAAAAAGACCCTATCTTTGAATTTCCTCCAGATCGCCCTTGCCAATCCGACCCGAATACTGGTTGTTTCAAAGAACAAGCAGCAGCTACTGACGATTCTCGATGCTCAAAAATCGCCAATGACATTTTGAACAAAGGTGGTTCTGCCGTAGATTCTGCCATTGCGGCCATCGCCTGCGAAGGAGTTGTGAATAGCTACCACAGTGGAATCGGCGGTGCTAGCTTCATGACAGTCTACGACGAGAAAACTGGCAAAGCTGAATTTTTCAACTGTCGAGAAAGAGCTCCCCTTGCAGCGTGGGAGGACATGTTCAAGAACAAATCAAACGAAGCGATGCATGGTCCTTTAGCGATCGCAATTCCGGGCGAGGTCAAATGCATGAAAGAAGCTCATGCTCGATATGGAAGTCTTCCGTGGGCAGATCTCTTCCAACCATCCGTCGATCTCGCGAGAAATGGCTGGGAACTATGGAATTATACTTATTACGCGATGGAGGACAAGGCCGATTTTCTCCAGGGAGATTTCATCGAATGGGCGGGCAAGAACTGGTCGGGCAACTGGGAGCCGTATCTGGACAGCCAAGGAAAAATTAAGAAAGTCGGCGATCAAATTATAGATGAAGAACTTGCCAAAACACTGGAAATGATCCAAGATGAACCAGATTCTTTTTACAACGGGACGTTAGCGGATTTGATCATCGAAGATTTGACCGAACTTGGAGCGATTATAACGAAAGAAGATCTCGTTAATTATAAGGCGTTGATTGCTTCACCTCTAGAATCAACATTCGGCGATCTTCAATTTTTCTTCCCCAGGGCGCCCTCAAGCGGTCCGATTCTTCAATTAATGATGAACATCATCGAGGGCTACAATCTAACACCTAATGAGAGACTTGATCATTTGGCAAATCATCGGATCATCGAGTCGATGAAACATGGCTACGCTATTCGAACGGGTCTTGGTGATCCCGAGTTTTATCCATACGACCAAGCTGATCTTGAGAAGAAAATTTCAGGTACTCATCTTCAAGAATACTTTTCTTCGTAAAATCTAGATCCGGATTTTATCGCCGCTATTCGAGAAAATATAACATATCAAACTCACGAGATCGATTACTACAACCCGATTTTCCAGGGCAAAGATGACCACGGAACCCTTAGGTATTTTTTCATTCGGTTGTAAAACGAAAAAATTTCTAGTGTATCAACGCTTGACAAAACCGGCCAAGCAGTAGCAGTAACAACTACTGTCAACCTATATTTCGGCTCAAAGCTGCGAGGTCGCCGAACTGGCATAACTTTCAACGATGGAATGGATGATTTCTCAACAACTGGTTTTAATAATGATTTTGGAGTTCCACCAAGTCCGATGAATTTTGTAAAAGGGGGAAAAAGATGTGTCTCATCGATGGCTCCTACGATTGCTGTTGATAAAAACACAGGGAAGGCCAAGGTACAAGATAGTAAAAATGAGCAATGCTGACCATTCTAGATCGTTCTTGGCGCTGCGGGAGGAACGAAAATCACGACCGGAATCTATCAAGTGCTTTTGAACAAGCTTTGGTTTGGCTATTCCGGCTCCGATTCTGTTCGAAGACATCGATTCCACCACCAGCTCGACCCGAATGAAATCAACTGGTCAGATGCCGTGGATGGAATTGACGGACCTGGCTGGGAAGAAATGATTAAATCGCTCGAAAGAGATCATGGACACAAACTGCGGGAAAAGGGACGAATGTGGGCTAGTCCTGTTGTTCAAGCTATTTTCAGGTAAGCTCCTTCTTTTTGCAGAAATAAATTTTTCTTCAAGAAATTCCGACGAAATAATCGAAGCTGTTTCCGACTGGCGGCATGCTGGAGTCCCCGATGGCTCGTGAAAGTGAAAACTTTGTTCTTATAATAAAAAAATCAATATATCCAGTGCCTATTTTTATCTTCATCAATTGAGCCGCTTCAATTTTTTTTCTCATGAGAAATTTAACATTTTTTATACTTTTCCAAGAATCTTTTTGCACTGCGAATGAAAAAACATACCAATGCGGAGAATGCACTCGGTCCATTCTCACCACAACTGACGATGAAACCCAAGAAGAAGCAGCATTTGAAAGAGAATTGAACGCATCCATTTTTCGAAACTGCCCGCCAACTATTGTCTTTTGCCAAATTTGCTTCGTGAAAATGTCATTTCCGGAGACTCTTAATCAAACAGACACTCCGTTTATTTATGGAATGGGGTGTATAAAGGACAAGAATGGGGTCTTTAACATTGACTTGCTCAAAAATATCGTCAATATCTCCGCGATAACAATGCAGAAAAACCGCTCGGAAACGACCATTCTCGAAGGTAAAAAAGAATTTTTAGGTTTTTTCTCATTTTTTTTCAGAAATTCAACACATCAAGCAGCATACAAACATGGATTATGGCTACACAATCGGGCAGTCGAAAAAGGCAACACTGACAATATGCACGAGCGATTTCTGCAATTTAAAAAGACTAGGTCCAAAAGCCCTACCAGAACTTGAACAACTTGAGCTCGCTGCAATCAACCCGGTGGAATATGAAAATCTCGGACACAAGCAATCGTTTTTGAAAGAAAAGGAAATTTGCTTCAAAACTTCTCACTGCTCGAAGCTGATTTACCGCCCGATCTACTTTTGGAAGCAACGAGTAAGGATTTTTTCTGCAAAAAAGTCATTTTTGTTTTTAGAAAATGCTAGAATGGAAAGGAAAACGAGACGCGAAGCAACCAAATCGACCCTACTGCAATCACACAGGATTTTGTCCGCTCATTTAAAAATTTTCCTTCTGAAATTTTTTTACCAAATCCAATAAGCTTTCTCCATGCTCATCAATCAGCAAGAAATGAGACGAAAAACCACTTGGATTATGTCACGCTTTTTCTCGATGTAAGTCGCCCATTTTTTATAGATTTGATCTAATAACTTCCAGGACGTCAAATTAACACGTGACCCGCTCTCAAATATCAGTCAACTTGTTGCCGAAGGTATAAACTACATTTTCCATCATAAAATATTTCCTTCAGAAATTTTTTACAAATCGACCGGTTGCATCATGAATTTCGATGTTGGTCAAATCGCGGCAAAGTACCACCCTTCGCCAAAAAGCTCAGCTGACAAAATTACTTTTCAAGTGCTCCTCTTCTTTCTTTTTCTTATTGAACTTTGAATGTTTTATTTCAAGCTTAACTTTAATTTGCAGGGTATTTTCGAATGAGATCTTCCCAGAGAAGCATGTGTCGTCTTCTGAAATTCTCTTCCATAAAGTAATCTAAATAAATGATAGAATTTCAAAGGAAAAGTGGGAATAACCGTCTGGTCCATCAATAATCATAGAGTTCATTCCCGGTTGGGCTTTTGGCCAGCTCTCGCCAGTAGGAACTGCTGGTTCTCCTCGAGCAAATGCGCCAAGAATCGACATCATTTGATGACTCATCTCAATATCGCTTTCAGTTCCATTTCCAGAGTGCATCGGCCATCCAAAGTAGAACATGAGATCATCTCCGTGCCAGGGCTCATTCCAGTCTCCCTAAAATCGTTAAAGAAAAGAATGAAGTTGGTAACTTACAGGGACTCTGACAGGATCTTGAATGTCCTCGGAAGGATTGAATCGGAAATTCGCCATGTGGAAGTCAGTATTTGTCTGTCCTAGAGACCATCCGTATTCGAGAATATATCTAACATATGCAGTGTCCATGCCAACATAAATGTACGCAGATCGCCACATATCAGTTGAAGCGCTATCTGGGTCTCCGTTTTCGAGGTAGCCTTCTTCGAGTTCCTCCCAAAACTGAGGGCTATCTACGTCAACAGGAAGAGTGGCAGCGAAGACAGGGGCGAGAAGACGCTCAAAGCTCTCCTTTGTTCGGATACTTGCGGCTCCCATGGCAATTTCGCCAGTCGTGCAGGTGAGGAAGTGCTCGAAGCGGTCTAAGCGGCCAGGTTTGCCCATGTTTTCCTGAATAAAAGCTATTATTGAAGCATTTTTCAAAGGCTTACCTTTGTTGGGGGATCGAGTAAAAATTCGCCATCAATGACTGGAGACCAATTGAATTGAACTACGGGCTCTCGATCTGAAGCTGCGACCAGTTCCTCAGTCGTCTTCGTCTTCAAACACTCTAGAAATCTTCTCGAGCTGATGTTGAAGTCTGTCAGACAACGCGCGTGCTGAGCAAAACTTTGCGCCGTATCAACTGGATCCTCATTCCAAGTCATCAATTGGCCTGAAAATTATTGAATCGACTTTTGATTGAAGAAATTTTTACCAGAAACAACCCCGACTCGTTTGAATAAGGGGTTTTCAATCGTTCCCGACATTGGAGAAATTGCTTGGAATTTGACGGAAATTGCTCCTGCAGATTGACCAAAAATAGTGACATTGTCTGGATCACCGCCGAAATTGGCAATATTATCATGAACCCATTCAAGTGCCATATTTTGATCTCGGACTCCCATGTTTCCTAGAAAAAAAGGCTTGACCAAGACAATATAAGTTGTCTTACCGCTGATGACATTATCTTGCATGGACAAAAACCCAAAAGCCCCGAGTCTGTAGTTGAGAACAACAAGGACAACATCAGCAGTTGGGCAGAGATACTTTCCAGTGTACCAATCTGGATGCCAGTCGCCAGTAAAAGAGCCTCCGTGAATCCAAACAAGGACCGGTTTCTTGTCATTTTGATAGTCTTGACTAGCAGTGTACACATCGAGATACAGACAATCCTCGCTTGTTGGCAGTCCCCAGCTCTAGGATAGATGTAAAATAGACCTTTTGTCATTTGAACTTACATCGTCCTGTGCGCAAAGCGGCTTCTTCTTCTGCGTCTCTAGAACTGTCCATGGAGATGGCTTCTGAGGCGACTTGAATCTTAGATTCTCAACCGGTGGCTGAGCAAAGGGAATTCCCAAGTACTCGTCAACCTGTTTTCCTTGATAGTAATCACGGTTTCCGATGATTAAACCATCATTGATGCGAGTCTCTACCGACTCTGAAAGGGCAGAAGTGGCGAAAACAAGAGAAAGCTTCATTTCTTTCTCTTTCGCTGACTATCTTTAGGCGTTTTATAAAGAATCGAATGAACTCGGCATCTGCTAGCTTTCACAGAGAACAGAAGATTGCGAAAGAAAATGTAACAGAACTCTGAGAAAAAGAATATACTGAACATAGAACAGCAGCTTGATCAACCGTAAAAACCACTTGCTTGCCGTTAAAATGAAATATCCGGGAACAATTAAAATAGTAAGTTCATTGAAGCAGTTCAAAAATTTGAATATTCAAACGTCATATCTGAATTTTGTTAACTTCCATCATGAATAAATAAGTAAAAGTTTATTCAAATTCGCACATGGACAACTCCATTAAGTCTTTTTTTATAACTTTTAACAGCTTAATTTTACAAAATGAGAATTTAAACAAGAACCATGAGAATTTTCTCTCTTTTTTTGAAATGTCTTTTTGCATGGCATACAACCGTTGTTTATCAGCACTACCCAGATGTTTCAAAGAACTGGGCTGACGCAGTTAAATTTTGCAGAGAACTGGGAGGAGGTGCAGAGATAGCCACAATAATAGATAATACTCAATTTAACGAAGTAAGCCCTTTTTTATCATAAAAAAATATTCGCCTTAAGTTTCTAGGGCTCAATATTCCTCGGACATGGATTGGAGGAACGGATGCTGCTTCGGAGGGAGTTTGGGTGTCTGCTTGTGGAGGTGAGATTATACTGCACTATAGAAGCCTTTTCTTAATCATTGCAGGTACCATTATTGGGAAATGGCGGCCGAATCAACCAGACAACTCTGGAAACGAAGACTGCTTGGAAATGTACTACGGCTTGATGAATGACCAAAAATGCGGTCATACTAACAAAGTGACATGCCAATTTCCAGAAAACAATTCAAACAATTATATTCAAGTTATTGGTGTGACTGGTTATCAGACTACAATTGCCTGTCCTGCAAATGAAAATTACTCAAGGAATGGGATGAATATTCTTTCTCAAAATTTCAGGTTTTTCTGCCGTTTACGATTTCCGGAGAAAAGGAGTCATGAAAGATACATTTTCAGAAATGATATCTTCGACTTTTTTTTGAAATATTCAAATATATATTTATTGAAACTGAAAAAATATTGGTGTTAGGTAAAGGCTGGAAGATACAGAAAACTTTGAGAAGCAGGGTTTTTTAAAAAATAGATAATGAGTTTACAGAAAATAAGAAGAATATTGCACAATGCTTGATGAGATACCTTAGACTTTCAATGGCGTAAGAAATAATAAAATTTGAGAAGAGCTGAGAAAAAATCATCAAAAATTCAGACGCGGTTCCTTTACTGCCTAGTTTAAAATTCGCGAGGTCCATGTGTAGTTTGACGATTTTTCCTGGATCTTTTGAGTCTTCGCCCGAATCTTTTTCTACCACTGGTTTTTCACTATTCAGAAAAAATGATAAAAAAGGCATTTAATAAAACCAGTTCCTAAAGCTCTGATCTCATAAGCTCGTCGGATTTGATGGGCGACTCTATGAACGGGCATTCGTCCGATCATTCCGTGTCCCATGCCCGGTATCAGAACTGTTCTGATTCTTTGACCATCTCGATTTGTTGAGTTGTATCTACGAATAGCGTCGATACTCGCTCTCATCGCAAGGAAGGGATTGACTGTGTCGGCGATCATAATGGGAACCCGCATTATTGGAGCTGCAATAACAAATTTGCATCGTCTGGATAAAGATTTATAAAAGAAAAGAAAAAAAAAATCGACCTTTGTCTATCCTTCTTCCCCGGCAACAAGATACAGTTTCCAACTAGCAGTTCTCCTCCATGATTCAACTCGATCTGCGCTTGAAGCAAAGCCGGATCAGCCTTCGCTGCTTTCATGAATTCCTCCTCGGGATCGACATCTGTCCAACCGAAAGAGTTCGTCATCGGCATTATGACCGCGTCCCAGCGTTCCTCTTCGAAAAGAGGGCCGCATGCGATCTCTACTTCTGGGCACTCGCGGAATTCTTTCCGAAGCGCAGTGACCATTTGCGGGTCATCATCGCGAAGTTTAAATTGAACACGCGCGTCTTTGTAAAAAATTTAGGAAGCGTCAGAAAACTGAATAATTCTACCTGTATTTGGATGAACAGGAACCCCGGGTTTGACATATTTGATCTGCTTCTTTTCTAACTTGGAGCCAAGCTCTCCCTTCCCCGCAAAAATATCATCTTCATAGGGGTCCGATCCAGAATCTGATTCCGTCTCTTCTTCCTCTGATTCTTCGGACTCTTCCTCTTCAGATGATGACTCCTCAAGATTTTCAACGCGTCTTTGAAGTCGAGGAGTGTTGAATCCAGTCCCTTGGAGGGGCTCTTCGATCGAGGATTCTGATTTGAGAATCGGCCGTGGCTTCTCATCGGATTTCAGGGGCTCTTTTTTTGTTGTTCCGTCTGAGACTTCTACTTCAGCAGCGAAGCCCACGTGTTTTTGCTCCTGAGGAGGCTCTTCTTTCTTTGGCTGAAGAAAAAGTAAAAAAATGTCTATTATTGACTAAGATCTACCGGTTCTGGTTTGGGTTCCGGCGCTTGGGGCTTTTTCTTGAGCATTTCGCGCCTGTTTATTTCTCTGATATCATTTAACTCTGCTTGAATCAGTTCTTCTTCAGCAAATGCATCGAGAAGAGTAGACCCAAGCATCTTTTGAACATCATCCAAGCTTTTCCCTGGCGGCTCTTTCTTCTTTTCTACTGGAATTGATGAAACAAGCGAATCTGTGTCAGTAACAGTATCTTGAACTACGAGCGGAGGTTGTTGATCGCTTGAACCGTTGGCTTCCCAAGCCCATTTTCCTTCAACTGTGGATGAAGGAGGAGGTGGAAGTTCTTGCAGCTTTTCTTCGGTTTCGGTGATTGTATCAGATTTTTCCGGCTAGAAAGCATGGAACTGGAGATGGAGAGAAGATTAACATACCTTGCTAGGCGGGAGAGGCGTGAGAACATGCTCAAGCTTGTCGAGAGCGGCGATTTCGGCTTCTTCTTCGACTTTTTTGGGAATCTCTGCCCCAGATTTGAAGTTGACTCTCACTCCCTGAATCGTGGCTGAGTGAGAGTTGTCCGACTCCACGCCGGTGTGGTCCGATTCTTCGCCTAACAAAAGATTTTTTATAAATTACATTCAAATAAGTACTCACCAGAAGCTTCAACATTTGATTCTCGCTCAACTTCAGGAGGAGGGATGACGATTATTCGTTCATCTTCGTCAAGACCTCGAAGGACTCCGATATCGATTCCCATTTCAAGGGGATCTGCGGGCTGTTCTTGCTCTTTCTCTTCTTCAACTTCTGGATCAGCCATTCCAAGACGAGAAGAAAACTTGGAAACAACTGGGTCTCCTCGATTCGGTCTAGTTTTTTCGGAAGAAGCTTCTTCTTGTTTTTCTGGTTGAGCTTCTTGAGAAGTTTCTGCTTCTGGAGTTGATTGTTTTGGCTTTTTCGAGATCATTGACAATGCAGCTTCGAATGATATTTCAGGACGTTCTTCTGGAAGAGCAGAAGCGACTGGAGGGTCGGAAAAAGCCATTCTGGGAGCTTGAGTGCTTTGAGATTGGATGTTTTCTTGCTGACTTTCAACTGGCGCAGCTTCCTCTAACGCTGGCTCTTCGGTTGTTTCAATCTGTGGCTCAGATGGCGTAACGATTTCTGGCACTTCATTGTCGGCATTTTCTAGGCTGATCTCAATCTGGTCTTGTTCGCCTTCTTCAACTTCGATCTCTCCATTGCTTTCGCCTTCGCCTTCGCCTTCGCCTTCTTCTTCATCTTCTGAGCTCGTCCACTCAACAGGAGGTCCTGTCAGAGTTTTAACATTTGACTTGGAATTGATCTGTTCAGCTTCCTCTCTTGGTTCTTCGTTATTTGGCGTCTGAGAAGGACTTTCATCGATATCTTCAAGTGCTTGATTCGCAAGTCGACCCACAAACCCGCCGGTTTTTAGTCCCAAATTGGGCTTCAGCATCCCTCCCGTTCGTCTAGACATACTAAAATAGTATGACTATGAAAAGATGACTAGTTTAATTCATGTCTAATAAGTATTGGCACATGGATAAGCATAGATGGTAACTGCGGATTGAAATATTATAATAAAAAAGTTAGCACCACGATGCAAATAAAACTAAAAATAGGGAAAATTCGATCGAATAGAATATTCCAAATTGCGAAGAAAAAAGAAAGATGCTGGTATTGAAGAAAGTACTGAATAAATAATAATTTTCTAGGTACAGTAAAGGTCAGTTGAATACTGTAGAATCACAATGATAGGTTGTCATGTTGCACAGCGTTTAACGTTACAGTAGGTAAAACCACCACCATTTTTGGGAGTAATTGCATTGTAGGTAAAAAGTCTTTAGTCGCGTAATCGACCTTTTGAGTTGACTGCTCCAAGTTCGGACTTTGGATCAGGATAAAATGTGGACCAGTAGCTCTAAAAAGCATATTGACGATTGAAATTAAAAGAGGGTTAACCTTGGAGCAGTCGGGAAGAGGCGATGAAGAGCTAGTTGTGCAAGTAGAAGCGATCGTCCATCCTTTTGCAAGAATTTCATCCGTCCAAGCGTTCAGCTCATGAGAAACGAAGCTAGAATTCCGCGCAAGTTGAAGCTTGAATAATGAAGATTTATCTTCCGTAGGAACGCCTTCAATTATCTTCTCCCAGAGCTAGATTCATGATGAAATTGGCGCAATAGAAAGGTAAAGACAAACCCTGAGGTCTTTCTTTTTATTGTTCAGCTCTTTGGACCCGCCATTACTCCTAGCAGCGTCCGATGAATCGATGGGTTGCTGGCCAAACAAGCCAAGAGGTGATACTAGAATCTTTTAGCGAGAATGACGAGCGCGTTCTTTACCTGTGAAATGAGTTCTTGAGCCTTCGATAAACTTCATCGATCTAGTGCCGCGGACATAAACAGACACGGTCCAGACACCAGGTCTGAGGGGTAAGTTCAGCGCTAGCTTTTCGGCTGCTACGACTTCTCCGCCTACAGAAAATAAATAAAAAAATATTCTACAAGCACGATAAAGCACCACGTTAAAGGATCACCGATAAATGTTCAAAACTTACCAAGCTCTCCTTCACAATGAAAAGTAGACGTTTTCGCCCGTTTCTTTCGCTTTTCTTCATCTGTGTTAGAAAAAAATCTGGTTAGAACACATCGAGTTACGAGACAGAGGCAGAATGATGAATAATCAAGCCTATCGTTATACCTTCTGGAATGTCCATTTCAATTTGATCAGCTGGATGGCCTGATGGATCCTGGACGATGGCAATCGCATGAAATTTTTCTTGGACATTATGGAAGCGGAAAGAAGCGTGCATTGGAAGAAGGGTTGAGATCAGCCCTCCTGGGTCGCGGAAGACCAGTTCTTTAACATCCCATTTTGTCCCGATCTACGAAAATTACTATTTCACCTTTTCTAATTGACCAACCTGTATTGAAAGAGGGATTTCAGGCTCCTTTTCTTTCGCTTCTTCAATTTTCTTTACATAAATCTCCCTTGAATCGCCATTTTCCAGCTCATATTCCAGCACATAACCAACTTCGCTCCTCTTTCTTTCCATATAAATGTTAACATTTTTCAACTTCGCAGATTCATCGAGCTTGGCAAGGCGTTTCCAAGACTTAAAAATGCTGAGTTGACCGTCTCTTGTCGCGTCAGCTTTAGAGGAAGCGAAAAATTTTTCGGTTTCTTCTGCGTTGAAGATATTTTCCCAGTAGGAAGAAATTGAAGGGGTTCCAGCGCTGTATTCGCCGTATACATCGGCTTCTACTTTATGCACTGCCTCCTGAAGATATCATTAGGACTGAAAAAGGGAGTAGATGGATTTACCTGTGAGACGAATTCTTCGAACTTTCTCGCGAAGAAAATTGGCCTGGTTGTCTTCAATCGGGACAGATCTTTTGGCATAAAATCGTTAGGAGAGCAGCCGCACCAGTCGACAATCGCTTTGTACTGGCACTTACAGCCACTAGAATCCGTGAGCTTTGAACCTACGGGCAAAAACATACCGGGCTCGATTCCAATTTGTCACTCGTATGTTGTTGTCTACGTAGCTCTCGCACCAGTGAGTGTTTTGAACGGCAGTATGGAAGAAACTCTCCGCTGGGAGGAGGGTGTAGTTGAACCATGTTTTCAGCTGCTCTAAGTTTTCGTCCTTCGAAAAGACGAGCCACTCGGAAAACTCGCGGTTAAGCGCGATCCAGTCAGATCCACCGTCGATTTCGATGCCTAAAACGAAGATGAAAGGCTGAAAAGACTAATTTGATGCAAAAAAATAGACAGGAAATGGAGAGTTATTTTATGGCTTACTTCCGGCTTAAAATCTTCATAAACAAGGTTCATAGCTTCAACTATCACTTTACCCTGACGAAGTGAAAAGACGCCGATATGACACTAGAGAAAAACGATCAAATCGACGGGTAAAAATAACCACGACTTTATAGAATGAAACCTTTCACTCTTTTTAGTAAAAACCATACCAAGGACCATGACAAGGACCATGACAAGGACAATGACAAGGACCATGACAAGGACAAATATAATGGCAGCGACAAGAGCGGCAAGGACCATGACAAAGATCATGACAAGCATAGCAAGGACAAGGATGGAAAGGACCATGACAAGGATCACGACAAGGATGGAAAGCAGGGGTCGTCTTTTCAAAGCTATTTTGACTTTTGGGGTTTAACACAATAGTTGGAATTGGATTGGATCCAATCCAAAAAGAGCTCCTATCAAACAAACTCCCTGGTCAAGTTTGAAATTTAAAATCAAAACTCTGGAAATCATTTGCTCAGAATAAAATAATTCAAGAAATTATAAAAGGTTTATCTCTTTTCATTTGCTCAGGCATTAACAAACTCCTTTAATTTTCTTACCTATTGGCGTTTTTCGTTCAGAAATTCTGTACATGTGATTGTCGCACTCGAAGAAAACGCGATCTAAGCCCTGTTTCGTGATGAATTTTTCCGGCTCCCGACCATGCGATTTCATAAAGTTCTTGTCTCGGTACTTATACAAGAATTGAACTAGATCATCGTTGGATTTGACAGGAAAATCGGCGAAAGAAAGGTTGATGAAGAAGTCCCAATTGTACTGCTTTTCTACCATGTCCGTAAGGCCGCGAAAGATGGTAGTCAAGAGACTCGTTCCTCCCCAGATCGGTGTTTCTCTCCAATCAGCGAGATAGATATTTTCATATTCTAGCGTCAGTTTTTTCAGCTCCGAATGAAGCCAATGCGATCTGGAATCGACGTGGAAGTAAAGAATGTGGTCAGTATGGTAGATGTTTTTCACTAGTCGTTTAATCTGGCGAAGAGATCTTCCGTGGACGATTAAAAAGTAGCAGATGCGAATTTTTGCTTCAGGATTCCGGGTAGTCACGGCCGGGGCCTGGGCGACTTGGCGTTTTTTATGCGGACAGGTACGTTCGATTCTGGAAGGAAGGAGGAGACCGGCTTTGTGGTCGCAATAAGCTGAGAAAATTGATAGAAATGAGGCATTTTGAAGAATCTACCTTTCTGAACTTTTATTTTACACTCGTCAGAAGCTCGCTGAATCGCAGACTTGGCATCGTTGTGTGTTACTTCGCATAAATCCCTGTCAACTTTTAACAAGTTCTCCGGAGCTGGTTTCTCAATGATATTCACTCGCTTTTCCGGCTTCTTTTCAGCGGCGGGACTTTCTGTTGATCGAGGTTCTTTGGCCCGTTTGGATCGCTCATTTGGAGAGTTAGAATTCGAATTCGAGTTTGAGTTCGGATCGAGCTGGAAAAGAGCCCAAAGCTGCAACGAAATGAAAATGAGCACGAGGCCGAGAAGAAGCCGCCGCCAACGAAATCGCATGTCAAGTCATTTTTCTTGGATTTTCAATTGAGAGTTTTTTCTTTGTAAAAAGGGCTTTTATTCGCAGCGAATTAAAAATATAGCAACATGTACGTTTCTTTTGATAAAAGTGAAGACAAAATCAATTTTGAACTCTGATAAAGCTTTGGTTTCACCATAGTACTGAAAGATTAGAAAAATTGATGGTTTTTCTTCTATTTTTTACAAATATATAATTTCAATCGCGAAATTTATTCAACAACAACAAGAAATGAACGAATAGAAAGGATTGGAATTTGGCGACTCAGCGACGGACGGAAGTGGCATCGATTTGGGTGAGCTGGGGACAAGTGAGCATTACTTTCTTTCTGTACATTTGGTCCTTGTAGATTGGATTGCGCTCGAGGTAGACGGTTCGCAGTTGAGGCCGTTTGGTCTTTTACGGATAGAGATCTACTTCAAAGATGACCTAGAAAATGGACGATTTACGCCGATTATTTTACGATGAAAACAATCAAAGAAGTGGGCTTTTGGGGCGTTTGATTCTTATCAATTGACATAAATACACTTGTACTCGACACTCAATATCAAAAATTTTTAAATGAAATCATAAATCCATTTATTCGTTCTTGAGAATTGACCCACGAAAAGTTTTTTTGATCTTGCAGAAGAAATTCCTCACTGATTCAAAATCTGTATAATGCTCTGGGCCCTAAAGTGCGGAAGTCATTGAGGCAACTTGGACATCTTTAAAAAAGCGCGACATTTGAATTGTTTCGAATAAATCATGAAATGAAAATATTTCGATCCGTTCCAATTTCTCAACTTCTTTCCAATCCTCAATCTTGCAATCATTCATCCACAAGTCTTCAAGCTGATCCAACCCTTCAAGACCTCCAAGGGTCTTGATAGGATTGCCACTCAAATCGACGGTGTCTAGGTCCGTGTTTTTCTTCAAATTCTTGATTTCTGTTATTCCGTTGTGTGCAAGATGCAGGCTCGTTAAATTCGGAAGGCCCTCTAGTCCTTCAATCTCGAGGATTCGGCAGTTTTGAAGGTCGACAAGGGATAGTTCTGGGCAAACATGAAGGTTTTCCATTTTGGCGATTTTGTTCTTGCCAAGATAAAGCTCCTTCAGTCGAGTTGAAGACATACAAGAGACTTTTAAAGATGAGGATGCTCTTAAACTCAGTCCTGAAGACCCTGGATTGCTTCCAAGTTTTCTATTTTTCGAATTCGATTGGCACCAAGCTCAATCATCGTCAAATTCGTCAGAGTCTCGATGTTCTCAATCTTTGAAATTTTGTTTCCTGCCAAAAACAGTTTTCGCAGTTTCGTCAAGTTCTCGATATTTTCGATTTTTCTGATGTTATTATAACTTAAGAAACCTTTTAAAACTAATCTCCTGTTTTCTCAAACCTAAGATCCAAGATTTCAAGATTTACGAGAGTCTCGATTCCCTCAATTTTCTTGAGAATATTGTCGTAAAGATCAAGTTCCGTCAGCGTCGTCAGCATGCTCAGATTTTCCATTTTTCTGATAAGGTTGTTTCGCAAACTAGCGACATTCAATTACTCATAATCTCGCACCAGTTTTATCTTACCATAAACATTCAACTTGATGAAGTCCTTCTAGGCCCTGGATTGTGCCAAGACGCTCATGTTCCAGATTGACTTCGTAGTCATCAAGTGCTACACCGCATTCCGCAAGACTCCATTCCTCTATAACAGAAAGTTTAATGAACGGCTTGTGGTTTATTTCGCATTTGGTTCGATCATTGAGAAATATTGGTGAGATCTTAGGACTTCAATGAATTTTAGGGATTCTGAAAAATGAAGCGTAAAAAAGCTGCTCACTAGGAGGAGTAAGGTTCAAAACAAACGATACAAGCCGAAAATTTGATTCATTTTTCGATAAATAATATTTAAAATGTCCTGCGATTTCAGAAACAAATTGTTTTAAAAATTGATTGATAAATAACATATCATATATTGCTTTGTATAATAATAACAATGAACTAGTTTCTTGCTTATGATAATTTTACAATTATTAAGCTTTGAGAAAATCGTGAAAGTTTGTGCGTCTTACCTTTAGCCTCTCCTTTCTGCGTCTTCTCATCATCCTTATCCTCACCCAACTCAGGACTCGGCGGCCTCTGAACTACAGCTTTCTTCTCCTCAGCCTCATTAGCATCTCCTCCTCCCGATTTATTCACAGCAATTTCCTCTATCTTCTCGGCAACATCGGACATTGCCTTTTTCAACCCTTGAAAAAAATTCTCCATTGTTTTTGTTGAAAAAGATATTTTTATTGCTTTGTTGAGAAAATATATAAATTTGTTCTGTGAAATAGAAAAGGAAAAAAGAATAAGAAAAGAGGATGTTTTAGATGCAAAACGCACTTGGTGAATATTGAACAGTTTGGCTTCGAAGTCGCTAGGGACAGATTCATAATGAGGCGATTCACAAATCGCTTTCTTGCGACAAGAAAAACAGGCTACAGGAATGGAGTTATAAAAATAAACCAAATTGGTTTCAAGGTATAAAAATATTGACAAACTGCTTTTTCGAGGGTCATTTTTGGCGGGAAATCAAAAAGTTTTCTTTCAATTTAAAGCGTCAAAAGTGACCCTTTTCCTTTTTCTTCAATTCGCGCAAACAGCAGCTAGTTGTTTCTGAATCTTGTCTTCGTTTAGCTTTATCTGCTGTCTTGTGTTCATTATTTCATGTTCTCGTTGCTCTGTCTCGCGCTGGAAGCGGTTCAGTTGCGCGTAAAGCTGGTCCAAGTTCGCATGTTTCCGGCTGAGGTTGAATTTAAGTGATATAAAATGAAAAAGTGTCCTACTTTTGAGCTTCATTCAGTAAAGTCGTATTTTTTCTTAGTTCAGCGGACCATTGGTCGTATTCGGTTTGCATGGAGTCCAGATCTTCTTGGAATAGATCTAGGAAGATTCATTAGAATCGGGCATTTTGAGAGGATGGTAAATTTAAGGGGATTTGACCAGTCCTCTGCAGAATGTGTACAGATATAGGGCCTATATTATAGGCTCAAATTAATTGAATCAATAGAGGAGAGCCTCGAATTTGATCAGAGTTCTCGTTAAACTTCTTTTATTGAGGAATTTTTACCTAAGACATGCGCGACAGGAGGCAATTGAGCAGTGATAGCTTGTACGTCAGCCTTCATCTTTCCTATTTGCTTCTCAATTTTCTTTTGCTCTGCTTCGGAGATTTTATTCGTTTTATCCTACAACACTTTTATCCGAATGAAGATATAAACTTTTACTACCTTGACGTTGGCAGCCTTTGACATATTCTTGCTCGAGTCCATGATATCCTGAACTAGCGCGCCGTGATCCCTTTCGGCCACAACAGCGCCCTTGATAACGGAATTTTCGGCTTGTACTTCTTCGATCTCAATGTTGTCGTCTTCTTCATCATCATTATCACGAATCACTAGAATTATTTGTAATGGACTTTATTGTGACAAAAGAAAAGGATTATGCTGCATATTATTTGATTCACACTCTTTGCAGTAAGAAAACTCTTCCAGATAATGTAGATATTCATTTCAAAGGAACATTTTTCGAAGATGGAATGCGAAATCCATCGGTCAACTACTATTTATAAAATTCATGGAGCGACAGCTGTTTCTGAAACACCTGCTCAGGCCATCTGAATATAAAAGAAAAAAGAATTCTTTCTGATATTATCGTCCTCAACATCGAACCAAGTTTAGAAGATCGACCGGGAACATATAAAAACGGTTTTTCGAATGGATAGCCAACTTTTTTGAAATGAAAACCACGAATATTTTCTCCAAGTTTAAGAAAGTGTGATATATCGATTATCAATGATAATTCCGATTTGAAATAAAATGAATCACTAATGTGCTTAATTTCGCTTGTATTGAAAACAGTCGAATAAAAAATTCTCTAACTTCATTCCTCTGTTCTGGAATAATCACTTACCATTCGGATTAACCACTGGAGGACTTGTCGCTTCAGGAGGTGGCTGTGTTCTCCCCTTATTCGTCGGCCTGGCAGATCCCGGTCGCGCTCTGGAAGCACCCTTAGTTGTTGGTCGAGCTGGCTCTTCAACTTTTGGCGGTTTTGAGTGAGATGATCTCTTCTTTTCTTCTTTATCTGAAATCATCAAATATTGTTGAAAAATAGAGCGCTTGTTTTTCATTAGTAAAGGTAATTTCTACCAAAAGCGTTTCTATTCTAGCGTAAGCAATTTTCCTTCTATACTTAAAAATTGTGTAAAAAATCATTTCAAAACCGCTGATTCAGAGAAGAAAAGCCTCAAAAACCAGCGGTTTCGAAACTTGCGCGAGCTACACACCAGTCTCAGGCACAGGCGGAGGTCTGCGGCGTTCACCTTTCGCGCTAGTCGGCCTCGCTGGCCGAGATGAGCGTCTTTCTCCGCGTTCTTCGCCCCGTTCTTCAGCCTTCTTTCGCTCCTTCCGCTCGGCGCGTTCTTTTTCTTTTCGTTCAGCTCGTTCTTTTTCTACAAATTTCGTATTAATTTACCGCTGATCGATGTTTTTTTTCGAAAAATGTCAAAATTGTCGTAAGTTCCTTGCTCTAGGCAGCATTACTGAGTGTCTCCCCGTCAAAGAAGATATAGATACAATATTTAGATCGGTACTTAAATTGAGAGCGAACCTGTCTACTATCCGCATTTCGAAATAACAACTCACTTGATAAAGAAAATGTTTTTTGAAAATGAGAAAATCGTGGATTTCTATTTGTATTTTCTCGGCGGAAGAAGGAGAATCGGGCCGACTTTAGGAAGCTTTGATTGTTGGATTTTCTCTTCCATTCAAAATAGAGGGGAGAAAAGAGAAATAAATGAAAAGGTTGACTGGTTCAGCCTTGATGAAAAGAGAAATCCAGTGTTGGCTCCAGTTAGGATCATTGACCTCAAGCAAATGAAAAGCAAGAAAAAGGTATTTTAATTGTGTGAAATAAGAAACTAAACAACTTCAGCTTCAACAGTCTCTAATCTCTAATAATCGGATAAGAAGAATTCCCCCGCCAAAGAAGTTAGAAAGACACATGATGGACATTATCTTTCGTAAATCAATCATTAATATATATTAATGAATATATTCATCTGGTGACAGTAAATAAGTTCGAATCTTAACTTACTCCTGGCAGAAAAATATAAATGAACGATGGGAACTCTCACCCCCAAACCTCCAATAAAAGATTTCATCCAAAATGAACTCTCATTTTTGATTTACCTTTTCGAACCCGGCGTTCTTCTGAAGTCTCCCTTTTCTTTGACCTGTCCCTGTCTCTTCGCTCGCTTCTGTCTCTCCTATCCTTCGAATCTTTCTTTTCCTCCCTTGGCTTCGATTCCGACCGTTTCTCTGACTTCTTTTCGCGCTGTTTGGACTCGTCTCGTGGCTTCTTTTCTGCTTCTTTTTCTTTCGAAGATTTTGAGCTCTTTTTCTCGGCTTTTTCTGGATTTGCTGGTTTTCCACCGGCTTGAATCTGCGCGACAGCATCGTCAGAGCTCTTTTTGGTCAAAATCGCCATCGCGATTTCTTGCAGGAGTTTGTTGGTTTGTTCTGCTTCTTGTCCAGCTACGATTTTGGCAGCTTTGACATCTACGTTCTTGCCACTGACGAATGAAATACAGTCGATAACGAGCTGAAGGAACTTGAGTTTATCATTCTTATCCGTGATCGCTTTTCCGTCGAGGAGTTCTTTTGGGAATAAACCGGTGAAAAAGCCGGTTTTCTTCATAAGATTTGTGATGATGTCATGGAGGAATCGGAAAGGAGGACGGCTGAGCAGCTTTTCGCTGGAAACATTTTGAATAAAAAGCGTTAAAAAAGGTCTTTTTGACGTTTTTCTCAAACAACTTACGTTAGGGCAGGCTTTTGGATGATTTTGCCCAAGACTTGTTGCGTTTTTTCGACGAAATCGGCACCCATGCTATAATGAAGAGGTTCAATTGATTTGATTAGGTAAATGTTGATTTGTCGAATACAGACGCAAGACAGAAAAAGGATTCAAAGATTGTTCAAGACAGAAAGAAGGCGCTCAGCAGCTGATCCGGGAGTAATTTCTCTTCGTCGAAGAGCTCTATTTACTTCGGATAAATTATTCATGACTTTTGGGTTTTTCTTGAAAGAGTCGATCAGCGAGAATTCGATTTGCGACCACATTTGTTTTTCTCTTTCAGTAAGGGTCAATAAATATATTTTGAAGCTTTGACATTTCTTATCTAGAAACCATAAGACCTCGAAAAAATCGATGTTGATATTTGCCAACCGCAAAGTTAAACTGATAAATGAAATCTACTAGATAGAGCAATTTTAAATTCACCTTATTCTGTAATATTTCCAGTTTTCATTCATACCGTTAAAAATATTTGCAACATCAAAACACTTTCGAAAGTATTGAAAGATCGACAATAAAAGACCCAATCCTTTGCTTTATTCTTAACTCCTGAAGCTCTCCGGAATTGATCATCTCATGCCTAAACTCCTGTAACAGCTCCCAAAGGTCATCAATTCCAACATTATTGAGCGAAGAAATCCTCCTGACTCTCGGCCGCCAGCATTTATATTTAGGCGTCATGAATTTCAAAGCACTAGTGTACTCTGCCGCGATTCTGCGAACAGCAGGCTTCATGTCTCCGTCGTACTTGTTCACAGCGACGATGTCTACAAGTTCAACGATGCCCCTTTTTATTCCTTGAAGTTCGTCTCCAGCAGATGGTGGTAGAAGCAGGAGAAAGACATCTACCATATCGGCTACGGCAATTTCTGATTGACCAACTCCAACTGTTTCTATAACAAATCTTTGAATTTTGAACTCATAAGAAATTCTAGCAAAACATCCTTACCGATGATTATATTTTTATATCCAGCAGCCTCGCACAAAACAGCCGCTTCATGAGTATTTCTAGCAACTCCACCAAGCTCCCCTCCAGCTGGAGAAGGTCTGATAAAAGCTTCTGGCATCACTCCTAAATTTTGCATCCTCGTTTTGTCGCCCAAAAGACTGCCTCCAGTTCTAGAGCTACTAGGGTCTACTGCAAGAACAGCTTCACATGAATCGACAATCGTTTCAAATACCCATTCAAAAATCTTATGTTCAAAGATTTTTCGATCCAATTCCTAAATTACTTCCTTGATTGATAATATGCTGCCCGGCAGCTTCAATAAACGTCGATTTTCCCGCCCCAGGTGGCCCTGAAAGCCCAATACGAAAGGTCTTCGAAATGTCTTCCTCCACCACGCCATTCTGCAAAAGCCTAGTGAGAATTTCCTGCGCCATCGCTTTCTTTTGCGCATTTTTCGATTCAACAAGGGTGATGCTGGAACTCAAGGACGCGCGATTTCCGGCGACTATGAAAATTTAAGACCGTGGCTTCTTTTGATTATATTTGATTACCAATTCCAGAATAGAGTGAGTCAACTCTGGCAGATTGTTTCGAAGACAAAAGTCGTCTGCTTGCACAACGAATCATTTTTGAACGCGTTTTTGATAAGTCCGATTTCTTAAAGCTCGCATGTTTGAATGAAATAAGCTTTTAGTTTAGATATTTATTCGTTTTTCTGTTAATAAAATAGTGTTGTGCAGAAGTTTGTCAAACTTTTATAATAAAATTGAAGAACCGAAATTATGGTTTATCAAGGGACAGAAGCATTTTCGTGGTTTTGGCGATTGAATTTTCAACTTTCTTTTTGTAAGCGTCGGCAGTGGATCGCGTTTGCTCAAGTTCTTTTCGCGTCTTTAGACAGGTTAATTGACTGTGGCGACTTCAGATTTCTCTAGAGAATCATTTCTCAACCTTTTCCTGAGCAAGTTCTTTACAAATGCTGTCCTGCGCATCCTTCATTTCTTCGTATTTTATCCGAAGCTGCTGATTTTCTCCTTTTCTCGATTCAGATCGTCTTGAACTTTCTTGGAATTTGTGTCTTTTACTCCTTGTAGAGCTTTAAGAGCTCTCGAAAGGCGTTTATTGTCCGCCTGCAAGTCCTTAATTTGTTGCTGCTCTGCAAGCCGAGCTTCTTTTAATTCGTCAATGACGATTTCTTGCTCCAATAAACTGAAGAATTTTCTCAAAATGGGAGCCAGAAAACTAATCGAACCTGTTTTTCAGAGCTTTAATTTGATCTTCTTCATTTTCTTTTCCCATTTTTTCAAGCTCCAAATTGGCAACATCTCCCAAAAGATCCAACGGATTCGTACCTGCCTTCGAGTTTTTCTCCGTTGAATTTTGAGTTAAATTGATTGCCGCCCCGCTGTTCTTTCCCATTGTTTTGTAGGGATTGTCCCATTCGTACGGGTCCTCGCCATTATCGAATGGAATGAGTGGCATGAATACCCTGAATTTGTGATCAGAACCAAGTATTTTTTATTTATTTTGAGGTTATTTCTGGCTCTACTGATTGTACTCTATGTTGATGTTCTAGTGCAGCTAATACCTTGGGCCAAAATCACAATCCTCCAATGGCGGTGGAATCATGAGAAATCATTCTCCTTAACCATTTTTATTCAATTTAGGAGCTCTCTCGCAGACATTTTTAAACATATCTTACCCGTCGGATTTTCTGGATTTCTTCTTGTGATTCCGACTGCTTGATTGCGAAGTTGTTCTCTCTCTGGATCTTGCCCTTTGTGAAGACGTTGGTGAGCCTTCTACTTGAAGATCGATTGAAACATCATCGTTGAGCTCATCTTCGATACTTGCCCGATCTTCTTCGTCAGATGTTAACTCCAACAAGTCCAGAATCGATGAGTCTTGATTCCTCGGTGGGTTGTTTTTCTTGACAATTTTGACCTTCGGCCCCTTTTTTCTGAAAAGATTTTAAACGAGGGAAGGAAAGAAGAATCGCCTACTTGTTTTTGGTACCCTTCGGTCGACCTCGTTTCGATATTCTTCCATCGGAGCTTTTGGAAGCTTTCGCTTCCTTCGTTTTGGCGTTGAAACCAATTTTCGGCTTCTCCAGATTCCCATTTTGATCCTCACCGGGCCATGGATAGACGGGAATGTCCCCTACAGGTGGTTTTTTCGATGCTGGTCCGCGATAGATTTTTATCGAAAGGACATTTGTTTCACTGAATTCAAATATAAGATATTTAAAGAAGAGAGATCGCCTTACCGAAGCATTTCTAAGACGAGATTTTTCGAGTGCGTCTTCACATTCGTTCCGTTGACATGGGTGATGACATCGTAGAGCTCTAGTCCGCAATTGGCGGCGAGTGAGCCAGGCGTCAATCTCGTGACAACTGTTTCTCCGAAATTGTCTTTGATTGTGATTCCCCATCTTTGGTTAATGTCTTTTTTGGGTTTAGAGATAAGTTGTTTTCATTCAATTTTTTTTATCGAAATTCTCTAAAACCTTTCCTCGGCGGCACATGTTAACCTCCATTGTCTCAGCTCTCTAAACACACAGTTGTCGATATCCGAAAATAATTTCAAGAATTTCAAAGTTCGACTTTGAAAAAAAAGAGTTTATGTTACGCTATTTGGAAACACGCAATGCTGAGTAAATAGCATCGAGTTCAAATATTTGTCGTCGTTCAAAATCGTACTCAGCCGGTTTTGACGCTTTACGACATAGTTTAACGATGCTACTCAACGATCGTAAAAAGGGATAAAATCTGCTTTTTAATCATTTTTTCTAAGAAATTTCGTAACAAAACCTCAATTTTGACATCTTCAAGCTTGATATCCGCCATCGGAACCACTACTTTTCAACTGTTTGAATTTTAAAAGTAAAATTGCTTTTATATCGACCGATGATTTGTAATAACTTTTCGCAATAAAAAAGGATAAATCAAAAGCCCAGCTAGTCATTTTCCCTCTTTCCCTTTCTCTCTTTGAACATAAACCTGACTACGAGTTATCATCGTTGATCGCACCTGGAAAAATCAAGAAAAAACCAAAAAGACTATTTGAATTTCGTTTCGACGGGAGTTGGCCTTATGCCGATGCGGTGTCTTCAAATAAAAATGCTCGTTGTCTCTGAAACATCGGCTCAATTTGACCTTTGAGCTTTTTGGATGATACGATTTTTTTACCATTCTTGAGCGTTTTATTTAATAATGATGATTGAAATTTATTTTTTTTTTGGGACGCGTTTCGGTCTCAGTGGACCTTCGTCAGCCCTAAGTACAAATTTTAAATGAAAGTTCAAAAACAGGAAAAACAGTCTCTCACCTAGAGTGGACAATTTCGAATGAAGGCAGAGATTGAAAACATAAAAACATAATTCGCTTTCGCGGGCAGATGTAATGGAGCGCCAGAAGAAAGCGAATTACAAATGCTCCATTACAGAAATTTAACTTCAGCGAATTTGATCTGCTTATTCAAGCAAGGATCATTTAACTTGATCGAAAACGCTTCACAAAGGACACGGTCTTTGTAGTACGGTTGGTTGGAGATAACAGAAATAAAGTTCTTTTCGAAACAGAATTTGGTTTTGATTAACGCTCTCGATGTAGTAGGCTTGTATTTTGGAGTGTCTGGCTCACTAAGATATTTATCATATTCCTCTCTGAATTTTGGACACTTCAAAGAGTGGAAAAACATAGGACTACGATAACGTGGCTCAAAATGTTCACGAATTCTAGTTCCAAGCTGTCTTTTTGTCTCCCCCTGGTAATCCGTTTTCCCACATGGACATTGGAAATGGTACACCACTCCACTTTTCTGCTCAATTGGTACCGGGCGCTTCCAGGTTGGGTGCAAACATTGTTCTATTCTCACTGTTTTCCAACAAAGTCTCAGAAAGAACTTCGGGGTAACTTTTTTAAGAATAGCACGCATTTTGCCGCCAATACTGTCGCACCGGGGACCAGTAAAGCTTGCGCAAAAATTGTGAACTATTTCCCCTTCCACTTTTTTATCATTTTTGGGCTTCTCAAGGAGTTTTATTTTATCATCGACCAAACCTGGTGGATATCCATTGAGAATGAATTTCCTCTTGGCTTTTCGGAAACCTTCAGTTTTGGCCTCTTCGCAGGATGAAGCATTTTTCACCCTATGAAGATGCCCAACTAAGAGACTGATCTTTTGTGACTTAGGAGCTACATTTGTGCGAAAATTGGGAAGGAAATCCTTCGAGGATTTCTTTTCATAATGAAACATCTCAATTCCATTCTTATGAATTCTGAATTCAGTGTCTAAATATGCAAGTTTGCCATCAACCATCTCTTCCTTGGTAAATTGGATATTTTTGTGAAGTCTATTGGCCTTTTCAAAAATATACTGTATATCCGATTTTTGCACAATAAGGGCACAGTCGTCCACGTACCTCCGGATAAAAATGGCTCTACCTTCTCTTATCAATTGATCGAAAAACGGGGTCTCCAAAGTGTGCATGAAAATGTCTGCCAAAATAGGGGAAAGCTTCGACCCCATAGCTGATCCGTCTTTCTGTCTAAAGAATCCATCTGGCGTGCTAAAGCTTGTAAGCTTGAAAAGAACAGTATCTACTAAATTTTGAAAATCGGATCTTGCCGGGAACTCCGAAACATGTCCGTCTTCTAATTCCTCCGGACAAAAATATGACTGTGGGTTAGCATAAATAAGATCTACTACTATTTTGCTTATTTCTTTAATGGGAAGAGAAGGAAACATACTCTTTATGTCTAAAGAAATAATAGTATGTTTATCTAAATCAATTTTGTCACGAATTTTAAGAAAACTGTCTTTAAGCTCAGCAGTATTCTTTAAATTCGCTAAGTAATTCGCTTTCTTCTGGCGCTCCATTACATCTGCCCGCGAAAGCGAATTATGTTTTTATGTTTTCAATCTCTGCCTTCATTCGAAATTGTCCACTCTAGGTGAGAGACTGTTTTTCCTGTTTTTGAACTTTCATTTAAAATCTGTACTTAGGGCTGACGAAGGTCCACTGAGACCGAAACGCGTCCCAAAAAAAAAATAAATTTCAATCATCATTCATGAGAGGTCAACACCGACAAAGTTTTATTTAATAATTTATTAAATAGAAAGGTTTCAGAACTGAATTGACAGATAATCAATGGGTTGTCAGAGAATAAGCTAATTTGTAAGGCTAATAAATGATCATCATTGAGCGAAAGTTGAATAGAGCTGATAGAAATCTTCGAAGATCAGAAGAGAGGACCAAAAATCAAGGCAAGGTCGAGTGGAACTTCGAGAATTAGATGTGGATTAGGGAAACGAAGTTGTCAATGCCTTCTTTTCCCTTCAAAAAGTCGATTTCAATGAGGCACAAAGCGCCGACAAGTGTTGCTTCAGTAGAGCCGATGAGTTTGACGGCTGCTTTCATAGTGCCTCCGGTGGCGATCAGGTCGTCGATGAGGACGATTTTGTCTGAAAAAGTATAAAAACTTTTAGCCATTTAGGAATACTAATGCATATTATCGAAGTTTGTGAAAATAATATACCGAAATAGAGAATGTGACCGGTCTTTATCAATGATAGATGGAGACGAAAATCTGTATTTAAGTCAATGTAAAAGTCGTTCTGGTGTTTCATTGAGCTTACCAGTAGCTTCTAGAGACGCTTTCTCAATCTCAACCACATCAGTTCCGTATTCAAGCGTATATTCCTGTCGCACCACTTCCCCAGGGAGCTTGCCCTTTTTACGGATCGGGACAAAACCGACTCCTAATCTAGAAGCCACGGCCATCCCTGAAATCAACCGTTTAATCGTCCATTTCTTTTTCTAACTTGCCCATTAAAAATCCTCTCGATTCGAGGCCGACAAGCTTGGTGCATCCTGGGAACTTTTCCCTGATCGTTTCTTCCAACACATCTCCGAGAAGTTTCATTCTTTCCGGGTCGGAAAAGAGCGGCATGATATTTTTGAACACGATTCCTGGTTTCGGAAAATCGGGATGATCCGTCATACAGTCATTTAGCTGCTTTAGCTTTTCTTCCATTCTTGTTTTTACGAATTAAAAAGGTGGCCATGTTGTTTTCAATGATTGTTTTATTTTGTATTTGAAGCAAAAGCGTATTATTTGAACTTGATTTTTACAATTCAATATTGAAAATCTGCGCAAAGGTAAAAAAACGCTGGTTTAGTTATTAGGCGCTACTTTGAAGTTTTGAAGTTTCAGAATGCACAACTTGAAAGAAAGAAAAATTACGATTTGGAAAACGATTGTGAGTTAAAAAATGCTACAGGGTATAAATTTATGATCGTGATTCATGTGACCGTGAAAATGTGATAATGGCGAAGTTTTTTCCAGTTGACAGACGATTTGTGAAGTGATGAAAAAAGAATGAAAATAGGTTTTCGTCATTCTACATGTTTTATGCTGTCAATCTGGCGATGACATCTGCGTAATGTTCATTAAGCTGCTTTCTCTTCAACTAAAAGCAAATGTCAAAAAGGAAATAGAAGGCTCAAGAATTACCTTGAAAGCATCAGTAACGAGACCAGTGTCAGGAAGCCAGCCAGCCTCGAAGCTTCCATCGATGTGAACCTTGTTGGGAATTTCCAACTTTGACAAGCAAGCGGATTTAGCCGTGGCTTGAATCTCTTCCATCATCTTCTTCACGATTTTTTCATCGTTGCAGATTTCGACGAGATCGCCCTTGACGCCGATTTCATCCGCCCATTCTCGCACAACTGATAATGGAGTTAAAATGGAATAAGAGAGATGACTTCTACCTTTTTCGACAGGACAAGCGATGGCGATAGGCATGAGAATAGCGCCAGAGCCGTAGATGACAACATTTGCAATAGCGGCACTGGTTTTTAGGGCGGCTTCGACCTTTCCCAAAGCGACGTACTCACCGTGTCGCATTTTACTTTAATCGGGTTCACAACGAAATTACTCGATTAAATTCTATTCTAAGGAATCGATCCTGTAAAAATCGTGAAACCGTAACAAAGATCCTTCTTTCTGTCGATAATCTTGAGAGCGCCATCATGATCCCATTCTCCAATATCACCAGTTCGGAAATATCTCAATCCATCAATCTCGCAGTAATCCTCAGCTGTCTTTTCTGGCATCTTGAAATAGCCAGCGGTAACATGAGGGCCACCGATGAGAACTTCTCCTTGAGCGGGTTTGTTTTTGATGGTGTAATTGCCTTCTTCCCAGTCAATCAGTCGGATTTCAGCGCAACCAAGAGGGGGTCCAACTCGGCCATTAGAGGTATCGTACGCGTCCTGAAAACGGAGAATGTATCAATGAGAAATTGATGGTGTTCTTACCTGGACTGCTCCAGCGGCGCAAGTTTCAGTCAAGCCGTATCCGATGATCAAAGGACAGGACATGCAAATCGACATGAACTGCTGAGTCTTAGCTTCGACTGGAGCTCCACCAGCAATCATAGCTTTCAATCGACCACCGAGAAGATCTCTTGTCTTCTTGAAGACTAAAAAGCTCCATGAAAAAAGGGCTGTCAATGAAAAACGTACTGAGTCTGTTGAGGACAGGAGAGTCGCCACCGTTTTCAATTTGATCCAATTTGTAGTTGTAGGCGTAGTTGAAAATCGCTTGCTTGAGTGGAGAGCCCTGCTTTACAACTTGGTCGACATTCTTTCGAATTCGCTCCAAAATTTCAGGGACGGCGGCCATCAAGGTTGGTCGGAGAGCACGAGCGTCGCCCATGGTTCCGGTTTTGATCTTTGCGCTCTAGAATTTTGTTTGAAGAAGATTTAGGAGAAGACTCGAAGCTGACCTTGTCGGAGAGCGTGAGCGGGCTAGAATATCCAATTCTTGAGCCGTTAAGCAGGACGGTATTCTCCGCTGCGAGCTCAAGAACGTGAGCAAGAGGCAAATAACCAATGTAGACATCATCTTCGAAAGAAATGCCAGAAAGCTTGATTCGAGAAGTCAAGCCTCCAATTGCGGCGCAGAGGTTTCTGTGAAGAATCATGACGCCTTTAGCTTTTCCAGTCGTGCCAGAAGTGTACATAATAACGGCCAGATCGTCTCCCGTGACTTCTGGACCTTCGAAAGTTGAGGCATCAGTTAGTGAAAGGGCTCCAAAAGCTGTGATGGTTATGGAAGCGTCAAGGGATTCAAGAGCTTGGAAAATTGATAATTTAAAAGTTTTTTAAAAATCAGTTTTACCAGGGCAAGGCGCGTTGTTTTCATCTTTGCAGTTGATGATATGCTGGAGTTGTCCCTGCATAGCATCTGCTACGGGCTTGACACACTTGGAAAGAAGAGCGTTGGAAGAAACCAAGGCCTTCGCCTCCGATTCCTCAATAGCTTCAATAACTCGATCTTCTCCAAGCGAAGCGTAGACAGTAACTACAGTCAGGCCAGCGCGAAAAGCAGCATGGGCAGCGATCATCCACTCGGATCGAGTTTCCATGTAGAGGGCGACTTTATCGCCTTTCTTGAGCCCAAGAGCGGCGAAACCAGCAGCGGCATTGTTGACGAGCGTTTCCATTTCGGAAAAAGTCTTGAAGTGGTAGTCGCCGTAGGTGTTTTTCTTGAATGTTCGACCGTTTGGCTGGACTTCGTCGTCTTCGGAAAGAAGCTCTCGTCGGCCGATGGCGAGTCGGGCGCCGAATCTAGCAGTGGCAGCTCGGAAGGCGTCGACGAGATTGTCATGTTTCTGGTCAAAGTTGTGGATGAGCACGGTGTTTTCTACGGCTCGGCGGACAGCGGGCTTGATCTCCCGGGACTTCAGGCGGCGGTTCATGCTGAGCTTTTATCGGATACTTTTTATTCTCAAATTTTATATTGTTAGTTCGTTCCATTATTTTCGCCAGATGTGGCCACTGGGTGGCGATTCTTATCAAGACAGTATAAAACTCAATCATAACCTCAACCATTACAATAAATTTTAAAATGAAGCATTCACTGTTTTGTTTTTGAGTTCACTACCGTTGTCAAAATTAGAGATCACAGATCCTTTACCTAGACTTAATTAAAACTCTTCACAAAATATTGAATTCCAAATGCAAAAGATGAATCCGTGAGCTTGAAATTAGCTGTTTTTCTTCCCATGATTCTCTTGATATTAATAAAATAACGTCAAGCAAAAAAAACTTCAGTAGATCCATTCACTGTTACCCGAACAAAAGAAAAGGGAAAAGTTAATGAAAGTGAGACTACTGAAGCATCAATTTATCAAGATTTAGTATCCGTTCCTTGTAGCCAGCTCCGCTTACGACGAACCATGGAATGTAAGTGACGAATCCCCAAGCAAAAGCAATAAGGTCTGCTGTGTGATGGACGATCTCTCCTACAACTGTCATTTTTCGATTCTTTGTCTGAAAAAATGTGTTGGATAGCAAGAGAGCTCGAGAAAAATATGACCGAGCTGGTCATGTGACGACAATTTTGTCACCAGAACTTTTCAAAGACTCAGACAGACATTTTGTCTTTTCAGTCGTTATATTTCTGTTCAGATAACTGGCAGTGGAACTAAATGAAATTCGGATTATGTGGCGCTTTTTTCAATTATTTTACAAAGCACTTTTTTAATGAAAAAAATCTAAGCTTCCTGAAGAGCTGCTCGTTTAGCTGGTGGCTCATCGGATTCAGCAGCTTTCGTTTCATCCCCTTCCAGCTTGTGCTTCGCAACAGCGCTTTCGGGAAGATTGGTTGGAGCTGGAATTGCTCCAGAAACTGGCTTGTTCTCCTTTTCGGTAGGAGGAGTGGCTAGGGGAGAGCTCTCAGATGTTCCAGGTTCTCTAGAAAGATATTTTTAATAGAGGCATGGATGTCAAAAATGTGAGTAAATGAAAGATAAATGAGTGTGTTCATGCGCGTACTCATGCTCTTGGTTCTTTCCCAATTTAATTTTTCCTAACTGATAAGTAATCTGCTGATGGGGTAGGATATTCTTCTTCAGCAACAGTTCATCGAGCGCATCCTTGAAGTCTCTGAAGACCCTCTTGAACTGGATGCCACAGCCTCTGCATCGCTTGCAATCGAGCATGTAGATGTCGCCCGTCTTCATGATGCGCACTTCGAACTTGCTTTTGAGGCTTTCGAAGCGCCAGTACTTCTCAGGAATCTGCTCGTGGACGGTGTACTGAGAGAAGTGCTTGAGCATTTTCGCGATGATTTCTTTTTTCTTCGCCTTTTCAAACCAAACTCGCGTGATTCGAGGAACACGAATCTGGTCGCTCTCCAGCTCTTTTTTATCGCTCGATCCGGCGAGCATTTTCGATGAAATCCTGAAAAAACGGCTTGAAAGGTTATAAATAGGGAGGAGCGTACTCATCGAGGGGTTGGCTAACGCTCGGCGTGGAGTCTTGAGTGGAGCTTTGTATATCGTTGAATTTGACGATGTACTTGAATGTGCTCTCTTCTCCTTCTTTCTTGAATTCGTCGAATTCAGTCATGTTCTTTTCGTCGCCGAAATGTTTCAGCATCTCTGGCTGGCTAAAATCATCGTGCTAGAATCGGTAGAAAAGGGGAGATCGCTGTTTACCTGATTGATTTGTGCCCCAGAAACTCCTGAAATCTTTCTCCACGGAACATTTTAATGCGCTCTTGGAACTGATACTTGAACGCAATGTCCTCCTTGTGAGTTGTCGTTAGCCTGAAATAACAGTTTCAGTTCCATTCATGGACCATTCACTATTCTATTTCTTACCATTTCGGTCCATTGACTTCATCAGCGAGCCAGGAAATCTTGGGTCTATCGGCATCATTATGCGTGAGCATTTTGACGATCATTTTCATCGCTGAAATGGACATGTTTTGCCAACACGGATCTTCGGTGTAATTATGCCGGCGGAAATCGCGGTAATCTTCGTCTATCTCCTGATCGGCGATCGTCCATGGAAGCATACCGGAAAGCATCGCAACTGAAAAGAACGAATCAATTGAAAGAAACTCGAAACTTCTACACAGATTGTAGAGCACAGAAACAAGTCTTACCTAAACAAACGGCCATCGACCAAATATCCCCCCTCAGCGGGAAATAATGCCCATCAGGAACGAACAGCTCTGGCGCCATGTAACCCTCCGTCCCCTGACGATGTTCCCTAACAGAGAATGATCTTTCCGATCTGCCTTTGTTTATGCAGGCTGTGGCCGAGCCGAAGTCGATGATTTTCAATTGACCGTCTTTTTCAAGCTTTTCAAAAGAAAAAATACTACAAAATCGCGATCTCTGTCTCTATTTGAAAAGCTCATTTCTCGTGTAAGAAGCATGTTCTCTGGCTTGAGGTCTCGATGCGCGATTTGTTTTTTGTGAAGGAAATTCATCCCGCACACGAGCTGGGCGAAGTAAAACTTCGCCTGGGCTTCTGGCATGCCCACATCTGGCACAAGTTTATCAAATAATTCGCCACCTTCTGCGTATTCCATGAAGATGAACATTGCTTTCACCTCATGTTCGTATCTGAAAAATATGTCGAAGCCGAAGGGCGTAATAACTCACCGGCTGTTGATGTATCGAATGATGTTGACATGATCCTTGACAGCTCTGTGAATGTTCTTTTCTCGCGTGAGCATTTTCTTCTGATATTCAGTCATTGCGTCGCAATTGATGATTTTCACTGCGCATTTGATTTTGCTTTTGCGATTCAGGATCAGCCGAACATCGCCAAAAGCGCCTTTTTATGGTTGAAAATTCAGGAAAGAAATGAAGACGAACCAACATCAGGGTGGAACTTTCGGACCGGGCAAGTCGGGCAAAAAATCGGGCGGGCGGGCAAATCGGGCGGCGCAGGGCTCGATTTTACGAGGTAAAAATCGGGCAAAGTCGGGCAATCAGGCAAAAATCGGCGCCCGGAAATATAGTCGGCGCCCGGAAGAAAAAATGGCATCTAATGGGACATAAATACTGAAATTTTCATTAAAAACGTCCGGTTTCGGTTCTCCATGAGTGCCTTTCTTCCTTCGGGATACAAATTAATCCTGTTTCTTCAATAAATTTACAAATTTTTTGGATTGGGGGTTGCCAAAATTTCCGGGCAAAAGTCGGCGCCCGGGCAAATCGGGCGGGCAAAAAGCCGGGCGGCAATCGGGCGGCGCCGACAAAAAAATTCTAATCGGGCGGCCAAATTCAATTTTTTTGCCCGAACGTTCCACCCTGCCAACATCTGTATAAAATACTGTTAATATACAGTGTATACGAAAAGGAGAGTGCTTCATCGAAGCGCTGAAACTATGAACACAAATGTTAAAATAAAAATTACAAAAGTAATTACTAAAGTAAAGAAAACCTTTTTCAACCGATTCCTTCTCCTAACTTTCCAATAAAGTCCCAATCCTCCAGAAATGGAGTCGGAATCCCATCCTTTACCACGCCAAAAATGTCGTCCGCCTTCATTGTCTAAAACGAAAAGAAAGCTAAAATCTATTTCTATAAAATCAGGCGGTAATAGCAAGGTTTTCTACAGCAGGCATTTCGGAATCACTCTCATAATCAGCAAACTGATCTTCGTCGTAAATCACTCGTATCAGCAAGGAGCAACTGAACACGAGATTTTCTCAAGATCAACATGGAAATGGAAATATCTAGAAAAAAACTTGCAAAAGTCTAGAATCTCGTTCCTTGGGCAGGTCGCAACTTCTTCGCCAATTTTCAAGTCTTCCAAGCTGATTTCAAATTTATCTCCACAGGGACAAGGGTAAGTGTAGATTTCTAGCTCTTCGTCGAATTCCATATCTTCTATCTCTATTTCATCGTGGTACACCGTCATTCTGAGAAAAAATTGGTTTATAAGCGAAATGAAATTTTAGCAAAAAAACTTAAATATGTTTTCGCTTCTAGAGAAAAGCAGCTTGATAATTTTCTGCCTTCGTTTTCTCTTTTTATGATTATCCAAGCCATTTTTTGAAGCGGAGGTTTTTCGAGCGCGCGTGAGAAAATTGGTCGATCGAAGCGCGGAGGACTTTTTTGCTGGAAGCGAGCGAGAAGGAGGACGCGCCCTTCCCCACAACTTTGAGAGTCCAAGAATTTTTGAGATAACAACATAATGAAATGAATATTTTTATTTAAAAAGCGAGCAGAGGTAAATCAAACCATCTCTTCTGTAGATACTTCTTCTTGTGAGTGTGTAACAGTCTCTTCATTCGTTTGGCTTCTACTGGGACGAGAGGGCTAAAGATGGTCTATATTTCCTTTTGCCATAAATTATGGCCCATAATGATAAACCTGAAAACAAAGTGTTGTCGAAGCCAAAATGAGAAGGAGAAGGTTCAGGAAGATCAGCGAATGCTTCAATTTTTGAAAGGGCACTAAGAACTTCCAGTCACGACCAGAATTCCAGGGGGCTGACCGGACTGACCAGAGTGTAATATGGGCAACGTGAGGTGCTAAGTCCGAAAGAATGAGGCAAGTGCAGGTGGGTAGGATTAGACACCAAATGAAGACATGCGAGGAATATTGACATTGATTCTTCCGCTTCAGTCCGAAAGTTATGAAGATAGGCAAATTTATCCGTCTTATTCCAAAGGCCAAAATTAATGGTACCTAAGTTGAGAGTACAGTCTTTGAGGGTTAATTCTGATGAACTGGTGAATGCCGCAGTAGTCCTGAGCACCTTATTTGAATATAAGAGATACAGATAATTGTAGCTTCAATTATCACTGATAGTCTATCAGAGCCCTGAGGACCTCAAGTTCGGTGGGCCCGTTCCATCTCCGTGCATTCATGGTAGCGTGGTGTCTAATCCTCCTTCCTTGAAGCTTGTTCACCTGTATTCTTCCCGACTTAGCACCTTACATTGAACATATTACACTCTGGTCAGTACGGTCCACCCCAATTCCAGGAGGACCCGGTGACAGCAAAAATGATCAAACCATCAAAGATGATATTTCCGCAAAGAAGAAGGAGAAAGATCCCGGTCTAATTCATTTGTTAAATATTTGTTTCTTTGGCTTTTTACCAAAATATAGAAGACTTTCTTCTTGACGATCAAATTTTCTTCTTGAGCACTTTGTCGATAATAAGAAATAAAAATACTTGTTCCAAAGCCCGCAGAAATCATTCCGACAATGGCAGTAGCAATGTTTGAAACCATCAAAATTATTCGAGCGTTAAAAATTGCGAAATGGATGGATAAGTAACTTGGCCAAACAAGGCTGACTAAAATCAGTTCTCACTTTGACAACCCAAAAGAGTGGTACCTAATAGTAGAATCCATTCAAAAATCCATACCAACGCAAGGAACTCGCGAAAAACGCCCATTTTCTTGAGAAATCATAAAAAAAACTTAAAACAAGATATTCGTTTATTTATTTGAATGCTCTGAAAACCTTATTTTCTTATTTTATTTCATATTTTTCAGTTTGTCTGGAGTAACGTTGGAGTCGTTAAAGATAACGTATCCGTTATCAAAGGCACAGTTCATCGAAGCATGTACTTTAGCTTTAGCTTATTTTTCCCAGCTCAAATAAGTCTCCTGTCATGAAGATTTTTTATTATATTTGATAGGCAACTCAAATTGAAGAGCCTCGATTTCCTCTTTCCCGCCACCTTGAAATCACACTGTCTCATCTGCATTACATTTGTTAAAAAAAGCCCGCGCGTAATCATGAAGCATTGAGCGTTCCAATTATCCATTTTTCGCGGAAACTGCCCGCCGGCGTTCAATTTTAAACCCTTACGATTGAACTATTAAACTGCCACTGGGTCGAAACAATGCTGAGCAAAAAGAAGCTCAAAAGCATTATTTTGATTTTGGGCACTTGGGCGTTTTTGAATTTTTTGCATGAAGGAATAGTTTACAAATTAAAGGAGAGAAAGCTAAGGAAAGAAACAGAAGTTCAAAAAATCGATTCAAGCGAGAAGGAAAATAATGAAAAATCTACTGTTGTTTTATTTACCTACTATCGCTCCGGGAGTACATTTACTGGAGAATTATTTAATCAGCATCAAGGTAATGAAGATTCTGAGCTAGGCCTACTTGCGGATAACCCTAACCCTAACCCTAACCCTAACGGCTTTTTTTAATGAAGATTGATTTTTTTTTCTTTCAGATGTTTTTTATCTCTTCGAGCCACTCATCCTGGCTGGAATCGAGACAGGAGCAGAAGACGTCAAAAAAGAACTGCTGATGCGAATTTTCGACTGCGACTTGCCGAGATACAGCGACTACAGTTCTTCGAAATTGCCTTCTTACGTGAAGGATAGTTGTGGGAGGAAGAACTTTTGCTTTGCTCATGGAACAAAGGAATTTTGCAAAGAGCCGTTTTGCCCAAACGATTTCACGAAGGAAAGGAAAATGTGCTCAAGGGGACCGTGCAAAGGTTTGTTTTTACTTTTTGAGAAAATTGTTATTTGCGGTTTTTTAGCGTTTTCTCGTGATGGAGATTTGATTCAAGAAGCGAATCGAATTTGCCACTCGAAACCGGTCAAAGCGATCAAGACCATCAGAATAACGACGATTTCGCCGTTTCTTGAGTTTTTCAACGAATTCGACTTTTCGCAAAATTTCAAGTTTGTTCTTCTCATCAGGGATCCAAGAGGAATGCTCAACAGTAGACTTAGAATTTCAAGAGTTCAAAAACACGAGAAAGACAAGGTAAGGACCGAAATAATTTTCTCCTCACCGAATTCTAGGGCGCCGAAATATCGAAAAAAGTGATAAAAATATGCAATCAAATTGTCGAAAATATCAAGACCATCACCTCCAGTCACTTTATGCACTCACGAACGATCATTTTACGATACGAAGACGTAGCTTTGGACCCCAAAAACTATGCAAAGAAAATTTACGAAAAGTTCAACCTTGATTTCACCAAGAATATCGATTCTTGGATCGACGAAAATACCCATCTGGATGGAAAAACGTCAAAGATGAATTTTTACGATACACATAGGTACGGCAGGAGTCAATAGGGGGATCCTTACGTTATTTTAAGGGAATCTGCGAAAATAGCTTTTGACTGGCGAAACGCCCATTCAAACCGAAAAATGCCTTACGAGTTTCTTCAACCGCTTCAGACGGGATGTGCTGAAATGCTGAGCCTAACTGGCTACAACGTTTTTCTTCAAAGGAAGAAATGTATAACGATACTCTTCAACCGCTGGTGCCAAATGAAAGCATTGACTTTTTACTTCATCTGTAAATTATATTATTCAATTAAATATTTAAACAAATATTCGAATGAAAGACTGCATCATTTTCCCTCTTCAAGTGTCGTTGACGTGCGTATTGTAACGGCATCTTCTAAGATTTGCTTTTTCCTTTTCTCGTGCGTATAAAATGACCCTGACGGAGTGAACAGCTAGAAGTCTGCATAAAATGATACACGGGCAGAACTGCGTTGCCTTAGATATTGAAGGGGGTTCAGAAGACAAGCCAATACGTATTGGCATAGTTAATTGTAGGGGAAGAGTGATTCTCGACGAAGGTAAACATCATTATATTGACAGAGAATAAGGTGATCGATCAGAAAATGACGATGATGCTGTTTACTGCAATGTAATCTGACCAAGACTAGAAGCATTGGTTAAAGATGTCATCAAAGGTCGTTACGTGATCGGGCACAATATCAACTGTGATGAAAAATTTTTCGAGACGAAGAATTTCTTTTCGGGAAAGAAAATTGATACCGACAAGAACGGTTGGGCTCTAGGAGAAAGAAGACTGTCATCGAATAAATACGGTCATAATCCCGTCGAGGATGCACAACTTTAACTGAAACTGGCTGTAGGAGACTTACCTCTACCACTTTATAATTATACTTTTAAGATCGAACATGGTCTGATCATTCCTCCGAATCAAATGACTATATCAGCTGCCTTGGAAAAAATCGAAGAGAACAGAAGAGCCCATGAAAAAACTTATCGACTATAACTATCTACTGACAAAAATCAACATGATCATGATCCACAACTATTCAATTATTCTTCAGAGCGATTTCTCAAGTAACTGTATAAGTTTATTAGGACGTGTTTTTTTTTCATTATTGTAAGAATATTAAGGATTATTTTAAGAGTAAGGGTATAAAGATAGATAAATTAAAAGCAGGGCCTCTTCATGATATTTATACAATTTGCAGGGATTAAGTGCTTATACATAGGGATTTTGTTGTTTCGTTTATAGATTTTATTATTACTAGGAATAGGGACACAGTTTATTTAGAAGATAGAGAGCTTAATTTAGATATGGTTAGTAAAATAGATAAAATTTTAGCTACACTTAGGACTAGATTCTCTCAACACAAGGATTTTTTTTGTTGGGACGACGTTTTGCTTGACACAGATGTTTTTCTCGACAAAACGTCGAATTGCGTTGAGAGAATGAATGGCAGGATAAAGCAAGCATTGCAGGAATCAAGGAGGATCAGGGCAATCGACCGCATCAAGGTCATAATTAGTGAATTTTCATTAATTAATTTTGATTTTATGTGTAGTTTTAGGAATAAGAAGCGCCCCATTAGTGTTAGATCATTGAATCGTCATAAGCGATGTCTAAAGTTAATTCAATTATTTAGGTTTAGAGTAGGAAAGGATCCCAATTTTAGTAAAGTTGTAGATACTATCCTATATTCTAACAAGACGGAGTAGAGTTTACTAGGTAATCCACTCATTCATCCCATTTTTGACTTTTTTGGCTGTTTTTTGACTGTTTTGGCTGTTTTGACTGTTTCTGTTTTTATAAATTATTTTTCAAATAAATTTATTTATCAGAATATAATTAACAACTTACTCTTATAGGAGATGGTTGACTTCTTATTGTGACTTCAATTGTTGATGCGTTCCCTCCTCTAAGCTCAAGCAGCGTTTTCTTCACCAGGTTTTTCGAGCGCGCGTGAGAAAATTGGTCGATCGAAGCGCGGAGGACTTTTTTGCTGGAAGCGAGCGAGAAGGAGGACGCGCCCTTCCCCACAACTTTGAGAGTCCAAGAATTTTTGAGATAACAACATAATGAAATGAATATTTTTATTTAAAAAGCGAGCAGAGGTAAATCAAACCATCTCTTCTGTAGATACTTCTTCTTGTGAGTGTGTAACAGTCTCTTCATTCGTTTGGCTTCTACTGGGACGAGAGGGCTAAAGATGGTCTATATTTCCTTTTGCCATAAATTATGGCCCATAATGATAAACCTGAAAACAAAGTGTTGTCGAAGCCAAAATGAGAAGGAGAAGGTTCAGGAAGATCAGCGAATGCTTCAATTTTTGAAAGGGCACTAAGAACTTCCAGTCACGACCAGAATTCCAGGGGGCTGACCGGACTGACCAGAGTGTAATATGGGCAACGTGAGGTGCTAAGTCCGAAAGAATGAGGCAAGTGCAGGTGGGTAGGATTAGACACCAAATGAAGACATGCGAGGAATATTGACATTGATTCTTCCGCTTCAGTCCGAAAGTTATGAAGATAGGCAAATTTATCCGTCTTATTCCAAAGGCCAAAATTAATGGTACCTAAGTTGAGAGTACAGTCTTTGAGGGTTAATTCTGATGAACTGGTGAATGCCGCAGTAGTCCTGAGCACCTTATTTGAATATAAGAGATACAGATAATTGTAGCTTCAATTATCACTGATAGTCTATCAGAGCCCTGAGGACCTCAAGTTCGGTGGGCCCGTTCCATCTCCGTGCATTCATGGTAGCGTGGTGTCTAATCCTCCTTCCTTGAAGCTTGTTCACCTGTATTCTTCCCGACTTAGCACCTTACATTGAACATATTACACTCTGGTCAGTACGGTCCACCCCAATTCCAGGAGGACCCGGTGACAGCAAAAATGATCAAACCATCAAAGATGATATTTCCGCAAAGAAGAAGGAGAAAGATCCCGGTCTAATTCATTTGTTAAATATTTGTTTCTTTGGCTTTTTACCAAAATATAGAAGACTTTCTTCTTGACGATCAAATTTTCTTCTTGAGCACTTTGTCGATAATAAGAAATAAAAATACTTGTTCCAAAGCCCGCAGAAATCATTCCGACAATGGCAGTAGCAATGTTTGAAACCATCAAAATTATTCGAGCGTTAAAAATTGCGAAATGGATGGATAAGTAACTTGGCCAAACAAGGCTGACTAAAATCAGTTCTCACTTTGACAACCCAAAAGAGTGGTACCTAATAGTAGAATCCATTCAAAAATCCATACCAACGCAAGGAACTCGCGAAAAACGCCCATTTTCTTGAGAAATCATAAAAAAAACTTAAAACAAGATATTCGTTTATTTATTTGAATGCTCTGAAAACCTTATTTTCTTATTTTATTTCATATTTTTCAGTTTGTCTGGAGTAACGTTGGAGTCGTTAAAGATAACGTATCCGTTATCAAAGGCACAGTTCATCGAAGCATGTACTTTAGCTTTAGCTTATTTTTCCCAGCTCAAATAAGTCTCCTGTCATGAAGATTTTTTATTATATTTGATAGGCAACTCAAATTGAAGAGCCTCGATTTCCTCTTTCCCGCCACCTTGAAATCACACTGTCTCATCTGCATTACATTTGTTAAAAAAAGCCCGCGCGTAATCATGAAGCATTGAGCGTTCCAATTATCCATTTTTCGCGGAAACTGCCCGCCGGCGTTCAATTTTAAACCCTTACGATTGAACTATTAAACTGCCACTGGGTCGAAACAATGCTGAGCAAAAAGAAGCTCAAAAGCATTATTTTGATTTTGGGCACTTGGGCGTTTTTGAATTTTTTGCATGAAGGAATAGTTTACAAATTAAAGGAGAGAAAGCTAAGGAAAGAAACAGAAGTTCAAAAAATCGATTCAAGCGAGAAGGAAAATAATGAAAAATCTACTGTTGTTTTATTTACCTACTATCGCTCCGGGAGTACATTTACTGGAGAATTATTTAATCAGCATCAAGGTAATGAAGATTCTGAGCTAGGCCTACTTGCGGATAACCCTAACCCTAACCCTAACCCTAACGGCTTTTTTTAATGAAGATTGATTTTTTTTTCTTTCAGATGTTTTTTATCTCTTCGAGCCACTCATCCTGGCTGGAATCGAGACAGGAGCAGAAGACGTCAAAAAAGAACTGCTGATGCGAATTTTCGACTGCGACTTGCCGAGATACAGCGACTACAGTTCTTCGAAATTGCCTTCTTACGTGAAGGATAGTTGTGGGAGGAAGAACTTTTGCTTTGCTCATGGAACAAAGGAATTTTGCAAAGAGCCGTTTTGCCCAAACGATTTCACGAAGGAAAGGAAAATGTGCTCAAGGGGACCGTGCAAAGGTTTGTTTTTACTTTTTGAGAAAATTGTTATTTGCGGTTTTTTAGCGTTTTCTCGTGATGGAGATTTGATTCAAGAAGCGAATCGAATTTGCCACTCGAAACCGGTCAAAGCGATCAAGACCATCAGAATAACGACGATTTCGCCGTTTCTTGAGTTTTTCAACGAATTCGACTTTTCGCAAAATTTCAAGTTTGTTCTTCTCATCAGGGATCCAAGAGGAATGCTCAACAGTAGACTTAGAATTTCAAGAGTTCAAAAACACGAGAAAGACAAGGTAAGGACCGAAATAATTTTCTCCTCACCGAATTCTAGGGCGCCGAAATATCGAAAAAAGTGATAAAAATATGCAATCAAATTGTCGAAAATATCAAGACCATCACCTCCAGTCACTTTATGCACTCACGAACGATCATTTTACGATACGAAGACGTAGCTTTGGACCCCAAAAACTATGCAAAGAAAATTTACGAAAAGTTCAACCTTGATTTCACCAAGAATATCGATTCTTGGATCGACGAAAATACCCATCTGGATGGAAAAACGTCAAAGATGAATTTTTACGATACACATAGGTACGGCAGGAGTCAATAGGGGATCCTTACGTTATTTTAAGGGAATCTGCGAAAATAGCTTTTGACTGGCGAAACGCCCATTCAAACCGAAAAATGCCTTACGAGTTTCTTCAACCGCTTCAGACGGGATGTGCTGAAATGCTGAGCCTAACTGGCTACAACGTTTTTTCTTCAAAGGAAGAAATGTATAACGATACTCTTCAACCGCTGGTGCCAAATGAAAGCATTGACTTTTTACTTCATCTGTAAATTATATTATTCAATTAAATATTTAAACAAATATTCGAATGAAAGACTGCATCATTTTCCCTCTTCAAGTGTCGTTGACGTGCGTATTGTAACGGCATCTTCTAAGATTTGCTTTTTCCTTTTCTCGTGCGTATAAAATGACCCTGACGGAGTGAACAGCTAGAAGTCTGCATAAAATGATACACGGGCAGAACTGCGTTGCCTTAGATATTGAAGGGGTTCAGAAGACAAGCCAATACGTATTGGCATAGTTAATTGTAGGGGAAGAGTGATTCTCGACGAAGGTAAACATCATTATATTGACAGAGAATAAGGTGATCGATCAGAAAATGACGATGATGCTGTTTACTGCAATGTAATCTGACCAAGACTAGAAGCATTGGTTAAAGATGTCATCAAAGGTCGTTACGTGATCGGGCACAATATCAACTGTGATGAAAAATTTTTCGAGACGAAGAATTTCTTTTCGGGAAAGAAAATTGATACCGACAAGAACGGTTGGGCTCTAGGAGAAAGAAGACTGTCATCGAATAAATACGGTCATAATCCCGTCGAGGATGCACAACTTTAACTGAAACTGGCTGTAGGAGACTTACCTCTACCACTTTATAATTATACTTTTAAGATCGAACATGGTCTGATCATTCCTCCGAATCAAATGACTATATCAGCTGCCTTGGAAAAAATCGAAGAGAACAGAAGAGCCCATGAAAAAACTTATCGACTATAACTATCTACTGACAAAAATCAACATGATCATGATCCACAACTATTCAATTATTCTTCAGAGCGATTTCTCAAGTAACTGTATAAGTTTATTAGGACGTGTTTTTTTTTCATTATTGTAAGAATATTAAGGATTATTTTAAGAGTAAGGGTATAAAGATAGATAAATTAAAAGCAGGGCCTCTTCATGATATTTATACAATTTGCAGGGATTAAGTGCTTATACATAGGGATTTTGTTGTTTCGTTTATAGATTTTATTATTACTAGGAATAGGGACACAGTTTATTTAGAAGATAGAGAGCTTAATTTAGATATGGTTAGTAAAATAGATAAAATTTTAGCTACACTTAGGACTAGATTCTCTCAACACAAGGATTTTTTTTGTTGGGACGACGTTTTGCTTGACACAGATGTTTTTCTCGACAAAACGTCGAATTGCGTTGAGAGAATGAATGGCAGGATAAAGCAAGCATTGCAGGAATCAAGGAGGATCAGGGCAATCGACCGCATCAAGGTCATAATTAGTGAATTTTCATTAATTAATTTTGATTTTATGTGTAGTTTTAGGAATAAGAAGCGCCCCATTAGTGTTAGATCATTGAATCGTCATAAGCGATGTCTAAAGTTAATTCAATTATTTAGGTTTAGAGTAGGAAAGGATCCCAATTTTAGTAAAGTTGTAGATACTATCCTATATTCTAACAAGACGGAGTAGAGTTTACTAGGTAATCCACTCATTCATCCCATTTTTGACTTTTTTGGCTGTTTTTTGACTGTTTTGGCTGTTTTGACTGTTTCTGTTTTTATAAATTATTTTTCAAATAAATTTATTTATCAGAATATAATTAACAACTTACTCTTATAGGAGATGGTTGACTTCTTATTGTGACTTCAATTGTTGATGCGTTCCCTCCTCTAAGCTCAAGCAGCGTTTTCTTCACCTTGTTCGGAAAAAAGACGATTCCTTCGATCGTTTTCATCACTGTTCCGACACAGAGGCATTCCAAGCGTTTCACTTTTTCCAGGAGAAGAAGTTTTTAAAAATAAATTCTAGATACTCAAGTATTTTTTGTTGATTCTTGAGCAAAAAAAAATCCCACGAAAAGAATGGCCCGAAATGCGGTTTGGTGGGATTGAAAATCCCATGACAACCGAGGTGCCTGTCGTGGGATTTTGAAAAACCCACGACAGCATATTTCATTTCATGGGATTAAAAATCCCACGACAGACACTTCAGTGTTCGCAGGATTAAAATCCCACGAGACCGCATACCACCGATTTCTCGCTTGACTTGATTGTCTTATTTTATTGATTAAACAAGGTCCAAGAAAAAATGACATGTGTCGATTCAAATCTTAGCTTTAATATGCGCCTGGCGTTTGACAAATAATCAAAAAACGAGCATCTTTTAGAGACTTTTCAGCTCTTGAATATGTACGTTTTTGATCATGAACAGAACTTTGAAATGATTAGGTAAACTTGATGAAAAATGAGCTCTTTTTAGAGCTTATAAATCAGGGAGTATGGGTTAGGTGTCCGGTGGTTTTCTATACATATTCTGAACCGTCAGAGCCTCCTCTACAAGCTAATATAGTGGGCTTTCTCCAGAAGTGGGGAGAAGAAAAGTTACGACCCTCTAACCGAGATTGCCGAAATTTTGGGACTTTGGAAGGCCTAAAACCCCTCAGGGCATGAGCAAAACCCCCAAGTGTCAATAGTCAAAATGATCCCCAGCTTCTGAGGATTCTAAAGCTGTATTATACTCCCTGATTTATAAGCTCTAAAAAGAGCTCATTTTTCATCAAGTTTACCTAGAAATGATTCTTTCCGAATCTTTCATCAAACCAACTGTATTTCAGAGGATGACGGGTGCAAGCTTACGAATCTAGGGGGAGGAGTCGTCACAGAAGAGAAAGTCAAAAAAGGAACCAGGGAAATTCTGATTTCTTGCGAAAGCGGCAGTCCAAATATTTCAAAGCTCATCTGCAGAGATAATCAGTTGTTTTTGTCGAAAAAGGATAAGGAGCCAGTTTCGAGCGATATTGAAATCATATGCGGTAGGAATCACTTTTTCTTCAAAAATAATTTTCGTTTTAAAGGTTCTGGCTCGAGTAAAGCCTGTTCAACAATCAATGACTTTTCAAAGCTCTTCAAAAAAGTCCCCGAGGAAAATTTCCAAGTCCTCAATATCACTGAAACAGCAAGTGGATCAACTGCACAGCTAGAATGCAAACTAAGCGGATACAAGTACGAAGCCACCTGCCAACCATCGAAGAAAAAGCCAAAGGTCAAACTTGTCGGAAGCAAAGCTGAAAAGAAAAACTTCAATAATTGCAAATAAATGATCAATCTCAAAAATAAAGTCAAATATTGAAATGAGGCAAATAAGTCCAGTCTTTCCTTTCTTAATTTCCCTTCTAAAGAGCTGGGTCGTCAGACAAAGATACGCAAATCGAGCAAAGATGGATCGGTCGCAATCAGAGAGCCTCTTTACCGATTCTTCTGCGTCTTTTGAGGAGGTTCCAGTGCAACCAGAAGATGTTGAGGTACTCAAGAGGTAAAACAACGCCTTTGAAATCAAGGAAGAGACCACTGACCTTTCAGAAACCAACAGGAATCACGAGAGAAGATTAACTCAATCGAAGGTCTTCCCCATCATCTCCGAGATATTTTTCATACTGTTTCAAATCAGCATTTTGAAGCGAGAATCAATCAGTCGCAGCAAGCCGAGCGACTTTTGGTTCTAAATCGCCAAAATCAACAATTTTCGATCGAGAACCGAAAGTTGAAAACCGCTCTTGAGGAAACAAAGCAAAGCTTGGCGACAGCAACCGTCGATCGAGATCATTTTTCTCGACGAAAAGACGAGTACAAAGGTAACTTTCTCATGAGGCCCTTTTTTAAATTTTTCAAAGCGGAGCTGGCGAAGATGGAGAGAGAAGTTGATGAATACAAAGAAGAAGTCAACGCTACTTTCGAACAGCAAAACTTGAACCTTGAAGCCATGGAAGCCGACTTGATAAAATTCAAGGAGAAAGCCGAAAGACTGGAGCAAGAAAACAATAAACTCAATCGAAAAATCGCTCAATTCAATGCCCAAGTTGCTCAAATGCACAATCTGACCATTCAAGCAGACGATGATCTCTAATTCTGACTCCTGACCTTTCACAGTATTTACTTTTCCGCCCTTGTTAAGAAATCCTGGCTCTATTTCGCTGTAATAAAAAGAAATAAATTCAACATTGGATCGCGGTCTCGAGTTTATAAGATGTCATTCCTGATCTATAAAGAAACGGCTAAGCCCGCGAAAATTTGGAAAAAAAAAACAGTAAAATGGACCGATCAGAATCAGAGAGTTATTTGAGTGAGGCAGTTTTTGCTGGGGTTTCTACTGAGTCTGATGATATCGACCAGCTTGAGAGGTACCACATCAACTCGGTTGATGCATTTAAGGCCATTTAGCGATAAGAACCGGTCAAGAGAGCTGATTAATGCGATGGACAACACACCTTTTCGGAATATGTTTCAGATGCTTTCTGACTTTCAATTTCAATCAAGAATCGACATAGCAAAGCTATCCCAGGACAAAATCGTCTTATCCCAAAGAAATATTGAGCTAGAACGGCAGAACAGAAAGTTAAAAGAGCAACAACGAAATTCCGCTTCAAATCAGCAAATGGTCATTGAAAAACTAAAAAAAGACCTTGCTAGCCAGTCGGAAAAGGCAGAATACTTCAAGCATCAGACTGAATTGAAAAAAGAAGAAAACGCTCAGTTGAAGATCAAAGTCGCATCTGTTGAAGCAAATGCCAATCAAATGATCAATTACATTAATTCCATTCAAAAATCTAAAAAATAAATGACCAAACTATTTTGAAAAAGACATCATATGACCTCAAAATAAAAAAGAAAAGTGCCCACCCAAGCGACGCCAGAAAAATTGTCAGCCACATAATAATCGTAAATCATTAATCCTCATCAAAAAACACCTTTGGCCTCCTAGTAAAGCAGGTTCTGAGTTTTGCGTCAATAAGTAAATCACGGTTTGATTATTTATTTGTTTCGGGGAAGAATTTCAAACTCATGTCCGATTGATCGTCCATTTTCATCAGAGTATGTTTCGGAAGTGATCATTCGTACGATCGCTTTTTCTTTTGTGATTTTTACTGAGACGAAACCGCCATCTTCTTGCTTAGAGCTCTAGAAAGAAATGAGTTTTGTCGGTTTTGAGATTTTTACATTTTGATTCGCCCAATAATAGTAGCAGATAGCTTCTCCCATATCATTTCCTTGTTTCTCGAATTTTGGATGGCAGCCTGATCGAGTCGGAATATCCTGGCCCAAGTACTGCTCAAATAGCATTGTTTCTGTATCATAATGGGCTCCTGCTCCTGTGGTAATGTAATGCACAGACCCTGAAAACATAGAAGAGATTCTATAAGAGATCCTTCCCCTTACCTGGCAGCTCAAAGTCGAGACCTTCTGGTTGAATCTTTGGTGATCTCGTTGCATGTTCATGTGTATGCCGGTGCCCTTGAAAATACGCTTGAACTCCGTACTTCTCAAAAAGCGGGTCGAGATGACGGAAGAGCTGATAGTCCCAGATGCCACCAGTTTCGACAATTTGATAATGTCCCGCTGCGAACAGATAGTCAACATCGCCAGAACTCTCAAGCTCGTTTTCAACCCATTCCCAAGCCCATTCTACGAGCTCGGGAAAAAGTGGGTTCAGTCGTTTTAGCTCGCAGTCCAAGTTGTACGGGTTTTTGCAGTTTTGATCAGTCCGATCTGGGCCTGGTTTCTTGCTACTGTGAATGCCAGTAAGAGAAGTCGTCTCAATCATGATGATTTTGACCTTCGTATCATCGGACGTTGTGTATTCGATGGTGTAAAAGAGATCTGGAAAGGTCCATCTGCCAGAGCCATGAGCACTGTACTCAATCTGCGCCCATCCATTCCCTTTTCGATCCCCTTCAGTATCTGCCGGTAGCATCGCCCAATCATGATTTCCCAAAGTCGGGTACCAAGGAACCATCATTTCTTGCGAATCATAAACCAGCTCAAATGTCCGTTCCCATTGTCGATCCCGAATCGATTCGACCCCGTTGTGGTAGAAATTGTCTCCAAGAGGGATGATAAAAGATGGCTTACTGTAGAAAAACTCTAGAGGAAAGCACTTACAGGATTCTCAATTGCGTAGTCCATAAGAGCTCTAGCGCCATTTAGTTGAAGATTATTCGTGTAATAGGGCGCGGGAAGGCCTTTTTAAGGCTCTTTTTATGTTCTCATAAAACTTGGGAAGTGACTTTTTATCATAATTTCAAGAGCCCAAAACCTCCCCAGTCACCCATCACGACAAAATCCATTTCCTCCGTCGCAACATTTTTAACAATTCGAAAAGTCTCTCTTGTTAGTCCATCTGAGCTCGTGAAATTTCCAGAGGGCGGTATGACCTCTCCAAAGATCAAAGTGAGAAACGAAGTCTTCAGAATCATTTTCAACGACTAGACAACTGAGGAATTAAGATGGCAAGTTCAGAAAATAACATCTGATTCGGGTCTCATGATTTTCGCTGTTTTCTTCCTTGATTTCAAAGAGGACAGCTATTTTTAGAAGAAAAGGATTAATAATCAAAGAAATCAGCAGAGCATTTCGGCCATTAGTTGTCAAACATCAAGTCCAGCGCGTAAAAATGATTTACGCCGAAGAAGCTTGTCGTGTCATAAACCCGTGCTAAAAATAATTTAGCGCGATGCACATACATAGATCGTTTGTTTTAAACGATGCGCTTGATCCTTTTAGACCGTATAGTGGCAATAAGGACATGGATCGTGTTCTTTGTCGATAAAGATCGTACTCAAATGTGGTTTGATTTTTTTGTTTCTGGGGGAGAGACATTATCTTGTATCATGAAAAATTATTTTCATGAATGAAAATTTTTCGAATTTACTTTTGTAAAGAAGTCAAAATTCTTGCTTGTTTATTTTTCTTCTGAGTTTGTTGAACTTTCAGAATCCTGTTGTGGAATGTGGCAACAATAAGAAGGAAGCACCCTGTGTTTTTTCTAAGCTCAGCTGGCTTAGCGCTCGCTCCCATGGAATTTCTCGCTGTTACAAGTAAAGCGATACTGTCAATCGAACCTCGCACTCGGCTTTTCTTTTCAATCAGAATGCCTGACTGTCGGGGGAGTCTAGACAAAATGCAAAAAATGACCCAGTTTCGCAATTTTTTCTTCGATTTCTCCAAAAATGATCGTTTCCGGGGACCCAAATAACCCTCAAATAAACCGACCGGATCTATAATCAAAATATCATGAGCCTCTTAGGCGTCAAAGAAAAGGAAGAAACGACTTAGCTTGGTACTACGGCTGTCTACTTCCTCTGAGACCATCAATACTTCCGATAATACCTCCGTGGTTTCATCAGGTGCTGCAGCGAGTATATCTTGAAACAGAAACAGGTCTAGATGGTGATTTCCGACGAAGGATGTTTCTGACGCAAATAATATTTTGAACTTTGAAATTGAAAAATTCCAATTTTTCTTCAAGATTCACCCTGTCGACCTGGGGTAGACGAGATCAAGAGCTCGTTAGTGAAGGAGTTTTACTGTAGTCACTCGTGGATTATCGCGTCATCTGACGTTGTTGTGCGAATTCCACGTTTTCAGCCATGAGGGTTCAATACATATCAACCTTCATCACCTTTGTCGATCATCAATTTCCAAGCGTCAAAAATAAAGCACGAACCCACTGACAAAAATTATTTTTCAAAAAGTAGGGCCAAAAACTGGTAGCTTTTCTTTATATTTTTCTTTTCCATCGAACTTTATGGTCGATACTGAATTTGTAACGAATGTAACAAATGTAACGAATGTAACGAGTTTGCTGACAATGTAACGAAAACGGAGACATGTTGTTTTTTATTAGCTGATTCTAGAAACTTTTTCTAAAAAGCGATCTTGGGGAGTTTCACTTTCTACAATAATTTAACATATCCAAAAGAGCAAATACAATATTTTATTTCAAGAAAACAAAGAAATCAAATATTCAAAAATTGTATAAAATGACCAAATTTTGGTCAAAATTTTCGCATATTTTTGTTGATTCTAGTCGCCTCTTTCTTTATTTATATTTTTTTGATGCATTTTCTAGGAGATTCTTGATAGAAACGGCTAGAATAATTGAAAAACGAGACCTTTCATTCAAAAAATGAATCATACTTAACAAGTCCGAATAAAACTTCCATAAAGATTTGAATATAAAAAGGAGAACATACTCATAATTTGATGTCAGAATCGAACAACACTCAACAGAAAAGCCTGGCAAAGTCGCGAGGGCGCTCCAGAAGTACTTCCTGCGCGAGCGCTAATAGCTTCAATAATTACCCTCGCAGAAATTCCATTCTTGAGAAATAAATCAGAGCACGAAACATGAAAACTTTACTTTTTGCAATTTTACTTTTTGAGCAGATTTTGGCGGGCAGCGAAAAATGGAAGCGAGTTCCGAATACAGAAATTGAAGTCATGGATTTCGACGGTCTTTATGGAAAGAGAAAGGCCTGTGGAATTAATCCTGTAAAGAAAACCCCTCCCTGTAAGTCATTTTCTTCATTACAGCCAGTCGACTGTTTGTCAAACAAAGATGACTTTTGGGCTTGAAGGATTTTGAGCAGATTAAAAGCTAATCCGAGTCGTAACTTTGTGCTTTAGTATTTGCCGGTGAAATGCGCCAAGTTCATTGTCACATCTATTTCTGTCGCCAGTCGGATTTTGAAGATAAGCTGGAAAAATGGAAATGCACGAGTTGTGCGGAAAATACTCCTGAATGCAAGGTAAATAAAAGAAGGCTTTATGTTGTTTTTGGAAACCATAATTGTAGATTTGCCAAGATTAATATAAATTTTTAAAAATTCTACCTTCAGTGAATAACCAATCTCACGACCCTCATTTTTATAGCATCTGTTATCCATACCTCTCAGTATTTTTACCTAGGAGAATTTCATATTCTGAATATATATCAAAATCTTTTAGGACTATCAGCTCCGGCGTCAGCGCCGAAATCTTTCCAACTCATCCCAAGCCGATGATCCACGAGACCGCCGTCACATCGCCCGTCGTTCGCGAAAACTAGAATACCGTCGGATGAAGCGTCTGGCGCTGAAAAAGAAACGCACTGAAGAGCGCGATGCGATAAAGCGAAAACGTGCCGAAGAACGGGCTGCGCGACGACGTCAGAAGAAAATCCTACGGTCTGGCAAGAAAAAATCAGCCACACAAGAAGCTTGAAGATTGATGAGAATTCATTTGCTCGTGAGATTATACTTACATGTGAAATACTTGGCTAATGTATAAATTTAACTGAAGGATAAATTAAATTTTTATGAAAATGCTCTCATTTGCAGAATTTTACAGAGTGATACCTTTAATACTAAAATCGGATTTGTCGCTATACCTTGATAAGTAAGTCCTCTTTAAAAGAGCCCTCTTTTGTAATTTCGGAAGAAAGTAAAAAACGCGTTCAACCTTCCAAAAACACGCCACGGTTGATTTTTAAAGAGCTGGAATTAATTGTTTATGTCATGCTGACTTGACCGTTTTATTTTGATTTATGTTGGAGATCATCTGCGATGAAAGCTGAAAATGCTCAGGCAGAAATCAAAAAAATAATAACCGACCCAATCTGCGCAAATCCAGCTCATCCACTTGAACAACTGGCGGTCTAGTTTCGCGCTCCCAGGAACATAATTACCGGACACGCTCTCCGGCGCCCCCTGAGCTTTTCGTGATACAAATTAACGGTCCCGCCGAGATTAATTTATTCTGTTACTCTCGATTAGAGAAAAGATGATGGTCTCTGTTTTTGCAATTTTTGGACTCACAGCCGCTTTTCCAAAGAAATTAAGTAAGCTTCAGCAAATTTTTACTATAACTGACGGACTTTTTTAGGGTTCGAAGAGAACCAGCAGAAACTTAGCCCAGCTGACGATTGTGGTCACGTGGTCCTTAGAGAAAACAGCTCTTCTGGATTCATCGAGACCTCACACTATTTCATTCGAGAGGGGGAAGATAGATTGAAGTGCAAATGGGATGTAAAAACAAATTGCCACGGAGGACTTTTTAAATGGCGATTTGATCAGTTTGATACCAAAGGACGGGACAACGATAGTTTTGTACATGATCGAGAAACATTTTTTAATTTATCAGTATTTTCGGCTTCAAAAAAAATCATAAACAGATAAAAAAAATGGGTGTAGGGCGGCTTCGTTCGCAATTTGCGAACGCCGTTCGTAATCTTGCGAACGCCGTTCGCAACGAAAAAAAATCTTGTTGTGAGTGTGCGCTTTGCGCCTTTTCTGGTAGAGAACTCATTGGCTTGGCAGGATCAGTCTTTTTCTACCGCTGGGACACATTTTGAAAAAAGTTGTGAACGATTTTCGGCCAAAAATTTTTCGATTTTGCGAACGCCGTTCGTAATTTGCGAACGCCGTTCGCAAAATGGCCCTTGCGAACGAAGCCGCCCGCCACCCAAAAATCAGACTTATGGGAAGGGCTCTGGTTTTTTTTCTCGAGAATAACACAATTTTGACCTTAAAAAAGACCGATCAAACGAAGTCCTGTACGATTCTATCTTCGAGACTCAAAACTCGAAATCCCCAGCGACCTCAGAATCAGAATCATTTTGCGAATCTGATTTTGTCAACCTGCATTTCATCGAAAACAAAATTTACAACTTATGCTCTCAAAATGAAATCAAGGAAGAAAACACAACCGACCCGAGAGATTTTTCTAAATGGAAAGTCGCGTTTGGAAAGAGCTTCAAAATCGACTTTCAGACGAGCCATTTAGTCTATGGATTCAAGCTCTCGTGGGAATGTGTTTAATCCGCTCTCTTTTATAAAAAAAACTGTACAGATTCTTTTAATAAACTTAATTTATAAAGGTTTATTGATCGAGGTACCAGGCAATTCGATTTTTACGCATTTGGGTTTGATCTAGTTCCGTTTCCAGGCGATTCAGGGCGCGAGAATAGATTCCCGATTTGTCCGCTACTTCGTTATTGCTGTTGTTCATGTCTTAACAACAGTCAGATGCATGTTTCTGATTGAAATAAACCTGGCGATTGAAAAATAAACCGACTTCTTGATCTTCCTCTGTTCATTTCTGAGTTATCCGGCGGGACATCTTGCCTCGAGCGAATTTTTCCTGCGATCTTCGCCATTTCTTTCTGCGTATTTGGGCTTGAAATTGCTTCTTGCGTCGCGGTTTGAATCAAGGATCGCATCATCTTCGGACTGTTGGCGATCGTTCGTTGGATACTGGAAGCGACGGATGATGGAATTTTGCTTTGGCCGCTTTGTTTGTGCTTTCTTGTCGGTTTCTATGTGAAAGGCAATTGAAATCAACGAGAAAAAAGAGAAAAAACCTGAGGGCTAAGGCTTCCAACAGAGTTGATAAGGGTCGGTAAGCTGATTTTCCTCTCCGGAGTCGGCGTCGTTATAGGCGTAACAGATGGTGTTGAATTCTGAGAACCAAGACTTGCTCCACTAGAACCGACTGGAGGAACAGGCGACTTTTTCACCAGCATCGATCCGGTTCTAGAACTATATTTCAACTTGAAAGAAAAAGGAACTAACCGGAGAACAGGCTGTTTTCTCTTCGGATATTCTGGCAAGCTCATTTGACGAACAAAGGTCGGTGGGTGGCTTGAATTTTGAGGAAAGACCTTTGCAACGGGCTTCGGTTTCACCTAATTTGATGATGAAAAAATAGAATGGATTTGAATTGTTAGTTTCATGCAAAAAATTTAAGCGAAGCGAGCTATTTTAGACGTGGCTTTTAGCAAAATCTCGAGCGGAAATCGCATTTTACCATGGGCCGCTTAAATGATGGAACAAGAGCAGTTAGATTTTTGAAGCTCACTGGAGGAACTGTGCTCTTCAGGAAGATGGGGATTAAAAATGATGAAAGAATGGGGCGTACCTTTTCTTTTAGCTGACGATAAATTTCTGTCGACCCCCGTTTTTGTTTGTTTTCAACGGAAAGGCTCAAGTCATTAATGGAATTGCCGAGGGACGAAATTGAGTACGACGCTTGTTTTTGCGTCAAAATGCTTATAAATGGATTTATGTTTAGCGTTGCCAAAGGTTGAACCTGGTTTCAGGTGCTGTTGGTGATCGCTGAGGACCTCGTTTCAGCGGTGCTGGTTGAGAATGATGTCTGACCATTTTTCTCGGGTTGAAGGTCACGTGTCCGAGGGATTGAGTCGCAGTAAATCGACAATCCGGGTCCATTTTCAACATGCCCTCCATCAGCGCGAGCATGTTGTCTGCGATTACTCTTTGGTAGCGCTCTTTCAGACGACTTTGGGCGGGGAAGCGGATTTCGCGAAGATTGGCGCCGCGGAAAACGGGATTTTGTCTGAACTTGGCCATTTGATCTGGAGGGAGGGTGCCGAGGATTTTTTGGACGCAGACTAGTTGGTGGATCTCGTTGTCGCCGGGAAATAAGGGTTCGCCGTCGGAAAGCTCGCCAATGATACAACCAATCGACCAGACATCAACAGCTCGGCCGTACTTTGAACCAAGAAGAAGTTCTGGTGCACGGTACCATCTTGTGGCGACGTAATCTGTGTACCTACGGATAAACGAGAAAAAGAAAGAGAGAGAGACCAAAATACCTGGAGCTTTCACTACGAGCAGAAACAGGGCGAGCAAAACCAAAGTCACAAAGTTTTAGCTTTCCAGTAGTGGAGATTAGGAGATTTTCAGGCTTTATATCGCGATGGATGATGTCTCGAGCATGGCACTTTTTCAAGGTCACAAAAATACTTTCTTAGGAAAGCTAAGAAGATGCAATTCAGAATAGCCTATTCTGTAATCAATCCGGCCAAAACCGACCTCTTTTGATGATTCGAACGGAAAATTTTTCAATTTCCTATCTAGTGAATTTAAAATTTCAGGACCCTTCCCATGCAACAGCTTTAATCAATTGATGCGCGTAAGATTTCACTGTAGATTGGCTCATTCCTCTCGGATTTTCATTCAGAACTTCAAGCATATTTTTCTCCACGAATTCGAAGACAAGGAAGAGTTTTCTTTTCCTCTTGAAAAACTCCAACAACTAAAACCTTTCAGAACTAATCAAACAATCATCTCAGACCTGGACAATATTTTCTTGCCGTAAACTTCTCAAAACCCTCAGTTCTCGCATCGTCGTTCTTTTGACTTCTTCATTTTCTTCCGAATCCTTGAACTGCTTGATCGCAACGACTTCATTTGTCTCGCGGTTTCTCGCTTTCCAGACGATGCCATATGCACCTTCGCCTACTGTCTCCAGCATTTCGTATTTGTCTAGGCGGGTGCTCCGGCACTATGAGATTTAGTAGTCTCAATAGCCTATTTTGAATAAAGTACCGTCGGAGTGGGCACCATGTTTCACTCCAGCTTCTGTTTTCCTGGAAATTCTAGGAGGTTCTCAACTGAACTTTTGTTTCTTTTAAATCGTCAACAATCTTCGAATTTATCTCTATTCTCGAAAAATGAGGTCGTTCTTTTTTGTTTCTCTTCGAAAAAAATGCACAAGGGGTTTTCGCCTAAATCGTAAAGTACTGCGGCGCTAAGCCAAGTTGCTAATCGAGAGAGGGGAAAAATTGCGTGCCCAGCGGACGAGTCACTTGTCCCCTCGGGCGAGAGGTCGTCAGTCCTCGCAATTTTCGCGCTTCTTCGGTTCCGGTCGGTTCAAAATGGGCTAGGGTTAGGGTTAGAGTTAGGGGCAGCTCAAAAGAGCATTGGATTCATTGGTGAAAGGCCCAATCCTTCTGATTATTTATCATCGTCGATGAAAGAATTCAATGTCATTTATTTGTTCAAATTCGTAAGCTTTCCATCAAATCGCGCTAATCTTCCAGCGAGATCTTCCTCCGCGGCGGGAGAGTCCTCCGCGCTCGACTCCATGGGATCAGCCATAAAATGCCATTTTCCCCAAGATTTGAAACTTCTGAATTTTCTATTTTGCATAAACAAGCTTGAAGAGAAATAAAGAATAATTTTTAGAAAGTAAATGGCATGAGAAAATCAAGAACGAATGGGAACGAGTTTGCGAGGAAATGCTTTTGAGAAATCGTTCAAGGATGCCTTCAGGTATGATTATTACCGTATAAGAAAATTTCCTTTTCGTTGACTGGGTATGACGCTGGAATAAATTCAGAGGAAATTATATTACCGTCGGTTTCGTAAGGGTCGGTAGCTTTTATTTGCGAAAATTTATTGTAATTTATTTCAAATTTATTGTTCCGGTTCAAAAACCAATATGTGTGATGACGATTTTAATAAATTTCCTGTAAAATTTATTTAAAAAATAAATCTTCACGGTACTCGCGCCGCATATAAACGTTCAGTGGCTCACTTTGGGATCCGGCGTAGAGGACTGATTTTGGCACCATCCACTGTAAATTAACATGAGTTTAAAGGAGAATCTTTTTGTTTTGACCTTTTTATGCTAATATTTTTATTAATATATTCAATTTGAAATCGTCCGTCAAATTGTTTCGACTCATCGTTTTGAAATCGTAAATACCGCGGATTATATTGAAATTTTAAATTGAAAATTGCAAATTATCGCGAATTTCCGAAAATTTGAATTTGAATTATCAATTTTATGAAAATATCTCTTTCAGCGGCCCTGTTTAATTTATTCAATTTTGAAATTGGTTTATTTTTTCTGAAAAATTTATTCAGAAACGAGTTCGGAGATGAGCCAATTTTCAATTCCCGTTCGATGGTCAAAGTCACCTTTAAATTCGCCGAACTGATCAGAAAAGGTGAAAACTGCCGCGTAAACCCGCGTTTTTTACGTTTTTCTTTAGCCGCGATTCGCGATGAATTCGCAACTTTCGACGCCAACGACATTATTTCGGTCCTGGACGCGCATTCTAGCGTCATTCGCTACGTTTCTGTAATTATGCCGCGCCAGGATCGGACTTGCTTCAACACAGTAGATTTCAATTACCGCTGCGATTCGCTGCTTGCTGAGCTGTATCAGAATGAGATTTTTTATCCAGAAAAGATTCAAATGAAATGGAGAATGATTGTTAGAAACTTTGTCGAAATTAATGGAATTCAGGTAAAAGCTTGTTAAAGCTCGAAAGATAGTGCTTCCTGGCTGAAAATAAGGGCGCAGAAAAAGATAATTTTAAAAACGAAAATTATTCAGTTCTCGATTATTTACGATAGAAGATGGCTTTTCGCGATTTCTTTAATGAATTCGCTTTATAATTCTTCAAAAAGCGGAAACTGCGATTATTAGATCGCTTATAATCAAAATTCAAAATTTGACTTTCAAATTGAGTGGCTCTCAAACGGCCAAATGATGTGTTCGCTAGATCCGTCTGAAATAAAGAATTCCCGAATAATTAAAACGGTCGAAATCCGGGTCAGATAGCGGAATTATCCGATTCGAGAGCAATTCATGATGCCGAGGAGTCCAATTTTGAGTGGAATCGGCCAGATTTCAATTGCAATCGTCCATGAGCTGAATAATTTTCGAATAGACACTGCGTTGACAATCTGTTTTAGTACATTCGAAACGATCTGAATCAAAATGAGCAGCCGAAGCACACGATCGTAACGATCGACGAAATTCTCTGCGCACCATGCTTGAAAACGACCCAAAAGACATTCGACCATTTACCCGCTTTAATTGTGATCCTCTTCATGTGCCTTTTTATTTATACTGGACGGGCGCTTCTTCGTACTACAGAAGGTTGAACAAACTACAAAATAATTCTCTTGCTTCCAATTTCTCATTTATCACTTCATGAACTATCTTTACATCTGTAGCTTCTGAGATTCGACTGTACATACTTACATGCTATCATCATCGAGATTTTTACCATTCAGAAACTTCTTCTTTTGAAAATACATCCATTCTTTGCCAAATTAAGAGCCTCCCGAACAGAAAATCTCAAGAAAAATGGGCTAGGAAGCACCCTAAAATACTCCGAAAACAACTCTTTTTAGAGAAATCTCTGGACAATGGTCTTCGGAGTTTTAAATTCAGGAGAACCTCCGCCTCAAATTCCTCCGAAATTCTATGCAGGCGACCAGTTTCCATTTACAGAACTCTATGGCTTTGGCGCGACGAATCCGAGCAAATCTACTCATCTTGTCCTAAAAGAGTAAGTCTGTCTGGAGATATCTAGGGCTATTTTGATATCTAGAAGCTAGAAATTACCATTTCTCTCCGGCTTGTTATGGAATCATTGAATAAATTTGATGATGAAACCGGTGATAATTCCAGATTCCAAAATGCTCAAATAAAGGAATAAACTCGAATCCCATTTTCAGAATTCTCCAGGCGAAGGAACACCTTCCCCTAAATTGGTTCTCCGACATCTGGAGTTGTATCGCTTCGGATCGTTCTCTGTTGATTCTTCGTTTCCCGTCGCCAAGGAATTTCATCCTTGGGTTCACGTATGCAACGCTGGACTGGATCGTCGACAGACAATCATCGTTCGGAGAATATGGACATCTCTCGCCAATGCGACCCGTGGCGATTGTCGTTGTTGCGAGTTTGACGCACAAGCGCGATATAGGTAATACAACTAATCAACATATCACACGGAATGTAGACATAAACCGTTAATGATATACGTCAACAATTTTGAAATTTAGCGACTCTCATTAAAAAACGCCTCGAATACCTACCAATTTTCATCACCACCGCGGAAGATTTTCTTCACAAGACCGCTTCGAAATCTCTGCTTCTCGATTCCGTCGAGAAAATCATCATTCAAGACCCTGCCGAATTTCTTCATCTTGCACCGATTCATCAAGTTATCAAACAAGTTCAAAGCGCAGTCCAAACAACTGATGGAATTGGAATTGAAAGCCTCAATCTTTACCTCGACTCCACGCGCGCTTTTCCTGAGTTTTTACAGTACTTTAATGCGGACGACTCTCTGTACATAACCGACAATCTCGTGGAGTCCCACGCTCTTCAAGGGACGAAAATGGTCGTTTCCAATCATCCAGTCATTCCAAAAGTCGCGAAAGATGCGTTTTTCGGGAAAACTTTCCCGGTTGAAATGTCCGATTTTTCAAAATTCATCGCTGCGCCGAAGCTTTCTTCAATTTCCGTTACACAAATTCCTCCAAACAGCCTGTCCTTCTCTTCCATTCTTTCATCGTCCCTTTCCTGTCCATTCAATCATCGTGACAAAGTGACAATCGCCGTAACAATTCCTCCATTCCTCGAAGAAGGAAAGTCGATTGTTGGTTGGCAGAAGGTTCACGATCTATACCTTCAAATTATGCGCGAGTTTCCGGATCAAAAGCTCTTTCCTTCTGATGTGCTTGAAAAGTTCAGCAAGGTCAATCACTGCCCAATGATGATAAAAAGAGGTTTTTGTGATGCTCCTTTTTTCTGCAGGAGAAAAGCAGGAGGGAAGGGCCCCACTTATCACAATCATTTCCAACCTTCAGTCGACCAAACAGAAAAAGACGAAACTTACATCGTCACAAAAATCAACGATCTGAACGAAATCACTGCCATTGCCAGCTCAAGCGACCTGCCAAAACTTCTCAATCTCTCCCAGAAACTCAAAAGCATCATGCCAACCGACCAGAACGCGAAAAAATTCAACGTCGGAAAAGACTTCGGCATCGGGACGCTCGTTTCAGTAAGCCACATCTTCAACGGGCAAAAAATTAACGCAAGAGGAAGAGTTGAACAAGTGGACATCAAGAGGGATAGATTTCATAATCGCATTTGCGCGTTGCTTCTGCTTGATACTGAGGAGATTCTTGAAGTGAAAGATGATGATGTCGAAATTGCAGATGAAGAAGTTTTTGGACTGAAAGCTTTTCCGTTGATTTCCACGAAAATTATCATCCCAGGTTAGTGTTTGGCACAAAAACCCGTAAAAAAGCCACAGTCATGGTTCTGTTTACACCTAAAACTGGTTTTTAGGCATGAAAAAGGTCTCATTTGAGAAATCAAAGGAAGCATGTCTTTTCATGATGAAACTACTCGAGTACAAAAACGAAAAAGTAAAGCTCAAGAAAATCGGATCAATCGATAACGGCCGAGTGGTTTACGCAGAGGATGTGCTCTTCCGCAGTGGAATTTCACTTGTACTTCAACTTGTGGAAGAAGGATATGGAATGATCGATGAAAGGGACAAGAATCAAATTCTGCAGATGCTTCGGGTGAGCCTTGGCAAAGCATCTGTTGGAAAAATAGAGACGGGAACTGCCGAACAAATTCCTTTTTCGGAAATCAAGAAAGAAGTCTCCCCGCCAAATGAAGAGAAGACTGGCTTCTTTGATTTTCTAAATGATGATGGAAAAATGACACCAGAAGAACAAATGAACGAACTTCTTAGGACCTTACGTGAGAGAAGCAAAACGACTGAAGAGAAGACATCATTTGATGGAATGCTCGAAAAAGAGCTGCTGAGAGTCGACCAAAATGAGAGCAAAGATGAAGAAGAAAAAACTAACGAGGAGGAATCAGAGGAAATGTCCACTGAGACAAGAATGCTCTCGGAAGTAGTAGTCGAAGTGGAGACATTAAATTTAGAGGAAGAGGGACAAGAAGTCAGGGATTTTTTCGGTGCAAGTCCATCGAAAAATGATGAGCAACAAAGTAAAAAAGCGAATTCACAAGGAGAAATGTCCAATGAAGCACTGAATCAACCTGAAGAATCAAAAGAAATTATGCCAGTAGAGGAAGAAGGTCTTGAGAAATCATCATCATTCGAAGAGATCGAAGCGCCCCAGGATTCGCGCGATACGGCTCAATCTTCAGAGGAGGAAACAATCGAGCTGATTTCTTTGGAGCCTCGAGATCTACCCGTTGATATTGAAGATCTTATTCCGTTCTCGATATGTAAATTGAATTTTGCCAGTGTCACAATGGAAGGAGCTTTTTCCGCGGCTCTTTGCGACTTGTCAGACGCCGAAAAAAGTGTGATAAAAAGATTTGAAGAAATGGCGAAGCTCGGCGAGTTCTCCTCGATACTGGACATAGCGGTCGATCTTCAGACGATTCTTGAGGATGATGAAGAATACGAAAATCCTATAGTGAAGCACCTTTTTGTCCTTCTTAGCATCAGTTTGCCGAAATGGAAAATAAAGGATGAAGTGGTCTCTGGCTTTTATACTTACATGCTCTCGAGAACGAAAAGGTTGGACGCTCCGTTGCGGAAGAAAATACTCTTTGATCTTCGAGAAATCTATCGGGAAAAGCCGAATTCAATGCAGAAAAGATTCATTTGTGAAATTTTGAAAGGATTCGAAGTCTACGATTTCGTCAATCATGAAAACGAGCATTGGCAGCTTTTGCAGTCGTATCTTTGTGAAGAGCAATTTCCTGACTTTGAGTGTTTCTTCGAGCTCTGGAAAGTAGCCAGTGGCAGAAAGGATACGATAATTACGGCGGAGATTATAAGCTGTGTGAATAAAGTTTGTCTGCTTTTTGCGAACTTTGGTCGAGACTTCAGCGATGAGCAGAGAACCGGATTCGGAAAAGGTACATTTTTATCGAAAAAGAAACCCCTTCATAAATGATTTCAGGCTTTATCGAAGACTGGGTGCTTCCCGTCATCACTCAACTCCTCTCCCGACCTTCTCTCCCCGAAAGCATCACTCCGATCTACAAACACGTAATAATAGTAATGAAGGAAACTTTGAAACGCTGCTGCTTTGAGCCAGTCGTCGAATTACTTGTTCCAAAAATCGAGAAATTGAAAGAACTCAATCGTCAATTCTCCAATGCAGAAAGAAACAACGATTTTGCTTTGAAAAGTGAACAAGGACTCGGACTCAATGGGATCTTCGGCGCTGTGATAAAAAGTGCAGTTCAGGCGAAGAAGATGATCGGTTTTAGAAACATGTCTGGCGCGAGTCCGGATCCAAACTTGAGAGAAAGAGATGGAGGGAGAGCTCTGTCTCTCAAGTGGTTGGAGCATCGAGGCTGGATTCAGCTGAAAACAGATCTGCCAAGGGAAGTGGTGCAAATTGAGTCGTACGATTTCCAGCTGATAGATGCGAAGATCCTCAGAGTTTTTATCAGGGATTCGAAGGGTCAAAATTTTAGGAAGGTGTTGAAAATTTACGCTAAAAGACTTTATATGACTCTTGAATCAAACTTTTCACACCAGAAAGTCAAACGATCGAATTGCTAGAAGTAGTCAAGAATGTGCGAGTTGCACCAGTAAGTGCTCGAGTGCTCAAGTTCCGAATCAACAAGTTCAATCGAGATAAATGGGGAAAAGTGAGCTGGCTGAAGGGATCGTTCTTGAGCAGAGATATTGAAGGAGCTTGGTCAGGTAAAACAGCAGCTCTCCATTAGTGAATACATCTTTTTCAAAGATTTCGAGAATACTGATGACGAAGAAGAAGATCTCAATGATCAAGTCCCTCCAGACGACGAGGATGAATTTGATGAAATCGATGGAGATGTCTCCGAGTTGGACATAGTTGACTGATGTTCTATCGCTTTCAGGGACCTGTTTCATAACTGCCATTTTTGTTTCCAAATCACAGAAATAAAAGCATTCACGAAACAAAAAATGAAAATATGGCGAGTTTAAACCATCATATTTCTGAAAGCTTTACTGAAAGGGAATGATGTAACAGTGTTTGATCAGTATTTGCCCTAGAAACTGGTATATTCAAGATCGTAGTCGATCAACGATCGATTATTCCATAAATTATTTTTTTTACCTTTCAAGACAATTGTATAATAATTGTATTGATTCAAGCGCCTGAAGGAAGCCCTTCTCTCCAAAAAAATCTCAGCTGCTCTCTTACGCCTTCCGGATGTGACCTGTATAAAAATCGGAATCTTTAAGTGTCTTCATCATACCTAAACAATCGGCAAAAAAACGATGAAAATCTTCCTCCTTCTCATTCTTTTCTCCTCGACCGACGCTCGAAGGTCCCTTCTTCATTACAAAATCATGCGTCTGAGACGAAACCTTGCTCAATTTCATACAGACCCAGCTATACTCCGAACCAGACAGAATCAAATAGAAACTGTTGATTCTCCTCCATCGTTGGCGCAAATGTGGTTTTAAATATGTTTGACTTTTGCCTGTTTCATAAGAATATTAAAAACAGCTTCACACGTAAATGATCGTATTGAATGTTCTTTTCAAAACTAATAGCAGCGGGAAAAACCTGCCAAAGCATAAAAATCACCGACTGCACTTCACCTCTTCTGCAGCTCTCTCGCGCCTTCTGGGATCATATTTATAAATCGGGGTAATCAAGGCTGTCCTTCATAATCTAACAAAAACAAAAATGATGAAAAAATTTTTCTTGTTCTTTCTTTTCTTTTATTCCATCGATGCTCGACGACCTCGTCTTCATTACAAAATCATTCGGCTCCGACAAAACCTTGCTCAATTCCATGCAGACGAAAATTTGCTCGACCGAAAATATCAAGAAGAAAGTGTTGATTCCCCTCCGTCTTTCTCGCAAATGTGGTTTTAAACCTGTCTGTTTGATTAATAAAAAAGATAACTTTTCAAATAAACCATCGTGTCCAAATTTTCTTGGGAAAACTCGCAGTTGAGAGAAAGAACGAAAGAATGAAAATTGCCGCGTTTTTTGCCTCGTTTGTCTTTTCCGATAATTGCGGAGATTTCTGCGAAGTCGAGCATAATTCATGCGTTTCCAATGCTTTTTGCGATAATCTTGACTGCAATTCTCAGGTGCTCCGTCTTTTTCGATAAAAATGGCGAGTTTTAAGTGTTATCGCCAATTCGCAAATTGCTTGGACGAGTGTACAAACGACAAAACAATTTTGATTCTGAAAACTCACTCGGACCCAGTTTGGAATCATTCATTCAACTGGGGTGGACAAGCTACTGAAGTGGATTTCACGTTTGGCAGCGGATCCCAAGTTACGTATTCATGCTCACTGACTTTCAAAGACGAGTTTTTTGTATTCGGCGGGTTGAACAATTACCATCAGATCTCGAGGGTCGATGGATGCTCCCTCGGTTAGCATCTGTATTTTTTCGCTTAAAAAAGGCCTTTTCAGAGCAGACTGAAGATTTGCTTCCTTTCAGATTTGACAATGGAATTTGCACAGCTGATTTTTCACAAGTTTATTTATGCTTTGACTATGACGCAAAGTTTACCTGTCGAACATGGAGTGGTCAAGAGAAGGGTTCACATTTTTTCTTGTTTTTGATGACTGAATAACTAGTGATGAACTAAGAAGCAGAATGAATTTTGAACTCTTCTTAAAAGCAACGAATTCGGCCAACTCTCCGACTCTCAAGATGATCACTACATCGGAGGAGTCGACATTGTCGGAGGAGAGCTCGTCAGTTTTGGTGGAAAAGGAGTCGCAAGCACTGAAATCTACGACCGCGACTCTCGATCTTGGAGCTTCCTTGACAACATCGACGATGAAATTTCATATCTTTTCTACACCAGCTCCGTGGTCATCGACGGAGGAGCAGAAATGATCGTTTTTGGAGGCTACACGAATGAAGGCTTTACCTATCCGAAGAGTACAGATCTGACTTGGAGACTAAGAGTCGACTCATCCGGGCAATACATCTGGAGGCGAGGAGAGAGACTTCTTCAGCCCAGAGATTCTCATACAGCAATCAGGAACCAGGCGATGATCATTCTTTGAGGCGCTTCAATGCCGCCGCGGTCAAATGGGAATTTGCATGATTACATACACCGTAGATGTTAATGTAAGAATCTGATTCCTATCAAATGATTGGCATTAGTAAAAAGGTTATATAAATTTATATAATCAATTTGACGAGCTCAAATTGGAATTAACATGATTTCATACCCCGTTCCAAGATGTCTGTAAGAATCTTAGTCTTATACAATCATTTGAATTATTTATAAATTCATATAAATTGATGTAACGAAAAAAAATTTATGAAATCATATTGTATGAATTCGATTTCAAAAGTCATAGTCTTTTGAAAGGTCTGGCAATGACATCTTCTTGATTGGAGGAATGAATGATAAGGTCATCTCAAGAGAATACCATCTGTAAGTTCTATGTAAAGAATAACGTAAAAATATTTTTAAGGCCCTTTGAACGAATTTCCTTCGAGAAAATCGAAAATGAGTGGCAGACCGTGCAAAATCTAACCGAAGAAACGTACGGAACAATGGTCTGGTATCCTGCGTTGTTTTCTGTCGAACAAGATTTCTGTCAATATTGAAATAAAAATGAGTTTTGTCTTGCTTATTTGCGTTTCTTATCCGAACAGAAAATATTTGTCCAGCTTTAAGTTCTGAAAATATTGAATCTTAGATGCCTGTTTTAAATTCATAGATGCTGCTTTTATATCTTTTTCATTTTTCTAGCGGTGGTTCATTTAGTGAAGAGTACAATAGCTTCCCAGAGAGATTTTACAGAGACCCTTGCCCGGATTCGCGGCCGACTGATCTCTGCAATGCGCTTGATGAGTATGTTTGGCGAAAAGACGATGCTTGGGATTGGCACTTTGTCGAGACGACCAACCAATTCGAAGGTGTTACTGGTTATACCTACAAGATGTTCTCGCTAAAATGGCTTGATAATTCTTGGTGGGAGCACTATGCTGATGGTTCGCAAGTTTGGCGTCATCTTGTGACCATTTGGGTGCCCAAAGATCTTGATAGGAGTCAGAACCAAGCAATGTTAGCGATCGGGGGAGGAAATGACAGAAGTAGACCTGACTACAATGCAGTAGAGCAGCAAATGTCTCGATCTCTTGCAAGAAAAGGGCACTAGAATCGACTGTTACTGTCTTTGAATAAAAATATTTGAGCTCTTTCATAAAATGACAAAATCGATCGGAGTCTATATCAATGCCGTTCCTAACGGACCGATGAAATTCTACTAGTAAGAGTGATTTTTCGAAGAAAAAACCAAACTTTTTTAAGTGATTGGGTTGAAAAAAGAAATGCTGACAATATGGTCTCGTGGTCTTGGAGAATGTACATGGAGAACACTCATATTCCAGAGCTTCTTTGTTGGCTTCCGGTAAGAAGCGATTGTACGTATAAATGCATCGAAATTTGTAGATGACAAAGGCGGCTCTCCGGGCAATGGATATGGCCGAAATCATTGCAAAAGAAGAGTTTGAATACACCATCGAAAAATGGGCTGTTTCAGGCGGCTCAAAACGTGGCTGGACAACCTGGCTCGTCGGCTCTGTCGACCCAGAGCGCGTCAATTTGATCGTACCCGTCGTAGCGACTGTAGTTGACTACGGGAAAGTGATCCACGCCTGGCTTCGAAATCTTGGCGGCACAGCCCTTGCTCAACTTGAGTATTACCTCGACCAAGTTATTGAAAACATTGATCATCCAAATTTTGCGGATTTCGGCGACCCTATCATTTACAAAGAAAGATTGACGATGCCGAAGCTGGTCATTCCTGCGACGGCAGACTATTTCTTTCACATCGCAGATACCTGGGCATTTTTCGATCGACTTCCGGGAGAGACTTATTTGAGACTGTTGCCAAATGCTGAGCATTCGACTGCGATATCTGGGCTTTCTACTCAGCACTGGCTTCTGACACGGCTCATAAAGCTCTTCTTCATTTCACATCGAAAAACGGTTTTAGAGCCTCGAACAGACCTTTCGAAATCTAATGCTTGCACAAATGAAAAACTACTCGAAAACTCCAAAAATGAGCTGGACCCGATCTTCTGATCCCGAAAGAAAAACTGGAAAGATTGTCGTTACCGTTAGTTTTAAATGAGTAAAGATATGTTTTTACGACCATTTCAGACATCAGAAATGCCTGTGGAAATATTCGCCTGGGTGGGTGATACAAGGGCAAAGACGCGGAAGGATTGGCGAATTTTCGGAGTCCGGAATAACGAGAAGTTCACGAGCTCGGATGAAAATCTTCACATACCTTACCCAGAGGTTTGGGCTAAAGTTGCCATAGCTTGCCCTTTAATTGGTGCTATTTAGTACTCAAACTCAACATCGCGAAAGAACTATCCAGAGCTAGAAAAGCTCCTCGAAAATATCCCCTCATATTCTTCATTTCCAAACATCTCCATCCCCAACCCTTCAGTTGACCCGTTCGTAGATCCAGAAGACATCATCGTCGTGAAAAACGCTCAACTTCAAGGGAACTTCTGGCATAAACACGCTGTCATTCCTCTTGGAAACAACCAGTTTGAAATCGAGCTTCAAGAAGCGCCCGATGCAAATCGAGCGTTTTTCGTCGAGGTCCGATTTCCCGGTGTTGATGGAGTTGGGCATATTGAGCTCACGACGGAAGTTCAAATTATTCCAGGTTTGCTTTTTTGCTTTTGCATTTTCTTTATAATTATTTCTAGAGGCCTTTGCGTTCCCTGAGTGCCATGGATCAGAATGCGGTGCTCTTGGACTCGTCTAACAATCTTTAGAGATTGAATAAATAAATTTTGTCTGAAAGTCAATTTTCTTAGAGCGCAGAAATAAGAATTAAAAAGAATAAGAAATGATCACAACAAGAAGTCATCTTACTTGATTTCAACATTCAGATTCGTCTTCAGAATAATGAGAGGCTGACGCAGTCGGGAATTGCTTCTTCTTCATCGAATTTCGCGTAAAAAGGCCGGAGCTGATTTGAAAGATTGGAATTCTAGAGTCGATTACGGGCGGATCCCAGTCGAGCGAATTGATGATTTTTGTCTTTGATTCCCGGATTTCCCACGCTTCAAAAATGTCTATTTTGAAATTTCGAGCATTTTACCTGAATACTCTCGCATGTATTGTTCTCCGTGATCAATGTGCCTGTCTTGATATTTTTCACAGGCACTGGCCATATACACAGATGACACAAAGAGAAAGATCCCCATGAAGAGAAAATATACGATCAGGATGATCTCAACCTCCGACTGAAAATAATAAACAATCTGGATTGAAAAAAAAGCTATTTTTTCATACCTCAAAGTCATCCTTCTCCACAAAATAATCAAAGGGGACTTGAACTCTTTCAACTTCCAGCTCTACCAGGGGTTCGAAACCGGACGATTCAATGTAAAAATCTTGAATGTTATATTCCAACTTCATCTTTGTTTTTTCATTTCATTCTTTTCTGAAAAACAAAGACTGTCACGTTCTCAAAAAGCAATCAATTTCAAGGTAAAATACTGTCACGCTAATTCTCTTGCAATTACCGCCTAAAAATCGGCAGGTCAAGGGCAGAAAATACTAGAATTTGGCAGATCTCCCTTCTTGTCTCTCTAACTCGTATTGATCTTTTTCGACTGGACACAAGGTTTGACAGTTTTTGACCGACAAACTGGATAAATTTTTGATTGCATACATTACCGCCGAATGATCTTTCCAATTTGTGCTTTCAGGTTCAACAAGAAAATGCTGAATACTTGGAATTCTTGCCAATTTCTCCCTCAAAAAAGCTAGCTTACAAATTTATGCCTTTATTTACAGAATGATACATGTTTGAGAAGAAGTGCTACTGGGGGTATCTGTTCTTGGTGGCTGTATTGGCGGCTCTAGAATTTCCTCTTTTTTGTCTTCTTTGGGTTTCTCCGGGGCTTTTGAAGCCTTTGTCGGAGGCGGAAGTGGAATGTTTAGTATCATTGACAAGTCAGAAATAGACAGATTTGTGATTCCTTCCGAGTTGCTCTTTGCTATCAATTTTTCAATATCGCGGATTTTCTGTGAAGGACGAGCTTGAGTTTGTGGTGGTCGAGATTTGATGAAGTGTCGTTTGTGGGAAGAACATATTTCGAAACAAAGCGGTTCGGTTTCCAGCTTTTTGTATGACTCTTCTGTTATGACTCCCAAATCAACGGATAAATTGCTTGAAATGCGCTAGTTTTAAAATTGGATCTAGATCTGTACCTTTGAAATAATGGATTGAGGCCTGATTTAATTTTCGTCCTCAACTCGTTGCTCCCTAATAATCGCTATAAAAATGAAAGAAGAAAACCATACCGAGAAGAGAGTATTTGACGAAAGTCGAGTCAACAGAGCCAGGGAGACCTTTGGCAGATTTGATATCAACATGAACTGTCAACTCTGATCCAATAATTTTCTGCTTCGAACAGGCCGGCCAAATTTTCACATCCAAGTGGCCAATTTCTTGAGCTCTGAAATCAAATATCGGGAGTCTTTCTTATCCCGATTTAAACCAAAAAAATATCAAGCGAATTTTCTTGCTTGATTTCAACCGGTTCCTTCATGCTCAAGAAGAAAGCACAAACTGCTGAGAAAAACAGTCGCTACTCCCAAGGTGTTGTGTTCCAAGCTGGAGCAGTAAAATGGATCGAGTTCGTAAGGAGTCTCGCCTGCGAGGTTGTTTGTTTTTGTTCTGGATAATTCGAACATTTCTTGCATTTCGAACTTTCTGAAATCGAAATTTAGCTTTTCATAATTCATTAATTTTTAGCTTTGAAAAGTTTATTTTATAAAATTTTTCTGAATTATTGAGGGAGTACTGAAAAAAGAGCTTTAGCAAAAGTTCGGAGGCATGTTTACTCCCGCATCCATTTTTTATCAATTAAGATGTTCTTGAGTAAATACAAACTGTTTTCTCAAAATGGCAAACCTGCCAAAATACAGACGCCATGTTGAGCTGCGTATCTAGAGCAACAATGTGCCGAAAGAAACGTTGTTAGGGTCAGAGACATCCAGATTAAGGAGCGCATGAGGGCAAACAATTCCGACGCAATCAAAGATACTTGTCTCTTTTATCGAAAAAAATCATATTTTTGGAAGAAAAAATGACCCTGATGAGCAACTCAGTTATTATTTAATTGAGACATGTCACATGATTCAAAAACTACAAAAAAAATAAGCCTTGAATGCGTGTTTGAGTTGTCCAGGAAGTTAGAAAGAAAAGTGCGACACACCTGTTCATGAAGTTCTTTTCTCTCATGTAGAAAGGCGCCTTGTCTCCGGTGATAACTTGGACATAGATTTCTGGAATGCCTGATGATTCTCCACGAAGCTGGGGGCCAACGAGCACGATTTCAAATCTGACGTCTTTTTCCATTTGCTTAGCTTTTTGCAAGGTTCTCGAAACTCGAAATTTTTTATCCAAAATTGAGCATTCAGAAACCAGTGCCTAAGGAATTCGCTTCTTTGACATGTGGGAGAAGCTTAACAATATCCTCCCTGAGCATCAAGTCCTCAGCATTGAAATCAAACATCGAATTCGTCCCCAAAGAACTTTTCGCCGCATAACTTTCTTGCTCCAATCTTTGAATTTTTTGATCAAACGATTTTCTCATCTTCTCCATTTCTTTTTCGTTCTCAATCAATTGCGCCTCAAGCTTCTTTTTCGCCTCATCATCTGCTTTTGACTCTGTTTTCGACGAGTTATCCGACGATTTCTGACTTTTCGCCGAAGAATTTCCCATTTTCCCGCTCTTCTTTCAAACTCTCTGTGTTTTGAAAAATTCCAGAACTTGAAATGTTGATATCTCAGTTTTTTCGTATTTTCTATTGTCTTCTTAGTTCTTCAGTAGTTGTGTTTGAGTTTTGATTTTGTCCATTTTGTCAATTGAGACTACTCTTGAGCGCCCAGGCCGATTATCCGTTTTGAGGATTTACGAAGTTCCACTTTTGTTTGCTCGAGTTACTGAGATTATTTGCTGCAAATTATCCGGTTTCCACAATCGAAGATCTACCGTTTTTATTTGGAAGTAACGAAAACAGAAGGTAATCAAATATTTTAGCCTACTAAAAAGGGGGCGCTCTGCAGAAATCGCCGAATGTCGCCGAATGTCGCTTAATGTCGCCGAATGTCGCTGAATGTCGCTGAATGTCGCCGAATGTCGCCGAATGTCGCTGAATGTCGCCGAACGTCGCCGAATGTCACTGAATGTCGCCGAATGTCGCCAAATTTTGTAAGAAACTCCTTAGAAAAGAGTTTGATTATCTCAAATTCGACGTATTCAGAATACGGTATTCTGGTTTTTCAACAACAATCAAGAACTTAAAGCCGATTCGAAGAACTCAGGAGATAAAATGAGAAGCCTCCTGACAAGCTTTCTATGTTTAATAAACATCTGTTAGTCTCGCCCCTAATCCACGGTCTTTTTGTTTTATTTGCTCGTTTCCACGCAAGTTTCAAGCGCAAAATAGCATCGTTCATCGCGAACTTCCTTCGCCGGAATAATTATCGAAGTATTATCGTTTCAGCGCGGGGCAAAAGTAAAACGACAGCGCCGGAAACACTCGAATCGAATCTAGCAAATATTCCTAAATCAGCAAAGTGTCACAGCTCGAGTATTTACTGTCAGCATGCAAAACAGAGAGGAAAACACAGTTGCTACCAGTTTTCTTTTTCTTTTACGGGATGTTTTCGTAGCGGCTAAGGGTTAGGCCCTCGGGGCAGGATAAACCCTTACGACCCTTAATACAGTAGCTGATAGTGTTTGGAAAGGTTTATATGTATCGTGTCTCCTCGGCATTAAAACCAATTTAATCGGGAATCTGCCAATACAAGACCACTAAAAGCAATTCAATTTCTTTTTAAACGGATTTCAGAGAAACCCAGTTCACTCAGAAAATAAAAAAGATGAAGCCGCTGAATTTTTTCCTCTTTTTTATAAACGTTGCTTTTGCAAAATCAGCCGGACAACATGGCTATGATATGATGAATGATGAAAAGATGAATTCGAAAATGTTCGAGAAAAACTTGACACGGATTTTCGATCACGATTTTTTGTCCTTTTTTTCGAATTTTATGGAAAATCCGAGATCAGGCAAGGATGAAAATTCGCTACTTGAACAAGATGATCTTCAATCATTTGAATGGTGACGACTTGGGCTCAATCACTGGCCAATTTTTATGATTTCCGAAGCTTGCTTTAGTGCTCTCTTCCTTGATGGCAAAAGGGTTTCTTTATTTTTCTTTTTTATTCCGTTCTTCAACTTGCAGTCGAAAATAATCATGAAAATAAAAATTTATTCGTGCATTGTTCTCATGTCTTCTCGCTCAAGAATCGCTTGTTATGGGTTTATATCATTTTAATTATCCACATGACTTTAAAGAAAAGGTCCTTATCACAATAAATGGTTAACAATTTTCAAACCCATTCCTTCGATTGCTTTTGTGTTTGCTCGAGCCTGGTAGGTCATATCGTTAACGTAGGTTCCGAATGATTTGTAGTCCTGGAAAATTTTATTATAAGAGATTATGCGATAGATGTGAACACTAATGTCGAAAAACGCGATAATTCGATGAGCCCTACATTTAAAAATTTCTATTTTTTGACGGAATTAAAGATTATGGTCTTTTTAAAATACTTTCCTTTTGAAGAACCTTCAAGTTTCCATACAAGAAAGTCGACTTCTTGCCAATATCCAACGCTTCTTTTCGCATTTTCAAATCACTGAAAATAGGTGTCCTCATCAGCCGTTTTCACCTAACCCTAACCTGGCAAATTGCTCGTCCATTTTCTTGACGACAAGTTCCCGTTGCGCAAGAGTGATTGGCATATTTGCTGATTTTCTCTGTCAGAATTTCACTCAGAGTCCTTTTGATAAATGACTAACTTATCAACGGAAAAGTCTGCACCTTTGATATGAGAGACAGGTCAAATCGTTTGCAGCTCGTCAATTCGGTGTCATCGCCTCCGAGGGGGAAGCGGGCTTCTATTCTTGTCTTACTGTCACAAGCAGTAAAGAGTCCTTACTAAGGATGACTAATTGAACCTTTGAAAACTCAGAAGAACTAGAAAAAAGGCTCTTTATCAGTCCCCAGATTTGGAGACAAAAACCTTAACCGAAAGGTTTATTGCTGAGATGACATTAAAAAGGAGATAGAACAGAGGCAAAAGTGTCAACTTGACTAAACTCAGAAAAAGGCAAGTCCATCTGAACAGCATTTTAGACGACTCAAATGGAAAAAGAGAGCGAAAATGCAAATTTTCAAACTAGAATCAGGGTAATTCAAATGATATTCAATCACACGGAAATCAAATTTTGTGATAAACAATAAGCAATAATTAAAGTGCCTTGATTGCGACTGCATCGGTGTTTTGAGAAGAAAAGGGGAGAAGGCGTATCTTTTCCCCGAAGAAGTCTTGACAACGCGAAGCATTCATACTCAAGAAAGAGATGTAAAAAAGGAGAAATCATGGAAGAAAAAAGTGACTGAACAACTGAGCCTGGCGAAGCATGGAAGCTCAACTAACAAGCAGCTTCGCAGTTACGTATTTCTTGGCTCTTTATTTTGGATAACAGTCATTCTTATTGGTAATTCTTTTTCAAAATAAATTTTTCAATCAGATCTGCATTTAGCCAATATCAAATCTCTTGAAAAATCCCGAGGCGTCAAAACCTTCCTTACTTCGACTTGTCACCGCAATTACAAAAAATGCGTTCAAATAGCAAGCATGGACTTCTGTGGCTATTTGATGAAGCAATGTCATGAAACACAAGAGTTCATCCTTCCTGAGCCAGTTTCCATGATCGAAGCAACGAAAAAGAAGCTCGAAAGCTTTTCGTCCGAAGAAAATGAAGTGAATCTCCGCCGCTGCCAGAAGAAGCAGTTTTACGACCAAAAGGTCTGCCGCCATCTCTGTTCAAAAACGCTTGTTTTGGAATCAACGAGGAGGAATCCGATTTCGCCCTGTGAGCTGATTTGCTTTGAGCTGACTCGATCTTTTGATGCTTCTGGAGAGGTTTGCCCATTTCAAAAATATTGTAAAAATGGTTGCCCTTGTCCTTTTTACGAGTGTGAGAAAATACAGTCCCGGCAGACAATGATTCCTGTTTTCGATTTGCAGGAAAGAAGGGAAAAAGCGAGAGTCGGAAATATTGAATTAATTACTCGCCGGTGGGAAGATTTGAGGAGAGATAAATCGAAAAATTACGATTGGGAATTTCCGATTGTATTTTCCGATTTCAGTGAAAACAGTAAACAAATAAGAATAAATACTTCAGATTCATTATACGGTGATAATTTATACCACTATGAAAGTTTTTCTCAATTTCATTCATTATGATTACTTACTGAAGTTCTTAACCGGTAAATCACGAAAAACAAAAAAGTCAACCGGTGCGACTTTTCTCAATGGCGAGCACTACCTGGTCGATGCAATTGGTAATATGATGAAAGTGAAAGAAAATGGCGATGCACCGGTTTTTTTACCTAGTCAGCTAAAAAGCATGTAAGCTCAATAAAGCAAATGCTCAATGTATGTGCCATTTCAATCTTAATTTTTCAGAGGATTCTTTGTTTTCCACTTTGGATCGTCGATTGGAACTCATTTTATTGAGATTTTTCTTGAAGAAGATGAGAAAAAGATCTTTCCTGTCGTCGTTATTTGAAAACGGTCAACAGAGCATGATTCTTTGATACAATTCGTTGTTTTGACCACTTAAAAGTTCACCAACAGGAAGAGAGGATAAGTGCTACTACTACGCGCCAGAATACAACTTGGATCGTTTTGAGGAAGCGCAAGGATTTATTGCGAGCAAGCATTTCAACGCAAAAGTTTCTTCTATCAGCTTCAAAGGAGTGTTTAACTTGATGAGCGTCAAGCTTGGGGATCATTACATAAAGCTCTCGACGACCATTGCATTGAACAAAATAAGAAGGAGCGAAGAATTGGAGAAGGGGTGGAGGAAAAATGAGATTCACTTGCCAGCAGAATTCAGAGGCTTGGATCCTGTTCATATTATTCCTTTGAAAAGGGTTTAAGAGATTTCGCTGTTATAAAATTTTATTCACTTCAAACTCGAAAAAGACAGATTCAGGAAAGCTTCTTCTGATTCTTGTCACACGAAGCATTGCCCTCTCCAACACACTTTATTCAGTGTTGCTGGAAGCTGGGGGAAAATTTCTCACTCTCGGTAGCGAGTGGGTCGGGTCTCTTGTGAAATATGAGCAAGAGTCCATCTGTTACTCGGAATTGTTTGCCCGGGATGATCTGAACTACACCGACCATTTTGGCCATAACAACGACGAATGCGAGTATTTCGGAAACGGAATTATTTATGATGAGATGGTCTTTATTCAAAATTACGTTTTCGGCACCATTTTTCAAGTCGAATTCGATTTCGAAAAAGTCCAGCTCGAATTCTTTCAAAAGAACTTGACGGAGAAAATACACGTGACAAGCAATCCCTTCTTCGCTTTTCACGACGATGTTTTTCCCGCTTTCGCCAAGAACACAATCTTTCAACCAGAATTTTCACGCACGAGCTACTATCACAAAACAATCATTCCGGATAACTTCTTCTCTTCTCTTGAAGAGTTCAAGCATATCTCCACTCTTGAGTTGGAAATGGAAGGCAAAGAAAATTTCAATTTCATCTTACGCGCTCAAGATTCCAAAGAAACCAAGGTTTTTGAGCTGCAATTCTACGATGGAAAAGTTCTCATCCGCTCTGGAATTTTTCAAAATGGAACGGTTTGGTTCGAATCTGATTATTTTGTTGGGCGATTTATGTTCGAATCAGAGGGGGAAGAATCGGAGTTTCGGATCACTCTGCATCATTTGTTCAATTCTAGTGTTGTTGAACTTCTTGATAATCCAAAGAAATATGGTGGAAGAAAATCGAGAGTTGAAATAAGTGGGCTTGACAAAATCGAAGACAGGAGAGTCCGCGTTTTTAAAGTTGATCGCGAAGTGATGATTAAAAATATTATTTACTCCATTACCGATTTGAAATCAAGACAAATAAATGTTTTGCGTTCCGATACTTTTGACGAATACGCACCTTTTTCAATTTTACCTGCTGATGGATCTACAAATAGAAATTTCCGAATTAAAGCTCCTTTTGGCTATGCAGGAGATGCTTATTGGGAAGGCTCAAAACACGCGCTGGTAAGGGATCGACTCTATATTTTTGGAGGGCATCATGATGCGACTGTTGCAAAAGGGTGTATCACAAGTTCTGATTGGATAGTTGGCTGTGGTTCGTATAAAGTAAGATAAGACAATCAAGCAAGCCTTAAAATTATGTTTCAACAGATTGCTCGATTAGATGGATGCTTCTTTACGGAACTGAGTTTACAGCTTTCTTATGAGTACTCAGTTATTTTCGGAGGCCATGCTGCTTTAAGGATATAGCCGTTCTCAAGGCACTTTCGTAGCGCCGAAATGTGACGATAAAATTTTTTCATTTCAAGACAGGTCCTACCTAAAATTATGTCTAGAATTCGATTCTGATGTTTTTTAAAATTTTTTTCAAAGAAAATTTCTCTCTGGAGCGATTTGAAATCTTACGATCACTTTTTCTCGAAATTTTTCAATTAAATCGCTAAAACTAAACCGTGTCTTATTATAAATAACTGCTAATCTATCTTCCTAGGGCCTCGAAATTTCAAAACCCGAGCAAATTTTCATTCTAGCGTCTTCTTCTTTTTGGCTTTTCTTTTTCATAAATGCTGCGTTCAGGGCGCTCGACCAATCAGCGCGCTCTTTCACATGCGCGCCTCACCGCGCGATGGAGGAGGGCGCCCAGCGCAGCAAACCAGAGCGCTGTCTGACGCTTCGGCTTACTCAAGTAAGCCTCATAAAAATGGCTCTAGAATCATAAATAATTGGAATCTATTTAATTTTAGACCCTAGGAATGTAGTGAAAGGTCCAAATTTTTAATTTATCAAAAAAACTCGACTGATTTAATGGAAAATTCTCGAGAAAAAGTGATCGTAAGATTTAAAATTGGTCTAGAGAGAAATTTTTCCATTTAAAAAATAAAAAGAACACAAGAATCGGGTTTCTTAGGCAATTTTAGGTAGGGTTCCTTTTGAAATGAAAAAATTTTATCGTCCCCTTTTGGCGCTACGAAAGTGCCTTGAGAACGGCTATATCCTTAACTCTTGAAGGTGGCGATCAAGGTTCTCATGAAAAATTTGACGTTCAAAGTCAGTATAAAGAAATAAAGCTCGTTTTAGCTATTATTTGTTTTGGAAGACCAAAACCACCTAACCATTTGTCTGAGAAGGGGTACTGTGAAATATTCGACGAATTTACAGTAAAGAAGACATTTACCAAGATAAGACAAGTTACCGACAGCTCTCAATTGGCGCTTTACAACGGGCGTCCTACAGTGATCGGCGAATATGCAACTGAAGTGGAGACATATACAAAAAAAGGAAAATGGACTCGTTTGCCGAATCATCCGAGGTTGACCAGTAAAAAAAGTTTTTTATTAAATGTTAGAACGATTGCTTGTTTTTCTGCGATCGGGCTGCCTTCAGGAAGCCTTTTAACTATTAGTGGAGAGGATTATGAATCGCGGTACTATTCTAAAGAAATTTGGCGACTAAAGAATAACAAGTGGTCTTTGATGGGCTCTCTTTTATATGTAATTTAAACTTCTCTTTTTACCCTCTATATTTTTTATTTTTTAAGTCTGTAATTCAATCATCAGCAATATTAATGGACGATTCCGTCTTTGTTTTTCCTGGCTATTTCGATTACATGGACATTTATAATGGTCTTCTTGATCGGGGCTATTATCCTGTTCAAAAAGTCACTTTAGGAAGAGTTAGAATTGTTCAAAAATGTGCAAAATTCTCACATTTTATTTTGTTTCTGTTTTAATCCTCAATCAAGACTCAAATGAAAATTTCGTTTCAACGGAAATAATTACTGCTGGCAATGAGAATGGAGTCTTATATCCGATGGTATTTGAAACGCCTGTTGGTTATTGTAGTCTGTAGATTCTAAACCTTTTGAAGATGATATGAGCAAATAAAAGTCATCAATTTTAAGTTTTCCAATTTATTCAGAAATATGTTTCTTTAAATAGAATACAGATAAAGACAGGTAAACGAAAATAACTTTAGCTCGTAAATTTAAAAGAAGGATAACTGTGATCTAAAAGTAAAATGAAAAGCCAATGAAAATATTTCTAGGCGGCAATATTCATGTTCTTCATCCATTTCTGCAGCTCGATTCCTTCTTCCTTCGTTGGCTCCACCGAATTTCGGTCTTTCTCGTTAGCATATTTGGCCTTCATTTCCTCCAGTTCCTGTCGAAGAGAAGCGTTCGTCTTTTTCTCCTTCTCCAGTTGTTCCATCAAGCTTATTTCCGACTCACAAGCTTGCAGCTAAAAATCCATTTTTCCCTTCAAAAATCAGCTTCAATTCTACCTTTTTCTTCGTTGATTCCCGCGCGCCAAGAAGAGCGAATAGTTTCAGCTCTAGAATCTTGTCCTTCAGCAGCTTTTTCTGATCCTCGACGTTTTCTCGCGCCTTTTTGTACCTGTTTCTTTCTTCTTTGATTGTTTCGTTTTTAACCGAAAGCTGGGCGGTGACATCGATGAGTTTCTTTCGCATAAAAGTGTTGACTTCGCTCTCTTCCTCGAGTTTTTTGATCAGATCGGTTTCGCATTTCAAGGCGGCTTTCTTAATTTTACGATGAAAATTGAGCACCATTTTGAGTGTCATATTGTTTAATAAACCCTTTGGACTCACCTCTAAAGTCTTCACATGTTTGTCGAGCTTTGAAATGACTTCTTTGAGCTCTTTTATCGCAGCTGCGTGGTCCTTCTTCGTATCAGTGTAGAGCTTCTGGAAGTGGCGCATCATTTTGAGACAGCACTGAATGAAGATATTCCCTGTTTTCTGAAGATGCGCTAGTACCTTTTGATGCTGATCAATGATCGCGTTTTTACCGATGGATTTTTCTGCCAGAGTCATGCAATCGTCAATTGAACCAAGTGCCTTCTCGAGAATCGAAGTGATGAGGTCCTTTGACTCGGAATCTGGCACAGTATTGTTCACTCTTGCTGATCTGAGTTGAAAAACTGAAAGATTACGCTTTCTTCTCAATTTTGTCAACTCAGTTCCTAGTTCGAGGAATTCTTCCATCCTCTCTTTGTAAATTTCGATCGTATCTCTGAGGTTCTGCTCGTCCTGTTTCAATTGTTCCTTATGATCAAGATAGTCACTCTGCATTTTGTTTAAAGCCGCCTGCATCTTTCTTTCTTTTTCTCTCTTTTTTTCTCTAGCTGCGATAAAATAAAAATGAAGAAATGACGAAAGGTGAGAGAATCTTTTTAGCGGTTCTAGAAAAAATCTCAGAAGAAGAAACCTTTTGTGGTCCCGGAGATTCTAGAAATCAGGAGGCATTTTGAATGAATTGTTCGAGCTAACCGACTCTAGTCCTGACTTTATCAATAAACTTGCTCTTATTTATAAACACTTATTCATTAATTTGTTTTCGGAAGAAAAAGGTCAGTATTTTATTTAAGCATACAGAAAGTGCAAAATTATGGAAATGCATTTTTATAAATATAGATTTTTGAGCGGCGTAGTAATATTTTTGAGAATCATCGAGTGTTTATAGCGGCGCTGGAATTTGTATGTTGTTGCATAAATAACTCTTCATTGTGGAGCGAAATCTTTTCATACAGGGGACTCTAGAAATTCAGTTAAGAAATGGGGCAAAAAGGAGCCTCCTATTTAAGGATAAGCGTCTGTACGTACCTGCTTGATTCAAGTCCAATTTGAATCGAAAACTCTTTGGGTCGATGTACTCATCGTGAAGTACCAGAGTCGGTTGTTTTCTTACAGTAACGATGAGCTTGTAATCCGACTGTATAATCTCGAACGTCACTCCCGCTCGAATTCCGGAAAGAAGTGGCTCGTCGCAGGAAACCGACCAGGCGGCGTTGTCCAGCAGATGGCCGGGATAAGTTATCGAAGGCTGAGGGGAGAGATATTTCGCGAGAAAGCCGCGGGGGCCTATGCCGTGGCGGAAGCAGAAAGAAAGGTGGTCGAGGACGTCTTCGCGAGTGTAGTGCTGATGCTGCCTAAGGAGCAGGAATAATAAGGGGAAAATTGAGAGCTTTCTAGTACCTCGTCGTTCTAAGATATTTTTGCATGCTTCTCGCCATCGTTGGCCACAATTCTTCCGCGACTTCTCTGGCCGAGTGATTGCTGTTGATGTCTCGGTGGACAACGGTGAAGGCATCGTCGACGGCGCACTCAAGTCTTGAGCGGCGTTTTCTGATTCTTCGCTCTCGCTCCACCTAAAATTCATGATCAAAAAAGGAAAGAAGAGAAGGCCAACATCATGGAAGTATCGTTCATTCTGGCCAGCATCTCTTCTTCTAGCAGCGGCGGTTATGATCGCTTTTGCGTCTGCTTCTTCATCTAAAAGTCCTGATTAAGATTTTCTGTAGCCGCATGCGGCTTTTTTGGCCGAAAAACTTGATGAAAAAAGGCGAAAATAATCAATTTTTCATACCTGGATGATGATTTTCTCCCGTTTCGTCGATGTTGTAAACTTTGAAAGAGCTCGATCTGACCCTGTAGCTGCTTTTTGAGCGATACTGTAGCGCTGGATTGTACAGTGGAAAGTCTCGGTAGTATTTTTGAAGAACATAAGCGGCTGTAGCTTGAATAGAATTTGCCCCAGCGTTGTAATATCGTGTATCGCCATCTGTCGATCTATTTTTCGCGTTAAAACGACTGTAAATCGCTTGACCGTATCAAACCTGGTGACTTCTAGCAAGTAAACTGTATGTTTGCATCGCAGGTACAAAATCACCAGCCCGAGATAGTGAAGAAACAGGAGGACATCGACATAACAGCTGGTAAAGACGATGATGGGCGCGTAGTCCCACTGGTTCCAGTGAATCACTTTGAAAGCGTAGAAAAGCCAGAAGATTGAAATAACGGCGAAAGAAACTGCTGAAACGAGCAGGCGGTAGAGATTGATAGATGGTAGCCGCGCGATTCGCGTTTCTTTGAAAGGTTTCAGTTTCTATTCAAAAAAGTCGAGAAAGCCGCTTCTGGGATCAAATATAACAGTTATTTTATAGTTACTATAAAATCTTTCCTGAAGATAGATAAACTGCAGTAGCAAACATCAGAATCATCAGCTTCACCGCTATTGCTATTAGTTGCCCTTGAAAACCTAAAAAAAAACATGAATTTCTTGATCTGAAACGAACGAATTTACCAATATCGGTGAAGTTTTGAGAGATTGGCTCATAATCGCCCGGAATTTCCGTTTCAAAAAGCTGCGGGATGAATTTCGGCAGCGTCAGGAACAAAATCGGAGAAATGTAGACAAAAATCGTGAAGGTGACTGTCAAGAAGAACTGAAGCGAGCATCTGGAACAGGAACGCGTCGGAGCGGAGCGGTCGATTTGAAATTTTAGCAGGTCTTTGTTCGAAACGATGGAAGTGGCTTCCGATGTCGCAAATGTTTCATTTTCTCCGGGGTAACGAGAATCGGCCTCTTCATTTTCATTTTCTGGATTGAGGAGATTTTCGCAACTGTTTTCTTCAGATGCACTTTGATTTTCTCGATTTTTGGGCTTTCGGCGGGGCATTTCTTTTTCTTTCTTTCTCGAATTACATTTTTGAAATCTGAAAAGATGGAATTCTAATTCTAGCGCCAGGCGTTGCCTCAAATGCTCTTTTGTGGGTAAACACAGAGGTTAGTACAGACAAAAGGATAATTCAATACAGACTGACGTCATGGAGCTTTTCCATCACATTTCAGGGAAAGATAGCTGCATCTTCATTATTGAAATTTTAATCGTAATATCATTTTAGCAGAAATATATCTATTTCTTACTGAAAGGCTTTTCTTAAACTTTAACCCGAGGAATTTGTTTCATTTTTTTTATTTTCAATTGTTCTTCTTTTTCTTCATTCTGATTTTGTCTCTAGAAAAGCAGCGATAAGTGCAAAACACATCAATTTGAGAAATCTAACACGGCATTTCCCGCGGCCCTTGGCTGGCGGCGGAGGACTTTTCTTTCTTTGCGGTTCAAGCTCTCCCACCGCGCTTCGGAGGACTCTCTTCCGCTGCGTTAGCTCCTTAGTTGCTGGAAGAGCTTTTTCTTCGCCAAAATGTCATCGGTGGCGATGGTAATTTTGAGTATCCATACAGAACCGACGGGTTAGTTTTCTGTGCCGAAGATGTGAACGCAAATCATGTTGATTTTATCGAAGATGTAGTTGTAAATAATAGGCGGCTTAATGTAAGAGGAAGCGCTGCTTTTGTGCATGCTGACTATCCTACTCATCTTCAACGATTGTTATTTGGTGGTCAATTTAGCACAACGCATGTCTTATCGATAATCCCAAAAGAAGAAAATACCCTTGTACTTGAGCCACTCGTCGATCTTATTGAAGATGAACATGTGAAAGAAAAATGGATGATTCCAGCTTCTGCGAATGTCGATTATTATGGAAATCCTATTCTTGAATACGGAAAGAGCAAACACGAAGGCGTAACCTGTGCGGATTACACAATCTGTTCTGGGAGGAACTTTCTTATCGGAGGTGAAATTACCCGCAATACAAAGAGCAGATCTATTCTTGAGTGGACTGAAATAGGATTCTCTACCAGTAAGTCACCTTTCTATCGTTTATTTTTCGAAGAAATATATTAAAATAATTCGCCCTTATTTAAATAAATATGAAAAACGGTAAATTTCGAGTTTCAACAATATTTAAGTTCAATTTTATCTCATTTACGGTCGCGCAAATACCGCGGCAGTCAGTGGAGTGAACCATCTATGCAATGGAATATTTGTTATTGCTGGAGAAGGAAATACCCCTTTTGATACGGTTGACCCGTTCGGAAGAGTGACATCAACTGAATGCTTTGATGGACAGATTTCAACGATCATTCCAGAAATGGATATTTCGAACATTTTTTCTGGGCTACATCGACACACAGCTGTGATTGTCAGGAAAGATGATCAATCTGGAGATGATATTTATGTTCTAGGAGGTAGAATTCATGATACTCTTTGAGAAAATATTTTTAAAAGGGGTTGCAATGTCGAGAAATGGAGGAAGTGCCTCCTCGGTTGATAGAATTATTCGATTTCGAAATGATGAAAATCAATGGAATAATGCTGGACAGATGCTGAGAAAAATAGCTGGTCACAAATCATTTGCTTCTTATCCTCAATCTACTGGAGTCGATAGTTTTGGCTACTTCAACATTTTCACGATCGGTGGCGAAGGTGGCAATGATATTCCAATGCAAAGATGTGACGAGTACGGTTACTGCTATAAAGTCGAAACTGAAACTTTTGACAATCGAGTTGGAGCAAGTATCATGCTTTTCAACGCGAACGAATTTAATTTGAACTATCTTCCTCTCTACGAGGATCACTGTCCCTGAGTCTTTTCGAAAATCAATACAAATCAGAGTGATACAAAAATTTTCAATTAACGCAATTAGCCTCAACCTTCTTCAATTCGTTCAAAGCGATTTCAAAAAGAAGAAATGAAAGGCGCTCAGATTCTGTTTTTATTTTTCACTTCAATTTTCGCATATGAAAGAGAAAAAAGCAACACGGAACTCTTTTATGATCTCATGCAGGGTTACGACAAGAACATTCGCCCTTTCTATCTCCAGAAACCGGTGAAAGTCTCAATTGATATTTTCATGAATTCCTTTGGAAGTATCAAGGCTGATGATATGAGCTACGCAGTGAACTTGAATTTGCGCCAAAGATGGAATGATCCTCGACTTGATTTTAGCAAGTTGATTCGGGACAAAAGAGGTAAAAAAGAGCATTTGGCAGTTTTTTTGCGAAAAAATTTTTGCGAAATTATCTCTGCGAAAGTTTTTTTGTGAAACTTATTTTTGCAAAATTTTGATCAAAAATCTTCGTTGATTTCAATTTTTTCCATTACCAGAATCGATTCCCATTGATGCCTCGCTGCTGGACCGCTTGTGGATGCCCGACCTCATTTTCACTAATGAAAAATCGTCGCGTTTCCACAATGTGACCACTGAAAACAAATTGATGCGACTCTCCAAAAACGGCGATGTGTACACTTCTGTAAGTAGGTTCATATGGGATCATGGAGTTTCATATTTTGATAAGACAAGAATCAGTGTTGTGATGGCAAGTATGATGAGCTTGGAAAACTTTCCCATGGACTCGCAGACGTTATATGAAGGGGTCTTTTCAGTTCGAAGCAAAGAGGCTAAGAGGCCATTATCTCCTTTTCGCAGCATAGACCCGTTAAAAAGATGCAGCTAGAATGCTTCACGCGGCCGGATAAAGACATCCAGCTCGTCTGGTCGCCCCAAAATCCCTTCCAATTCAACGCGAATCTCTCCCTCCCCGATTTCGACTTCGGCTCGTGTTCGGAAAAGAAGCTTCAGCAAGATCTTTTCTGCCAAATTTTCAACACGCGATAAGACACGAAGAAAATAACTCTGACACGATGCGATAAGAGCTACGAGACGGGAACATACAGGTAAGCACATTCAAGAAGGAAGGACTTGCTCTTGAAATTCACGATGACGCAAAAGAATTGAAGAATTCTTTCGTAGTTGCATTGAAGCCAAGTTTCCACTCAAACGACTGCTTGGCTATTACATCATTGGTTTGTATGTTCCTACAGGCTTGGCTGTTGTTCTCTCTTATTTATGGTAAAAATCGACTGATTTTTCGGATCGAAAAGCCGCTTGCGGCTTCGAGCAAAAAAAAAGAAAGCCGCGCTTCGCGCGGCTAGGTTTGATTCTGACTCGAAGCCGCAAGCGGCTTCTCACTTACAGGATGTGATAACAATACTCAAAACTTTTGAGTCAAAACCATTTTTTACCAAAAACAGCTTTCTTTCTGGATCGATCCAAAAAATGCGCCCGCCAGAATCTGCATTGGAATATTCGCAAATTTGACGGTGAACAAAATGGTCGTTGCGGACAAAAACCTACCGGCCGTCTCATATATTAAAGGTGAGAATCAAGAAGAGGTTAAAGTCTGGAGAATAAAACAACCGAATTTGAAGCACTTGACATCTGGCTGTTCGCATGTCAGCTATTGACGTTTGTGGCTTTGGTAGAGTACGCCGTTGTGAATGTTCAGCTAAGGAAAGACCGCTTCAAATGAAGTAGATGGTTTATCTTTCATTGAAAAAGGGGATGAAGAGGGAATAAAAAGAGATGATCATTTATTGATCAAAAATATTCATTTTTAATTTTTTCTTTTTTGAAACTGAGTGAGGTTATGTCTGTGAATAAAAACCTGTCTGTATTGAGCAAAAAGTAGGATTGCCCTCATTAAAAAACAGACAGATTTAGCGCTTACATTTTCATTGAAAAAGTCGAAAAAAGAATGGAAGTCGAGGACCGCGCCAAAGCGAAAAAGCTGCAGGAAGAAGCTGATGAACGATGCCAACAAGAAGCGGAAGAGGAAGAACAGGGCCTGGATGATACGACGTTATGGCTCATGGACATGGTAATTTCCGGGTTGAGAGGGCCTTTCACTATTTTGATTTTTTAGGTCGGAGTTCGTCCCGAATCCACCCGTCGAAAAGCCACCCCGATTGTCTTTAAAATCACGGACGCTGAAAACATCGACCGAAAATTCAGAAAAATCTTTCCAGCTGCCTGTGGTCTATTCAACATCATCTACTGGGGATACTGCCTCAATCAAGACTAAAATACGCTGTTCAATAAACCTTTTATCGCAACTCGTGTTTATGTTTTACGTGTGTTACGTATTACGACTTGTGTCCGCTAATAACAATGTTAACAATAAAATAAATTTGCACGTTTTTCAAAGCTGTCATCCAAATGCTTCCTTTTCGCTATAAAGAATGTTACATACAGACGATTTTGGCTCCCTAGGGAAAAAGGGGTGGCAAAAAAGGAGAATCTGGATTAGAGGATCAAAGAAGAATCTTTCTATTCAGACCCAAAGCTTAAGGGGTACAACCTCTGATGATTCGTCATAAGCATTTTATAGGTACACCCTTATTTTTGATGAAAAGAAGAAGTAAGGGTGTGACCTTGTAAATTTTAATTGATAAAATTATTCCTTTTTAGGATAAGGAGATTGATGAAGGGATAAGAAAAAGAGTTTACGTCCGTCAATTTTTTTGTCTACTGTCTGACCTCCGGAGAAACGAAATCGCCGGGAGCTGTTCGGACGCGCCCTGGGTGGCACCCTTGACACAAGGTCAGCGGTGATCCGCACAGAATTGTTTTTCTAGTACGCGGCCCTGCCCTCGGGTCCGATACACAGAATCGCGTTATTTTTACGAAAATCAAAAATCATCAATGTAATATTTCCCCTCAAAATTTTTATAAAAAAAATTATCCTTCTGAAATCTCCAAAGGTCATTTTTCTTCCAACAGAAAAGCTCTCGAATTTAAGCACGGTAAATTAAAGGAAAATGAGCTTGACCTTGAGGGACCTTACGGTTCAAGAGGCATTTAGACGATTGCTGATCGTAAATCCGCCAAATAAACTTAACCCGACTAGACAAGGTTAAGCCTAGTTCATATTTCTTCAAAAAAGATATTCACATGTTGAAAGGCCGAATTGAGCATCAATTCAAGCTGCAAAAATGTTCATAATACCATTAAATAAATTTGGTACGGAATTTGCTCGTATACATAAATGGGTTAACTCAAGTCTTTTTTCGGGGAACCGAAAAGAATCCGATGATTTTGCCGAAATTTTGGACAAATTTCTCGACAAATCAAATGTCTGAATTCGATCGGCAGCCCAATCAGATTTCAGAAAATAATTGCTGCAAAAATTCAGATTTTTCGTCTCATTTTTCGTCGATTCGAGCCATCTACCCGGATTTCTCACGACCTAAAACGACATCCACCAATTCTATTTTCTTCAATTGAACCATCTCCTGAACCCTCTCACGTGGGTTAGAAGGGCGCGTTAACCCGCTGCCGCACGTTGAACTTGATTTGTGTGAGAATAGCGGGCGAGCGGGGTGCCGCGCGCTTTTTTTCTGTCAATTCCTTTCTTGGCCCGCTCTGGCGCCACCTGGCCCCATTTCGAGCTCGCGTCGCCAATTCAACGACTCGAAAAAAGAAACAAGCAGTAACAAAATTAGCGTCTTTCAAAGTCTTAGAGAAAATTCTGAAGCCAAAATTTATTTTCTTTTCGTTGAAAATTATTTTTTGAATCAGAGATTTGCCGATCGAATCTGCTTGGACAAAATCAACGACGAAAATTGACCGAAAATTATTAAGGGGACCCCCCGCGGAAATTAAAGAAGAAAAGTAGACAAGATCTGAACATCTAAACTGAAGGTAAGACACAATTTTGACACAAAAAATTTAATTTTTGCTTGACAAAAATAGGTGTGAAGGTTGGTTTCTATGGTTTTTATGGGGAACATAAAATTTTTTTTTGATTTTAAATATTTTAACGGATCAAATATTTTTCGAGAGGGACCTTTTTTAACGGATTTACACATCGAAATTTTCGATTCGAAAATAGGGTAAAAATTACTTTAAAAATTATTTGGTCGGCTGTTTTAAAATAATTTTAATAAATAATTTATTATTGATAATTATTATCAAATATTTGTATATTTTCAAGAAAAAAAATTGACTCTAGAATTTTTTTTATAATTTTTCTTTTGAATTTTAATTTTTGAATTGAACTCGGATAAATATTGCGAAGAAAAGCTGTTTTTACGCAAAAAGTTCAAAATCAAGATTATTCTGAATGGAAGCTCGAAATTGGAAAAATAAAGAATGGCGTTCTTGTTGAAACGACCGTCGGGCGCTCAACGAGGCGTCGGCTTTGAGTTTGTTTATCCAGTAAGACCGCATCCGCAGAACAACGAGAAAGCGAAAGAGAGCCACATAGATTATTAGTCTCAGCTCTTAGGTCTCTGGATCGACCCTATTTCTATTTTGCGGTTTCTTGAGAAAGGAATACTCAAAAAGAGCGCAAAGCAAACTTTTCATTTTCGTTCAATCGTGTTTTTTTGAAGAGAAAAATCGAAGAAAAAACGGTCAAAAAAGGTATTTTCTTAAACACAAAATGCTCGATTTAAGGGTGTCATTATCTTAAAATTTCGATTTTCGCAAAACCAATGGGTACCCCCTTAAAATGGAAGCAGTTTTGGTCGGATAATATTTCAATAAAAGCCGCCAAAAGTGCGGCTCTATTTTTGTTTCTCAAAGCCGCAAGCGGCTTTTCTATCATTTTTGAAAAATTATTCTTTGGCTTTTGTTTTGCTAGACTTTTGGTAGACATTTTGCATTGTATTTGTCTGTTGGTAGACAGTTGTTTACTTGCGGATTAAATACAGTACTTCCTTTAAGTACTTTTTCGCGTCATTGACACATTTAAACATCAGATTTTCGAGAAAAAGGAAGCGCGATTTTGAACTTTACAAGATCGGGAAGATCAACAAAGGTCAAAAATCAAGTGCACACCCTTAATTCCAAGAAGAAATCAAATATTCCAAAATCATTGCGATCTATCCATCTATTTGCAGAGTCTGAAATACAAAGAAAAAACAAATGTTTGAGAAATGAGAACATTAAATTTCTCTTTGCTTCCATCGTTCAGTGGAAGCCACAATTCGCACCTCGCGTAATCTCTCTTTTTAGTAGTTTTTTGCGCGTTGCGTTTTTTCTAGCATTCTCTTCTTTTCTACTATCACGCTCGAAAATCGCAACAGTCCAAAAAGGGAAAGTTGTGTCATAATCTCTCAAGAACAAGTTATAACTTATTGATCGTAATGAACAGTATTTTCTGTCATCGAAATCGAATTTGACCGCAAACAAGAGAATTGTTTGATAAACTTTCGTTCCTCAACTGAAAAAGAAAATGTTTTCGGTCAAATATTCTATCGCACTATTTTTACCGGGTTGATTCTTGGCTTTTTTTTTAAATTTTCTGCAAAACTTAAGAGAATAACTCCCTTATCTTGCATTTCTTTTTTTTTGTGAAAGAAATGAGGCATATAGTTACCGGTTTCACTCAGTCTGATACTTCCATGCTCTTTGCAAATCAGAAACCAATATTTTTGGTGGCAGCCAATCAGAAACGAACCTTACCTCTTAATCTTACTTTTACGGTAAGGGCCTTACTCCACCAAATAATTCTCCCGTTTTTTTCAAACTCAAAATCGAAATTGATGTCTCCTAAATTCTAACTCCTTAATTAGGTATTGTTCCCACTCAAATCTCCAAATTCATTTCACCGCGAAGGCACCCCTGTTTTCCTTGTCTAACTTATCTTCCCCAACCGATTGGCAGTACATTTCCATCTATCTGTAATAGAAGTGTTGTTTTCACCTGCACTCTGAATATTAAGATCTCACGCGAGCCCAGAGCCTCGGTACACAAGCATACAAGCATGTGGTCTGTATGTACAATTAATTTTTCAGGGAACGAATTGTTTTCATCAAACTTTCAGCGCTCTTTCTTAGCAATTGCTCTTTCTCCTTTTTGAGAACGAAGCGTCAAAGATAAATTATTCAATTTTTTTTCTTGAAATGAAAAAAAAAAGAATATTTGCCTAATGGAAGTGATCTTGAGTACTTCTATTGTAGACTTATTATTGTAAAATATTCTCAAGTTCTAATTTAAGAAGCTGATACCCTTAATCAACATTTTTCATTAGGTTTGGGTTCGGATTAAGACAAGGGTTCTCATAAGGGTAAGGGTTAGGATCAGGGTTCGACCGAAATTCTGGTCAAATTTTAGACCAATCAGATCTCTTCATTTTGCTGGTAGGCCAATCAGATTTCATGAAAAAGGGATTTTTTTCATTTTCTTTGTCAGGGTTAGGGTTAGGTTTTGACCAAATTTTGGTCGAATTTTAGACCAATCAGATTTCCTCAATTTGCTGGTAGGCCAATCAGATTTCATGAAAAAAAGAGATTTTCTTCCCATTTTCTTTAACTGAAAAATCCGTATCTCAAAAAAATGACCTCCCGTATTCTCACATGACCGTATCGCGCATAATCAAACATCCTATCACATGAGCCACTTAATTGACAATATTAGCTCTTCATTCAAAAACGGACTCGTTCACCAGAGTTCAAGATCATTTATCGCTTATTTTCAACTGTCAAATTTGGAGATTCAATTTCCTTTAGAGAACCGCAAGATTTTACTTTATAGCAAGCCGGGATGATTTTTTTTATTTCTAGCGGCGAATAATAAAACACTCAATTTTACGAGAATAATGATAATAAAAAGCTCAGCGGTAATCTTCGGAGAAATTAATGAATTTATCATGTTGTTGCTCTAAATAAGCGAAAAAAAGAAAGAGCGATCAAAGTTGATTGGATAAGTTTTTGGATTATTTGAAAGAGTAGACCTTTTCTTTGGCAAAAGAGGCTTGGATTAAAAGCATCGAATTTCAAGTTTTTTGAGATTCAAGGTCAGCTAAAGCCCGTCAAAGCTCGACGCCGATCTCATTTATTCTAACAATCGATTATCTTTCAAATAATGCTTTGTCTCTCAGTCAACTAAAATAATGAAAAAATACGGGATCGCCAATCTCGAATGGCGGCTCGAATCCTGAAAAAAATGTGACGAAAATTTTGAATTTTCTGAAATCTGATTGGCCTATGGGCCCAATGCGAAAATCTGATTTGTCAAAAATTTATTTTAAATTTTGCGTTCAGAGGAAATTGATTTCAGTTTTGGGTGTCATCTTATGACCTTAAATTAGGCTCTCCCTATGTTAAATATTAAGGGTGTCAAATCGTAAAGCGCAATTTTAGCTTTCTTTCTTTTCGATCTTTATGAAATTGAAAATTAAAAAATCACGAGATATTTAATAAAATCTGGTGTTTTCTCGACATTTGTCGTTTCGGAATTGTTGGTATAAGAAGAGATTGAATCTTTAGAAATATCATTGCGTCCGCTCTATTTTCACAACATATCGTCGGTGAAGCTCAAATATCCAAAAACATTTGCAAATATTAATTATGCGCTTCAGAGTTTTTGAAACAAACAGAAAAGATATTCTTTATTCTCCGCCTTTTTTTCTGTGTTTTTGGGCAAAATATAATCATCTTTTTCAAAATACCGAAAATGCTCAGAAAAGAATCTGAAATCGGCTTTTCGAAAATGGCCTGTTATGGCCTAGTATAATAAACTTACTTGAACAAAGGCGTGGTCTTTTAAAGAGGGAAAAGTCGATGATTTCTGAGCTTAGATCGAACCAAAGCGCTGTTATTTTACGACGGGACCGCGCGGGGCACCGTAAAAGGCATAAAATAGTTCTTGACAATGGTCAGCACAGAGCATTTTTTGACAGATTCGAATCATCCAAGAGAGAATAAGATTATACCGTTTCACATTTTCCTTTTTCATTTTCCGTTTACATCGTCAGAAGTTATAATAATAAGTTAAACAAATAGAGAATCTTATCTTTATCTTAATTTTTTCTGAAGTGATACCCTTATTTTTTCATGAAGAAAAATGATTTCTCAGAAATCATATTATATTTTTACATTTTCTTGGGAAAAATTAATTTTCCTTGAATCTGATTGGCCTACAAGCCGTATACGGGCATCTGATTGGTGTAAAATTCAAGTTCAAATTTTGAAATTAACAATTGAAATTAAACGACAACATTTCAAAAACGAAATCGAGAAAAAAATAACAAGATATGGATAATAGGGATAAGAAAATAATCCAACAGTCATAAATCCTTAAAAAACGTATGAAAGCAATAAAATCAGTCCAAAGTCGTCATCAATTTAATGAATTCAACGATTTGGCATTAGATTTCTCCAAATATTGTATTTTGCCAGATTCCAGAAAACACGTGACTTGCCCGAGAAAAGTGCAATGACGGCACTTTCAGTTGGAAAAGGAGAGCGAGTGCCCGTCTCAGCAGGGATCAGACTCTGCGAGAGGCTCTCGAGCAACAGATGTTCTTTTCAATATTTGAAAACCATCAAGAAAAATAGCGCGCTTTAAACGCCAGGCCCATACAACCACATACAAGTTCAGAGACATTCCCAATCCACAGAAATAATATCCAGAGAAAATAGACTCTCAGAAAATCCGGTTAAAATGGAATAAAGGCAGCGTTCAGTCCTTGAAAAAGAGCCAATTTCGACTAAAAAAGCCGCAAACACCGGTTTTTTGGGTTAAAAGAGTAAAAAAAAGCCAAGAATAGAGCATTTCTAGCCAAAAATTAGAAAAAATTTTTCTTGACTCTAAAATTTACGCTTTTTTTGTCCAAAAATTGGCCAAAATGAGACTTTTATAGACGAAAATTTTCAGTTGAAACCAACTCTACCAAAGTAACAAGGATTTCCTGTTATAAACAAGTAGAAAAACACATGTTAGCCAGTATAAAATAAACCCAAAAGTGGTCCAACCTTTCCTTTTTCACGAAACAAAAAGCCATTTTTTGGCATTTACGTATTTTTTTTGTTGAATACCTTTTTTACGAGCAAGCCTAATCATTACATAATCCAGTCTATTTCCCAAGTGCTTTTCTACAGGTAGTTATTACTCCTATTGTATCCTGTAACTTCTTGAGAATTCGACCATCTGCCCTTACTCGGCAATTTTCTAACTCTTCATTTTTTTCAGAAAAAAACCGGCAAGAAAAACAAATTCAATTCAAAAGCGAGAATAGAAGCGGCGAAAAATGAGCAATGGAACGGCAAAATTAAAATTTGGCGAAATAAAGAAGCTGCAGAAGATTCTGGACAAGAGCCACGAAATCCACGGAAAAGGGAATTTCCCGACCATCGAGGTGGAACCTACAGCGTTAATTAAGGTAATGGCATTTTTCGGCATCGTTAAAATTGCTGAGTACCGCGATCCTTGTGTTTTTGACGCGACAATAAACCTAAATTATGACAACGGGCAAGATTAATCTTGTCTATAATTCATTCTTTCTTTTACTTTTATTTTCAAGTAGAAAGATTAATTTTTAAGGGTCTTTCTCTTAGGCCGTTTTCGAAAGAATTTTCAATTAAAAGAATTGCACCTGTACGAATCGACAGAAAATCCGACAAAAAGTTCGAATTTTCGCCTCAATTTTTATCTCGAATCTGATTGGCCGACCGGCTGAATGTGGACATTTGATTGGTCAAAAATTTGACGCAATCTTCGGTCAAAATTTACGCATTTTTTGGTCAAAATTATCGCGTTTTTTTTCCATTCAAATCTTCAGTTACCCTTTTCACTTATTCTTTCATTTAGTAAATAATGTAATTAAGGATATTCATGCAAAACTGGGAGAAGCTGGCATCACGGTGGCGCACGTCAAACTGAACGGCTCCTGCGCATCGCACATCATCAGCCACGGTAATAACCGTTATTAATCCAGAAATAGGGGAACAGCTCGCATTCGACTTTGGATTGCGACCAGACTCATTTATATTCACTCGCTTTTCACTGCGCTTATTAGTACTGCTTTCAACTTTCTCGAATCAGGAAACAAGCGATTAGTTTTTGGATCAGCTCCCAAGCTCTCCCAAACCGCTTTCGTTCTCGGTAAAAAACTAAAAGATGTTTTAAGACGACGATATCGGCTTCAAGGACATTGACATAATTTTCAATTTGGCATCCACTATCGATCACCCCGCCCGGGACCGATTGAACGAATCGACCACCTGTCGAACCATCAAGAAACGTAAAAGGACGAAAGAAGAGGAGCAGCGATGGACAACAGTCCGGGTAAGAAAAGAACCCTTCAACTCCACCCTTTTCTAATTGATCTCCCGCGACCGCGAAATAATCGTTGACTTTTAACTTTCAATTTATTCCACGAGGCATTTTTCCAAATTCTCCAAAACTGCCCGGAAGTGGCATTTTTTGTCTTTAATGCTTCTGTTTAGGATACGGTGATGAGTGTGCTTTTGTCGTATTTGCCAAAGGATATTCGCCGCGATCGCCTGACGACGGACATTATGGTATCGGCATACGTCAACAAACTCATCAAAATCTCTAATGAAACCGACAAATGGTCATTGATATCGCTGTCGAATGAAAATGGTGAGTTAAAAGAAGAATAGACACCAAAAATAAACCTTTCTTCAGACATTCGTAAATTACCATAGTGACACCCTTAAGGAAAAAGAACGATTGGGTTTAAACTTAAATTGGGAAACCTAAAAATCGATTTTCGGAGTCAAAATTGTAAATTTCTAAAAAAGTTTAAACATCCCAATTCTTCAAAAACCGATTGCTATTTTTCCTTGCGCCCGAGAATCTAGTCATTTTCGCCGCCTCTTGTTATTTTGAACAAACAAGAGACAAGTTCAATCAACTCCTCAGTCCTTTCAGACCAGAGGGTTTTATTGGCCCAAGAATATATTTCTCGCGAACATTGTCTTTTGATATTTGAACCGCCACTAGCGGTTTTTAGGGCACATGAAAATGGGGTTGAAAATTGCGTTTTTCTTCAATTTTTGATAAAATTGTTTAGGGAGAAATTTGGAACTGAAATTTGTGGAATCAATGAGGAGGCAATTCGAATTTTCCGTCGACAGGTATTTCCTACAGTCCTTCTTTATTGTGAACTGGAATTCTAGCTTTCAAATCACGTTGGATTCGTATTTAACCTACACGTCTGTCACCGACAAAATGGACGCGAGTTTCTTTCCTCTCATCGAAGTCGAGTCCGTTTTTGGTTCTTTCGAAGAAGCAAGGTACGTTTTTCATCCCTTTTTGACCCATAAGATGGGTTCAAGTTGAATTGAGAGCTTCCAATCTATTGCAAAACCACTTTGCTAACACAAAGTCTGGGCAAAGTTTTCTGTGTATTGAATTTAATTCAAGAGCAGCTAGAATCAAGATCGACCATCGATCAAGTTGTTTCTGTCTCAAGTTTATGGCGCAGTTTCTTAGCCCCAAAGATCCGGACAAAGCTTTTCTTTTGAGTCAGGGTCAACCCTTTTTTATTGACATTTCGCGGTCAGGGCGAAAACAATTCACCCTCGTCAGGCTGGTGGAAGCGCTGATTCCGCGCTCCATTGAAATTATTTTTTGATTTTCTTGATTTTCAATTAATCATCGCCATGGCTCAAATAACTAACTTTTTCTCCTTTCAGAAGTCACTTAATAAACCGAAAAATTGTCACCCGATCGCCCGAAGAAATCCGCGGCGGCGGTCTGCTCAGATACTGTAATCTCCTCACCCGCGACTTCACCGTGGAAGAACCTGCTGATGTTCAAAAGCTCCAGTCAATTGTAAGATCGAATTATTCAAATTGGCGCTAGAATTGGCTTTTTTAGATGTGCTCGCGGTTTTTCATCGATTTCCCGGAAATTGAAACGCAAACCAGGAAGATTAAAAGCTATCTTGCCGCGCATTTCAACAGTGATGATGAACTGTCTCTAAGGTAAGCCAGAACTAGGCGGTTTTCAACCTCAAATGGAACCTGTTCTTGAGTCCTTATCACCATGCTCACTATGGTCTTATCAACTTAATTAGGTTCAACTTCATGCTGAGCTTGCAGGCGGTCGTCAACGATAGCACAATTTGTTTGATGTCGCAAGAACGCCAGGAAGTCCTTAATCTTATCATGAGTCTAGCTCAGCAGGTAATAAAACGCTTACTCTTCTCCCTCTTCATTTTTTTCTAGACGCTTTCGGACATTCTTATTCAAGAAGGCTTCACAGTTCAATTTCCGATTCCCGAGCCACCGCAATACGTTCCCGTTTCGACCCACGTGATCGCTCACGTGACAACTCAGGATGTGGCGGAACTTGTCTCGGATCCATCTTCTTCTGGCTTGTCGAGCATCAACTCAGATGACCTCGATCTTGTGAATGATCTTTCGCGCCCGTGCTCAATTTCATCCGTCACTTCTGAATCTTCAGGAATCGTCATGTCGGCAAGCTACTCGAATTACTCTTCTCCATCTCCTGTCGAGGTAAATTCCCATGTTGATACTGATGGCATAATTTTCAAAGTAGAAGGGATGGGTATGGCCCATACCGTATGGGTTCTATCAACCAATCAGAGGCCAGAGAGCTTAAAGAACCCCATACCCCCCATCTTTCACCTTTTGCCTATCTTCCTCCTTATGCTTCAATTTCTCCTAACCCTAACCCCTATTTCAGGAAAAACAAAAGCTCTTATCAGAAGAATGCTCCGCCGAAGTCAGTCCAAAAGTCCAAATCTCCGAAAAAATGACCTGTCCAGCTAGTAGTCAAAGTCAAACTCGCCCAGTCCAAGTCGCACCAGCGATCAGTCAAAACTAATTAACCCAAAATGTCTAAAATGTCAAGAAAAAAAAGTCTACTAGTTCGATTCTTTTTATTTAACCCATCAAAACTGCTGCTGCACTTTTTTCTTTAAAAAACAATTGAATGTCAAATATTTCAAAAACGAAAATAATCATAATTTAAAAGTTACTGTTGCGTGCCCACATTTCTTACTGTACAAATCAACTTTCTTTTTTCTCCTTTTCTTTTTTCAACCTTTCTTTTCTCTATATAAATACTGTAAAAATGACAAATAACTAACTTATTTAAAAAATGCTCCTTAACCATCTTTTTGGTGCCACAAAAACATAGATGCAGTTTCTCTAACCCACTTTCTCTCAATCTGTATTTTTATTTTCCAAAAATGTTCAATGTTGCATGAAAAATGAAAAATGAAAATATTACTTTTTTTTTTATTTTTCTTCAACTCGAGCTGTAGCGTTCAGAAAGTTCCCCAAGTTCAAAAATGAAACACATGAAACTTTGCGATTTTGAATTGTAAAGAAACATTGTGAAGAAAATCTAACTTACTTTTTATCAATTATTAACTTATTCTCGCCAAACAACAACCTTATGAATATACTTTTATTTAATACAGTTTTCGCTAGAAAAAAAACTCTGTAAAAACAAAACTGGCCCTGAATGTTGCTAAATAAACTACATAACTTGAATTATTCTCATGCTTATTATTGAATAATATTTTATTAATAAATAATGTTTGGGAAAATTATTCCAAGAAAGAGAAAAAGAAACATACATGATACAAAACAGAAAATTAAACAGACAAATTTCAAGTTGGTCATTCCTTCAGGTTTGTCTTTTTCGTCTTTTTTGTCAATTTCGTTTTTCTCCTCATCAAGAATTTCCTTCGGCAAAAACTGACTTTGTTCACAAGTCGAAGAATTGATTTTTCCGACCCGAGTCATCATGTGATCTTTATTTTTGCAATCTTGGGCTTTTTCGGCAAGTTTTTCATTTGCGTCTTTCAGTTGAGAAATTGTTGCCTTTTGCTTCTCACTCTCGATCGTCATTATTATGATCTTTTCTTCGAACGCTGAAATCGTCAAGTTTTGATTTTCTGCTTGATTTTGAAGTTCTTCAACTTTTTGAACTAATTCGTCGTTTTTAGTTTTTATCTCGAACTGCTCCTTTTTCTGATTCATCAATTCTGTCTTGTAAAATTGCAATTCGTTTTCGATCATCATTGAAATCTCTGATTTTGAAATGCCTAAATAAATAGTCTCAAATCGGCTGAATTTTCAGTCAAAGATGTCCGAAAAGGGAAGCGATCCCTTAAAATAAGATTTAAAAACAAATACCTTGAACATTTTGTGGGACTGTATCTTTTTCTTTTTCATAAGAAATGAAGCTCTCAGAGTATTGTGACGACTTTACCGACATCTCTTGGCTCGTATATCTCCTGGTCAAACGAGGCGAGAGAAAGTTTCTCTTGTTGCATTTACGATTTTTTGTATTTGCTTTTATGACTGGTTCTCTGAATAATTAACCTGCTGAATCACAGAAAATTTTGACTTGCTTGATTCTCTTTAAGTCCTTATCATCTGAAATTCTCTTTTACCGTCATCAAGTGTTTCTTGTATGGTTTATTCACAACATTTGATTTTTGATTTTAATGAGTAAATGAAATTGTGAGCAGAAAAATTACTAAACCTCTTATTTTTATTACGCCGACCTTATGTTATCAATTCTGAAAGTTAAATAATCTACCTTTTGATATAAAATGCTCAAAAGAACTATGAAAACAATCAGGGACACGATCAGTGAAAGAGCAAGAACAAGACAGATAATTGAATATTTGAGACCGTGGAAGTCACGGTTTCTAAAGCAGCTTTTTAGGCACAGCATCAACTTGTTGGACATCTTGGATGGTTTTTCAGTCTCAAGCTCGTCTTTCTGATCATCGAGAGCTCCTGCCGCGATCAGCCCAATCTCTTCCTGAGGAACACAGATCGCAACGTTATTTGGTTTCTTCGAATATTGGAGATTAATCGCTTCTTCAGTCAGTTTCTCATTTTTCTCCTCTAACTGCGTGATCTTTGATTGTTGATATTCGTTCTCAGTCGTCATCACTTCAATGTTCTCTTCGAAGGAAGCAATCGTTAGCCGTTGAGTGTCCACCTGATTTTCTAAATCGCCAATGGTCTTCGTCATACTAGCGATAGTCTGTGTCTGCTCGTATTGGTTTTTCTCGAAATTCACGAGCTTCGTAATGTAGAATTGTAACTCACTGTCGATCATCTTTGAGATATCAGACTTGCGAAAGCCAATCGCTTAAAAATAATATATTAATAAAGACACTTGTGATGCAGAATCTGAAAGAATTTGACTCCCAAAAGTTAATGTTGAAATTACCTTCAAGATTTTTGGAGACTCTATCTTTCTCTTTTTCGTAAGAAACAAGACTCTCAGTGAAGTGCGAAGTTCTCGTTGACATTGTTGTGATCGCGAATCTGCCGATTCCCTTATTTGGAGATTCGCCTCGTGCACCTGCTGTTCATAACTTTCGCCGGCGCAAGCCTCGTTTTCTGTTCACTCTTTAACTTGAAAACTAGCCTAATATACGCTTTTATAAAAACCGCGGATAATTGCTCTCCAATTCTCTTGCAAGGCAAATCGTTACCACAACATACTGTTACCAGGAAAAATCGACCCCACGGTCCTACAACACCCATTCCCAGCCAGCCATCTAGAGAAGCTAATTTGGGAAGAAAATCATCTTGGTGGACCAATTCGCCGAGAGGAAAACGCAAGTTGTGGTTTCAGCCAATCACGTGGATTAATCCTGAGCGGGAATCAAACCCTTCACGGAGGTCACTCAGCAATTTCGAAACCTATCGAAATTGAAATCTGAGTGCACCAATAAGGTAACGCCATTCAAAAGAGTCACCTAACTGCTTTTCGCCATGTCGCTCGAAACTCTCAAATGGATCCGAGAAACGATCGCTGAGCTAGATGAAGAAATAACGGCGCTCAATTCGCCAAATTCAGCAGCCACAAAAGAGAAAAAAGAATTACAGAAGAAACTCAAGGCAAAGCTGGACATCGCCATCGACGGGATCAAAGTGGAAGGTAACGAGTTAACAAGAGAGCAGGCAAGTGCGATCAAATCCGCGGAAAATGCCCTGAACGAATTAACATACAGCGGGCGAGATTTCGATGAAACATCGGTGTTCACTTCCAAAGTAACACAAATTTACGAAATTTATATCGCCGATGACCCAAAATTGCACGAAATCTTCGCGTCAAAGGTTAAGCTGCGCTTCAGCCCTTCAATTTACTCGCGGCTTAAAAACGCAACAAAATCGACGAAAACTTGGATTGAGCTGCGCGAGTGGTTAAATTTAACATACGATTCGGGATTATCAGCGCTGCAACTCTTAACAAGAGTAATGGAAACGCAATTCGACGAAAATTCACCGTGGAAAAAGTACGCGCAGGACATAGAAGATCGTATGGAGCCGGCTAAAGCCGCTATTTGCGCTCAAATCCGCCGAACCAAAATGAAAAAGAACCCGGGCACACAAGAAAACGACGATAGTAATGCTCCAACCGCGGATGACATATTCGACTTCGTTTCTGCGAGCATTATCGCGGGGCGATTGAAAGTCACGAAACCTTCGGTGCATGCACACATGGCCAATGAATGGGCTCAAATCTCAGATGCTCAAACAATCGCGACAAAAGTCGAATTCCTGATTTCTCAAACAACCAATCAGGGCGGATCAGTATTTTTCGCACGCCAGAGCCAGAAACCAAAGTCAAAAATGCCAATATGCAAATATTTTGCCGCGGGGAACTGCAGAGTCAAAAACTGCAGATTTCGTCACGAGAAACCTAAACGACAAGAAGACCGCGGTAAGAAGACCAACACTTTCGTTGCTCAAGCAAATGAAGAAGAACGTCTACCAGAGGAAAATGAAGCGTCGGTTTTTCTATAAATGCTGGTAATGAGTGCGAATTATCAGCATGCTTATCGTGCAGCACAAATATCACTAATTCTTTCTTCAACACAAAAATTACGCTTATGATGAATGGATTTACACTAAAAGTCACTGCATTGGTCGACAGCGGATCTGACAAATGTATTTTGCCAATGCATCTCCTTCCATCGTCACTTCACAAGTTTATCGAGCCAACTTCAATGGAATTCCGCGGATGTGGAAGAATAAAATCAATTGGTAGGATATCCGCAATAGTGAAAGCTCACCAATCAAATTACAAATTCCGCGGTGTATGCTTTTACATCGTGAGAGAAGGTTTGCCGGCAATCCTCGGCAAAGATTTTATCATAGGACACTCAAGCAGCGAGCACGGAAACTTCAAAATCGCCGGTTATGGAATGGAAATAATGATTCACTCTGGCCGAAGGGTCCTATTCCCTTGGTCAGAAGTCAACGCGCTGTTTAGGATGGAAGTCAGCAAATTAACGACGCAGCAAAAGGTGGAACTACTGGAGAAAACGAAAGAACTAAAACTCGACAACACTATCTTCAAAGGTGAAAATTTCGAACGATTCATCAACATCCTCTTCCGAAAGCAAAAGTTTTCAAAGGGCCAAACGATAAAGTAGGCCTGTTTTCGGAGCAAGTGAGGATCCCGACAATCCCTGGATTAACGAAAAGCGCTCGACCGCGGCCAATAGCCAAACATCTGCAACCGAAAGTAGATGGTAAGATGGAAACGATGCTCAATGGGAAGATAATCGAGGAGTGCCCCGACGGAAAGGGTTTTCACAGTCCACTAGTCATTGTCCCTAAAAAAGACGACGATATAAGAGTATGCTCCGATTTCAAGTCCGGGCTTAACCAGTGCCTCACAGAGGAGACGGACATCTGGAACGTGCCAAATATAGATTGTTTGTTTGCGGACATTGAGACTGGAAACCACATCTTCTCTGACATTGATATAAACGCGGCATATTGGAACATGGAAATCCACCCAGACGACCGACATAAAACGAATTTTTATTATAAGGACAAGCTGTATCAGTACATCAGAATGCCGTTTGGAATGAAACACAGCGGCGACGCATTTTGCAAATGTGTCGCAAAAATGCTAGGGACGGTGAAGCTACAAAACAACTTCAAAAGCTATGTGGATGATATATTGCTACATAGCCGTGACGAAGAAACGCATCTTCAGGTCTTGGAGCAGGTTTTGGATGCCTGCGAAAAATTCGGCGTCAAGCTGGGGGGAAAAAAGTGCAATTTCGGCCGGCGATCAACAAAATTCATGGGCCGACAAATTTCCGCGGAAGGGATAAGCATCCCAGAAGAAAACATGAAAGCAATAAAGGAATTGCAGCCACCGCGGAACAGGAAGGAATTAATGTCAGTCCTCGGAACCCTTGGTTGGTGGAAAAGCTGGATCTCATGCAACGTTGGTGACCGAGTGGCCATCAACTCATTCAGCTCAATCGTCAAAGAAATGTCTGTGCTGAACAGGCAAAATAAACCATTTCAGTGGAATGACGACGCTCAAGCGAGCTTCGATAACGCAAAAAGGATCTTGGCAAGTAATAAGGTATTTAGTCTCCTGATTTTTCTCGACCATTTGTGGTCGTTTGCGATGCATCCAAAGTGGCTATTGGAGGAGCCATTATGCAAAAATTCGGCAACAAACAAAAACTGATCGCCGTTTATTCGAAAACACTGTCGTCAACAGAATCGAAATGGTCAACGACGGAACGAGAAGCTTTCGCACTATTGATGACAATCGAGAAATTTTCATATTATTTGGAGGGAAAGCCATTCTTATGCCTCACCGATCACAAAGCTTTATGCGCCTTGGACAAGAAAATAATGGCAAACGACAAGCTCCAAAGATGGCAAGATCGACTCAGTAAGTTTCGATTTACAATTCAGTACATTAAAGGACAAGACAATTGCCTGGCAGATATATTGTCACGACCGTGGCACAAAGTCTGTGCGAAAAACGAAAACCAAGCGACGAACTGGCAGGAAAATTCTACAATCCGGCCGGAGAGAGCGACCTCATAATTTATATCCCGTCATGGTGCGGTGGTGAAAGTTTACCACAGAAAATGCTCCTCGAAAACAAAGAAGTCGCCGCGGAAATTTATGCTTTAAAATCAGCTGCCACAGGAGTTCTGAGCGAAAACGTACCTATCCTGGAGCTGCGGATAATTGAAAATGCTCAATCAGAAGATAAACTCATAGGTACAGTAAAAACTTTGTAGAAAACAAAATATCCGCGGAAAAATGGCAAGTCCCAGATAGTCTTTACGGCATAGAATCATACAAACGCTGGTCGAAAAATTGGAAATCCATCCGGAGAGTAAAGCCTTGACGATCAACTGGGGGGAAAAGAAGTGCCTTGTGCTTCCCAAAAGCCTTATTCCTCACTATTTAAAAGCTGCTCATCACAAAGCGCACACCGGAGTTGATCGAACAAGGGAATTGCTATCATGGTCGTGGTGGCCCGACCAATTGGACGATATCCGCGGATTTGTCTCAAGTTGCGACATTTGCCTGAAAAGAAAAGGCCAGGACATGCAGAAAGGTAAACCAGATATGCAGACCCTTTACCGTGCCAAGCGACCATGGGAAATCATTTATGTCGACTTTATACAACTCGAGCGATCGAAAACCGGTAAATCATACGCATTAACCATTATGGATGGATACAGTCGTTTCTTGTCAGTTTATCCGACTGCGAGGTGCCGAGCAAGTGACGCTGCTCGCCAAATTATGCGTCACATTCTATTGTACGATTTCCCGAAGATTATCAGCAGCGACCAAGGTAAACATTTCCGAAATGAAATGCTGAGTGAGCTTTGTCATTTGCTTGGAGTCAAGCAGAATTTACATGTTCCTTATCGCCCGGAAAGTACTGGATGCCTAGAGCGATCGCACCGTGTTCTCAAAAATGCGTTATATGGAATCGCCTTGGAACGAAATCTGTGTTGGGAATTAGTTCTACCATCAGTGGTGAGTACTATGAATAAATGCAAAAATGTGGCAACGCGCGTCTCGCCATTCGAAATTATTTACGGAAGAAAACCTTCGTTCGACGGAATACAAATGGCCGAAAACCCATCCGCGGATTCTCCAAAAACGTACGCCACTGAAATAGCCGCGACCCTAAGCCGCGTCCACAAGCTCGTCGATTTAGCTCAATCGGAAGCAGACCTCGTCGCTAAAAATAAGGGAAAATCTATAATTGAACCAATAACGATAACCAAAGGCGACAGAGTTCTGCTAAAAAGACCCATGTCCGCGGAAACGAAGGAGAGCAAGGGCGCTTGGAATGGACCCTTTGAAGTGGTGGACACTAATGGCGTTATAGTTCGACTGGACATTAGTGGAAAGCTCAGTTGGGTACACCGACATCACTGTATTCTCTACAAGGACCGTCCACAGCACCTGGACCCGGATTATTGCGGCCAAAATCAACCCGAGAACCCCGTTGTTAAGAAACGACCCGACGCTGAACCGGCCTCATCGTTCACCGAAAGATATCCGCGGCGCGCCCGGAAAAAGACTGTACCTTTCCAAGCAAGATCATAACAAATCATTTATTATCACTATTTGATCAGAAAAGACAACGAGGAGGCTTCAAGTCGACGAACCCGCTCTCGTCACCAACTTGGACTCTGCGTCGGTCAACCTTCACGCCAGTCGAATCTGGGGGATGTTGTGATCGCGAATCTGCCGATTCCCTTATTTGGAGATTCGCCTCGTGCACCTGCTGTTCATAACTTTCGCCGGCGCAAGCCTCGTTTTCTGTTCACTCTTTAACTTGAAAACTAGCCTAATATACGCTTTTATAAAAACCGCGGATAATTGCTCTCCAATTCTCTTGCAAGGCAAATCGTTACCACAACAACATCTCAAAAAAATTTCCTTTTTCTCGCGGATATGCTTCTTCAGAACCTGTTATACAATTATGAATTCACCACATTCGACAAAGTGCCGCCGTAATACGTACTATTTAATGACTTATGAGTAGGTTTCAGACTAATTGCCCAGGTATTTCATTTACATCGGAAGTGTTCGCTGACCTTTACCATGAAAAATAACAATTATTCTAGCTTATGGGGAGCCTTTTTCTGAATAAAAAATACAAATCAGGAGTAAGCGTTTCCTCAATCACGAAAAACGGAAGTTAAAAAATACTCACTCGCCTTCAAATTATGATTTTACAATGGCTTTCCCTTTTATTTACGAGAAAAGATGCGAAACCGGCTGAACCGGGGCCAAGAGAATTTGGAAAGATCTGGAATTTTCAGTGGAAATTTTCATTGAATAGGGATGAGAAATTTATTGGCAATAAATTATTCCTAAAAAATTGAGTTTTTCAATGATCATTCCTCTTTTTGCCAACAATAACAAAAGAACCTACGATTCCAGAACCAGTTATTACGGTGGGACCAAAAATCGAGAATCAAAAAGAAACTACTCCTCCTCCTCTTGCTACTCCTCCGCCTGTATTTTCGCCCGGTTTCTACCGCGGCTCCCAGAAAGCCTTCCCGTCATTTCCTGGTTGCAAGCGGCCCTGTTCGGGTGTCGGGGAATGTGCAGCGCATATTTGTGATGGGTACTGTTGTAAGAGAGACACGCAGGCATGTCCGGAACAGGCCCGTGCTCTTGTAGGAAACGGATCAATCTTTGTTTCTAGTTTTTAAAGTACAAGTTAACTAATTTTGATTGAATAACAGTGAAGTGTGTTATCAATATTTTGATCTCAACGGAAAGAAGGAACAACATATGAGTGTATTACGTGGTTTGGGAAAAGGCTTAAGAGATTTATGATGTTTTTTGACTTAGCGAGCAACCAATCTGAAAGCCTTTGAAAAGCGATCGCTCTGAAATGCCTGCTCCAGAGCTGACCTTTGTTCTTGGCCCAAAATCAAAACCATCTTGGGCAGAAGAGTCTGAGTCCTCTTCTAATGTTGCTGAAATCATAGAAGACTCCTGCGCCTGCTCCGTTGAAGACCTTCCCTCTGAAGCTGGACAAATGAAAGCCGAGTGCACCAGCTCTAGAAATGAGGGCGAATGCAAATGTTCATTTTCTTGCAAAAATTCTCCAGAAGCAAAGACAACTGTGGCGACCTGCAAGCTGACTCATTCGAGAGTTGGTGTTTCGCGATATTTGAACCTTGAATCAGAAACGGAACTGGTGCTTGATCAAATTTATGATTTCGACAAAAACAGCTCGATGGAAAAATTTGTCAGAGCGGAAAGACTGCAAAAGGCGGATTATATCTGGCAATATCCCAAGCTCGGCTTTATGGTAGGACATTCATCTGTAGAGATCGGCGTAAAAGGCGATTTCTAGTGCGATGAATTGGACTGCAAAATGCGAATTACTAGCAATCTTCCTGAATTCCGATCAAAAACGAGTTTTGTTGATTCTGACACTCCAAAGGCAGCCGCGACAAAGAACCCTGTTTTGTCAGAAGAACAAGGTTGGTACTTGACGTTTTCTGATGAGTTCAACAAAAAAGAGCTCAACAAGCTGAAATGGAGCGGGGTAGATCATCATCGAGGCTTTTTTGACGGAAAATCTGTGGGTCGTTACAGGCATTGTTTTTCATTTCCTCTTCCTTGATCTCACTAACAATGAAAATACAAAAACAGCTGGTACTGGCGCGAGAGAAATCTCAATTTTCGAGCTGGAAAGCTCTCCCTCGGCTTCGAACACGACTGGACAATGCATGATAAAATTGGTACTCCAGTTCTTTCCTCCGCCCATATCAATTCCGACTGCAAGTTTGCGCAGCAATACGGCTTTTTCGAAGCTCGAATCAAAGTTGTCTATCCAGAGGGCCGGCAATCTGCATTCTGGTTGAATTCGAATTACGTTAGAAGCTCTAGAATTGAAGGAAAATGAATGAAATTAAGGGAACGCTGGGAAAAGGCAATACTTTTGAAAATTTTGTACCAACTGGAAATGCGTCAAAAGGTGAGTTGCACCGAAAAACCGTCCTCCATGATTTCAGGCGCTGAGATCGACATTATGGAGGCGAACTATAAAACTGACGCGTACACAACCAACATTCACTGGGACGGATACCATGAGCATCATAAAACTTCTTTCGGAAAAGTGTGGACTTGGAATGACCAGGGAAAACGAACCCTTCTCACTGATCCGATAAAATATCACAACTTCGGGCTCAAATGGACTCCTGATGCTATTGGTAATGAATATAGTAAAGATAGTTGAGGTTCTTATTTTAAGAATTCTACTACGACGGGAAAAAGAAAAGAAGAGTGACTGATAAAAACGCGATTCCGCACACGCCGCTGTATGTAATTTTGTCAGGGGGAATTTTCGACTCAACCTGGAGCGATGGAGAAATCAAGGCTGCTGAGTTTCCGGATTATATGCTTGTAGGAACGAGTTTAAAAAAAGGGACCGGAGTTGATGATTGATTTTTCGACTCGTTGAAAGATTGGGTTCGGGTTTACCAGCATCCCGATTTCGAAGATGCTGTCGATCATAATAATCTTTAAAAACTATAAATTGTCATTTTTATCGAGTTTTCTTTTTTTATTCTGAAATTAACATGTTATAAAAGTTCAGATGAGAATAAAACCAGCATCATCAAACGAACGCTTCTTTTGTTTTTCTTTCCGCCACTTTTTGCCATTTTCCGTTCACTTTCACGCGTTTGATCGTGAAATTCTTCTCTAGAAGAATTTTATTCTTCTTCTTCTCTTTTTCTCTCTCCTCTTCCCTCTTCTTCGCTAATTTTTCTCGATGACGTCCATCTCGGATTGCGAGAATGCAAATTTTCAACCAGCCCCACAAAGCCAAGACCACAGAGCACAGACCACCCATCAGAAACATAAAGAGACAAAACCAAAGAAGCCATACGTAAACAAAAATAAGGTCCAAATCCAATTAAAAATTATTACCAAAACTACGAAAAAATCACTCGCGGAGGAATCATTTGAGAGACCTCGGAGACCTCTTGCTCTGAACCTCCCACCTCGAGCTGCCATTCCATTTATAAGAAGAAAAAATTTTATAACTTTCATCCTTTCGCTGCTCCACTCGTTTACGTTAGTTATCAAAGCCGCGTTCTCAGCCTCTCCAGCGATTTTGAATGACGAATGATTGGATTGAAGAAATGGAAAAAAGAAATTCTAATTGGGAGATTTTTTATTTGCTTTTTCTTATTACGTAACACTGCTTAATTTTAGGTTTAAATGCTCTGACAAAGCGATTTCAAAGAAAAAGCTTAAGGGGGTAGAAACAGCTTTTTTCGAAAAAAGGCGATTTTTGACTGGCTCTACAGACGAGAGAATCTTAGATTGTCAAAATTTCTCTTCGGGTTCGGACTGATACATCTTAGATCTAGAAACATCTCACTTGAAATTTATTTAAGTCATCCAATTATTGAGTAAGCGGGCTCGGAAGCAACTCATCTCTCCGAAATTCCCGATTTTCGCCAATTTTCAAACTCGAATAACTCGAGTCACGTTATAGCTAAACAAGTTTGATTCATATTTTTGTGAAGTTCAACCCCTTTTCTAGGAGCATTTACGAGTAAATTCCCTTAAAATAAGTAAATTTTATGTTTTCTTTTATGCGGCTACAGTCCTAAATCGAGAGAGCTGTTTCTACCCCCTTAAGGGTACCTGGGTCGAGATGGCCATCTTTGAGGGTAAATTACTATCCTCAATTCTTAACGAAAAAGCTCCTCAATAGCTCATTCAACAGATCTATCCTAGATCTCGGATCGTGACAGAGCAGTTTTTTCGATTTCAAAAATTTTTTTCAGAAAAAATGCCCTCAAAGTTGGCGTCTCGGCCTAAAATGGCCAACTTTGACGCTAAATTCAGGCGAAATTTTTCATACAAACATTTTTTTTCTTTATGGATACATAAAGTCTAAAGCCTCCTCTTCAATCGTGACAGAACAGATATTTGGATTTCAAAGATTTTTTTAACAAAATTTTCAGAAGATTGGTCTAATCTTCACAAATTCCGCATTTTTGCTCTGTAAGCTTCCATTTTCCCCGGTTTTGAACTGAATTTAATTTTCTTGGGAAATTTTAAGCTTCACTACGATGTTAACCAGGCCATAAGCTTTCATTTAAGCCCATAATCAGCAAAATTGGAGATGAAAAATTTTTCGTCAAAACTTGAGGCACTAGCATTTCCAATAGATTTTATACTTTACAGTGGTTTTTGACCGTGAAAACGTTTAGATAGCCATAGGGTCATTATAGAGTTTTTTGTTCCTCAGAACCTGAAGAATTCGATTCTTTGGTCAGAAAATGGTTTAAGGGGGTACCCAAACTCGACCTAGGGGTAAAAATAGGTTAAGGGGGTAGAACTAGGTTTTTCGAAAAAAGCCGATTCTAGACCGGCGCTCAAAGCCAGGAGAGCTTAGATTTTAAAATTCTCTCTTTGGCTGAAGATAGAACAAACCTAGATCTAACAACATTTTTCTTAATTTTTTTTTTCGTCAACATATTTTGGCGTTAGAGAGCGAAACTTCGACCCACCTCTTCGAAAGTTGAAATTTTTGCATATTCGCGTCCTCGAATTTCTCGAGTCACGTGACTACCCAAAATTTTTAAATCTCATTTTAAGATTATTTAACCCTTTATCTAGCAACATTTTTGAGGAAATTGCGTAATCATAAGTAAAAAAAGGTTTTTGTTATTAAAAGGTGCCTCCCAAAAATCACGATTTCTCGAAAAATCAAGTTCTACCCCCTTAATGCAGCAATAATGCTCGCGATTATTTTTATTGACCAGCTAAAGGAATATTCTCTCCGGACTCGTCTTCTTTCTCGTCGGTTTTATCAACGCTGCACCAGCAGCAACAGGCGATAAGAACGAAGACAGCAGCTATTCCAGCAATCCATTCCTAGAAATTTTTAACAATCATTTTCATTTGGGAGTCATAATTTACCCAAAATTCGGCGATAAAATAACCCGAACCGTTACCACCAGATCTTCCTCTTCCTCCTCGGCTACCTCCACCTCCTCTTCCTCCTTTGGCCGCCACAAAGTTCTGCGTAATAAAAAGAATGAAAATTTGAATGCTTTTTGTATTTTTTCTCATATTTGAATTCTCCTGTTTTTGATGGAAAAAGAAAGCTTCAGTTGACCGAGAAAATGAGTTTATACGGTATATTTGTTTGAAATCCCAAGGGTCAATAATAGACCGTCTATTAGGCGGTACTTTCAAATTCGTGCTTATTCATCAACTCATCCCTCTCTTCGAAAAGAACGTGAAATGATAGATGAGAAGCTCGTCAAAAAAGATCGAAGAATTTTGAAAAAATTATAATAAATTTATTTATTCACAAATTTGAAAAAAGTCGTTTTTTTATAAATTGGCTTCAAGAAGCATCTTGTTCCTCATTTTTCTTTCGTTGCTCTTTTCAGTAATTTCTATGACTCGTTTGATATTCGCGCATTTTCGACCGAGTCGCAAGAGTTTTTGGTTTTTTCGGCAAGACCCGTAGATGTGCTCGAAATAGTCGCCCAAGTTTTGGCAGAGTGAATCGATGTCGCTGATGTTCAAATCGCAGTTCGACCCAACCAACGACTAAAATAAGCAATTATTCACAAATGAAGATGATCTTACTTTATCCGGATTGACGAAATCCTTCAAGCACTCCCTCTCGTTCTCCGTCTCTTTCGCCGCTCTAGAACCATGCGCTGCATAAACTGCTTTGACCCGAACAGCCCACTTCTTCATCCTCGATCTGGCGGTCTTGTTGATTCTCCTCTTGATCGCGCCTTTGTGAAGATGCTGCTTTGTATATCGCGGGAGATCAGTTTCGAAAGCCTTGTCGATTGCCGCTAGAATTCCAGCGTTCAGTTGTGGGTTGGAACATTTGTCGTCGAATGTGTCATCGCATTCCCATTCAAGAGAGAAGCCGGATGAGTGGATTTGCTCGTCGGAGAGGAAGTTGATTTCCATTGTTGGGTAGGAGACTCGATTCCAGAGAAGATAGCCCAAAGACTGAACGACTATTTAGCCAATAAGATTCAAGAATAAAACACATAAAAAAGCTGAATCTATTCACTTTTCTCATTTTGGCGCTAGAAACATACCCTTGGGTTTCCGGCGTGTTTTCCATTGTCAACATAAACGTAGTCGTCGAAATCGCCCGTGATGAACTCCTCTCCTGGATGCCCCGGCTCCCTATCCGTGTCCCACTGGCACAGTCGCGGCGTTTTCTCACCTGTACTCTTGTCGCCGTAAAATACCTGAACATGATCAAAAGAGCACATCCACCACTTGACATTGTCCGACTCTTCCTGATTCTGATAATACTGCTCGTAATAATAGTCATTTTCATAAGTATCAGTATCATCTTCAATTGAGAAGGAAGTGAAGCGCCATTTCAGGGCTGAGCAGGAGGAGTCGATCTTCCAAGTGCACCTGAAATTTTCAGTAAGATAAGAGCTTTCATAGCAAAACAAGACTTCCAACCATCGTCCTGATTTTCGACCAGAAAAAAGCCAAATAAAAAATTTTGTTTGAAATTTTGAAATTCTAGCTTTACTTGGTATTCATCGGGTAGGGATTTTTTGTAGTGACTCTTCCAGCTGTTGAGTCTTCGTTGATTTCAACCTTTCCGCATCTTTTTGGCTTTGAAAGAGGCTCCAGGATGAAATCATTTTTCATAATATCACCTAAAAAGAGTCTTATTTCTTGGACACCATAATGATCATTAGTGTAAGAGGAGGCGGTAGATCGAAATCTATCTTCATTGAGAAATGATACTAACACTTTATTGAGACTACAATCCAAAGACTCATCAGTTTTCCTACCTATAAAATCTCTTTCATCAGTTGGTTCTCCCATTCTTCCGAGACTGATCGTCTTATTCGGCCTCGCGTCGGCATGACTGTACAAAATTGTATACAAAAATATCTTCATCTTAGTATCTTTAGTTCCCAAAAAAGGATGAAATTCAAATCTGTCAGCAACGACTTTTTGAATTTTCGACTAAAATTTTTTTTGATAAATCTTCTTTTTGGCTGCGACTTATATAGACGTGAGGATAAACCTAGCGGCGGCTTAGCTAGAGCGATTCTAGCGTCAAAAATTCGCGAATCCACAGTGCGAAATCGGCGGTTTGTAAGGGCAATCCGTTTTGAAAAGGCAGAAATTCAATTCATATGTTGAAAACTCGCACACGTGGAGTGATAAAAAGAAACCGCTAAAACGGAAATTCGGAAATTCAATAAATGTTTCTTGACCAACTTTCTTTAAAAAGTTGCATCTCTAGCCGGAATTTTTCCGGAAAATCGGAAATTCGAGAAAATGGCGAGAAGGAAAAGAAAAAAGGATGAATTTTAAGAAATGTTCAAGACAGATTCGTTCATTTCCGGCCTAAGGAGACAAAAAAAGACGATTTTCTTCGTTTTTTTTTGTAGAAAGACGCCCTTATTTTTTACGATTTCTGTAAAAAGAGACCTTTCTTAGCCCCCTAAAACGTTAATTATGAAATTTTGAAGGAAACAAGGGCCCAAATATATATTGTTATCCTCTTACCACGCAAGGGTGGCGAATTAAAAATTTTAACCGACAATGATCCTTCCGTTTTTGCATAAAAATCATCTTCACAACCTAAAATTGGACTCAAAAAGCAGCTTAGGAAGCTAGAAAAGAAGATTTACAACGAATTCAGGCCAAATTTGATCATTTCCGTTCAACAAAAAAAAAACATGGCAAAGGTTTTCAGAGTCTGTGCTGAAAAATACAGTATTTACTTTGCGATAAGAAAGAAGTCCAATTTGCCCCAACTACCGCCAAGAATTTGACTTTGAGACTCTGTGTGAGAAATCCCTGTGTTTGAATAATTGCTGGATTATTTGCACTGTGGGGGATTTTGAAGACCGAGTGATAACTATCGCCATCTCCCGCCGAGGCGAAGGCGATCTCAACAAGACAATAAACTGTTGAAATGGCGACGATTGGAGGGCAAATTCGTGGAAGTAGTTTCAAACTGATTTGGTGCTATATCCGGGTCTCGGCTCGAAAACCTGAGTCAGGGTCTGTTTTCCGGCTTATTTTACAAAAAAAGCCGCTACGAGGCTTTTCATGAAAGATTTCTCAGACCCTGACTCAGGCTTCTACACAGGTAACTGTGCAAAGATCCGAGAATTTTGCCTTTGAAAATTTATTGGATAAAATTTTCACACGTTAGCAAAACTTATTTCCAAAAGCGTATAAAATCTGAGCATACTAACGGGCAGCAGGTGCATAATTTGGTAACTTGCGCAATCAATTATCAAATGAACGGGTAAGCCACCATGGTAATTCGCGGTCCAGACCGGTTACCCTTCTTTTCTTTTAGTAGCAAGAAGGAAGTGTACAATATACATTGCATAAACAAACTAAATCTCAGTTTCAGAGGAAACGAAAAAATGAAAGATTGAACTTGAAGTTGGATCATCAAATGAGGCCCGAAATGCGAATTTTTGTTTAAAATTATTCGGTAGAACCGCTAAGGACTGGTTAACAAGATCCTTGACAATTTGGCGACCCAAATTGAACCTGAAAGAAGTTGTCTGCGATTTTCGAGTCAAAAATGTAAATCGAGAATGTCGTTTTTCCAAAAAGTTAATATGGTGACACCCTTATTTTCTTTTGCCAAAGGATAGGTTAGACCCTAAACTAGCTCCAAAAGAAATTTGATTCTGAAATTTCGACTCGAAAAAATACTGCTAGAATTTTCTGGGAAAGAGTAGTGTGAATTAACTACTGTATTTACATTATTACGACTGTCGCCAAATCTCAATCTGCTTCATTTCCGATCTAATCGAATTATCCGAAACGGTAGAATACGCATCTTCAGCTCGCTGCACCTGGCTCAGGTACCCACAGTTATGGTGACCCTAAAATTTTCGCGCGATTTTACGATAGCGAGCGCGATAAGAAACGACTGGGATCAGATTTTGGGCTTTATCCGAGAAAAGGTCGAATAAGGGGATCCGGTGCTTATTTTTGCAACTGTAGAAGGGAATCGACTGTAACTCAGAAAACTCTAGTGTATTGAAATTAGCTGAAGATCATTCTCATCGAAATATTTTCGAAATTTCACCGAAAGTTTTTTCGAAATTTTACCGAAAATTTTTTCGAAATTTCACTGAAAATTTTTTCGAAATTTTACCGAAAATTTTTTCGAAATTTTACCGAATAGTTTATCGAAATTTCGCCGAAAATTTTTTCGAAATTTCACCGAAAATTTTTTCTTAGATGAAAAAGCCTCAAGCGGCTTTTCGACTATGAATCCTTCTTTTAGTGTTTTCAAAGCTCAAAAATCATCAAATGAATTCAAGGGCCACTTTTATTCTTTTTCCTTTTTCAGAGAAAATTCTAGGAACTAAAATGCATCGACAAAAACTGAATCGAGATAAGAGAAGTCCGTGATGATCAAAAGCGTTTCAGGTCGGCGCCGCGGGGCAAGGTCAAAGGTCGCACACCTTGCGCGGCGCATCAAAACCCCGCTTACTAGCAAGGTTGAAATCAATTTGTACTTTTTCGGTTTTCTTTTGCTTTTGACACTAGCATAATGATGCCCTAGTTTTATAGTTTTTGATCTTGGCTCTTTTGAGTTTTAAATTCTTTGAAATAAATATGTTCAAATAAAATTTTATGAATACTTCGAATATACAGTCAAAAAAGGAGGGAGAAGACACCTGATCGCGGAAAGGGATGGATTTCCCCCAGTTGACTAGGGATTTTCTCCGAAGCAGACGCCACAAGTGCAAACTTCTGACAAGCCCGCATGATTTCAGGATTTGCACCTCCCGGAGAATTTTCTTTGATTACAGACTTCCTTTTTTCAATTGCAAATAACTATCACGAGAACTCTCTTAAATCTTTGTCAAAAGAAGAAAAAGATGATTAGATTTCAAAATGACATTTTTCTTGCATTCATACTTTCTTTATTCTAATTAATAATTAGTTATTATGCTTCGTTAAAATAAAATTGTGCGATTTTCATTTAAAAAAAGCATTATTTATTCGGTTCTGAAGAAAAAAATGATAATTTGAGAGTTGAAATGGCTAAAACCAGTTTTTAGGATGATCTTTTTACAAGTAGTTCGATTATCTCAGCATACACTATATTTTATGATTCATATTTTAGAAATTATGAATCTAAGAATAAATATTCGTAGTCAATAAAAATGTAGACGCTTATCGTATTAACAAATCTTTCCCCCACTTACCTTAGTGCACCTCCCTTCTTTCCAATCATCCTTCGCAATCTTTTCCCTCCAAGATGGCGCTGTGCCCCGCGCCGTGCCCAGAGGCGCGCTCCGAACTTGATAAAACTCAACCCTGAGCTTCTTGTCAGCATAACCTCAATTCACAATCCAACCATCAAAACAGAATAAAAACCTCAAAGTCAAAAACAATTTTTCAAAAAAACTCCACAGATACTCGAAAAACAGAAAAAATGCAGTATCAACAAGCACAGAGATATCCTCAGCCACACTCAGCTCAAGGCTACGGCCCAGAGATGAGCTTCAGAGAGAACTTTCGATCTATGCCAGCTAAAGGTAAGCTTCAGTCACTTTTCAATCCTCTTCTTGAATAAGATTTTTCAAGGAAAACTTTTTAAAAAAGCTGCTAGCGGCTTTTGAGTCAAAATTTTCTTCTAAAATTGAAGCTTATCAAAAAAGATTTTTTTGATTTCATTTTTTATCGTTCAAAATTTCGATCCATCTAACCCGATTTTTCAGCTCACATCGAGATCATCCCTTGCAAAGTCTGCGGCGACCGCTCCTCCGGAATCCACTACGGCATCATCACCTGCGAAGGCTGCAAAGGCTTCTTCCGCCGATCGCAGCAGAACAACGCCCGATACAACTGCCCTCGCACCGGAAATTGCGTCGTCGACAGAACCAACCGCAACCGCTGCCAAGCCTGCCGACTGAAGAAGTGCCTCGCCCTTGGCATGTCCCGAGACGCTGTCAAGTTCGGCCGAATGAGCAAGAAGCAACGAGATCAGCTGTACATGGAAGTTGTCAAGCACCAAAACGCCGAGGCTCAGCAGACTCCAATGCCAGACTACTCCAATGTTCCACAGCTCCAGATGCCTTACTCAGCTTCTCAAGGTAAAATAAAAAAAAATCAGCTTAAAAGAATTAAATCAGGAAAAAACCTAACCTTCTTATTCAGGCTCTTACCCAGCTCACCAGGCACACGCTCACGCTCAAATGGCTCAAGCTCACCAAATGGCTCAACTTCAAGCTTACCAGCAAGCCCAGCAACTCGCCGCCGCCCAGGGCCGATACTACCCAACTCCCACTCCTTCCTACCCGTCCCAGGCCGAGCTCGACGAACTCGTCAAGGACATCACCGCCGCTTTCGCCTCCTCCACCGAATTCGATCGACGTGAGATTTATGCTCTTTGCCAGGGATCTGTTTACACTGACAGCGAAATTGAGCACTACCAGGAACTCGCAGAGGTAAGACTCAAAGTCGATTTTAAGTAAAAAAAGGAAAAGCCGCTTGCGGCTTTTTCAATCTAAAGTTTATCCTCAAAAGCTTCCCTTTAAAATTTTCTAACCCTTCTTTTTCCAGGACGAGATGTGGGGCCTTTGGGCAAATACCCAAGTCGACACCCTCTTCCGCTGCTTGGAATTCGCCCGCGGCATCGGCGCCTTCAACTCGCTCGAGGAAGCCGACAAACTCAACCTCCTCCGATCCGGCGCGCTGGAGATGATCCTCGTCCGGATGAGCCGCGAGATCAACCTCGGAAACATGACTGCGATTTGGAACAAGAAGTTCGCCCCTGCCGCCATGTTCAACGCACTTGGTAAGCAAAGAAAAGAGTACTATCGACCCAGTTACAAATTCCCATCGAGCTTCAAGGGCGATTCCGATCTCGGTGGGCGTTCGCGACTCTATTATACAATATTGACTCAGGCTCCAGCCGAGATTTTCCACCGCACCGCGAGATTTTTATCATCGCCAAGGGAGGGCCGATTAGGGCGATTCCCAGAAAATTTCAAATTTATCAAAAGTCACCCGCTTCTTTCAAACACAAAATTGGTCCTTTTCCCAATCCTCAGAAAACCTCAAGAAAAAAACTTGACTTTCATTCTTGATTTCTAACCCTCCATTTTAGGCTGCGAAAAACTCATCGCTTCAATGTACGACGCTGCCGCAAATCTCGCCCGCCTCGCACTTTCTGATGACGAGTTGGCTCTCTTCTCCGCTGCGGTCCTCCTCTCATCCAGTAAGTCCCCACAAAGCCAACCAAGAGCTCTATTAACGCACCATCTAGATCGACGCGGACTCGTCGAAACCCACAAAATCGCCGAAAAGCAAACCCTGATCATCGCAGCTCTTCGATCGAAGCTCATGCAGCGCGGACAGAATCCCTTCCCCGTTGTTCAAAAGGTAAAACAAACTCGAAATCAAGGAAGACACTTTCGTCAAAAGAAAAACTCTCAAAATATTTTATCAACTTCTTCATTTCAGATCTCCGAGATTCTCCCCGAAATGGCTCGAATCAACCAACTTCATGCCCAGCAACTCTCTTCCCTCAAACTCGAGCACCCAACTCTAGAACTTCCTTCAATCTACACCGAGTTGTTTCTCCTCGAGCACGCCTCCGCCACCACCATCGCCGAGCTCACCAAGGTCACTCCCTCCGCCACCCCAGAAGCCCCAGAAGACTTCACTCCTCACACCATCTTCGCGGACTTGGGCGACCTCTCTGCTCAGCCCGGCAGCCACGTGACCTTCGAGAACCTCGCCCATCTGGCATCGGCATATGTCGGCGGACAGTTCGAGTTGGCCGAGATAACTGTAAGTTGAATTGAAAATATCGGTGGATAGATTTTTAACACTTGCTTTTTTAGTCCACTGGGTCAGGCAATAACGACTCGGACTACTCCAGCTGCAACTTGGCGAACTCGACTGGAATCGCTTCTTCTGACTCTGATTCCGGAACTCAAAGGTAGAAATGGCACATTTTATTCAGTATCTCATCCTTTCTTTCTAGCCCCGAGCGAAAGTACTCCACCGAGGACGAGCTCAACATCAAAACCGACTTCGACACCGACAGCACCAAGCTCTTCCACAGCTTAGAGACACTTTGCCAGTCGATCAACCCGGTAAGACCTCAACTTTTATTTACAAAATTCTAACTCTATCTTCTCAGTACACTCAGCAATAATGCTGCAATCCAACACGCGCTTCCAGTTAATTCAAATCCGCTCTTCAACTTTATTTTCTTCAACAGGATTGTTCCTGAAAAAAACTCTCTTTCGTTGTAAATTTTATCCTATTTTTGTACATACAATCACTGCCTGTAAATATCACAATAAAATTATAAAACAAAATCTCAGTCATGTGTTTTTTTCGACTTGTTTAGCCTCAGGACTGTTGCGCCTCGATTTAATGTGTCGATCTAATTCTTGCATACTAAGCATAAAATTCAGTCTTTAATCAAATTAAGTGATTGATTTTCTTCGTGCGGCCTCAGTGAATTTGCCAAGTCCCACCTCAATATTCGAAGATCAAGAAAAATGAGAGACAACTTGATACTCCTGCCATGTTACGCCATTTTTCACCCTGTGCAAGCTAAAGGTGGACCAAGGTGGACCAGGGTGGACGTGGAGGAAAGGGTGGAAAAATGGGGGTTAAGTGGGGCCTTTGGAGAATGGGTAATTACGAGTTGTAAATTATTCGTGAGTATTTAAGGAACCTGTTTAAAATGCCCTCAGGGTACGAAATCACCCCTCACTATCAATAGTCAAAATGATCCCCAGCTTCTGGGCTTTCTAAATCTGTATTATATGCCCACCCTACTAAGCTAGAAAAAAAGCTCAATTATTAGTGATTTCCCCTACAGATGACGAAGAAGACGACAAAAAAGACGATCAATCGGATGAAAAAATCTATGGTACTTTTGCAGAGCCTCAATAAAAATAAATTCTTTCCGATCGAAGACTTCATTTTCTTTTGCTTATCAAAGATTTGCTTATTCTATATTCGCTGTTATTTTGGCCTAGAAGACATGGAAGAAGAAAAAATGAGAGGTTCTCTAAAAATCACTGTATCTTTACTTCTCTACGTTGACTTTGTTCAAGCGAAAAGAGGACGAGGAGGAGGAAGAGGTGGAAATGGGACTTTTATATTTGTTGGAGATTTTGAAGGATGGGTAATTCACAGTTGAACTTAATTGCTGACACTTTTCTTCGTATAGGAAAGTGTTTTCTTTGTTTTGGCTACCTTGATTGTTGCTTGTTTGTTCAAATGTTGCTGGGATTGCTACGTCTCTGGTCTCGCAGACAACAAGGAAGAAGACGGAAAAGAACCCGAAGAATCGGCAGAAAATATTTTGCTGGAAGATCAATAAAGACTTTCAAATTGACCGCCAAAATGACGTTCTTGGAAAAAATTCCTTCTTCGAATAAAATTAATTACTATTACAATATTGCCAATTCTGCATAAAAATTCTTCGCCAAGCCTCGCTAAACCTGCAAAGCCGCGCGTCTTTGTACAAAAATCAACGAAAAATGAGATATTCTTTCAAGATCATTTCATTTTTCCTCTTCTTCAGTTTCGTTCAAGCAAAAGGAGGCCGAGGAGGAGGAAGAGGTGGAAAAGGTGCTATTCAACTTGCAGGAGCTCTCGAAGGATGGGTAATTCACAGTTGAAGTTTATTGCTGACGCTTTTTTATAAATAGGAAGATGTTTTCTTTGTCGTGGGTATTCTGAGTCTTGCTTGCTGTCTGCAATGCTGTTGGTATGGCTGCCTGAGTCTTGCAGAGGGAGTTTTGAAAAGTCTCGCAGAAAATAAAGAAGAAGGCGGACAAGGAGACGAAGAATCGGGGGAAAATATTTTGCTGGAAGATCAATAAAGACTTTTAAATTTGCCGCCAAAATTTAATTCTTGCACTCTCTGCAGAAAATTTCTTCTCTAAGACCCACAGGCTATGAATGAATAAAGAGGAATCGTGACCAAGAAAACTTGAAAAATCGATTTAGAATGAGAAATTCCAGCAAAATACTATTGCGACTATTTCTGCTTTTTCATTCAATTCATGCTACAGACTACAGAAGAGTGGATGCAAGAAAAGAAAGCTTATTCGGCCTCGGCGAAAATATGGCGTGGGTAAAGGAAAAGAAAGTTTGGTCATTTCTCTAAATTCTTTTATAAGGATGGTTTGATTATGGTTGCAATCATTTTGACAAGTGCGTGCTGCTGTCAGTGCTGCTGCTATGTTTGTGGTTTTCTAGTGGCTATTTTTGGCGACGAGGAAGAAAACGAAAACTCAGGAGAAAATATTCCGTTTACTGCTTGATAAAAAAATTAAACCAAATAAAAGTCTATTAATAAAATGATGAGTGAACCATCGATGATGATAATTTACATTTTTGGAAAGTCGGGTGTGCCCTTTATCGACTTAGAGGCGTCAACCTGGAAAAAGAGATATAAAATCAGAAATCTCAAGCTCTAAACTTCATCATCTGAAAATCAACGATGGCCGAAGCAAATCCAGAGCTAGTTTGTGCTTATAAAAATATCCTCAAAAATATCGGAGAGGATCCAGAAAGAGAAGGGCTCTTGAAAACCCCGGCGAGAGCGGCAAAAGCGATGGACTTTTTCACAAAGGGGTACAAAGAAGACATAAACGACATTCTCAACGGGGCGATTTTCACCGAGAAAAACGATGAAATGGTGATTGTCCGGGACATCCGACTCTACAGCCTTTGCGAGCATCATCTCGTCCCATTTTTCGGAAAAGCGCATGTTGGATACATTCCAAATGGGAAGATTATTGGTCTCAGGTGAGTTACTTTTTATGACTTGTTATTCTGATTGATTTTTTCGTGTTCAGCAAAATCGCCAGAATCGTCGACCATTTTGCCCGAAGACTTCAAGTTCAAGAGCGATTGACTCGTCAAATTGCTGAAACTCTTGAAAAAGCACTGAATACTAGTGGAGTCGCAGTCATGATCGAATGCGAGTAAGCCAAGAAAATATCTATATCAGACCCCTGCTCGATTGTATAATTATCTATTGAGAATTTATTTAAATCAATCATTTCAAAGGCATATGTGTATGACAATGCGCGGCGTGGAAAAAGAAGGCTCAAGTACAGTGACGTCCTGTATGCTCGGCTGCATCAGAGAGGACCAAAAATCTCGGCAAGAGTTTCTTTCACTTGTCAAACACAGATAACCACTTTTGTTTCCCAATTTTTTCTTTCTTTTGCTGGAAAAAAAAGTCTATTAATCGACCAAAACCAACTTTTTTCTTGATGAATGAGCATAAATTTACCAAATATGATTTCAAAAAGCAGCATTTTCTTTCTCTTCTGGACTTTTCTTCTCCCATTCGAGCACTTGAGATGTATCACGTGACGGTGAGAAGGCGCGGCTGTTCTGAGATCCTGGCGGAAGCGATGACCGGAAAGCACTTTTCACATATTTACAACTTGGCACAAAAACACAAAAAGTACTTCCAGACAGCAAATAAATCAAAAAATCAAAAACAACTCTTTCAGAATAGATAAAAATTCATTGACCAACAAATGATTATTTTTCTAAGCATTTTGATAAGTTTAACCAAAGCAGAGACACAAGAAAGAAGCCAGAAGGATGAGTGTCTTGATGGATTTAAAAAAGGGCCTTTTGGAAATTGCGAGAAAATGACCAAATGCGAGAAAAATGGTCAAGGTAAAAAGTACACTCCGAAATACTTCCTACTTTGATTTTCTAGTCTGCCAATGGAAATGCGAAGAAACGGAAATCGGAGCTCGATGCATTTGTCCACCCGGATATTGGCAGTTTCAAGACACTTGCCATGACGAAAATGAATGTTTTGGCCGCTCTCCTTGTGGCGAAAAAAGTTCCAACTGCTTGAATCTTCATGGCCGAAGCGAATGCCTACCTGAACTAGAGTGCCCTGATGATTTCAGGCTTATTTCTTACTCTCGAAATTCATGTGAGAAACCTCTCTTTTTGCCTCCAACTGTTTTTTTCCTTTTAAGATCCTGCAGGATGCGAGCAGATACAAGGAACGGGCAAAAATTGCACTGACGAATTTTTCTGTCAATTTTGGTATGTTTCTTTCTTATTTTAAATTCTCCATTTTCAGGCGAATTCGACAACAATCAGGGGAACTTCTCAACTATCCTTCTCCGCGAGACCAACTGGTTGCTCGAGTTGAATCCTCTGAAACATTTGGTCGGGGATCAAGATACAGGTAGAGTTTTTCTCGTTGATTTTTTCCGAGCATTTGTAGCTACGAAATTTTGGAAGTTGTTGATCGAGATGGAAACCAAGCATATGATTCCGCAGCGATTTTCATCAAACAAAGAAGTGAGAGAGTCGGTCGGGCGGAGATTCACTTTCTTGGTAAACCAGCTTTCGAGGTATGAACTGAGCGGAATTCTGGGGGCAATTTATATTCAGGGCCCGGGAGTTTCAAGGCGAATAAAGCTGAAATACACCGGCAGCAAACTCTACCGAGGGATCAGCAAAACAATGCGAGTGGAGCTCATTGAGATACTCGTTTATGTCTCCGAATTCGATTTTTGAACTCTTTTCCACTTTCTTTTTCTTTCAATAAAGTTCAACATTCGACCGGGCATAAAATTTCTGTATAATTGAATCAATGAGAGATGAAATTATGGTTTTCATAGGAATTTATTGAAGGAAAGCGTTCCACATGAGCATAGTGAATCGAGCAAGCTCGACCATGGAAGCAGAGAACGGATCGTCGTCGGTCTGAGATTGGGCCCAGGCGGCGGTGACAGCAGCAACATGCTCAGCGTTTGGCTGCCAGCCGTACTCGGAGAGCATCTCCTGCATCGCCAATCGCCAGGCTCGGAGTTCCTGGAAAAAAATAAAGGGAGAAGAAATTAATGCTACATACAGCGCTGTCCATCAGTCCATTTTCATCAGCGTCGAAAGCTTCCAAAACGACAAGGGAGTCGATCGCAGCAAAAGCAGATTGAGCGTATCGCCACTCGTCCCAGGAGAGATCATTGCTCTCGTCTTGATCGACGTAGTACCAGTACTAAAGCGGATAGAAAGGAAAGAAAAAGGGAAATAAACGCACCTTAGCGACGATGCCAGCGCCTTGGTCGAATCCAGAGTTGGAGGTGCCCAAGTATTCGGAGATTCGCTTACCACAGCTCTTGAATTCCGGGATGGAGATGACATCATCGCCGTTCTCGTTGCAGAAATTCCAGGCTGGCTCGAAGAAGCTAAATATCAGATTGATTCTGTCCATTCTTTGATAAGAATAGTTCTTACCTTTGTGGCTGAGCATTCACAGCAGATGAGAAATCCCCCCAGTTGCTCTCTGTGAATTGAAAGACCTCAACAGCCTTTTCCCACCAGGTATTGACCAGCCATTGTTCGGTGGCACCGGCAGCGGCGAAACTGGTCAAACCGAGAAGTCCAGAGGCAAGCTTCATTTTTCAAAAAGAAAGTTTTTATGACAGGAGTTCTCTCCAAGTGAAGAAAAAGGAGCGGCCGGCATGATTTTATAGGAAACTCAGGTTGTTTATTTGCTTCCAGAAGCTTCTGAGCAAACTTTTGGTAGATTCAATAAACTCGTTGAACTTGGTCCTAAGTACAGAACTCCAGGGTACAAACTCCTCTGACCGTTTCGAATGTGATTTATCAAATTCTGTCCAGAATTGTCTTTATTCTGTTCTGTTCGTTATCTGACCCTTTGGGGAAAATAGAAGAAAAATCGAAATTCTCATGATTATTTATTTGTTAAAACATGCTTTTCTGAATATAGGACAGGCAGGAAGATAAAATGCAAGCGAAGTTATAAATAGAAATTATTCTTTCGGGTTGTTGATGATTCCGAGGAAGAGATTCGTATCTGTAGCTCTGTCTGTAATGGCAAACACAAACGGTCTATCGATTGTTACTTCGGTGAGGGAGGAGAATCGGCCACCCCGAGCTGATGGAGCAATTCCGTTCTAGAGAATTTTTTAAGGGGGTTCATTTTCGGAAAAAATTTACCTTCAAAACTGCTCCGATTTGCAGTCCAGCTGATGCTCCTTCAATATCCCATCGTAATCGGTTTTCTTGGAAGACCTGAGAAAAAATCATTTCATTGTTATTTGCGTTTATCTTACAGTTGAGACGGAGAGTCCTTGTTGATCAGTGATTCTTGAAAAATCAGCGATGAGTGGCTGCGAAATTGTGGTCATGCCCAGGTCGAAGTAGGATTTGGTGAGATCGGTTTTCGTTGTTGTTGAAACTTAATTATTGACATTGGTCACTTTGACGCGCTTTTTTAGGAGTTTATTTTTGATGAAATTTGTTGATTTCCTATCAATATGTCAATACGGAAAAAGTCGGGCATGAATTTCAGGGGTAAAAATTATGGTGCTTTACGGAAAAGTGAGATTACCTTTAGGAAGCTTCAGGAAGACCTCGTCCAACTTGCCATCGACCAAGTGTCGCCAATACGGGAGCCACATTCCGGACATTGTCATAATCGCATGAAGTGGCAATTGATCGTTGGGGACGATGATATTCAGCTGGATATTCGGGTCTTCCATCGGCAACGTAAGCATTGTTGGCACGAAATCATCGTTGATGCAGTCCTCGTAATCGGGGTAGTCGTTGCAGTTGAGAATGAAGGGTAGAGCTGTTTGAGTCTGCATCATTTCAACGGCAGTTCTTGAGCCGTCGGGGAGATAAAATGGCGCCATTTGAACTCGCTCATCGAATTTTACCGCCCATTTGGAGTTGAAATCCATTGAGGACAAGAAAAGCATGCTTGTTGATTCGTCAAGGCTGCCTTCTGGAAGGGTTGAACCAGCCCGACCAGGTCCAGCTGACCATTGGTTGATGATTGCCCGAGAAAGCTCGGGGCTTTCCGCGAAATCGACCTTGAAAACGTTCGATTTTGTCGACTGAATTCGGCGGGCAAAGTAAGCGGTAGCAGGGAAGCTGGAATCGAGGAAGAGAGCATTACGCATGGTGATGTTGTCGATGCATTGGAAGCGGTCGGAGAGGTATTCGATGGCTTCGATGATGCCGGACTCGGGGAGTTTCAGGGCTTCTTCGATTTCAGCCTGAAGAGAAAATTCGTTTTTTTTTAGTCAAATCAAGCATTTTATTCGATGAAGAGTTGGGCATAAACTTACCTTTGTTTGTCCATCAGCTCCTTCATGCAACAATCCGAGTTGAACCACCATCGTCACAGGGGAAACCATAACATTCTACAACGAGTAGAGCTCGCTCTCCATCGCGAGTTCTTGGGCCAATTTCGGACCAATTATGTTAGAAATATGCGAAAATGTGGAAATAACTGGGGCCATGCTCTGATCCAAGTCGCATCTTTTGGGACTCTCTTCGACGTAGCCAAAGCGGGATCGTTCGTCCTTTTCATATTTTTGGCCGAAGCAAGTGGCGAAAAGCAAATTTGAAATTTTCATATTGACCGATTTTTTTGTTTTTTTTTTCTCTTGAATTTGACGCTTGGCGGAGATAATAGAGAGACGTGTGGACTTTTTTAAAGCTTTCTCTTTTTCTGCCAAGGGATTTGAAAAGCGGGCACAGAAGGGGACGGGGGATGAATAAGACGTAAGGAGCCCCCTCAATCCCTTTCTTGAGAGTCACCATGCCTCCAGGCGCTTCTGACGCCATTCCACGAAGATGTGGATATTTTTAATCCTGCTCAAGTGCAATATCTAACATAAAAAGAAACGTCCTCTTCTGAGCGAAGCACTTAATCTGTTTTTCATTAGAATATTACCGGTAGCATTACCGACTGTTTGTTTTGTCGCCGTCTATAATCAAAACGTGCTTTTGGCCAAGATTACCACTAAGCCTTTTTATTTGAACGAGCAATTTGAGCCAAGTAATAGTTCAAAGACAAAGACAAACGTTTTAAAATTTTATAACGTCGAAGAGCGCTTTATCTAATCGCAGAAAAATTACGAGATTTTTGTTTCAGAAAAGTATCGTGTTATTTTTCAGTAACAAAAATTGAGCTGTTTGACGAGATCGGGGGAGATCCTTAAATGCTGAGCGGGCAAGATTGATACCCTTTTTTCATCAAAATGCTTTTTATGTATCTCAGTATTGCAAATTTTGCCATATTTTCGCTGAGCTGACCTGCGTGAAAAACTCTCTGAGCTTAGCTGGCATATTTCGGAGCTCACTGAGCTGAGCTGAGCTGAGCTGCCCTTTTTCAGAGGTCATTGAGCTGAGCTGAGCTAGGCAGACCCTAATTAGAGCTGAGCTGAGCTGGGTGAGCTGAACTGAGCTATTTTAAACTCAATTTTTAGTAGTAAAATTGTATTGAAATCATTGAGATGAGCTGAGCTCAGTGAAACTTATCTGAGCTGAGCTTATCAGAACAGATCATTTTTGAAAATAATTGAGCTGAGCTGAGCTGAGCTGAGTGATAATTGTCTAAGTTGAGCTGAGCAGATCAGATCATTTACGAATATCACTCAGCTGAGCTGAGCTGAGCGACCGCTCAGCTCACTCAACCAGCTCAGCTTAATCAGCTCAACAAATTTGCAACTCTGATGTTTCTTAGAAATGCCCTGTTGTTTATGTAACGTGTATTCAAAAACAAACCAATTTGATCTGTCCATAAATCTGACCAAAATCCGCTGCAATAAAAAAAGCTTCACCTCAAATCGCCCAACTTCTAAAAATTGTGCAACAAGTTCAATTTTGAAGGAAAAAGAGGCGGAGCGAAAAACTGTTGCCAAGGGAGGATAACTGAGCTTTCCAGGTGCGAGAATCGGTTTCTCCTTTCCTGGCCAAGGATGAAGGCGCTCAGACAGTGATCATACAAGTCTTAGTCTTGGACTTATTTTGACCGACTTAGATTTCCCGCAGGCTCGTTAGACAGTTAGATGTTGTTTTAAGAAAACCTGCTTGGTTATCAATCAAATCAAATTATCCACTAGAACTCTCAGCCGAGATGAGCTCAATCAAAACTTCCGGATTATAACCATCGCGAGTTCTCTGATTGAAATCATCTCGTTTACAAGAAATATGCGAAAAAATTCTATCCAGAAAAAAAAAGAAATTTCTTTGAACAAAATTTATTTCATCAAACACCGGTGAATCGAACTGATTTGCGCTAGTACTCTGTATTCGTGCATGGACAGGACAACATGCTCTTCAAAATCCAGTCGTCATCAACATTGACACCTCCAACGAGTGTCATCAGATTTGCATCGAACATCATTCCGCTCACGAAATTCGCATCTTTTTTGAATAGAACTCTCCAAAGATAGCCCGTCTCATTGTCGAGGCTCTCGACTTGCTCAATCGGATGACCCAAGGAGACCCATGAAACTCGAACATCGAATTCGATCACGAGGAAATCTCGATCAGACCAGTTCAGGCCATTCAAACTTTTTCAGGTTCAAGATAGACTCATTGAAAAGACAACTCATAAAAAATTTGAACCCTTCCTGTAATTTGCGCGAATCCGGAAGCAGTTTCGGCAAGTCCAAGAGTTTTCAAAGAAGATTTGATTTGTTGTCAAAGCTGTGCATTCTGGATCCTTATTTCGCTCGCACAGGCTTGCCCCCGAGGTCGTTGTTGTCGAACTCGATGTCGTTGAAAGTGTTGTTGTCGTTGCAGTTGTCGTTGTCGTCGTTGTTGATGTGGTGCTAGTTGTTGTCGTTCCAAATTCTTCATCAAAAATGCAGGAAAGATCCTTATGGATACCGGGAATGTATCGGACCTGGATATTCGGCAGAGAATCATACGTAGCTCCGGTCATTTTGACGATGAATTTCTTTCGCTCACCAGCCAAAACGGTATCAGAGGAAGTATACGTTGAAATTCGTTGAGTCTCGGAAGTCGTAACGTTTGTTTCCCAGGACTCGATTGCGAGAGATGCTGGAGGATCTTCAGCAAACCAGAGGACAGCAGTCTACTTTTAGGCTTTATTTTTTAAGATAGAAGGCGTAAGAGAAGCTGTATCGCCAAAAAATTCTAAAGCCCTGATCCATTCGTCTAAATCCATTCCAGGCTCGATTCTGACTCTGAGAATAAATCCGTCGTCCCATTGATAAATCGTGCTTCGAGCGAAAAACTGATTGTTTTTGTACATTCTTTGGCATGCTGGAGCACAACTAAACTATAATAAAAGACTGTTCTCATAAAAACTCTACTAGAAAGGGTTGACTGGCTTCCAATTGCCACTTTGCTTGCATCTAATCTCGATGACGTTTTTTTGGTTTTTGTACTCTTCAAGGTGACCTTCTGCCGCTACGGGATCTTCTTCCTTGATAATCATATCGTATCCATCATCGCAGGAGATCCAGCACTTTGAGTAAAGCTGACCATCGTGACCGCCAGCGGTGCAACCATCGTTTCCAGCATCGATTGCTTCTTGTGTCAATTTGATCACAGCTCTTTTGACGGTTCAATGATTAAGTCAAGCATAACAAGAGTTTTTGCTTATTTGTTGAGCCGAGTCCTATCCCAAGTTTCTTGCCAAGGAGGACAAGTAATCTGAGCATAAGCCAGTCCCAAAGAGCCTTAAATATATTATCTCTCAATAAAAAAAAATAATAATACCGATGGAAAAGAGCCTCATCCTTTTCTCTGTTGTCGAAAAATCAGACTGATCAGAATTCGAAAAATAGAAATCGCCGGTAAATGTTCCGAGTCACCACGAACCGCCTGATAGAAATCAGCGTCACTAGTTTTCATCAATTTGTGATGACCACCCATCAAGTTCGTGATTTGAAGGTTATTTTTGATGACCTCAATAGAAAAAATCTTTTTTTTTTCTAGTGATTTTTCGTTAAATAATTGAATCAACTCTGTTCCCCGAAAAAATGGGATTTTTGAAACGCGGCCACGTCAACATGGAATTGTTTCAAATTAACAAAACCACGCTCTGAATAAAAGTTCTTCATATTGAATTTTCCTCGTGCATGAATTCGAAATTTGAGCGTTGAAAAATTTGTTTACGCGGCGAATTTTCCACATTTTGAAAATTCCGCTGCTTGAAAAAATTCGATAACGATGATTGAAAAGAAAATAAGGCGAATCAAGAATTTTAGAAGAAACTCAAGAAACCAGGTCATCTTGAACTTCGCGTTATCAATCGATTTTTGCAGAAAAAGAAACCTCAAGAGAGTCCAATGCACCTGAAACCAGTCTGATAGACAAGGTGCAGCTCGCAGCGGGTAGGATCATGCGAAAAGGTCTCAACTTGCGGTTCGTGCTTTTCAAAAATCAGAGAATTAATACCAGTTTTGAACAACGAAAACCAGTCTCACTGAAATTCAAAACAGAATTAATCCCTATTACAAATATATTTGGGAGGGGTTCAGCTCGGGTTAACATTTCTCAAAAAAATTAAATTTTAACGTAGATACGCGAATGTACAGTAAATTTTCTTGTCGAATATTCATCGTGACATTCACATAATCAATCAAATATAGACTACCTCGAAACTAAGGGTGTCTTAAAGATAAATCGAAATTTTGTCAAAATCATTGTGGCAAAGAATAAAAATCTTCTTGGAAGAAATTCTGTCTAAGACTTGTTTGTTTTGATTATACTTAAATCAAGTTTGTAAGTTAGAAGTGTACCTGAAATTCAACAGAATTTGTGAAAATTAATTAAACAAGAAGAAAAACCCCGTGACCGCAGATTGCGCGAATAGTGCGCCGCGCGCCCTCTCGCGCGCCCTCTGAGTATTCCGGACTCATTTATAAATGAAACCGGATCAACTGAAAAGTACTGAAACTGGTACATCAGTTTGAGATAGAGTCTTCCTTACAAACTTTCACAATGAAAGCAACTTTTCTTATTTTTTCGTTGGCTGAAGGGCTCAAATTGAATGGAGGTGCTGATATTAGAGGTAAAATACACTTCTTTTTACATTCAAAAAGTATTGTTGATCACTAAAAACTCAGGGATAATTATTAAGATAAAAAGAACGGAAAACCGTAATACTCTTTCCAGTTGTTTTGTTTATAAATTTTCAAAATCCGATATCGGACTCGGTAAAAGATTCACAAAATTTATCACTGTGTGTAGCGAGCAATAGATAATTCTACTAAATGAGGTACTCATAGGGAGTCTACCGGGTACTTCAAATTAAGCTGCCAGAAATGACTTCTCCGATGATTCTATTAACGGTTTCTCTTATTATCCGTTCGTTTCAGAAGAACTCCCTCGTGACCGCTATATTATCCTTTCGATTGATAAGCCCTTGATATCTTTCTTCTCAAAGAAAGATGATCATAAACTGTTTATTACCCCAATCCCAGCAAGAGTTGTGTAATCCTCACTTTTTTCTTAGTACGCTCAAACACGCGGACAACGCGGCAAATGGAATCCTTGGCGGCTGACATGTTCAACAAGCAACTCGGGTCGAGCAGCTTCACGGCGGATAGTTGGACCGACGCGTTCATGGAGTACGGCTGCTACTGCAACAAACTCGTCCAAGGAGGAGGGCACCTGCCGGGTGTTGATGCATCGGATATCAATTATGACAAGCATGAGAGTCTTTGCATGGGTAAGTTAGTTCACAAAAAATGATAATAAGGGCATCTGTTCGAGAAATAAGGGTATCTATTAGACAATTCCACGAGCCATAAACTTGGGTTTGCGTAAACAAGGGGGTAAAGCTTGTCTTTGATTGGTTGACGCAGAAAATACTGCCTTCTGATTGGCTGATAAACTGATAAATTGACTTCAAAGTGAACTTGTTCCGATTTCACATTGTCGATAGTAATGAAAGTCCAGCTTAGATTGATCCCCTAAGTCAAATATACTCATTTTAACTGAACCCAACAGTAATCTCCTGGATTCGTTTTTGATCTTTTAAGCGGTCGACTTATTTTTCCACCGGAAAGAACACGATCTATATACGGTTTAAAGAAAAGGATTACATCTCAGCTGTCTTAGAAGTTCCATTTAAAAAAATTTGAAACAAAATCCAAAGTCCGCGTAAAAACCATCAGCTGTTGCCAATTTTCCGCGCATTTTCCCCACGTTTTGACGCGCTTTTTCAGACCTCTATGCTTGCTACAAGTGCATCAACATCGACTACGATCACAATGGAACATACGCCGCGACAGTAATGGAGTACACTGCCGAAGTCACTGCTGATGGCGAATACACATGTCGTAAGTTCAAAGCCCCTGGGTCAGCCCAAAAGCTTATTTTGAATTCTAGTCGACCCCGAAAATGACAGCGACAATCATCTGGACAACTGCCCTCTTGATGTTTGCCGATGCGACAAAATGTTTGCCGAAAAAATTCTTGAAAATTATAGAAGATGTAAAAATGGAGAAACTGAATTTTGCCTGAAAGATCAGTTTCAACACGCGAACGGTTAGTTTCCGACAAAAGAGCTCATCTTCAAAATTGTTTCAAGGTTTCAGCGGTGACCAATGCGAAGATGTTGGGGAAAAGAAAGAAAAGCACGATTCTTGCTGCGGACGTTACCCGAACAGGAAGCCGATGACGACGATGAAAGAATGTTGCGATAATAGAATCGTCGATTATGGAACTTGCTGATTTACTGGTTTGCCGAAGCAAAACTGGGGAAAATAATTTGCCAAATATTATTCTGTAAATTTGAAATAAAAGATATAACACTGATCCTATTTCTGTTTCGGGCCGAAACTTTCGGCTGGTGGAAAAGGTCATGCTATCATCAGGTCCGCCGACCTCACTTGTTGAGGTTAACGCAATCAAACAAAAATATGTGCTGATTCAGCAGTAAATTTTATTAATGGCGAAGCTCGGTAAAAATTTTGAGCTGTGAACCGTCATTTCTAAAAATGAGTATCTTAGGAAAGGTTGCAGATTAATCGAAGTTTCCAGAAATCTTTTATATTTTTGGCTTATATAAATGAGTGAGAGTATTTGAGAATATGATTGTAACACTATTCAAGGATTAAAGAGATTATCTTGGTTTCTTTTAGCACTTGTCGAGCTCTTTCTTTTTCAGGTAATGAAAATGATCTTAGTGCTTACCTCAGGCACTTTCTTGGTCTTCAAACAAGTCTATTCAATGATTCTTTCAAAATTTCAGGAGTTGCTTTCGGCTTTCCTTTCATCGAATACGAGCTCAAAGCTCAAGGAGTTTTCTACGAAATCGAATGTGCCAACCAAACCGGCGATGTTTGGGGTCCAGAGAAAACTCTATGCAACGACGCATTGAAATTATACAATACTCTTTTCACTGTTGCAACGGTCTTCAGCATGGCTGGCGCTGTTTGCGTCGGATTCATTCTCGACAAGCTTGGAATGTTCTGGACCAGAATGATTTATTGTTCCATAACGACTCTAGGTAAAGTGGGTAGAAAATATTCTTATCAAAACATTTTAAGGTTATATGATGATGGCTCTCTACAGCGTGAATGAGCTCCTGATATTTCCTGGGCTTACATTTTTGGGCTGGTCAGGAATCGCTCTTCTAGTGCTTAATAATATAGGCGCTTCTTTTATGGGAAAGTACGCGGGAGTGTCGATTATTATCTTTTCGGGTACTCTGGATGCTTCTAGTGCGACATTTTTGATGACCAGCAAATTGACAAATACATTCGGAAAGGATCGATTTTGTCGACGCCATAATTCTTAAAACAGCTCTATCCTTCAAAGATCTTTCAACAATGCTTGCATTTTTGGCAATTTCTTCGATAATTATTCATTTTCGAACTATCTTTATGATGCCTTCCGGACTCCCGGACAAAGAATGGGCACAATCGGAACTTTTTAACTCAACGATTGCATCAAAATTTTGCAAAGAAACCATGAAAGCTTCGATTAAAAATCGAAAATCGGAAGAAAAGGAAGAGGAAAAACAATGCAAGCCGAAAATTCCTCTGAAAAAAAGTTTCATGCGTCCAAGTTTTTTGGCTTTTTTGGTCGTTTACGTGATATATAATACTCGAGTTAAAGCTATTCAAGGTAAAAGATGACACTTCTTTCATTTGATTCATCATTTATGCCTTGAAGGATGGATCTATCCTTGGATGGAATGGTCGTACGCAAAGGTTCCGGGCTCCTCTTCGGAACAGATAGACTCTCACGTCGGCCACCTTCTCGAAATCTATGGATTCTTGCTTTTTGCATCTCCAGTCTTTGCTGCTCTACCTGAACTTTTTAGCTGGATTGCAAGCAAAATAAGAAAAAACGGATTTCTGAATGCAGATATGATTTCGTTAACGATTATAATGGTCTATTCTTCTGTTTCTTGCGCGGTTTGTTCTGCACAAATGACTTATCGAGTGCGCATTTTAAAAGATAGCAATATCCTTATTTCTATTTATAGGCGATAGATTTGGATGATAATGCTAATGCATATGCGCTTATTGTCATCTTTTCGATAGCGAAGACGATTGTTTACGCCGCCCCTAATATGGTAAAGCTTATTTCTCCGCTCTTTTTTTATTCGATCCTAGTTCTTGTTCTACATGTTTCCCGCTGAGCATTTCGGTCCTCTATATGGACTTCTCACCGCTCCTACACTCGTCACCATGTGGTTAATGGACCCACTCTTTCGACTAATTCTCGGCGACTCAGATAGCCTCGCCGATGCCGATTTTTCACCAGTTTCAATCGGCTTTGCAGTTATTTGCGGACTCTGTTTGCTTCAGGTCGTTTTACCGAAAATCGGCCTTATTTCAGCGGCGAAAAAGATTAGCAAAGAAAAAAAGATGGAAACACAACGCGATAATCGAATTGAAAACTAAGATTTTTAACAACAACATGCAATAATCAAAAACTAGTGTGAATATTTTACCAAAAGAAATACCCTTTAGGGACCACCCGCAGCGAGTTTGCGCGGCTTTTTAATAGCGCAAGACTTTTTTAGCGCGTGCTTTTTATGTTTGTCTTCTTGACATGTGGTTTCTTCATGAGACAGTTTTATTTGTCGTTTTAACGAATCCGTAAATCGTAAAAAAATCACGCCACCTTTTCGCAAACTATTTAGAGTTCAAACTTTAGATTACTTTCAAATTAACAATTGTCCTATTTTGATAATTTGATAAGTGAACTTCTGCTTTAAAAATCATCGCAAAAATGAAGCTTTAATTCCATTCGAATCTACAACAACTGCTCAATCTTCTCTTTGATATATGACTAAATATTCAACAATAAAGTGTCTCTACCATAAAATAAAGAATTAAATATAATAGTTCATATTTTCATAGTTAGGTTTAGTTTTAGCTGAGTGCTCCAATGATAAAACAAAAATCTTTTATATTTTTTTTCAACGTTTATTAAAAATGAGATATGAATTTAAAGCAGGATTAGTTCTGGAGATTCAGAGCGTCAAAAATGTGGAAAAAGTTGTTTGAGAGCAAAGGCTAGCGCATGCAACATGAGTCGTGTCACATGATGAAGGAGAAGACCAGCCTTTTAGTAAGGATTAAATCTTTGGTGAAGCATTTCCCTCTGTTTCGCAGCGAAGGCAGACCTTCTTCGCGAACGTGAAGGTCGAGAAACGATACGGAACTCGCCCATCCTCGGGATCGTTCGATAGAACCCTGGTCGACCAATATTCAGCGCATTGTTCATCCGATTTTGGTACAAGCCGTCAGAGAAAGCAAACGCTAGAAGAGAGAAAAATGATAGTTTCATTTTCTATTTTGGATTCAAATTTTATTCTGAGAAAATCTCCAGAAGGCGTGATATTTATAGAAATCCAAGTCGTAAAACGTAGTGTGAAAAATACCAGTTACTCACTTATGCTTAGCGTTTTACCAAAAGTAACTTCCGAAATCTGCCACTCAAAGATTTCCTCCCTTCTCAGGTGTGTCTTGAACGAAAAATATTCTCTAGAATCATGACTCTTCTGAGTAAGTTTGAAGAAATCTCTTGCAATCATGACTCATAACCGCCATAGTCTTAAATTTATTTTCGGAAAATTTCCTTTTTTGGCTTGATTTCTTCCCTTTTTATCATTTCAAAGGGCATTGGGCCATGCAAGAATTTTCTGCGCCGCCTGGAGTACTCGCCCGGCGGCGCAATACAAGGTGTAAATCAGTTAAAGCATTATTTTTCTTTAAAATGTCCCTAGTATTCGAGCTTTTTGGCTTTATCGGAATTTGCTGGTTAGCATTTATAGTCAATTGCCAACTTGAAATTTATGGCTTCAAAAGAGCGCTTCACGAAAGAGAAATGGAGCTTCATGGGTTTTCTTGTGAAGAGATAAGGATGGAAGGAGCGGACACGATTTCGATTTCTTCTGATGGGCTTGCGTTCATGACGTCTGGGTTGAAATATCCGCCGCTCGACTCGCCACCTGCTGATGGAGGGGTTTTTATGCGTTAGTTCTTTGAAATAAGAGATTGACAATTAACGAAGTTTCAGTGGATTTGACGACAGACGACCTTGATCCCAAAAAAGTCGACATCATGGCCCCCTTCGATCCCTACAAATTAAACCCGCATGGAATCCGCGTCTACGAGCCCGGAGACGGACGAATCCTAGTCTACATCTCGAACCACGGACTTGGACTTGACAAAGTCGAGAAATTCGAATACTCAGTCACGAAGAATCAGCTAAAATGGATCAACTCTTTCAAGCAGAAGAAGGAATTCTACTCGCTGAATGATATCGAGATGATTGCTGAGGATGACTTTTTCTTCGTTAACGACCAAGTAAGTAAAGCTCCTTACTTGTACTCATGTGAAAATACGTATAAAAGGTCAAGACAAATGCTTTGACATGTAACATTTCCACTTAGAAGCTTCAGGAAGAACATGTTTTTTTAGTACTTTTCGACTCGTCAGCGATTCTTGCGCTTTTTGGAATACCACTCATTTATCCGACTCGGCTCGCTTGGCTACTGTAACAAAGGCAACTGCCAGCTGGCAACCAAGCACAATCTTGGCTACCCGTCTGGACTTTCCATCCGAACAACGACCGACGAAAACGGCAAGTTTCGAAAAGAACTAATCGTCGTGGAAAAACGCGCGTTTCGAGCTTCAATTTATCATTTGGATCCATCCAACGGCTTTGTTTTTTCCCACACGATTCCGTTGCCCGCGAATATTGACAATATTTTCAACGACGGGGAGGATATTTATTTTGCAGGATCGCCGAGGGGATCGAATGGGGATGATTTGGTAGAAGTGATCAAATTGAACAAGAAAAATGAACTGGAGACGATTATCTCCACGACTCTAATTAAGGGTATGTGAACTTATTAGACAAGCGCTTAGAATTATTGAATAATATAAAACCTATAATTACGAATAAACCATGTTTTTAGGAGTCACAAGTTATGCTCATTTCGAAGACAAAATACTTTTTGGAACCCAAAACAGCAATCTTCTTGTATGCACACGTGATTAGTAAAATTGAATTAAAAGCTGTAAAATAAAAAAAATAATAACAAACTTTTTTGCTGACTTCAAAATCGGAAAGAGTTCATTTATCGCAAGAAATATTAAATTGGATGAATACGGGATAAAATTTTGTATCTCGAAATTGCGCAAAGAACTTGTGAAAATTTACATCTGTCGGCCCGGCAACAAGAATGAATTGCGGGAAAAGAGCAGTTGCAGAGAAAAATTACGATGAAGCTCACAGCGGCAATTTTGTCGCTCGCTCGGGCGGATCTTTGGCCGGCAAAGTGGAATCCTTCCGCCTCTCCATCGACCTGTGGCGCTGATGATGCTGGAGATCCGGATATCGGCGGAGCCTGTATGGAGGGCACTGATTGTTGCTTCGTTTGCCCAGATCCTGGCAAAAAAGAATACCGAGTTCCACTAATTGAATGCGGGGACAAATTCGCTCCCAACGGATGCGCTGGTCAAAATGAACAAGGATGCACTTGCACCGCTATGACTTTCGAGGAACAGATCGAACTCTTCTCAGGAAAGGGTTTATTTACATGAGAATAAAATACCGGTATCTCAGCAGTAAAGCCCAACATACGGATCGATCCATTTATTCGAAGCGGTTTCTTCCTTGATTTCAGTTTGTCCTTCTTCTCTCGAGATTGGCGATGAAAGAACATCGTTTATGTAAAATATATAAAAAAGAAAAAAGTTCATTTTTTGATTTTTTCGGTCAATGAGCATTTCACGCTGAATTTGAAAAGAAAAAATTTTCAAATTCGGCGACCTTTTTAATTCTCGCGAATTTAAGTTTTCAAGTGACCCGCTGATAAGATTTCTTATTCCATATTCATTTCCTCTTTCTTTCGAAACGTGTCCCTCAGAACCTTTTCAAAAGCGGACTACATCTTTGACGATGATCTTCGCGTCGACCCAAGTCCCCTGAACGACTGCAAGCAAACAGCAACTCACGACTGTGACACTCTCGGCGGCCATGTTGATTCAACCAAGACCTGTGCTTCTGCCATGGCTAACAGCGTCCAGAACAAGGACGCCCGACCCAACGATGGAAAGAGAAACATCATGCAGACAAACGACGGCTTTGCCACTCTCGCTGGAGCGCACCAGCACATGACCTACCACATCGAAGAGCCGCTCAAGGATCAGGTTGGAATTTCCATCGAGCAGATTTTCAATGATGTCTGCACTACTGGAAGCTCAGGGGACATAAAAAACTGTCTTGCTCTTCAAGTTGAATTGAACAAAGTCCAAGTTCGAATCGACGGCCAATTCGCTGCCCTTGACAATGTTCTCGAAGATCTTGAAAACAGAAACAACGCTCTTCTTTCCCTCCTTGCTAAGTTGGAAACAGAGGAAGTCGACAAGTGCCCTAACCGAGTCTGCCAGTGCGAGCCAGGATACTACTGGGATCCCGATCAAGTCAAATGCGTGAAATGCATCGGTGTCATCGTCGATGGAGTTTGCGAGGAATGCCCGAAGGATGAGTTCTTTGATCCCGAGGTTGGGAAGTGTACCAGCTGCCGTCATGGATACGAACCCATTTGGATCAATTTCCCAGATGGACCCCAATGCCACCCAGAGCATATCGGAGACCACGATGAGTGCTGCCGCGAATGTGATCCCGAGGAAGAAGATTGGAATCCCGTCTTCGGTCGATGTATGCCAAAGATCCGGGAGGCCTTTGGAACTGGAGTCGTCCTCCTTGTTGGCGGAAACGACATTTATCAGGAAACAACTGATGCAATCGTTTTCTGTCCTGGTGCAGTTGACGAAGATGACATGGAATTCGTCGGAGATGTCATTGATAACCAAGCCTACAAGTCAACCATGAAAGCTCATTCCGCCACTTTTAACCCCTTCTACTACAATCAGACTGGATTGAACAATGCCTACTCAAGATTGGTCTTTGGTGGTATTGGCTCAGAAGAGGTCGTCAGAGCTTTTGTCGATTCAGAGTACCAAGGAAATAACCAAGGTCTTGCCGAACGACCATTGGCCGCTTATCTCCTCGAAGAAGGAGAAGAAGTAGACCCAGATATGTGGCACATTCCATCAAACGTCCAGCCTCGACAAAATGGCGAGTCGGGAACCATTACTGAAGTCGGTAAGAAACGACATCGAGGAATTTCCTGTCGACCTGATACCGCTTGTTTCCCCGACAACTTCCTCATCGGCGGTCAAATCGATGGATCTCACGCTTCTCGAGCTCTTTACAGATGGGATATCCGCGGCTTTGTTGACAAGGATCCTGATGCGTCGAATGGTCACATGGTCGCATGGGACGCTGCTCCGCCACTGATCGAAGGAAGACGAGATTTTGCCGCAGTAGCCTTGGGAAGAAATGATCGATTCTGCAAAATGATTCTCGTCTGTGGAGGAGAAGGGTCCAAACCCACTTCAGACCCGACTCCGAACTATTTGAAAACTTGTGAATGCTTGACAGCAGTCAACGGCGAAAATGAATGGGTGAAGTTTGCGCATGACCTGCCTTACCCAGTAAGAGAATTTTAAAGACTTTTAAATGACCTGACTTTCTAGACTATTGGATCAGAGCTCGTTGCTGTCCTCTCTCTCCCGACTGAAGATAACCCCGACGCTCCTATCGAAGAAGACATCTACCACCTCGGCGGTGATCAAGTCCGAAATTCTGGCCCCGTCCCCACCAATCTCATTCGAAAGCTCACTGATTCTGGCTGGCAAGATATCGCTACGATGCACCACGCTCGAGGATTCCACCGCTCCTGGGTCAGCTACGGATGGGATGCCGTCCCGAGTTATGAGTTGCCTCTGATTTTCTCTGTCGGAGGCGATGGAACCTCAGTCATGGAATTAGAGGTTTTCGACGTCAACTCTCGCTACAGGAATGCTCTCGAATTTCAGGCTTTACGCACGATAATTGATAAGAATTTGATTCGAAAACACAAAAAGTGATCCATTGGAAGATGAAGCTACTTTCGATCAGCGATTCGATTTCGACATCATGGAATTCGGCAACTGTCAGTTCGACCTCGACCAGCTTCCATTCTACAATGATCCCTGCGCAGACTCTGAATACTGTATTGCGTAAATAAATAGCATTTGTCCGCAAACATGCATTCTTCTTCGATTTTTTATATAAAAAAAAACTGATGATGATGATGTTGCTCAATTTTTTTGTTTTTTACCCCTTTGTTGATTTATGGTCAAATGAACTCGTTCAAACAGTCCTGTTTACGACCTTGAAAGTGTTTTTATCGGGAAACGCCCCTTGCATTTTCCTTTCTCCCCTATTTATTGTGCATTAAGTCTCGTGCATTGAACATCACTTAGAATTTCAAAATGACAAATGAAAATTTTTCGGATGATGAGGATGAGTTTTTATCCGCTGATGAATGTGAGCATGATCTTCGAATTCGAGAGCGGGTCGAATTACTCCCTTTTAAGGAAAATCAAGTGGAAATTAACCGAAATCCAATGATTATTCAAAATTTTGCCAAGAACATCTATGTATGTAACGAACAACTTTACAAAGATAACCAACAATACCGGACCCTCTTTAACGGCGATTTTTGTCGCCTCTGCTCTCACTTCTGCAGCATCGTCTTATGTTACTAGTAACATTGCGAACGGGAAAATAGGTGAGTCTCTAGCTCATAAGATTGGGAACTTATATATTTATTTCAGAACTCTTGGAGAAAGTGATCGATGACTTAACCCTCATGAACAGTAAGACAAAGAGTTCGCTATTTGTGAGTCGCAACATCTTTGTTTAGCAAATCTACTCGAAGAATTGCGGGAGAGTTCTCAAGCTATCGCTCGGCTCACGCTTCAAAATAGTTTGTTCTTTCAATCTTTGAATATTATGATAATCGTATTATCATATCATTTAACTAACGTTTATGATGGATTCTAGATAAACGTTTCTATTTAATAAATTTTATTTACAAGACCGACTGATGGAGAAAGTTGAGAAACTATCGAAGAAGAAAACGATCGGGCTTGGTAAAATTCTCGCCGGCCTTATTGCCGGAAAACTTGTAACTTGCGTTATTTGAATCAAGATGCAGATCTTCCTGTTCATATGAAGAATTCTTCCAGTCAATAAAAATTTATTTGTTTCTTTATCAAACCGAAAATTGGAGAACATCTGTATTTTCTATAAACACCCTCATCCGAATATCTCTCCCCAGATCATCAAAGCAAGTTCCATATCGTGCCCCGCGGGCGTTTCTCTCAGTCGTACTAAGAATAGCCTTTCATTTCTCTTTCTATTTTCTAATCATGTCTTTCCACCCGTTTTCGTAGAAAGAGAAATGCTAAGAAAACTCTACCACAACCTCACTCCAATAGGATGGTTTCTCGCCTTCATTACCAGTTTCTGTTGGAGAACAACTCTTCCGGAAGATTCAAAAGCATAAAACCAAAAGAAAAGCTTCTTCTTGTCTTTCCGATAATTCCGACAATTGAAAACTATGAAATGGTCAACGAGCAATTTTGCGGCCTCCTTCGCGAAAAATACGGACAAATCGGCAACGACCTCGGCATTGAAATCAAAACGCTGTTTATTACTGAAGGAACAACAATCACCCAACAAGCAGCGAGAAAAGACTGGAATGTAATCAACAAAATAAGCAGTACAATTGGAATCAAAATGGCCTACGCACCCGATCATATTTTTAACTTTTATCGAGACTTGAAAATTCAAGAAGATCCGCTCGACTTGCTTCGTTTTTTGCCCAAAAAAAGGATCGATTCAAACATTCTGCTTCTCAAATCCGCCAAGATGTCAATGGAGAAAGAGAATATCAAACTGCTGATGGATTCGATTAAGTCATCAGGAGTCGTTTGCGTCAGAAACTGCGGAAGACCAGAAGCCCTTGGACTCGACCCTCTTTCGCTCGAAAAACTCCGAGCGAAACTACCAGTCGTCAAGCCACAATTCCAGCCCAGCGAAACTCGCTACCTTCTGAAAGAATTCCTGACCGCAGCGAAAAAGTTTTTGACCCGCTCTCACAAGATCATTCCTCTCTCTTCCGCCGTTACAGTCATCGCGAACGAAAGGGCCCAATTCGGCTCGTATTACAAGCACGAGATGCCGGAATATATTCAGGCGTCAAATTTGACCTACTGGATGATTTCGGATGAGCTTGCTCCGCAATACAAGAAGAATGTCCCGAAAAAGGAAAACATTGGGTTCCTCTTTTTGCCGGAAAATATTTCGAAGACAAAATGCAACGAGGCTGAAAGCGAATTCGTCTATTTGATCAAAACAGGATTGGATATATAAGACTTTCTTCTTTTTCACTCTTTTTTTTCATTTCAAATGATGATCGTAAGGAATTTGAAAGCGAAAAAAGCTCTGCCATCTTTCTTTAATTTCATTTATCTCCTCGACGAAGTGGCTAAATCAGTTGGTAATAATAATTAATTGATAAAACTTAATAATATCCTGCTGAACTTACCGGTAATCATCATTGATAAATTTTTCTAAATCATTTTGATTTTCTGGAGAAGATTCTTGAATCAAATTAAATATTGTTCCAAAAGACCTACCAGTAAGCTTTATGATCTCTAAAAGCTGGCAATATGAAGACGAAATCATAAATACAGTAAATGTCGCAAAAAACCTCATTCAATTATTTGGACTACAGTCGACATCTACAGTAGATGATCTACCCTTTTTATACGCGATAAAACCGCTCGATGAAATGTAAATGATGAAATGATCAATCAAGAAATCATTTTATTCGCTCATCACCTTAATGCAAAATTGTTCAAAACCGTTCGAGAATAATGTCTATTCGAAAAATGTACCATTATGTACCATTAACGTCAAGGGCTAGTCAAGTTGGAATATTCTTATTTTGGACAGAAGGTTTTTATCTACATTAAAATCTGTTCTTAATTTTAGAATCCCTATTTGATCCTCATAAATTATTTTTTTTAATGGAAGAAAAAATTCAACGTTTGATCGTTTTCTTTATTATTTTTCTGCCGAAAACCTGTCATCAACGCGATGCGAAGTCGAAAATTATCCAAAAAAAGCGAGAAACGAAGTAATGGAGCGATTCGCAACCCGGCGAATGTTCAAATCCGATGAATCGTTCAAGGCCAAAAATTATTTTTTCATACTCGGATCTGACTCTGATGGATCTGCTTTTAGAGACGACAGTTTTCTCCGCGAAGAAGCTGAAAAATATCAAGACATTGTCATTGCCGATTTCGTCGACACTTACAACAACCTTCCGACCAAAACTCAGAGCATGTATGATTTCGCTACGACTTACTGTAGCGATTCTGTTCTCTATTTCGTCTTTCACGATTCGGATACAATCATCGACAGTCGCGAACTAGAGCATCGAATGACCAAAAAAGTCAGCTGGGAAAGATTGAGCACATCGTCTAAGAGGACGATAACAGGTCTCTCATCTCTCAAGGACAATTTGGATGTAAAGACAGATTTCCAAATTCCTTTCCTGAGAAATATTTCGGAAGAAGAAGACGGCCATGGAGTTGTTCACGAAGCTTTGGGAAACGAGAAGGGCCAAATCTTCTGTCTAAGGTAAATTTTATGAATCACGAAAACTCTTCAATACTTCCATTAAGGCCGACAGGATGGAATCACAACGCGAAAAACACGGAAAAATACAACATCACGCAATCAGAATACCCACCCTTATTTCGTCTTCCCGAGTACTGTAATGGCCAGGGAGCGATTTTAAACAGAATTGCTCTCGAAAAAATCCACCAAGTTTCGAAAGTTACCGAAATGGGCAGCTTCAGAATCGAAGACATTTACTTCACTGGCATTTTGCGGGCCAAAGCGGGTATTCAAGTGCCGGAGCGAGTTTTGAGCTTTGACTCGGAGAAGATTTCTTCAAGAGGAAATTTGATGCATACGTTGCTGCTCTTTGCAAAGCATAATTCAAAAGATGCATTTAGTGGAACTAGCCCTGTTCTTCAAGGAATGGTTTTGAGATTAGTACGCTAGGGTTGACAAAATTTTTCGAGGAAAAAGGGATTCTGGTCTCTTATTGGGCGACGAAAAATACACTGACATCTGATTGGCTCAGGGGACCCGGCCCCCACACTCCGAGTTGTCTGCCAACCCTAGTCATCAAGCCTCTTTTCGTGTAAGATCATTCTCAAAAACCAATAAAAGACGATAAACTCATTTACGCAGCCGCATCAGGATTTTTCCCTCAAGTGCTCATGAAACGAAAAGCGACAGAAGACTTTGAAACGGACCTCAAAGTCGGAGATATCGAATCAGTTCTTGGAAATCAACGAGATGCGCTAGAAAAACGACTTGAGTGGTTCTATGAGCAAGAGAGAAAGAATAAAAACTTGCATCTTAAAATTCTCGACTGATTCTTTCTGAAACATATTTAAGATGACAACTGCCCAGATTTTGAATCTAATAAAAGAAAAATTATGATCCTGACTAAATATCAACTTCTTTCCGGTTACGCATGAAGAGCTTAATCTTACCCTTCATTTTTTGAATCAGAAATCATTTTCTTATGTTATTTTCCTGTAATTTTAGCGATATAGTCAAATTGAATCGTATCATTATTCGAGAGTTCGAATTTTCCATTCAACAGAAATTCAAAAAAAAAGAATAGAGGAAGTCAAATAAAGCCCTTTTTAAAAGCTTTTTTTAAATAAATTCTTTGCCAAAAGAGAATGCTTTTGAAGTCTATTCTACCATCTTTTGCTTTGGGAGCATCTGTAGCAGACTATCTCGGGGAGAACAAGCCAGTTGCGATCATTGATGAATTCGAAGTTCAAGGCGATCAAATTGAGACATTTCTAAATCTTCACTTTTCTATCTTTGACGAGGGCTACCAAAAGGACTCTGGATTTATCAAGTAAGAACAGAACATCTTTTTCATTAAAAATTCTTTGCAAGAAATGATGAGTTTGTTGATATGTCGTCCGACTTTGAGGCCGAGAAGATGTGTACAGTTGTTCTCATGAGCTACTGGAACAATGAAAAAGCAGCTGAAGAGGCAAGAGCTGATACGAAGCTTGAAAATGAATTCAATAATGCGGTAAATCTCCATTTCCTAAATTTTTTTAATCTCATAAATGACTATCAGCTCGAAAAAATGGGAATATCATCAAAAGTAAATGGTCAATATCCGAGAAATATGATTTTCTCCATCATCGGACCTCCAGCGTAATATCTTTTCAACTCAAGAATCACCTTAAAATAAACCATTAGCGAGAGTGGATCACCAACTCAATCAAGGGAGATCCTCTTTGAAGATGCTTTTTCATCAAATGCTTGGAAAACGAGTGCTTATCCTTACAAGATTCCCGGTAATTTGATGCAGCAATACATCGATCTTGAGTCTGAGTATTGGGGAACTTTCAATGGCGGCTTTTCCTTCTATCAGAGGTTTTTGCTTTGAGAGAGAACTCCAACAATTTTTTTTCAAGAAATTCTGAGTTCGTCTCAAACGATTGCGATTTGACTTCGCCAAACGAGTGCTATTATTTAAATCTGAACTTTTGGTCAGATCGAGAGGAAGTCAGCAATATCAATGGAGTACGTCCCTTTATCGAGAAGATCAATATAATGAAAATTTAAGACGGAAGTAGGCGAAGTTAACGCAGCTTTCAACAAAGCAGCAGCGGAAAGAAACATCACTTTTGAATACGTTGGCCCTTTTCCAGGAGCAGGAACCGATGGTCTCGCAAATTTGAATGGAAGAAAGACTGAAGATCCTCGTGAAAACGATACTTCTCAAACAATCGCGTCAATGAGCCTCCTACTTTTAACACTGTTATTTTCTTGATTATTTATTTTCTCTAAATCTGGCATAATCAGAAATGAACTTTGTCATATTCGTGAAATTCTAGTTTTGTGGATCCATAATGATCTTGCAGGCTTTGCCGGACAAAAGCGCATCGTAGGCGGTTTTGAAGTCGGACAGGGGGACTCGATGAGAGACAGTCATTTCTATTGAGGTTTAATGAAAAGGAAGATGATAGTGATGACAGACCTGGTTGAACCTTTCCACTTTCGATCAATTTTTCGCACTCCTCCCAAGTGTGGAAAATCTTTCTTCCGTGGACGCTGTGAATCTCCAAGCTCTTGAAAATCAGATCGGGCAGGGGATCCTCAAACGTCACTGCCGACTTAGGCAGGCCAACGAGGCCGAGTTTCCCGCCTTTTCGCATGTATTTCAGACATTTTGACAGGGTCGGAGCATGCCCAGAAATTTCGCAGATTCGGGGAATTCCCTCGCCATTTGTTGCTTTCATGATGGTTTCGTGGAGGTCTTCTTTTGTCACATCAATCACTAGAATCAGTTTTAAAGGAGCAAATAAATAAATAAATAAAAAAGAAGGTGTGGACCCTTATGCTTTGAATTATGTAACTATCAAAGGGTATATTTACGAAGTACTTCTATTTGGGTCAGAGGACCAAAATCTCTACTCCTTGATGTTTGTTTTTATGGCCTCTATTTGTCGAAATTTGTTGCACTCAGAAGAGACAGTACTTGAATAAATCACAGTCCACGTCTAGAAAATGAGCTTTTTCGGGACTTGCAGTTTGCGAAAAATTATAAAAGCAGCACTTTTGAGCATTTTTGCTGTTTCGGCGCTTTTTGGAATAGCCCTAGCAGCTGGAGTTACAACAGTGAAAATAACAGAGGATAAAACTAAACCCGAAGAGATAACTACTTCTATTCCGGGCTTTCCGGACGGACCAGAAGGAGTCGATTTTGCCTGTAACGGCAGCGCTAGAATCCCGATAGATAATATTCTTTGGGAGAGAAATGATCTTTACCAAGGAGAAAACTCAGGCAAAAATCGATTCTTTCCGACAAATCGTCTTAATTTCTTTTAGATTATGCCGATTGGTGCATTTTCATCCCGTCTGCTCCTCGATCCCGACTTCCATACAAAGCCCAATGCGCTCTATACGATGCTTTACCCATTTCAATCCACGACGATCTCACTCAAAAATCCTTTGAAATCGCAAAATCAGACATCGATGATATTCAAATCATCCAATTTGGCGGCGAAACAAATCGAAGAGGGGAGTTTTCCTGGTTCGACGGAACGTAAGAAAAACTTTTTAAGAATCGTTTTCATATTTCAAGTTTAGAAAGATTGATTTTATGGAAAGTGAACTCGCAAGCGGAACTGGCGAACTCTACCTTGACTCTGCCGGATGGGAGGTCAAATCTGTCATGCGAAATGTCTCCGCTCACTTTGCCTGCTACGTTGATCAAAAAGCTCTTACTACAGTTACAAGTACTGCTTCCTCCGCTTCTACGAGCTCATCCAGTCGACCAACTTTGTCCCCAACAACGACGACATCGAAAACGACTACCACACCGCTGCTAACAACAACGACAACAGAGGAAATCACGTTAGGATGGAGCTATTGCGATTCAGGTACCGTAGACTCTTCTGATTGTTGATCGAAAAGTCAATAAAATCAAATTCCAGACGCTGACAAAACAAAAATTCTTTGGACAACAACGCCCATTTACGATGGTGCAAGTGATCAGTTCAAAGACTGGTGTGTTTACATTCCGAGAGAGTCTCGTCAATCTGGACTATCAGTAGACGAGCATTGCGAGCAGTTTTTCGGATCTGGTTTATCAATTCATGACCAAAACTTGCAAAATTCCATCGAAAGAGGTAAACGAACCTATATGTAAATTTTGATAATTTTTAGTTTTTCGGGAATTTTCTGAAGTTTCTGTAATTTCTGTTGGCGGCAAAAAAGACGCAAGAAATGAAGACTTCTACTGGCAAGATAACAGGTAATTTGAAAACAAAGACAAAATTCGAGATAAAATTTAGCGATGTGGATTACAAGAAGCGAGAACTGAATGGATTGACTGTTGGAACCGGAGAACTGGTTTACGCAAGAGCGAACTTTCAAAACGGAAATTGGGAGCTCACAAAAAATGAAAATACATTGAGCCATTCTCATTTTGCTTGCTATCAGAAGATTCCGGAAAAAGAAGGCTCCGCTGAAATCATAGAAGACTACTTTCAACCACTTTTTTGAAAAAAAATCCGTTTTTTTTTTGTAAATAAAAAAAGACTTTTTCAAATCATTTTTTACCTCTATCCGCGCCCATTTTCTCCGCCAACTCCAATTTATCAGCAATCACATCCGCCGCATAAATCTTCTTAGCTCCCATTCCTCGGGCACACGCAATCGCCAGCAATCCTACCGGGCCGCATCCGATTACGAGAAGGTCCTGGCCAACAATGTCGATTCGCTCTAGAATATTGTGGGCGACACCCATCGGTTCAATCAGACAAGCTTGTTCGTCGGTGATGGATGAGTTGATTGGGTAGAGGTACTTGGAGCTGACATTTGACAGCTCAGAGCAGCCACCCTTAATCCAAAGATATTCAACTGGGAAAAAGGCTCCTTTACCTGAGTAGTTCCTTTTCCATGCCCATATTGCTTCATCTTATTGCAAATATCACCCCTTCCTGCATCACACATGCAACAATTTTCGCAGTAAAAATGGTTCTCCACCGCTACTCGCTGCCTGATTTTATGAGTCGCTTCCGGGCCGCATTTGACCACGATTCCGACGGCTTCATGACCAGGGATGAAAGGCAAAGATGCGATCGTTCTAGCTACATCATTCCATTTCCACAAGTTTATGTCTGATCCACAGACCGAAACAGCCGTTACTTTTATTTGGCATTCGTCTTGAAAAATATTTTGACTCTATTGCTTTCGCTTATTTATTTAAAAATTGATATAAGAAGATATTTTCGAAAACCTCCAACAGGCTCATCAATGGGACAATTTTCGTCGAATTCAAATCCCTCAGCTGGGTCTCTTTTGATTAACGCTCTCATTTTTATTGCTTTGATTTTCTTACTTATTGACCCCAGAACCGAGTCCGTGATTGTTTGCCAAGGGCAAATGCAACTACGCCTACAGATAATTATTAAATAAGACCTCCGATAGAAGCAATACCCCCGTCAACCCTTTCACGATCAATCCAAACACAGAAGGAGCAGTTGCTCTTAGGTCAATGATGATGATTAATTTTATTTCCTGCCTGAAAAAGTAGAGCCTCTGATTTGGCTTCATTATATCCAGATGCTTCATTTTATCCAAAGCTTCATCCTATCCAATTACTTCATTTCATCCAAATTTTTTTTTGGATAAAATGATGCCTTTGTATAAAATGAAGCTTTTGGATAAAATGAAGCCAATTTTCAAAAAAATCAGAATTTGGATAAAATGAAGCATATGGATAAAATGAAGACAAAATGTTATCGGAAAAATCTGTGGATATAATGAAGCTTTTGGATAAAATGAATCTTTGGATAGAATGAAGCGATGGATGAAATGAAGCAATTGGATAAAATGAAAACTTCATTTTGAATTTCATAAACTGTTGACTCAATAAAGCGTTAGAATGAAAGGAAGCTCTTGATAAGAAAAATCAGTTTTTGAAAAAAAAAAATATAATCCATACTTCATAGCGGCGTTATTAAAAATGACTTTTTTATTGAAAGTTAGATCCTGAGTCAGGCTTTTTACACAGAAAGCTTTCATAACTCACGAACTATTGAAGTCATTTTCGTTTTAAAAAATTCATTTTAGCGACAATTCTTCTTCATCAAACGACCTTAACATCGGATCATCGGATTTCCACGGTTGCGAATGCAAAAACACGCAGTCCTATTACGACATTCGGTTACGCACCAATCGAGCTACAGTAACAGACTGCAGTTACAGAGGGCCAAAGTAACCGAAAAGTAGATTTCATCATCTGTCTCTTCGTTTTTGGCTATTTCTTGCAGAAACAATCTCCATGCTGATGAGCACTTCGATCCAGATCGTTTCATTCTGTATTTTTCAATAGAAAAGTCTTATTTGATGAAACAATAAATAGTAACGTCTTCGTTGTTTATTAATAAAATTCGCTAATAACAGCACATACTATCAATTTGAACATAATCATAAAAAATTTTATTGAATTCAAGCAAGTAATCTAAAGCCAAAAAGTCTCTAGATGAAAAAATTATGAGACGTCGTGGCGCTCAGACTGTAAGACTGCGAGACTATAAAAATTAGCAAAAAGTCTCTAGATGGTAATTTATTTCTGATGCACGATCAGAAAAGATGTGAAAAGAGAAAAATGCTGTCTCAGGTCAGTGTCTATATCCAAACGAATCCGAAAATTCCAAAAATATTTTTTCCGGGAATCGTCCGAGTGGGACGCGGACTTTTGGTGTAAAAGGGCCTTTTCTTGTAAATTTGAAAAACACTTTATACGCCAAAATAACATTCCTTATTTATTTTTTCGAGGTGGATGATTCTTTTATCGTCATTATTGAGCGTTGAAAATAATTTTTTCAAGAAAAAATCAGAATTCGGAATTTTTAAAAATTTGTTTTTTCCATAAAATTGTTCCTGGAGTTTCTTAATGATTAATTAACGTATGAGATGACGTAAAACATGCTTAACTTTTGTTGAAGATAATTTCGTTACGTCTCTCTAGAAAAAAATCCTTCAAATTAACAAGAAAAGGCAATTCTATAATAAATTCTTGTAAAGGGGACGGAGAGGGGGGTCGACGAGAATTTTCAGGGTTGATCGTTATTTCGCTTATAAAGATAATTCTTGGTGATAAAATATAAGATGACAATATAGGGACTCCCGGAATATGTCGCGAATGTCGCGAATGTCGCAAATGTCGCAAATGTCGCGAATGTCGAAGCAAAAAATAAAATTGAAAACAAAGACATTCTAGAAAATAAGAATTTCCGAATCCCTCGGAACAGTAGGGGCGTGAAAACAGATGTGTAACCTGCCAAATCAAGGAGTTTCCTACCAGTTAACCCGCGGAGCGGGCACTTACTTACGATGGTTTCAATATTTCAATATTTCTCGTTTTTACGAAGTTCTACCATATTTTATGACTATTTTCGATAATTCGGCAATTTTGTTATTTTATCTACCGTGGGCGAGAGATATCACGACGGAGTCTGAGGGCCCGGGCCGGGGTTTTGAATATTTCGCGCACATTCAAGTATTTTCCCATGCCTAATGGAGGACTTTTATCTGGTGGAAGACCCAATTGATGGAAGATAGGTCTAACCTAGACTCTTTAAGATTATTTAATCTTTAACTTATAAATAGATAAAAATTTTAAAAAATCTTGATCATGTGACTCTTGGAGGACCCCTGGAGGACCTTTTCTGGTGGAAGACCGGCCTTCCTGGAAGACCCTTAAAATTCAGCCCCGTTCCATGATTTTTAAATTTAAGGGCTTGACGGCCCTTCGGGCCGTCTCAGCCCCGTTCCATGATTTTTAAATTTAAGGGGCTTGACGGCCCTTCGGGCCGTCTCAGCCCCGTTCCATGATTTTTAAATTTAAGGGGCTTGACGGCCCTTCGGGCCGTCTCAGCCCCGTTCCATGATTTTTAAATTTAAAATGCTTGACGGCCCTTCGGGCCGTCTCAGCCCCGTTCCATGATTTTTAAATTTAAGGGGCTTGACGGCCCTTCGGGCCGTCTCAGCCCCGTTCCATGATTTTTAAATTTAAGGGGCTTGACGGCCCTTCGGGCCGTCTCAGCCCCGTTCCATGATTTTTAAATTTAAGGGGCTTGACAATGGCTGGGAACTCCGAGGTGATCAATCTCAGTCCCCAACCCCGCCCACACCCATCGTCTTTAAAATTCAAATTGATCAAGTTTTCAATTATGTTATGGTTTTGAATATATTTTTTAATTTAAAGATTTTCTTTGATTATTATTTACAAATTATTATTATTTAGTTTATTTATTATTAAAACAAAATCAAAGTTATAAAAATTGAAGGAAGAAGAAGTTTCTAAGGTCAATTATTGAGAGAGGTGAATTGTGAAAAATGTTTCTAGACGGGGGGTTGTTGTTGTTCTTCGCGGAGGACCCACTCCCACGTGGCGCAAGATGCGCGCCAAAAAGAGCAAAAAGATTGGGACGAGAAAAACACGCGCAAATGCCCCAATCTATTTCGCTCTCCGTCGTGAAATCTCTCGCCCTCGGTAGAACAATTGCTGTTTTTCGAAATTGCGACATTCGCGACATGGAAGATTTATATTATAAATATATGTAAATATAAATATAAATAAATATAAATATAAATATATGTATAATATTTTTATATTATACATTAACTAAAAATGTGCTGGGGTCCGGATGTGTATATATAGCATAAAGTAAAAGGCCAATTTCAATAAGGAATCCAAATTCAAAATCCTAACCCCCCATGTATTCATGCTCGTTGGAAAGAGCGTAAAAAGTTACGTCAGAAAAAAATATTTCTGGTGAAGAGCTATCTTTTTCGGAAAAAATTTTGAAAAAATCGGAAGAAAAATTTTTTTCTAGAGTTGGATATTTCGTATTAAACTCTACCTCGGGTAGGTCAAGGCGATCATTTTCGTGTATTAAACTCAAATTTTCCATTTGTGGAAAAAAAATGAGAGGGGAACCAAGGTTTTGGACTTTTGGAACTTCAATCACCCGCCATGACGTCATTGCTGATGACTCAGCCTCTAGAAATATTTTTTTCTGACGTAACTTTTTACGCTCTTTCCAACGAGCATGAATACATGGGGGGTTAGGATTTTGAATTTGGATTCCTTATTGAAATTGGCCAAAGCTAACCCACGCTCATTTGGGGACCGTATATCGGGCCAGGTGTTCACACCAGACTATTTTCAGGAAAGCTCACCCACGCTCATTTGGGGACCGTATATCGGGCCAGGTGTTCACACCGGACTATTTTCAGAAAAGCTTACCCACGCTCATTTGGGGACCGTATATCGGGCCAGGTGTTCACACCGGACTATTTTCAGAAAAGCTCACCCACGCTCATACACCCTTAAGAATAAGACAAGATAAATTTTATAAGATAAATTTCAAGTTTTCAGCCATCAATAGACTCCTGCGAACCAAAAAACGGTTGGTGTCACGAATCGACAAAAATCCCGACAAAATTTTGCGTGGAAATTCTCAACCAATCAGCAGCCTTGATCCGTCGAATCCTGTTGTCGACACGATGCCGAGCCGTAAGCGGAAAAGACCGGTTTCTTTTGCAAACTGATGTATTCATGCCTGTTTTTTATCGAAAAAATATAATTGAAATATTTTAATTTATATCTTTTGATGTTTCTTTTGTTGAAATTTCTTACTTTTATTTTAAACAGACAAAAAACAAGGACAACAAGCAAAAATGTTTATTTTAAGTAGACTCTAGTATAGTCAGAAAATATTCTTGATTTTAAAAATTCATCGTCGAGTTCGCAAGGTACATTATTATCGAAAGTTAGTGTTAGGATCGGTATTTCGAAGCTTTTTGCTCGTGCCCGGGAGTGAGCAAATGAAGAAAATGAGGAATTTCTGAGTTTGCGAAAATATGTGAACAAATACGTAAGGACCCGTTGTTTGCGGAATAATAAACGCCTCTGATGCCTCGTTTTACTAGCTGCACTTGTTTAATTAGACAAAAAGAAATTCAATAGATTCGTTCGGTATCGGGCGAGAATTCAATTAAAAACTTGAAGAATTACTGAGTGGGGGTCGAGTAGAATATCAAAAATAAAGACAAGTTAAACTGTTTTTTCACCTGAAAAATATCGCTTCATTTTATCCATTTGACTCATTTTATCCAAGAACTTCATTTTATACAAAGCATCATTTTATCCATTTGCTTCATTTTATCCACTTTTTTAAACGTTAAAATACTAGCTTCATTTTATCCATTGACTTCATTTTATCCAAGTCGTCATCTTATCCAATAACTTCATTAGATACAAATGCTTCATTTTATCCATTTTCTGAATTTTTTGAAAAATGGGCTTCATTTTATCCAAAAGCTTCATTATATACAAAAGCATCATTCTATCCAAAAAAAAATTTGGATTAAATGAAGTAATTGGATAAATTGAAGCTTTGGATAGAATGAAGGTCTTGGATATAATGAAGCCGAATCCACGATCAATCCAAACACAGAAGGAGCAGTTGCTCTTAGGTCAATGATGATGATTAATTTGATTTCCTGCCTGAAAAAGTAGAGCCTCTAGTTTTTCTGTTTTATTAAAAATGGGTTTCCTTGACTATTTTAAAGAGACTCTGTCCAACTGCATCAACAGGGATGCGGAGAAATGGATCGAAGAGAATTATCAAGACGTCTCAATTGATAAAATCCTAAAAGTACAATTTTCAATTCGGCTAGCTGCGCTTGCTTATTATTCCAATGTAAAAAGTGTTAATATCTTATCCAATTCATTCTGTTTTAAGCATTTTGCCTGCCTCGACAGTGTTTCTCTAGAAAAGAACAAAAATGATTTTTCCAAACTTTTGCCTGAAAAAATGATTGGGACTGAACTCGATAAGGCATTGGATCAAAAATCTTCAATTATGCCATTGGCATAATGCCAATGGCCCATTGCAAATCGCGTCGATTTTCTGTATTTTGAATCCGGTTTCAGTCATCTATGATTTCACTGCTAAAGAGATTCGAAATTTTCGACTTCGAAGCTATTCGAGACGACAGAACCGGTTCCGATGCCATCTTAATCTTCGCAAAAGACAAGCCTGTCGATAATGTTGAGGGAAAAACCTATGCCATTGTCACCGTCTGCGGGACATTCGAGCTGCAAGACGTCTGGCAAGACATCAAGATCTCCCAAGTTCAGTTTGAAGAAACAGAAGCTCGCGCACACAGCGGATTTTATGAATGCTTCCAAGCTCTGAAGCCGGGAGTTGAAAGCTTTCTTGATAAAACTGTCGCTGAAAAAACGGTCGACGAAATTTTGATTGTTGGGCATTCACTTGGTGGCGCAGTCGCCTCTCTTCTCGGAGCATCGCTAGGATTGGCTTAGATTTTTACAATTTTTAATTTTTTAACATTTTTTTAAATTGATATAAAATCAAAACCAAAATTTGAGCACCGAAGTATGAAGGGGAAAATTTCCGAGTAGTGAGTGTTGGTGCTCCGAAAATCGGAAATAAGGCTCTGCAAGACTTGTTCAAAGAAAGGTTCAATCATACCGTTCTATTTGAATATGCATTAGTTGTATTTGAAGAGTGAAGAAGCATGTGCGAGTCCGACTAACGAGCGATCTTATAGTGAGAATGCCAAATCTTCTGTATTGGTTCAGGAAAGCCTTTTTTTGAATTGACGAAAGAAAACCTTCTTCAGAAATTCAGGCGAAGACCACGACCCGACTGACTTCCCCATTTTTGACGAGTCCGACTTTCCCATCGGAAGTCATTTTACTCATCGTGTTTACGTCGGGCTGGAAAAAAATAAAGAAATTATTTTTAAGAAAAAGTTCGGAAACGCTGTTCAAAAGGCTCAAAAATATCTGCAAGCTCAATAAAACAGGAAATAGATGACAAGAACAATCAGTAATTGACCTTTATAATCAGAATCAAAGAAAAAGAAAAAAGTGAACTGAAATGATCAAAAACAGAAGCAGTTTCGAAGCGGATGAATGATCCGATGAATTCGAGAAAATGACGATTTCCCCTTGAATTTCCCTCAAATCAACGTCATCCAACAGAAATGCAGATACTTTTATGCTTTTTGAATATTTTTCCAAATTTTCGTCCCCTATGAAGATGGCTTTCCGGGTCGTCAACAGCTCTTTATTCCCTGAGAAGGATTAGTTGAATAAGCTTTACTGCAAAATTTACCAATTTGATTCTGGCAATCAGATTTTGCCTGGCAAAAGATCTCGTCATTTTTGCTGCACGCTCCAACAGATACTTCGAAAATGACTGTTTTCGAATTGGCGAAGGAAAAACTTTTCAGAATAATCGTTTTTGCTTCCTCATCAATTGTGACAATTTCTTCAACTTCTTGCAGTGCGCATCCGTTTTCAATTAAGGAAACGGAGCTTGATAAATCGCCAGAACTTGCGGTAAGGGATTCAATTCGATAGTCGAGAGAGTCGACGAGTTTTTCCGGCTTGATAAGCATAAGTTGACCAAGATTCAAGTTTTTAAAGTTCGAATGATCGCAGGCACCAGTGATTTCAAGAGAGCAGATTTGAAGGTCGAAAAATGATCTTGATTGAGAGGAATTTGACGAGACCGTGATTGCAGTTGTGTCCAGCGCGATTGTTGAGTTCAACAGGTCCCCGTTCTTTAATATTTTTTATGCGTTTAGTGGTATTCAGCGATGGCTCGTGGAGAAACTCATTAACCCTGCTTTTTCGACTCAATAGCCACGCCCGTCGGTAACGTAGCGTGTGGTAACTCATGATCATTTCTTAGTTACCTCATGTCAGGGGCCATAAATATATTGATGGGGTAAAAAACAAAGCCTTTAAAATCAAAATTGATAAAAAAAATACCTGGAAACTGCATTCAAATTCTAATGCAGCAGTTTCTTCCTTTTCTTTTAATTTTGAATATTCTCCAGTCTCATTGACATATAAATGTTCTATCAAGGCATTTAACTTCCATCGATAGCTAAATCTGTCCCAAAAACCAGGCTGCACTTCCAAGTACGATCCGCACTCTTCGAACGGCAGAATAATTCCATCTTCGGTGAAATATTCAGCGCAATTTTGAAGAGAAAAAGTTGTGGAATTGTCAAACTCGCCGAAAAATTGGACCGATAAATAATTGCTTCCGAATTGAAAATTATAACAACGCGGATTTAATGATATTCTGAATTCATCTTGCCCGCATTCAAGTTCGAAGATGTCTTCTCTTTCACAAGGAATATATTCTTGAGTTATAGTCGCAAGAGTCGATGTTTGCGACGAAAATACTGGTTTGAAAAGGAGGCTCTCGATAAAAACAAGTATTTTCATGGTTTTTAAAAAAGCAAAGATGAAGAGAAAACCGAGACGGAAAATATGATCAATCATTATAATCGTAAAATTAAGCCGATCCCAAAGGAATGAGCTTATTCAACTCCTTGTCTATTGACATAAAACCAGCAGAAACCAGCAAAAATCAGCAGGCTACTCTCGTAGAGCCCGGTTCGAAATCGTACTTATGAGCGAGTGAACTGGAACGATACCTATTGACCCTGTCTTTTCCAGCTGTTGGTGACGCCCGTTATTAAGGATATAGCCTGTAAAATTCAACTTTCGTAGCGGCTAAACGCGAGGTCGGATCTTTTTCATTTCAAAAACAATCCTACCTAAAAATGCACGAAAAACTCAATTCTGGTATATTTTTTAAAATTTTCACCTAAATTTTTCTCTCTAGAGCGACTTGAAATCTTACGATCACGATTTCTCAAAATTTTTCCACTAATTCGCTAAAACTAAACCGTGTTCTCTGTTGTCATAATGCTAAGCTAGAAAATTGAGGGAATAAAATTCTCAAACTCGGTCATATTTTCATTCTAGTATTCTCCTCTTTCTTGCTCTTGCTTTTCTTCCCTGCGCGCTTTATCGCGTGTAGCCAATCAGAGCGCTCGCAAAAACACGCACGCTCTCCCGGAAAAGAGGAGGCGAGAGAGCGAGCACCGAGCGCAACGCTTTTTATAGCTTCTGCGCGCTGAGTTAGCCTCATGGAAAAGGCTGTAAAATCGGTTTCTTTCGGAATTAGAGAAAACTAAACCGTCAATTTTGTAGATAAAGGTCTAAAGAACCTATCTATCGAAAAAACTCGACCGATTTAGTGAAAAATTTTCGAGGAATCGCGATCGTAAGATTTCAAATCGCTCTAGAGAGAAAAATTCAAGTAAAAATTTTTAAAAAAGTACCAAAATTGAATTCTTCGTCCATTTTTAGGTAGGATTGTACTTGAAATGAAAAAGATCCGACCTCGCGTTTAGCCGCTACGAAAGTTGAATTTTACAGGCTATATCCTTAATCCTGGTCACAAATTCTTCGATACTAAGTTTACTAAATCAGAACTCAGTTCATCAAACTAAATAAAGAAAAATATTGATTTTTTCATTATGAGCAAGAAGTAAGTTTAAGGGGGAGTATCACGCTTTTTTGAAAGTCGGTATTTTAATAATCTGTCTCGAGATTCTTGTAGCTTAGGCCTTGACTAACAAAAAATATATTGAATTTTTTTCTTATTTTTCAGAAAAAGTACCCTAAAAATGACATTTAAAGTTGTTTACTCGCGCCTAGTGAAATTTTCCCGCGACATTCTGGATGAATTTCTTTTGCCCAGAGTCGTTTATTTCTTCATTTTTATGAATATTTTCAATCAGAGATAAATGTTTTCACAAGAAAATAGCAAAAAATAACCTATTCGTCACTTTTCACTGCTGATTGATTTCATGAAAATCTGCATTTTTGGAACCACTTCCTCAGACAAAAATTTTGTTAAGAATTTTTTGAGTTTTCAAATTTTCCTTCAAAACAGCCCTAGAGAAGGGGATGAACTTTCTAAAACCAGGAGCGACTTTATGATCGAACGTTAATTTCTTAGAAAAATTTCAATCCTCCGACAGGCCAAAATCGAGATTTTGTGAAGACGGGACTCAGTCTCAGCTCTCTACTGCGAAAACTGCTTGAGTAAATGAGAATCCGAGAAAAACAGCCCTAGATATTGGTCATATCTAACTACTCGAGGAAGGATTTATTGGATACCTAAGGTTCTCTGGAAATGAGAGCAAATCTCCGACCCCCCTTTAGCAGAAAATGCGTGATACTCCCCCTTAAGTTATTATTATATAAATATCTTTTATATTTTCTTAATAATACTTTTTTATCAATTTAGGTCGCATTTCAAAAGGAGATCCGAGCCCATCAAGATGAGCTCAAGGAGCACCCGGTTTACGAAAGCATCGATAGCCTAAAAGGCCTTCGACAATTTATGCGATTCCATGTCTTCTCAGTTTGGGGAAACATGAGTCTTGTGAAACGACTTCAAAGGGATCTTCTTTGTATGAATACTCCGTGGACTCCACCAAAGACAAAACAAACGGCTTCGATCATTAATCAGGTAAAAAAATGATTATTGTCGTTTAGGTATAACGACTCCTTATTTTCAGTTGACTCCTGGAGAAGATTCAGCTTACGAGCTTTACGTAAAAGCTATGAACGAAATCGGATCAGGAAGGTTTAATTGTCCTAGATAGAATATTTTCAAAATTAACAAATATATTGAACCAGTGGAAAGACTCTACCGAAGTCACTAAACTTGTTTCGATGATCGAGCGGGGCCAATCTTACGAAAACGCGCTAAACTCTCATCAATCCGTTTTCGGCGATACGATCCCAGAAGCAATCTACGATCAGCTCCGCGAGACCTTGCGAATCGCCGAGAAGGGAAGCACTCATGAAGCGATGGCAGCACTTCTCTACAGCGAAGAAGAAGGGCTGACGATTCTCTTCCAGGACTTCCTCGACAACAAAATTTTTTCAAACGGAAAAAAATCAAACTCGCTTCATATTTATCTCCAGAAATACATGCATCTTGATCAAGAAAACTACCGTCAACATGCTGTTGCTGCCGTTAGGTTCGAAAGACAAGGAGATAAATGAAATAAAGATAATTTTTTTTCAGCGAAATTTGCGGCAAGGACGAGAAAAAGTGGAGTGAAGCGACAGCTGCGGCGAAAAGCGCGATTGAGATGAAAATTCACTTTTATGGCGAGATTTTGGAAAATCTGCCAAAGGTCGAGAAATGGCAGCAACAAGGCGCGGATAACCCTGCAATGAAAAGGTCAAAATGAGAAGAGAATATTTTATCTTATTTTTGATTAAAGGATGCAAATGGTCCAGTTCTGGAATATGTTCGCGAATCCAAATATGTTCGATGAGTAGACTCGATGATTATATTAGTTTATTGCTTCTTTACTTACCTGACCTTAAAGGCTACCTATCAAATAAATAATAGACAATTCTCGTTCTCAAATCCATCTCATTGCAAAACGTGTGAAAAAACCCAAATAACCGGCAAAAAAATTCCCAGACAAGTCTTAGATCAAACATAATTCTATTCTGTCTATCAAAAATGACCGCCCTTGCACCCCGCTCCCGCTGAGAAAACCGATTATAATTACACTCCCAGTCTTGCATAAGTAATCATCTGCGCCTTTATAACCGATCTCGTCGCTCCACTCCTCATCCAGTTTTTGAAAGAACCAAAAAGTAAAAAAAACAAAAATGAAACTTTTCAAGTTTTTTTCCGTCGCCGGCTTCGCTGCTGCTCAATCGTCTCCTTGCACCTTGATCACTGCAACTTGCGATCACGAGGGCTTTCATGTTGTCCTCAGTGACACCTGCCGATCGACCGACTACTCAGGCGTGACTGTCAATGAGGTTTATGCTTCCGGATGGACTCAGAACTCCACTCTCCCAGGTACGTCACTAATCAACAGAAAAATATGAAATTTTTCGAGTCAAAATTGAATCCCCTTTTCAGTCTATGGCGCTCCAAGTGAAGCTCCATCAATGTGCCGCTTTTCCGTCGACCCCGCTGAATCGACACAGTACCTGATGGATTTCTCCTTCCTCGAGTGCGGCACTGACTACCCCGACTCCACCTCAACCGATTTGGTCTACCGGAACACCATCCAAGCGAATGAGTACTACTCCGACATGCTCATGGGCGCCAAGATCCGCTACATGATCACGTGCACTGGCGATCGAGTCGCCGAAGTGACCAGTCAGACTGGCGACATCACCGCTGAAACCGAGTTGGTGACGACTGATAATCAGAACAAGCCCGCCAGCTGGGTCGACAACATTATCTCGATGAAATTTTACAACGATGCAGGTTACTCCGCGGAGATGTCTGGCTCTACCAACGTCGTTCCCTTCGGCCACAACGTCTACACCTCCATCGAGCTCGACAACACCTGGGCCGACATCAACGTCAGAACCACCAAATGCTGGGCAACTGAGTCCTCTGACTCAGCGTCGTCCCCTTCTTTTACGATCTTCGAGAACTCCTGCCCAACTCTTCAGTGGGTCAATGTTGATGACTCGACAAATGGAGCTTCGGAAATTTCTCGATTCGACTTTAGATCGTTCAGATACCCCGGAAGCAATCAGATCCATCTTCATTGCGAGGTCTACATCTGCCACGACGACGCCACCGATGTCTGCACCGTAACTTGCCCCTCCTCCCGCCGTCGAAGACGACAAGCCGACTTCGATTCCGACTTAACCACCCTCGCAAATGGCACCATTATCCAGGACAACGGTCTTCCAGGTACTTTTGAGTTGCACATAAAAATTATCTTCATATATTTTTTTGTGAAAAGCTCACAAGAGACGCTCCGCTCGCTCGAACTCGCACCACCGCTCGAAAAGCCCTTCAACAAATGAATTATTATTTTTAGCTCCTAAGATTCTCTCTGCTACAATTGATGTTACCGACTTGGAAACTCCCGTCGAAGCTCAACGGTAACGCTAGCAACCACTTATTTTTTAACCGTTTTCTAAGGGTCCAAAACAAGGTCGATCGACTTTCAGAGCTGCTTGGAACAACCCGTTCGGAATTTTCCAAGCTCGCCCGAGTCATCAAGAAACTCCAGTCAGATGTCAATACCCTCTGAAAATCTGGAAGAAAATAGCCGAAAACGTCCCCTTCTCGAACTTTATCCTCTAGAACAATTATCGCTGTTGTCTCGTCCTACCAATCTGAATGTTAATAAAATAATCAACAAAAAAAAAACTGCCGGCTTGATAAAATTGACTTTTTGCACGTGACCTTACTAAGGGTATCGATCAAACTATGATACATGTTCTTTATTATATCAGATAACTTTTCATTTCAAAATCTTGGCAATTCGATTGGCTCTCCTTCTTCTTCCGGATGAAGTCTTCTTAGATGCTGCTCCATGGTGTCTTTTCGAAAGTGCGTGTGCGAGCAGAGACTACATTTCCATCGAGAAATGTGATGCTGCAGATGGTGTTGGTAGTCGCGCTTGAGATTTTCTTTATTGCTGAGTCCGTAGTTTTCAGAATTGATGAGCAAGTGGGGGCAGATTTTACATCTGAAGTTTCCATCGCCTTTCCCACGTTTTGGGACAGTCTCGATGTTGCGAATATGAGAAATGAGAAAGCCGACGTCTTCTTCTGTAACCTGGTCAACCTGGATTCAAAAATGATGATCAAAAATAGAAGATGGAAAGTTACCATTTGGCTGTTTGTCAACGCCTCGATTATTTCGTTGACGCGGTTTTGATTGTCAACAGCGGAGTTGCAAGGTGCTCCATAAAAGTCCAAAAATGTTCGAAATTGCTCTTCGTCAACTTCGACTAGGCTTTCGGAAAACGGTCGTTTCAGCTTGATTTTTCGGCCACTGGAAAGGATAAATAAGATCATATGTAAAAAAAAAAGATTTTGTGTCATTTTGTTCGAATATTTTTCTTACTTTTTTGAGGCACTGATGACGGCATGTAAAAATGGGTCAATCGAAGATTCATCCCTTTTCTTCGACTCTGGTTTTTCCGGAAATTCCTCCTTATCGTCTGGTTTTTCGAAGAACTGTTGGAGTAAGGATCCCCCTTCCAATTGCTGAAGCTCAGCATCAAGAGCAGAATCGTCTGGTTTTTCATCGAAAAGTCCTGAAAACAGACATAAGATAATATTATAAGATAGTTGTTATCAAATAAAGAATATTTTAAATAAATACCGTATCTTACCGTTCAACTGAAGCTCTAACTGAAAAGTATCAAGTTCATCCATATTTTTATCTTTCGTTTTTTTTTGATAAGTTTTACTTTCTAGCTCTTCTGACTCAAGACATAACAAGAGGCGTACTTTAAAAAGCAGCGAAACGATCTCGTTAAATTTTCCTAGCGAAGGAATCGCGGGTTTCCGCCGCGGTAAGAATGCATAATCCAAATAGAAATTAGTGTTTGATCAAACAGTGACAGAATTATGAGACAGAGTTTCCGAACTCTCTTTTTTTTCCCGTCATCGCGACGCCGTCGAAATAATTATTTCTTATTTCTATTTTAAATGGATATTTACCAAACATGATAAATCAATTTGTCCTTCTCGTTTTACGATCGAAAAAGTTTAATAATCCACTTTCGTAAAAATAAAATAAATTTGATTTTTTCGTAAACGATTCAGATAAAAAAAGGGAAAACTGACAAACAAAAAGTTCTAGTTACGCCCCTGCCTTTTCAAAAAGAAAGTTCACAATGGCAATTTTTAACGAATGAGTCGCCTCTCTTATTTATTACGGAGAGTCGAGGATTGCCGATGTTGTGCAGGGGATTTGTCATGTATTGACTATCTCATGAATTGAATCGCGCTAACAATATGTAGGCATATAAATTATATGATAAAATCTTTATTAAATCAGATAATTTTTCATCTCAAAATCTTGGCAGTTCGATAAGCCATCCTTCTCCTTGATGGATTCTTCGAAGATGTTGCTCCATGGTGTGTCTTTGAAAGTGCGTGTGCGGGCAGTGACTACATTTCCATCGAGAAATGTGGTGCTGCAAATGGTGTTGGTAGTGTCGCTTGAGGCGTTCTTTACTGCTGAGTCCGTAGCTTATAGAATTATCGAACAAGTGTGGGCAGATTTTACACATGAAGTTTCCATCGCCTTTTCCACGCCTAGGAACAGTCTCGATATTACGAACGTTCGCAACGAGGAAGCTGATGTCGTCGTCCGAAACCTGGTCCGCCTGAATTCTAAGATAATGATCAAGCGATGAGGTTAATGATTACCATATTGATATTTGTAAGATCGTCGATTATTTTTTTGACGCGATTTGGATTCTCAGCCACTGAGTTGCCATTGGTTCTAGGAAAGCCCCAAAATAGTCGAAATAGTTCCTCCTCATTTTCGAGAAGGTCTAAAATAATTTTTATTTAATTTTATTTCTAAGAAAGAGCTCTTTTTACCAGCCATCATTTATCGAATGGATCTCGTGGAAAAAAAATTATAATTCTAATTTTGAGAAAATGAAATTGATATAGCGGCAATAAAAACAAAAAGTTCTACGCCCTAGTATTTTTAAAGACCGTAATACAATGACAATTTTTAACGAATGAGTCGCCTCTTTATTTTATGATTTGTTCATTTTGCAAATTTTCCGAAGTTTTGGATGATTTCTCGCCAGAGTTGGGGAGGCGTATGGAGGGAGAAGGTGACGGTGGAGATTCGAGGATTGCTGATGTTTTGCAGGGCATTTGTCATGTTTTGAATTTTGTCCACGCTCAACTAAAATGGATTGTATTGAAACCAGTTCCTTTATTTTTGACCCGGTCGTTACCTTGACGCCAATTGATTTTTCTCGTTTATGACTTCGATCTCGCTTATCTGTTGTTTCCAAATGCATGTCAAAGTGCCTTAAAATTAAGCTCAGATTATAAACGAAAGCTTGAAATACTTTTCTCCGTATTTGTTAATTCGAATTGGCGAAAAACCCTTCACTTTGACCAAGCAATCTGGAAGATCAACTTCAGCGTACGAGTTGGACTTCATCATCGGTGGAATTGGCTGGTCGAGAAGGCCTCCCATCTTTTGCTTCGGGAGTTTGATAACATATTTTGGGCTTTTATTTTTTCCTGCGCCGAAGTTCTCGATCTTGATGAAAATTTAAAGGAAGCTGACAAATGGCACCACCTTGAATGAATCTGATGTTGTAGCACCAAAAACATTGTCCATTGCCGCAATTTGAAGGTTGATCTCATTAACTGCGGCACTGATGTCTTCCTGGCTCTTGTTCAGACTCGATCGACTGAAGATTTTATTGCATAAATTCTTTTTTTATCAGATTAAACCTGTTGATTCTTTTAATCGCGACCAACTCTTGTTGCGCTTCTTTTTTGATCATCTTCTTTTTCTTCTGTCTTTCTTGCAATTCCTTGAGCTCATTCTTCGGATCGACTTCTTCGGCTATTTCTTCGTCGCTTCCGGAGGATGGCGCAAAGCTGCTGGTTGAAAGAAAGCTGTGGTCATTTCGGGTCATTTGCTGCTTTCCATAAAAACTGCCTTCTGTTTCGAGTTTTCGGCCAAGAGGGGATTTTGCCCGTCTCGATCCTAGTAAAAAATAAAACGAGAAAGAAAAGCGCTGATACCAGGAGTGCTGAGCAAATCAGGAGTAAGAAGGCGATCAGCATTGATTTGTGGTGAAAGGCGACGGGCTGCAACAGGTGAACGGCCACGTGACTGAGTTCTAGATGCGACGGATGATTTTCGTGAACCAGGTCTTCTCATGACTCACAGGACAGAACAATATAAAATCAAAATTGTATTTACATTTTTCATTTTTTTCAAATTTATATTCTAACTCAACACCAATCGTTTAAGTAAAATATAATAGGTTTACTTTTACCATTTAGTTATGGTTTTTGAATCATTTCCTTGGAGATCTAGATCTAGAACGTATTGTCGGGTTGTGGGGGGTACTCATGGTCACGTGAGTCTCCATTTGCTCAGGATCGTAAAGAGCAAGCCCTCGAACTCGAGTTTCTGTTGGAATCATCATCATGTCCTTATTTTCGGATAAAAAAGAAGAAGAAAAAAGAACGATCTGATTACCGGGAGGACAATATGGGAATTCATGGCTGGACAGTTCTCTCTTTCGGAAATCAAGGGCGCGACAGGAGATCAAAAAAGTGTTGGCCTTGCGGTTCTAGCCACGGAGCGAAAGGAAAAGTTTTTGATACGAAGGGCGCTTATCACTTAACCCAAGCACTTGTTGATCTTCAGGCGTCAAGGCCAAGTATTTTTTTGAAATATAAATCAAGCGCTTATCAGTTCTCATAAATTTTTAACTATGGATCGTCTTAGACAAATAATTGCCACTTTTAAAAAAATTTTAAGGGCGTCTAGAAGTTGCCAGAAAAATATTTGATTAAAGCATTAAGTCATGCAATGATCATCTTTATGTCAATAAGATTTTCAAAAATATAAAAAACCACAAGAAAAAACGAAGAAATTCAAAATGTCAGAAACGGAAATTCAACAAATGCAGAAATCTTTAACCCTTATCTTGAAGAAACTAGAGCTGGCAGAAAAAGAAAGAAACGATTTGAAAGAAGAAAATAAAGTCATGAAAGAATCGAGCGAAAAATTGACGGAAAAATATTTGGAAATCGAAGGTAAGTTATTTTTTGAAAAATTTTATTTGAATGCCGGTAGAGAGGCATTTTTTGATGACTTGTGTAATTTGGCGCACTATAAAATACAGCAATGAAACCGGTTGATTCTTAAATAGAATAACTTCAATAATGAGTTTTTTAGGAAACCAGTCGATTCTGCAGAAAAAGAAGCAAATAGACGATGAATCAACCAAAAAGATCGAACTGCTTTTCAAGAAAATCGACTGGATACACAATACTTACAACAGCAAATTTCAGTATTTTTATTAGCGAAACGAGAAGCAAGACAGGGCGATTGCGTCGCTGGAGAAGAAAAACAAGCAATTTGCGAGACGAATAAAAGACCTTGAGGAAGCTCTTGCTATGATGAAAAAGAAATTCTCCCGATGGGAAAAGTTTCAAATCAAAAAAATTTAGTTCGAACGAAAAAACTGAAACGAAGAATGAAGCTATTGATAAATTGTACAGTGTCTGAAAGAATTAAAGAAGCGCATGATCAAATCTCATCCATACGTTTTTTCATTTGATTATGACGGCCATAAGCTCAGCAAATAGCCCGTGGTTGGCTTCGATACTGTTTTCAATAAACCAAAGTTGCGCATCTATCAGTTTATTTGTCAATTAATTGCAGCCTTGTTATTTAAATTCCAATGTCAAGAATTCATAAATATTTGATCATTGAAGATTTTCGCGTAAGCCGCGGTTTAGCTCTCGAAAAGCTCAGAATCTGAATGTTAAAAATACTGATCGAACTGTCCCGGAATGAAGTCAACAGTAATTGGAGTTTTTCTTTTTGCTTCAGCTCTAGGAGTTATGATCTTTTTTATTCAGCGTTTCGATCAAAAACCTATCACAATAACAAAAGAGGACGGAAAAGGTGAGATATCAACTAAGCTTGTTTAGTTTAAAATCTTTATTCTTAAAGATTTTCGACTGAAACAACATAGACCAAGCTTTCTAGATATTCTACGAAGATCTTTCTCTCTCTGCCTAAATTATGATCATCCAACTCACAACTTGTGAGTCAAAATTCCAACTAAATGTTTGTGAAAGAAGTTTTAAACTGTATTCATCATTCAGTTTTTTTTTTGTCAAAAAGAGAAAGCGATTGATACAGATTTTTGTTTGTTTATTTTTCAATTGATTTTTCCGGTTTATTTTCTTGGACTTCTTGCAATTTTCTTCGGGCCAGTTGGATTTCCAGCCACAAAATCATATTCGCAGTCATAATTGTATCTGAACACGAAATCTTCCGGGCACATGTTCCATTCATCCTCCGCCTTCAGCACAATCGTCTCGAATTTCTTCGACTCGACAAAAGAAGGTTCTCGCCCAAGAATCCAGAACTGAGTGTTTGTATGAGTCGCATTTAGGCGATAACAGTTCATTCCAGCGGCGTACTCGTCATAGTCAGTGTCAAGGACCCCTGAATATTTAATCATAAGAGCTTTTTTGCGGTGAAAACTTGGGTAAGCCATCAAAATTACGGATTCAAGTTGCCTCAGCAAAACTGTCAGGGGATCAGTCGTGTCAAAATGATGAAAAGAATTTTGGTAGCAATTTTTCTTTTTTGTTTTTCTCAAGGAAGAGTCGTTGGTCCTGATGGGTGGCAGCCTCTTCGGCTACGATCCTACGAAAATTCGGAAGAAGAACCCCAAGGTATGTTTCTTTGGATTTAACTGATAAAAGGCGATATATTTTCATAAAAAGATCACTTTTTTAACCTTTTTTTAAGATTTTTTAATGAGAGAAGATCATGGAAACTTTTTCGATATTATTCGAAAGTCACTATCCCTGTGCGTTAACGACGACCACCTATACCACTGGTAGAACAGACTATGATAGGCTTCACCGTTACACTGTCTTCTACTTACAGTAATTTGGATAATACGGTGCGTCTTCGGGCGTGTATTCATCAATAAAATCGACAAATAGCAAGTTGGGCGCTGTTCGTTCAAAATCTTGATACGCATAGCCAGTTGTCCATGTTTTCGCCCAGAGCCCGTCTTTTGTTGGGTTGATCGAAGTGTTATTCACGTCGATGCGGGACTTTTCGGCGTCGAAATCGTAGAAAAGCTCGATGCATTTTCCGTCCGATCCGTCTGGCTCATTTGGCAAATATCGCTCTAGAATTGGGCTTATGTTTATTTAACGATGAAAAACGGGCTAGGAAAATTCAGGCAGAGAACAAAATTCTAGAGCCCCTTTTCCTGGATACCCCGCAAGATTCCACCAAATGCCCGAAAACGCTTCCGCATTGAAATTTTCTATTATCGGCGGAACTAGACAGTCCTCCGTTGTAGTCCTTGCTAGCGCAACTCCGACAAATCCTGCGACTCTCAACATTCTTATCAATAATTATTACGAGAAGTCGATTTTCAAAGTTTTTGTATGGATTGTTACGATTGTCGAGCGTAAGAGATGAACTGAGTTTCGAAAGTCGACAAATGTCAGGGGTCATTTATTCATTTTCGCGTGACATTTTCAACACAGTAAGAAAAAACTTCTATCCGATTCGCTTCACGATCTTCTTCACAGTGCCAGTAGCCTTGTCATAGATTCGTCGGACGATTCTCTTAACTTCATTTTCTTCTTCTTCTCCCTCATCTTCCTCAATTTTTTCAATCTCTTGGATTTCCTGAACGTCCAGAAGCATCGCTCGTTGATTTTGCAGGATCTTAAAAGGTGTTAGTTTTTACTCTGATTTTTCCCATACTTGAATGAGATTCAATGTCGTTGTTGTTGCTTTTGCTGTTGTTGTGGTGGTGGTCGTTGTCGTTGTTGTTTTGGGACAATCGACCGCATGTGGCCAGTTGCAGATTTGGAGCTTCGGGTCAAAAACTGTTCCGCTTGGGCAGTTTTTGATGAATGTTCTTCCATGGGCGCAATGGTAGAATTTATTGCATTCTGCGTGCGGGAACATGCCTTTTACTGATTTCGATATTTTTCAATAGAAATAAATTTTTAAATAATGAACCAGTCCTGAACCCTTCGAGCTGCAAAAATTATCTGCACTGATTCCAGCAATGATAAATGTCTAAAATGTTGACTGTGAATTGTCATTAAAAGAAATGCTTACCGAAAATAATCTCATTTCTCTTATTTTTTTCTTGTTTGACTCGTTTTAACATAGACGGTTGGTTTTTATAGAAAGCGACACTTTGAATTTTAAGTGTCTCTCCAAGAAAATAAAGTACTTCGAATTTCGTAAAAATTCGAATTCAAGACAGTGGAAAATAAATCAGTAGAAAGAGTTTATTTCTAAAAATCTCTTGTTGTTTGTAGAAAAAGACAAGTCTGACGTTTCATCAACGCCGACTTGAGTCGTTTAAGAAGTAAGAATATGTACAGAACTGCAGCGCATAAAAAGCTGGAATCGGACTTTTTAGATGTTCCAATCGGGCGGGCACTCTCCAATGTTGGCCAAAAAGTATTCTTTCTTTGTAGGGTTGCAGCATTGCTTCACGGCGTCGTGATAGATTTTCCTAGAAAAAAACATAATTAACGAAGGGTAGACCCTTAGTTTGACTCACTTAGGTCCCGTAGAAGGCCCGCAGCATTTTGCATCATCATCGTGCAAATACATTTCCGTCGTCTTGTCCCCTCTTCCCATGAAGTTGAATCCATCTCCAGCCACTCCCATCGGTCTGAAAACTGGTAACGCCAAATCAACCCGAAAAGAACAACCTCATTCGGGGCTCGCTATTGAAAGAGAGCTTTGGTTTGTGATGGCATTTTGAGAGGTCGTGATTTTCGCTGGAGAATTGAGAATCGTAAAAAGGCAGGGCTTGTTTCAGCTCTTCAGCGAACTAAAAATTTCTCTAGAATTTGAAAAAATAGGAAAATTTGGCTCAAAAATACAAAGAAAAAGAATAATTACGACAAAAATTAAGGTGAAATTTTAGACCTATTAGATAACCGTACTCGCCCGCTAGACCAATCAGATCTCACAAAAAATCTTCCCAAAGAATCGAATTTTTTGCATTATGCCGATCTTTTTGTCTGATACCTGTTTATCACATTCGCATAAATGTCTGTTACAACTCTTCACTGGATTCATACAGTAAGGCTGATCGGACAAAAAGCCCAATTTATAGAGCGCATTTGGTCCCTCCAAATTGCACTCGCTTCCGTCCTCAATCTGCACGCATCTTTGACAGTCTTTGTAATTTTTGCACGCTTGGTCGATCGGATCGACCGCGGCACCGTGTCCTGGAGTGGCGAGGCCTTTTGGGTCGAGCAAATTGCAGTTGCATCCGTAGGACAAATACTGGTCCGCGGAGGTTTCCGGAATGTAGTACTCTAAAAGGTCGGCTAGGTTAGGATACTTAAGTTTGAAGTCGATCGCGGTAGAAGTGACGAACATCGACGAAGCCGCATCTGGTTGATGAAAAAGAGCGAGGGAAAATGTCAGCAGGTCTAAAAATGGATAAAATCTAAGTTGGAGAAGAAATCTTACCTCTCATATTGAAATCTCTTGACGAAAAAGCGGGAAAAGGATGCGAAATATCGGACGAAAAATGAATCGGAAAGTGAGTGAAATCGAGCCGCGCGCTCTGATTTATCATGATTTTCCAAGGTGCGCCACCTAGAGCGCATCGAGCGATTTTCGCGCGCTCGCTCTTCTGCGGATTTTTCAATGAATTAAAAATATATTTGGAATAAAAAAATGATCCATAAAATTACTAGATTCTTGACTCTAGGATTTTCTTAGGTAACAAACACACATGTTCCTAAAATTGCCGATTTAAGAAAAATGCATAATTTCTATTTTCTTCGATATTTGGCCTCTCTCTTTTAATTTTTTCAAGAAGCAACTCAAAAATAATATGCTGTTGAGTTAATTCGTGATCTAAAATATTTAACTTTTTCAAAATATGTGAAAATTAGAAGTTATTTTAATCAGGTCACGTGTTTTCGCTGAAAATTATGCTTCGAAAGGATCTAAAAGTGGCCCGAACTTGAACATTCGCTACGCTTTGATATCGTTTTAATATCTTAGCAAAATCATGTTTTTAAGTCAGCAGATTTGCCCCTTTTTCGAGAAAGAACCTTCGGAAAGCACGTATTGAGCTGGCTTAGATTTGATCCCGAATAAACGTTTAAACGGATTTGCGCTCAAAAGTCCTCAAACAACAAGATTAATTCAGGGAAGAATCATCAAAAGGGCTTTTTGACTAGGTCGTAATTTCCCACCGATTTTGGAAAGAGATGCGATCCAGAACTGACGAAAACGTGCTCTTTATCACGCCACTCTTGTTTTCGAAAAGAAGTGGCTATCTTCTTGATACCGCAGTCACTCGCCAAAAAAGGGTCTAGGATAGCAAGTGAACCAGACCGATCTTTGTATTTTTCTTTTGAAAAATTAATTTCTAAAAAAAAAATTTTTGAAAATATTTTTTGTTTTTAATTTTTTTATTAAAAAAAAACCTCGAAAAAACAGACAAAACCAATTTTTGGAAATGAATTTTTGGATAACCAATAAGATTGCTGTATTTGGCCGACCGGCCAATGAAAACCCTTTCCATAAAAATCTGTTCCAAAAATTTGTTCTACCCGAAAAACCCTAACCCTAACCAAAAGTTCAAATTCATTGCCCGCTTTCTCGAGCTCTAGAAAATGCAATTTAAATATTTGAATCGTGCTAATGACGAAATTAGCGAGGAGCACTTTTTCTTCCATTCATTTTGTCTGATCCTCTTACCGCGCCGACCTCGTTCTCCACACACGTAATTACGTTTATTTGAAAAAGATAATTGACGCAGTGATGAGCCTTTTTCAGGAAGCAACGTTGAAATTAGTGCGTTATTGAATAAATTGAAAAGAAAAATTTTCTTGAAAAAAAAATGCGGTAACTTCTTTGAGTCGAAAAAAATCTGTTTTTTGAAAAAACTTCTTCAGAAAAAATATCCTTTTTTCTAAACCACATTTTGAATCAATAAAAGAGCGTGGAAAAATTGTAAATCTAAATTTAATTGAGCAAAAATGGCAATTTCCCGGTCTTCCTCGCCGCGACTATTTTGGCAAAAGTGATAAGGAATTCTAATGTCGGCTGGGAGCGACGTTTTGAGGTTCAATGAAGCTTCAAGGCTCCGCTAAAGTGACTGGCTTTTGACAAGGGCGAAATTTTAGGGAGCCGCGGAGGATTTGAATTGAGAAGGTACCGGCTTCGTTTTTTCACGTTTTGAGTTTTAAAGGGTACTATCTTCGATTTCCTGAAAAGTCAAAGTCAATTTTATTATAAAAAGAAAGGAATCAAAAGAGTTGGTTGAGCCAGTCCAAAAATCGGTAAGCCGAGTTTGTCGCTGTCGGTCGAACTGTTCTTCGAATCCAATTGTAGGTTCCCTTGAAAGCAGCAGAAGAATACACCCCGGGAAATCCTTCCGAAGCGCAGCCATTTCCCCACGAAACCACTCCGACAAGCGACGCCCGTCCGTTTATTGCGCAAATCAGTGGCCCGCCAGAATCACCCTGGCAAGAGTCGACGCCTCCATCCGTCAAGCCATCGTCATTGTTGTCGAGTTTTCCGGCGCATATCATTTCCGATTTGAGATCGCTTGCTCCATAGTTCGAATTTTCAATGCAGTAATCTTTCTCCATCACTGTAACGTGAGCTTGTTTGAGCTTGTTGGAGACTGTTCCAGAAGACTGAGTGTTTCCCCAACCGGCGATCCAGCAATCTGATCCTTGTTGAGGCAGATGGTCGGTAAGGCAAGCGATTTTGACGCTTTCATCGGGGTCTGAAGCGATGATGTCTCCGGAGAGTTTTACCAAGCAAACATCGTAGCGTAGATTTGAAGCTCTTTTCAATGGTTTTTTTTTCTATTTTTTCGTACCTTACTTTTTACGATTTTGTTCAAAAACCTTTCCGATATCTTGGATGTTTGATGATTTTCGACGATCGAAGGGTAAATTCTCTAGAATCGACGGAATTCTGTGAAAGATCGCCAAAAGTAGCATCGATCGAATTCGCCCCGTCACAGCAATGAGCAGCGCTAGAAAAGTATGAAACGAAAATCTTCGGGATTCTCTTACGTCAAAATCCAGTTATTGTCGATGATAGTCCCTCCACAGAGAGCTTGTCCTGCGTCAGTTTCAACAGTCAATCTCGTTATAAAAGGCCATTGATTGTTCTTAGCGTTGATTCCTCCGACAATTTTCGTAACATTTACTTTTGGCAAAGTCTTTCTCTCGAAGTTCAACTCGTGGCTGCATGTTTCAAGGTTCGGAAGATTGTCCAAATTTGTCCGAAAACAGGCCTGAGCCAAGCCGATGAGGAAAAATCTGATCATTTCGGGAGCAAATGAAAAGTACGGTGGCTTTTGTACTTCTGCGAATGTTGATCCGGAAGTGCTAAGAATCGAGACAGTAAGAGTAAAGCGACAAGATGGAATCGGAAACACAAAAAGTGATGTTTGCTGACAACCGTAATAATTGAAAAGCTGATTTTGAAATAAATGACGAACTTAGGGAAGACAAGTTTATTGAAATCCCACTCAGAAGTGTCCAAAACGACTCAAATCGTCTCCACAGCAAATTATTCGTATGAATGAATTTTCAATAAAAATCATTTTTGAAGTGTTACTCAATAAGTTCTACCAACTCAAATCCCCTCAAAAACCCTCTCAGCTGGCGCTCATCCCCCATTCAAGAATATTTGCTTTATAAAGTGACATTTTAATCTCTTTTGCGCAAAAACGGATTAAACCTGCTTGCCTAGACAAATTATTTTCTTAAACTTCTCAGCTAAAATTTACCACCTAGCTTTTTTTTTCTAAAATGGAACTTTTGAATGAAAAAATGCCGGTTTTTTTTCTGATGTGATAATAAAAAAGGATGCCTCTTTTGATGAAAAAGTGGAAACGGAATTTTTTGTTTTGGGAATTTTTCACTATCGGCGCTCTTGTTGAATAACCCTTGACGATAGTTTTGTTTATAAAGCAGATGCACGTTGTTTTCAACCTCTAAAAAGGGATGATTGCTTTGATTTGGGAATTTTGAGGTTAAACGCGATCGGTGAAAAACCGGATCTGGAGCGTGTTTCTTCGACTTTTAAGAAATTGCCTTATCGCAATGAGGCAAGTGAGTGAAGAATTTAATTTCGTAGTGGCTGGATTGGATCAGCCCGAAATATGCAGAAGTGATTTTCAAGAGGCGGCGATTGCAAAGCTGGAGAACAGAGCACCGTGTCGATGCCAGTGTAAATAACATTAACGGATCTGCTTATTTGGGACACATGCTCACTGATAGATGCGCAGTTAGAAAAATGATTTTGAAGGAATTTTATTCCACAGAAAATTACGTGAAGGACCAAAGCGATCGACCGTCCGTATTTCCTGACAAGGAGATATAACGATCATTATTGGGTTTATACCAACCTTAATAAAAACTTAAATAGATAAAAATAAAGAAAAATTACCCCTCTGACTATTATCAGCAGGTCGGATTCTGTAGTAACATCTGTTGTTTTCCTATTTTTTGTTTAAGTTTTTTGATAAATATAATATTATCAATTAGAGATAAGTTAATTAGAAATATATAGCTTAAAATTTATCTTACACATCTTTCAAAGTCGAAAAACCATATGTATCCAAAATTTGCATCGCTATCGCGCCTTTTGTGATATATTCTACTTTGATTATCATCTTAAAGATAATTAAAAAAATAAGAGCTTTATGATTGCGGTACTTTTGTTTTAGGCAGCAACACAATTTCTTGCGTTGTTACATCCGTGGGTTTCAATTATATAATGATGCTTTTCTTCTGAAGCAATAAAAGAAATAGCATGAGAGTTTGAATTCGTCACCATGTATTTTTTGTCATAACCATCAAGACCACATTTAGCATATTTCTAAATGAAAATAATTTGTTAATAATATGTCGAATAACAAACAATACATTTGTAACTGCAGCTTTTTTTTAAACCCGATTGATGGTGACCTGCAGTTTGGCTTACCATCATGTTCCAGAAAACAAATTTTCCCATTACTACAGTCTTTTTCAAAACAAGGATTGTCCGATTGACAAAATCGACCATATAAAAATTCTCCCTTACATAAACATTTAAATGAACTACCATCAACCTGTTATTGAGATCCATTTTGACAGTCAATATTATGACAAGGATCATACTGACAATTTGCCCCTGAGTATCCTGATGGACATTGGCAGGTGTACGAATTTTCAGAAACTGGAGTACATGAGCCACCATTTTCACAAGGATTAGTATCGCAGATAGAATTTTCGCAATTTATACCATAGTATCCATTTTTACAAGAACAAGAATAACCATGAGCAGTTAAGATGCAACTTCCTTCGTTTTCGCATGGATTTTCAGTGCACAAATGTGTAGAACAATCTGTCTCTGCATGATACCCTGGCCTGCAGTCACAGATATAACCAGCACCATCAATCGAACAGATACCTCCATTGAAACACGGATGGGAGCTGCAAGGAGTTTCGCCACATTCTCTTCCAGAATAACCTTCCGGACAATCGCACTGATAAGTTCCATCTTCTATCTTGCATGTTCCCCCATGCAAACAAGGCTCGTCAGTGCATGGAGTTTCTTCACAGAAAGTACCGGAATAACCCGGTTGACAAGAGCATTCAAAACTAGCATCGATAATAATGCAAATTCCTTGATTTTGACATACAACACTTGAACATGGTCTTATCTCGCAAGTCTCGCCTGAAAATCCGGGAGGACAAGCGCAAGAAAAGTCACTTGACGGGCCATCATCGGTAAAAGTACAAATTCCGTCGTTTTCACAAGGAACTGAAGAACAAGGATTTAGTTCGCAGGTCGGCCCATCGAACCCGGGCTAGCATGAGCAGATGAAAGAACCTTCGTTAACAGTGCATTCTCCTCCATTTTTGCAAGGATTGTTAGTGCATGGAGTAATATCGCAAGTGTCGCCATCATATCCATCAGGACATCGGCAATAAAAATCATTCGATGAGCCATCCTCTTCATAATCACATATTCCTCCATTTAAACAAGGGTCATTTGAGCATGGATTTATCTCGCAATTTGTCCCAGAGAATCCGTTTCGACAAGCACAAATATATGAGCTACCAAATATGTTACAAGTTCCTCCATGTTGACAAGGTTCGTTTGAACAAGGCGTTGATTCACAGTTTAATCCGTAATAACCATCAAAGCAATGACATTGAAACAATCCGTTATTTTCGAAGCTGCAGTTTCCATAATGACACGGATTTGATGAGCAAGGAGTTATTTCGCAATTTATCCCCGAGAAACCTCTTTGACAATTGCATTTGAATGAGCTCCCAACAACTTCGCAAACACCATCATGATGGCAAGTCTCATTCGAACAAGGATCGTTTTTGCAAAATTCACCAAAATATCCATAAGGGCATTTACATTTAAATGAATCGCCGTTACCGGAGTTTTCGCATATATTTTTTGACCAGCTGGTTGTGATTCCGGTTCGTCGCGGTTCATGCCCGGAAATAGGTCAAAATGTAGAAATATGTATATCAAATGAATTCATTTTCAAGAGCGAATCTTTTTAACATATTCAGAAGTTCAACCGCCCGGTTATAATTGCGGTTCATGGTGGTTCATGGTGGTTCATGGTGGTTCAAGCGCAGAAATGAACTAAATAGCAGCAATATGTATATCAAATTGAAACTTATATTAAGTACATTCTTAAAATCATTGAATAAGCCCGAATCAGTGTAAATAACATTAACGGATCTACTGAATATACACGCATTTTGATCGTCGAGCAGTTAGGTTTTTTCCATTAACCGCATAACATTTTATTACATATATTTTGTAATAGCGAAATCAACTGAAAAAAATAGTAGTTTATAAAAGTAATTTATATTTTAATAGATTCGTTGTTTTATTCCGGGGACGCGTTTCGGCACAACAATTCGCTATCGCGGCAGGTGAATGGAGCGCCAGAGACAGCGAATTTTTATTTTCTGTTTTCAACCAGCGTTTTCATTCGAAATTGTCCACTCTTAGTTGAGAGTACTCTTCCTTTTTCTGAGCTGCAAAATTAATTTCTGTACTAGGGAAGATGAGGGCACTTTTGTGCCGAAACGCGTTCCCGGAATAAAACAACGAACCTTTTATTATGAGAACTATAAGACAATTAATATTTTGACAGTCAAAAAAAGAAAAATTAAATGCCAGAAAAATACCAAAGAGCTTTGTTGTCATCATTTTCTGATAAACGAATATCGCTTTCACCATACCAACCTTCAAAAAGAAAAATTAAAGATCAAAATTTTATCAACTATCATTCAGTAATTGTAAGCGTTGCGTGCCTAAGCCTGCAACCCGGATTTTTTGATCCCTTGTTAATTTTAAAACAGTTAAGTTTATTGTTATAAAATGAAAAAAAAAGAAATAAAAAATCCGGCCTTTTAAACTTTGGCGGGCAAGGATTAGATGTCTTACTTCTCACAGAATTATCAGCTGGTCTTATGAAGTAATAGCAACGCCTCGAGTCCTATAAAATTATAATGATTAATTTGTTGAATTTTCTACTGAAATAGGTGGAAAGTGTTATTGATATCATTTTACTTACGCAATCAGAAAGATCGAAATGCCAGATGTATTCAAAATCGGTTTCATGTAAAACATTATCAAGAATATTATGATAAACATAGCTCTCATTCTCATCTTAAATATCTTTTAATTTTAATGATAAAATAATTTTACTTTTTTTATATGTTGCAACGCATCTATCGTCTCCACCACATCCATGAGTTTTGATGATGTACTCATGTTTGTTCTCTGTTGCAACAAAAATAACCTCATGAAAATATAACTTCGTCATCATATAACTGTCATTATTCGAAGACCACCAGCAAACAGCATTTTTCTTAGAATTAAAATTTTGTTTGAAAAGATTTGCTCAAAACTGATACATACCTTGGTAGCCTTATTGTAAAAGCCAATATCAGGATCAACACATTTTGCAATATCATATCTATCAAGAAAGCAAATTTTATCTCCTTCACAATTTTTTTCAAAGCAAGGATTATCAGACTGACATTCTGAACCGTACCATCCATTTTCGCAAAAACATTCACGTTTATAATCTTCAACCGAGCAAGATTGATGATGATCATTACAAACGTAGCCTTCGCAAGGGTGGGTTCCGCAGTGATGTCCAGAAAAATCGCCCAAGCAAGTGCAAGAAAATCCTGACTGGGTTTTTGCGGGTTGACAAGTTCCGTCGTTATCACATGGATTCGGATCACAAATATATTCTTCGCAAGTTTCTCCAGAATATCCAAGGAGACAGTCACATTGAAATTCTTTCGATGACCCGTCTTCTGTGAATCTGCAAACTCCATCATTTTGGCAAGGATTGGAAGAACATGGTGTTGTTTCACAAGTTGGCCCTTCAAAGCCATTTTGGCAATAACAAATAAACGAATCTCCGTTAATTGAACATTCTCCTCCATGTTTGCATGGATTGCCTGAGCAAGGTGTTTTTCTGCAAAAAGTTCCCGAAAAACCACTCGGACATGAACAAACATAGTCCGAGCCCATGATTTCGCATGTGGAATCATTTTCGCAGAGATTATTCGTGCAAGGAGTGATTTCACATCGGTTACCGTCGTAATAATCAGGACAAATGCATGTGAAAGAATTTGATGACCCATCTTCAGAAAAATACAGGTTCCACCATTTTCACAGGAATCTGTAGAGCAGGGAGTAATATCGCAAATGATCCCCTCAAACCCATCTTGACAAGTGCACAAGAAGGAATCTCCGCTAACAGCGCATTCTCCTCCATGTTTGCAGGGATTCTCCGTACATGGTGTTATCTCACAAGTGTCTCCAGAAAAACCTGGCTGGCATTCGCAATTAAACATGCTCCCATCAACCTCGCAAATTCCATCATTTTCACAAGGTTCCGTAAAACAAGGATCTTCTTGGCAAAATTCTCCAGAATATCCATTTGGGCACTTACACTTGTATGAATCGCCGCTTATCAAGCATTTGCCAGAGTTTTCGCAAAGATGCTCATCGCAGGGAGTCACTTCGCAATTCGTTCCTGAATAGCCTGGACGACAATCGCATTTATAAGAGCTTTGATTGACTGAGCAAACTCCTCCATGATAGCATGGTTGAGAAGAACACGGAGTGAATTCGCACAACTTGCCATAGTAACCTTCAGGACATTGACATTGATAAGAACTTCCATCGATTGAACAAACACCATCATGTTCACAAATGATTCCATCACATGGGTCATACTCACAGCGTTCACCTTTGTACCCATAAGGGCATTTGCACGAAAAAGAGCTTCCATGAATAGAACATTTTCCGCCATTTTCACATTTATCAAAGCAAGGATCGTTTTCACAATGCTCTCCAGAATAGCCATAAGGGCATCTACAGAGAAAAGAATTACCTTCTATTTTGCATTTTCCGCCATTTTTGCAAGGATTTGAGTCACAAGGGGTTATTTCACAGTTTTCTCCAGAAAAGCCAGTTTTGCAAGAACATTCATACAAATTTTCAGAATCATTTTCGCACCCACAACTTTTCAGACACTCTTTAAATTATTTATAACCTTTACTCGATAAAAAGCTTACTTTCGTATTCTCCGGCACAAATGGATAGACAATAATCAGTCTCACATAAGGGTCGGCATGAAATAAGATCATTACGACAACGGTTATTACAATCGCTCGCCTCGCAAAAACTTTCAGACGAGCAAGTCCCATTGAACAAGCATGGATTTTCATCGCATGGGCTGATTTTTGGTGGAGAAGTCGTGCTGGATTGAGGAGTTGTTTTCGATTGACTCTTCTCTTTTACATCCCCGTAGATAAAAGGAAATCCGATTGCAATTACAGTCAGAATAATTGTCACTAACGAAGTCAATATAAAAAAAAACTTCACGAAATTTCAATTCTATCTTGAATATTTTTGTCTCTGCCTTTTTACCTGTAGTGAAAGAAATCGCAAGTTTTTGGTGCTTCATTTCAAGAAAAATTCTTCTTTTTCATAGCAGTGTAATCTAAGAGAAAACGGAAGTTTTGGATTGAGTTCTTTGAGTTCTATTTGTGAACTCATTTCATTTCATAAACAAGATAAGAATATATCTTGACTTTTGTTGACATATCTTCAAGAAGAAGACAACGACATGAGCTGCAAAATGTTTTATCGAGATGAAGAACCGTTATCAAAATTATTGTCTCTCGATCTCTGACAAACTGTTTGGTTAACAAGACTCTGCTCAAAACTAGAATTTTCCAGATTTGGATGCCCGTGCTAGACTGAGATGATGACGCGAATGATTGTTGGGAACAATTTAATTCGATTTAAATTATTTACAGAGAGAAAGGGCAAAAATGATCAAAAGATTGATTCAAAAATACAGTATTTTAAATACTGTATGTATTATCCATTATTACAATTTTTCTCATTGCATAAAGCTCCACAGTGGCCCGGATTGCATGTGCATGTGAACTCTCCGTTATCTTTAACGTCGCACTGGCCATTACCCTTGGCTTCACATTTAGTGGGACTCTTATTGTCGCATGGAGTAATTTCGCAAAAATCACCAGCAAAATAATCCAGACACTCGCATTCATACGTACTTCCAGTTATTTGACAGTCAGCACCGTACAGACATTTATTTTCAGAACAAGGTGTTAAGTCGCAAGTGTCTCCAGAATATCCTTCTGGACAAGAACAAGTGAAGCCATCGCCACCGAGAACGCAGGTGGCTCCATTAAGGCAGTTGTGATCATCGCATGGTGTTTTTTCGCAATTTTCCCCCGAGTATCCATTTTTACAAGTGCATTGATAATTTGGGGATGAGCCATCTTCTGAATAATGGCATGTCCCGCCATATTGACATGGTCCTGGAGAACAAGGGGTTTGATAACATTCGTTTCCGGAAAACCCATCTTTGCACTCGCAATGATATTTTCCGTCTTGAATTGTGCAAATTCCCCCGTGATCACAAGGCTCGCCTGTGCATGGAGATATTTGACAAAATTGTCCAGAAAATGGATCAGCACAATCGCATCGATATCCCGAACCGACATCTGTACACGTAAAGTCATTCTTGCAATCATTATTTGAGCAAGGAGTTATTTCACAATGGACGCCTGAATATCCCTCGAGACAGTCGCATTCATAAAAATTAGCAGATCGGTCATCTAATACTCGACATGATCCACCATTTTCACAGGTGATATCGTCACAAGAAGTTTCTTCACAAAATTCACCAGAGTAGCCATCAAGGCAAATGCATTCAAAGTTGCTTGATAATCCCTTTTCGTCGAACTGACATGTTCCGCCATTATCACAAGTGATGTCTTCACAGGGAGTTTTTTCACAAAACTGACCATCAAATCCGCTCATACAGGCGCATATAAAGGTGCTACCAGTGACGGAGCAACTTCCTCCGTGTAAACAATCGACAGAAGAACAAGGTGTTTTCTCGCAATGCTCCCCATAATAGCCATCAGGGCAAGCGCAGTTGTACGTTCCGTTATTGAAGAAAAAACAAGTTCCTTCGTGAAAACATGGACTTGTTGTGCAAGGTGTCGTTTCGCAGTTGTCGCCGGTGAATCCCGTATTACAATTACAAGTATAACTCGGAAGATCAACGATGCAACTCCCGTGATTGTTACAAAGTTTGCGGTCTCCTTCATGACAAGGGTCATTTTCGCAAAAATTTCCAGAATAGCCAGGGTCGCAAATGCACTTATTTTCATTTCCAACGATTTCACAATGGCCATTTTCGCAAATGTCGGGTTTTCTACAGCCAGTAATTTGACAATGCTCGCCAGTTAAACCAACTGGACACTCACACTGATATGATCCTTCAGGCGGCAGTTGACATTCTCCTCCATTTTCACAGGGATTGGTATCACATGGTGTTATTTGACAAAGATCTCCATCGTATCCATCAAGACAAACACAACTGAATAAGTCACCATCAACCGTGCAAGATCCTCCATTAGCGCACGGACTTTGTGTACAAGGCGTTATTTGACAATCATCGCCGAAGAATCCGCTATCACATTGACATTCATAACTGTGTTCTTTAACAAGACATACTCCATGACCATTGCAATCGTTTTCCACTCCGTCTTTGTGACAGGGATCATGCTCACAATCTTTCCCGGTAAATCTGTTTCTGCAAGTGCAATAATATTCGTTTTCGCCGTCGGCAGAACAGGTTCCATTATTTCCACAGGGCTCATCCTTGCATGGATCAAAAGACTCAAAAGTGAAAGATACTGAAAATGGCCGAGTTTAATTGGAATAATAATTTCGTGATTTATATAATTTTAGAGCGATAGATAAATTATATTTGTGCGTTGTAATTTCAAGATTTTTTTTGTTGATTCAAATTTTATTTAGCGAACATCAGCCATTTTCAGTACCTTGGCGGAAGTTGTAGTTGGACTCGTCGTTGTTATCGATGAAGTTGTCGCAGCAGTTGTCTTAATCGAAGTAGTAAGCGTGGTTAAAGTGATTGTTGTTGTTGTAGATAGCGTCATTGTTGGCGTTGTTGATGTTGTTGTGCTTATTGTTGTTTTGGATTGCGTCGTTGTTTGGGTTGTTGATATTGTTGTGCTTGTTGTTGTAGTGATTGTTGTTGTTATCATCATGTTCGTCGTTGTAGAAGTTCTCGTTGAAGTTGCCTTGGTGGTGGTCGCTGTCATTCTTGTTGTTGTTGTAATAATTGCAGAAAGAGTTGTACTTATTATTGGTCTTGTAAAAGTCGTTTTTATTGCAATCGATGTTGTCGTTGATCTCGTGCTTGGAGCGATAGTTGAAATTGAAGAAAAAGTTGTTGCTAGAGACAACGTTGTTATTTTAGTCGTAGTTGTTGACGTTGTTGTGGTTATCATAATTGTCGATGTCGACGACACAGATGTAGTTGTTATTGAGGGAGATGTTGCTTGTGTTGTTGAATCTGGGGTTATTGATGTACTGGTGAGTGAATTTGTCGGAGTTACTGAAAATCTTTTATGATTTCAGTAAAAATTAAAGGTTGACCTGGGCTTTTCGTTGTTGATGTCGAAGATATTGATGAAACAGTAGAAATTGTCGGTAAAGTAGAAGAAGATAAAGCTGTTGTCGATATTGTCGAATGAGCAGAAGATGAAGATGTTGAATGTGCTGAAGTTGACAGCGTATTTGTCAAAATTGTTGAAGAGGTCGTTGTTATTGTTGACGGATTTAACGGACTTGACGTGCTTGTGGTTGAAAGCGATTTTGAAGTTCTACTCGTTGTTGAAAAAGACGAAGTAGGGCTATTTGCTTCTATTGTACTTGTTGAAAGCACCGATGGAAAAATAGGCATAGGGACTGGTGAGAAAATAGGATTTGTTGAAACTGTTGAAGAAGGTGATAAGGTTGTGCTTGATGACGATGATGACGTTCCGGTATTTTCGCAAAGATTTCCGTAAAAGCCATCTGTGCACTGACATGTAAATGAGCCATTTTTCAATGTACACGTTGCTCCATTTTCGCAAGGCAGCGAGTCACAAGGCGTTATTGCGCATCTGTATCCGGAAAAACCAGCCATACAGGAACACTCATACGTAGCGTCACAAGAACAGGCTGTTATACAATCTTAAAACGGAATTGTTTTGTAATATTTCTTTATTTTGAACCTTCATGTTGATCATCGCAAATGGTGAGGCAATATTCAGTCTCGCATTTTAGCCAACACTTTGATTTCTCATTTTTACAAAAGCTCATACATTCTGTAAGGGTACAGTCTTCGTATTTTAAGGAGCAAGTGCCATCATACAGGCATGGATTAGGATTGCAAGGGCTGATTTCTGGCTCAGAAGTCGTCGTTGATGAGGGAGTTGTTTTAAGATTGTTCTTTTTTTGGTCGATTTTTCGATAAATAAAAGGAAATCCAACAGCAATAACAGTAAGAATTATCGTTACTAAAAGAAATTTTATGTCTTGATTTCATTTTTCAAGATAAAAAGATATTGGAAACCTGTTGTAAAAGAGATAACAAGCTTTTGATGCCTCATTTATTCAATTAACCCTGATTTTCCTCTCTTTTTCATCGTTGTCTCCAAAAAAATATTTCTCGAAAAAGAGTGTTTTATCAAGCAGCAAATCCTGTCACTTTGTTTATGATATTCTTCCGATTGATATGTTTGATCATTTTGCTGCATAGAAGACGACCCTGGAACTTGCGCTTATCTCAGGGATATCTTAGTTTATTTATGATTATTTCGAGATTGTTCAAATAAAGACTAATTTTTCTGCGTTCTTTTTTGAACCAGAAAAAATGATGACCTGGTGATCTTCAAAACAGAGGTTTTCCGATATGCTGTTGATCTTCAGAGCAAATTATTCTGATTTATCATCAAAATAAGATTTGATAGTTTACTTTATTTTTTCTGGAAAAAAAATCAACAAAGAAAACTTGATTTTTAAATATTTTATTTTCTTGAAAATATCGCAGGCTCAAAATATGAGTAAAGAACTTAGACAGTTAAAAAATCTGTTCAAACATTCACAATATTGGAGTAGTAAATTGTTCTCGGGCGGTAATGTCCAGAGAATCGTGGCTGGTTAGCAACAACTCGGTTGTATCGGTCTCCAGAGTAAAATCGTCGACCGGAAATGAATCGGGCTGAGCAGATCTGAGCGAGAATGGCGAGGATGAAGAGAAAGTTCATTTTGTTATTTTTTAGATAATTTGTCTTTTTTTATCAAGATGAGGATTGAGAGGCGAAGACGCGCTTATATATTTTCAAAAGAAGCACTGATTCGTGGTAGAAGGGAGCCATCCTCCTTGATTTAGGAGTCTTTGAGTTTCCATTCTTGATTTCGTAGCACGAAATGACGCCGAAAGAACATCATCGAACGTAGAGAGGGGTTATCATTCGAGCCTTTGATTCGAGCCATCCAATATCTCTAGAATCAAGGGTAGTGGTTAGGGTTAGGGACTTGGAACTCTCAAGGGGCCTTCGCTCGAATGATAACCTTTTACTACCCCATCGAATTTAGAGCAAATTACTGTAGTTATTAATACCATTTTTTCCTTTGATACTATCAAATTGATACTGTGGATAGAGTTCCAGATGATCGAGGGACAAATTAGCTGATATCTTCACAAAAGTTTTCTTATTGCTTTTTTATTGTTCAAAAATTCCGAAAAACTGTCACGGTGAAATCTGACGATTTTTGAGCTTCTTCGCCAGCGAGGAGGCTTGCAATTAGTCTGGCACGCCTTGTTTTGAAGTCTAAAAAACATGTTCTAGAGATTTTTTAAGGAAAATAGAGGCTCGAAGGTAGAGAAAGTTGGCCACTTTCCCAAATGAATTTCTCTATAAAATCAGGCGCGGAGCGCATCCTAGGCCCAAGGATGCTTAGTTCAGAAGAAAAAATTATTTTTCCCGAAATAAAGTTGAGTTCTGGCCATTAGAAATTTCTAAGGAATTTTGCGAAAAATCTCTAGAACGTGTTTTTGAGACTTCAAAACAAGGCGTGCCAGACTAATTGCATACTTCCGCCAGCGAGCTGCTTTTCGAAGTTCAGTGTTACAAAAATTCGATTCTAGCGATTAACTTCCAAGAAGACAGGTCGCTGTCAAAATTTCAGCAGCAAAATATTTTTCTCATTCCATCTTAGCGTCAAATCTTTATTCATCGGAGCTTTTGTTATTTTTTGAAGTTCATTTTTCAATCTTTATCAAGAAAAAAAAACAAGGTACATGCTCCTGAGCTGCTTTTTGCTGATAGCTTTTGTTTTTATCATTGAGTAAAGAAGTCTGCATGACAAAAAAAGCAAAAAATGTTTTTTTTGGTTTCATTTTTATTACTATGGATTCTTAGCAATGCCGAAATCTGAAGCAGAGAAAAAGTGACGATTCAGACATTGACGATTGTTGGGTAGTAGATTCGGTTGTAGTAGTGTCCTGAAAATCGAGGCTTGTCGGCGAAAACTCGGTTGTAGCGAGCTCCATCAAATCTTCGGCCGGAAATGAATCGGGCTGAGCAGAGTTGAGCGACAATGACGAGGAAGAGGAGGAAGTTCATTTTCTTGAGTTTGAAATAGAGGTTTTTTTTATTATTTATATTATTGGTCTTTTTAGAAAGATGAAGAATTGGGGAGAGGAGGTGATTTTATATTTCTTGCCGAAGCACTGATTTTCGCGTACAAAGGACATTTCCTCCTTCGTCGATCAGTCCCCAGTCTTGATTCTTTGCGAAACGGAATCCCTTGACTCAGATTTAATTTATTCATTTTTTGGTCTAGTCGATGTCTTGTTGTTACGAATAGATCAAAGGCAGATTCTTCTTGCAAATGAGGATGAGAATTTTGATGAAGAAAATTCTCCCTCATTATTGATGAAAACTATTGTTGAAACTGCTCGAGGCAATGTTTCCAATTCTTTATCGCCGAAAGCTTTCTGTTAGTGAATAAAGTCCGTGTTATGTGTTATCACCAAAAACACTTAAAATGCGAAACTCGCGAACCCTCCGACCGTGCCCGCGAGCGCCCCCCTTGATTAGGTAAAGTAATGCCGTGTGTAGCCTTCGACTTTTTTTGGTGCTCTCACGATCGCTAAATTCGGAGATATAATAACTAGTTCAACAAAAAGCTCATTAAAATCAGGGCATTTTTTTATTTAATAGATGCAGAAGATAGAAAAGTAAAAAGAGACTTTGAAGAAACAAGAAAAATGATAAAGAGATCCATCTTTGTCGAGTTTTTGACGGCGCTGGCGATAGGGTAAGTCGACCTGGAACTTATGCAATCTGTAGACATTTTTTTACGATAAAGTCGGTCGATTTTCTGACCTGAGTCGAAGTATTTTTTACGCATTTGATGATTTTTCCATCAAAATTCATCTTTTGTTTAGATATGTTGTCGGTCAAATTCTCTCATTCACGCTTCTCAAAGATGCTACTTGTTTAACAAGGCAAGGATTTATTATTTTTTTAAGATTTTATTTATTATATTATGAGAATTTTTTATGTATCTTATTCTCATGCTCTTAATAAATATATATTTTCTCTAAAAATAAAAATCCTTTGAAACAGTCGTTTTCTTTCCTCCGAGCCCTTAGGCGACGCTTCCCGCCTGCCTGTAATTGGCGAAGAAGTCAAGAACTCCAGTGCAAGTGGCGCGGGGTCAAATTCCAAATCTGACCATGTGAAGCAAAAAGTTCACAAGCGCCCGAAACGAAGAATTTTCATCGCCATTCATTCCACCCCAGAATATCTCAAAACCCGAGGCCAGGCAATTAAAGACAGTTGGTTGCAAGAAATAGACGAAAGAATCGCAACTGTAAGATTTATTTCTGCCCCCTTGGAGGGCTTCCCGACTTTTACACTGCCAGATGTGAACGATTACGATTACCCGCCCCAGAAGAAGTCTTTCAAGGATCAGGGATAAAATTCAGAAGGAAAGAAAACCGCTTTCCGGGTCGATTTAATGTTGAGAAAAATAACCCTAACCCTAACCCTAACCTAACCCTAACCTAACCCTAACCCTAACTGCTGTTTTTAAATCCTCATAAAAACGGCGCTTCTGATTGTAAGACGGCTTTTGTAAACCCGCAATCTTGTTTCTCTCCTGACAAGATTATCGTTCCGGCAGATCTCAGATTCCTGTCGAAATTTTTCAAATCTGAGAGGCGCAAATGACAGTCCAATTATCCAAAGTTTCCACTTGCGCAAAGCCTAAAATTGCCAAAATATCAAGTTTTCTGCGTACGAAAGGTTAACCCTGTATGAATCATATCTCATCCCTTACCAAGCTCTTGGCGTATTTCGCAAGCATTGCTGATAAATACGATTGGTTCATCAGAGTCGATGATGATTTGCACATGCAGTTTGATCACTTGATAAAGTTTTTGTCGAAACTGGATCCGGACGAGCCGCACTACATTGGAGGAACTGGATTCGGAAGAGATGCAGATGATTACATTCCTCATGGCACGGCGTTTTGCATGGGCGGTAGTGGGGTTTTATTTTCCCATGCGCTTATTACGAAGCTAAGGCCGTATTTGACCACCTGCATTAAGGTAATTGAAAGCTAGGATCGACAAGCCCCACCCGACACCCGATCGAAAACCGACGTTTTTGTCGGGTTTTTGTTGGATTCAATTTATTTGATTTAACTTCAGTGTTGTGAAAACCCGACGAGAACCCGACAAAGACCCGATAAAAACCCGAAAAATACCCGACAAAAACCCGAAAAAAATCCTACAAAAACCCGATAAAAAACCCGACAAAAACCCGACAAAAACCCGATCGGAAAAATCAGAGCTCAAGAAAATCCGATGAAAACCCGATCCGGATTTCGGGGGCATTTGTCGATCCTAGATTGAAAGCTTTAAAAATATTGAATTAAATGGCTTCTTGTTAAAATATGCCCAAAAAAGCCTCTCAAACTTAGAAAAAAGCTTGCTGAAATACTGTTTTTTACTCAAATTCCTTATCTTTTGCCGGGGACGCACAAAGAAATGCTGATAGCATTCTTGCTCCCATTATGGCTCGGGGCCAAAATTAGGACTTTCCCAAAATACTTGTTTTGGGTGAAAGGGAATGAAAAGCGCGTCCTGAGAAGCGGGCGCGCCGCTGTTATCTAGACAAGTTGTCCCACCGCACATTTGTACCTAGCGATGTCCCGATTAAGGGTCGCTGCGGTGGATAATTTTCGGAATAGAATAATATTATATGAGGGAGATAGTGTTTTCACAACGATTCGATGCGCTCGTCTTTCCAAATTTGAAGAAATTCTGAAATGTCAGTGTATGAAATTGAACCCTTCGAATTTGAATAATTCGAAATTCTGACAGCTGTGACATTTATTTGAGACCTAATTACAGCTCTAGAATTTAATGACCGAGCATGAAGACGTCGAAGTCGGCCGCTGCATTTGGACCCACCTGAACATCGACTGTACTAAATCCTATGAAACGAATGAGCTCCTCCATCAAAATTGGAAGAGCCATGTGGCGGCGGGAGAAATTGGATACAAAAATGACATTGACGCGGAACTGGATCTCGACGAAAAAGTGCTTCATAGCTCGATTACGCTTCATGCAATTAAAAATCCAGTCTCGCAGATAAGGGTCAGAATGAGGATTTTGCGACACAGGAATGGTTTCGTTATTGAAAAATATGGTCAACAAGAAAACCATAATATCGACTTTAATGATTGTGTACATAATTTTTTTAGATTGGCAACCATTGAATATAAACCATCAGTCCATATGACTAATCGATTCCAATCTTTATGATATTGAACAAGTGTTGAGCAGCAAACGAAACCAAAAAAGGGCAAAACAATTATACGGACGAACTCAGTCGATACGTGAGCATATGCGAGATCTCGGCTCTATACGTATCAAATCTAACTTCGAAAGAAAAAGTTTAGACGGCTGCATTTGGTCATTTATTCACAATCTCGAAACACGATGGACCGTAACTGATTTTACTCTTGGCCCGATTCCGCATTTTCAAGTTCATAAGCCCTGGCTGGGCATGTTGAACAATATCCACGAGGAATACAAGCACATGTTACTGAGCCATCAACTCTATCAATGTATCAATTCGTGAGTCCATTTAAAAAGGCTTGATAATAATTTTTTTTAGAGACAGAATCGCGTTTCTCCGCTCCCGATCATACAAAAACCAATGGGAACCGCAACTATTCTCTCGAAAATTCTCCGACTCAGTTTTCGTCCACGAGCAAATGCTCCTCCATGATCTCGTCCGACAAGATCCACGAACAGTCACTTTTATCGTCCCCCTCTTTGGTCGTCTAGACAACTTCAAGCGCTTCGCCGGCGTCTACGGACAAATTCTCGAAACGGATCAAAATGTTAATCTCATCGTCTCGCTGTCTGGGGAAGAAAGTGAACGGGATGATATAACACACATCCTGAGGGACACAGTCGGTGCGGAAAACATGGTGGACAAGACAATGGTGGTCTTCTGCGACATTCCGTTTCGGAAAGCGAATTGCCTTCAAAACGCAATCAACGAGCTAGGAATCGGGTCGAGGAAATCGTTGTTGATTCCGAGCCAAGTGCGTCAATCGCATTGTTGTAGGAATCAGGAGCGCATGACTCATTTCAAATTTGAAAATCGTCGCTGATCTTTTGGTTCTTATTTTTTATAGTATTGGTATGATAATAATGACGCCTGGAAAAATAAGAAAAAGAAATACTTATTTTTTCGATTTCTCGTCTTTTGAAGCACTTGAAAATTTGCCGGGCTAAATTTTGAGCACCTTTGTTATGGTCTTCAAAATTTTAGAATGATAGAAGGCCTAACCCGATAAAAGGAGATGATGATTTGTTCTTCGTCTACGATGTTGATCTAGTCGTCGATGTCGAATTCATCGAGAGGATAAGAAACATCGCCCAGAGTCATGTTTACTTCCCAGTGATTACGAGCCAGTATGAAATTGCCAAGGAGAAGGAGCCAAAGATATCTGGAAACGATGGCTTCTGGAGAGAATGGGGCGTCGGACCAGTTGCGATGACAAAGGAACGGGCTGTATTTTGATCATGAATTTTCCATATTTTGGAATCACGAAAGAGAATATCATCAAATTTCGTTGATCAATCTAAAAGCCTATGGAAACAGCAACTGTACAACCAAACTGCCGGCTACAATCAAACAATTTCCGGCTGGGGCAACGAAGACACCGAGTTATACGAAAGCGTCATCGAGCGGAGACTCCCATTCATCCGCGCTCGTGACGAAGGCATCTTTCATCCCTGGCACGACAAGAACTGCCATGGACTCTCGAAGGAAACAGGGCAGTACCGTGCCTGTGTCAATGTCAAGAAGGATCATGTCATGGGAATAATGGATCTGGCGAAGAGATATTTGAAAAATGAAAGCACTCTTTCTTTCTTAGAACTTGATGAATAAATTATTGACACGGTGCTAGTTTGAAGCATAGATTTTAGTTTTGGAGGTGGAAAACGATACTAAAGAAGACTGAGCATGGTTTCCTTTGAATGTAAAAAAAAGTCTGCAGAATTATTTCCAGTCGTTTCCGTTTCATTCCAGCCAAACCAGTCGTCTGGGAAAGAGACTTTCTTGTCGAAAAATGCCTCTCCTTTTCCGCACATTCACCAGGAGAAAAACAGGGAGAAAAAAGCACTGGATTTTACGGATTTCGAATGTCTATGTCACTTGCTTGCGCAAGCATCCCCCAACTTTCGTTCTCTACTCTTCCTTTGGACAGAAAAACAAATTCCGGAAAGCTTGAGAAACGTCTCAATGCCAAGACTGCTTCAAAATAGCAAAGCGCAATGCTGTTTATTAAGCCAATTTTGATTTGATAATGATGAACGAATTAACCATTTTTTCAGTTTTCAGAAGTCAGAAGGTCAGAAACTAGTTGTCATCCTGACTCCCCGTTGTGCGTCTTTTCTTCTCGGCAAGCGTATCGCTAAGTAGACGTCCCAACGGGCCCCACTTTAGAAATTTATCAGGAAATAATTACTCCCCGCTTTCCAGAGCTTTTATGAGGCCCAGGAGGACAGATTCCCGCTCAGCTGAGATTTTCGTCTTCTGAATGATCAGTCGCTTATTTTTCAAAGAGAAGAAAATGCTCGTTTTTGGCCTCTTTTCGATTTTTACTTTTGGAGTTACTAAAGGAGAAGTAGAGATTGAAAAATTTCTTAATTTTTCGAGCTCGTCGGAGAGCTCTGAGGATTATTCGGAGGTTTCTGATGCTTCTAGCGAAAGTTCAAGTGATGAACCAGAGGAAAAAGGTAGGCTTTGAGCTCCAGAGATAGATTTTGGACATGTTTTTTAAGGAATCCGGCCGGATAAGACTTCTGATGACGAAACAATAATCGTCAAGTCAGGATATTGCCGAAAATGCGAGCGCTACGGGGGCGTTTGTATTGAAGACAATGTCGATTCATCTTTTGACAGCGCTTCGGATGATGAAGATCAGGCAAAGAGGATGATCTGTTCGTGCAAGTTCATGGACTGCGACCCGGAGTTTCTCGACGAGGCTGTTTCCCGACCTGTTTGCGATCAGGAATGGATCATTCAAGAGCTTTTTGTAGGAAAGGACATGAAAAGAATGAAATTTGATCAGAAAATGATCTCATGAAAGAATCGAGTAAAATACGAGTCATTGTGTCTTTTCAAACTCACTCGTTGTACGAAACAAGAAAATCTCAAGCAAACTCCTTGCAGAGGAAAACCAGCTAGAATCGTTGTTTACTCAAAGGTACATTTCTTTTTCATTATGTAAAATAGCATTTTTTGAAGACTGATGAAGACTACATTTCTTCCTACTCTGAAAACCCGCTGGATTTTTACGAAACAGAAGATTACGAAGAAGTGATTCTTCCAAAACCAACATCAACCAAGTCGACAACTACCACTCAAAAATCCTCAACAATCGAAGCTGAAATTTTGACAACAAAAGAAGTCGATCCTGGAATTTCGGAAAAAGACAGAACAACGGCTTTGATCATCGGAATCGTCGAAGGACTTGCATTTGTAACACTCGTTGCTGTTCTTACAGTCAGGTATTATTGGTCCTTTTTTGCTGTTATAATCATAATTTTGAGCTGTTATCTCGCCCAACAAGCGAAAATAAATCGCCATGAGCCGCTTGATTCTGTCGAAACTGCACCACTTACTCAGGTTCGTTGACAATTCAGGGCCCTTCTCTTGACAAGAAACAGTTCCTTTACAATCAATTCTAGCCTGACAAGAAGCTGACAAAAATCTCAACAATTGATTCCTCCATTTGATTCTCTCAAAATGCCTGTACTGAAAAATCCTCGTTAAAACTGACAAATAAAGATTTTCATGTATTTTCGTGATTTATTATTTTTGATGAAGAAAAACGGCAAGATTACAAATTTTGAATCGAAAAAGAAGTGAAGATTTGATAGCTTTTTAGGCAGTTAAATAAGAAGAAACATCGACATAATTTTTCAATGAAGTGAAAATCCTTCGTCGATTACAGGTGCGGTCCCTGTAGTAGACCCGTCCGCAAAGTGGATTTTCTGATGAGGTTTTGGTCGGAACAAGTACTCGTGATATTTTTCCTCGGCTGTCTGTGGCTGTGGTCTTAAAATTCAAAATTACAGTAGCTGTCTAAATCAATCGGAAAAGAAAAAATCATGCTTGTAAGAGAGGCTCTGTAACAAAAGCTTTTAAGAGCTTCTGTATCGATTGTGGACAGTCCATTATGCTTAAAATAATAAAGAGCTTTTCCTTGCGTAAACTAAGACTGGAGAAATTATATTAATTAATCACGAGCAGGAAAGACGTTTCGCATATCGAAATGTAAGAGAGTCAGAGTGATCGTTATTTTTCAAGATTTTCGAAGGACTTTTCTGATCGTTTCAGAAAAAAGAGGCGCTGTTCATTTGGATTTATCACCTAACTGTAAAATCAAAACTCGCTGTTTTTTTAACAAGGCTTAAGGATATAGCCTGTAAAATTCAACTTTCGTAGCGGCTAAACGCGAGGTCGGATCTTTTCATTTCAAGTACAATCCTACCTAAAAATGGACGGAGAATTCAATTTGAGTACTTTTTTAAAAATTTTTACTTGAATTTTTCTCTCTAGAGCGATTTGAAATCTTACGATCGCGATTCCTCAAAAATTTTTCACTAAATCGGTCGAGTTTTTTCGATAGATAGGTTCTTTAGACCTTTATCTACAAAATTGACGGTTTAGTTTTCTCTAAGTCCGAAAGAAACCGATTTTACAGCCATTTCCATGAGGCTAACTCAGCGAGCAGAAGCTATGAAAAGCGCTGCGCTCGGTGCTCGCTCTCTCGCCTCCTCTTTTCCGGGAGAGCGTGCGTGTTTTTGCGAGCGCTCTGATTGGCTACACGCGATAAAGCGCGCAGGGAAGAAAAGCAAGAGCAAGAAAGAGGAGAATACTAGAATGAAAATTTGACCGAGTTTGAGAATTTTTTTCCCTCAATTTTCTAGCTTAGCATCATGAAAACAGAGAACACGGTTCAGTTTTAGCAAATTAGTGGAAAAATTTTGAGAAATCGCGATCGTAAGATTTCAAGTCGCTCTAGAGAGAAAAATTTAGGTGAAAATTTTAAAAAATATACCACAATTGAGTTTTTCGTGCATTTTTAGGTAGGATTGCTTTTGAAATGAAAAAGATCCGACCTCGCGTTTAGCCGCTACGAAAGTTGAATTTTACAGGCTATATCCTTAAAAAGGATTTACACTCTTTCTAGATATATTTCAGAAAAAAAAAGAGCAAAAGAATTATTTGAAAATGATTTGCTGAAGCCACGCCGAATTTTGGCTAAAGAGTGATATTGAGAATTTATGAAGAAAAATGAAGAGGACTTTAATAAAATTATTGGACTCGTGATAGTCTTCCTTGTTTTATTCTTGGTTGGATTTGTTGCGATCAGGAATGCATTGAAATTCAAAAATGAAGACAGTATTGACATTGTATACTGTATTGTTGAACATTTTTTCAACGCAAAAAAGTATAGTTCAATTTATTCTGCCTATCTGCTTGATTGGATGTCCAGCTCTTATTTATTACTTAAAATCACGCGAATAAATGAAAAATGACATGCTTACTTGATGACTGTTATTTGAGGTCTGTAGTTTGACGACTGTGGATCGCCAGATAGTTCGGCAGAGTGCAGGTAGATAGGTTGATGTGATGATTTTGTGATGACGCGAATGATAGCTGAAATTGGATTAACTTTCAAAAGAAAAATAAAAACCATAAAAGATACAAAAATAATTTTTTATAACTATTTTTTAATAATAATTTAATTGAGATTAACACTTGAAACCCAACAAAGATTCTAGATTATTCAATAGATAACGTTAAAAAGGTGGCCTATTTCAAACTCAACTTACGCTTTTGCTCAGGAGCATGGAGAATCTTCTGCCCATTCTGTTTTGTATGATATTGACTCTGATGAAGCATCAATTCTTTTTCACTTCTGAAAAGCCCGAGACAGGTGCTGCAAGAAATTAAATCATCAGACGCTCTCGTAAAAACGGCTGGGTCGACAGGAGCTGGAGGTTCAGCAACACTCTTTTCATGCACATTCTTTTCGTGCTCCTTGACTTGAGCATGGCTTCGAAATTTCTTGTTGCAAAGTTTGCACTAGAAAAAGTTTTCGGCTAAAAACGAAAGGGGGCTTTACCTGGGGGACATTTCGCTGAGGTCTTTTCACTGGTTTCGGATGTTCGTCGACCTCTTCTTCAGAGCCAGAATTCTCGTGACTCTGGTTCGTTTCGTTGTCTTCTTTTTTCGGATCATCAGAGCTCGACTTTGAACACTTTTCCATCTTGAAACGTATTTTTGGCACGACTTCTGAATCTCGAATTCCCTCCCTGAAACAGACGATTTTCTATTCGATATTCAGAGCGACTTACTCTTGACTATCAGAACTCATGATCGGATCGATCTCGACATGATGAATAGCGATTCCATGGACGATGCTCTGTCCAAACTCCTGAAATGTCCGGCCGCAAAGTGGACACGTAAAAGGCTTCTCTCCTTTGTGGGTGTCTTGATGTTTGGCGAGCTCCTTAGTCGTTTGAAAAATTTCGCCGCAGAAGACGCACTCGAAATCGTCCATTGGAATCATTTTCTTTGAATCCACTTCTTTCATTTGTTTCCGAGAGCACATCAATGGTGAAATATCCTTAAAAATAAAAAAAATTCCGACCCTAGAAACCGATTTCTACACGAGAACGATCTTAAGGATCTCCCGTTGCTATTTATTTGAGACCGCGATCATTCAAGAAAATTGTATTGGCGAAGTCTACCCTCGAATTTTTTGATGTTAGGCAAAACAAAAAAGTAGCGGTTCAATAAAAAAATGAATTATGTTTCTACTAAAAATCCGCTCTTTCAAGCAAGAAAAAGTTCAGAAGAACTTACTTTTCCATGAATTGAGCTTCCATGATTGACGAGATTATTCATCGACTTTCCCGTGACGCCACATTCCGGACAATACAGCGGTCTCTTCTTACAGTGACGATAATAAATATGCCGCGCCAAATTGGGCTTTGTCGTCAACTTGAAGCTGCAGATTTCGCAGCTGTACAGACTTTTCTCCATTTCGAAAAATACAAGAATTTATTTTATTTTTTTCTGGGACTCTCTCTTTTCATTTCTTTTTTTTTTCTCTGTCGCGATCGATCGCTGGTCGAGAAAAAAAAGGGATCCGGCGATCGGCGGCAATCGATTCGCGCTCTCAAGCTCAAGGGAATTTGAATTTGATGAAGTTGCGGTCGAAATGAATCAACCCGTTATGAGTCAACAATGTAACTACTACGCTGAGCAATTTGAAAATTACACACTCCTCAGAATAAAAAAAATAAATGAGCATCCACAATTGAGGATTTTCTTGAGAATCTTGAGAATCATTTTTAAAAAAGCTATAAAATTACTATAAATATTTCTTGGCGAATTAGAAGATAAACCCGTTAATGAATGGTAACTCTCGCTTTTTATTTTTTTCTGAAAGAAAAGTTGATAGAGTTGATTCGATTGATTATGTTAACCAAGAGTTGTTTCAACAAAAAACATGCCCTCAGCGCCCTTGTCAATTAGCCACAACGTTTTTATGATCGTGTTTAATCATCACAAACTTTTCTCTTACGATGCTCCGCTAATCCTTACAAATCATAACTGATATCTCGCCAAATATGCATGAATTTCTCTTCTGTCTGAATCGAACTCCTGCTTGAACAACGGTTTTTTTATCTGATGTGGACTGGTTTATTTCCCTAATCAAAGAATAACCGGACAGTTGTATTTAATGCTTGTTTTAACAGTTCACTTGAGGACGCTCCAGCTGTGATCAGGCAACTGTGACTTTCCCCTCCAATCGCCATTCTGCCAGCGCTAGTCTAGCCTGATGTTTTTCAACGCTCCCGAAAAGCTCATCTCAAAAACTGACTCGTTTAGCGAAATGAGCCCGGGGCGAATCAGAGGCGCGTTCCTATCTCGGGCACGTCTGTCTCACGAGCCTCAAGTTCCCCTTTAAAAAGGAACCTTTCTAGCCCTTGACGAGGAAGCTTCGGACGCATCTGATTCGTTAGGCGGCGCTGGCTGAGGAGCTCTTGGCTGGGGTAATTTTGATGGAACGTGCGTCGGTCCTCGTGAAGAGGTCTAAATGGATCTTGAATTATTCCACAATCAGGGGGGAGCTACTAAAATTGGGTGCGTTCTAGAATAGGGAAAGGCGAGATAGAAGATAAGACAGAGTTGTGACAGCTTAGTTGTCGTTGTTGTTGACCCAGAAGGCGTCTCCTCGGGAAAGACCGTTGTGGATGTCGTTAGCGGTATTGGTCCATCGACTGACTTCGTTGACGTCACCAGCGTATGGCATGTTCTGGGCACGGGTGTAGCCAACGCACTTCTCATTGGTACCAGAGTTGCAGGCAAGGACGATGCTTTGGACCTCTGAAAGAAAAAGGATTAAAATTTGGAGAAGTGATTATCTCCCACTGAGGGGCTAGACTCGCGAATTTTGATGTTAAAACCCAAGAATTCTCGTAACTTACGGGCAGCTGAGAAGAAAACGTTGGGGAACGGAGATTCGAATCCAGTGGGAGCTGTCTTGTCAACAGTGTGACTGTAGGCATACTGAAGCTGAGCCCAGATTTCTTGGATGGTACCGTACTGACGGAGATGGAATTCGTCGTATGTTTTCATCACATTTTTGATGGTCAAGACCTTGCCACAAGTGATGGCAGAGTTGGAGCAGAACTTCGCGCAGTAATGGTTAGCTGTGCCCGAAGGTCCGTAGACGTTATTGCAGGCATCGGTAATAGTAGCCTCGAGTCGACCTGAGTGATCGTAAGATCCGTCAGTTCCAGTCACGTGGTTCTCATCGATGATGATGCTGTGGACGTGCTTTGAGCAATCAGCGCTCAAGTCAGAAGAAGCACCTGCTCGGAGAGCGTGGCAGCTGTCCATAGCGGAAACGTGATGAGGGAAGGTGATGGTGATGGTGTCGACAGCGTACCAGAAGTAGGAGTCGGCCTTGTTCGCCTCGGTAGTGCGCTTGGCTTCCTGGAAACCGTGGCCGAACTCGTGGAGGGTTCGGACATTGAATCGGAAGTCGGCACCGAGCTGGTTGTGAGGGAAGGAGGAGATAGCAACACCGGCAGCAGCAGCTCCAGCAGCAGCAAAAGCGGGAGCAGATGAGCCCGCAACGAGTTTCCAACTGTCACTCGTTGTTGTCAAAGTCCATGTTCCCTTGGAATTGACGTATTGTGCAGAAATGTCGTAGGTGGAGGCGAATGGGTCATGCGTGTAGGCACCTTCGGCTGCGATAGCGGTGTCAGCGTAGGTCGAGACGAAGTTCAAGTAGCCAAGACCTTCGTAGACGGGATTCGCCATGACGATTCGGAAGCCGTTGACGGCGTTGTTTTCTTTGGCGTAGATGTGAGCGTTGAAAACGTGGACCCAGTGAACCTTAGCGCCTTTGCTGCTGCTGTCGGTCCAGGCAAGGTTGTGCTGAACGGAGTAGGTCGCAGCTGAGTAGCTGAAGTCCTTGACTTCCCAGAGGCAGCCAGAGTGACGGAGGGAGTATCTCCAGTCATCGGCCATGAAGCCGTGGTAGGTATTAGCAACCTGTGGACCAGTTGGACCTCGATTCGCTGATGCACTGGCAACGTGGTGACCGTAGTGGTACTTGGCGTCGGGGTTGTTGTTCTGGTAGCCCCACTTGTGTGGCTCGACAGCGTCGACGGAGTGACCGGCATCGCTGATGTCGATGTGGTTATCATCCTCGATGAATCCATAATGACCGGAAACAGCTGACTGATCGGAACCGTATTCCTGTTTGGAGGAATCGAATTTCGATCCAGCGGAGAACTCGTTTTCATAACCATACTGGTGGTGGTTGCCTGCATCGCCGATGATGTCTCCTCCGGGTGTGGCGAACTTGTTGTCGTGGTTCATGTCTCGCATGGAGTTGGAGTTCCAGCAGGACAATGCGTACGCATCAACACCACTTCTGCCATAATAGCCGGCGTCGTAGCCTTGATTTTGGCTGTAGCCACTGTCGTAGCCGGTGTTGAAGTTGTAGGTAGGAGCGTTGTAGGTGTAGCTGTCGCTCTTCTCTGCAGCTTCGTTGTAGTCGTAGGTATAGTCAGCTGTGTCACCGGACTGGCCAAGGGCAACGCCCAGCAAGCCTGCACTTATCTTCATCCCAGCGAAGCCTGAATAAAATTTATCAAAAAATCTCTTTTGAAAAATAACGAACCTTTTTCTTTATCAGAAAATCGCCTTCGAAACAGGGAGCTCGCCTGGCGATTTAAGGACCACCGCACAAATATATTGCGCCGCGAAATGCACTGGCAACGTCAACAATTATAATTACTCGGGTTTTTAGAAAATCATTTGTTTGGAAAAGAAAAGCGACCGGCGTTTTTAACATCATAATCAAACTTTATTTTTCAGTTTCGATTTTATTTATTCCAGCAAGGCAGTTTTGATCTGAATTGATAAAAGCATTGAAGCCTGATTGTTGGTTATCATCGAATAATATCTTATAAATTCGATGAACTGAAGAAAAACCTCAATTTCTCGAGTTTGAAGCTCTTTCCAAGTCCCTTTTTCACTAAGGTTTTGTTTAAAAATATGTTTTTTTTTCATGACAAACCTTATTTTCTCAAGTAAATCGGCAAAGTCTCGATAAGAAAATCTCTTGAGAAGCTTTTCCGAGAACATGGCCACCTGATTGATATGAAAACATGTCAGCACATCAAATTTTTCTTTACAATTTTCAATAGAAGCTCCTTTTTCAGCCAGTTTTTCCACAGAAAGAAACTTTTGCAAGTTTGAAGGAGAGTCGATATTGTCAGAAATATTCTTCAAATTTGAATAGAGCAAAAAGTCGAAAGTTTTTTGATCAGCAAAAGCAACAACTGGCTCGACATAAGTGTCAATTCCGACATATCCGACTTCCCCGCTCACTTTTTGGAAGTATTTCGGAAAATTCGCGAGGAAATTCGCGGATATGAGGTTTATCAAAAAACTCAGCGCAATTTTCATCTCTATCTTTTTTTTTCTTTTGACTTCCGCTTCGCCAAAAAACTCAAGTTTTAAGCAAAAAAATAAGTTATTAATAATAATTGATGATTTCATCTAGACCCAGAAAACCTCTCAAACAACATAACAAACGATGCAAGCTCGTTTTTATTATCACCAAGAAACAACGAACTCACAACAAATGTTATGCTTCCGTCTAATTCGGGCTCTTTTCTTGTTTCGGTTTTAGACTTATTTTGGTATTTATCCTCTCAACACATTTTTTCAAACGGATCAGACTATTGGAACGCTCTAGCGCTACCTTCATGATAAAGTACAACTCTCAATCAAATTGTTCACTTCAATTTTTGAAAAAGAGAGAAAAAGAGACTTTTCTTCAATTTTCTTCTTTTTTAAAATTTTGTGTTTTTTTGTCTTGAGCTCGAAAAAATCTGAAAAATGAAACTTTTTCAATTGCTCTGTTCTTCTTTTTTGACTGTCAATGCACAAGGGGAAAGCACAGCTCTGTACTACAAGGATGTAATTTCACAAGATCTCGATAATTTTATTCTGCTTTGGGAGGATAAAAAATTTGGCGGGAGAAGCTATCCAAAGAACCATCATTTTCATGGAAAAATCAGGCAAGGATACATTTTCTTCGATAGAAAAGGTCTAATTTCAGCTCATTTCATGACTTTTGTAGTCATTTTTGACCAAAAAAATACCCAAAAATTTTTTTGGTCAAATTTGGCCATTTTTGATGCTTTCTTTTTGTATCATTTTTAATAGAAAAGACAATCGAATGCGAAACCGAGTTTCCGAACTCAAAAAGCGAATGGACCGATTCTACAACCCCACATCTTGCCAGAAGCCGTGGAAAAACCAGCCTGCGAAAATTATGGAACAGTGGTTTTCCATCATGGACAACCATCCCTGCAGAGTGGCACAAAATATCGCTGAAGGGATTAATACTTGGCTTCATAACTTTGGCTGCACAGGTTGGTCTTTTTCATCAATGATAATGGCGATTGCGCACAGCCAAATTTTTTTTCTGAAAATTTTGTAAATAAAAATTCAAGATGCGATCATTGAAAACGTCGAGATCTTCTTCGACACCGAAAACATGACCTCCCGAAGAAAGAATCGAATCATCGGCCGTCGAGTTCAGAGCATAATCGACAACAACTATCTCATTTCCCGAGCTCCATGCAAGAGGCGATGGTACGAGCCCGAAACGACAACTTCTGGTGCAACCACTTCGACAGAATACCAGACGACGACGCAGACGACAACGACGACTACAAGTTGGCAATCAACGAGTCAATGGTGGACGACAATTTGGTCCTCGAGTACTGCTAGTACACCTTGGTAGATTTTAACCAACAGAAGCTTTTTTATATTCCTTGTGCAATTGATACATTTGCTAGCTGTACATTTCGCTTTTTCTATTTCAATAAATCATTGATCCCCCTTTTAAATTGCTGCATTTTTGGTAGTTTTTGATAATGAAAAGTTAGTCAGATTCTGAATTTATTTGCGCCCTGCATCAAAAAAACCAAGGCCAATATTTACTCTTCTGAGCGCTTGCTCTCTGAAAAATCATCTGACAAAACGCAAATTTTCAGAAGAGAGAGAAGCAACGAAAAAAAATGTTTCGTTTTTACGTTACATTTTGCGAGAGACTCTTTCTGCTCTCGGTTCAGTGCTTTATCTTGCTCATTTTTACATGTTTCCTTTTTGAGTTTTTCAAAAATGAGCAGATTTTGACCGGAGATGCGAAGGTTTTGAAGAGCACTGGGTTCAATATTGCGCTTTTGTCGTTTTTGATGAGTAGTTATATTCATTTGGGGAAGGCGATGTCGATTTTCAAGGTGCTTTTTACTGATTTTGAAGAAGGTAATACGGACTGGTTTCATAGTACTGATTGATAATTATTTTCACCGAGATTCGTAAATTAAAATGCCTATTTTCAAAACTCGATACCTTTTTATGGTGTTTTTTTTGCATTTTTAGAGCTGACGAATCTCAGAAGAATATTCGCAAGACGGTGTCTTATCATTTGTTCAATCTCAAAAACTGTCGTTATTCTTCTTATTCTATCTGGTATCTGCATAAAGGAAGAAGAAGAGAAGGGGTTCGAAATTTTCGGAACTCACTTTGATATGGATGACCCATTCATTATTGATGAAAATTCAGATTCGGACGAGCAAAGTATTCCAGAGCTCTTTGCAGGTAAAGCTTTCGTGATTAATTTATTTCGTGATATTTATTTTTGCAGCGATTTTGACGATGATTGTTCTTTTCCTGTCAACAATACTGTCGACTAAAATTGTTATTTTCAATCTATCAAAGGCTGCTTTCGGGGACATTCAAGCGCTGGAAAATGAGCTCAATGTTATTCTTTCAGGAATGATTCGATTTCTATTCAAGGAGATCATAGAGCGGACATCATAAAAATTTATTTTAAGGACCCCCCCATCAAGATGCAAAAAGTCAAAATTTTCAAAATTTTTTTGCTTTTTTGGGTTGTTTAGACCACGAGGAACAACTTTTATACAGAAAATTTTTTTGATCTTATAGAAAATTTTGGCAGAAATTGACTTCAAAAATTGAAAATTAACATTTTACATTTGATAAAAATCTTTAGTTCGCTATTTTTTAATGGTTATTAAGGGTATACCAACCATAAAAACTATTTCTATCATAAACACTAGTAAAAAAACGCAATTCAGGGCAATTTAGGCAATAATTACTGAAAATTTAAATCTGGAAATTCGTCTAAGATTCGACTTATAAAATTTTAAAGGGGCTGTTCTCCTTAAGTTCGTAGACAAAAAACTCTCAAAAAGCAAACGGTCGTAGCTTAGGGCCTTAACTTTACCATGAAAAAAAATTAAGGGTATACCCCAACGAAAACCCCCAAAAAAACGTTCACTAAGCAACTTTACCTTTAACGGCCTGTAAAACCTTAAATTTGGCATCGAGAGATCATCTTAAGGGGAACGGTTGCAGAAGAGGGTTCGATCTAAAGGATGCAATTAAAATTAAGGGTCTAGCTAAGATAGTTTTGGAGAAAAACTTTCACTAAGATGCCCTATTTTCGCGATTCTTGATGGGGGGGTCCTTAAGATAAAACAACTCTTTAATTTTTAGTTGAAGTTTTGATAAACTAAACTTATCTTATCACCAACACTTTGCACCAATACTTACTGTAATGAATGATGCTAGTTCTTAATTGAAACTCAATCATCTTCAAAGATCTTGAAAACGTAATTCCTGAAGTCAACGATGAACCGCCAAAATACGACGAACTTGCTCGAGCAGAAACTCCCCCACCTGAGTATTCTTCAATCAATCCTACCAGTAATGCCAGTACCTCTTTGCCATGAATTTATTTATTTTCAAAAACATATGTACAAATAAAGTAAGATAAAAATATACACATTTGTCGATTTTCAAAAGACTTTCTTCGTTCTTCTTTTCTTTTAAAAATCATAAAAAAATACTTACATATCTACAATGACGGGCAAATCCCTTCTTTTCCTGAAGGAACCCGTAAGACCCGAGGGAACCGAGTCTCTCCGGCGGCGGCGGAAAACCACAAAGGCTTTTTTGTGGTGAAATTTCGCGTGAAAAATGAATGAAAAATGAGATTTTAAGGACAACGATCATTAAATTATTGGATAATTGAGTCTTTGATTTCCAAATTTCGACCAATTCCTATTCCGCATATCAAAAGACCGAGACAAAGAAGTCCGCCACTCAAACTCACCATTTTCAGAACAGCAATTTTTCTTTCAGGACTTGTTGGTAGCTTTCTGAAGCTCAAAAAGTCTTTTCTTTTGAAGAAAAATTTGTAAACAAAATTGAACTGTCCTTGTGATTTTCGACTTCGTTAATGACAATTGGCCCTAGTGATAAAACTTGGTTGTCATCGTTGATTGCAGCTCGCCGTTTTCTTCGATTTTGAGACTCAAGACAGCTCTATAAAGTGATAGAAATCGATCAGAATCTTCCTTTTCTTACCTTTATACAGTTTTCAAAGCAAATAGAAATGTCGCAAAAGAGATAGACCCTCTGATATCCGGCAAAACCAAAAACTTCCGAGGTAAATCGCGCTTGCGAGCTCTCCCCGTTTTCCATAATTTTGACGACTTCGTTGTCAGCACATCCATCTTGAATGAGATCGAATTGAATCGGATCTTGCGACGAGTTGGTCGGACTCGCCCAGCAATTGTTAATTTTTAATTTTCTTAGTTTGGCTTATTCCATTTTTCCTACATCAATAAAAAACACTATCTCTCAGATAACAATCGACTTTTTCAGCCATGCCTGTAATTGTCTCCTTCTTCTGCGTCGACAAGGAACACGCCTACATTGAGAATCTCGTTTGTATTTACAGTCACTTCGGATGGAAGGGGATTTGTAAAGGTTCCGTCTTGATACAATACCATAGCTTCAATTTTAGTCAAAAAAACTGCTCATTTTTCTCTGAGTGCGAAAATATTGTAAGTTTTGTTGACTTTCCTGTTCGAAAAACACCCTCGCCGGATATTGAGGGAAACTGAATCATGCTGAAAAGAAAAATTAACATTTAACCATAAATTCAGTTTATTACAGATTTTTAATGATTTTTAATTTTTTTGGTAATTGATTGCTAATTATCAAGTTTAGTAACATCTCCCACATTAACAAAAATAATACATTACATGCAATAACGCTCATGCAAATCTTACTTGATAGTCTGATTGCTGAAATAAAAGAAAAATAAATGAAGATAGAATGAAACAGCCTACCTTGCGGATTGATCCTCAACATCAAAATTGAATCCCGTCCTTAGATTCGTGTTATAAGAGCACTCGATTGGAAACACATAATTCTTCCCAGAATACATCACAATTCTTTTGGGATCTTGCTCCATCAAGTTCACTTTGAGAAGATTTGAATACGTCACGTGAGTATCATTCGTCTGAAAATAAATTGATAAGGCCCTCCTTTCGATAATTCCGATGGCGATTAAATCTCCGCTTTTTTGATAGTTGCAATTTTGGAAAATTTCCGGAAAGCGGGCAGCCCTTGTCGGAAAATGTCTTTCCCGTTAGAGCGCGGTGAGCGAGCTGTCTCTGGGTTGGGACTCGTGTCTGTGGCGGTTTCACGCTCCAGATCGGGAACATTTTATGGAACGACCGCCGCGTCTTGACAGATTTTTGTCCAGCCTGTGCAATTTCAGTTTTGCATTTGAGACACCGTACAACTTCGATTTAAACTGTCTCGAATGATTTGTCTGTTTGAATTTTTTCAAAAAACCATAAAATTTTTTTCGATTTTTCGATTTGGAGAAAATTTCTAGATCTGATTTTCGAAGACCCTTATCTAACCCCGAACGCGTTCCGTGTATCAGTAGTTATGACTACTAACTTATAAGATATAGAATTAATATGACGCGCTTTTTTTAAGGTGGTGGAAGATTTCTAGCCCACTTCCGCCATACCGACCCTGGAACACCATACCTTTTCTGAATCAGCAGAAAATTTTACACACTTTGACCCATTAAAATTCTAGAAATCTCCACTTCCGGTCGATTCTAGAGCCGGAAGTAGGTGCAATTTATTGATAAGGCAAGCAAATGACCTATCAAATTGAAGCTTAGATAATTTGAGGTCATATGAAAGACAAATTAGATCGAACCGCGGTTGAACCGACCGGTTAAACCGACCGGCAAAACTTGGAAAAAGGCATAAATTTCTGATTTTTCTTTCAGTTTTTAGCCTTCGATTTGACCGTGGCCGGGATTGATTCTTCTCTCAGATGATAGGAAATCTTCTGAGAATCAATTTGATAGGGCACAAGTGGGCCAAACTCAAAAATTTCGTCAACTTCCGGCTCTAGAATCGACCGGAAGTGAAGATTTCTAGAATTTTAATGGGTCAAAATTCTTGAAATTTTCTGCTGATTCAGAAAAGGTATGGTGTTCCAGGGTCGGTATGGCGGAAGTGGGCTAGAAAACTTCCACCACCTTAAAAAAAGCGCGTCTATACACTATCAAACACCAATAAACAATTAACAAGGGCCCTCTCACCTGTCTGTTGAAGCCACAACTGCCCAAACTGGCCCTGTAAAAATTGTGCGTTGACGATTCCCAGCTCTGGCAATAGCTTGATTCCCAAAAGCCATCAATCCTAATCCTCAAGTCGCTGAAATCTTCAAGCAGCAAATTTCGATCCACAGAAATGTCAATTTTGTCCACGCTGCAATCAACAACGAGAGGTTGTGCTTTTTCTCCTAAATTTCATGAATCATGAGTCAGAAAAGTTCGAAGAAAAGATGGAAGTTGGCCCTCCCTGTACGTGAAAAGAGGCAATTACAGTTGATTGAACGTTGCGCAAAAAATGAGCGAGGCGATGGGAGATAAGATCCGCTGCTCTAAGACAAAGGGATGAAAAAGAATAAAACCGTTGGCGCTGGGATTTCCGCCTACTTCAAAAAAGTCTTAAAAGTTTTAAAAGTTGCCATGTTTCAAAAAAATATCCCGCTTGGAAAAAGAAGAGATATAATATCTCAGATATTACAGAATCAGCGATTGGAAAAAGTGGATACGTCAAGACAATAAAATAAATTTCCGGAGCGGTCGAAATGGAGAGTAACCAAGAACCGCAAGGAATAACACACATGAATTTGAACAGAAAATACTATCCTCGAAAAGCTACGGAAACTGCCTTCTATTGGCAACAAAGAAAATAGGGAATAAGAGCTAATTTTTGGACTGAACCAAAAAATAGAGGTGCATTTTTGAATAGCCAATAAGATTGTTGTATTTGATCTACCGGCCAATCAAAGCCCAGATCCTGAAAATCAAAACCATTTTTTCTCGTAAATGAAAAAAATAGAATAAAAAAAATTTTTTTATTCAAAATTTTTATGTTATTTCCTCGATTCTTAATCGTGATCATTACGATTAAAATATAGTACTTTCGATAATATTGACAAATTTCTTCTGAATGAATCATTTAATTGTCCAAAATTCTTACCAAAGAACTCTTTCTCATTAACTCTCTGCCCAAAGAGCGGAACTCCAAGAAATGCCGAGAATTTCATCCCTCCAAGAATCGTTAATTTCTTCAAATCCTTTTCATCAAACTGAGATATTTCTTATTTTCTTCTTTTTATCTCTCTTGATAAAACTCGATTTATTTCAAACTCGATTTCGTTTTTCTGATATATCGATAACTTATATCAGAGAGAAATTTTTATGTCCGATTTTTTATGTCGCAAAAACGCGAAAAAATCAAAGCGCACTTCAGTGAGTGAGTGAAATTGCGCCACCTCGCGAGAATCGCGCGGCGCTCCTTTTTTCGCTATTTTTCGGAGTTCAATTCAAATTCGCCGGTTTTTCGCTTTTGAAACCGGCAACGGGTAATTGAAGATAAGTGAGGGAGAAATTGCTCGTTCACTTTCTCTCTGTAATAGTTTTGTTCAATTGAGCAACTGAAATAATGGACTGATAAATTGGAACTGAACATTTAATGCTCACATTTATTTGGTTTTGACGAAAGGGACGATTTTCAAGGATAATAATTTTAAAACATATGATCTTGGATATCGAAGAATTTACGGACAAGCATCTTTTGTTCTGCTTCTGGCAGCATCCAGAACTCGTCTTCAAGAGTTCTTTTTTCTTCGGCGGTTATCTGAAATAAGTTTGAAAATATCTATTCGAGATACATACAGTAACTCATTGTAAAAAGTAGTTCTCAAGCAGTTCATTAGATTCTATAGCGGGAAAATGAACTAATGGGTCAGTTTTAGCGTAGCCAAATGATGGGGTCCTTGGGTGAGATCGCTGGTTTTGATTTGCTGAGGTAAAAAGTACTCACTTCTTATTGGCTGATTGGACCCCTCAGCCCCAAACTAAGGGTAACGCTCACAAGTCCTAACCCTAACCCTACGTTAGTCCTTTTAGGGTTAGAAATTGTCCTTCGCTATTAGTTAACTGTACCTTATGAGAAGAAACGACGGCAGAAAACATGACTGTGAATAAAAATTTTCTCAAAATATTCATCTTTGCAAGTAAAATTTTTTCTTTTTCGCTTTGTAAAGAATGAGGTCGCGATCTCCGTTTTATAATCGCAGAAGAGAATGAATAATTCTGATGAAGATCAACGCCTAGAAATTAATTTTTCAGAAACCAGTTACAAGTTTTGCTGTAAAAAAGCGAGTACTTTTAAGAAAACGTGTGAAAAGACCGCAATTGTGGCTCATTTTGGATGGCAATGTCGGTCAGACAGATCAATGCGGTTTTAACAGCTCATCTTGCATAAGAAAAACACATATTTGACTCCAAAAAAGCTTCCTTTGGTACAGTAAATTGTCAAATCCACGTGAGCTAAGCTTTTGGCGAAAAATCTAAAATCGTTTCTACCCCCTTTCCTCATCTCGAAGACACGAAAAAGGCGGCTGACACGAGGTCTCTACAAAATTTTTATTCAGATGTTTGGCGCATTGGGATTAAGGTGATGACATGCGAGAACATGACAGCTTCCGGTAAACGAAAAGCTTTGATTTTTCAGTCGGCAAAAAGCGGTGATAAAAATTTTCTTTTTCGTCAAGGTGGGGCGAGTTTGCCCCAGTTTTTAAAGAAAATAGCAACGTGATACCCTTATTTTTTTGAAAAATAAACTTGCCTTTGATATTTTGATTTTTATTTAAATAAATATTTCACAGCAGCTAAAAATCATGAAATATTCTAAATGGCAGCTCAAATCATCATTATCAAAATATACAGATAAAAACTAGAATTCAACTCCTTCGTCCTCAGCTTCAACATCGACTTTTTTGACGGAAGCGGCGGAAGACAAGGAGGAAGTCTCAACCGTCGGTTGAGAATCACTGCTCTTGTTTCGGAAGGAATCAGGATTGGCGTAGAATTCTTCGGCTTCTTCGATTGTTGTCAGCATTGGGACGCCAAGGGTTTCAGGGAGGAAGAAGACTGAATTTTTTATCATAATAGGGTAGAAGTAAACCACTGGTTTTGTTTTTTCTCGTATAAATTAATCAATATTTATGTGCAAAAATATATAAAATTTTACTAAAAAAGAGAGCATTTGTGGTTTTTTCAACCAAAGAAAATCCGGTTGTAAATATTCAACTCTAGAAAAAATAAATGATCACCTGTGATAACTTGCACAATCCCAAGTGCTCCGAAAATAACAAACGGGAGCCAACTCGTCGTCTTTCCAAGTCCATTAATAATCGGCGCTAATATGCCTCCAATTCTTCCTCCCGCAGAGCTCAGCCCCACTCCAACTCCTCTAACCGGCGTTGGGTACATTTCCGAAGCGTGGACGTAGACGATTCCAAAAGTGCCGGCGACGCCAAATTTTCCAACGACGGCGCAGATCATTTTGGCCGTCGACAGGCCGTCGTTATCGGGATCATCGATGAGGAGGAAGTCGAAAACGGCGGTCAAAAGGCAACCTAGATTGATTTTCTTATATTTCAAAAAATCGAGAAGCCGCTTGCGGCTTCGAGCTAATACCGAATAACTTATTCGGAATAAGCCGCGCTTCGCGCGGCTTGATTCTTTTTTTCTCGAAGCCGCAAGCGGCTTCTCGGTTTTTGTCTATAATATCAGGGTATGAATTTTTAATGTGAGCCCCTTTATTTATTACTTGATAACCTTATATAGGCAATCAATTAAAAATTGAGAAAGAAGAGTGTTTCAAAAATAAAGGTTGGATTTATTTCAAAATAATATCTTACCGACTGATCCAAGCAACATTGTCCAAACAGTTCCATATTTTCTTCCTATTTTGGGGTGATCGATAAACAGCGGGAGTAGAATGTAGCAAAGAACCTCAACTGCTCCGTTGATAAAGTTTGTCATCAGGAGGGAGCCACCGAGATCGCCAGCGCCAAGGCTTAATCTTTTCAAACGTTTTTCAAATGTGATTGTTGCGGTTTTAGATGCTTTATCAAAAAGGGGGCAGCTAGAACTGAAGGTTCAATCATTTCATTTAATAAACGCTTTCCCATAATACACCAGCGTCGTAGCAAACCACTGGTACATTTCCACAATCGTCACGACTCTCATTTTCGGTGGTTTGAAGAGATCTATTTGCGTGTAGACTTTTCCATCGCCACTTTTTGCTGCAGTTTTACAGAAGCTTCTAGTTCGTCTAAGAAATCTTCGGTGCAGTTGTCGACTTTCAGGCATTTGGCGATTTTCGCTGTCTCGGATCTAGAAGATGGAAAAGGGGTAGAAAAAGGGGTTGGTTACCTTGCTTGATCAAATTTTCTTGAAGAAAAGAGCCATGCGATAGAAGTAGGGAGATAGAGATAAATTGGAATGTAGAGAAGTGGAGCAATGAGAATGACGATCATTTGATCCTGCCAATCTGCCAGCAAATAACCAATCAAGGAGAGCAACATGTATCCAACGGAAAAGATTCCCTGAACAGTTTTAGGGGTGCTTCTTTCTATTGAAAAGAGTACCTGGGTCAAACTGCCAAACCAAGTCCTGTATTTCGGCCCAACAATTTCCATCGTGAAAACAAACGAAGCCGTCCCAGCTGAAATCGCGAAGAACCCGCTGAGGAATCGCAGCGCTGCATAAGTCCACATTCCATTTTCATGGTATGGGATCAGCACCAGCGGCAAGCTTACAGCGCTTATGCCCATCATCGCGATCAGAGCTGCGAGTCTTCTTCCGATCTTGTCCATCAACGGTCCGAAAATGAAGACGCCAAAGAAGAGGCCACTCATGAAGATTGCTGAGATCGCGGAGTCGAGTTCCTTGTTTTCGCAAACGAGCTCGTACTCGGTGGAAACGGTTCGGGTGAATGTTGAGTTGTCGAAAATATAACCGGCATCGCAGCTTTCTGTTTTCAGATTTGGTTTTTCATCTTTGAAACAACTAAAAAAGGGCTCTTTCTTAATCTCTTCATTTGAGGACCATAATAACTGACAAATAAAAAAAAAAGTTAAAATTTCTTAGGAAAATCCGAATGAAAAAATAGAAGTAAATATTTCATTAAATATATGTTCGATAATGTTATTAAAAGAAGAGAAGCCCGAAACTGTAATACTTGACAAAGTCATCAGTAAGATCTTGACAGATTGAGTCAACATTAGCATACTGCATACAGCTATCTTCTGGCGTAAATTCGAGACCTTTTTCGTAGTCAATTACATCAGGAAAAAGTTCATCCGCCGGCGCCCGACATCGATAATCCGGAATTGCCTGCAAGATGACTGATCCAACCTGGACCATTCCAGCGACAATCCAACAATAGTTCACCAGGAGAAACCAGGCGATTTGCTTGCCTGAGACTTGGGGGAGACGAAGAAAGACGTAGTCGAAACCAAGGTCGTCTCGCTCGAGTTTGACATTTTCCAAGCCATTTTCTGAATATGATTTCAAGAAATAAAGCTACGTTTGGTTAGAAGAAGGAGCCATAAAGATAATTTCTGACTGGTCTTTCTATATTAAAACGAAGAGAGATGTCGGAAATATTTACCAAGGTCAAGAAAAGTGTTCATTGCGTTCACTGATTTAAATATAAAAATGCTTACTTACTGTTTAGACTGATAGAATCATCTTTTATAGTTATAAATATAATAATAAATATTTTATCAATATTTAATTTATAATTATAAATGAATATTTAGATATCTAACTACCTTTTCTGCCATCCTCTTCTGGGTCAATTTTAGACGATCCTCTGCCCCTCATTCTCGATCAATCAAAAATATATTCTCTATCTTCTGCCCTCTCTCTCTAATAAAACATCAACTTATTGTATCTCACAAGAGTCGATCAATTTGCTCTTACAACTCCGCGGTTCCGAAATCAAATATCCGAGTAAATGCTCCTGAGATGCTCGAACTTTACCCGCTCGTCCCTGAGACAGCGGCAGAGGTCAGTCGTATTTGGTTAGAGCAATTAGAGAACTCATGGTAGTTTTCCATTTTCTGGTTTAATTCTGGGACCATGCTGTTGTGTGTATTTACTGACAGCCCGGGAGACTCTTGAGGTCGAGTCCCAAATTTAATTTGCTGAGAAAGGCCTTTGAAAAACTCAAGTGTTTCTTTCAAATCTAAATTTTTCAGGGCAAAATTACCTGCGAATTTGAGAGGTACAGTTTCGCTCATTTCATCGTCTTTTCTCTCTGTCTTCTTCAATTTTTTCTATTTTGTTTTCCAAATATAGCTTTTTTCTCTTTATGGAAGATAATGAAAGTATTATATTTTTATATCCCAACATACTGCCCAAGGGTTTATTTGAAATTTGTTTGTTGATGCAAATGTCTGAAAAGTGCACTTGGAACTCATGATATCACTAGACAGACTTGATGATGCTCAACAATGCTCTTGTCAATCTCTCTTTCTCAATTGCGTTTCAGTCAGACAGCCGTTACAGTCTGTCCTAAGGTCAGTGTCTCTTTTTGATTTTGAGCGTTCTCTTCCTTGATTTCGAGAGTGATTTTTTCCATTTCCTGATTTTTTTCGTTCGAGAACTTTGTTTCGAATTTCCGAAAAGACCTCTTTTAAACTCAAAATTTTATATTGAAAAAATACAATACATTTACTGTCAGTTAAATCGAGTTGTCAGATTACCCCGCCCAGATTTGAAATCATGCTTGTTCTGTTTTTTTCAATGCTAAAAGAAATTTTTATTGAAGTTTAAGAACCAAAGACATTTTTCTGAAAACAAGCAGCTTCTCCTGGTGGAGTAACGATCACATTTCCAGGGGGTGAGAATCGAGCGCAGACGTAGATCTTTCCAGACTAGAAGAAAAAAAAAAGAAATAAAATCCTCCATGATGAGTTTTTGTCGTACCTTTCCCTGGGATGCAGAGATGCCGAAATTTTCAGAATCAGCCCAGACGAGTTGAGTGAAATTTCCAGATCCAGGTTGCCAGCCGGGAGTGTTGAAGTTGTACTTTTCTTTGCCGCCGTACCAGGCATCTACTGCGCCGGAGAGGGAGAAATTCGGGCCACTAGAAATTTATTTATTATTTTTATAAAAAAATTTTTTTCTTTGACAGTGTCAAATTGACACGGAATGTCCGAAATGAAAAGTGTGATGATATACAACATATTATATGTTACATATATCAAACTTAAGCAAAATTGTTTTAAAATTAGATAAATTTTCACTTGAAAACATCAATATGGTTTTTGAAACCTGTATGTAAAAAGACATTCTCCTTGATCCTCGGCATTTCCACTTTCTGCTTTTTCATTTTTCGCCATTTTCTTGGCCCATTTTTCCGCATCTTCGACCAAGTTCTTGTCCAGCTTCAAAGGGTTGACTTTGTGGTTGCCTCGAATTCGGTTTATTTGCTCCAGCACTTCTTTTTGCTCATCTTTTCCTTGAAAGAAAAAATTAAAAAATGGCTAGAGAGGCGGATAGATCTTACCGGGTGTCTTGAACTTTTTCGGTTGGTTGCTTTCTTTTACGATTTTCAGAGTTTTCATTGCTTTCTCGAGCGATTTGTCAGCCTTCTTGACATTTTGCTTGAAGCACTCTTCCTCGCCAGGTGGAGTCATGATCAAATTTCCCGGAGGCGAGAATCTGGCGACGACATAAGTCCATCCAGTGGAAGATTTCGCTTGAGCGATACCGAATTTCTTCGTTTCCCGCCACACGATTTGAGTAAAATGGCCCGTATTCCCTTAAAAAGCGTCTTACAGTCACGTTTATTCGATTTGCACAGTCGTCAAATCTGTCAATTTCTATAGTAAATCTCAGTTCTTTCAATATTTGCTTTCCGGGCGACGTGCACTTGGCAAATTTGCGATTTAAGCTTATCGAATTCGATTCAGGAAATATTTGCACGATGATTTTTGTACCTGAGAACTTATTTTTCTTGAACGAGTAATCTTTTTCTTCGCCATACCATCGGTCGATCGCCTTGACGATTTCTTGCTCGCCGGTGTGGCCGCTCAGGTTTTCGCCCTAGAAACGATAAAAAATAAGGGTATCCCTAGGATATCTTAGTTAGGTCGAAAATCCTATTTCGGCTGATCCCAAGTTAGGCCTCTTCCGGAATATCCCGAGAAATCCTACCTGATTTTCTCGATCTTCTCGTGGACTATGCTCAAGTCGATCTTTAGCCGCAAGTTGAGCCGCCCACTTAGCCGCGTCCTTGCAGAGATTTTCATCAAGCTCAAGTTCATCAGCTTGATGAACTTGTCGGTAGAGGTTCACCCGCTGGAGACATTCTAGAGAAAATATAAAATCACTTCAATTAAAACAAATCATGCATAATAGCCGCGCGCGGCTCTTTTTTCTCATTTTTCACTGAAAAAACTTACCTTGGGCTTCAACAAGATTCATTACTTTTTCTTTTTTTTCTCCTCTTTCCGGAATTTGAAAACTGGTGTTTCGTCTTTGATTCTTCTTATTCGCCGTGAGGTACGACAAATATATTGCGGATTAAATATTTGCTGCCGACGTAGATCTTTCTTTCTGACGAAAGAATTTTTTTATGAAAAGCGTCGAGCTCAAATGCTGATTCTACTCACAAAAGCACGGGAAACGAGCTTCCGCGGCGGTTTCAGAAGACTAGCTGCGCAATAGACTGAATCAATTGACAATTGTTGATCGAAGGAGTTTTCAAGTTCATGAATGAAATCAAGGAAGAAAAAAAAATTTAAACTGGAAATTCTTGAAGAAAAAAAAAGGTTAAATCTTGAACAAAATCGAATCAACTTCCGGGCTCCGAGAAGGTGATTACAAACCTTGATGCGCGTTGATATCCCAGATCTAACTTAATCCCTTTTCTTGACCCGGCAAAAAGGTCGGCGCTGTTTTCTTGAAATTTGCGCGTTGCGCCATTACTTCCGCTTCGTTTTGTAAGGAACGTAGCCCCATAATAACTCAACACGGGAAAAGCTTGTATCGACCAGTTTTCCCATCAAATAAACCTAGCTTTATTACGCACTGAGAATCTGGTCTTGAATTCATTAGTGGAATCGCACCGGTGCCAAAAAACTTCGATCTTTCAATTGAATAATTTATTTTTTCCTGTTTTGAAAACCTGAGTCAGGTTTCTCAAACGTTCAAATGAAAAGCCGCATTGCGGCTCTTCTTATAAACAGAGCCGCAACGCGGCTTCGCCAAAACTACCATATTCGTATTTTTTCTTTGATTTCGTCGATCCTGACTCAGGTTTTTTACACAGGTTGACGAGCCTGTTGATTGGTTTCCGAAAGCAGCCATTCTTATAAGAGTTGAACCTGGTCGCTGAGGAGCTATCACCACATCATCCCCACCCATCTGGTTATACGCGAGCTGGGCTATTGTCAAACAAACATTGCTAGCTGCGTTTCTAAAAGGCTACGTATCCTCGGAGTTACGTATCCGGCTGGGCCCTGCTTCCGGTCATTATGTCCGTGCATTTTTTCGGACGTTTTTAATCGACTCTGGATGAGATTATCATCTGACCTCGGCCAAATAAACTTTACACCCTAAAAAGTCTCAAGAGTTTTCGAGACTTCCGTTTTTCAGATTTTTACTTCTTTATTTAATAAGTAACTTCGAGCTTCTAAGAAAGAATTTTCTTAACAAAATTCTCAAGACGACTCGTGACACATGCTCAACAAAGGGGCTTATAATGAATATTCAAATGAACATCTCTTTCGAAAATGAACAGAAGACTTCGCACAGTCAAAAACAAATTGACCTTATCCTGTTTTTTCGCATCGAAATCGACGGTATTTCCCTTTTACTGTGAATATTCATTGTACCAAGAGGTATAAATGCGGCTTAAACCAGTCAAAAACAGAAAATGAAAGCATTTTTTGTTATTTTTTTTTCCTTTGGAGTTCTTCTTCAACAGGGGCTTTTGATATTTTTGAGGGAAAACTTTATGATAAAGAACATTATCATAACAGCATGAAACAGTATATGATCGCAAAGTCAGAAAAGGAAAAGCTAAGACAGTTGCAAGAAAATTACGAATTCCTGCAGGTATCTTATCCTTTTGAAAGGCTGACTATAATATGTATTTTCAGTATTTGCAGAATCGGCGAAAAAAAGTTCAACTTTTCAAGACATCCTGTCTTTGTAACCAGACAAACCCTGCGACTACTACTATTATTGTTAAAGTTATCTTCTGATACTTTATATAATAAATCCTGACGAACGTTTGCGATTTTTTTCTTCCATCACGAATGAGTAAACATATTTGCTAAAAAATAATTATGCTCTCAAATTTATGAATTATTATAAATACAGTGATATCTAAATGGACCAGACAAGCATATCTAATGAAAATGTCAATTTGAAATTGACAATTTCAAAATGGATGATTTCTTTGAGAATAGGTATATTGAGGCTTTTTTAATGTTTTCTGCTCTTTCATGAAAAAATGGAAATGAGGGCACTCATTTTCATCGTTTTTATTGTACAAAATTTGAATGGAAAGAGGATTTATTATAGTGACAGTATGAGGCAGTATATAAAGACAAAGCAGCTGAGAAGAAACTACGAATTCTTGAAGGTACCTTTCATATGACTTTTGATACTTTACGCCTTCGGTAACTCAGTATCTTCAACAGCGGCGAAGAACCCTTCGATTTATGAAAGAAACTAACTGTCTTCTTTACCCGAGCATTTTCTGCAAAAATCACTACTTTCGCTACATTCTCTAAAGTTGAAATCAACAGAATAAAAACGAAGCCTTCTTCGAAGCGCAATCTATCAAGATAACGAATTTTTCACGGTCTTATTCGGTTTTGCAAGAAAAAGAAAACCTCATGTCCGAAGTTGATCGAAGAGAGCGAAAAGCTGCTGATGGAGCGCTCCACCTGTCACACTCGTAATGATAAAACTGGCGCGGCGATTTTTGCTGAACTAAAATGAACGAGCTTTCGAAAATTTTACGCGAGAAAAAGAATGAACTGACGAATTGGTTTTCAGAATCGAATTTTCAAATAATTTTTATAAAGTTTTTATGTAAAAAAGTTGAATTTCTTTAATAAAAATAGGAAGCTCTTTTTGGGCGCTTAAATTCTACTCCGCTCAAATTCCGCTCGGCTGAAATTTTGCTCCGCTCAAATTCAGTTGTTCTAGAATTTTCCTCAGCAAGAGCTCAGCTCGGGTCAAAAACGGCTCAGCTCAAATTTTACTCAGCTCAAAAGTCGCTCAATTTTTTTTGTAAAGAAACTCTTTAGTTAGCGTTTTTGCTTTAAAATTAATGGCTCGGTCGATTTCTAAAACTCAAAACTCTGCATTTCAGAAAGCGGAAAGTTGAAATTTCCAGATAGAGTCGGAAACAAGAAAAATCAACATAGCCCTTCCGGCTTATTCTATATCATATGTAGTTGCATATCTTGAGACGGGGAACGAGTTTTCGAAGCGGAAATGCACCGACAGCCGATTAGCTCAGCTCACACATTTGCAAAACTTTGCCAGGGCAGCTGCGCGAGATAACATAATTTTTAAAAGGTGAGAAATTTTATCGAGCGAATTATTCATTTAAATATATTGGTAGAGCAAGTTTTTTAATCACGTTTCTTTGCTGAAAAAAACGATTTTTGAGGGTTCAAATGATTCGTGAGCTATAAGCGATTTTTAAGCAATGAGCGGAAAATGAGCGGAGCACTATAAGAGGGATGAGCGGAAAATGAGCGGAGCGATATTTAACCGAGGACCGGAAAATGAGCGGAGCGGTATTTGAGCGATGAGCGGAAAATGAGCGGTGCGAGAAATAAAACTTGTGGCTTCGACAAAATAAGTTTAAGTTTCTCCGAAGAAAAATTGCTTTCTGTTGGCTTTTTAGATCTGATTTTTCAGTTTTCAAAAGAAAAATATTCTATGAGAAAAGAGTTAATTCTCGCTCTTATCCAATTGCGGTGGTGAGGCCAGATTTCCGCGATTATTGTCCGAGCAGTTTCGCGTGTTACCACATTCCCAGAATGCCACCAGCAAGAAGATATATTTTCAGAGCTTTCTTTTTGGCTTAGAATTGCCGAAATAAACAGACGCAAAAATTTTTGTTGTGAAAAATTTTGCGGAAATTTTGAGAATTTGGCGGAGATTTAGTGGATGCGCGAAGCACCACTAGATTCCGCGAGCAGTTTGTAAACTCGCTCACGTTTTACGAAAGCTAGAACGTGTCCCTTCCTTACGAAAGGGGGGGGGGGCGAAGAAAAAGCCTGATTACGAATTGAACCGCTAAAAAATTCTCAAGAAAACAAGGCAGCTTGAAAATAATCATAGTCATCAACGAATTCGCTAACGATCATTTCCAACGCTCTTGCGTTTTGCATAACTTCCCCGTTTTTCACCGCCCATCTGGATGTCTTTTTGACTCTTTGACGCGTTTTTAGCGGCAATTGGTAATTACTGAAATGAGGTTCTTGAAGTTTGGGTTAAATGGACCGAATTGAAGAGGTAATATTTGCTCGTTGATCTTTTAAATGTTAATAAAAAGGAAAAGACGCGGGCCGGATGGTGTTGAAGCGAGAAAATACGTTGTTAGGAAAGAAAGAGATTTATGAATAAATGCCTGTAAAGAAGCCGTTTTTTGAAGTTGCTTTGACACCAAGAAAAGATGAAAAGATAAATTAAATATCAAAAGCGCTAGAATTATTTTTTATCTTGATAAAGCTCTCCAAGTTCGGATGGAACTCTGAGAAACACAGATACAAGTACGAGCTCCCATACGAGCCTTACCAGCTCTAGAAACGAGAAAGAAAAGCAAGATGAAGCAAATAATGAGCAGCCCAAAAGTCAGTTTCCTCCTATAAATGCCCAGGTTTATCTTACCGCTTTCTTCCTTTATAACTTTTCGCTCAGAGAAGTTGTACTACAACCCCTCATCCTTCCGACCGCGGAGCTCCCACCCCTTGTCGAACCCCTTATTCCTGGTGGTCTGATAATCAATCTGAAAGCCTAATTTCCGACTGGACCAGGGAAGGTGCCATCTCTCGCGAGCCAATCATCCAGGAGCACATCCAATACGTCAACGAAAAATTCAATAAACTGGAAGAAAACATCATCGAGCTTAGGAACGGTCTCGATAATAGAATGAGGAAAATACATATTTTTTGCTGAAATTTTATTTTCGAGTCTGCGAGAGAACACAAAATGGACAGCTCCAGCTCGATAACAATAAATTACGGCGGGAACACTTGATCATGAAGAGGAAGTTGAAGGAATGTACAAATTTGCAGGAGACGCATGTTTTGAATATGAATGATAAGGATTTGGAAATAACTGTGCTTAGGTAAAGTCCCACAGAATCGATAATTCCCCAAAAAATAAACCCAAAAAAGCTTATTTACTTTCAAGAGAGGATCTAGGAAGAGTTCTAGAGCGCCTGGTCGATGTTGAAAAGAAACTCGAAGCTCTAGAAGAACCAAAGAGCGAGGAGAATCAGCGTCTTTTGAAAAAATGAATACCAAAAGCTCCATAATCTCAAACAAGAAAAACGGCCAGCAAAAGTGATCAAGCTCTAGAAAGAGCTTCTTTTCTGCTGTCTGACATGTTCCCGGCAATGCCTGAGCAAATAAAGCGCCAAGGATGAAATGGCGATTTCGTCAAATAAAATAATTCAAACGTGGTTGATAGAAACACGCCGGATGTGATAAGAACCGACTTTGCCAAACATTCTTTATGCGCTAAAAGGGACAGGCGACAGGAATATTTTGACATATTTTATTTCATGGTTTCTTTGCTTGATACGAAAGTAGAGGGCGGATCAAACGTGAGTTTTTCTAGTAACAAAAAATTTCTAAGATAATCAATTTCAAAGATTGATAAGAGACATTTTATATCAAGATTTTTTTCATTTCTAAGTAATAAAATTATCCAAAAAGAGGTTCGTAATAATCGAAATCTGAAGAACCCTCAGGCTGATCCGTCGAAGTTGAAGTAAAAGGTGTAACTGTAGTTGTCGATGAAACCATTGTCGTGGTCGTACGCGTGGAAGATGGTGCAGCTGTCGTTGTGACTTTTATATCGCAGTTGCCAAGCATACAGTTTTCAAAGAGCTCCCATGCGTTTTCATAGCAAAGAGGAATCAGATTTTCATCGTGAATATGCTCACATTTTAATTGTTCATTTATGTACCGGCTTTCGCACTGCTCCTGGCAGTGGCAATCAGATGCGCAAGCCATGTGGCGATCGTTTGCTTCATTTTGCATTGTTTTGCTCGATATGGCCACTTAGAATTTTTTGTCGAAAACTGAATTTAATCATACCTAAGTTCATGGCAGTATTCAAGGTCGTTTTTATGCTGCTCATTACACACTGCCTTGCAATCCACGCATCCTTCCAAGCAAGTTGCTACATCTTGAACTTGCTGACACTCAAATTGACAAAGAGAAAGCTGTCTCTGAGGGGTAGAATCTGCTTGGAAAAGGAGAAAAAATGGTAGATATGGTAAACGCATTTTCTTATTGTAGAACTGAACAGACATGGCGATTTTTTTTCATCAGAAAAGAGTGATATTTGCAGACTATTAAAAATGAAGCCAAAATGCGGTTTGCAATTTGTATGCAATTTTTGATAGGAATTTTTACCGTTTTATTAACCGTTTCCATACAAAAGAAAAGATTTTTAGTAATCAAAATTTGACGGATAAAAGCACCATGGTATTCCGTGTTCACCGTTGCTGCCCTCGTTGACTTTTTCCCAGCAGCAATTTGACTGGCGACATTCAGGTTCCCTAAAGAACTCTTTTTGTCAGACTGTCGGACTTTTAACTTACTTGATTCCATAATATCCGCAATCATTTTTCAAATCATTGTCAATAACGCATTCTTTTTCCGAAGGCTTTGGGCCTCTTATGCAAGGAGGATCGCCTTGGTAGTTAGGACACCATCTACAACCACGATCAACGCATTTCTGTTCCGGATCATTGCCGCTATAGTCGGTCAAACAATCAACTTTCAGCTCACTTGGGCAGTTGCATGATGTGCACATATTTTGGAAGTTTCCATAGATACAGGCGTGTTCCCCATCACGTGGACACCAGTGACAGCCAGATGACTTGCAACTTGTTTCATCGTATTTGTTGCATCTGACTCTATCAAGACAATCGCAGGTGTGACAATTTTGTCCAGGAATTTCCATCCCTTCTGTGTAATAGCACCATGGTTTACCATCAGGCATTTGGCAGAAAGTACAGCCTTTCTTCAAGCATTCATTTTCATTGTTCCCTCCATAATCCTTCTCAAGACATTCAATCGCAGAACAGGAAGGATCACAGCCGTTGCAAGATGTTCTTGTTGTAGAAATTGTCGTTAAAATTGATGTCGTAGTGTGTCTTGTTGTACTCTTTGATGCAGTTGTTGTCGTAGTTGTTGTTGTGGTCGGCGGTGTTGTTGTGCTGGTCGTAGTTGTAGTTGTAGTCGTGCTCGTTGTGGTTACGGCTGAAGTCGTAGTTGTTGTCGTAGTTGTTGTTGTACTTGTTGTTGTACTTGTTGTTGTTCTCGATCTGGTTGTGCTCGTAGTAGATGCTGTTGTGGTTGTCAGGATTGTTGATGGCGTAGTTATAGCTGTCATCGTCTTTGGTACTATTGTTTCAGTTTTGATCGAAGTCGTTGGCTCACTGCTAGTTGTTATCAAAATTGTTGTTGGTAATAGCATCTCATTCGTAGTCGCTATTGGCGTTAAAGACCTTGTTGTCGCATCTCCCAACGTTGAAGCCGAGCCGAGCCGAGCCGTTGATGTCGGATTTATATCTGCGGTCGTAGTAGATAAAATCATCGTTGTAGAATGGGCTGTTGCAGATGTTGGCTCTTTAGGCGTCGTTTTCGCTGATGTTACACCGGTCGTTGTGAGTGCAGCTGTTGGCTTTGTCGAAGTTGTTGCCGATGTTGTCTCAGTTTTTTCCGTCTGTTTCTCAGTTTCTTCTCCCGAGCTGACTGTACTTAACGTTTGCTGTTGACTCTCCGTGGAGGTTTGAAGCTGTTCTGATTCTATCGGCTCTGTTTTATCTTCAGGACTAAATTCTCTTCTCGCGAGGAAAACAGGATTCGAAAGATTCAACGATATTCCAGCTAAAAGAACAGCGAAAAGGCCAATCTTCAGAAATCTTACTGTACGTTCTCTCATTTTTTAAAATGCTTAGTTCAAAAGTTCGGGAGAACAGAGGCACGAATCGAGAACGATAGGAACTTGTTTGAGAACCTGATTTAACACGCTATCTTGATGGTTACTAAACAAAATCGGATTAGCGCAACACGATAAATACTTTCCATGTTATTCAACTACCTGTCTGAAAGAGGAAATAAATCTACGCAAGAAAGTTTCTTTGAAGTCCTAGGAAATGCCGTCTTTGATCCTGGAGAACTTTGGACAGTCTACTTTTCAATCATTATATAATGCGAAAAAAACTCTTTTAGGGTTTTTTCAGAGAAAAATTTTCATGACGTTCAAAAATTCGCTTATACACATACTCGCAAGTCAGTACTTTATCTCTCCTCTGTGTTGAATTTTTCATCAAAGGGGCCGCAGCGATATGCTCAACGAAAAAAAAAGCGAATGAAAGGAGGCGTCGTAAGAGATTGCTTATCGCCATTTTCACAATAGTACCAAAGCCGTCCCTTATCAAAGCTCTTTGTGTAACTTTTTGCTTGGTACCACGATCATGGTCTCTCTTTTTTTTGTTCATGTTTGACGCAGTTTAGAATGGCAGATTCTACTTTAGTTGGGAAAACTAAACGAAGAACCTGTGTTGAAAACCTGAGTCAGGGTTCTGAAAAAGCTCTTTCAAAGCCTGACTCAGGGTTTCTTCATTGAAGCCAACCAACGAAGAAACAATGAAGAAAACCTGAGTCAGGCTTTTTTCGGGACCCTGACTCAGGTTTTCTTCATTAGTTCCTTAGTCCAGGGGCTGGAGATACCATTTTAGAATATCACTTCTTTTAAAATCTTTATCAAGGTGACCACTAAACAAACTGAAACTCAAGAAGTTGCAGAATTTGAGGGATGCGATTCGAAACAGATAACGAGCGAGTTAATATCCGGTGATTTATGAAATGTGATGCAACTTGCTCAGCGAATCTTTCTCAGAACATTTTTCATAATTTTTTTCAAGACTTGGCGGAGCCGAGATTGTAGCTGATGATTTTAATCTTTATGAGAGGCTGAGATGAGATTTTGATGAAAAAAGAGAGGATGTGAAAGTTTTGGGTAGCATCATCTTTCCTAAGATTCTAGAGTTTTAGGCGAGGAGAAGGAGCTCTGAACTTTGCTTTCCAAGTTTGAGACAGAAAAACGCAAAGGTCAATTTTCCTGAAGGGAAATATTCATTATCTCGGTCGCGAAAATTTCAGCCGGATTCTCAGCAGGATCATGAAAAAAACGAGCATGTAAGAATGCGCCGCGATCTGGGCTACATGGCTCAGCGGCTGACTGAGCGAGTGCGGACGTGGCTGCCCAATTGATCGACGATCAACCAGAATTCCAGCCTTATTTTTTTTCTACCAGAAAATTTAGGGCGCCCTTAGTACTTCGAATTGAATTGAACTCGAGTTTTTCAGAAATGAATAAAGACCTTCAATTCGGGAAAAAAGCTCCAAATTTTTCTCGCTTCGAAAATTATGAAAAGCTGGATTCTCGTAATTACTACCGCTCATTTAATCCCATCAGCTCCATATGCTCGAAACGCTCTTTCTCGTCACTCTTATGACGAGATATTCAAAAACAGTTCTTTCTGCAGATTTAAAATTTCAGTCCAAAAATCTTCGAATTTCAGTTTTCTAGCGCTCGATTGATCAATTTCTCGGCGTCAGTTTGTCGCCCCACCCTTCTAGTGCTCTCCCATGTGCTGTTTTTTCACGGGTGAGAATCTTCCCAACTGAGGAATTCTAGAGACTCGTGTGGCAAGCCGCTTATCAAGAACTTTTTACATGATGGACATCTTTTTTTCTCTTTTAGAAATCAAACCCTAAAAAAATTTTTCTGATGAGAAACTTCAGTTTTTCTTCCCTCGAATTACGAGCTCTCCCCAGATAAATCAGTATCGGGCGAGTAGAAAAGCCGAAAAAGCGGCAAAATATCAGCTCCTCCCGGATTAACGCCTGCCTTCTGATATGGCTAAATGCGCTAGAAAAAGAAGAGCCGCCCAGATTTGAATCACGTTGCCATCAAAAAACGCTTTCGGGAATTTTTCCACCAACGTTTCTGAATTTAAAATCTGAGGATCGAAAAGAGATTTTTTTTCTAAAAGAAAAGTTGTTTCTATTGCTGAAATATCTTGGGTAAACCCTTAATTCTCAAGAACCATTTAGAGGGTCCTAGAATGGCATTTCTCAAGAAATCCTGATTTTGAGGAAGAAAAAACATAAGAATTCAATCAAATGCGCCTGAAATGCGGCTCAACCCAAATTCCATTTTTAGAATTAAAATTCTAGGGCGCCAATAGTAACTCTCGTAATTGAAGGCTAGAAATGAAGTTCGGATGCCTTGAATAGCTTGAAAAGTGGTGTTCTATGGCATGATGAAATATATATTTTTCTTTTTTATTTCTTTATCTGAGCAAAGTGTGGGGCGCAGAGTGTTGATCTTCCTGGGAAGAAGGGTTTTCCAATTTTCGGAAAATTGGCAGTCGGACGCTGGAGCGAGCCCCGATCAGCTCAATTCAAAACTTCTTCTGCCTGAACTGTTGAGCAAGTTTTCTCTCTCAGCCGCGGTTACGTCGGGTCATCTGAACATTCAGTGTTGTTGGTCCTCAAATTTACTTCATGTATTGCCTTGTCCATTCTTACTAACGATTCCTTTTTTGGCTACAACTCATATTAAGATGAAAAGGAAACGAAGTTATCTTAGCCCAAGTTGATTTTCCTTGGTTTGCAATAATATGCTCCACCTGCTTTCGGCTGAGCCGACATGCAGCTCATGCGATTTTCATAAAATGTTTCAAACATGCAAATTTTGAAAATGCGCGTCCACGCTGTTCCAGTTCTTAGCGCGCGGCTTTTTGATCGCAAAAGAAGCGGTCCCAAATTGGAGTTTTCACGCCTGTCGGATAAACAAACTCCCCGAAAACAAAACATATTCAAGCGCGAGAAATGGGTCGCTAGGCACAAGGAAAATGTCAGTGCATAGTTTCAAGTCTATCATAACAAATTCTTGCGACATGAAGACTTTTAATTTGAAGACCTGAAAATCTTCTGTAAATATTTCACTGATTTAAAGGTGCAAGTCCTAAGCTGGGCTCGGTAACATGTGTGGAAAACCTGATTCAGGTTCTGAAGAGCTAAAATGGAAAGCCGCGTAGCGGCTTTTTCAAAAACGAAGCCGCAAAGCGGCTTCGCCAGTATGTTAAAATATATAATAATGATTGTATTGCGAAGCCGCTTTGCCGCTTCGTTTTTGAAAAAGACGCTACGCGGCTTTCTATTTTAGCTCTTCAGAACCTGACTCAGGTTTTCCACAATGGTTGCCGAGCCCAGGTCCTTAGTAAGGGCTATATTTGTTAAAAACAGATCTAGAATCATCGAACTGGCTTCTATTTCTCCTTATTTATGTTTCAGATAACCAAAAATGTACCCAGATACAAAGTTATCAGTTCTGCCGATGCTAGTAGCGTAAACTCTTCGATAAAAGAAATCGTTGCGCGAATCGATTTTCGGTAAAAAAGCTTTGTTTGTAGCAAAACCGGGCGGTACACTTGTTCGCCGCTGATTAGAATAACAGCAACTACCGAATGCTCTCTCGAATCTTCAGAAAAAAAGGAGAGCGAAAGAAGAAGTTTTGGAAATACCGAGGACATCAGATTTGCGGAAAGAAAAGACATGAAAATAACGCTTGGTTAGAACGTGCTGACCGCTTTCAATTGAGCCCCCGGAGAGGTCAGAACTTGAGGTTGGTAATTGAAAGCGCAAGAAATTGTAAAAACTTGAACTCGATCAAGAAAATCAAGAAAAGTTCAACACAATCAAATTTATACTCAACTCAAATATCAAACTAACCGCTTGAGATTGCCCTAAAGTAGAATTTTTTCATGAGCATCTCTTGAATTTTGAGAATTTTGACGAAAATGAGAATAAAAGAAACTTTCATATATCTTCTTCATTTGATTATTTCAAGCGAAGGAGCGGTTAAAGAGAACCGCTGTCCGTAAGTTTGAGATATTATCTAGTCCTAACCCTAACCCTTATCAAAATCTAGTGATGAGGACTTGCAAACAGAATGCAGTGGATTCTGCAGAGTTGATTATAATCGATGTCGTCTTCTTTGCGAAACGGAATACTGCCAGTCTATCTGCGACAGAGAATATCAAAGTAATTATTCTTTCCAAGAGTTTTTTATTTCATTCTCTTTTCTGAGATTGCCAAGACAATTGTCCATGCGGAGCAAATTGTGAAGAAGGATGCAAAGACTGTAACCATCCTCTCTGCTCATCAACAACTACTGTTTCGACATGGACAACGACTTCACAAAATAGCGACCCAGTTATTTTCTCTTTAGTTAAAATTTAAGTAATTTGAAATAAGAGCAATGACTATGTCTTGGTAATTCCGACGTATTCGGCTCAATCATACATATTTTCCGGCGATGGAGAGGTAGCCAGGTCTGCTAGCATTGATGTTCCTCGTGATGATTATGCGGCACTGAGCGACTTCGCTGTCGTGCGAGGAGAATTCTATATTTTTGGTGGGGACACTGATCATCACAAGGTGAAGAAAATAAACGGTCAAAGACCTTGATTTTGTCAAGAAATCGAATAGCAGAAGATTTTGATAGAAATTTTAGATCGCGAAACTCGAAAACTGTCGATTTTATGAAATGCCAACTAGACTTTTCTACGGATACGATGTTGCTTCTGCTGCAATTGATATTGATGGCGGTCAGCGAGGTTTCAAATCATTTAAAAAAATCACTAACGAGTTGTAGCTCTTATCTGCTTTGACAATGACACTTTTTCTTTCAAAAACTGCGAAATATTTGACACAAAAACGTCGGTCAGTTTGACACAAAAACGTTGTCAGTTACAGTAAGCCAAGCGACGAATTTTCCCGGCTCCTGGTTTTCATCAACAATCGCGACTAAATAAAGTTAATTTGAAATGTATATTTTTGGATATAAAAAAGGAGACGTACAAAGTTCTAGAAAAATGAGTCGAAAAACTACGTCAGTAATTATTTCGCGTGAAAATAGCCTGGCTGACTATCTAACACCCGATGACTCGAGAGGTCAGCGAATATTATTTTTCCAAAAACATGATCCTCAATTTTCACACTAATCATCCTAATTTTTCGTCAATTCTTATACCTGTTGGGTCGGAAAGAGAAGGAAACACGGGGGTCAGCGTGATAGCTGGAGCATTGTCATTTTTGTCGAGGACGGTTAGGTGAAGCGAGGTTTCGGACGAGCGCGGCGGGAGACCGTTATCAGTGGCAGTGATTTTCAAGGTGATGCTGAAAATGAAGGGTTAGAAAAATGAGATTTTTTATTTGAGAACTGAAAATGAGGTAGTAGGGGGTTATCATTCGGGCTGCCCCTAAGCCTAAACCTAACCCAGGGGGCTACGCCCCCCGGGACCCCCCACCTAATGCCTAAACCAGGGGGCTTCGCCCCCGGACCCCCTTTAGAGTTCCCAGTCCCTAACCCTAACCATTAGCTCAGATTCTAGAGATATTGGTTGGCTCGAATCATAGGCCCGAATGATAACCCCTCTCTTCGGAAAATGATGCCCCTAAAAGATGGAATGAATAAATTCCAAAGAGGCACGTGATCTAAATTGTAAAATATCTAAGCGGCATTTTTGATCAAGTGGACAAATGTAAAACCTATGTTATTCCGTGATTATATGCGCCATGTGCGCCCGCTTGAGAAAAATAAATTGCTCGTTATGCACCCTACAACAGCAGGTTAAGCTGTTTCTAGAGCTGCTTTGGAAGACAATATTGATTACAAGAAGCCTTAAAAATAAGGCTAGGGGAGTTTTCTTTTGTGCCAATCAGAGGCCCGTATTCTTTACTCCAGCCAATCAGAAACAAGCAAAATCTAGGGGCCTCCACTGTCCGAGCCCCTGAGTTTTGGGGTCAAAAATCTGCAGTTTCATAATAAGATTTCATTTTTTAGGTCTTCTAAAATTGACAATTTAGTTAAATTTGTAAGAGCAAGAATAGGTGTCCCTAAGTTTTGATAGCTCGACTGGCTGAGCGCGGAATCTCCCCTCAGTCGCGCTGTCCCAATCCGCCATTTGGCTAAAGGGATGAGCTGGTGAACTCAGGTGCGATTTGTTATAGAAAATGCTCTTCCGCAGATTCAACCCATTTTAGAATCATTTTCTTACCTTGAAAAGTCGTGTCGATGAATTGTCTTTTTGACCAATAATCGACCGGTGAGCGAGTCGAGTTCAAAAAGTCTCTTGGCTTCGGTCGGATCGGAGGAGACGATGCGGTATTTTAGGTCGGAATTGACGCCGACATCGGCGTCGTAAGCTTCGAATTTGAAGATTTCGGATCCGATTGGGAGGTTTTCTTGAATATCCAGGTTTTTGACTCCCTCAGGAAACTGAAAAAAAGGAGTTTGAAAGGGATGAAAATTGCCTGAAATTTCAACAAGCAACATATCATGATACAGTTAATTGTCCGATAATTATGTAAGAAGAAAAAGAAGGTCGGTTAAAGATTTTTTCTTATCAACTAACTGAAGCCTAAAAATTTCCAGATCAAAGGCAAGATAGCGGCGGGGCGATCATATGGCCTCTTACGGAAAAGATTTGGTTCTAATGACTGCTCATAAGTGCCTCGACTTTGATGGGCTATAATAAGGAGTGGACCCTTATTATGGCATTAAGGGTAGCTCCAGTTAAAAACAAACAGTCATTTTTCTTTGAATTCTTCTGTGTGAAATGTGAAGATTTGTTCAAAAGTTATGTTTACAAGCTGTTGGAAATATAGTTTTACAGAGGAAAAGGGACACCCTTAATTTGCGGCGAAAAAAGTAGTTTTGAAGTGCTTACCTTTGGTGTGTTGTCATTTGAATCGAGGATATTGATTTCCACTTGGAGGGAATCGCGTTTGCCACCTGGGTCGGAGACTTCGAGCCGCGCTAGAATTTCGTATTTAGAAAAGTGTTTACGCAGCCTTATCATTTTCTTCGCAAAAAATGGAGAAAATATAACATACCCCTGCCCACGGACATTCTGTAGTCGACTTTAATTAATGTTTTCAACGATGATTTTAGCATAAAATTCAAGAAGAAATACAGCTATTTTATGGTTTCCAATAAATTTAACCCATCGAGTCAAATTTTCAAATTCAGACAAAGTCCCGTAGAGTCGGATTTGTTTTAATGAAACGTTGAAATAAAAGAGTCAAAAAAGTTACTGTATTGAGAATTTGGTGCATCAGAAAGAAAATTGAAAATTCGTTAGGGAAGGTGGCCTCTAATTTAGCTCGCTCCAGAGCCATGGAACGCTCAAGCAACAACCTATTATTATCCTCGGTGCGATGTGTTTCTAACCCAGCGGCGCCGTTTCCGCCGCACTACTACGGAGCGTTCCTTTTCCGCCAGTCGGTTAAGGGGGTTGCATCAAGCTCTTACCTTTGAGAAAGCTGGTCGATTCCCGATCGAGTTGCTGAGTTGGCACTAGAAAGAGACGTTCGCCTTCGATTTCGACTCGGAAAAGGTCATCGGGGGTCAATTTGTATTTGAGCTTCTCTTGGTCCAGAAAATCACCGTCCGTCGCCGCCAAATCAGAGATTTCAAATCGCGCGCCAACTGGATACGACTCGGGAACGGAGATTTGAGCCAAAGTGCGAGGAAATACTGGAGCAAAGTCGTTTCGATTCTTGATCTCCAAAGAAAATTGGATCGTTTCGTAAGTATTTTGAGGAAGCACAGCGATCTGAATACAGAGAGTTAAAAAAGGATGAACATGATCAAAAATTTCCACAGAGGGGGAGGAGAATTCTAGCGCTGCTTTCTTGATAAAAATTGTTATCAAGAACACAAAAACTGCGGCAAGCAAGCCTCAAATCTGTGTTAGAGGTTTATTCACGTTCCATAACTTTTTCTAGAAAATGGAAATTGATAACGATCAATCCAAGAAAATGGCAATTTGACCGAATGGGTTAATACAAAAATATAAATTCTGTTTTTTTTCGAATTTTGCCTACTCATGATCAGGAGGATCTGAGTAAAAACCTGACTCAGGCTTTTTTGGGATTATCAGAGCCTGACTCTGGATTTAACAGAGGTTCCTGAGCCCATTTTTGACCTCAAAAAGGCAAATTTTGCGCGTATAGGTTAATTCAACATGAGGAGAAAATAATCTGATAAGAAAGAAAAGGGACATTCTTGACGTGATTGATAAGAAAAAAATTGGCATAAAGCTTATTCGATGCATCCGGCGCGCGCTTCTGGTACATCGCTTTTGCGGTTTCCGATCGCCTCATAATTGCCACTTTGATTCGGATAAAATGCATGGCAACTTGCAGATGCGGGGCAATGTTGCACAACAGTAACAGCTTTGAGACAGTAACATTACCTTTGAGAGAACTTTGCAAGGAGCAAAGTCGCAGAGTTCTTCGAAGTCGAGATTTTTCGTCAGAGCAATTTCGCCCGATTGAGTCACTTCAAAAAGATCACCATCTTGTGACTGAATTGAAAATTGGCGCGGAGCACCAGACCAGCGGAAAGCGTCTGTCAGACTGAAGAGGATTGTTCCCTTTTGCAGACCTTCTTCTGTTGACGCCTTAAAAATTTGATGAAAAAAAGTTGACTTCAAACGGTCAATCGGGCATTTGAAGCCGCGCGCGGCTTTCGAGCTGATAAAAATCAAGCTGGGTCGACTCGAAAGCCGCGCCCGGCTTTTTGGTATTAAAGGTCTCCCCTAGAATTGAGGGGGTAGCTTACCTTTATCCACTTTCCAGCGCCATCTTCTCCCTTCTCCAGGTCAATTTTCGTCTTTGCCGAGATCCAGGGCAGTAACCAAAGCCACAGCCACATTTTCTGTGATGCTAAAATAACTTTTTAAACCTTGCTAAACAAACTTTTTCTCGAAAATCGAAAGTCGATTTTGATAATTTTTATTTCGAGAGCCCGCTGAGAGTAGGTCGATTGGACTTGGAGTATCTTTTCGTTGATTCAAATTCAATTATCAAATTTGTGATTTTTTTCTATTGAAAAGCTCTTGTATAATTTTATCGATTTTGGAAGGTGTGATCGCTTGAAGAATCTCGTGCTCCGGAAATTCGAAAAATTGAATGTTGTGATTCGATTTTTCAATCGATGATTTTTTCAATTTGTGATGTTCAAAAAATGTCTGAGTGATTTAAAAATCAGAGGAGGGTATTTATAGCGCAAACACGGGGAGTCATGGAAATTATGATCTGATGCATTTTTTGAATTTTTTTTTTTGATAGCGATTTTTCAATAGAATAATTTTGACTGTAAGCACGGTATCTTAGGATAAGAAAATGCAGCTATGGATCCAAGGTTTTTGTCGTGGTTTCTCGAATTCAGTGAGGACATACAAAATATCAGTTTGCATTTTTGGAGACAAATTTATGGTTTTTCATTTCGCAAATAATGTAAAAAAGCTCCAAAAGAATTGAGTTTCATTCTGTTCTCCGTAAAAAGGCGTATTTCTGAACATGTTGGCCAATGAAATTTTAGAAGATAATTATTCCAAGGAGTGGCCTCGTTAGAAAGGAACGTATATCATTAAGGGCATGCATATCGATTACGTCACACAACAACTCTCGTGTTAGAAAAACGCGACTTCCAGAGACTTTTCGAGCAGTGATAAATCGAAGTGATAGATATGCGCCCAAAAATGTATGGTGCAAATATTTGCTCCTCCCAGTTGTTTCTAACTGGGGTGGCTGTAAAACACTTTCAGGGTTACGCAAATAACGCGACGACTTGCTGACATTCTCACCACTTTTTAAACTGTATGCAGAAGCTTCCTATTCTTATACAGTTTTTTCAATTTACACATTACTTGACCATAAACAGTGTCAACCAAAAATCGAGAAGCCGCTTGCGGCTTCGAGTGAATAAGAAAAAGAGCCGCGCTTCGCGCGGCTTAATTCTTTTTTACTCGAAGCCGCGAGCGGCTTCTCGATTTTTTTGGTTGTTAAAAAAAGACACTGTTTACGGTCCAGAAATGCTAGAATTGTGACAATTCTGGCGTAGAGGGACTAAGACGGGTTAATCTGATAGAGTCACTGTGCATTTTTTTTACAAAGTCTTAGCCGAGAAAGAGATTACCGCGGGTAAACGTAACTCTGATCAGCTTTGACCCACAAGACCTTTATTCGATTCCGCTGATTTCCTTTAGAAGCGACATCTTCTATCCGCCGTAATTTCAATTCTCTTGAATAAAAATTGAATTAACTACAGTAAGAGTTACAGTAGCAACATTCAATCAGTCAAAGTCCAACAAGTACGTTTTCATCTCAAGTGCACGCTTAACCGCTCCATAATTCCCTCTCAATGCGAACTGGTGATAAGGCGCAGCGGGAGATGTTTTCTACTCGATTGATAAGAAAGACAAAGGTCTTTATCGCAGTTGTGCAAAGTATGCGTTTTGGAGTAACGATGATGCGGCCTGGGAGTGTAATTAAAGTGGATTAATTAACTAACAAGGGGTTTTGCAACAAACTCTTGTTGATAAAAACCCTCTTTTTTGGGCCAAAATTGGTCTTTTTAGTCATTTTTTTGCATCCTAAAAATGACCAAATCGCTCCTGGAAGTCTTATATTCTCATCCGCTATCGAGTGTTTCCCTCAGATTTTCGCTTCTCATCAGTTTTAAATCTTATCAGCGGCTCCGGTGATGGTATTCCGTGACGCCTCCGGTTCCATAAAAATGGCCAACTCGACCAAAACTATGTTCCAGCCCCGGGATTTAATACGTCACCTTGTGGGCGCCCGCATTCCAATCAAATTTGTACCTTAAAATCACCGATAAGCGCATTTTGTGGTGATAAGGCCAAACATAAAGAAATCAATCTTAACGGAAGTGAACCTTACCCAAGCGTGCTCAATGAAAACTCGGCAGGGGTTTATCAATCGGAAGGAGGAAAGAGGAGATAGAGAAGTGATGGATAAATACGCAATATTTTGAGAGAATCAGGTGATAAGAAGGAGTGAAATTTCGGTATTTTTTCAACGATAAGATTAAAATATCGACGCTTGGGAAACTTATTGACGCGATACCCTTAACCCTAGTCGGCCTGAAACGGGAGAAAATCAAGTTTAAGATGTTTACCCCCTTAAAATTAAAAATGTATTTCTAACACATTTTTAAAAGAGAAGTATTCAAGCCCAATCCGCATCATTACCATTTTCGCTTCCCGATAAGAAAAAACAGCTAAGAGGCTCGGTTTCTTGACTCACGTTTGTTTGCCATAACTCCAGGGTTATGTTTGACATGATTTTGTGCAAAATACAATTCGTGTGATTTCTCCCTCTTTCCAAAATATTCTTAAAACGTGTCAAATCAACGGATAACCAAGGCTCAAGAAAATTGCAATTAGAGATTACAGGTGTAACTGTTGCATCTCTAAATTACCGAAAGAGCTGTTTACGCTGACCATAATTTTGCAGCTAAATGATGTCGCGAAAATATCATCGCGAAAATCGCCAAAATTCAAGAAAAAGTGAAAATCTTCCAAGGCGCCTGAGTCAAAAACCACAGCGTCATACTACACAGCTTTTGAATGTATAAATAAAAGGGCTCGTTAATAAAATTTAGACCTCAGCTAGTGTGGAAATTATCCCGGCCGCACTATGAAATTCAATTTATTCCGGAGAGTGGCCACAGTATGTAATTATTCTGACGAAAGTAAACTCCAAAATCCAGAATTTCAATAAAAATACCGTTTTCAAAGGATCAAACGGTCTATTTAAGGAGGTGGGGAGCCTTATTGACAATTTCGAAGGAAAATTTTGATAAAATGAAATAAGGGTGTCACTTCCCTATTTCAGCTGAGTATTTTTTCTTTGGTTGAGCTTCTTGTTTGAAGCTTTTAGCGGTAGAATGTGTAAGATCTTCCACATTAGGGGCAAGAAAGATGACGTTGTTCATTAGCAGATTTTCGGAATTTCGACTCAAAATCAGTGCCCCTCATTATCAAGTAAAACAAACTGTTCTTCATCCATTTCACAAGCAAGGGAAAGCCACGTCTGCATCACATAAGCTCCCTTCCCGCCAACTCCGGCTCACTGGCAGTGATAAGCCGTTATCGCTCGATAACTCGTTCATCGCTGCATTGATGCGCGTATGGTACCAGAAAAATCTGCCTCTAAATACCCGCATTCGTAATTCGCGACATTTCAAATTTGAAATGCGGAATTTGGAAATTTAAATTTCTAATCAATCCACCTCGAAATCCGCAGCGAGCGAGTGCTTCATTTTCAGCAGACAGCGAGGATATTTATTTTTCAAAAATTTCGAAGATTAAGGGTCTACGCATTCAATCAACCAATTTTTTGAATTTTTAAAGAAGCCTTCTCCTTTTTTCTCCGGAATTTGGCTCAGAAACCTGTGTCAAAAACCTGAGTCAGGGTCGAAATTTCAAACAAGATTGAGATCAAGACCCTGACTCAGGATTTCTACACAGGTTTGAGCTCAGGGCCCAGAACGGTTTACCAGTGAAAAATTCAGGTTTCTTTGATTTCTTGAAATTATTTCCTGCTTAGGCTAGTAGTTCAAACCCTCGATACTCATTTCCTCAACCAATTTGGCCTCGGAATCGCGATCAAAAGCCGCCGATTTTCCCGCCGTCGGAAGGCAAAGTGCCCATTTCAACAAAAATTGGAAAATTTTCTCAAGAAACCTTAATTGATACCAGCATCGATCCAGACAGCTCCAGCTCAGAAAGTCGCACTAGAAAAAACTGACATGTGAACTGACGATGGTCACGGACAGCTTTTGGACATTTCGGAGTTTTCCGATTTTGGATTGAGAAGCACGTGACACGCGTCAAAAGTGTGTAAAGCAGCGGATCAAGCACCTACCGTAAACATACTTTTACAAATATTTTTAGGAGACTTGGATTGGAACCAGGAGTTTTTCAAGGGTTTATTTACATCTGCGCCTTCTATAAGAAACCTCCTTTAGGACCCTGACTCAAGTTTCTACACAGGAAAATGAGCAAAGAAAGAGCTCGAAAAGTCGTCATTTTCTGCCGAAAAAGACAGTCTCGGTTTTTCTTCTCGGAAAATCTGTAAAAAAGCTGCGGAAAGATTCAAATTCCGCGGTCAGAATTTAGTAAAATCGAATTTTCACCCAACTGGCGCATTATTTTTTCCCTCTCTTTTCGTCTCTACGGCTCTTTTGGCCGTCTGGATTACGTGTAACCGCGGGCGCAGGGTCCGACCACAATCCCGGAGCATTATTTCGACTCGATTTGACCGACCGGTTCATCACCCGCCAAACCATAACGTGCTTATAGCGTTTCACAAGGAAAAAAATCACTGAAGGAAGGATAAGGAACACTGGCCAACGCCAAAAAAGGACGGATTAGGGCCAAGGCCGGGGCATATCGGCACCAGATTATGAGCTTTTTTTGAGAAAAAAATGCAAAGCACAAAAATTTCTCAGAAATCTATCTTTTGCAACCTGTGTAAAAACCTGACTCAGGGTCCTGAAAAGCTAAAATTCCCATCTCAGGACCCTGAGTCAGGTTTCAACACAGGTTGGCGAGCCACTGATCATATTGTCTGGTAGACAAGGGCTCCTTCATCGATTTCTCCTGTCTACTAGACATTTTCAATAATTCCTAAATCCTTAATTCTACAAATGATTGATTCAAGAATTTTTTGAACAGTGTGTACGGAAGGATCAAAAAAGTAGTTAACAAGCTCTGATCGAACGGATTTGGGCACACTTTGCTTGATTAAAATTGATCCCTTTTAGAACAATGAAGACAGACTACTGGTACACTGTTGCCAAAGAAAAAAGAAACATGATCATAAGTTGTCCCAGGATTTGGGGAA